GTGGACTTCGTTCAGTTGGTTCGCCTTCATCGCGACCCGCAGCAACGAGCCCGCATAGCGACCGGCAACACCCGTCAACTGCTTTGTCGCGGCGACTGCGCTGTTGGCGTCAGCGGAAGCCGCCGACCCAGCGCTCGTTGCCAGTCGTCTCCAGTACGCGGCACCGTATCTCGCAAGCAGTCCCAGGTTTGATCGTACCATGACGGCGGATAACCAGGCTCGTTCCCGAGCACCGACGCTGTAGCACCCGGTTTCCGAGTTTCTCGTTGCCGGTCGCTGGTAGCCTGTAGCTGACGCTTCAACGCTGGTGCGCACTGCGCGCCGCTACTGTTTGATCGACGCGCTCGAACGAAGACGGAGCGCTGAGCGTCATAAACTGATGTCTCAGGTACGCGAAAGTGCACTCGACTTGAGACGTTGTGGAAGCACCTGTTGACTTGTCTATTGCTCTGGAAAGTGCCTGCTACGTCCTCGAAGTGAGTTGTTCGTAATATTTTGTAAAGCATTGCGATGAGGAATAGGCGATGAGGATGCAAGGCAGCAACCGCTTCATTCTGAAGAGACTGAAGCATAGAAGGAATCGATTTCATATTGCGTACGCGTTTTGAAACCCTTTACTTTATGATGATTCTGCGGTGACCGTTGTGCTCGAATCACTGCATCTATTGCACAACAAATGGCGCGCATTTTAGGTACGGATGCAGCATTGCCTGATATCACGGAAGGCTTCTCGTGTGCTAAGGATCACGCAGCAGCCGGTAATCTCCTTCTAGATCGATCACGACGCGCGTTCCGTACTAGGGTGTCGGAGCCCTTTTGCTATTTCGTAGCGGATCCACACAAGTGGACCATGATGATGATACAGTGTGCGCACTGCACACGCTAGCCAGACTGCCTGCTGCGCTCTTGCGCTGCCTGCAAGCACACAGAAAGCCCTCAATCATTGACAGCGGCAACGCTGTGACCCACAAAAAGACCAATCAAGAAATTCTGAAACCTATGAACACCGGTAAGCGTATGGTGGTCGCTTTCCAGGTCGAGCGCATTTATCGCATCATAAAAAGCGCTCCATAGATTCCATCGATGTAGCGCTCTGGAGTTCTCAGCAATGAACACGAAAGAAGCATCGATGGGCGACACGCATGTCACGCGCGTCACGCGATGCGAGTCGAAAGCCGCGGAGGTGCCGCAGCGCTGCGCACTTTTTCGAAGCACCAGTGCAAACGCTTCTGCGTTTACGTGCCTGCTAAGTGTTGCCTGCAATGAGCGCTGCCCCAGCTGTCAAGTTTTTGAATCCACACGCTGAGGTCTCCCGTCGTGGCTTGGCGTTGCACGCAAGCATCAATGCGGCGGGCGGGCTCGAGGATATCCTGCGATCGAACCTGGGGCCGCGTGGAACCCTGAAGCTGCTCGTGAGCGGTAGCGGGGAGCTCAAACTTACCAAGGACGGCGCGGTGCTGCTTCATAACATGGAGATCATTCATCCTACAGCCAAGATCATCGCAAGGGCCGCGACTGCGCAGGATGACGAATGCGGTGATGGTACCACCAGTGTCGTGCTGCTGGTTGGTGAGATCCTACGCCAGGCGGAACGACCGCTCGTGGACGGTATTCACCCGCGGCACCTCGTGGACGGGATTGAGTTGGCCCGGACCGAGCTGCTCCGAAGCTTTATTCCCAGGGTACAGATCGCCGTTGATCGCAACGACCGCGAACAGCTCGGACGGGCCGTTCGCTGTGCGCTCGCAACGAAGCTCTCAGATGACGCTTTGGTAGCGCATATTTCTGACCTCGTTGCCGATGCAGCGCTGATCGTGCATCACGATAACGAACCTATCGATCTCTTCATGGTGGAAATAATGACAATAGAGTCGCGCACAGCGATGCACTCGAGCTTGGTGCGAGGTCTGGTTCTAGATCACGGCACGCGGCACCCGGATATGCCAAAGGATCTGGAGAACGCGTACGTGCTCACCTGCAATGTCTCGCTCGAGTACGAGAAACCCGAGCTAGGTGGCGGGTTCTTCTACTCTAGTGCAGGGCAGAGAGAGCGACTCGCACAGGCCGAGCGCGAGGCTGTTGCTCATCAAGTTGAAAAAATTTTGCGTCTGAAGCGCCAAGTCTGTGATGAGGTAGGCACGAAAGCGGGATTCCTGATCGTCAATCAAAAGGGCATCTCGCCGGATGCACTGGAGATGCTAGCACGCGAAGGAATCATGGCGCTGCGGCGGGCAAAGCGCCGCAACATGGAACGCCTCGTTCTTGCGTGTGGCGGTACGGCTGTGAATTCCCTGGATGACCTCAATCCATCGGTGCTGGGAAAAGCGGTACGAGTCTTTGAAGAAACCCATGGAGAGGACAAATATACCTTCGTGGAGGCGCCCCCGACAGCGCGCAGCTGCACGCTCGTGCTGCGGGGCTCCGACAAGCAAACGCTGCAACAACTGAAGGATGCCGTGCGGGACGGCCTTCATACTGCCCGGCATTTCCTGGATGACGCCTATGTCGTACCCGGAGGTGGGGCGTTCGAGTGTGCAGCGTATCAGCACCTCCAAGCGTACAGCAAAACTGTCCAGGGTCGAGCACGCCTCGGTGTCCAGACCTTTGCCGATGCGCTTTTGGTGATTCCAAAGACGCTCGCCGAGAATTCCGGCCTAGACGCACAGGAAACCGTCCTGCAGATGATCGAGGCCCACGAAGCCGGGCGAACGGTGGGTCTGGATGCGCACTCTGGTGAACTGGTAGAGCCGCTCGGACGCGGCATCGTTGATTGCTGCCGGCCGAAACGGCACGCGCTTAGTTTGGCCTCGACAATCACCACACAACTACTGCTCGTCGATGAATTGCTCAAGGCCGGACGTGATACCAGATCGAAATAGGCACAGCTTTAGGCATAATATGGCCCTACTGATTGACGTACACGTTTCAGGCTAGTGGTCGGTGATACGGGGGTCCGTTGGACACCCACTCGAACGCATCGTTGCCCTGATGCGGATACGGCTCACCGACCTCAGCTTTAGCGGTAGTGTGGCGAGCCTTGGTGTTTGATCGCTGCCTCAGACGCAAATTACCGTCAGCACTGTCTGGATTTGACTCTGTCAAACTGTGAAGGCGCTGTTGCTCTCATCACCGTGCAGCGATCCATACCCTTGAGAAAAGCCGCACAGCCGCTAGGCGCTGTACGTTGCACGGGCCACGATCCGGAGATCGTCGAGCGTATCGTCGAATGCTGCGCTTTCCGCTGGGCAGAGCGACGGGCAGCAGCGTCCAGGCGTGATACGAATAGATTCCAGCCTCAGCGTACTTTCGCATGCTAGTCGTCTTTGGTACTGCATCGCATGGGATCGAATTGCACAGAGCGTAACTCTGGGGCAGAGCAATACACAGACGTGTTTAAGCGCGCGCTCTCACTGTGGTGCATGATACCAGCGGCTCCCCAGCTGGAGAAAAGACGATCTGGATAGTATCGCTTACATGAGCACGCGAGCTGTATCCCCGACGGCTCGCATAACCAGATCGAGACGAGTTGACCGTCGCGCTCGAAGCATCCTTATCGATTTGCTCGTTCGAGGCTGCGCTGTGCTTCCGAGCAATCTAGCGTCAAGCGTTCCTAATCCCGGTCAGTGCCCTGCACAACCCCAGCGCAGAGCGATGTCTGCACGCTCGCCCGCACTCGTCGCATGAACGACAACAGCGCACCGGGAGTGAATCGTGCGCCACGATAGCACCGCCTGAGTGCACTGTACATTCACAGGCACGACTCGGATGTGAACGAAGAGCGTTTATTCGTGCTCTGGTCCATGCGCTGGTGCGTTTATACAAGAGCACGACGCGTGTTCACTGCGTGCCAAGACAGGGCTCAGACGGGAATGATGGTAGCGACGAGGACTCCGCAGTGCTCAAATCCAGCAGCTTGAATGCACTGGCTGGCATCGGATAAATGCCTCTTCAATAGCGTCATCAATGCCGCTGTCTCGACAGCTGACGCGCTCGAGTACACGATGATATTCACTGCCCGGCACCACTGCACCACAGAAGCGGCTCGTCTCCGATCCGATATTCACAAAACACCGCATTCTGATCACGATCCAGGAGCGATCGAACGGTAACCGTGACACGGAAAACGGCAAAAGTCAGTCCATTGGTGTCATCGACTGTGGGCATGAACGTTTCTCTTCATTGGGTAGCCGCTATCAGCACTTTTCGAAGCACGCAAGATCCGCTCGGGTATAAAGAACGGTGCACGCGAACCTGCATCAAGTGCCAGAGGCACTTTGTCTGCATCTACATGCCTTGCTCAACCCGAACCCGTTCCGTTAAAGTCATCTCTTGCAGACGTGGAACACAGGTGTTGCATGTACGCGGCGTACCGCATGAGGAGCGCTCAGTGAAGCCTTTCTCTCATCGTCAGCCTAGATGCTACATGGTGCTTCTTGAGATGGTCTCAGACCCGATTTGTATGCAAGATAGCAACGTTGCTCAAAGAGCCAAATAGGTGCACAGATCAAACGCCTCTCCAAGCAACTGAGCATGCCCAGTGCGCTTCGGCGCGAATGCTCCCACGCCAATGCTTCGGAAGCAAGTGACCGTTCATCGACAACGATGCCGTGTCCGTGCGTAAGCCTTGCTTCTGGGATATGAACCGATCTAGTCGACCAGCTCTGGTTAGTATCGGTCCTCAGGCCTATCATTGCAATGGCCCATATGCCCAAACAGGGCAGTCACACTCGTCATCTATAACAAGTACATCACTGGACATGCGAACTTACGCAATCCAACCACAGGCGAATAAACGTACCGACGCATCTACGACTGTGCGCATACGCAAGCGCAAGCATCTGTCAACAAAGATATAAATCCTTTTTCATCCACTGAAACCTGAAATGAACCCAGACATCTACGAAGGTACGCATACCCAACGGCAAGCACCAGTGAACACGGACAAGCATTGCTACCTGCGTTCGCAAGCATCCACAGCTAAAGCAAAACATCCAGTGCATTCATTCATCGCTACACGAGGCACTAGACGGTACCTCGGTATCAGCACCGATGAGCATCAACACCCATTGGCAAAGTGTCTGTAGAAGGGCGTGATTGAGCTGACGATTCTGCGCGATCTCGTCCACTAGAGCGTGCCAGAGCTTCTCCAGTAGCGCCGCATCTCCAAGCGCTTGCGCAAAGCCTGCTACCTGTTCCGCAGCGCGCGTCTCTTTGGTACGCAAGTCTTCAATACAGTCATGCGCCTCCTGCTTTCCCGCGTACAAGGCTTCGGGTGAACGCTCCGCCAATAGCGCTAGACGCTCACGCGACTGACGCGCAAGATCCTCCACACGCTCGATGATCACAGCGTCTCTTGGAAATGGGTTCTCTTGCCCAAGTGGGTCAACGCGCTCCAGCCGCATCCATAGGCGCCTAGACAACGCCAAAACCAGGAGAAAGCGCATCTCACAGAAGAGCAAGCGATCTGTTACGGGAACCGGCAGTACCCTGTGCTCAACTGCCCAGAGCGGATCGTGTTCCGATGCACCGGAGGTATCGATTCCATAGAGTGCTCGCGTAAGCGCAGCAGCAACGCGTTTCGACTCACGTTGTAGTGCAACAAGTCGGTATCCAAAGTCAAAGGGTGCCAGAAATCGTGCCCATTCAGAAGCGACAAGCCCCGTGCTATGCCCAGAAGCCGCTAGCTTCTCTGTTTCGTCCTCATTCGTAGCGACGAGTTGCTCGTACAGACTTTGGAGCCTTGCACGATCCAGACCAGACTCGTGCGCGCCCATAACGAGCAACATCCACAGGCGAGACCAGAGCGAACGTTCGTGCGGTATCGCGTGCGGTGCAGGTTCTATGTTCCACGGCAAAAGACCCGGATCGAGGATGCCATGCTGGCGCAGGTTCTTCGCACCGACATCGGGTCGGATGAGCAGTCGCACCACGGACCAGTCGCTATTGTCGATCAGGTCCGGTACTGTGGGTTCCTGCTTCGATGTTATGGATGAAGTCGCTGCCACGGCCGCTGCATCCGCCAGATGCAGACTCTCCATTCCAACAACTAGCGGATGCGGCCGCGAAGCACCGTTATCTTCGGCGTGCTCATCCTTCCGTACATTCAAGCGAGTCGTGCGCTGGCTCCCGTTGCTCACGAGCACTCCCCCAGGTGAGACACGATCCGAGGCGCATGCCACTCTGATCCATTGATACAGATCAGCGTGTATATTTGCATCCCAGGTCCAGATGCTTCGTTCGATGCGATCAACGAGCTCCCACAAGTGCAGTGCAGTATCGATGTTGTTGCCACGAACTGCATCCAACAGAGCCTGGGCACCTTCAGTCACATTCGATACGAGCAACGCCCGCTGCGCGTCGATGTACGTACGAGCTGCCATTTGTACTGATAAACGGTCAGGCGGTGATGATGATGATGATGATGCTCTCGACCAGCGATCGCCCAGAAAACCGAAGTAGAACGGCGGGATCATATCGACCCCGTCTCCAAGCAGAAACGCTAAGCTGTCATACTGGATGGATTTGCAGCCAAGCAGATGCCATTCCAGCAAGCTGCTTCCGGATGCATCGAGCGCATTCAGCAGACCGATACTCGCGATCCGCAGGATATAGTCATCGGGATTGTGCGCTAGTCCGTATCGCAAGAGACAGAGCGAAAGTCGAAGATCGTGATCTGCTGGAGCCTGCCGCAGAAGGTACAAAACGGCAAGCAGCAGGAAACCGTTGGGTATGGAAGCGCTGGAATCCTCGGGCACATCTCCGGTGCCGCGACTCATGCGGGACCATTGGAGCAGCACCAGCGGGGCCGGCTTCTCTAGTCGTTCTTGGGGAACGTCCGATTGTCCATCAACCGAACCAGAGCCAGCATTCAGTGCGTCCATCCAGAATTCCACCCATATCCTATGAAGCAGCAGACGCCACTGCGGCTTCGACCAAGATAGAGTTCGCGATGCCGCTGGATCCGGATACCGCGTCCGAAGTGCAGTCCTTAGAGCACTGTATGCCGAAGCGGACCACGTCCCTGACGCTGATGAGGGAGAACAGAACGCAGCCACCCATGGCATCATGTCCAGGTGGCCACAGGCGTATCTCGCTAGTACAGCAAATGCGTCCATAATCAGCGAACATGTTAACGTAGCGCTTGCTCTGTTGTACGCCAGACGCACCAGCAATCCGGATCGATGTTGGAGGCGCTCCAGCAACTGCTCGAAACGCTGACGCAGCTCTAAGCGGGAAGCGTCAGCCGCTTCCACTCGCTCAACGCTGAGCAGTTCAATTAGACGATTCCATGCCGTCCAGTCGAGAGCGCTCGCGATAGGCGCGCACCTGGTATCAACGTTGCTTTCCAAAGTTTCCGCAAGTTCCAGATACAACCTGGCGGCCTTCTCGGCGAGGGCATCCTTGTCTGCTGCATGCGCAGCCTCTTCCGTGAGCCACGTTGCATAGCAAGCGTCCGCCATCATACGTCGTCGCTCATTGGCGTCCACCAGGACACGTCGCAGGTAGCGGGCGTGTCGCTCGTCATCAGCTGCGTCGTCTAGCCATGTAGTGAAGCACTTGAGATGCCCATGAGCCCCCAGGACGCGCCAAAGAAAGTCGAACGCGTCACGGTCTTCGAGCATCGCCACTGGGCGCGTATCCGAGGCCTCGGCGGCGACTCTGGTACCCGAGTCACGCTCGAAAGGCGTACTGAGCAGGTCTAGCGCCCTGTGACACAATTGTTCACTCAGCTGCATTTGAACACGAAAACGCGTTGACGTCTCGTCTCGCGTGCAGCTGGATGCCTCTGGGTGTGTCCCGTACACTTGACGTGCCTCCGGAAGACGTCTGCGTGCGGCATACAATGGAATGAAGCAGGCTAAGACGTGCCGCAGTAGCAGGTACGCCTGCTGCGCGGTACCTGTTCCCGCCGCTCGTTTCGAACTATCCGCGCTCGCTACGTTGCCGGACATTCTTACATATCTCAAGGCAATTTTTTGTGCGACCTCTGCCCTGTGACACAACAGGGCTATCACGAAACAGCGCAGTGTGGTTTCACCTCGATCGTAGGGCGCCCGTACAGAGAGTTGCTCTGCAAGCGCCGTGAGCGTGCTTCGCAGCGTCGCTGCCTGGTGCGGGTCAACAGTCGAGCTTTGGCTTCGAAAGCACACAGCACGGGGCAGGTATGGCACCAGACTAAGCAGCACTATCGATAGTATCCAAAAGCTCGACCAGTCCAGAGCAGTTTCGACGTCTGCCCGAGTGCAGTGTTCACGAAGCAGCACCTCCGCTCGCTCAAGAGCAACCGTAGTCTTCCCTTTTCTAGCATAGAAAACCAAAGTCAACGCATCTAAGTACACCTGTACGCGTGCGCTTCCTTCCGGCTGCTTCGCAGCTGCGGCTTTGGCTTCAGCGACTAGACGCAGGAACTTGCTCTCCTGGCCGGTTCCCAGAGCACCCCAGATTGGCCCCAACGAGGCGATTCTTCGTTCTATATAGAGGCTCGGCTCGGCAGTCAGGTTCATGGTGCGAGGCAACGGTTCCTGGCGTGGCCCCGCAGCGCTGATACGCAGCTTCGCTTCACTGCGAACGAACAGCTGCGACAAACACAACGCCTGGTGCGTTGTCGCCGAAGGCAGGCCGACTTGCGAACTCCCTGTCCAATACTCGATACCGCGGCTGCTGTGTACTGCTGCAGGGAAAAAGTGCTCGGCAGTAAACCTCTATAGAAGCATTGACCTTGAACACCCGCCGCGAAAACGTAAACAAATCCTAGTTACACGCGCTCGCTCCCACTACGGTAGCAGCAAGCATCGCTGACGCTGGTACGGATGGAGCCGTCAAGGACCTTGCTTCCACGTATAGTGCATCTTCCCGGATCGATAGCGACTAGAATGACAGGACGCTTTACACACAAAAAAGAAACAGAGTTCTAAACCGAGTGATTCTTATGGCGCTTCGATCAATAACAAAATTGGGTTCATTTTGTAGTGTCGCAGCTTGTCGTCGCTAGCGCGGCATTCCTACATCCCGCCCACAAGAGCACGGATACAAGACTCGATTTCGCTATCAGCAGCGCGTGGAGTGAAGATGCCAGTCACCAGAACTACGCCTCTACGCACTAAAGTCGTGATCCGCTTCTCGTGCGGGAGCTGAAGCGCGTACTTCACCGTCAGAATGGACTGCTTCTGCGGATGCTTCCGCTACGGCTTCTTCGTGGTGAGGTGTCCATTTGCTTTTCAAATGCGTGTCCGGATAGGCGTCGGCACCAACTGCAGCGCTCGATGCAGGCAACGCTGCACTGTTGCTTGCAGCGACGGGACGCTCCTGCGAAGTGGTATCGTCGACGGCGGTGGTGTCGCCTTCCCAGTCGGACTCGATGCCGTCATGCGTACCGCCGTGCTTCAGCGAATACTCATATTTGTAGCGTGTCACCGCAGCTGTCTCATCTTCCATGCGCCGAATATCCTCGATGGTCATATCGATCCATTCGTCCATCCAACAAACGAGTTTCCGATGATACCGAATGAACGTGTATTTGAGCCCGTACTTGTGACCCCACTCTTCGACCATGGTCTGAAGACCCCATTTTCGAAACTCCAGCTTACAAAGTTTGTACGCACACATCACCGGCTGTGACTCGTAGTACCAGCGCCCCGGGACAAGAGGTCCACGCCCAGTGCGACGGCTCTGCCAACTGGTGGGGTCCTCGTTCGGTTCCATTCGCGGCACCGCACACGAAATGTCTATAAAGTCAACCTGGCGTTTGCGTAGTTCGTCGTCTTTCAAGTTCAAGGGGTTCGTCTGCGTTCCAGCATCGGGAGCGTGCACGGTTTCCACGCTCAGCCGAAACTTGTCTCCAAGCCACTCGTTCGAGTACACCGTGAGGCAGTGCGGATACGCGTTCCAGCTGCGTTCGACCATTGTCAGCGCGCTCTCTGGCATAACAAAACGAACAAACGCCGGTACTTTGGACTTGAGGTAAAACACTTTCTTCGTATACTGACCGGGAGGCATGTGGTACTCGTTACAGGGGTCATCGGCCGCGTACGGTCGATTTTCTTCGATGACGAGGCCCTCGCCCGCTCGCTTTCCAGTCTCCTGTTGGGCTGCCTTGGCCACCATGTAGAGCTGAGCTCTAAAGTACTCGTCTACTGAGCACGGAAGCAGCAACCTGTACTCTTTGATAAGCATTGTGGACAATCAGAGCCAGGAAAGCGGTACAGTTTCCAGCTGCCAGTGACACGAACCCGATGCGCGCTCAAACTAGAATACGCAAACCGGTAAACCACTCCAGCTACGTCAACAACTACGACTAGTACTAGTAGTAGTACTTCAGCTGCTGCTGCTGCTGCTGCCGCCGCTGCAGTTATTGCGGATACCGGGCGTACGCGCACCCTGAGGTTAATTTGCGCATCATGCGCGCGATGCGATGCGATGCGATGCTGAGCATCCCGATCCGGCGGCCAACTGGAGCCGCTTTCAGAGCGGTGGAGGCTACTACGGATATGGCTACTATTGCTGTAGGTGACGCCTTTACGAGTGGATGTTGTCCATGGCACCTCTGGGGCACTGTTGATGTACACTGGTCTCATATTAGAATGGAAGGAGTCCACTTGAGTGACTGGGGTGCATATGCTAACCTTTGGGTTCGTACTCAGTGTCGTTCATGACGTAGTTGAAAGGCTTTTTCTCTGATATTTTCTATTGTATCCCTTTTATCTCCGGCTTTAAGTCCGCTGGGCTATTCTTCCGCACAAGCTCCATAGTCAATAGACTCAGGACGTGGATATTGGTTTACTTCACCGATATCAGTGCTCCAGGCTCTTACCGATTAAATTCGTGCACAGGTAGTAGTGGTGGTGCTCGTGCTCGTGCTCGTGCTCGTGCTCGTGCTCGTGGTGGTGGTGATCGTCGGCTCGATTGCCATTTCCGTCATCATCTTATACAGCCTTGGTGCGCCCATGGTATCTGTGGTAATGCACTGTGATCAGGTGTTCGCATCCATCTAGACCGTCTCCTCATCCTCCGAGCGCTGCTCAGTGGCGCATGGACGCTTGCTTCGTCGCTCGCTGGATGTCTCCAGTTAGAACTGAGGGCTGCTCTCGGTGCCCTCACTCCATTTTGCGTCTAGTGCCTTAATCTCCGATCGCAAGTGTCTTCTGGGCGATCATTTCTGCAAGTACGCTGTCCGCTGCACATGCAAGAGCATGCGGTTCTCATTGATACAGGATTTGTGGAACGCGATTTTCTTCAGGACTGGACAAGTACTGGCAGCGAGATCCACCCTAGCAGAGACGTCATGAGGTCTCTATATTTCCATGCTCCCTTCTTGCATAATTGTGAAGCTTTCCGCATTGGTAATGACCACTGCGATGACTCAAGCCCGTGTACAAAAACCCTTGTTCAATCCAACAGAAAAGACGCAAGCCTCAGAGAGTGGACCCCTGGAGTGTTATCATAACGATGCGACTAGCCGTTCTATCGATGACCACAAAAATAATAGGGTTTGTCTTTTGAACGGAATCGATTTCTGGATTTGAAGATTTCAGTGAATGTTCGATATCAGCGTCTGAAAAATCCTCGAATGACGATGTCGATTACTTTCTCTCGTCAATCCAGCAGCGTGATTCGCTGCGCTCACGAAGTATCTTGGAGCAGAAACGACGAACACGTGCAGAATGCGTGATCTCAATATGATTTCCATGAGCAATGGAAAACAGCGGAAGCTTGTTCATATGCATTTAATGATGGTATCGTTTACTCTATGAGTATTTTTCCGGTCTCTGCAAATCATCTTGATTCCGGTCACATAACGAATTGTAGCAGCAACGATTCGGAGAAGTCACTTCGAAAAAGCGACCGAGAATCCGAATACTACGTATGATGCGGTCAACCCTCAATAATGCGCTTCGAATTTAGAGGCTATACATCTAAAACCGTGTGATATGAGAACCTCAAAGCGGGAACAGCTCTGTATTTGCATCTGGTAGGGTTATGGGCAAGCACCCGCTTTGCCGAGATGTCTATAGGGCTTGATCGATTCGTCTACACATACCTTGGACGCACAATCGTTCAGGAGTAGCAGGTAAGCAGGTTCGTGGATTCCTCCCATATATTCTAGTGCGCCGCACGTGGCCTCGGTTCAGTATTCCGGTCGGGACCAGGGGCTTGATGTATCCAGCAACACTGCGCATGTCCGTCCTGACTGGGAATCTGATGCACGGGGACCGTATAGAGATCGAACGGCTTTTCGGTGCCTTGTCCGGTGCCGGCTCGAGGTTGCACAAATGCGCGGCGCTTAGTTCGTCTGTGTCCTGATGCTGGAGTTTTCCTCTGGTGACGAACGCGAATGCGTCGGATTTCATTTCTGTCTCGGAGCGAACGTGTTGACGGCCCTGTTACCTACTCTGGCTACATGTTTTAGGGGCGCTTTGGTAGCGACAGCAATGCACTCGTCTGGGAACAAAGCTCTTGTACCTAGTACTTTCAGCGAAAGCTTCCAGTGCTCGAAAACACTTTCGTCTTGCGCACGACGCACGGACATTTTCAATTTCCGATATGACAAATCTTCGGTTAGTTTCCATTGCTGAGAGGTGGTTTAGAGGCAGTTACAAAAAGTTCCCTCTCAGGAGAGATGATTTGAGGCCGCGCGAGGCCCCGTTCCGTGGACAAACTAGTATTGGCAGTGGATTTTCCAAACATCCTTCCTATGAAGCAACCTGTTGCACTGGACCACGGTACTTAACGAACATCGCACACTGCATACATTCGCATGGATTCTAGCACTCAACTGGGGCAATAGAACGCACGTTCCTGGTTCGAGTCCCGGCACACCCGAAGAAAATCATGCGGCACACACGAACCTGCTCTAGCATGCAACATCACGCTATGCACACCACTGCTTACCCTGTATGGCAGCGCTCCGCAAGCGCAACACCTGTCTGAGCGTGCGCGTCTTCCCAGCACCAAGGACATCCATCACCGATCATCGAGTACTCTGAACCGCTCGATCTTCGACTGCCGATGTCACTGGAGGGATACCGTCGACGTCACCGCAGACAGCTCCCGGCATCGGGCATCGCATCGCGGCATCTGCGAATCCATCCCGCAATGATTCATGGACATAATTGGATCTTATAGGAACATGAAAAGAACAATAATAGAGACATAAATAGACACTATGGGAGCATGTATGATGCGGCGCGGTTGGCGCTCGAACTCCAGATTCGTGTCCGCTGCGAGCAGCTGCGTTGCGTCCTGCATCATCTCCAGCTGGTGGCCAAGCGTGAGGCACAACAGGAACGTTGTGCTTTCTTCGGTGCTGGCAAAGCCCGTGACGCTAGGTGACTGAAACATTCAAGAACATAACCTAGAGCCGTTTTCGCTTGCAGAAGGAACCGAGCGAGGCCTTCACGTTCGAGGACTGTTGACTCGCGGGCTTGTCGTGCACACCCCGTCCCCAGAGGACGTGTGTCAACGCCTTTCCGGGTAGTAATTTCCTGGCGAGACTTTTTCTGTCATTAATCGTGTGAGACTTGGGCTTGCTGTGCCTGTTGAAGGAGAAGCAGCAGTAGCAGCAGTCCGGGTATGGGGCAGACACTGGAAAAGTGTGCGCATACGCAGCACAGCGCACCGAAGCAGCTCGAGCGCTCACATGCTGAGTCGTCACCGAGCAGCAGAGCTCGTCACTCCAACGGTGGCAACAGTAGCCCCAGAAACAGCAGTGGGCGGGATGTCGCGGGCAGTGCGGTATCGATTACGGCAGCATCCGAACCAATAGCGGGCGCGCGCCGCTCTGCCCAGCGAAGCGAAAGCAGACGAACAGCTACCGTGCGGACAGGGGCACAGCAAGCATCCGAGGCCAGACGAGGGCTAGCATCCCCCGTTTCCAGGAAAGCTGAGAGATCCAACAAAACCAACCACTCAGTTGGTTTCAGTGCTGGTTCGCCCGAGCCGCCACCGCCACCACCGCTGATACCGCGCCCTGGCATTGACGTCTATAACTTGCTGGATGAGGACGATGTCGATAACTCATGTCCTATATGCTTGGAATCCTACTCACACGAGAATCCACGCATTGTAGCGTTCTGTGGGCATGCGTTCCATCTGGGTTGCATCTACGAATGGATGGAACGTAGTCCGTACTGCGCGATATGCGCACGGGCGATGCAGTTCTCCGAGCTCGCCAGTACAGAGAGTGAACGCGTGAGTCGTGAAACACGGTCGGAATCTGACTCAAGTTGGACGGTTCAGAGCGACTCGGACCACAGCAGATCCCTTGAAAATGCCTTGGCCGAACTGGGCATTGATACGGGTGCCATATGGGGAGGCTCGGTTCTGCCGCCGCCGCCGTCGTCGTCGGTGTCGAACCCTGTAAAAAGCGTGACAGTTACTGGAGACGTGTCGCAGTCGGTGCCTGAACAGCGGCAAATGCTCCGAAGATCGTTTTCAAGACAGGGACTGCTCACTGGTAGTCATGGAGAAATCAATGAACGAGCAAATGATGACCCACTTGCAGTGGAAACGGTCGAAATGCAGGATCTGATTCAGTGGGACGAGGAGCACGACGTCACCGCGCCAGAACTTGTTGCACCGGCGCCGGTTACTGGTCTGGAGACGTACACCACAGATTCGAAGACTTGCGCGGTGCAGAATCAGGTGCTCGAGGCACAAGTCCGGTAGGAAGGTCTCGAAGCTCCAGTGCAAGGTGAGTTTCAGGACGAGTAAGATTTTGAAAAGCGATCTGGAGCCGTGATGCAAGCTTACAGCACCAGCGCAGATGCTCTTTTCGAGTACGCTACACGCCCAAAGGACAGCTTTGAGGCGGCACGCACTCGACACCAAGGTGACACGAACTTGCAACAGAGAGCAGGTCCAGTGTAGTACAGCTATTCTAAACAACGGACACCAAGCTCGTCCAAGTGTAACGGATTTATTGCCGGATATATACGGCTCTTCATGTGGATACGTCCACGTAAAGTAATCGGTGTGCTCCATGCGCATCGCGACGCAAGCGTCTGAAAAACGATAACAACACCAAAGGCAACCAATCCTGTTCGTTTGGCTGCTGCTTTCAGCCACGAAACCCAAGCGTCTTGTGCGCACGTGCGGTGTCAGCCTGACCCCGAGTGGATCCACACCAGCGTCTGCTCGTGCCACAATCCTCAATAGATGCAGGGTACAGGGTCGCGCATCGCACCTGCCAGGCTCGTGTCGACTGGTATGTAGCTATAGGGGAACGGTGCGATCACGCGAAACCCGTTCCCGTGTGAGGCTAGCTCGTCGCGACGACACCGCACCGTGTGCTGCACTCCTCTGGGAGACCTGGATGCGTTGATGAGGGCGAACGACGCACTCAAAGCACCACCGCCGGAGAGGTGCTTTACAGCACCTCCAAAATCAGCTGTACAGTAGTGTGATGCAGGGTCCGATGCAGCGCTTCATGGGAGCGTACAGCCAGACTTCAACGACGATTTTCGTAACCAGCAGCTGACTAGCGCGCATGAATCGAGACGTAAGGGCGACCAGACGGATTCATATCCCATTGAGAAAGGTAGTCCAGGCTCGACAGGCAACTTCGCGTCGCCGCAGTCAGCCTCGTGTAGAGCATACGACCAACGAGCCAGCGCTATGTCCGATGTAGCCGTTCGGCGCTAATCGTGCACTATCCGTCACTCTAAGGCGGGTGTTCGAGCACCAGTCGTGCCAAGCTGGGGCACGTTGCAGACTTCGCACGCTCAGGTCACGTGTTTTTCGCACGCTGTTGCGAATGCAGCGTAAGCGAAACACTGGAGCGAGTCCAGAGCAGCGAATAATGCTCAGCGTACATTCATCTATATGCAGTGCGCTACGAAGCACCAGAGGGAAGACCCGGAAATGGCGCATGCGGACAGAGCGCCACGAGGGTGTATCTCCAAGTGGCGAACGCAGTGCTCGAGCACGGCAAGTCTAGCAGTGGCAGGTTGACAACCGCCGCACGATCTGCAACTACAAGGGCTTTCGTTCTGGAACTCCCGGCGCTCGCGGATACATGCTCGGTGTTGGATGCTGCTTGTGCACGATCACGATAACCCGTCGATGGTCGTCCATATCCGTACTGCAGGCAGTTGGAGCACCGTCCGTGTCTGTGGCGACAGTACGCATATAGCGTCCGCCGTTCGCCTCTATCGAACGCATTGCAGACGCGAGTTCCGGCCAGTGAACGTCTCCAACGGTCGATGCCTCGCGGCGATACTCCTTGGCGGCCAAGAAATATCCACCAATGCGTACAAAGGGCAAGGCAAGCTCTGAGAGTGCCGGAAGTCGGGCCACTGCACGAGCCACCACACAATCGAATGCTTCTCGCAGGGCGGGTTTGTGTGCTGCCAGCTCCGCGCGGTCCCAAATGACGCTCACGTTGGATAACTGGAGCGCCTCGACAGCCTCACGAAGCCAGTCACATTTCTTGCGCGTAGCATCAAGCAGGACGAACTCCCAGCTGGGTCGTGCAATCCCCAGGACTAGTCCTGGGAAACCACCCCCCGAACCGAGGTCCAGTAGTCGAAAATGATTGGGTGCTGCTAACCTGGGACGCTCACCAGACACTCCAGCGCATAGCGTTTCGATGATATCGACAAACCGCAAAGAGTCTACAAAGTGTTTCTCGTATACTTCCGGTTCAGTGCGGATTGCGGTTAGATTTACATGGCGATTTCGTTCTAGAAGCAAGTCACACAGCTGACTGAGGCGTCTCTTCTGCGGCGTTGATAGCAGGCGGCCCTGCTGACACCGTTCGAGGAGCCCGTCCCGCTCCGGCTGTGCAGAAGGAGCTGATCCCGCTTCACAACCTTCTCCATGGCTTGAAAAGACCCTACAGACGGGAGCAGCGTTCACAAGTGCAGACGGGCGCCACGCGACTCGCGTCCGGAAGCTTTCCACGCCCCTGGCCCGTCGCTGGAGGCAATGGTCGCTCCAACGTTGGACCGCCACCCTCAGGGCGCCATGCGAGACTCCAGTGTTGCGTAGCAGCAAGGCAGTGAAACAGAGTCTAGCGCAAGAGAGCCGTTTGCGATCAAGACCCTGAACCCTGGACATGCGCTACGCTGCTACCGTTGAACTACCAACACACGAACGCGTAAGCAGAATCCCCGCAGGTGGAAAGTTGTTCGCGCTGGTTTCTGCCACGAAGATAGAAACGTCTCCGCGACCTGCTGAACGCATGTTGAGGATGACCGCGTCTCACCGGAGATCGTCTACCCATGGACTTGGAACTCACTGGTATGCATTTTCGAAATGCCAAGAGACGTTGTTCTCGGAATAAAAGTAGAAATCTAGATAGCTTGAGTCATGAGGATGCGGAAGATATGCGCTCAAGTCAGATGAACGTGCATTTACATCATCGACATCGAATGCTTCGAACGCGGCAGAGACGATACCGCAGCCCAGCGTGCCCGTCAAAGAGTCTCTCTGTATCGGTGCATGCATCCGGAGATGACCCGAGTCTCGTAGCACTGGAGCGCGTGCCTTCGAGAACGCGTACTGGTAGCATCGGATGCGGTGATGTCGCGTCCAATGCAGGCTTTCGGTGTACTTCAAGCTGGGGCGTGTTCAAGAGCCATCAAGCCGTCCAGACTGTGTACAGCGACGGCTGCAGCAAGCGCCTGACGCAGACTCGGCATCTGAAGGCTCTTTGGATCGATCAAGCCCTTGTTCACGAGGAAAAGCATAGGCTCAAAAAACGCATCGTCGAACAGAGCAGTACTTTTTTAGAGGAACGGTGGTGTCCGCTACCTCTGGGCACCGCGAGAGATGGAACATACGAAGGGATCCTTTGGCGGGTACGCTCATCGAGCATGTCCAATAGAACATCCATCCAGTGCTTCCTTGTCCACAGGGTGCTGCCTCGAAGCTGCTGGCACAGGGAAAACATGCACGTTGCGAGAGGAGCTGCAGGTGTACGCCTCCGGTCATTGGCAGCGTGCTGTCTACTTCCACGACAAGGCACCGGTAGTCTGCTTTACAGGTACGCAGATGTAACGTAGGTCACATACGCGGGCAACAAGCGCCTGACTAGCACCAGTTCTACAGCCCGAGTCCTGTAGACCATGTTCGCAGACGCAACGTAGGCCAGATACGCAGGCACCAAGCGCTTGACTACCACCAGTTCTATGCTACAAGTCCTGTAAACCAGGTTCGCAGACGCAACGTAAGTCACGTACGCATACCCCAGGCATGCTTCCTCTGATCCCTGCCGACCACAGCTTGTGCCGTTTTACACTTGCTCACGTCGTACGCACCTGAATACCGATTTTGTCATGTACATTCAAGTGCCTCAAGTAGTGTATTCGGGCGTGCGTTCGCTGTCGCCTCGTCCGGGGGACACCTCCAGGAGCGCACGACCATGTGCTGTGGATTCCAGGTCCATGCAGAGTTCCTCTGCTGCTGTCGAAAGTTCGGCAGCCAAGACTTTGTACATTTCGCGCAGCTGAGCAGCGACCGGCTCCAGCAGCGACCACTCCAAGACCGACGCCTCCTGGAGCACCAGCGGTACCGGCAACTGGCGTTCAGCGAAAGCGTCTCCAAGTCCGCCGAGTGAGAAGCGTGCAGCGAGCTCCTCTAGAACGTGTTCCAGCTCTCGTAACTTTCCCAATAGAAGCTCCGCTGCAACAGCCGGTTCCGTGTGCTGGGGAAGCGCTTCAGTCGCTGCCGCTGTACCGTTGACGGCCAATACAACACCGCTCTGGACGCCTTCCGGTGTTTGACGCATGGGCTCTGGAGCCGCACCAAACGACGCTTGAACGTCGCCCGGCTGAGGTCGACCAGTCGCCTCATCTATCCCAGCAGACTCTTCACCAGTTGAGGTCGCAGTGCTGCCCACTGGGGAGGCCTGTGGTTGTGCCTTTGCGTCAAGTCCACAAGCTACCCGAATGGAAGCGACGGCGGCGTCACCAGCGCTGCGGACAGTGGAACCCAGAGTCGCGTAGCTTAGCTCGTGTAACTGAAGCACGAGAGCCTGCGCTCGCGTTACTGGGTCCATACCGACGTCCACGAGTCGAGCAGGTGCAAGCGGTGCAGCAGTCGCTGGCGGTACGTCGAACAACTGCCGTTGCTACACCAGAGCGAGCGTCGCCGGTCGACGTGACGCCTGGGCGAGCGCTCACCTGACCTGCGCTCGCTTTCGCACCCTGGAAGCAGCCACTCGCAGTACTTCACCACTCAAGTACGTGAACGTGATGCTCTGACAACGCACGTGGCGGTAGCACGATTTTAAGTTAGATTCTGGCGTTGCAGGCATGCAGAGCCCTTGCTTGGGGAAAACTTGTCGCAGGGCAGGTAAACGCATTGAAGCACTTGAGCATTACCGTGCTCATGAGCAGCGTCCGTACAGGGCATCTATTGCTGCGAAAATACGATGGACTAGTGCTCGGACGTATTGGCTATACAGTTTGTGGTTTGGGGGCGCAACCTGTTGGGCACCAGCTCCAACCAACCAACCAACCAACCAATCAAACAAACAACCAGCAAGTGTGAATGCGGATGCAGAGAACGCTACGCACGTGTCGTTTCGTGGGAAGTTACGAGCATTCAAAGTGCTGATCACATGAACGCTCGGCGCTGGCTGATACGATGCCCGACTCGAGACGTTCCGACACCTCGAGCGGGTGTGTGGGTGTCTGTGAACGTCACCCAGAGGTTGTATATCGGAAATGATGGACTTGCAGGCCGCACCGACGGCATCATCCCTATCCCTGGGTGCAATGGAAAAAAGAAGCGCACGGGTGCCCTGGATACAAGCTCCGCATTTGTCCTGCTCCTGCTCCTGCTCCTCTGTACCCGATCGCGCGACTTGTAAAAAGCAAGGCTCAGGGCAGTTGATGCAGCACCAAAGACCGGGCAGCGCGCACGTTCTCGAGCAGCACCCGAAGCGACCCGAAGCATCGTGTAGGTAGCGACTGGAGCTGCCCAGCGCACGTGCTGAGCTCGTCATTCGTCATATCGATCGTGCTGCGCTTCCAGCGAACGTAAAGACGCTGTGTGTCTAGCTTACGACTCGGGCTCGCTTCGATGCAATGCTCGTACCAGAAAGCGTTGTCTCTGTTGCAGCAGTTCATAGTAGCGTTGGTATTCCGACACGCTCATACGCGCTGTATGCGCCGCTGTAATATCTTGCAGAGGAATTCGCTCACCTCCGACGAGACAAACAGCGGTAGCGTCTGCATCTGACGTAGCAAACGAATCCCCTGCCTCATCGGGTGCTTCGCTGGTGTGCCATAGCGCTTCAGAGGACGGTGCTGCTTCCGAATCGTCTGCGATCTCGAGGTCTGCCTCGGGAGCGGGACTCCAGGCAGGTTGGTAGGTGTCCTCCTTGTCAAGATTATCGTACCATGTGCCATCGGCGCCCGAGTCGACCGCCTCCTCGAAATCGACATCCGCGTAGTCGTCCTCGAATGCTTCAGCGTCTGCAGAAGCGCTTTGCTCGGCTGCGTTGCTGCTTGTGGTAAGCGTCCCAGGCTCAAGGCGGCCCGGTGCTGGTCCAGAGTGCTCAGCCGACGACTTGAAACCAGTGTGCTCTGTGGTGCGGGAGGAGGCGTTACCGAACCATGCAGGTTGTTCAGGTTGACCCTGCCGGTCCTTCGCCTGCACACCCGTCACGTGCTCCATATCCTTTGCAGAGGACCCGTTCTCCACAAGACCAGTGACCTCGACCTCGATGTCCAGCTCGTGTGAACCCAAAAATGAGTCGGCTGCACGTTCGCTCTCGGTCAGCGCAGCCTCTTCCCGTCGTGGACGTTCTGGTTGATGGGCAGCGATGAACGCACCAACTTGATCTTCGTCCATATCATCGAGCGGATGCTTGGGCGCTTCAACGACTAAACAAGCAGCGGCTGCGTCAACTAGCGGGCGCAACTCGACTTCCACGGCATGCCGTAGTTGTCGCAAGGCGGCCAGCTCCTGGGAACGATCCACCTCGCGGACGGTGCCAGCGCAGCGCACACCTCGTTGAACGAGCTGTGTGCACCGTAGTTCTCCAGTGCTTTCCTGTAACAGCGCAGGTACATCCAGCGCTGTATACGTCCGGTTACAGCGCTCGCAGACGTAGTTCCCGACTGCACCGTTCGAGTCCGTGGCTCCGGAAGCGTTTTCTCGCAAACGCTCCTCTAGAATCTCTTGCACTCGATGTACTCTGTATAAGGCATTATTCAGCACGTTCTGGTAGTCGACGTACCAGTACAGTAGTCGACGTTGCCGCACGAAAGGCGCCGCCCCGGGTCGTCGTCCCGGAAAGACGCGCTTATACACGCGTGGCTCGCAGCGCACCATGCCACGGTCGCGTAGCTGCCACAACAGACTACGGCATTGCTTTTGATTAGCGCGGAGAATGGGCAACAACTGAAACTCGGTACAGTACCTGAGCCGTACCAGTTGATCGACCAGGACGACCGCTCGAGCAGGAAGAAAGGTTCGCGCGTACAAACGAATGAAACGCTCGTACTCTCGCGGCACCGCGGCGAAACGATGTTTCTGATTGGACACCGACTTGACACGCCCAGCACTCGGGTCTGCCGTACAGGTGGCTGTCATCAGCGAGCTCGTCGTTCAAGTACGGGAAGCAGTGAAAGGTTTGACGTCCTGCAAAGGCGCTGGCGGCTTTTCCGTCTCGATCGAAAGCTTCGCATGATTTGATCCAAGAATATCTATATGTATATTTAAGTCCATTTATCTGTACTATATGGTACATGGCCGCTAACAGGCGACGCATGACGCACTGCGCGCGCCGCTGGGGCAGGGACTTTGGGAGCGCCAAAGCATCCAGGGCTGCTTTGTTGCATCGAGACCAGTCTGTAGCACGTAGTCTGGCTTTGTTTGTTGCAGCGGCGCTAGTTTCTCAACAATGGCGAGGCACCAACTGGTTGCAGACACGCCCGCGAAGGACAACTGGCAAGTTCAGTGCTCATGCTACGCTCGATCGATACATGAATTTTGGGTATTCATGGAGCATTGAACTGCTCGCTACGTTCGTGCTTGAGGTATCTACGGATATTTTAGGTCCACATCCTGGACAGTCAAGGTACAGCCAGCAGCGTTTATGGATGCGTACATGCTGTTGGGATTGCTGGTCGTCATCTCTGGGTAGCTTCTTCAACGCTCCGCTGCTGCTATTCGTGAAATCATCAGAGTCAGGACGACTCACAATGCCCACGAGCAAGGGATCAGCACATACCGGATACCAGTATCCGTACCAGACGTAGAGGCATCTATGTTTGTCGATTCCTTGTATATATTGTGCTCAAATCATGAACTCTTGTTCAGGTTTTCGATCTATCCATTTCAAGGTAACTGATGGCGCCGCGATTCGCACCGCTGGATGGACGACGAAACAAACTCGTTTTCGTGCTTGACGAATTGTTCGCAAGCTCGTGCCCAAAGCTCACTGAACCTGTTGCGTCCAATTATGGTCTAATCCATTAGAAAGACCATTCCTCCTCTCATTGGGACCACTGACGCAACAGCCTTCGACAACTGCATGATATCTCTCACGGGGTACGCGCTGAGAGGCTCCCGTCGCTTCTGTGTGCATAGAAAAGCGTCTCGTACTCGAATTTCATTCACTGCAATAATCGCTTCAAAAGATAATTGCGTCGCCGCTTTGCACGAAAGGTGCTCAAATGGATCGAAATTTTCCGACTGGTTCTCGAGCCTAGATGCTGATTCTGGTACTTGATTCATCTTGATTGGCATCGCGTTCCGTAAATCCTTTTGTCGAATGGAATAGCGTGTGCGTTCGTGTCCAGCGGGCATCGCACTCGCGAAAGGGAGCTCTCAGCAGAGGCCCATCATTGCAGGATACGGTACAGAGCGTCCAAACACAGATAGGGGCATCGCGAGGAGCCCTCGGTATTCGTCAGGGGCATGCACCGAATGATGCAGCAAGCACTCATGTGGAGCATGGCGGTGCTCGGATGAGGAGCTACGCAGGACATGCGCAAATGCCTGACCACAGCCAGGTATCCGTTTTGCGATGAGTGCACAAATGTTGCTCAAAGAGAACCTGGAACTGGTATACGAAGCGTAGCTAGCGACTCCAATACGTGTATGCAATGCTTCAACAACGGCTGGAAACAGCGATATCGTGACTTGAACGCCGCTATGAAAATCTTTCGGCCGCAGGAAAAGGAGCTAGAGCAAAAAGTCCCTGACATTTAGTGCTCTGCACAAGAGAGGAAACCGGAGTAGTCGCAGGAAGTGCCCGCCAGACTTGTATTTATGGCACGCGTAAGAACCGAACAAGCGAGCATGTGTGTCCGTGCCTGGTGACTTGCGCCATTGTAGCCTGACATGGGCCTATCTCCCCTCATTTTGTACTAGTAGCAGATGAGGCGTCTCGCTCTGACCACAGGTGCTTAGAGCCACTAGCGTTGCATCGTAGGGTACATGCGTTGCGATCTGCCTGTCCATCTGTCTGGCTCGAGTCAACGATTTGCGTGCTGGAGCAAAAGCCGGAAACCCGCGAGATGGAACGAGAATGCGGACGGGATTCCAATGCTAGCCTGCTTGCCGTGGTTGTTCCCTCTCAACGGTGCCATACACAACCGCCTCCAATCAAAAAACGTCCAAGCATCCGCGACAATCGGTAGTACCTTCAATTCCCCAACGAATTCCAGGCGACGCGAGATACGTACGCATTCCGAGACTACAGCGTTCGATGTGAATCGCCTTTCCAACGGGCTTGTGGCCGTTTCATTCTCGGCTTCGCTCTGCTCCGACCGCTGATTGTGGAGCCACATCTAACAGCTCGCACTGAATAAGGTCATGGTTCTGCAGTTGCAGGCTGGCCGGTGTGTCCCAGGCGAACACTTCACGACAGTGTGGATGGCGAGTAGCACCTGCCAGCACCGGCGGTGAGCGATGGAGGTAACGAGCATCCCAGCGACGGTAGCGAGCCGCTGTCTGTTCGGGATCAAGGCCAAGTTCGGTCGATAAAAATCTTCTGAACATACGCTGGAGAGGTCGATTACTCCAGATACGATAGCTCTTATGCACGTCGCCGCAGAACATCCGAATCACCAGTGGTGAGCCTCGTTCGGTCTGTTCGCCTGCCGTGTTTTGCCGCGCAGCGGATTCACTGGTCAGCATCGACGTAGGAAGCGTCGGCAACCCCGGCAAGTACAATGCAGGCACTGCCGCAAGCTTTCCATCTTCCATCCCTGGACCCGGCATGCCAGATTCATGACGATGATTCGATGGGACGCATTCCGCAGAGCCGCGAGGCTCCAGCTCCGTGATCGGAGGCAAGCGCTGAACGTTCGCGCGCTTCAGCACCTCGTTCGGTAGACTCAGCAAGCTCTCATCGTCGATATGAAGCGCGTGGCACATGAGTGTGAAACACTTCACGCAAGCACTTGAAACGTAAATCTGTGAGCTCGGCGTAATCGTGGCGTGGAATTGCAAGCAGTTCGTCCAGCTCTGGGTCTCACGCAGCAGATGATCCGGCAAGTTCACGTCTCGCAGTCGCTCCCGAAGCTCTTCAGCACCGTACCGGGATAGTGCGACATGCAGAGCCGGCAGCAGCGAGCGGGTCGCTCGATCGCCACAGGCGCACTCGGCTCGCTCGAGTTGTCGGACAGATCGCGGCGAGGATGCAAGGCTCTCTGCGGTTTGGTATCCCGCACCTGGTGCTTTGCATCTGAGCGCGTCCATGCAATCAGAGATATCGTAATGTTGAAGACGCTTTGATAGAGCGTAAGTATCTGGGTGCGAAGCTAACGCTTCGGGTGCCGACTTGGATGCTACCAGCGGGTATTCCGTTCGAGGCGTTTGGGAGGTTCCGTTCGGAAGGATCACAGATGAGGAACGGTACTTGTTGAGCTGCTGGAGTCTCTCGGATTTCGATACCAGCAACGGTTCCCTCATCGAAGGATTCTCTAGCTCCGGTACTTGTATTCCAGCAGCGCCCTCCCTCTCTGACCCCGCCAGTCGTTCAGCAGCACTGAGGATGGACTCAGCCGCTACGGAAGGTGGCGTCACCGGCTCCAAACGAAGGTCTTCCGGGGTCGGAAGTGCTCCACGGCCCAGCGAGAGCCGGAGCAATCGCCAATGACGATGCCTTAACGCCGAAAATAGAACCGGATCACAGTAGCTGCACACACCAACTGTGCGAAGCTGGGAAATTATTTCCAAGCGTTGTACCTCTGCTGGATGCAGCCATTTGTTCCTTCCGACTTCAAGCAATCGTCGACACGCCCGACAAACCGCACTCGTTGGTATGGGTGGCCAACGCAGGAGCGACCTCGGGTAGGCGCTCTCGTTCGCAGCCTCCGTCCACTCTGCCCGCCACGAGCAGCCAACGCACTGTCGCTCCACGTCAACCAGCGCATAGGCTACCTGCGCAGGCGATAAAGCGGCTCCTGTGAGCCCGCTCTCTGAGCTCGTAGGCGGCGTAAGTTCAGCGCTCTCGTCGCGTGCGCGTCCCGGGTTCGCCTCGGGTCGCCGACCGGTTCGCTTCCCTGTCGCTGCAACGATGCGCTCTTGCGCAGCGCTGCAGTCCAGGGACATAGGCGGGCGTTCCAACCGCACGAGGCACGGAGCTTCAACGAAAGAAACTGCTCAATAACGGAAACGTACGATGATTGCACCACGGGTGACGAGATGAGCGTTGCCGCGAACACTCATTGGAGGAAAAAACGCTAGTCGATGCGCCAGCGACAGCGATCGGGAAGATACTGGACATTTAAGGACATTATGTACTGGGGCTGCTGCTGCGCGATCTGCTGCGCAATGAACGGCGAGGTTGGACCACGTAATGCGCAGCTGCGGCAACAGCCGAGGTACCGCGACGGTGATGGGGACGATACTGGACATTTTAGATCATCACGAACAGGGGCTTTTGCTTTGCGATCTGGTGCGGTACACGACTCGACGCGACACGAACCTGGTTCACAACCTACGCAGTCGCTGCCGCTAATCGAAGCGACGTGAGTGCAACATGTCGTACCAGAACTTCCACGAACCTTAGTAGACACCGGTGTATCCTTATGACTGACATATTCCGGAATCAGCTTCCGTAGATTCGCTTGAATAGACGCGAAACTTCAAACCAAGTTCGCTCGCCCGCCGTCGCAAGCACCGCTCAAACCTTGACGGTGAGAGACCAAACACCCGGGACACATGCTCCGCAAACGACTGTTCCGGTGGGCATGACGCTCTCTGACGCATTTCTGATAGTCCTAGGCCCTGGGCTGTGATCCGCCAGGGACAGCTGCCCCAGAGCGCCGTGGTGAGCCGTTGTCGATCAACCGCTTTGAGGACTGCACGCACGCGCGGCTGCATACGCGTCGCTGGCGGGAGTCGCCGCATGCAGAGCACAATCTCACGCCAAACCTTGTCATCGTGCTGATTAAGATGCGGCAAGGAGTCCGCAAACCAGCCATCAGAGACGCTTTGCTGAACAGATGCTATATCGTCGGCGACCTCGCCTGTCGGTGCTGGGGCATGAATCCCCGTCGGTACGTTCTCGGCAAGCTCTATCAGACCTGCATCCACGTGTAGCGCAGTCGCTAGAACCGTATCAAGCGCGGCTTCAAGTTCCGTTCGCGGAGACCAGTCCCGTACCTGACGCTGTATGCACGCTTCGGTAGCCGCACCGGTTGTCGCCGATGACTGTGGGGAGCCCTCCGAGCAGCGTGCCGCCCAACGATCGCGGAGCCAGCGCACGAGCGCTTCGGGTTGCTCAATCGGGATGTCTATTGCCAGACGACGTTCAGGTGCAGACCCGCTGCGAATATCTTCCGGAGCAATATCCCAACTGACCAAGGTACGCTCGTCGCCGAGCTTCGCTACAAGTTGATGGGCTCTCGCCACCAGCCTGGGTCGATGCGTTCGATACTCATGGTCTTTGCAATGAATGTACGGCAGGAGCAGCTCACGCAGACGGCTCATCAGGCCTCGTTGCAACTGATCCAGAAAACACAATGAATGATAGGCGTTCAGGCTGGGATCAGACGTTTCCGCTCTCGCCTCGACAATGCCCAGGAAGACCGCAGCCGTGAGGGTGCTCGCACCAATCCGAAGTTTCACCGCTCCAGAGCCGTTCGCAAACGCACGTGTCACGTACTGGTGATGTCGGGCGAAACGACTCGTGAGAAGTGCATGGATCCAGTGACTGACATAGCGGAGCGCTACGGACCCTGCGGTCTGTCCTACAAGGTAGGCGATGGCCTCACCGATAGCACCAAATACGATGCTGAGGTTCATCAGCTCCGTGGTGTCAGGGCTCTGCAGGTCCGCAGCAATCGCTACACCGAGTCGCCGTCGATCCCAGAGCCGAGCGCGTCGACGCGGGCTCGCCAGCTCCGGCGCTTCCTTTCGCTGTTTTCGTTGGGCGACTCGTGCCCTGTCAATCAGACTCTGACGGGTAAAATGAACACCTGAGTCGAAGACGTCGATGCCGGTTGTTTCGTAGCTTTGTTGAACGGCATTGCAAACAGCACAAACAGGACGACCCTCGTCGTTCCAACGGAACCGACGAGCACCACACGACCCACACGAATAAATCATTCCAGAAGGCGGAAAGAGACCCCGCAGACGAGACACCCGCCGCAAGTGCAAAGCGCTCCGGCTCGAGGAACGCACCTCGCTGGCGAAACCAGAGAGACAGTAGTGTCCGACCCCGGTGTCAAGCTTGGGCGCCTATGTTCAATACTAGAGGCTATGCACGACAAAATTCTGGCATCGAGCACTTTTCATCCGATGTTTCCGAACGACTTCATCTAGGGACCTTTGTAAGCCACCCGTGGCACAACGCTGGAAACAAAGAACGACGCTGGAATCGTACGTTTGCCGCCGTGGCGCTAGACGAGCGCCTATCGAGCTGCACCTCGACGCCTGAGTTGTCAAAAGGCTTTCCATCACGCGACTTTCATCGCATAAAAGCAACCCAAGTGTCGTTTGGTGCACACAGCTCAATCAGGCTTCAACAAAGACGCTGATGCTCTCTTGGCGGGCCATCACAGCCTCGTTTCCGCCTCCGGATGACTCGTGGAGCGGGCTCGCAATGCACTTGGACCGTTGTGAACAAGTGCGCCACCAGTTTCTCGAGCAGCGAACGACAAGTTCAGAGCGGCTGTTGTGGCCGCTTCATCGCATTCACTATGAGCAGAATCGATTGATTTACGAAAAGCGGTTCAGGGAGCGCACGTTGAGCAGAGCGACTTACGCTTACCTCGTGCGATACCGCATCGCTGACGGAGACCTGATCGCCAAGTGGCGCCGACGCGGTTACCGAGCGCTCTGCTCGCTCTGGGCGATATCACGGTGCACTGCGGCTCGCAGTCATGCCATCTGCCGAGTTCCGCTGCGAAAACGCCGCCTGAGCGAAGGTGCTCGTGCAGCCACGCCAGCATTGAGGCGTTTGTTCCACCCGTCGTCGGTGACCGGGTGTGTGACGTGCACCGATGACGACTGCGTCGACCCGCGAAGCAAGCAAGTACTCGGGCCTATTTGGTTTGATGATGTACAGCCCGACTGGGAAGCGATGACACCGGCACAGCGGACAGCGACAGCTCGGAAGCTAGCCCGGAAGTCCGCGCTTTGGAGCACCAGCGGCGACAATGCGCCTATTCCTGGAGTTTCGTCTCGGGGTGCTGGCTCTGGTGGCGACAGTGTTGCAAGTCGCCATGCGCAATATCGATAGCCGTAGGCAGCCTGGGATGCAGTGAACGTGCCTCGAAAGTCGCTTTGCAAAATGATTCAGTGATCGCTCCGCACACTGCACTCGGGCGCAACGATGCTTCGTGTCGCGAGCTATGGACGCGACGCCGCAGTCCTACGTCGTGAACACGATGCCTCAGACGAAATAAAGCTTATGGATCTGGGTTCGGTACCGACAATGCAACTCGAGTACTTGATAGTCAGAAAGCCTTTCCGGAGATCAGATTCGGTATCGATCAACTTGGCATTTTGTCGGTATTGGAGCTGCCTGTATCGCAAAGTGTCGATGAGGATGCGCGTTTCGTTCATGACGCATTCGGTATCGACATTCTGTGTTTTACATTATGGCAACATTATCAAGGGGATTTCGGGAAACTCGACAGGTCGAGGATCGGCGCCGAGTTCCTCGCGTACGCTCGCTCTGTTGGGGCGCTTGGGGCAGCGCTCGCTGCGAAGTGTGCGAACCTGGGCTCGGTCTAGTGGAACGCTGATCCGACTTGGCACTCGTATCCTGTACGAACTCGCAGTGAGCATGGTTCAGCACCGCGCCGTGCGGCACGGGGAGCGACCTCGGTCGCGAGTTGTGTGCATCCTGCTGGGGTTTCGGAAACGGCACCTGCACGGAGTGTGGCCGATGACGGATGAAAGCGTCACTGCTTGCAGTGGCGAGGATCCAACCTTCCCGCATTTTTCGCAGGACGGCAAGTGCCCGGAGCACTTCCAGCTGTTCGCTTGCTTGATGACCCAGGAGCTCGACGGCTTCGGCATCACTGAGCGCTGTACGCCCTCGTTCGTGGAGTGCGCAGAACAGTTTTTCATACGCTTGGTTCAGCGCATCCAGGGATGTGACTCGACGACGTAATAACAGCGGTAAGCGTTGGAAAGCCGCCTTAGCGATGGGCACGAATCCATCCATCGACCATGAATCGGGGGTATCCGCTTCGGGCTGCATGGAAGGCGGCTCATACTTGTGTGCTGCGGATGTTTCATGTGATGCAGACTCGAATGCATCGCTGGATTTGCTATTGTTGTCGGGTTGATCGTTCTCGTCGTTTCCATCGTTGAGTACGGTAACTGGACCCGTGTCAGCGGCATCAAATACGAGGCCAGCCTGAACCATGGCTAATGGAAGCGATTCAGTAGCGGCGTCTACAAGCGACAGGTCCGGCACCGTGAACGTACCCGTTCCTGCTCCAGAACAACTTATACCATTCTGTGGCGTCTCTCCGTCCAAGCGCTCCCAAATTCGAATCGACTGGGTCATGGCCGCTTGCCACTGTCGGTAGCTCGCTCCGAACTGAGAAAGCGGGTCGGCAAGCCGCTCGTCTAGGTTTGGTGCGCGCTCCGGCAGTATCCCCTCGTCTTCCAGCTCTCGGATAGCCTTTTGTATTTCTTCGCGATTTTTGAATAAAATGGCTTGCGTAATAGATATTAGGTCGTGTTTGAGGGCCACTGTGCGCTCCCAGTGTGCACGGAGAGCGGGAAACGCGCGCTGCAGATCGTATAGCCTTTCGATCAGGCGCACGGGATCAGGGAGCGCACGATCCCCATCACGACGCAGGAGTTCTTGAGCGACTCGATGCTCTAGCAACGATACGTCTCTCTCTAGGCGTTCCCAGGCCGCGTGTAGAGCTTCGATAGCCTCCTCCATTCGAGGCGTCGTGGGCAACCCCAGCGCGCAGCTGCAGTGCAGAGGAATTTGAATCGGCGCTGTGATCAATGACTTTTTTAGGTACCACTTTTGTATCTATTGTTCCTACGGAGATAGGTTTGTCCGAGATGCCAAAGATCGCTGGCCAGTGCTTCAAAGAATGACCTTTGAGATACCTCTATGGAACATATTGTACCTAAAGAGACAGGTTCATTTTCTATGCAAGAGGGCATTTGCCTCCACTTGGATCCATCGATTGCACGTAACGAGATCTCCTTTATGCTCCCAGGATCGATGCTACTCACCGGATAGCCGCGGGTACACCAACGTTTCTGCTTGAAAGAGTGCGGACGTCGTCTGCAGTACAGATGCTTCCGAGTTCAACAACATCCCGAAAAGCATTCCTTTAGAGAACTGGAGCATCGTCCAGCAGCCTCCGAGGCGTTAGGCATCACGCGAGCGCTCGCTGCGACCATCAACGCACACCATTGGACAGTGCACAATGCGACGCAGCTACCGCGGCGTCGTCTGCTGCGTGTGCCATGGATCATACCTCGTGCACGCTAGGTACGTTCGCACAGGGCGTCAGCTTCTCGCAAAGCGCGTACTGCTCCTGCATTCCGTGAATACGAGCGCTGCCTCAGCGCCATCCAGTGCGTTATCGCTGCGCTGTGCTTCCATCGTCGCTGACAGCCCGGTTGGAAGGTACGGTTTCCAGGTTCCCAGTGTCGGTGTCACGCTGAGGATCGGGTTCTGTTTCGCGCAACAGAAAACGCACAAACTCGCGACCGAGCGATACGGCGTTCGAACGTGGCCATACGCGTCCGAGGGCTTGCGAACGTTCCGCCTCCGTACATTGGAGCATTCGCAGGAGCAGGTCCAGCGCTTCACGACGCTGGTTTGCTTTCTCGCTCAGCAGAAACACCAGCAGCAGCTGGCGGAGAAAAGGTCTGTCAACGGGTTCGTCAGCCGCTGTGCTTTCAATAACCTGATCGACATCCAAAAGCTCGGGAACAAGGGGCTCTTGCTGCTGCTGCTGCTGCTGCTGCGTATCTACGCTCCCGTCTCCCTGTTCGCCCAAAGCGAGGCGTTTTCCGCTTTCGGCATTGAAATAGACCGGGTGCTCGCTGGAGCTATCCCCGAGGACAGGATCAATCAAAGGCCGGTATCGTTGCCTCAGCATCAGCATCTTCCACCAGTTCCGTTCCTGGGAGAGACGTGCAACTCGAGTCTGAGCCTCCTCGAGTGTCGCTCGGCATTCGGCCAATGTGTCGGTCAGCTGCGCGTTCTCCGCTCGGGCAGCCACGAGCTCTGCCTCTGTTTGTTCGAGGCGCGCACGCAATGCAGACAACTCCGTATCTTTTTCCTGCAAAGCCAACTCGCTCCGCAGTAAACGACGCTCTATTTCGCTGAGCTGCGTGCGGTGCTGTTCTTGATTGCGTGCCAGGGCGGCCTCGTGAGACTGCTGCATCGCCGTGAGCGCCGTCGTAAGTCGCCGTTCCCGTTCTTCAAACTCAAGCAGACGCTTCTCCAAGGATGCCATGGACCGCTGCAGGTCCACCATCTTGGTGGACGCAGATGTCTCCGCACGGCGGCTCGCCTCCTGCTCCTCCTTGGCGATGCGCAACTGTTCGAGTGCTTGTTCGAGCGCCTCCTCCAGTGACTCTGTATTGGATTCCTGTTCTAAGCAGTGTTCACGAAGCTTCTCTACTTCAGTTTGTAGGAGGATGTACTCGGCGTGGAGTGCCTCATACCGCACAGCCCAGTGCTCAGCCTCTTTTTGAGCAGCTGCGTAACGCGCTGCGATACTTGCAATTTCGTCTTGATGACCGATAACGCGCTCGCTTTCGTGTCCAGCACTCGGGCTAGTGCCGACATCCGAGCCCTGTACTCGCTCACTGGTGTGTGTTGCGGCCTCGACGCTTTCCTCGCGGGACAGATGCTGTTCGGAGGCACCCGCTGGAGGTGATATCGCCCGATCGTCGGATTGTGCTGCAGTGGAGGCTGCTTCGAGACGCGGCCGCTGCGTTTCGGGAGCACTGCGCAGGTGCTCGGCGCTTGTCTCTGCGACGTAGGCGGCAGTCCGAAAAGCCATCTCGCTCTCAAAAGTGAGTCTGCTAGAGCCAGGGACGGAATGCAGTGTTCCATCCGCTGCTCGCCGACGCTCGGTGATCCATGCTGTGGAATCTTCAGCTGCTGCTAAGCGATCACAACTGCTCCCGCCAGATGCAATGGACGCAACACCAGAGACTGGACTTTGGACGCGGGCCGAAGGCGTCGTTGAGCCTTGCCCCGGTGGTGACGAGACTCCCGGCGACTGCGGCACCTGCTCCCGGGTCATTGTTGAGTCCTCCAAACGATCCGATCCGCTATCATTGCCAAAAAACGGGCCAGCAACCGGAATACTGCTCTCTGGAAGCAGATAGGACAATTCCTCATCAGCGCTGGCGAGCGATCCAGCCTGTAGATCAACGGTGCGCGCGTTCGAGGACGTTGCTGCAGCTGGCGACTCAACAGCAACTGAGGCACTTCCGATGCCTGGAAGCCGCACAGCAGCCACTGCGGCTGACGCCCTGTCTATCGCTGGGTCTAGAGCTGCTGCCGCTGCCGTTGGCGGTGTCATCGACCGGGTTTCAGGAGCGCGCAGCGCCTCGGGTTCGCTGGGCGAAGCGCTCGACAGCATCCTTGCATCCCGCGGAGACGAGCTCCCTGCTACCCGGGTGGATCCTTCCGAATGACCTGCAGCGGTTTCCGTCGACATCACGGATGCAGATTCTCCTATCGCTGCAGTAATGTCTCGCGATCCCTCCGTGTCAAGCTGGGCTTCTTGCGCTTCAGATGCTGCGGCCGCCTCAGGTACCGTCGATGGTAAGGTGCTTGGGGTCAGGAGCGGCTCCTTCGATACCGCTGCTTGCGCCTCATGAACAGCCAATGGCGAAGGAGTATGGATTAAGGGCGGCTCATCCAGCACCGCTCCTGGTGACACCGGCGGCGTAGCGCTCTTTCGTGTGCCGGCTCCGGCTGCTGCAATCTTTATTGCCAATGCTTCTCCAGTTTCGGGGGCGCTAGGTTCAGGTGGATGCTGATCGGATCCGCCATGTGCCCGACTGGACTTTGCAGAGCGAATTGGATCCGCGTGAGTACCTGTATGGAATACTTGCTCGCTGTCCATCATGGTAATCGAGTCAGTTGTCGGCATGCTCGCCTGCAGGGTCTCATCATGGCGGGCCAGGTCTGGATCGCCCTTGGCGGTGGCATCCGATATCGGCCGGTTCGCAAGCTGAGCCTGCCTCCTTGCAATCGTATTGGTTTCAGTCTGTTGTGGGCTGACGCTTTTCACAGAAGAACCTCCTTGCTCGAATGTATGTGTAGTTTCCGATGAGACAGGTGGTGCTTTTGAATCGAAATAGAACACATTGCCAGGCGCTTGCCCCTGCACAGTAGATAGATGTGCGTGAATCGCCGCTGAACCTTGCGCTCGCTGAGCTGCCTCTTTGCATTCGAGCGGCATAAACCTCTCCATATCCGAGACAGCATGCTCATCAGCTGGTTTCAACTTGAGCTGCACATCGGGATGTTTGCCTGGAGCAGTGCGATAACCACTAGAGTGGTCGATAGCGGCCTGTGCGTCGCCCTCAGGGCCTCGACTTTGCCATGCGGTTTCATTGTAGGGCGCTTGCCAAGCATCATCCGGTGAGGCACGATGTGCTACCTGCCCAGCTACCACGGACGACTTCAATGCAGCTCGTGGGCTCACTTGCCGCTCACTCACAGGTGTACCTGATGCGCGCTTCGTGGCCTGCAAGTCACTGGGCGGTGCATCTGCCAGACTTGCTCCGGCTGTCGCAGCGTTCGGACTTGCGTGGTCGGCGACCAGCGGTGCCTCGTCAGCGCTGCTTTTCACTGCCGACGCGCCCAGAGGTCGAGCACCAAGGACACGACGTTTTGGTCGCCGCAACGTGGACCCTGCGCCTTCTGGTTCCGCACTTACGGCCTTTGGAAGCTGGACAAGAGCCGGTACGATCGAAGCAGCTTGACTCGAACCGTTCTCGTCGTCCGTGGTCGTAGCTGGCGATCGGTGCTCCCGCGGATACGTCTCTGTTTGCAGTTCCACTGGCCTTATGGGGTTCTTCGCTGGCTTGTTGGATCGAGTGAGGGCGTCACCCGCTCGAAGCGGTAGTACTACGCTACTCTGCAGAGAAGTTGCTTGCTTCATTGCTTTCGACACGGAAGCTTCCTCCGGGCTTTCCGTGTCATCCTCGTCTGCGACCTCGAGAGCTGCACGCGCATCCTCTAGTAACTCGCGAGCGGCTTCTGCGACCTTCTCGGCTCGTTTACGTGCCTCAATGGCTCTGTTAAAAGCTTCCTGGCGGAGCGCTTGCCACATGAACAAGTGCAAGTCACTGATCCAAGCAAAGCCCGAATACGAAAACAGCGCTTGACAAGCAGCACAGCGTCAAGGACAAAAAATCGGGCGTTACTGGAATGGACGTCCCTCGAAAACGTCTGTGTGCTGGACTGCAGCAACGTTGACGTCGAGTCGCCGGACTGGGTATGCAACGTCCGTGAATGTTGACGAAGACTTCATCTGGTTGATCTTGATAGACGACGATCAGTAAAGGTCGCGCAATAACTATTGGAAAGAAGCGCTCTGGAGTGACCACGAACCGAACCTCGCAGTACGAGTGACGGGTTTTACAGTTGCGCCAGACGCTATACTTTTGCTACTCGTTGAAGGCCTGCTAGCGGATGCGAAAGGCGTCAGACATCCACTGCTCCTGTCCAGTGTTCGAAGACGACCGTGAGACGCACTATTATGCCTCAGTGCGAGTTGCATACCGCCGCTGTAAGCGTTCTGCTGGCGAAAGCGTGCTCGTCGAAACCTGTTGATCGTTGATGATGATGATGATGATGATGATGATGATGATGGAGGCTCCGTCGGGGTAGGCTCCACTCGTCGCACGACCAGCGACCCCTGGTGTGTGGAGCTGTTCCGTTGGACAAAAGCCCTGAGCGGAAAAAGAGGCAAGCGAGCACAAGGCCTGGCAAAACTTCTTCGAACCTTGAGGTTGTACGCAGATATCAGATTAAAAAGGAGCAGTGAACTGCTCGCATTCGTTCTGCCCGTCAATATTTCAGCGAATTGTTCAAAAGCATAGCCTCGAAACTCCCAATCCATCCATAAGCGCTTATGGATGCATACGTCGTTCGAGGACCCCTGGTCTTTTTTTCGGAGTGGTTCGCTCACCGCTTTGCTGCCGGCACTCGTTTCGATACAGGAATCGAGGTGGTTCACGACAACCTCGAATACATATTCGTGAATTGGCCTGTATCCTCATCCAATGCGAACGTGCAAGCCGCTGCTCTTCTGCATTCCGGAGGTATCGCATGCCGGAATCACGCATTTTCATGCCCGGAATCTTTCTGTATCGAGGCAGCGAATAAGTGCAGAAAATTCCCACCTTTACATGGGCACGAAAAGCATTTCGTCTTCGCCTGCTAGCGAATTCTGCACTGGTTCATGGCGAGTCATCACTGAATGTGTCACGTCCAACAATCCGCTGCGTTCGAATGGCCAATGGCCCTCTCGTTGTGGTGAACGACGCACTGGCATTCGACAGCATCTTGATACGTCTCACAGGATGTGCTCGCGGGGACTCGCGTCTTTTCCTTTTGCATTTCGAACGGTCTTCGACTTGGACGTTCTCTTCGCAGCAATCGCTTCTAGTGGAGCGTGCGTCATCGCGTCGCACGATACAAGCAATGGCCAGCTCGATAGATGTCGATCTGTTTTCTTTCCTGGATTTTCATCGCAGTATTTGTTCCATCACGAACATTACCGAGTTCCACAAATACTTTATCGAATGGAACAGTGTGCACTTGCATTTGCAGCAGAGAGCGTACGTGCCGAGAGCATCATCTGCAAGTAGCCCGTGCGTATAGGGTACGGTATCGGGCACGCAAACCGAGACAGGTATAGACAATGCCCTTCTATACCCGTCAGTAACGTGTAACAATCGATGAAGCAAGCGCTCACAATCGACAGCATGGCTCCCCGGAGTGGCAGCATGGTGTACGCGTGCGAACATTCGACCGCAGTCGGCTGGCACCGTCGCATACGGCAAACCTCTTTCGCATACGCAGCAGATGAGCATACCAAGCGAAAAGTAGACCGCAACGCCGACCTACGCATCCAGTGCGTCCCCCGAAGCCGGAAGCAGCCAAATACTGACTCTAATGTTGCCGGCAACATCCTTCACCAGCTGACAAAGAAGCCGGAAGGACCAGAGCGTCCAGCGTACTACACTCCAGAGGTAAAAGAGATGACTCTGAACCAGTCACAGAAAAAAAGCCCGCAGAGGCTGGTGTTATTGACAATAGCCAGAGATGCCTTCGTTAAGCTGTACGCGGATATTGGCAAGGCTTTTCTTTCTCGTCATGACATTGTCACGTGTATACCATAATGTATTCCTTGCTACAAGCTTTGCGCAGCGCATTCGCGGAAGGTGCGCTTCGTTCCAGCGAAGAACGCACGAATCGCACGGGAGTCCCGCAGAATTCCGAAAGCCGTCCCTAACCTCAGCACAGACATTCAGGTGCTCTGACGGCGCTGCAATGCACCATGTATCCCATTGATGCCACCCGGTTCGGACTGGGGCGTGATCCCTCCCACGATTCACCTGGTGTAGTGCTTACCCCAGACGCTTGCTCTGGCGACGTGCAAGTGTCCCATGGAGGCGTGAACGCTCGTCACGGCCTTTACTGACATCGGCTCGCTGTCACAAGGACTGATGCGCTCTGCTTGGTGCTGTCCGGATCCAACAAGCAGATCCACTTTCTTAAAGACGTACGAGAGATGAATGCAGCGGGGCATTCAGAGAGGCACCAATATCACCGCTTGACGAGGCATCAGTCTGGACGCTGCCCCAGGGGATGCTACGTGCTGCCACACAGATTGCAGCGTAGGCGTCCATAGGCAGCGTCGCTTGCGAAGCGATCGATGTCGGGCATACATAAACGCTCGAGAGAAAAAAACAAATCGGTTCCCGCCATCTTCGCATGGAGCGGCGAGATGTCGTCAAGCAAAGTTCATGGAACGATTTTCCAGCCAACGTAACATCGATTACCAGCTCACGAACCGAAAAGCGATCCTTGATATGCGCAAAGTTTGCCAAGAAGGTCAGGATGTATCTTGGCACACATTTCGGTGTATGTTGTTATGAAAAGGAAAATGTATTTTCCTGCGCTTTTTAGTTATTTCCTCGTCACTTCGGAACATGGATATGTCGATTACGAATGCGTATGCACCCATAACCAATGAATGGCAAGACGCGTTGCAGAGAGAATCACCCGAACCCTGGAGAACCCAGGTGCACATGCCTGCGTCCAATCATCGGTCGACCGGGCACGTGCTGGATGCATTGCCCTCTCGATCGCGCTTGTACCGTCAGTTGCCTGAAGTCTATCTGATGCATGCTCCGAGGTGGCGAACCACCATCTCTTGCAGTGCATGGTGCAGCATGACGACTGCCTTGCAAAGTTAGCCGTACCACCGCATGCATATATCCTGCACATCCACATGTGCCACGTAGACTCATTCACGAAGCTCTATCTCGGATGCCTACGGCTTCTGAGCTGGATGCACGTCCGAAACGTGTTCCGCCTCAGGGCGTGTGCCACGATCAAGAGCACTTGTCGTTTCCACCGGTTCAATCGAGTCGCGCATGACGCTCTGCAGTGCGCCAGTATTCATGGGTTCGCCTATCGCTACGATCGGCGACATAGCCTTGTCGTCTGGCGGCTGCTCCGAGACACCAAGATCGTCCTTTTGGAGACTCAAGCGATTCAGCGCACGCAATTCTGCATCAGATATTCCAATGGTCGTCACTTTCACGGGGAGTGGCCAAAGCAACAGAAACGACAAGACTGAGATACCCAGCACGACAAAGGAGATTAGGCGAACCGCATCCGGATCGCTCATGTGGCTAAACACAAGACTGAGGGTGACGCCGCCAGTATTCCCGCCCGCACCAACGATACCACCCACGGACCCGGTCGCGATCGGATCCACGAAGGGGACGATCGCGAAAACTGCGCCGCATGACGCCTGCGTGAAAAGGGAAAAAAGAATCAAAGTGGGTATTGCTGCACCGATGGTCGTCATCCGGGAGAAAACCAAGCAGAATACACCCTCGAGAACCAGGTTCGCGAACAACCAGAGCACACGTCCGCGCATGCTGTAGCGACGCGCAATCAGATCCGAGCCAATACCGCCAACAGCCCGCGCAAACAGGTTCATTAGTCCAAAGAGACCTGCCGCAACACCGGCTATCGATTGATCAAGGTTGAAGACTTTGTTGAAGTAAGTAGCCAGCACGTTATCCATGGTCAGCTCAACACCGAAAGAAGACGCATACAGGCAGAACAGCACATACGTTCGCGGATTTCTTGCTGCTCGCGCAAAAGCCTCGAGTGCTGAAATCGGGCGCAAGTTCCCGATTCGATAGAGATTCTTGTAGTCACCGTCTGGGCAGTCGTCGGAGAAGAAGAACAAGACCACGGCCCAGATCAGGGCCATGGTACCAGGGATCACCATCACGACTCGCCAGGCTTTTTCCTCGTCCAAACCGAAGACCTTCATCAAGTTATAGAACTGCGGCATAAGCGCATTGGTGGCGCCACCGCCCGCATTGCCCCATCCCGCTGCAACCGCATTCGCTGTTCCAATGATATTCCTCGAGAACATCAGCGCACACCAGTACTCAGTTACAACGAAGGTTGCACCAAGACCGCCGATGAAAAAACGTGCTGTGGCGAATGATGCAAAATTATACACCGTTCCGAACAGATACACCGGGATTGAGAACACCGCCAGCAGGAGCGCCTGAACACGTCGTGGCCCGAAGCGGTCCACCAGGGCACCAGTCACCATGCGCATGAACACTGTACCTGAAAGCGCAATCGCATTCGAGTGCGCTTTGTTCGCTTTGGTCAAGTCCAATGCTTTGTCCGAGGAAATACTCGGTAAAAGCGCTGGTACCGCAAACCAACCGAAAAACGCGATGAAAAAGGATGACCATGCAAAGAAAAAGGCCCGCATATGCGGACGGTCGAAGCGCCACGGCTCCAGGCGCCTTGCCCGGTGTAGGGCATCGACTGGCAAACGGTACGAATACAGCGGAGCCGCCACCGACTCCACTTCAAGGTCTTTCCATTCTTTACTGTTCGGACGCGAAGGCCCCAGAGATGAGTCGAGGGTGTCGTCTCGGAGGAGGATCTCTTTCTCGTCCAACGCTGTAGGGACAGGTTGGCCAGCTCCCTCCGCCATGCCGGAGTGGTCAGGACAGCGGTTTTGTGCTCAACACTTAAGTACGTTATGTATGTCGGGGAAACGCACCAAGCGTCAACTCCCCTTCCGCTGACAAGTTGTGGCAGACACAAAGTGCCTCTCAACTGAATGCCAAACACGAATACAACGTGTGGCGCACGCATGCACCATCATGCGTGCATCGCCGTGCGCACGCATGCGATAGGTCGATGGCGCGCGCGCGCGCGCCGCTGCAACCGAATCGTTGACCGTTGAACGAATACGGAGGCGTACGCCAACGCCAACAACGCATCACGCCCACACGTGCTGGACACACGATGCCGATCCCGAAATACGACGCCGCTACGCTCCTGGACGTGGCGCCAACGAACGGCTCAACAGATTCGTGACAGGAGCAACAAGAACAACAACAGTGACATCGCGAACGTGTTTCCTAGTTCGCGTAAAAGGCAAACGTGCAGCTGTACACCAGCGTTAGAAACTGGTTGGTGAGTTTTGAGGGGCACTTTTGAGTTGCAAGCGTTTGGAGGGTTTTTTAGAATTGTGGAGTTTGCTAGTTGTTGGTTGTAGTTGCCGTTCACGGAGCTAGGGTGCGAACACGACTTGAGGGCGTGGGGTGCTCGCCAGCACTCCGTTGTCACCGTGAAAATTCTGCAAGACTGCTCGGACGTGTTTTATTAGCTCTGAGTTCTATCGTCTGTGCAATTGTGATTTTTTTTGTTAGTGAACAACGAAGAAGAAGGTGGAAAACGAGTCGAGCAATCTAGCCGAAACGTGTGACCTCGCTCTGGGACGCGAATCTTGTTCGCTGAAACGCCCTATCGTCGAAAGACTGGAACCAAGAAGAATTCAAACGAAGCTGAAGGCCGCGATTGTATGCTCGCTCGTGTCGACTCTTCAGTCAGTACCCCAATTGTGGATACCTTGCAAGGTCTCGGGACTGTCTATTCACGTACCACACGATGCACACTGTACCGGAGGGCTGCAGCTCCCCGCGTGCCGATGAGCAGACTAAGCTGATGCGCCAACAACCGCATGAGAACGGCACCAAACCGGCGATATTGTCGGAAGCGAGCGCGCTGCTCGCTGCAATGAGGCACTGGGAGGAGCAGCTCGCGCAGCGCCAGCTCCCCATCGACAAGCGAGATCAAAACACACCCGACGACTGGGTGCCTCGTCATCAGGCGATGGTGCGTCTCACGGGGAGGCACCCGTTCAATGCCGAGCCGCCACTATGTTTGCTAGATCAGGATCTCACGAGCCAGGAACTTCACTATGTACGGAACCATGGAGCAGTCCCGCATCTGACCCTGGGCACGCACCGCATTCATATCAGTGGCCTGGTAGAACGTCCGGGCGCGTTTTCTGTAGAGGAACTGCTCGCGCTGGGGGAGCTCGTCACGATCCCTGTGACCCTCGTGTGCGCTGGCAACCGGCGCAAGGAACTCAATCAAATACGCCAAAGCATTGGTTTCCACTGGGGTGCAGGCGGCGCCTCCACGTCCTTCTGGACAGGGGTACGTTTGGCGGACGTCCTCCGTCACTGCCAAGTCTGTGAATCTCCGAAAGCCCGTTATGTATGCTTCACTGGTGCTGATGAGCCAGCGAAAGGTCCGTACGGTACTAGTATACCGCTCGCGATGGCGCTGGATCCGCACGCTGACGTACTCCTAGCGGTTGCTCAGAATGGAGCGCCTCTACATCCGGACCATGGGTATCCTGTTCGACTTTTGGTGCCAGGATGGATTGGCGGGCGCATGGTCAAGTGGCTGTCCCATGTTGAGGTTTCAGACCGCGAATCGCAGAACCATTACCATTTTTTTGATAATCGCATCATGCCCCCACACGTGGATAAGGAGCGCGCCGACTCGGAGAAATGGTGGTATCGCCCCGAGTACCTTTTCAACGAGCTGAATATCAACTCGGCGGTAGTGCGCCCGCTGCACGATGAATTGCTTCCGCTGCACCATGCGAGCGAGCAGCATTCCTATCGTATCGAAGGCTACGCCTACAGCGGCGGTGGCAGACCCGTCACGCGTGTGGAGATCACTTTCGATGACGGTCAGCTTTGGAATCTGTGCGAGCTGCGGCATCCTTTTGAGCCGAACGCAGCCGGACGGCAATGGGCCTGGAGTCGCTTCAGCTTCAATGCATCACTCGTGCATTTGCTGTGTTGCACCGAGTTTGCAGTCAGGGCCTGGGATAGCAGCAACAATACACAGCCGCATCGCTGGACCTGGAACGTCATGGGTATGGGCAATAATGCGTGGTACCGCGTGCGCGTCTCACCGGTACCCGATCCCGGCACCGGACGTATTTCGCTGCGTTTCGAGCATCCTACAGTGCCGGGGCCGACGGCTGGCGGCTGGATGGGTTCCAGTACTGTCCCAGGAGCGTCGCACTCGGGGCAGCAACCAGCTGTGCCTGCACCAGCAACAGAACATGCACTGCGAGACGCCCCGGAGGCGAAGCGCGACATCGCCCAAATGGCTGAGCGGGTGCAGATGCCACCTGTGCCGAACGCAGTTGGCAGCACGGTGCATGGCTCCAATGTGTACCAACAAATGATGCGCAAAAAGACCGCGGAAAAGCTCCAGCAGGCGCAACAACGCCTCTATACAAGCGCCCAAGTTGAGCGGCACCAGAGTGAGACCGATCTTTGGATCGTAGTGCGCGGTCGTGTCTACGACGTGACGCGCTATCTGAACGAGCACCCCGGTGGCAAGGCGGCGATCATGATGAATGCCGGACAGGATTGTACCGAAGACTTTGAGGCCATTCACTCCGAGAAAGCCTGGAAGTTGCTGGATGACTTTTACATCGGAGAATTGGCTCCTGCTGGGTCATCCGCAGATGCGTCGCTCTCGTCGTCGCCTCATCTGGCGTATACGGACTCGTCGACGGATCTGCTGCGGGAGCAGTTCTCCAGAGACGCAGTCATTCACGCCGATGCCGCTGACGGCGCCTGTACCGAGAGTATCGATGGATGCCGCCCGGCATTAGACCCAAAGAAATGGAAGGACTTTGTGCTCGCCAGCAAGTCGTATATCACGAAGAACACGGTGCGACTGCGCTTTGCTCTACCTGATGTCAACCAAGTGCTGGGTCTGCCTACAGGGAATCATTTGCTCATTCGGGCGCGAATTGAGAACAAGAATGTCGCACGGGCGTACACACCGACGAGTCTCGGCCACGAAGCCGGCTTCTTCGAGCTTGTGATCAAAGTGTACCGCGCGGGCGCGCATCCTTCATACCCGTCTGGCGGGAAAATGTCGCAGTATCTGGAACTGCTTCGTATTGGAGACACGGTGCAGGTCAAGGGCCCACTTGGGCACTTTAGCTACGTCGGACTTGGCGCGTACATGTTACATGGACGAGCTGGAAGGGCGCGGCGGTTCGCTTTTCTTTGTGCAGGCAGTGGCATCACGCCAGCGTTCCAGGTGATGAAAGCAATCCAGGTTGAGCTTCAAGAGCATGCGAAACAGTCATCTACACCGTTTCTGGATGCTATATACCTGGTCTACGCGAATCGAAACGAGGACGAGATTCTGCTCTTCCAGGAACTCGAAGCATGGCGCCAGTGCGATGCGCGCTTTCAGTTCTGCTACGTACTGAGTCAACCGTCGGAAGCCATTTCCAAAACGTTTCCGGAGGCTGTCGTTGGCCACGTGAATCAGGAGCTGCTGGCAGCCCGTCTACCGGGGCCACGTAGTGATCTTATTATCGGCATTTGTGGTCCAGCGGGATTTCAGGATGATGCGTGCATTCCGGCACTGAAAGCTCTGGGATATACTTCGGAACAGTTTTTTACGTTCTAAAGCCGTTTGTTTGCGATTTTTTTCTCCCAGTGATAAGCAGAAGACTTCGATGCAGTCTCGTCGCAGTGCTTGTCATACAAGCCAATACCGCGCTGCTCGCACCAGACGTGCACCCGCAACCTTCCTCTGAGTCTACGCAGTTCGCACGCTTTACCCCAAGGTGGAAAGCGCGTCAGCCAGCGCACCGGATTCGTGCATGCTGGCCATGCGATGCCATACGCAACGCGCCCGAGCCAATGAACAGCCGACGACCGCACTCGCTGCCCAGGCACGCGTTCCTCCGTGCCCCTGGACCGCTCAGCAGCACTGGCGCTCCAGGCGGGTCCCAGAGCTTCGAACGAGCACCTACGCCGCGACCGATGCCATACGAATTGTGCAAGAGGCGTGCACCTACCAAAGTGAATCTGTATTTCCTGGAAAGCGCACGACGGCCCCATGATGGGCCATACGCTTGAAGACCGCACAAAAAATTCGGAATCTCTGCGACGTCCTGATCTCTCTCTGACGCGAAGCGCCGGCATCGCACACCGCGGAACCCGGCAAATCGTGTGGCGGCGGTAGCGCCCGGCAGCGCATCGTCAAACCGGCGATGATCAGCATATGGCATGCCAATCAGCGACAATAATGGATCATTTAGTTCCAAAAATTACAAACTTACCATCGCTCGGTAGATCGCCGAGTCGCATGTACATTGCGGACGATGCGCAGCCGCCGTGCGTGCAGCGACCACCTGAACGGATGGCGCAGCTGATCGACTCGCGGTGACCCGCAGCGTTCGCCGTCTCAGATTCGGAACGGAAACGGATCGGATACCGATGGACTCGGGCGTCTCTATTGCCCAAAGCTTGCCTGCGCTGCGACCATATAGCGTCGCAGCAAGAAGCGAAAACTGAGCCTCATGGCACCGACCAAGTGCTGTGTCTTTCGCTGCTGCGCGCGAGCTGTGTTTGGGCGTAGCACTGCCTAGTGTCGGCGATTTGGCTATTCCCTGGTGCTAGCGCGCTGACACAAATGAGGTGCTCTGAATTTTTACGGTCACTGAAAAAGACGGCAGATAGCCCCTTGGTCGGCGCTTCGGTTTTAACAAGACTGCCAGGAGCCCGCGGCAACTCTGACATCAGCCTCTGCTATCGGTTCCCGCCTCATAGGCTGCACCCTTGAGGAATTCGTTCCAGCACGCACCCTGATCGCGTGCTTACCCGAGAATGCTGTTCATGGATTCGCCAGCAGCAGCTACGATACGGGCGCTGCCGGCACCCCATCCCAATAACGTTGCGCATACGCCTCGAGTTGCGCCTTCCCAACTCGATCGCAAAAGTCTCCAAAGGACTCGTCCGGCTCGCGTGCGCTTTTCCAGAATACAAACACCGGCTCCAGGACGCGCTCCACCTGATCGTCCGTCACCCGATCGATATACGGCCACGCGAGGCGCGTCTGCATCGGGCTCCCGCCCAGCCACACCTGATACGTACAATTCGGACCTGATCCGACGAATCCCAACTCGGCCATGTACGGACGCGTGCACCCGTTCGGGCATCCAGTCATGCGCATCACGAACGATGCGTGCGGCGAGATGCCGACTTTGGACAGCAGCTCGCGCACGCGCTGCACGTAGCGCGGCATGACACGCTCCGCCTCCGTGATCGCCGGCGGACACAGCGGCAACGCTGGACACGCCATCGCGTCACGCATCAGCGGATCCAGTGCGGATGCTGCCGTCTCGACGCCGAACGACGCCAGCAGCGTCTCGACGTCAGGGCGCGCTGTCGCTGGCACCTGCGTGATGAGAAGGTTCTGCTGCGGCGTACATACCAGGGGAAAGTTGAAGCGATCCGTTAGGGCACGGAGTGCTTTCTTCAGCTCGTCTTTGATCCGCCCGTTCTGTACGTAGAGGCCGAAAAACCAGCGTCCGTCTCCTTGCTCGCGCCAACCCAGATAATCCTGGAAAGTCCACGGCGGCATGGAGCGTATCGACTCTAGCGCACTGCCACCACCCACCATATACGACTTGACGAGTTCGCGGAATCGATCGATGCCCAGCCGATGCACCAGGTACTTCATCCGGGCGTTCGTGCGAACTGCACGATTGCCGTGGTCCCGCTGGGCAGCCAAGATCGCTTTGAGTGTGTCGTACAGCGCCGCTGCCGGTACGTACCCCAGCGGATCGGCAGCACGCGCGAAGGTCTCCTCTTTGTTATGAGTGCGACCCATGCCGCCGCCGACGAGAATATTGGCACCTTCCAGTTGACCCTGCGCATCACAAAAAACGACGATTCCAATGTCGTGTGTGTAGATGTCGATAGAATTATCCCCGGGAACAGTGACACCAACTTTGAACTTGCGCGGAAGGTACAGCTTTCCGTAAAGCGGCTCGACGGAATCCTGCAGAACCTGACCACGCCCGTTATCCTCCGTCATGAGTCGTCGAACTTCGTCCATGTCCAGCTCCTTCTTCCAGTACTCGATGCTGGCGGCAAGCTCCCCATCGAGCCACAGATCCGCAAACGCGTGCGACTGAATCGCGAACAGCTCTGCCACCATTCTGGCAACGTGTCGTGCCTGCGCATACGCGGCATCGACGAAGGGCGCCGGCGGCGCGATGACGTTGCGCGAGCAGTCGCCGCTCGCACCATACAGCCCGCCGCCCGCTCGCACGATGCTCTGGACGACGGTTTTCAGATTGGATTTATGGATGCCGTGGATTTGGAACGAAGAGCGCGTCGTGAGCCGCAGCGTCTTGTTCCCATAGGTTTCACTGATGTCGTCGAGTGTCGTATACAGCGAAGGCGGACACTCGCCGGCGGGCATTTTCAGACGGAGCATGAACTGGTATTTCTTGAGCTCCCCGCGAACACGTTGATCTCGGTTATCTTGGAGATATCCGCCATGGAACTTGATAAGTCCGATGCAGTCATCGGAGATGAAGATCTGGTCGTTGCCCAGTTCTTCCATTAATGGGTGACGAAGATAGTCCGAGTTCAGTTTCGGCAACTCGTATGGATTTAGCTTGAGCTGGTCGAGTGTCCCGTCACGGATTGCTTCCTCGATATGCTTCCGCGTTGTGATCGGCACGACCGTATGCTTCTTCCGAGACTGTTCAGATGAGAGGTTTGCTATGATGTTCCGCCGGGCGGTTCGGCACTGCCGTTGGCGTCGTAGTCGGTCTCGCAACAGTACCTCGGTCAACGGATAAACGCCCGGTGCTGCGGAACCGGTGGGTGCCAAACCTCTGCGAGCGCCGACTAGAGGTTTTGCGTACGTGACGAACATCATCAGAGTATACCGCACGCGCAACTATGTTGAAGGCGCTGCTCTGGCACGAGCTCGAATGGCCAGCAGAGCTTAAACGAAGTAAGGCAAAAGCCATCCTGAATTCATGCGTTCCTATCGATCCCACGGGTGCGTGTTATCCAACGGATCACGGATCCGTTGAGCATCGCAGACCTGTCCAGTTAAGTCTATAGTTGGCTCGTTTTGAATCTCTTCGCAAAGGCGCGCAGCGTGCCCCACGCGCACACGTGCCGAAGATTCGTGCGATGCCGATCCGGCCTCATAGCGGACACGTGTCGCAAGGAAATGCCGTGCACGCAGCGTCCTTCCCATGGCCGTTATGTACAGTATGATTCATGTTAATTGTTTTAAGTGGACAAGTCTTGACACATGCCAGTGTTCTCCAACCGTGCGCTTCCTATCAGCGCGCGGTGAAGCATCGCTCGATTCACCTACTTCCAAGTTCCATAACCCTTACCTCTTCTTGGATATACTAGCCGCTTCATACGTTCTATCGTTCGCCGCGTGCCTGCCCTGCTGCATCTGGAATAGCGATTATAGTGCCGGTGCGGTCGTAGCACGGTTACGGAACGGCGTTGCAGTTCCACAGAGGGCGTCGGCGCGAGAGTATACATGAATATCCACACACAGACGCCTCTCAGCTATTCTTGACCGGCCGACTTCTATCGGTTTCAGTTTCTGCTAGAACACTTCCAGCTTGAGAGGCTGCACCACAAAACTCGATCGCGACAGCTCCTCGGATGTCGTCTTCAACACTGCATATCGTCGGATATTGATAGCGGCGTCAAAGTCTCGGTTCACGAATTCCGTCTGTTCATTGGCTCAGGTGGGACTCAACAAAGCAAGGATTCCTAGAACTCGCGCCTTCTGTGCAAGCAAGGCCTCGTCATCGCACCGTCGGGAAGCACCTGTTGACGCCAATCTCCCCTCTTGTTCTTCGTATTCTTTTTCACTTGCTCTTCTTCGCTCGATGGTATGCGAGAGGAGGATTGTTTTCGTTTTTCCTTTCGCGGCAGCCGGCGACAGCGGGCCCCCAGGATCCCTGCCGTCCACGCCCGTTCCTTTCCCTTGAATTTTATTTCTCCAAATGAAAGCACTTTGAGCACATCTGCTGTACGCTGCGAGAAAGTACTTGATGACATGCACCCGGGTCTGAAACACATTTGAGTTGAACGACGGTAAGATTCATATGCAACGCTAAATTTTTTGCACCGATCCCGCCTCAAGCTATTTCTTCCGAACGTTTCCTACGATGCACAGTATAATTATTATTCCCAATCCATCCATAAGCGCTTACGGATGCATACGTCGTTCGAGGACCCCTGGTCTTTTTTTCGGAGTGGTTCGCTCACCGCTTTGCTGCCGGCACTCGTTTCGATACAGGAATCGAGGTGGTTCACGACAACCTCGAATACATATTCGTGAATTGGCCTGTATCCTCATCCAATGCGAACGTGCAAGCCGCTGCTCTTCTGCATTCCGGAGGTATCGCATGCCGGAATCACGCATTTTCATGCCCGGAATCTTTCTGTATCGAGGCAGCGAATAAGTGCAGAAAATTCCCACCTTTACATGGGCACGAAAAGCATTTCGTCTTCGCCTGCTAGCGAATTCTGCACTGGTTCATGGCGAGTCATCACTGAATGTGTCACGTCCAACAATCCGCTGCGTTCGAATGGCCAATGGCCCTCTCGTTGTGGTGAACGACGCACTGGCATTCGCCAGCATCTTGATACGTCTCACAGGATGTGCTCGCGGGGACTCGCGACTTTTCCTTTTGCATTTCGAACGGTCTTGGACTTGGACGTTCTCTTCGCAGCAATCGCTTCTAGTGGAGTGTGCGTCATCGCGTCGCACGATACAAGCAATGGCCAGCTCGATAGATGTCGATCTGTTTTCTTTCCTGGATTTTCATCGCAGTATTTGTTCCATCACGAACATTACCGAGTTCCACAAATACTTTATCGAATGGAACAGTGTGCACTTGCATTTGCAGCAGAGAGCGTACGTGCCGAGAGCATCATCTGCAAGTAGCCCGTGCGTATAGGGTACGGTATCGGGCACGCAAACCGAGACAGGTATAGACAATGCCCTTCTATACCCGTCAGTAACGTGTAACAATCGATGAAGCAAGCGCTCACACTCGACAGCATGGCTCCCCGGAGTGGCAGCATGGTGTACGCGTGCGAACATTCGACCGCAGTCGGCTGGCACCGCCGCATACGGCAAACCTCTTTCGCATACGCAGCAGATGAGCATACCAAGCGAAAAGTAGACCGCAACGCCGACCTACGCATCCAGTGCGTCCCCCGAAGCCGGAAGCAGCCAAATACTGACTCTAATGTTGCCGGCAACATCCTTCACCAGCTGACAAAGAAGCCGGAAGGACCAGAGCGTCCAGCGTACTACACTCCAGAGGTAAAAGAGATGACTCTGAACCAGTCACAGAAAAAAGCCTGAAAATCCTCATTATGAAAATAATGGGAAAAGATTCAAACTTTAGCGCGTATGCCCTTGTTCGCAAAATGAGCCCGCTCCATTTCGTACGAACACGGGTGTCCTAGCGTATCCGCGTCCCGATCGCCTCGATTCAAATCATAAATCCTACTTCATAAACCAGGTTACCTGCTTTCAAACAATAGGAGTCACTGTCGCGGCATTCGCCGTCTCTTTTGAAACAGCTGCCAAGTCGAGTGCCCGGTCTAGAGCCCGAACCAGGTCTGCTGCCCGATGGAGCGGCGTCTGCGCTGGAGCTACCAGCGCGTATACCGTGGTGCCCAGCGGTCGCAGGTAGATGCCATGCTGCTGGCGAGCAATGCTCAGCACTCGCGTCTGACGGGCTGCAAGAAGCCGCTCGTCCGCCTGTTCAGCTGAGGTCAGCGGTGTGAGTTGCACAGCCAACACGCTTCCAATCGCAGACACCGCACCAACACCAGGTTTGGTTGAGAGCGCTCTCACGGGTGCCAGCAACGCACCGTCGAACACGCGCGTCTCCGCGGAGGTTAGCCGCTCATAGATGGAGAGGGCTGCGTTCGCCGCTGCGCATCCCGCCGGATACGCAGAGTACGAGTGTCCGTGGAGGAGAGCGTCGGCTCGCTTTTCCCCCAAAAATGCAGTAAACACCTCCTCAGACGACAGGGTAACAGCCAACGGGAGCGCACCGCCGGTGAGCAACTTGCCATATGCGGCAATGTCGGGCTCACGATCGAGAATGCTGGCACCAGTGAGGGCGCCAAGCCGCCAGAAGGCCGTGAAAACCTCATCGAAAACGACCGGGATTGCCCGCTGCCGACAAGCATCGATCAGCGCTTGTTGATATACGACGTCGATGATACGCATGCCACCGGCGCCCTGTACCACTGGCTCGAGAACCAAAGCGCCCAGTGGCATCGATTCGTGTCGCGCTAGTTCCTCTGCAATGCTGCGGTGGTACTCGCGATATCGCTCGTGACGTCGTCGCTGGGCAGCAGCGTCCAAGCCTTGCGGTGCATCTGGCTGCCAGTCACCGTTCCAGATCGCACAGTATGGCGGTTTGAGGAAAAGGCCCCGGCCTCGATACCAGGGCGTTTGAAGCTGGTTAAAGGTGGACGACGGTGAGCAGTCCATGGCGCCCAGGGTGTCCCCGTGGTAGCTCCCCTCGAGGCCGACAATGCCGACATCCGAGGCGCGTGACAGGTCGAAGAGCCCTCGTTTCTGAGCGAGGCGAAATGCCATCTTCAGACCGATCTCCATCGCAGTACTCCCGTTATCCGAGAAGAAAACACGAGACGCCCAGCCATTCCCGACGCTGTTTAGGAGGCGCTTGCTGAGCAGCCAAGCTGGCTCGTGAACGCACTCGGGGAACATAACGTGGCCGTAGCGTCCCAGCGCATTCCCTATCGATCGGTTTAGCGTCGGGTGACCGTGTCCGACTGACTGCGTCCACCAGGAGCCGCAGCCATCGAACCAACGCTCTTGAGTGAGCTCACTCGATGACGTTCTTTTCTGTGGACTCATTCCAGAGACGTCGCGCTTGACCGATTTGATAATCGTATAATCGTCGCCGTAAGCCGAGTCAATGAGCGTCGTCTGTGCTCGCTCCTCGGATGCAGACGGCATTCGCCGTGCCTGGTGTTGCGTGAAAGGCCACCACAGCACTTGGTCGCTCTCGCGAAGCATATCTTGCCAGCGTATCGCGCGACGACACCACCAGTGTCGGAGATGCTCTATGAATCGTTGAGCAGTTTCGTCGACGGACACCAAGCCTTGTGCTGGCTGTGCTAGAGATGCCTGCGCATGCGCATCAAAGACTCGCAAATAAGGCTCCACAATGGGCGTCTCTTCTGGGTCCAGCTGAGCGCGGATAGCGGCAGCATTGCGATCAGCGCTCTCGAGTCCGGGGCCCATGCCGAATACAATGGCCGGGACATCATAACCACGGCTTCGCAAAGCTTCATATGCGGCGAGCGTCGTCGATATACCTCCTAGTCGTGCATCGCCAACAAGGACGCCAGGTAGCCGTACCGCGCGATAAAAGTCCGCCTGGAGCGTGCCGCTGGCGCTCACCGGAGACAACACACCACCCGCTGTTTCAACCATGAACAGCGAAAGCCCTGCGTTTTTTAGTGCATTCTCGATATGCTCCAACACCGTGGACGAGTCTAGTTCGGGAGATGCCAGACCTCCCGCGGGTCGCTGGAGCGACGCATGTGAGAACGGCTCCCCGGCAGTAGCAGCTGCTGCTGCCTCCTGTGGGGAACGCGCTAGCCTCCACGCGTACAGCGTCCGGCATGAAAAAGCGTGCTCTCTGGACACATATTCCAGAGCATTTTCTGGTTCGTTGATACGGGTATCCGTTCCCAGGGCTTGTCTGAATACGAATCGAGCGTCGTGATCGGAAGGAAACCCCGTCTGCAGCGGCTTGAGGTAAAGCAGTGCTCCCCTAGCTCGGTCGCTGTCTCGCAAGTGAGCTCGGGCGAGCGCTGCACAAACCAACGTCTTTCCAACGTTGGTATTCGCGCCCCATACCTGGAAAGCGAGCCCGTAAAAGTTTCGTTGCATCCGAGAAGCGTCCAGATCACTCAGACCGGCCGTCTGGACGGCTCTGTGGTGCGCCCGACCAAGCCTCGCAGCGCCTTGCTAGCAACCCGCCGCACGCAAAAGGAAGCCCTGTTAAAGACTACGAAAGGTCACCAGTTCTAGCTCTATCCAAGCGGGTCTGGAAACGGCTTGACCGGCCTCGGACGCAGGCGTCGCTAGACAAACGACGGTGCTGCTTCTACGGCTTCAGACTGCTCGGTTCGCAGGCGTCGCCGTCACCAGAGTCGCGGCGGTCGCCGCTGAGCCGAAGGCTTCTCTAGTGGTGGTTGCGCAAGAACCGTTTGGAAACGAGCTCCACTCGCTGACTGAGGTCACTTTCAATGAAATGAACTTGAAGCTGTGTCCAGACTAGTGGGCGCAATCGAAGAAGAAAACATTCGAGGAAAGCGTTGATGCGCCTGTCCCGTGCATAAGACCGTACCGGGAACTACCATAAGCTCTGGTGCACGTGTTCCTCTGCCCCAGGATCGATGCATCCAACGCCTGGCATCCACCAGTGCACGATGCGTATCGACATCCAGGGATTTGGTGCGAATGCTTGTCTGCTTTTCCAGGAAGCAACGGACTAGGGTGCTACCTTCAATGACGTACCTGCATTGCTAATACCGCATCGTTGGCACGCGCGAACATGTCAACCGGTGCGTCGGTGAAGGAGGCGAAACGTCCCATGGAGTGCGACCCGGCGAGCAAACACCGCCAGAGGACACGCGGTAGACGCAGCATCGTAGGACACCGCGGGGGCAACAAGCTACGATCCCCCGAAGAGAAGCCTCGTTCATGTTTATGGAACGTATGGGTCCGGACACGACGACGATTGCAACCGTGGGTGTCGATCATCGTCGAGGTCTCGCAGATTACCGCTTCATTGCATGGGCACGATACCCTAAAGCAAAAATTGCCGCAGGATTCGCGGTATGCTTTTGCAGCGGATGCAGAGGCTCGTGCTGGCTAGCAGTTGCTCGCTAGAAAGCAGCGAGCGTAGAGCTGGCCAACTATGCGCAAACTCGTGGGGATCAGCGGCCAGCTAGTATCCCATCGCACTCTAGTCCGTTGTATGTCTAGGGCTGCTAGCTGGAGCGCAACCCCAAGCGTCCGCTGCCTCCAGAGTCGCGCTGCTTCCCCAGTTCACGTCCAGTTGGCTAGAGGTACGTCATCTCCACGCCCGAACAGTAGTCTATCAGGTATCCCGAACCGGAACCTCGAACGAGCGCGTGACGTCAACGGATGGAGTCCTTACTTCCGGGGGCCTCAATTTCGTACCATCATCCGATCCGTGAGCGCTCCATACGTGCGTGAAGCGCCAGTCCCAGACTTGGCAACTGCTAGTGCGCAACGCCCTTCACCTCCGCAAGTGTTACGTTGAGCCTGCATCCAACGCAAGTTACAGCTGCGGTTGGATGACCCTAAGCTTCAAAGCGTCCGAAAACGAGAAATTGCTCCACGACACCTGCTCTTTAGGGCGCTCGGCCTCAGGGCACCCGCTTCCCCGCCCAGAAACCGCAACCCCTCGAAATGCTGGCAAGTGCCCGCGCGATCCCAGCTTCACGAGGATCGCTCACTGATCTGCTGGGAAAGCGAAACATCGTACACTGTCGTGTTGCTAGGTTGTACTGGGTTTCAAAGCTGACCAGCACTCAGGGTCAGGCGAAGCAACGTTCGCATCAGTCGCTCATCATTGTCAGCGTCATCCAAACGTGGTTCTAGAGCTCGTTGGTTACGACGCTCTGGGAGGCGGCTGTGTCAGCACCGACCAGCCGAGCATACCATGTCGGTCGCGAAACGAAAACGAAGACCTGCTGTGCAGGAGCTTCACGGACATGTCGAAGGCTGGGACGGTCCCGAGTACGCATTCTTGCTGCCGGTAGGCGCTGCTGCGTGGCGTCTGCGTTTCGACGCATGGTCAGGTGCCCTGGCCGGCTCTACCGTCGTGCCGGAGCGGGAGCCCGTGGAGGGTTCGGCTTTTCCGGCTCAGGCGGGCCGTCAGTTCTCAGTAGAGGGTTTCCTCACTAGCACGAGGAGGCTGTCAGTGCATACAGCGCCAAAATCGCAGGCAGAGGCGGAGGCGGACGTACAGCTGAGACCCTGCGACCCGCGCAAGCACCCCGACTCGTTGGGAACGGGACATTGCAGGCTTCGCCTTCTTCCCGCGTTTCCGTCAGACGCGAATGATGCGAATGATGAACGAACATTGATCGTTTTGCATCTGAATAGGGCGATAACAGAAGCCTACCTTGTAGCCCAGTTTGGGCGCTACGGTCCCGTAGAGCAGGCGCTCGTGCATTGCGACGAGCGGGGCACCCCCATGGGATTTGCGAGCATCCGCATGAAGTCCAAAGACGCGTGCCGTCAAGCGCTTCGTGAAATGCACAACAAAATACTCATGGGCTCTCGAATACAAGTGTTTGTTGATCCAGGCGGAGATACGGCTGCCGCTCGACGACGAGCGTTAATCGATAGAAGGAACCGCTGGGAGCAGGAGCAACGAGCACAACTGGAGAAGCATCGTCGGCCTGTTGAAGCACAGGCGCTAGATGCAGCTGCCGGTGCTCGTGGCGTTCCCCACGCTAGCCAGCGACCTGCTGATCGATTGAGTTTGACGTCCGACCAGCAAGGCGCTAGTCCGGCGGCGAATGGCGCTAGAGCCGATACTCTTGGTGTACAGGGACCTGACGATCGACTGATTTTGGCGTCAGATCAGCAACGTACCAGCCCAGTAATGACTGCAAGCAGCGCACAGCACGCTGCTGTGACTCGATATGCTTCACGAGACGAACGCGACCCTCGGCAACGAGCGACTTGCGCTGGGCGTCATGGTCTCGTACGGAGCGTGCAAGCGTCTCTGGTGAATGACGCGAGTCGCCGTGCATTCGCTGACGCACCCGAACTGGATAGGGAGCGCCCAAATCACGCTGACAGGTCGGTTTCGGGTCTGGATGCGTACCGCTCAGCAACAGCACGAGGTACGATCGCCGGGAATGCCTCCCGTACTGAATCGGGGGTCAGCGTGGCCCGAACAGGGGCACCAACCGCTGGTGGCAGCTTTTCCGAAGATGCCAGGGTCATTCAAGTGGCGGGCGTTCCGGTAAAGACGCCGAGATCCGTACTCATGTCGGCGTTTCGACGATTCGGTAAGATTCTTCGGATCAAAGGATGTGCAGAGCCTGGGAAGCGCGATGCCAGCGAGTCAGCGGTAACGTCGACCGAAGCGGAATCGCAAACCCGTACGTTCCTCATGTACTTCAGAACGAGGGAGCAGGCGCTAGAAGCTGCAGCTCACATGGATCAGCACATGATCATGGGGAAGCGTGTTCGAGTCTCGTGTGTTGTCGACCAGGCAGTGGCGTCCGGTTCGCGTCCCGAAATTGGAAACGTCAGGGATGACGCTGTAGAGGGCGCAGGACATGCCCAGGGACTCTTGTCGAGAGCGTCGATGGGTGCAAATGGGCGACTGGTCCATTCGGGGGCATCTGGGCATCCATCTTGGAAGCGACTTTCAGAAAGAGGACGCAGCTGCACCAATGCGCCGTCAGGCGTTACCGAGGACGCTGCCGTACGGGGACGCGTCGCCGGAGACCGCACTTTATACAATGCAGCAAAGCCGGTCTGTCCGACAAACTTCTTGGTTTCCACTGAGATTCACGCGGTGCGTCTGAGCACGCTACCGTTCAATACACCGCACTATGAACTTAATGAGGCGTTGGCGAGCGCTCCCTGTTCTGTGCGAACTGTCGCTCGAGCGCCCTTCTGGTACGTCCTCTTCGCTGACGCCGCCGATTTGTATCGCTTTACACGTTGGCTTCGCAGTCGTAACCAGGAGCTGCTCGGTTGTAGCATTCTGTTCGAGGCTTGCCGGGTAACACTCGCAGAGGACGGCTCCGGAATCCACGAGGTGACGCTCATGAGGGCTGAGCGTTCCTTTGCGACGCGCCTGGAACTCCTGGATGCGATTGGCGACATCTTCGAAGGGCAAGTGCGTCATGCACTTCTGCGGGATCTGCATCGCGAGATTCTCGATAAGGTTGCACAACAAGTCATGGAGACGTTCGAGGCCCGCATGCGTGAAAAGCTCGCCCGTCAACGACTCGAATCCGGTGGCGACAAAGCAGCCAAACCTCCGCGAATGGGATCCGTTTCGCTGGACGTACTACCCGAGCTGGCGATGAGGCAGCGTTCGCGACGTTCGCCGGGGTCCCAGCCAGGAGCACCCCCCGACCCGCAGTCAGCAGTCGAGAAGGGAGCGAGTGCCTCATCTGCGGTGGCAGAACTGGCCCGTTTATCATCGCGATCTTCACTCGATCGCGCTGCACACGACTCGCTCTCAGTATCGCTCTTGGAAGATGTGGCGCCCGACGAGGACCAGGTGTACCTGCAAAGAGTTTTAGAGTGCTGCTTCCAACCGACGGACGATGTGCCGCCTCAGCTGAGCGCTTCGATCGTCAGTACCCTGGACCAAGACAAAAGCGATATCGCTACGCGCTACCGCGAGCACTGGAGCCCGTATCTGGAAACCTTGTTCGATACGCATGGAATATGTATCAAGCAGAAGCTGCAGGAACCAGAGCCGCCAGCAAACTCCACCGGCTGCGCGCGAACTGAAGGCTATGCGGCGTTTTCGCGTGAGCTCAAGGCATTCCGTTGGCGTCCGCCGAAACAAGTCATTATTCCGGCGGATGAGGCCCGGCGCTGGAGTGCCACCGGCAGCCTGCGTGGTACCCGCGTCGAGCAACGCCAGCTCCTCTCTGCGGTCAGTGATCGTGAACAGACCGTACTCTATCTGCAACAGCGCGAACGATTCCTGCGCTTCTACCGCTCTGGGATTCATGGCTACGGCTTGTGGGCGCTCGAGGACATCCCCGCCGGTGACTACATCATTGAATACCGCGGGGAGCTGGTACGCTCTGCTGTGGCCGACCTACGCGAACGTGCTTACCGCCAGCAGGGCATGGGCGACTCGTTCATGTTTCGTATCGACGCGGATACCGTTGTTGATGCAACCCACATTGGAAGCGTTGCCCGTTTCGTGAACCACAGCTGCGATCCGAACGCGATCGCCCGAATCGTGCAACTCGGTGGTGCATCCCATATTCTGTTTTACAGCAAGCGTTCGATCTGTGTGGGCGAGGAGATTACCTACGACTACAATTTTGATATTGAGGATGATGCCTCCGAGAAGGTACCATGTTTGTGTGGAGCACCCAATTGCCGTCAGTATTTGAACTGAGAACGACTGCGGGAGCTGCTCGGTGAACGACAGTTGAGCTGGAGCGACCAAGCGCGGCACACGCTCTTGCGAGAAACCGGTACCAGTTCTGAAACGCAGCACTGCGGCAGGGGCCGCTCTACAAACGCTGCCTTGGGAACCGTCCAGGTGCTACAGGCGCTCGGGCTGCGACGCTCAGAGCTGTGTTTCTTCTCGAGCGTACACAGCGCCTCTTACAGGAGCGATGCGCGTGTATCCTGGGGCACGGTACGCAGGCAGGGGTATTGCAAGCGTCCGGGGGCTCCCTGGATCCCAGCGCTTGCCATCGGCTGCGAGGCTATCCGGTATCACCAGAGCGCTGGAAATGGATCCGAGCTCCCCAGTGGCATCCGCGGAGCGACGTCCACGCGTGTTCAGCACCAGTCCAAGAGCGTGTACGCTTCAGTGCCTGGAGGAACTTGTAGAGCACGCCTACGCTACGGGACGCGGACGTTGCCTCCGTTCCGCTGGAAACGAAAGCTAGGATGCATCGAGCTTTGCTGGAGCGCCTGTGAACCGCCCGAGTCACTAACAATGAACGCGATGTGCCTATATCATTCGTTCCAAGTGAAACGCTTTCATCTATGGCGTTCCCCGGGTGTGCAGCAGAACCCAGAATGAGCCGTTTGGCGCTCAGACTTGTCCTCGTGATGCCGAAGCTTGTTGCCAGCGCAGGTCTTACGCCAGTCCCTTATCGAAGCGCTCTTCTAGTCCGAAGCGTCTCTACAAAACCTAGGAGAAACGTCCTGCTCCCAGTACACACACACACACACCATAAACCGCTTAGGCTGGTGCGGTACGGAGAGTACCGCCCGCAGCTGTTTCGTGGCATCCGCGTTCTCTATTGAAACGCGGTGAACCTCATGTGTTTGCGACACGTGCAGCGCGTTTCTCTCCTTCTGTTTCTCGGGTTTGCGGTACTTCTTGAGTTTGTGCCCAGTGAGGTGCACGGCTTCAGCTCCAACGACGTTCGAGCGAGACGCACTGTGTTTGTGGTCCACCCGCGCAGAGGCGGTACGCACCGTGTCTCGCTCGATACACCTCCGAACCCGGCAACGACGTGTACGTTTCGGTATGAGCAGGTGCAAGGTGCAACTCCGGAGACCTGGGAGCTTTTGATTTACGGAGATCGCACAGTAGGCGAGCTCGCTTGTCGAGCTCGGCGACTACCAGCGGCTCAAGCGACTGAACTTGGCGAGAACTTGGACGGTACCGGGATCGACTTAGCAGCCGAGCACGACTACGCTGCCCCGTCTTATCTGCTTTTCGAGGATATGCAGCTCGAACTTGGTGATAACGCGACGACAGTGATCGAAGCAGTGGCCTTCGACTCAAGCGGCGTACGGCTGGCGACCAGCGACCTCGTGTCGAGCGGTTCACAACTGCGGACGCGTTCGGGGTTCATGGGAAATCTTCGAAGCGTGATGCTGAAGGCGCTACTTTACTGACTCGATGCCTGGCGCTTACTGGTTTCGCTATCCTGCGCACATTGCGGGTGACTGCGGTGGAAGCGATGAGGTCTTAAGCGGAGATGTTGTGACCGCGCGACTGGCACAAGCGAGACAGAGAAGAAACCGGCGGCTTGATGTCCCGCACACACACCCCCCCGCCTGCTTGCATACAGTGGAACGATTGTTGGCAGGTATAGATGTAATGACGCGATATAGCAAGCATGCTTGTCTAGCGTGATGAGAGAAGCGCGCACATCGCTGACGCTGGTGCCACAAGCGCAGCTGCTGTCTACCTGTTTGAGGGTGTATGGCCAGGGGTCACGGATTGCGGGCATTGCCAAGCGCCGGGGTTGTTGCTGTGTGTATGTGTATGTGTGTGTGGTATACTTACAGGCCATGTCGTCTTGCACGTCGCGAGTCTGAAAGACTCACGAGTTTTTGCTAGATAAAAGAGATGCTCTGGTGTACACTGGTTCATTATGGCGGTGCGCTGATAGATGCAGGCATCGCGTTATTCAACGTGCGATGACTTTTGAAGTACATGGAACGTATAGCCATGTTTGATTTTGTTTGTTTTTCTGGCAGGTATGCAACGAAAGGAATGCGTTTCGCAGACTGGGGAAAGGTCGGCAAGAGGCTCGATGGCGCCACTACTGGCTAGCGAAGAGAGGCCTTCGCATCAGAAGCAGCACAGAGTGCCTCCCTGGGGTCCGAGTGCACGAGCCACCTTTTGCGTCCGTTCGATATAGACCGCAAATATCAGACCAAGGCTCATGATCGCATCGTAGACTCTTCTGCATGGAGCTTTACGACCACCACCGTAGTGAGCAGCGGCAGATATCTGCGACCAATACGAAGCATTCGAGCAACACCGCAAAGCGCACTGGCGAGATACCTTGCTGTTAACCGAGAGGAAACGGGAAGACGTGTTTGCGAGGACGTCAAAGACCGGACGGAATATCAATCTGTATGCACATTGCGCAGCATCTGGACCAGCGTCTACCAAAGAGACTCATTCGCACCCGTTCAGCCCAGATGAAGACAACGTCTTCGCGATGGTGGTGTTCGTGCATCCCGAATCCAGGTGCATCGAAGCACTCGCCGTACCTGTAGATCAAGAGCACGGAGCCAGCGACCCAGGAAGAAACCAGATGAAGCTGCTCGATCTCCGGGGATTCTCTCTGGTAGGCAGCTGGGAATGATCGGCACCAGAGGGTATACCAGAAAATGGAATGCTGTTATCAGCACCAATCGCGACGCTCCGAGCTCTGCATCCAGCAGCGGGCGATGCTTGCGTCCGTTTCATTCAGAGCGTGCCAAAAACGTCCAAACAGTTGATGCACGCGATACTCAGCGGGAATTCGGGACACCGCACCGGAGTCGCCGACAGTTTCGGCCGTATGGAGGCAACAAGCGCGCAAGTGTCGGGTTCTTCACTGATTTCGAACAGAAAATGACGAGAGGTTTGCGTCGTTTCGCGATAGCCTTCGGCGCTGGGCTTGAAGTTGCGCACACGCCCTGAACTCCTGCGCTCCGTCGACGAAAGCCGGCAGTGCGCACGGGAATCTGCGCTATACGATTCCCATCGGTGACTGAATCCCGGGCGACATCGATGCATCACGAGCGTGGGTGCTTGCTGCGACACGAATAGAAACAATCGTATGAAACAGCGTCGGATGCACGCCATGGTGTCCAGAAGGCTGAGCGGACGTCAGTTGGCGAGGCAATCGAAAAGCATTGCCCAGCTCGTGTGTGATGCCACCGGCTATCATGCACGCGAGCTCTCTCTCTCTCTGTGACGACTCGAACGCCTCCATTATTCACTGGGTATGACCAGTGCTTCGAGAGCGTCCAGCGGCCTTGTGTCGAGCGAACGTTCCCGAAAATCGTTTCGTAATCAGCCTGGGCATCTTGCTGAAAAGCTGCAGCCTTGCGTCCAGAAACACAATGCATCAGTGACCAGGAGAACGCGCACTGGATGCTCACCCCGCAGGAACACACCGCTGTGCTTCGGGTGAGCAATCCATCAAGGCTGCAGCGACGTGCACCCATCCACCGGTAACGGTATTCCTCAACAGTATTTGAGCGATCATGGGGTTCCACGAATCAACTGTAGAGCGTATATCGCACAGCGGTTGCCGTATCTGCCTAGGTGCTCGAAGATACTTGCCCGCAGAAACGCTGCTTGGTTTCGCGACACCTGAATTCGACTGGTAGGCAGGGGCCTGCAATGCGCCGCCATCGGGGATGGAGAAACAGTTGCTTCGGAAGCCGCTTTCTAACAGGCCGTTACAATCAGACAGCACCGGTTTGGGAACTCGCGTCGACGTCGGCAAGTCTGTACTGCCTCAATGCAGCGGCCTCGATAAAGCCGGCACTCAGTAAAATGCCGGTTCTACTGAGTTTCGATTTTATCGGCGAACCCTGTTCTGGGCATGGCTGTTGTAAAGGCATCTGCAGAAGCGGGAGTGCATACGTCCACAGCGGCTTCCGTTTTGCACATTGGGCCGTGTCTGATTGAATGCATCGATCACCTCCCGTGAAAATTCCTTTGAGAAAAGACTACAACGGAGGCGCTTCCATCCATGCCGCCCTCTGGCGGCAACAGATCCGCCTAATCCCCATCGCAGGGTACCAGGTGCAGTACTGCGGACAAGTGATATCCGCGGAAGCGACACTCCAGCCGACATCAGCCGCCTGCATTGATCGAAGTGACCGCCGCTTCTCACTCGACCATGCACTGTGTGAGCATTCGAGAGCAGCACGCAATTCATCACATACTATGTTCGACAAAGCCTGCGGTGTGCATTTCGCCAGAGATGCCAAAGACAAAACCGTTGTCGATGGCGGCTGGCCGAACCAGTTCAAAAAAGCGTCTCCAGGCATCTCTGAAGTTGTACGTTATGGAGCTTCGGGCCGAGAATCCGCATGCACTGCTCAGCGGCACGCCGCAGAATGTCCCGACGAGAACGTGCCTACACCACACCAGCCTTCAAGATAGGATAGACTCATCTTCGTCGTCAAGGACGCGCAAACTGGCCACTTCTACGATTCCTTGTTGATTTGTTTCGCGCTGAACGATTTCCTCGATCTCTCGAAACGCCCCAGGATCCGCCTGCACCGTCCAGAGAAGGGCACCGCCAGGCAACCACTCTTCCGACTCGCTCTCTACTGCGGCGCTGCCATCTTTCATTCGTACCGAGTCCGAACGAGAGGAACTGTGTGTACCGTCAGTTTCGCCTTGCTGCAACGGCTCCAGCCGGGCCTTGACCGCTTTGGCATCCCGCTGACTCGGTACGTGAATACGTAGACGCAGTCGTGCGCGCTCGAGGTCTAGACCACTCTGGGCTCGTAAGAGCGGTATCACTTCGAGCGCTTGTGCTTTTGCTGGTCGATTCGGCTGCACGGCAAAGTGGATCTCGCGAAGCGCTTTCTCAATGAGCCCAACAGGGAGCGGTTTCTTGGTCTCGCGACTGATGGTTTTCGCCGCCACAACACTCGCAATTTCATGAAGCTTTCGAGTGCTCTGGTACTGGCGCTCGCGGTCCGACACCTGCAAGTCGCCGTGGAGCAGAATCTGGAGCAGCACAGCGTGCCGATCCCTGGTGCCAAAACAGCGCTCGAGGTCTGCGTTTGCGGCTAGTTTTCCCTTGGACACGTTCTCAAACACGTCCTCTACCTGGATCACCTCGTCGAGATCGCGAACGTGCCCCTCACGGTACGCCATAACCATGTTCGGGTAGCATGCGATTTCGAAACGCTTGCCTCCTTTGCGCATGCGCACAACGCTCACGTTTGTAAGCCGTTTCTGAGTCACTGGTTGGAACATGATCACCCAGGAGAGGTTTCCTAGTTGTAAAATAGGTACACAGGCCACGAGCTGGCCCAGAAGGACCCCTACGCTCGGAGTGAATCAAGCAAATACCTCCACAAGCACGAACGCTCCTGCGAGTACCACCACGCTGAACACCAGTCGAGCAGGAGCGAGTGGGCGCGCGGCGTCCGCTGGCGACGTGTCCGTTTTCCGGTAACGCCACCGCTGCAGCGCGCCGGTCAGAGGCGTCACGCTCCTGTGACGCCTTAGGGGCATGCAAACGGCCCTGACAGCGATAGGATCGGTACCCGCGAACTGGATGAGGCGATTCCTCCCATGATTTGTTTGCTGAAGGTAGCGCTTGCTTGCTCGTGCTCGATGGCATGCTACAGGGTGCATGCCAGATGGCGAATGATGTTCGGTTCATTGGTCGATGTGGATCGTCATGGACGAGATGAGACTAGGGAAGAGGAGGCGGCAGGATATCTGGCGATCCGCGGCGTCGCTTGTCCATCGACGCGTAAGGCTCGTGTGCGGCGGCCGTTCGCTCTCGAAAATGGGCCATATGCTCCATCGGATATCCAGGTGCACGAAGGCTAGCGTATGCTATCTCTGCGGAAGCGCGTCCGAACATGAAGATCAATCATAATCCATCGCTGGTTGATACTTTGAGCGCTGCATACGCATCGGGACGCGCTGGAATTCGGGTACAGATGACCACGCACGCGTCCGCTGTGCTGCTCGGTGAGCGGGCGGTTGCGTTCACCAAAGTGCAGCCACGAGATGAAACGAGGTCGACGAGACTGCTTGGAAGCTCTCAGGGTGTTGCGACAGGTCGCTTTGTGGGCTACTGCTACCCACTGGATGCGGCGGAGACTCAAACGCACTCGCATGATTGCTATGAGCATCGCAGGGATGCCAGCGGGAATCACGAGGCATCTGTCGCTCAGAGAGCCCTCGATCACGAACAGGAATGGAGTGTTTCGAGTGCTGTACAGCGCAAGAGCGGACGCCAAGAATCAGAACCCTGGAGATGCATTCAGAAACGCGTGCCGGCTGGTGCCTATCCTTGGGAGGAAGATCCGGCGAATTGTGCATGTCCATACTGGGGCGTGCTGCGCCAAGTCCCGTATCGCGTACCGACAGGGTCACCTTCACTCGATCGCAAATTGGAGACTCGACCCCAGGATTCATCCTCACAACCGAGTTTCTCGAATGCATCGCGCCGCGAAAGCAGGTCTGTGTCCGCTGACTGCTCGAGCACAACCTGACAGTAAAAAAACCGGCCTCGCGCCCGATAGACCACACCCCGAGCTGACACCCACTCTAGCATTGCAAAGTTGCCCTGTGTACGTGCAGCACCAGCTCTAGAGGCGCTATTGTGAACGCGAATGGCAGACACGGCGCACGATGCCGTGTGCGCAATGACCACCAGCACCACCACCATCGACCAGCAGGATGGTAAATGGAACTCGCTCATCGTGCATGGATCAATGGACGTTTCCCGAAACGCCAATCTCAACGACTACGTCGGGAATTCCCTGGTCCGCATAAACCTGCTATCAGTCAAAGCGAATGCTGCGGGGTACCAGCATCATCGCCACAGGCACCATTCCAGGTAGCGAGCACGCGATCGCGGCAGCATCGAGCGCCACGCGACGTGGCGGGAAATGCGACACGCAGCCCAGATGTGCGATGCGTGATTGGCGCGTTTGCGGCAGTGCTCACGCAGGCTATCACTAATAGCGTTTCCAGGCGCTCTTTTCGATTTGTGCCACTCACTGGTGCTGTTCGTTGTGACGCTGAGTTCACGCAACATCAGCTCAGCTCGCTTACTCGAGACTCGAATCTGGTTACTGACTGCTGCCCGATCGTTGAGGTGTTCGAGTCTCGGAGCTATTGGAACGAGAACATTCGGGTGCTGACCCACAGGGTCCCGTTCGAGCACTGCGCGCTGTGAACGGCGTTATAGAAACGCACGAGGCAAAGTGCTGCATATGGCGAGCGGCAAGCGTAAAGGACTATCCTTCGATGACAAGAAAACCCGTTTGTTGGAGCTGTTCAATGAGACTTGCGATTTTTACACGTTAAAGGAGCTGGAGAAAATCGCCCCGAAACTGAAAGGAATCATCACCCAGTCCGTCAAAGATGTGTTACAGTCGCTCGTAGACGATGATCTGGTGAACTCGGATAAATGCGGTGTCCAGACCATTTACTGGTGTTTGCCCTCAGAAGCCGTTGCCAAGAGGCAACGTCGGCTTGATGCGCTGCAACAGCAGCTGGCGGAGAAACGCCAAAAACTGACAGCGCTACAGCGCCAGCTGGTCCAAGTCCAGGCGGGTCGCGAGGACAGCGTTGAGCGTACAGCCGTACTGGAGAGGCTTGCAGCTTGTGAAGCGGCCTGGCGTGAACGGCAACGAACGCTCGAGTCCTACCTCGAGTGCGACCCTGATGTCCTGGCGCAGCGCGAAACCGAAACCAAGACCCTGATTGAACAGGCAAATCGTTGGACCGATAATCTCTACGTCATTCGAAGCTACGTCCAACGAAATCTAGGAGTTGACCTCGACCTATTCGATCAGCAGTTTGAGCTTAAGCCTGCGCTGCAGTATTTGGAGTGAACACGCATGCACAGGGTGCGGTATACCGTGCCTGCGGCCAGCGCTCTACCTCTATGTGTGCGCTGAGCGTTGGGCGGTGCTGCGTTCGCAGGTCGTCGTTTTCGTGATATCCTAAGGCTTGCGATGCCTGTAGCGTTAATCGTGCGAAAGCGGATTCGTCACGGGAACTTGACCGAAAGTCGCCTGGTGCGTGCACCGCAACAGCACTCGATCCCGATGCGAAAGATCCTATGCGGTCTGATTCCTTTGTTCGTGGTAAAGGGAAAGCACCGTCAGAGGCTTGGGCCGCTCACGCGCTGCTCCGAGGCAGCCTGCTGCCGTCGTGGTATCGACGGCAGGCTGCGGTGCGATATACGCACTACAGTTGATTCGTGGAACCCCATGATCGCTCAAATACTGTTGAGGAATACCGTTACCGGTGGATGGGTGCACGTCGCTGCAGCCTTGATGGATTGCTCACCCGAAGCACAGCGGTGTGTTCCTGCGGGGTGAGCATCCAGTGCGCGTTCTCCTGGTCACTGATGCATTGTGTTTCTGGACGCAAGTCTGCAGCTTTTCAGCAAGATGCCCAGGCTGATTACGAAACGATTTTCGGGAACGTTCGCTCGACACAAGGCCGCTGGACGCTCTCGAAGCACTGGTCATACCCAGTGAATAATGGAGGCGTTCGAGTCGTCACACAGAGAGAGAGAGAGCTCGCGTGCATGATAGCCGGTGGCATCACACACGAGCTGGGCAATGCTTTTCGATTGCCTCGCCAACTGACGTCCGCTCAGCCTTCTGGACACCATGGCGTGCATCCGACGCTGTTTCATACGATTGTTTCTATTCGTGTCGCAGCAAGCACCCACGCTCGTGATGCATCGATGTCGCCCGGGATTCAGTCACCGATGGGAATCGTATAGCGCCGATTCCCGTGCGCACTGCCGGCTTTCGTCGACGGAGCGCAGGAGTTCAGGGCGTGTGCGCAACTTCAAGCCCAGCGCCGAAGGCTATCGCGAAACGACGCAAACCTCTCGTCATTTTCTGTTCGAAATCAGTGAAGAACCCGACACTTGCGCGCTTGTTGCCTCCATACGGCCGAAACTGTCGGCGACTCCGGTGCGGTGTCCCGAATTCCCGCTGAGTATCGCGTGCATCAACTGTTTGGGCGTTTTTGGCACGCTCTGAATGAAACGGACGCAAGCATCGCCCGCTGCTGGATGCAGAGCTCGGAGCGTCGCGATTGGTGCTGATAACAGCATTCCATTTTCTGGTATACCCTCTGGTGCCGATCATTCCCAGCTGCCTACCAGAGAGAATCCCCGGAGATCGAGCAGCTTCATCTGGTTTCTTCCTGGGTCGCTGGCTCCGTGCTCTTGATCTACAGGTACGGCGAGTGCTTCGATGCACCTGGATTCGGGATGCACGAACACCACCATCGCGAAGACGTTGTCTTCATCTGGGCTGAACGGGTGCGAATGAGTCTCTTTGGTAGACGCTGGTCCAGATGCTGCGCAATGTGCATACAGATTGATATTCCGTCCGGTCTTTGACGTCCTCGCAAACACGTCTTCCCGTTTCCTCTCGGTTAACAGCAAGGTGTCTCGCCAGTGCGCTTTGCGGTGTTGCTCGAATGCTTCGTATTGGTCGCAGATATCTGCCGCTGCTCACTACGGTGGTGGTCGTAAAGCTCCATGCAGAAGAGTCTACGATGCGATCATGAGCCTTGGTCTGATATTTGCGGTCTCTATCGAACGGACGCAAAAGGTGGCTCGTGCACTCGGACCCCAGGGAGGCACTCTGTGCTGCTTCTGATGCGAAGGCCTCTCTTCGCTAGCCAGTAGTGGCGCCATCGAGCCTCTTGGCGACCTTTCCCCAGTCTGCGAAACGCATTCCTTTCGTTGCATACCTGCCAGAAAAACAAACAAAATCAAACATGGCTATACGTTCCATGTACTTCAAAAAGTCATCGGACTGAAAAGAACCCAAAGCATGCCCCGAGCGACAGCCGCCAGGCACTGGACCCGCAACCTTGGCGTCCAGCAGGATGCACCAAGTCGCATACACCGGAGGCACTTCCTTTCGCAAACCCGACCCATTGGCGGTGTCGTTGGTACACGTCGCCCCGTACTCCTATGCGCGTAGCGTATGGATCAGCCCGAGGTGACTTGCGCTGGCGTGGTCAACTCCCGGAAGTAGACGGTGGCAAGTACACTTGGGTCGGCGTCGAGTGGGACCCCGGCCCCGACGCTGACAAGCACGGGCGCCACGACGGTACCTTTCGAGGCAAGCGCTACTTCTCGTGCGAGCGAACACCGGCACGTGCGAGCTTCGTGCGCGCAGACCAGGTACACTTTCCACAGTCTCTGGGTTACCTTCTTGACGCGTACCAAAAACCAGGGACGCAGACGCAACCGGGCGATGTGTCAGGATCGACGGAGCAACCGGCTGCTGGCGTAGCTCCGCTAGTCTCCGCTTGTCTGGCACGATCATGTGTCGTCTGGAACCCAGCTGAATCGGCGTTGGTTGCTGAACGTCACGGGAAAAGTGTTCGGTACTTGGACATATCTTTTGGACTTATCGAGTACTACGAAGACGTCGCAGAAATCCTGCAGACTTTTCCGAGACTTGAAGAGCTGGACATTTCGGGAAATCGATTGCGACCCCGCAACTCAACTACGATTTCGCCAAATCATGCGCTCAGCTCTATTGCGTGGGTGTCTCAGTCACTGCGGATTCTACGCTGGAACTGCGCAGGTGTCGAGACTTCGATCGCGGCGCTCGCTCAACTCGTCCTTGGTTGCACGGTGCTCGAGGAGTTGCGCCTCCATGGGAATCATATTCGACTTGAAGTACGCAGTACGAACACGACCATACTGCCTCGATCACTTACGCGCCTCTACTTGGGAGCGAATCATTTGGAATGTGTTGCTTGTCTGCCGTCGCCTGAGCTCGAATTACTAGACTTGAGCGAGAACCCTGCACTGGATCGCTTGGGAGCGCCAGCCTCTTCCACAGAGTGCTTTGCGCCACGGCTCTCTTCGCTGAACTTGACGGATACCTCATTCGTTTGCCTCGAGTTTCTAGCGGATCCCAATCACTTTCCGCAACTACGTAACTTGCGTCTCCGCCATCTTCCACGGGATCACATTATAGCCCGAATGCCGTATCTAGAAAAACTGAATGGTTCAGAGATCACTGCTGCTGAGCGGCGGGAAGCAGAGCTGCGATTTCTCGCCGACTGGTCAACTGCTGCACAGGACGCGTTTGCATCGTCGCCTCTCAAGCGCCGTGTGGAAGCGCTTTGTCGCCAGTACGGTGTGAAAGCAGAGGCGCCTCTTCCACTGCCGTCGCCTCTGCCACACATGGAACGGGGATACGTTCCAGTGGTACTCGGGCAGCTGCGCATGGACGCGCCAGTGCCGACGCGGATTCCTCTTGCATCCCTCTCGCAATGCCAGCAGCAGCAGCAGCAGCAGCAGCTACTGCTGCAAGTACCAGCGTCCACACCTTGGTGGCTAGCGGAACGCATCGCCTTCACACAGTTGTCCGGGATCCGGAATCAGCTGGTATCGCCTCCGTCCGATGATCGTCATCATGTCGTCGTGCATCTAGCGTATGCAACCGCACATGAGCTTGCTTTGCAACCTCAACCCGATTGGCTGACAACGCTAGAAGAGCTTGATTCAGCTGGAAAGAGCCCAGTTTATGTGCTGGTCCACATCGAAAGGAACAAGTCACATGTCAAATGCTGCGACTCGAAGAGCGCTGCATCCGCGGCTGACGGTCTAGACGCGAACGCACCAGCCACTGAGACGCCAAGCCAATCAGTGCCGCTTGAATCGTAAACGATCACAAAAAGAAAGCGCTCCTCTAGGGTAGATTACGATGCAGCTATGCGCTTACATGTCTATGGTTTCAGTCATCCATGCAAAACTGGGTCATGAGTAACATGGAATCGTGCACAAATGGTCGAACAAGTGGACGCCTCCCCTCATACAAATACACACACACATGCGAACGTTTACATGGGCACGGCTACCCATAGAGACACATACGCCTACACACCGCCACCTATGCCTGCTCGTCGAGATCCTATTGCGTCTCACCATTTGCCTGAGATGTGCTCACAAAATCGCTGCCCGACAGGATACCGAGTTGCTTGGCGATTTCCCGTAAACGCTCAATACACACCTTGTTTGTCTCATCGTGGACATGGTAGCGCTCGAGAAACAACCGCACCTGGGACGCAGCAGATCGATCCGGAATCGTACGCAGCAGGAGATCGTCGTTCTCGAGCTCACGATCGTGACTCGAGCTTCGCTGCTGGCGTACCAACATAAGCGTTTCCGCCAGTGCGAGGTATGCCTCCGCAAGCGTGAACTGCTGTGGTGGCTGCGGCGCCGTCTGCTGGAGCCCAGCCCCGGCCGAAGCCATCTTTTTCGACCCGAACTGCGACGGACGTGTCGCTGTCTCGAGTGCTCGGATCGTCTTGCGACTGTACTCAAGCGCTTCCGCTAGATTGCCGTGCCTGGTTGCACAACGACGCAACGCGTCCCAAACGATCGGATCGCTGATACCTGTCGCTGCTACACTGCGTAACAGCGACTCAAGGGCGCTCATTTGACGCACCCTGACCGGGTCATCCACATGCACATCCTGGTCGGTAACCGAGGTTTCATCCAGAACGTCGCTCATGGCAGCGAGTATCGCTGCGAGAGCGGCGTGATCGTAGCCGTCGCGTCCGCGAAACTCGAGGAGCTTGCTCTGTGCTCGAAGTGCCAACGCCCATTCTTTGGCACCAGTGGCAGCGATCAGGAGATTCTGCCATACCTGCCATGATTCAGGGCGTAAACGGGCCGCTTCTGCGAAACACTTGACAACGCGGTGTCGTTTGAGCATTGACGCTGGGTTACCCGCTTCCTCGGCCATGGTCTGCCGCAGGAGAGCATGCCCTAGGTTGCTCCAGGCCTCGGCATGCTCGGGTTCGTACTGCACGGCGCTTGTGTAGGACTCAGAGGCCCAGTCCCAGCGTCCAAGTTTCTGTGCACAAAAGCCACAAGCGAACCATATATCCTGGTGCAGGGGATTCACAGTCAGCGCTCGGCGAAAATGTTCATAGGCACGCTGCCAGTCGCCACGGCGCATTGCCAGGCGTCCAAGTGAACGCTGGGCTCGTGCGTATCGCTCACCGCTGATTTGCCAGGCTTGGTTGTAGAGCGCCTCGGGGGTGCGATGTTCGTCCAGCGGGCGATCTCGTTCAGGCATCATGACCAACACATCGCCGAGCACACAGAGCAAACGCGGACTACGGTCACGGACGCGAAGCAGCTCTATGAGCATTTGGTAGGCTCGCGTCCAGTTGCCCATGAGTCGGTGGCAATCGACTGCGTGCTCCCACATCTCGAGTGATTGGAAAACGTCCAGTGCGGATTTCACCAAACCGAGACGACCGAGCATCCCGGCCCATTCGCGTTGCATCTGCCATCGTAGTGGATAGGCAGTAGCGAATGCGTACCAGAGGTGCTTCGTCAGTTCAGGTCGAGGTTGCGTGTCGTTGTAAAAGCGTTCCACAAGTTCCTCCATTTGCTCCATGACTCTTTCCTGAAATCGAGCACGATCTAGTTCGAGGCGAGTGCGCACGAGTAGCGCATATGCTCGAAGCAGGGCGTGCTCTGCCTGCGCTTCGGTTGATCGCTCGGTTGCCTCGATGATGTACTCCACACAAGACCGAATGTTTTCCTTTGAGAGCGCAGTTGTGACCTGTTGTGAAGCATCAATGGCTACAAGTCCCGAAAGCAAGATACAATCTGTGACTGAGAGCGGATGTGGTGATACCTGCTCAGAGCCGACGCTCTCGATGCATACCGTATGGCCCAGGTACTCGTCGTCGCGCAGCGGTATTGCACGTGGCATTCCCGCTGCATATGGAGACGAGTGAGCGTCTCGAACGACCACTGCCGCAGATTCGGTCTCCGGAGGTGCATCAGTCCCTTGATGATCATGTGCGGAAGCAGGCAACACCGCACGGCAACTCGAGTCCGGTATCATGACCGCTTGGCTACTGGGCACTGCACAGCTCGCTTTGCTTGCCGACTCGAGGCGAGGCTCGCTTCCGAACGAGCGTGCCTCTGCTGTCGTTCCGCAACATTCGAGAGTGGCACCCCGAGACGTTGCCCCAGATAGATCCAGGCTGCTCGCATTGTCGTGCTTCTCCTTGTTTTGGCAATCCGTTTCGCGACGATCAACCCTAGTCGCTGTTTCAGGCGGGACGGCATCCTCGTTACAATGGGTTCCACAGTGTCCGGTGGCATGTTCAGCACAGCGCCTTCCGCCAGAAACCGGGTGCGTATCGGGTGCTGGAGTCCCATCGTGGCTTGTGGTGCTGATGCTGCTGCTGCGGTCGATACGCACACGCAACAACGCCATGGGGCGCTTCTGGTACCGCAGTCGAATGCCACGTTCGCCGCTGAAGCAGATGCGGGCACCTATCCTGCTCGCAGCATGCTCCAGAAACTCCCTCGCAACTTCTCCGAAGCTATAATAATGGTTCATCAGAGAGAACTCCATACTGGACAGGAAAGTTTCGGCGAGCGTTCCATCGAATGTCCATGAAGCGGTAACCTGCTGCATCCGGTAGCGAGGTCGGCTGAAAGGCGGCACCACAACCTGCACCTCAATCGTATTCGAGAGCGCTATAGCTTTCCCAATACTCAGGATCTGGTCCCGCAAAAGCGCAGATGGACCTGATAAACACTGTTGGTAGAGCCACAGTGCGCGAACATACCACCAGGCCTGATACGCTGAGGTCCAGTCCAGCTCAGCGAGGCACCGCGTCGCCTCCAGCAGGGCACAGGCAGGCGCGCACGCCGCTAGCCAGTCTTCGCCATCAACAGCGAGAGTGTCTCGTTCGGGCTCCTTCGTGGACCTGGTGACCCGAAGTGGCCAAGTGGCAGGAAGCGGCGGCCCCGTCCACTGATCACGCACGAACGCAAGTATCAAAGCTATGGCGCGTAGGTAGTGTGCCCAAAAGTGTGCGTTTGAAGCAGATTCCGCTACGAGTACCTGCTCTTGGGCGTTTACGAAACCTAGTGCGGTTTCAATGTCGCGGCGGACAAGGTGCAAGGCCAAGTCTTCGAGATGCGGTGCAGTTTGGTCGCCGCCAATGTTCTCCGCTACAAGCCGGCGAAGATCCGCAGCCCCCAGGTCACGTGTATCCGCACCCGACCACAGCAGCTGCTCCAAAGCGGTCATGATCAATCGAGTTTGGCTGCCGAAGCGCACAGGAAGCTACCGTTACGGACAGCGAGGTGGAAGCTTGGCACGAACGCCGGCAGTGCACCGCCACGCGGCGTCCAGTCGCCAAGTTTCCACTAGGTTTCGACGTGCGGCCGTTCACTGGTAGCCAATCGTGGACGCACAAAAACAACAAGCGGCTGCTTCAGTGCGTGCTCGCTGGTCACTGACGTACTTCGAAAGGCACTGAAGACGGAATTGGCACTGGAAATGCTTGTTGTGAGTGCGAAGCGGTATCCCAGCGGCAACAGACCCGGTAGCAACGCGCCTGCGCATAGCAAGCCGGTCGCGAAGGCTGCCGTCGAGACTCCTGCAGGGTAGCTCTCGAGAGAGAGAGAGAGAGAGCAGGAGAGAGAGAGATGCTTTTGGGTACATGTCTGCAGTGCGTGTTGGTGAAAGGTAGCAGGCGTTTCACGTGGTAAGAGGCCTGTGTTCAGAGCTTCTCTGACGTACGCTTTGTTATACATTTGCGGTACGTACTGGTGAAAGGTAGCAGGCGTTTCATGTCGTAAGAGGCCCGTTTTCAGAGCTTCTCTGACGTACGCTTTGTTATACATTTGCGGAGCGGACCGCTTCAAGGCATGTCAAGTTACATAGAATGGGGCTCAGCATCAAAAAAAAGCGCTCCGTACGAATCAGAGCAAACTTCTGGTTTGATTCTCAGAATTCTTCAAGTACCTGGAGCAATTCGTAGTCGGAGGATCACGAGCGACATCTTCTTCCAGGGCGCATCGCCCTAGAAATCCGCGTACGGTGATGCTCCATGCCATCAACACAACACGGCTTGTGCAGGTAACAGGACAACGCTGCGCGGGTGCATATCGGTTACAGCGTCTCGGGCAGCGAGCCAGGTTATGATCGGTATAGAGCGGGCCCGTAGGATCCCATGCACGTCCGCTGGATACGAGCGCAATACCGCATGTCACCATATACGACATGTTTGAGAGCAAGAACATATTGAATGCACGGCGACGTGTCTATTCAGTAGTGTTTCGACCCGAGGTTCCAACAGGGCCTCCTTGTAAATCTTCACATTTTCACCGCTACGATAACGCCGACCGCCGTTGAGCTACCAGAAAACAGAGTAGAGCATCCCATTTAGAGATCCAAATAACGCAGGATGTAAGCAAATGAGGCCTAGGCAATGCTACGTGAATGCTCGCTTCAGGAAACGCATCACGAGTGGATTCGCACCAGCTGAACGCTCTGACGAAGCGTTTCAAATCCTAAGCCACGTGCTTGCGCTTATTCCGCGTCCGGGCTGTGTCCGGGAACGTTTCAGAGAGGGTGGAGGGTTTTTGATGATGCCCAGGCACAATACACCAGGTCATGGAAACGAAAAACTGCGGCAAGCATTCGGATTATGAGAGCTCTGAGGAAGACTTTTTCGTTCTTAGTCGAGACGCTCCGGAACTGGACGCGGACGTGCTTGCCGGCGAGTGCGAAGCTGTGGGCGCCTCCGACGATGACGCTATGTTTGCAGGACCCTCGTGGGAAGCCAAGACGACGCTTTCTGCAGCAGCTCGAGAGCGGAGACGACGCCGAAGCTGCCGCTTGTTGGGACGTTACGGGCCAACCTGGGCGGACTTGTCACCTGAACGCGGTAGTGCGTGTCCGAGCGTTCACGCCCGAATCGCAGCCGCAACCGCTTCAGTCGCGCCAGCGCAACCTGTAGACCGCAATGCACCAGCGGAAGATTCGTGTACGCCCCGTGGGACAGCGCAATCAGAAGAAGAACGTGGAACTACGGACGAGTCCGGACGTCGAGTTTATCCGTCACCGGAGGCGAGTTTAGAGCAGTTGCTACGACGACGACGACGACCGCTACGGACCGAGCCCGACGTCTGCTCGCAACTCGGTTCTGAACGCACCTCGCAGGCGAGTTTCGGACGAAACGCAGCGAGACCTATGAATGTTGGTGACAGCTCTAGCGACGAGGATGTCAAGCTCGTCGCAGAGTATCCAGCAGAGTCCGTAGAGCAGCAGTCACGAACAACATCGAATGAAAATCCACCGGTATCGCAAGAGCCGATGATCACCGGCCTTTGTCGAGAAAGAGCGATGAACCGGAGAGGATCACAGAGCTCGGGATGCACGGGAACCAGTGGCAACCTGGTTTCTTCCGAGGAATCTGACGGACGTACACGGGATAAGCACGCGGAAAAGAGCCTGGTCCACCATCAAAACCACCAACAACAACAACAACAACACCAGGTTGATATCGAGGCAGCGAGTCGCGATACAGGGCGCAAGACTGCCAGATCTCGACACAACAAATCCGGGGATCGTCGCACGGCCAAAAGCCTTCGCTCCAATCCAGAAGCCACTCGCCAGGAGACGGTACATGCACCGCTCAACCGACCTATTCCTATACGGATCATGATGCAAGGCATGGAAGAGCCAATGTATTTCACAGTTTTCCCGTACACCATACTGGATGAGATATTTGCCACATTTGCCCGGATGCACGGATTCGACTGGCACAACGATCCTCTGCATTTCTATCGGGAAGCCGACGCCACCCTCATATTGAGCGGTACGCGTACCATAGACTTGGCACTCCAAGCTGGCGAAACAATCCGAGCAGTTCTTCGTAGCGGTGAGCTATCGGCTCCCATCCAACGGAACGCCTCTACTGCGGTGAATGCTCTTGCGTCATCCACGCGGCGCACGACGACCTCTGCGGGAACAGTAACATGGCTGCGGATTCGCTATAGCAGCACGGAAGCGCCTCGTTGCTACGCTTTTGCCATGCACGGCCCAGAGGCAGCTCCACTTGGTGTCCTATTCTCTCGCTTCTGCAAAGACGTCGGCATCTCCGAGAAACAAACACGATTTCTCGACCCCGACGGTGAGCCGCTCGACCCACAGAGCACAGCAGCCGAGGCGGGGCTTGAGCCAGACGACCTAATCGAGGCTCGCGTCCACAACGTTCCGTAAAGCTCGGCATCCGCAGCTTCCAGCTCGCTATCACTGTACGGATGGAGCACCACCTGCCGCTGGCATGGGTTGGCCCTCCTGCAACAGCTCTCCAATACGCTGTACGGCGCCCATGTACTTGAAAACGCAGCGATCCACACAGACACCCTCACCAGTTTGCAACTCGCCGTCGTGATACCGCGTCACGCACTTGCGGAAGCATGAATCCGTCATTTTTTGAAACAGGTCTGCGTAAAAGCTCATTTCCCTCCGAGCCAAGTCCACGGGGTTTACCCCTGCAGCAAGTGCACTAGCCATTGACACAGCCAACAACAAACGCCTTTGAAAAGAAAAACGCTGCCGCCAGTGGTGCACAGTAGTGGCGGCGAACGCGCCCCGGACAAGCAGTCTCCAGCTGACGGGCAGACGCATCCCAGCCTTGCTGGGCAGGCCACCCACCACTGGTTTCAACTTTTTCTCATATAGTTGGACTTTGAGAGGTTGTCCAACAAAGTTCTCTCTTGTCTGCTGTGGAGGTCTTTTCTCAATCGCCGCGCATCTCCTTATATTGACGGCGGCGTTAAAGTCTCGGTTCACAAACCGCATACGTTTCTTGCCGTCGTTGGTTGTACTTACGAATGCGAGTAGCCCTCGCACTTTTGTTCTCCTCTCCATTTGCACCTCCGGCAGCGGTCCGTACTTTGCTATGTCTTCAGGACTCCCCTGGCGCTTTTCCATCTCGACCCTTTGAAGTGTACACTCCAGCTCATGGTGTGTATCGGACGTTCGGAACTCATCTATCCGTATCGTAACAAAACGCCGTGCATTCTCCTTGTACGTTCTTGTCGTTGGAGCTGGCGGAGTCCCTTTGTGGGTCTTCCAGCGCCCCACTCCGTATGCTACTACGAGCCTCTGACTTTCAAGCTCTCTCAAGGCACTCAACTCATTGAAAAATTCGCGAACGCCCGCTGCTGACCACAATACGGATTCATACGCAAACGAGCCCACCGGGGCTTTGTATACTCTTCCCACAGCGCCTCCCAAGGAGCAACATGAACATCCATGCATTTCAGAAAAGCTTCAAAGTCCGCTGCGCGGCTCGTCACCTTGCTCATAGCTTCCAGGTGCTTCTTCAATCCAGCATTCTCTATCTCGATTTTCTTCCTTGCATTCATTATACCGGATTCTCGGTAGTATCTCGCTCTCGAGAACCTCAAACGACGCATGTCGTTCTGACGTAATTTACTGTGCGTACCGTATTCCGCACGCTGGGGTACTGCGATGGTTATGATATTTGTGTTTCCGGGGTCCGCGCCAACGACAAAGTCGTTATTCTCTACCTCTTGCGTCGCAGGATCCTCCTCTTTGTTTTCCTCATGCTTCGCCGCGCCAACGACAAGGTCGTTATCCTCTACCTCCTGCGTCGCAGGACCCGCCTTCTCCTTGTCTTCATCCTTCGTGACGGGCGCAGCCGAGGGAGGGACTGGCCGGGCTCTCTTCAACCGCCGATAGTGTATACACAAGGCTACTCCATCGGTTTCAATCATCAAAGTGAACAATTTTTGCTTGCTCACTCTCAAACGTTTAAAATTGAAGATATTCTTCCAGTACGTCTCCCGGTTCTCGCCGGCGAAGTCCTCCCTGCTAACGTTGAACTCCGAACAGATCTCCTTCATGATGCCATGAAGGATTCCGGAGTCGATAGTCCCAAAATGTGACTTGATATTGGACAATGGGACCACGTTGAAGCGCTTCCCCATTAGGAAATCCTTCCGTCTCTCCCACTCTTCATTTGTCTCTTCACGCAGCATCACCGCTGCCTTGGCTTCGAGCTCTCGGTCCAGAAACACGAAATAGCACAGAATGAGGCGATCGTATCTTTCCTGATCTTTGCTCAACTCTGATACCTTGTCTGTTGGATTCGGTAGCCCCAGTACCGCACGATGCTCTTGTATAACCGTACGGATCGCAGAAGCTTCATTCGTGCTCACTTTTGACGCCTTCTTGTCGACAAATTCGACCTCATCTTCACGCTTGCGATCTTTCATGATGCCATTGATAATCGTCCATTTTCCATTGCGAGAGATGCGCGGGTAGAGTGCAACCACGGCGCGTATCATGAAACGTTCGAGGTCCATTGTCAAATGGTTCTTCAGGTCCGTGAGGTACTTCTTCGCCCCGTAGGTGTACATATCCCGGTCACCCTTGTAGCGAGTACCCTCGAAGCTGTAAAAGGGGTGTTTTTCGTGGAGGGTATGCACTAGCACATTTTCCCTCCGCGTGTTCCCTGCGCCAACCCTCAGGTGACGAATAAAGGTTGCCGAAAACTCCCTCTGGAATCTCGACTGTTTCCATGTGCGTCACATCGCGATACATCTCCCTCGCCAAATGCATCAGTCCTGACGACGCCCTGGCAATACGCTTGGAGTACGACTAGGCACGTTTTTTGATGGCGCCTCGCAACTTTTCCCTGTACGAATCCTTGATATGTCCAAGAAGACCGGCTTTCACTACCATTTCGTCGTACAGGTGTCTTTCTTGCCGCCTTCGACGTAGGGCCTCCCCTCTTCGGTCCTTCTTATCTTCCTTTTTTTCCGGACTCGGCACTGTTTTTTGTTTTTTTTCTCTGGCAGCCGGCGACCCTGGGCCTCCAGGATCGTCGACTTGCTTTTTCATAACTTTCCTTTTTTAGATTTTTTTGAAAAAGAACGTTCTTTGAACGCTTCTGTTATATACTGCGAAAAAACGCTTGAATACACTTGTTTGAGGTTTGAAACACAATTGAAATCAAAACTATACTTGGATATGAAGCTCACGAAAATCTGACTTTTACAGCTGAACGACACGCAACTGATCAAGATCGCGTTTCCCTTCAACGGCGGCGGCATGCGCGTCGTGCCAGTTGACTACTGCCAGCTCTGCCAGATGCACTCACTGACCGCGATGCGTGCACCGCGCGAGACGCTACACGGATCGATGAAGGACACGTGTCCGACGTCGCATTAGCACATGCGTGTTCTCACCGACGCACTGCAGCGGAAATCAGGTGTCCTAGATCGGAAACTCACGTAGAGTGATCCCCTGCGCTAGGCTCTGTCGCTGGTGCCGAAACTACTGCCCATCGCCGTACTACCCTAGCATACAAGGGGATGCTGGGGCCTGGCACAAAACTCAGCGATGACTCCAGCACACGCGTAGCCATCGTAGCATCTTGCGCTTTTGTGGGTAAGGCATGCATCAACCTAGTCATTAGGAGTTTCGATAGTTGTATTTATCGTACACAAACTAGGTGTAGTCGTGTACCCGAGTACGAATAATATACGTTTATTCCCGATTCTTGTTATGCATGCCGCACGGACGCTGGAATGAGGAACAGATTTGAATTCTGCTTTTATCCGGCGTCATCGGCGGGCACTGATGACAGTTCAGTATATTGCCATGCTGCCGTCGTTGTCTAACTTATGGTGTCTGCTTCGTTCGAAGGATCCGGTGATCTTGGTAGAGGCATCGCACACATGTAGCGTGCATATGTAGCACCGCGTTCGACCGACGCATTTCGCCCGGAACGATCGAGGCACCAGCAGCACAAGGCGCTGCACCGACCTGAAGGACGGGCGGAGAGGCCCGGCAAGAGTAAATATTGTATAAAGTAGCATATTTAGGAATCTATATGATCCATTTTGCATACGCTGCACGAAACGCTTGTCGCACTTGCGAACGCTTTGCAAGCGCTATCCGACAGCGCGTTTCAAGGGCGAACGCGTGCGTCTCGACGTAAAACCCACTGTGTGGAGGCGCTAGGAGCGCTCTAGAATGCAGTCGCTCGTTGGATCCACTGCAAATAGAGACCCGGATGGCGTGGCAGAAGAGGCGAGACCTGGACACGTTGGTTTCGATCCGCAGCGCCCCTCGTTCTGTCTACAAGGGGAACGCGAGAAAATCGACGCTGAACGGGCACGGGCTCTCTTCACACCGCTTCGAGATGCAAGCATCGCAACAACCTCGGGAACAGAAGCTGATCCGAGCTTTGAACGAGTGTCGCTTTCGGGCAAGTCATTCGATGTAGAGGCGGCGGGCGTTGCTGCGGAGCATATTGCGCTGTTACGACCTGGTTCGGTGCGGTACCTACAACTGGCGGATGTGATTGCTGGCCAGTCCGAAATCGAGGCCCTGCAGGTGCTGGAGTTGCTCGCAGCAGCGTTCGCTGCTCATCAAGTGGTAGAGCTGGACCTCAGTGACAATGCACTGGGCGCTAAAGGTGTTCGAGCGTGCGCAGCGCTGTTCCAGCGCTCGGAACGGCTCGAAAGCCTGATCCTCTGTAACAACGGCCTCGCTGCAGACGCGATCAAGCTCATTGTGGACGCGTTGACGGGATCCGAAAAACGTGTATACCTCAAAAAACTACATCTCTTCAACAATCTATTGAAAGACGAGGGTGCCCTCGCTTTGGTGCCGCTTATCGAGCGAGCACCACTGTTGGAGGATTTCCGTTTCGCCTCGCTGCGGGTCTCTCGAGGCGGGAGCATTGCCGTGGCTGAAGCTCTGACCCGCGTAGCGCCAACGCTTAGACGCCTCGATATGACCGATAATGTTATCGGCAAGGACGGCGCGAAAGCGCTTGCCCAGCTCCTCGAACAACAGACGCACCTCGAGGAATTGTACCTGCGAGATTGCCTGCTCACCGATGCGGGTGCACGCTGTATTTTAGAGGCACTCATGCGACAGACGGAGCAACCGCGCCTTCGCGTACTGGACTTGTCAGGAAACGAGCTCATCGGCGCCGCAACTGGTTCACTGTTAGGCAAATTCCTTGAACATTGCGCCCCGACGCTAACACATCTGCGCCTCGACGAGAACGAACTGGGTGACGGGGGGGCACTTGCGATCGCCAATGCATTGGCCAGGGATCCGCAGCGTTTTCGACTCGTTGAACTCTCACTATATCTGAACGATATTGGCGGCCGCGCTGCTTTCATGCTCGTCCAGCGCTGTGTTCGGATTGCAAGTATGTGCGTCTTGAATCTGAACGGGAATCGTCTGGGATGCATCGCGCTAGAGCACATAGAGCGACTGGTTGCTGGTACACCTCTTGCATCCAGTTTTGTGGATCTGGACGAAAACAATGAATCCGAGGACGAAGATGCCACCTCCGATATCTTCCAGCAACTCCGCATCGTGGAGGGATCAGACTCGGCCGAAGCCGAAGCCGAAGCCGACGCAATCACCGCACAGTTGCACGATCTGCAGGTCACCACAGCACCCAATGCCAGCGAGGCGTCGTGATCCTGAAAACAAAGCGAACGAGTCAGCTATGAACTGAACGATACACCTGGAGCGCACTCCAGCATTTCGCTTTACATCCCTTCATGGTGCGGGTAACGCACCGCCAGCGACGGCGGTAGCTCAGTGCGAGCGCTGGCGCCTCGAATCCACGCGACTTCCAGAGAGGGAGAGGGCGCGCGCGATGCCGTACCCCTCGGCAACCAGAGCGTCCCGCTTACCAGATAAAGTCGCCAAGTTGATGCCGCTGTCGATGATGGACGTGATATTCACGGATACCCGATTCGGTGCCGACCATCAGTGAGGACCCGTGTCGCGCGAATCCCAGACCAGCGATATGTTCCTCCTGCTCTTGCCACGGTGAGCCTCTTCTGCTCGCTTCGTCGGAACGACCCGCGCTTGAGAGGTTGATGGTCTGTACTTGGTCGCCATAGGTTCTGGCACAGGCAATGTGTACGTATTTTTGATGCTCAGCAAAAACCAAAAGATCAACGTCGGCCTCTGCGGGGGAGAACTTCACTGAGCGGCATGCACTACGGATCGGGAACAGCGACTGGGTATAGTAGCGGACCAGCGGCTTGTTGAGAAAACGTGTATCCCATACACAGCACGTGCCGTCCTGGCTTGCGACTGCAAACTGCCGACCCGATGGATGCCAGGCAGCAGAGATGCCGGCATCCAGGGCCTCGCGCAGGGTGGTATGAAGACGAAACCCACCCCCCGTGCTTGGCGATAAGGAGTCGAAGAGGAAAACCTCAGCGCTATCGCCCACAGCGAGCAGTCGCTTCGCGTCCGGTGAGACAGCTGTGTAGTTGATATTTGTGGAACAGCGAATAACCTGGTCGGGTTCTAAGGTTCGTGCGCGGCGCTGTGATGCAAGCGTTGATGACGGTAATCCAGATGAAGCTGAATGTGCATCGTTTGTGGTGGACGCGACGTGACCTTCCCGCACGCGTTCCAGATCAAAGATTTTCACTGATTCATCGTTCGTTGATACCAGCAGGTATCGCGGAAGAGCGCCTGACCACGCTGTGGTCGGTGCGTCCCATGATGTTGCCTCCAGATACCAAGACTGCGTTCGTGCCGCGTCTGCCGGTGTCGGCGCCATGGTAAGCGCATTGTTCACCACACCGGCTCGCAGCTCGCCACAGAGCAACGTTGTGCAGTGTACTGAATCCGTAACTTCTGCCGTCCGACCCAGATGCGGGCCCCAAAACCCGCTCTGTTCAACAGCCAAGTCGTACTGTTGGTATCCCCAACGATATGAACCCTCTAGCTCTCGAGTTATGTGAGCGGGTGTCCGCTCCACTCGGCGGTTGAGATATGAGTCGTCGTCGTCGTCGTCGGTTAGATTTTCCCCCTCTTGCGGGTATGCGTCTGGTGAGCCATCATGATCAGCTTGGATGCCCTCGCTTGCAATGTGATTCAGGTGCCCAACTACCAGCTGACCACCTTGTCCGCCCACAGCAACGTACGGTTCCATGACGCATAGGCTTGTTGGCCAGAACGAATATTTTTGAAGTCTTTGCGAGCGGTAGCGCTTGTCTGTGGGAGCAGGCGACATCTCTCGCTCCGTTGGCATACTTGCCGATGGAGGACGCCTCAATGCAGATGGATGCGTGCTTGTTTCGAGTTGTCTACTCGAACGCTGCCAAGAATCTTGATTCAGCAAGGCGGTCGTGCGCCCAGAAGGCTCCAATCGAGGTCGCGGGTCCATCGCCTGCCGTGGATCTGCCGAGCGCCTTGATCGCGACCTTGCGGGCACCGTACGATAGTTATTCACTCCTGATTCTCTATCCTGGACAGATACAGGGCCAGTGCCGCCAACCCGAACGAGCCGAATACGAGTGTCTGCGCTAGGTGCTTCGCGGATCAATTGCGTAAGCATGCGCGCACTCTGCTCCAACTCCAAACGTAAAAGCTCATCGATCTGCGAACCCGCGAGCATCGTGGCGGCTTCGGCGCCAGTGAGTGGCATGAACAGCGGCAGAACACTCGCGTCTGGCTCGCTGTTCGCGCCTGCGGTGGAGCGTCGCGGACTGCGGTCACGTCGATCACTTGGAATCCTTCCCGCGGTGGCAGTACGCGTGGGCACGGGCAGGTATGCGGAGCTCACGTCGTTGTCGTCAGCATCGTCCCAGAGGTGAGATGCGTCATGAAACTCTGGCAGGTTGGCTCGCGCTGTCTCACCAGCATCTGCACGTCTCTGACGCTCTCGCAGTTCTCTCCGCAAAAGAAAAAGGTAGCGCTCACGAGCAAGGCTTTCGAGGGCATCGCGAACCCGGCTAGCTACACGTGCGCCAGCCGGGAGCGCCGCCGCTCGGACACTAGCTGTGTCTCCTTCTTGAGCTAGCGTGTGCCAGTACTTCAAGTCCAGCCGCCGAAGCGACCCCTCTGACACAAAGTACACAAACCGTCCCGTACCGAATGGATACGAAGGCACGTGAAGCAAGTCCCGCAGTTGCCAGTGCTGGATAGTACACGGCTCGTCGTAGAAGAGACAGGGCGAAACGGAAACAAAGTCAGCGGAGCTGTTAGCCGCGTTCTTGGTTACGACTCTCCAGACAGCACCAACTTCGGTCTCCGTCGGTGCCCCTGGAATCGTCATTGTACAACAACCTCGCAGGCACAAGAGTTACCAGCGAAAACAATGTAAACGCGTCACACTTGACGAGGCCCCAAGTAGCACGGCCTCCTCCGCAGACTCCGGAAGGCTAAAGCGCCTGCGCACAGCGCTGAAACACGAGCCGCGCACGCATCGCAGCGGCACGCATTGCACGCCTGCTGTCCTCGGCACGCATCGCAGCGGCCTGCGTGTATCCTGGATTCTACGACATGCGTCTGCGCGATGCGTCATAGCACCCCAGAATAGGCTGAGACTGGCACGAATGGCGACGGATAGCGCATCCTATCGTGGTAAAGGCACGGCAACGAGAGGTACAGAGACTTGAAAGGCGAATGATCTGGGCGTTGGGCAGTATATTTTTTGCGCGTGCATGCTTGTGTGCGGCTTGACATGTACGCGTTGCGGGGGTCTTGGGCGCGCTCCGGCCTGCACTGGCTATCAGGTCCGAGCGCGGCAAATGGGAAACTGCCGGGGGAATATGCGTGGTGGTGCGGAACGATGGGCACGCTCTCGGGTGCTGATAACCATGGCGTCTGCGGGGATCACTGCTTTATGTCAGCGGTTCTGTGCGCCGAAACACCCGAGTGTTCCCGGTCTGCAGTGCGCATTCGTTCATGCGATGATACATGAGAATGTCGCATAATGCAGCACGATTGACGTTAATCATTTGAATAGCCAAAGCGTCCCGAGTCTATGTATATGACGCTCCAGCGTTCGTGGTGCGTTCAGTCATGCGGTACCGTTCCAGTACCTTGCACCTGGAGCGAATCCAACGCCCTCTCTTCAAGCCGTTGAAGTGCTCGTTGGAAGTTGTTAGCGTTCTAGCAAAATACCCACACTGATGACGAAATCTGTCGAAATCACACCCTTGAAAACTTGCTCGATACGGATCCGTTGTGCGCTATGGAATCACGGAACATTTTCGAATGTTCATCGAGATGAAGTTTCGGTGCAGATAGTGCTTTCGTGTATTGTTTCTGGTAGAATTATACCATAGCCAGCCGCTCATTTTCGATAGCCTCGCCACCTGACGTTCGGGTATCATACCACGCATTATCTCGTGCAACTGGCTCTGTTTTAGAAGCTTATACTCTACCAGTTTCAGCGTGCACCCGCGCTCATGGTGCGTGCATGACATGCCGAACAAATCTGTGGGGATCATAGAGCATCGATCATTGCAGTCAATGTATGCTTTCGCGGAACGAGCAGGCATGCAGGCCTTGCGCGCTACCGCAGGTCCAGCGTCGAGAGCTCCCTTCACCGAACGACGCGACATGTCGGTCGTTTCCTGTTCCACCTCGTTGAACAAGATGACGAACGCACTGTTCTTGACTTTGTGCAATCGTTACTGTTGGTGGCCAGAGCGTGGTCTCATGTACACGCCCAAGAAATCGCCCAATCATCCATCAAGACGCTCGTGTATTCTCTGAATCGTAGAATCACATCGATCAGTCGAACGAGTTATGGTACGCGATGGGGAACGTACAACGCCAACGGGGTGTGCTTCATAAATTGCTCGATTTTCGGAACGTATTCCTTGTTGAATTGTTTCAGAGGAACGGGATGTACGACGATTTCAGAATGGTACTTCAGCTCCGACACTTTTTCTATATCTCCTGGTCATTTTGTGGAAGAATCACTGTTATCTTCGTACGGCGCTTGCTTTGACTCGTTCTCTTCCTGGCCGGGTAACATGGGTGCATGCGCTTTACTACATATCCGTATTATTCCGTGGTATTTTTGCACAACGGGTGATCCCTCGCACTGAATCTCGCCTATTGCATAGGTATATCTACAATGGTTTAAATACGCTCTCGTCATCGTAACCGTCGCGAGTACGTCCACAGATCGGAACGCGGCGTGCCGCTTTCCTCATGCACGAGAAAAGATGTAGCGGAGTAGTTCAGAATAGGTAAAGATACAGAAAAATTCGTGTAGGGGCTGAAGTATGGAGATTAATACAATTCTCGGTTGATCCGCGAGCGTGAGAATTGCGTTTGACAACAGGGAGAACGGCTTTCTCTCGATTTATCTGGGGAGAAACAGCTAAGACGAAGAGCAGCTTAACGCCAGTCTCAGCCGCGCACTCCTTGATCGCTTTTTAGTGATGAAAAGGGACGTTCTCTAAGAGCAAGAGACAGGAATATGCGATGGGGTAGCCTCGATGCGTGCTTCAACGAAGGATGAGATGCCGCATGATCCACTTCTTTGGGGAGTTGTAGGCGGGCACACGACAGTATCGACATTATGACTGAAGTTGTCGTCATTCTCGCTTGCTTCTTTTTAACGAGCAGAATTTTGACCCTTTTTGAGTACCCATGTAGAGTTCAATCAAATATCCCGAAAAAGATCTCATCGAGTGAGAAGAATGCGCGCCGATCCCGCAAGAAGTGTTGGCGTTGCAGCACGAAGACGTTCGTGTGTTCTTCCACCCGCAACGGTCTCTCACAGCAGCGAACTATCTTTTTTCGTCCGTTCATGTCTCTTCATCATTATGCATATCGACGGTATGGAATCTTTAATTATGTATCTTAATTGACAGTATTTTCTAGAGAACGCTTTTCGTGGAATGCTTTGACGAAGTCACCGTCCTGAAGATAGGAACTAAGAAGTTCTGCCTCGGGTGCACGACGTTCAGATTAAGGATGCTGAGAAGGATTGCTCACCTACCTGCCTAATCAAGAATGACCGACATGGAAAAGCAGCGCCGATTTTCGGAAGCTAGCTGTGACAGCGTGCGTCTTTCGGCGAAACTTTTCCAGTCTATAGGATACGTCACTTTTACTGAATGTTTGCAAGAAATAGCAAACAAAAACAAATAGGATATGCAGGTATAGGTGCTCCAGAATACACTGCTCGGAATATAACAGTGGCATCCCGAACGGATCCATGCATCGGCGGCTGCATTTCCGGAATAGCACTTGCGAGACACGACGCGGCCGTGTTGATCAATGGTGAACGCTTTCCGTGTGCTTTCGGCCTCTGTGAATGGCGCACACGCTCTAGTGCGTCCAAGAAATGATGGGTTTTATGCAGGTCAACGCACTCAATGTCCCGCATAGGTGAGAGTCTTTACGGATAAGCGGTTTCCGTTATCGACCCGGTCAGGCGTGAACAACCCGATACGATTACGCTCCGCACAGTATTTTTACATGCTGCCCGCATGTTTTCTAGATGGCCTGCCCATGCCAGTAAGCATGCAAAAAAGACTCGTATTCGGATGCGAATGTTTCGAGAAAGATCCACCACAAAAAAGCTTGAAGCGTTTCAGTGGCGCAGTTTGCTACTCATGCACACGTGGAAGCTCGTCGAGACGAGTCTACCTAGGCCGCGCATTCTATGCAGAAACTCACCCTCTGATCAAGTTGCTTTCCGCACCATCATCAGATGGCCCTGTGCATGCAATGAAGGATGACGAAATACACAAAATCGGATGCAGACGGTATGCGCCGGTCGTCGAAAGCCAAACAAGCTCCAAACCGATCAAGTGAAGGAGTCAAGCTTGATCGCTCCCGCCATGCGCCCCGCCCTGACCTCGCAGTGGACACAAAGCACTCCGAGGAAACAGCATTGTTTCGTGACCGACGTGCAAACCAGCCCGCGTTGCTGGCGATCGCGTGCATGTGTAGCATACTGAGTCTTGGGATACGCTTCCGTCCTATGCAGATCCGAATGGAACCGGGAGCAGTATAAGGACCGTGCCATTCTCGCCATATGCTCCGCCAAGGCCGGTATCCGAACGTCTTTGCCAACCATTCGCGAAACAAGAACCCAGTATTGACTGGAGTCGCAGACCAGTCGGGTCCCCTAGGCGAAAACTTTGTATAATATGGACAGGAAAACTGCCGCGCCGCCTTTCGCACCAGCGCTGGTGCCTTGACACTCATGAACGACGCCTGATAGCTGTGCAATCCGACAGCTTGTTTGTGATCTACACTTTGGCATCTGCACGCGATGATGAGGTTTGCGATTTTACCTGCTCAAGCTGCGCCCGCAAGCGCTCCAGTTCCGTCTCCACTCGCAGAGCGCGCTGGTCCACGTTGTGAATCTCCTCCTCCATACCACTAAAAGTCTCGCGGACGAGCGCGTTTGCCTTCAAAATATCATAGTGCAGGCGCAGAAACCCAAGTCCACCAGTAACCGTTGCACCCAAACAGAAAGCTGCGAGCCTGGAACGAAAGCTTGCCATGGTAGTGTCAGTAGACAACTGCGTTGCCAGTGCTGCCGCGTTGCTGGCGACACGCCCGCCATTGCGTTGCGCGCTATGCCCACATGGCGTTAAGATCGGTGTGCTCTCGTCTTTCCACTCAAGTCTGTGACACTCCTGCTGCGCTTTAGAGCAGGGGATCGAAATCATGAAGCAATGTACAGTATAGAGCGTAGACGAATTGCGTGTAGGGTATATTTTTTTAATGAACAGTTCAAGAAAGACCGCATTCCTCATTCGGTTGAGTCATAACCCAGTACTCAGATGAATGACGAGCACAGAAAGAGGATATGCGCTCCGCGCCAAAAATCGATACGCTCAAAGACTGGGTGCGGTCAATGGCAGAAAACGAGTCGTCGATCACCTTGCAGAATGCAAACGTGTCGATAGTAGCCGCGACGGTAGTCTCTGTTTCTCAAGTGCGTGTTCGTGTGCTCTGAAAGACTGGGATACAGTCTCAAAAAAGGAGTCCTAGTTCACGCACGAACAGCTTTGACCGAAATCGCAACTACAACAAAGTTCCTCGAGAGTTGCCATCGATATGAAGCACAGCAACGTCGATTTCTTTTTCCAGACGATGAGAGTTTCTTCAGATGAAACGGTTGGAATGTATTTGGGTATTCGCGGAGAAGGAGCCATTTTAATATACGATGGAGCTCGAAGAGAAGGCTAGTACAACGGCACCAACCACTTTGTCGGATCATAGCAGACTTTTCCCTTGACGTCTAATAATACCCTTCTATGGGACAACGTGGTATTTCACCATTCCTCTTCCGTTTGAGCATTTGCAGATTATATCGGGCAAGAGCTGCTTTTCATTCTTCCGTAAACTCCGCGGTTCAACCCCAACGAATGAAAGTTTCATATCGTGAAACGAAAGGATCGCTCCGCTGGGCGCATTGCTGGAGCGCTCAGCAAACTATGCCACACACAGAGACATATTTTTGTCTTTCTTCCACAAGTCTTTCACCATCCAAGCAGGTCCTCACCTTAAGACATAAACAAGTGCATTCATTCTCGAGAAATAAAAAAACCAAGGCATGAGCTCGTGTGCAGTCTTCAGAAGATCGAGACGAAGAGCAGGCAACGGAGTTCTTCGATGATAGACAAGCACGGAGAGGCGACAGAGCACCAAATGGCATAGAGGGCGCGACTTCAAGGAATACTCGCTTTGGTGAGTCTAAGCAGTGGCAATAACCCCTTGAGTTCGAGAACCGAGAATTTAATGCAGCTATTTATATCAGGAAATGTGCGGTGCCTAGGACGAGACCCGCGGAGCTGATACGAGACAAGTTTGTGGAGCAGTCTCTCGAGGTCGAATCGTAAAAGGAGAAACTGAAGCCGATCGCAGGATCGGTCGAAAAAGGCTGGGAGTCGTCTGTACTTAGGTATTAACTTACCCTACGTAGTTGCGCGACCTGTTTGTTTCACTGGCATGTATGCTCTAGCGATAGCCCGTACGTTCCGCAGCAATATTACTGGGAGTGAAAAAACAGCAGGCAGTCATCGAACGTTCGGGAGCGTATGAATGGCAGGGTACGGTTAAGCTCAAGGTTCGGCGCTTGCACAACTCCATAACGGCGAGGGTCGTGCCAGTGATCCGACAGGGTACACCAGCTGGCAGTATGTGATTTTGTCATGCGCCCCGATCCTGCCAGGCGAAATGCAAGGGTCAGCCGTCAAGGTACATTTAGACGCAGCATGCGCGATGCCTCTACCAAGATCACCGGATCCGTCGAACGAAGCAGACACCATAAGTTAGACAACGACGGCAGCATGGCAATATACTGAACTGTCATCAGTGCCCGCCGATGACGCCGGATAAAAGCAGAATTCAAATCTGTTCCTCATTCCAGCGTCCGTGCGGCATGCATAACAAGAATCGGGAATAAACGTATATTATTCGTACTCGGGTACACGACTACACCTACTTTGTGTACGATAAATACAACTATCGAAACTCCTAATGACTAGGTTGATGCATGCCTTACCCACAAAAGCGCAAGATGCTACGATGGCTACGCGTGTGCTGGAGTCATCGCTGAGTTTTGTGCCAGGCCCCAGCATCCCCTTGTATGCTAGGGTAGTACGGCGATGGGCAGTAGTTTCGGCACCAGCGACAGAGCCGAGCGCAGGAGATCACTCTACGTGAGTTTCCGATCTAGGACACCTGATTTCCGATGCAGTGCGTCGGTGAGAACACGCATGTGCTAATGCGACGTCGGACACGTGTCCTTCATCGATCCGTGTAGCGTCTCGCGCGGTGCACGCATCGCGGTCAGTGAGTGCACCTGGCAGAGCTGGCAGTAGTCAACTGGCACGACGCGCACGCCGCCGCCGTTGAAGGGAAACGCGATCTTGATCAGTTGCGTGTCGTTCAGCTGTAAAAGTCAGATTTTCGTGAGCTTCATATCCAAGTATAGTTTTGATTTCAATTGTGTTTCAAACCTCAAACAAGTGTATTCAAGCGTTTTTTCGCAGTATATAACAGAAGCGTTCAAAGAACGTTCTTTTTCAAAAAAAGTCTAAAAAAGGAAAGTTATGAAAAAGCAAGTCGACGATCCTGGAGGCCCAGGGTCGCCGGCTGCCAGAGAAAAAAAACAAAAAACAGTGCCGAGTCCGGAAAAAAAGGAAGATAAGAAGGACCGAAGAGGGGAGGCCCTACGTCGAAGGCGGCAAGAAAGACACCTGTACGACGAAATGGTAGTGAAAGCCGGTCTTCTTGGACATATCAAGGATTCGTACAGGGAAAAGTTGCGAGGCGCCATCAAAAAACGTGCCTAGTCGTACTCCAAGCGTATTGCCAGGGCGTCGTCAGGACTGATGCATTTGGCGAGGGAGATGTATCGCGATGTGACGCACATGGAAACAGTCGAGATTCCAGAGGGAGTTTTCGGCAACCTTTATTCGACACCTGATGGTTGGCGCAGGGAACACGCGGAGGGAAAATGTGCTAGTGCATGCCCTCCACGAAAAACACCCCTTTTACAGCTTCGAGGGTACTCGCTACAAGGGTGACCGGGATATGTACACCTACGGGGCGAAGAAGTACCTCACGAACCTGAAGAACCATCTGACAATGGACCTCGAACGTTTCATGATACGCGCCGTGGTTGCACTCTACCCGCGCATCTCTCGCAATGGAAAATGGACGATTATCAATGGCATCATGAAAGATCGCAAGCGTGAAGATGAGGTCGAATTTGTCGACAAGAAGGCGTCAAAAGTGAGCACGAATGAAGCTTCTGCGATCCGTACGGTTATACAAGAGCATCGTGCGGTACTGGGGCTACCGAATCCAACAGACAAGGTATCAGAGTTGAGCAAAGATCAGGAAAGATACGATCGCCTCATTCTGTGCTATTTCGTGTTTCTGGACCGAGAGCTCGAAGGCAAGGCAGCGGTGATGCTGCGTGAAGAGACAAATGAAGAGTGGGAGAGACGGAAGGATTTCCTAATGGGGAAGCGCTTCAACGTAGTCCCATTGTCCAATATCAAGTCACATTTTGGGACTATCGACTCCGGAATCCTTCATGGCATCATGAAGGAGATCTGTTCGGAGTTCAACGTTAGCAGGGAGGACTTCGCCGGCGAGAACCGGGAGACGTACTGGAAGAATATCTTCAATTTTAAACGTCTGAGAGTGAGCAAGCAAAACTTGTTCACTTTGATGATTGAAACCGATGGAGTAGCCTTGTGTATACACTATCGGCGGTTGAAGAGAGCCCGGCCAGTCCCTCCCTCGGCTGCGCCCGTCACGAAGGATGAAGACAAGGAGAAGGCGGGTCCTGCGACGCAGGAGGTAGAGGATAACGACCTTGTCGTTGGCGCAGCGAAGCATGAGGAAAACAAAGAGGAGGATCCTGCGACGCAAGAGGTAGAGAATAACGACTTTGTCGTTGGCGCGGACCCCGGAAACACAAATATCATAACCATCGCAGTACCCCAGCGTGCGGAATACGGTACGCACAGTAAATTACGTCAGAACGACATGCGTCGTTTGAGGTTCTCGAGAGCGAGATACTACCGAGAATCCGGTATAATGAATGCAAGGAAGAAAATCGAGATAGAGAATGCTGGATTGAAGAAGCACCTGGAAGCTATGAGCAAGGTGACGAGCCGCGCAGCGGACTTTGAAGCTTTTCTGAAATGCATGGATGTTCATGTTGCTCCTTGGGAGGCGCTGTGGGAAGAGTATACAAAGCCCCGGTGGGCTCGTTTGCGTATGAATCCGTATTGTGGTAAGCAGCGGGCGTTCGCGAATTTTTTCAATGAGTTGAGTGCCTTGAAGGAGCATGAAAGTCAGAGGCTCGTAGTAGCATACGGAGCGGGGCGCTGGAAGACCCACAAAGGGACTCCGCCAGCTCCAACGACAAGAACGTACAAGGAGAATGCACGGCGTTTTGTTACGATACGGATAGATGAGTTCCGAACGTCCGATACACACCGTGAGCTGGAGTGTACACTTCAAAGGGTCGAGATGGAAAAGCGCCAGGGGAGTCCTGAAGACATAGCAAAGTACGGACCGCTGCCGGAGGTGCAAATGGAGAGGAGAACAAAAGTGCGAGGGCTACTCGCATTCGTAAGTACAACCAACGACGGCAAGAAACGTATGCGGTTTGTGAACCAAGACTTTAACGCCGCCGTCAATATACGGAGATGCGCGGCGATTGAGAAAAGACCTCCACAGCAGACAAGAGAGAACTTTGTTGGACAACCTCTCAAAGTCCAACTATATGAGAAAAAGTTGAAACCAGTGGTGGGTGGCCTGCCCAGCAAGGCTGGGATGCGTCTGCCCGTCAGCTGGAGACTGCTTGTCCGGGGCGCGTTCGCCGCCACTACTGTGCACCACTGGCGGCAGCGTTTTTCTTTAGACAGGCTTTTGTTTTCGCTGCCGTCGTCCTCCAGAAGCAAAATGAACGCTGAACCAGGTGTTCCCAACTCGGACCACAACCGCACACGACAAATGCCTGGTGGGAACACAACCGAGCAGGACGCACTCGCCGATCGCTTGCTTCGCTTTCTCGATGCGTCACCGTCTCCGTACCACGCAGTCGAGACCGCAAAACTGCTTCTAGAAACAGCTGGCTATACTGAGCTTCGGGAGGACTGTTCCTGGTTGGGGCGAGTTCATCCCGGAGGACGCTATTATACGACACGCAACGAGTCAACAATCGTTGCCTTTCGAGTGGGGCGAGCGTTTCACGTCGACGCGGTGAACGGCGGTGAGCTCCGACTCGTTGGCGCGCACACCGACTCGCCGTGCTTTCGAGTCAAACCACGAAGTCGCGTGAGCGACGCAAATTATGAAAAAGTTGCAGTCGAGTGCTACGGGGGCGGCCTCTGGTACACCTGGTTCGATCGCGACCTCAAGTGTGCTGGGCGGGTCATCTGGCGCTGTGCGTCCCCAACGGACCCGGCACAGGGCACCAGCCGATCGACCAGTTGGCAGTGCACACTCGTTCATGTACGGGAACCCATTTTGAGAATTCCATCATTGGCAATCCACTTAGATCGAGAAGTGAATCAGGGCTTCGCCCCGAACCGACAAACGCATTTGGTGCCGGTTGCCGCCACCGCATTGAACAGAACAAAGTTGCCACAGTGTCAAGAGCGCCATGCCACTGCACTTACGGGAGCAGTTATTCACACTCTTCAACAGGACATCATGCCCGTTAAAGAAGATCCGATGAGCATCACGCGTGATGCAGGCGGTATCGTTATTCATGACTTTGACCTCTGTTTGGCAGACGCACAGCCAGCGAGCATTGGTGGCGTTCAGCGGGAGTTCATCTTCGCTTCGCGTCTAGACAACCTGTTTTCCTGTTTCGCGGCACTCGAAGCGCTCCTCTCCCTGGATTCCGAGGCTGGGGTGGAAAGCGGTGCCGAGTCGGCGGTCTGCATGGTTGCGCTTTTCGACCATGAGGAGTGCGGTAGCGGTAGTGCGCAAGGCGCTGCGTCTCCGCTTGTCAGCGACCTGATTCGACGTGTTCTAGCGTGTTTATGGACGGGGAAAACGGATGCAGGCGCTTTCGAGGACGCTGTTCAATACACGATCCGCCGCTCATTCTTGATCAGTCTCGATATGGCGCATGCTGTCCATCCAAACTACGCGGAAAAGCATGAGAGTGGCCATCAGCCGCTCTTAGGCCATGGCCCTGTTCTGAAAGTCAACGCAAACCAGCGGTATGCAACTGACGGGTGGAGCGCTCATCTCCTCCGCGCTGTTGCCGAATGCTGTGATTCACCTATACCGCTGCAGGAGTACGTTGTGCGGAACGATATGCCTTGCGGCAGCACCATTGGACCCATTGTAGCTGCTGGTACCGGCGTACGAACTGTTGATGTAGGTGCACCAAGTCTTTCAATGCACTCGATTCGGGAAATGGCGCATGTACGAGATCTATGGTACACCGTCAAGCTTTTGCAAGCGTTCATGCGATGTTTCGGTGAGGTCCGGGCGTCGCATAATACAGCGTGCGTGACGTAGGTGCACAGATGGGGAATTACCGTTCGAAACGCGCACAAATGATGAGCTGACCGTGAATGATACGTAAAGAGAGTCCGTTGCACGATCTGCTGTCGATTTCTGTACGCTACGAGCTACAGGCAGACTTTTATAGCGCACCCGTTTCGCGGAGACATCCAGCATTGCATATGCAGGGAAAACCTGTTCCACGAAACCGTCGCAAAGCTTGTTCGCTTTCGCTCTTGATCAAAAAAGCCCAGGTCACGAGCGCGGTCGTGCAAGACGCCAGCAACAACCCACCATGGTCAAAAGATGGATCCGCAGCTTGATCGAGCAACATCCGATCGAGGTTCGCCGCTGTCAAGACACCTTTGACGCCACGAATCGACCGCTGTGGTGCGTCTGTCTCCAAAGTGGCTCCAGAAGTCAGGCTCGCCGGCAAAAAAGCATCCTCGATACCAGTAATCGACCGCAACGGGAGGTGCTGCATACGACTCTGTCCGAGAGAAACCAAATCGAATCCGTCGTTTCATCAGCAGCTTCAGTTGGTCGCGGGACAACGCAAAGCCCTTCTTACGTCCAGAAAAGCTCGTGCGGAATCAGCAGGGACACAGAAGCGACAGCCGTGGCGACAGCAGGGAGCGCAGCTTGCCGTGCAGCAGCCCCTGAAAGCCAGCGCTCGTCTCCGTCTGCGCCGTACGAGCTGACTGTTACGTGCAGCGAAGCCACAAAATACCAGCGATGGGTCAGTCGAGTTTTGCACGTAAAAAGATGCAAAAAGAGGAGCACATAAAGACTTCTCTAGCGCGGATAGACCGTGCGAAGGTAAGCTGTACGACGCTCTACCGAGAGCGCTCAAAAGTACTCCTGCCACAAACTGCTGTCCACCAGCAAATCTCTAGCGAATCGCAGCGACCTTGTACCACGCTTTCAAAGACGTTGCTCATCCTAAAAACGATCAGGGCCACCGCAACCACGAATCGCTGTTCCTACCGCAAGGAAGAAGCCAAACACAGCTGCTCCACCAAGGGTCGCCCGCGCCGCCAAACCAACGCGTTGCGCAACAGAAACACTTCGGTACCGCGAGGCCTCGTAGCCACCGAAGAGAGCGCCAAAGGTAGCTCCAACAGCACCACCTAGCATAGCGCCGTACTCGATCTTACGCAGGCATGCGTCGTTCAAGGCCATGACGCTAACCACGCGACTCGAAGTACGCAAAGCAGCACGGCAGGCGATGCGCAGCGAAGCAGGCAGTCGCAGCGCTGCCGCGAGATTCCAACTGCGCTGCACGGCGAGGCAGATGCCTGTTTGTTCAGACGTGATCAAAACCAGTGTCATGAAAAATAGCCTCTGTTGCACATGGAAAGACAAGGCATAGATGGGGTTGTGGAATATCAGAGGGTATGGGCAAAAGATGAGCATCGCACGGGGCTCGTGCACAAGGCTAACGCGCACCAACGGGTTTCGTCTGTTGCAAAGATTCTGCCCCCAAGACAGATACGTACCGGGCAGCATGGCTTTTGGATGCACGGGCATGACGAGGCCTCTTGGGAAAACATACGCTGTACCCTATGATTATGAGCAGTAGCTGCCCGATCGAATGCGTCTGGTCCGAGGCATCAATCGAACGCCTGAGCTAAAACGTTGATGGCAGCGGGCTCGACACCCATGCTCGAATACTATAGAATGGCTCCAGTTGCCGAGCTTGTGCGTGATCACCAAGGTTTGGCTCTTTCTCTCTAGTATAATCAGCACCATCCAATGCAGGATTTTTATGCGAAAGCTCCCTCTTCCTGTTTCTTTCCTCGGATTTGAGGATACCAGTCTCTCCTACTACGCGAGCTTCTTTTTCGTCAGTCATAAAATCTTGATGGCGGTACTCGAGTCCCGATTTCACGGTTTCTACCTACTACTGACGATGCGTTTGATTCATCGACGGTATTTCCGACCAATGCTTCATTTGCCATGTCCATCTTCTCGGCATGCGGCCTCGATGTGCTCGTCGCAGCGGTGATACGTTCCTGTGCTCAGCAGTTTTCAAATGTACAACGCAGTTGCTTTCCAGAGCGCAAACTGCGGGGCCCGGACGCTTCATGTATCGCTCAGTACATGCCCTTGAGAGATTCAGAGGGCTTGCCTCGATGCCCTGCTTTGCTCCGCCCAGAGCCGTATCTACGATCAGGGGCTTCTCCCGGGCGATGCTGTCGGCGAGTACCCTGTTCGATATACGTGCAAGAGCTCGCCGCGCCGTGTTATGCAGCGTTTATAGAACGTGATGTTCTCGAGTACGGAGAGAGTACCATAAAGAGAAGCTACGCCAGAGATCAAGTCGAGCAAGTTCGATCTGTCCACGGTTCCGTCACACAGAGCGACAACGCACGCTCCAATGGAAACGACCGCAGCGATCACTTAAATCCGAGGCCAGCACCCATTTTACGTGCAAAAAGACGAGGCAGGAGCACCCCGGAGCATATTCCGTGAGCGCTTCTATCCTGATGTAGGATATTGTTTCAACGATGACCAAAAATTATGGCGACTTTGTTTTTCGAGTTACCCAGGTAATTCTATACAAAATAATTTAGTTAGATTTCGGCATGAGTCTGTGAAAAAGTCGTCAAGGCACGACGTCAAGCTCGTTTCCGCATCAGTACAAAAGCGCGAAATGATACGCCCACGATTAATCTTGAAAATTAAAGATAAGAAACCACAACACTTCGTGTTTTGAACATGCTCCACACCAGAGAATGAGAACAATGGAGACTTTGAAGTATGTAGAGCACAACGATTTCCGTTTTTTTAAAAAGCATTTTTGGAAAGCATTCAAAATCATCTTGATTCCGGGTATGGAACAAATTCCAGCAGCAACGTTTCGAGCGAGCAACTCTGAAACGACAACCGAAAATTCTAGCACTGGGCATGGATTTGCAAGACGCTATTGCTGTGCTAACAAAGCTGATGCTTCATATGGAACATGGATCAAATAATCCAAAGACAGAAGCAGTCTCATCAGTCGAACGTACCAGTTCACAATGAAACGATTGCAGCGCATCATCGGTAAGCGAACGCACAGCAGCTTGGCGGGAAAATCCTGCAGAGCTGCGTGTTGTCGATCGATGCGTGCAGCAAGTCACGCATGATGCGCTTCTCGGGTAGTCCCGCACGGTAGACAGAGGCGGTGCACAGCACCCACGAGAATCGTTTGATAACCGCGTTGTTCATGGAAACCCCCGAATTAGGTTGTAATTCTGATCTAACGGAAACGCGGGAGGTTCTAGAATACGTCCTGCACCTCGCTGAGGAAGTAGAACGAAACCGCGGGGGTGCCGTGCGCTTCGAGGATACCGCTTTACGAACGGTGGCGGAACTCGTTCGAGCGTATGTGACCCAGACACTAGTGCCCGACCTGGTTGCGTTTGCCAGGCACGCTAAAAGACAGCGGCTCCTTGCAGCCGACGTTTTGCTCTGTGCTCGACGAAATACTGACCTACGAGTCGCACTAGAGCAAAAACTGCAGCGACCCGACTTTGAAAGCGAAGCAGATACCACCGCCGACATGCCGCTGAACGAGCCGCAGCCGGATGATGCTTTATTCTAGTGACGCGCGGGGCTTGTTGCAGAACCATATATCCCTAAGTTGTCTACGGCAATGAATATCTCACAGACGGGTGGGTTTCACGGCCGAAGCGCGCCGCTCGGAAGCGACACTGGACACCACCCAGCATCAGCTGCTGCTGCTGCCGCCTGCGGGCGCCAGACCGCACTGGCCATAGGCTGTTGCGCACCTATCGAAGGCGAACCAGCAACGATCCGTAGCTCGCTGCCCGGCACTGCCATGCGAATAGTCAACGCGTCTCTGCGGGCGAGTCGTCGGCTCATACCCGCATAGATTTCACGCCATACTTGGGATGGCGATCCGCGACGTCCTGCATTAGATTCCATCCGGCGGTGTCGCTTGGGAGCCTCGAATCCGTTGCGGCTGCTAATGTCACCCGTGCGACAGTCATCGACCAGCATCCGAGGAACGGGCGGCTGCTCGGCGTAAGCAGTCTGCCTGTCACATTCAGCCTGGAGTAGCTGGCGGCAATGAGCCGCGGGCACGTGCCCTCCGCATAGCCAACATATCCGCACGACTCGCCACGATTCAAGCATATCAGATGACACGGGCTCGCTGGTGACGATGCCCATGTCAGGTGCGCAGTCAGTCTTCACGAGGGGAGATCTCCACTTTTCGACCCTGCTCAGGTTGTTGCGAAACCACGATCCAGGCACTTGCTGAACTAGTCACCTAGGGCGCGCTGCGCATGGATTCGTCCGTCGCTCCGTCCTAGAACTAGGTCATTCAGCAGGAAGGCGTTTTGCGCTTTTTCCTGTGCGCTCTGTCGAATCATTCTCATGGTATGGGAACGGGCTTCCCAGAAAAATAATGCGCAAGAGCGCCGCGAATGGGATGTGCCATCGGCGCTGCATGAAACAAATAAGGTAGTAGCATCCCCCGGAAAACACGAAGCTGAAAAGAAAAGCGCACCTCCAAGCCGCATCTACCCATGATAGTTGCCTACGAAGCAACATGCTCGCGAGGCGCTGTAAGAAACGAGTTATCGAATAAGCAATCGCTGCCGAAAACCACCTGAGGAAAAAAGCATGAACCTGAGCAAGGTGATCGAGCATCGTGCTGAGAAGCTGCGCCCCTAGAAACTGAGTAAGACCTATCGCCGCGATCCCTAGCGTGAGCTTATACGCGAAGTAGGCGACCTCATTTTCGCCCTTTCCCCGGATATCATACCAGTACGTTGAATTCCATTCGCGGTAGAGATCCAGAAAGCGCAAACTGGTGCGCCGCAGCAGGAAATAGTCCGCGAGAATGATCCCCGTCAGCGTTCCCGCTAAAGCGCCCATCACTGGCAGCACAATCCGTCGCAGACCCGTGGCACCCAAAAAGAGCGTGACACCGAGCGAGCTCGCGGCCAGCGACGTGGCCCCAATGGCAAGCACTGCGGTGATTGCCCGCGTGAGCAACCCGTGACCAAAGAACTTCTCGAGCGACCGGCGTGCTGGCATTAGATGCACGGCATTGTTCGAGAGAAGCACGGCTCCAGCAAAGCACAGCGCTGCAGCGGGCCGCGTCCAGGCAAAAGCGTCCGCAATGAGCGTGGACGGGGCGAACAGCCGCTCCAGAGAGTCAAGTGTTGAAGCGCCCCAGAACAACTGACTCAGATAGCTCATCGCAAAGATCGTTGGAACAACGCCCAGCGCCACGCCCATCAGTTGGTGTGTCTGGTCCTTGGCTCCCTTTGCAACATCGCCATACGTCACAATGGGCAAGGCTAGTGCGCTCCCCACGAGACAAGTAAGCGGAAGCATCATCGAGGGATCGAAGACGCCATAGGCAGCTGCTCGTTCCAATACACCACTCCAGACAGAACGATTCCATCCGGTCGCCGGTAACGATGCGACCAAGCCCGGCACTAGGCCCGACGCGGCTATGAAAGACCCAGATAGCCACAGCACAGGTGCAACCGTGCGGCTCAAGATAACTGCCCTGCCAACGTTTCTAGCATAACGCGGCACACTGAGAGTCGTTTGCGCTGAACGCGCATCCTGTTGTGGGGTCAATCGAAAAAGCCCCCACAAGGGCGGCTCTTCCGAATACGGCGTCAGTGTCATCAACGTCTGTTGCCTGGCGAGTGGCCCGCTCTGGCTCAGCAGCACAAGCTGCAACACATAGAAGACCAGTTTCCCCGTTGACCGAGCAATCGCTGGTTCTACGCGCACCGTCGAAAGCCAGGGAGGACAATGCCGTGCGAGCGCCGTCAACAACGGGCTCATCCCAGCAAACGCTTCTGCAAGACATGCGGCTCCAAACGCTGAAGTGATGCTGTAGATCAGCACCGCTATCATAATTCGCGTGCAGCAGAATATCAACCTGCCGCCCCGATGACCAAAGGCGGCTCTGCTAACGACGCCCGTACTGGTGCCGTATCGTGTCGTAGGATGCACTAAGAGCGCCGTCAAAAGCACAAGAGCTAGCGACGCAAACGTTAGCGTCAACACAGACGCAGACATGCCGTGCCAAGCTAGCACTTGTACAAGCTGAGGCAGCGCTCCGCCGTACCTGGACCCCGCAACCCCATCGGATGCGATTTTCTCTGCCAGTTGGCTCGCGATGGGAGCCCCTGCCCAGCTCATTGCATTGAGCGCACATAACAGCCAGAGCGCACCATTATTGATTGTCTGGGTGAACCACCAGAATGCGAGCGAGAAACCATGCTGTGCTCGCGACCTCGCTGGAAAGTACTCGCCAAGCGTGCACTTCCAGTCCAGTTCGCTGGGTTGTACGAGCGGCTCGTACGGCTTCGAGCCGCCGCCGCGGAAGAGCCATCCGAGGCCCCAGGCAACGTCGGCGATGAGTAGCAACAGGATACCCAGTTGGACGGGGCGCTCAAGTCGTAGTGCTGCAGGAAAGTGCGGTGAAACAAGCCAGATAAAAAGAAGTACATACGCTGCGAGCCACGAAGCCGAAACATAGCGACCCAGCAATCGAACACGAGCGCGAAAGAGCTGAGAGCGCAGCATCCACAGAGCGTGACCCCAGGTCGACTCGCTTTCACTTGCATCCAGGGTTTGTGCTGGAGGATCAGCGTGCACTCTTGCTCGATTCGCGTTGGGCTCTACGTCACAATCTCGCCAAGTTGAGAAACCGCCGCGCCGCACCTGAAGCCGCCTCACTCGGTGCACAGCCTTGACGCAGGGCTTAGGTCCTAGCTTGGCGTCTACTGGTGCCCAGCTGCTTCTTCGATAGGTGCCGTACCAAGCATCAACGACCTGGAAACACTGGACGCAGCTGCCGACGAAGCCCAGTGCCCTATCCGCGCTCCAGGGTTTGCCGATCGGCACCCAGTGCGACCGGCAACGAGTACGTTCCCCGCCGCGACACCAAAGTAGCGGTTGTAGTGTTCCGGATACCCTCACTTCTGAATATGGATCGCAGCTCCCGCGAAAGCACCTCGGTTGCATTGTCCCGTGACACGACAGCACGTCGACGGATACCCGCAAGGCACCAGCGGCAGCAACAAAAGCAGTACAGAATACTTGACCGCTGCAGCGACGCGTCGTCAGCCACAGACGTCTGAGATTGCAATGCATCCCCGAAGCGCTCGCTCTGCTCTTTTCGTGGTATTGCATTGATGAGCTTTTCTTGAATGCGTATTGTTCACGATTGGAGTGAAGCAATGAGGGTCTACGGATGCATACCTAGTTTTCGTATTCTTGATTGTCTTTTATCGAATGGCTTCTTCGACTTGACATCGCAGGATTTCGTGAGAGATCGCCAGAATCGACATCACTTGCGAGGCCCTGAACGTAGCGTTCGTCAAATAATTGAGAACATGATCCAGTGTATTGGTAGAGGCGTCCGCTCTACTGCTTTCTTTGTGTGCAACATGCTCAAATCATGCATGCTTCAAGTTTTCCATGTTTTTGTTACGTAGCAGCTGTAAGGTACAGCAATTCTCGCAGCTGCATTTGCGAGGAATATGATTGACATCTTAACTTGGCGACTGTTTCTAACGCGCATACCGAAAGATCTCAAATTTTGGTAACTCCAATCATCGGGTCGGTTCGAAAGGAAAATCCTCCACTGGCTGAGACAATTGACGAAACGAGTTTCGGCATCTGTTTGGTGCGTCTCACACTGTATACTTCCACCGTCTGCCGTCTTTTCTCGCAGCATACGAAAGGGTGCTGGGCTCGAGCTTGAAATCGACACAGCGATCGATCCTAGCGGAGCGGGTGTCAACGCTACCAACAAGGGCGCGTCATCGAATCGACTTTGTTCGATTTTCCCCAAGCCTGGAATTTCCTTTCGGTACTCGACTCGTACTGGGCAGCAATTCGTTCCAGCAATGCTCTATCAAGTGGTTTAGCGTGCACGTGCGCGTCCAGCGGACAGTCTACTCGTCCAGGGTATCACGCAGCACTAGCCCGCGATCGTAAGGCCCCGACCGGGTGCCGCAAACCATGGCATCAGGGCAAACCTTCCGGATCCATCGACGACATGTACGGAGCGATGAAGCACACCTCGAAGTCGCAAAGGATCGCCCTCAGAGAATCAGGTGTGGTGGTGGACATCCTAGAGAACACCTGGCCGCGGTCAAGTGTCACCACTGCGAATGGCGTACCAATGCTGTATGCGAACTGGATCAGCGTCTCAAACGAAGTGTAGATCACAGCTTCTACCAGTGCATGGTATTCGTCGGCAACAGCCGGATACATCGTAATGGGCCTTTAAAACTGTCATGAGCATGCTTCGAGTGCTGCCAGCAGAACTGGTGCGACAAGGGCACCGGCGTATTGAAAGCCGGTGACAAGAGAGAGGCAATGAACGTAGCTTCGGAAAATGCCCCGCATATGCTATCGCTTCTGATAGCCCGAGGGTGCCAAAACTCTACCTTATGCGCCAGTTTTGGATACCCGTTCCATTGTATTCCGATATGGACGTAGCGTCACCACTAGCACGGTAGTGAATGCTTTCATCGAGGTATCCATGGACAACATTGGAAAGAAACGCTACCTGAATCCAGATCAAGCGACATGATGCGTCTTGGACCGTGGGTTCGGAGCCGCAAAAACGCGGACGCAACACCAACTTGGATATGCTGCGCTCCAGCAGGGAACACGACGTTCCGCATGATACACGTCTCTTCCGAGGCGAGATGCCGCATCCTAGATACCGATGCGACGAACCTGGGCGTTGTCGCTCAGTAGCCTACGCATGATGCCGGACATCCTCAATGAAATGCCAGTCACAACTATGTGCGCAAAAAAACTCAAGCGACCGGATGGTGTTCGCAATCATTTGCGCCATTCGATGACTCCGCATCTCGCCGGATATAGAACAGAATATAACCGCAATCGCTAGAGCATGAACCGGTAACGCTCTGGCCACTCTCTGAGATGCCAAACACTTCCTGGAGGGAGTAGTCCTCCACAACCTCTACCTGGTCGTCGTCGTAGAGCATCCAGATGCCGCCGCTGCTCTTAGCCAGCGTAACATAATGTCCATGGCTGGGGCCTGCACCCACGTGCACCACCACAGAGAATAGCTCGTAGAGGCCATCCACGTCCTCGGCGTCATCACTGACGTTGCAAACGCGAAGCTCCATCGGAAACGAAATGCGATAATTCAGTTTCTTGTACAAGAGCTTCATGTTCGCCTCGAGAAATTTGAAACGCTTCAGATGCAGCGCCAGAACTTGAGGCACTCTGCGAATGAGCATGCGTTTCTCGGCCTCCTGCAGCGTTCGACAGACGTTGCAATAGAACTTGTCGCCAGAACGCAACATCTCATGGGCAGAAAAGTTTCTTAAGCAGGCAGATATAGAACTATGCTGCTCAATATCAAGACTCAAGTCCAAAAAATGCTCTTCACGCCGCGTTATCGTCTCACAGCCCAGACATCGCGTTTCGTTGACGAGCTCGCCTTGGAAAATGCGCTCGACGAACGTTGTAAACTGCTCCTCTGAGCTCACGCCGCCTTGGCTAGGCTCAGACGCCAACAGGTGCATTCGGTGCTCCTCCTTCAAAAGTTCAGAGCACTGATTCAAAAGAAAATTCAAGAATTCATGAGAGTCGTGGTGCATGTAGCCTGCGAAGAGGTCACTCGTTTGTCGCACTCGGGCGATGAAGTTCCGCGGTTCAACCAGACCGGTGTACGTGGCGGTCTGTGGAGCCAGTACTGTGCCGTCAAGCACGCCTGTGTTCGGAGAATGTCGAGCAAGTGCCGCCACAGACACGCTTACAACGGGACCGTTCGAGTTCTTTCCCTTGAGGCCGTGGAGCTCTGCAAAGAGATCCGCCAGTGCTGTTAGCACGTTCTCCCGATACCCGGCTTGGTTATTGCGGTAGGGATAGTTGTCGGGGATCAGGTCGCCCAGCGCCACACCAGACTTGGTTCGACGTCCGCGTTCGCGTCGACGCTGCAGCTCGGCGAAGAAAGTCAAAACTTCCCGACGAAACGGTTCGCAGAAGTAAAGCGCTTGGATGATCGAGTTCGCGTAGCAAGTGTTACCGTAGTTTACCAGGCCGCAGTACCGTTCTCTTCGAGAGCTGGGGAGTGATCGAGCGTGGTTCTCGAGACGAGAACGCATTGTAACAGCCCCGTTGGCCATGGCTCGGTCGCTACGACTCGCTACGAGCCAAGCCAGATGCACAAGCTGACTCTCTGCACACACGGAAACCTGCGAGCCTTAGAGAAAAACGCCTAGAAGCTAACCGCTTCTCGCGCGAAGCCAAGTCCAACTTGCCGTGAACAAACCTACCTTTCCCGATCTCCAAGGGTAGACGCGTCTCAGGAAGTTGCTTTCAGACCGTTCAGCGTTGGCAGAAGCATACCTGGTGTCCAAGAGCAGGCTGTAGCAGGACGTACCAGATCGATCGATGAATCGCTGCGCGGGAGGCGTCTGACCTGCAAGATCAATCGAAAAGCAACTTGTTCTGGATATTTATGTATAAATAGGATTTTACTGGATGATCCTGACGTACCAGATCGATCGATGAATCGCTGCGCGGGAGGCGTCTGACCTGCAAGATCAATAGGCAAGCAACTTGTTCTGGATATTTATGTATAAATAGGATTTTACTGGATGATCCTGACGTTACGATCGATCGATGAATCGCTGTGCGGGAGGCGTCTGACCTGCAAGATCAATAGGAAAGCAACTTGTTCTGGATATTTATGTATAAATAGGATTTTACTGGATGATCCTGACGTTACGATCGATCGATGAATCGCTGTGCGGGAGGCGTCTGACCTGCAAGATCAATCGAAAAGCAACTTGTTCTGGATATTTATGTATAAATAGGATTTTACTGGATGATCCTGACGTTACGATCGATCGATGAATCGCTGTGCGGGAGGCGTCTGACCTGCAAGATCAATAGGCAAGCAACTTGTTCTGGATATTTATGTATAAATAGGATTTTACTGGATGATCCTGACGTTACGGAAGCATCCGAGAACGCACGTCATTTTGCGGCTGTATATCCGGACGTGTTTCTTCAAACATCCTGCGAGGGTGCGAGCGTTGCTAGTCGTCATCGTGAAACCCACGTCAGTCCCGATGCAGATGCTCCATCCGTTCAAGGTTTCCTCTTCAAAGTTATCCAGAGGAAAAGAGACTTTATCCAGCGAGTCCAGATCTGGATATCCACTCGATACCGCTGGACGCGCCGCCGTTCTTGTCGCGTGCAGGCAGAACGGCTCTGCGATACCCATTCATAAACTTGCTTCAAGAGCTGGATGCCGAAGCGTGCGCGTGAACAAGGTCGCACCGTATGCAACGCTGGGGAAACTGCGACTTGAGTTCGCACCAATTGTTCCAATTGTCCTTCGCATGCGCAATTCGTTGTGCCGGACTCCTTTTTACACAAGTGCATGACGACGGGCGTTACCGTGCCTCAGCTTGTTTCCCTATCCAGCCAGTCTAGTTCAGCCGCGCTCTCCACTTGGTTCAACCTGGAAACTGCATTGCAATGGCAACGTAAAGCTTCGAAGCACTAACCAACACCCTGCATACTCAAGGCATGTATCGGCGAACGCACCGAACCTGCTTCTTAGCAAGCAACCTAGCCGCTCAAAGTCGACGGCAAGCGGTGCGCTGGCTGCACACGGGCCAGTCGGCGCTAGACTGGTGTCCGCGGACGCGCTCGTTTATCGCAAACGAGAGTCGCGCTGACGCTTGCTGGCTTCGACCTGGTTCTCGATGACAGAGAAACCAACAGGAACACCCTCTAGTGATGGATCTGTGGTGACACCCTGGCAAGTCACCGGTGCAGTCGACTACGACAGGCTCATCGCCACGTTCGGCACAACACCACTGACCAGCACACTCGTGGAGCGCGTGGAGCGACTCACTGGCAAGAAAGCCCACCACTTCCTCCGCAGAGGGATCTTCTTCTCCCATCGAGACCTGGATCAGCTTTTAGACGCATACGAAAACGGTCAGCGTTTCTACCTCTACACCGGTCGCGGTCCCTCGTCGGAGGCGCTCCACCTTGGACATTTGATCCCCTTCATCTTCACTAAGTATCTACAGGACGCGTTTCGAGTCCCGCTGGTCATCCAGCTCACTGACGACGAAAAGTTCCTTTTTTCCAAACATGACGTAAGCTCACACCCGCTTGAAAGCTATATCCAACTCGGCCGTGAGAACTCCAAGGATATCATAGCATGTGGTTTCGATCGCGAACGAACGTTTCTTTTCGCTGATTCCGACTATATCGGCTGGCTATACCCGAATGTAGTTCGTATTCAACGAGCAGTAAGCTTCAGCCAGGTGCGTGGCATTTTCGGTTTTCAACACTCGGATAACATTGGCAAAATCGCGTTTCCAGCAGTGCAGGCTGCCCCAGCGTTTAGCTCGTCGTTTCCGCACCTATTTCCCACGAAGCAGCAGATCCCATGCCTGATTCCATGCGCGGTAGACCAGGATCCTTACTTCCGGATGACGCGTGATGTGGCTCCACGACTTGGTTATCGGAAACCTGCGTTGATTCACAGCAAGTTCTTCCCGCCGCTCCAAGGGGCCGAAGGCAAAATGAGCGCCAGCGATCCGAATTCGGCGATCTTTCTCAGCGACTCTGCCGCCCAGATAAGAAAGAAAGTGAATAAATACGCATTCAGTGGCGGGCGCGACACCGTCGAGGAGCATCGGCTCTACGGAGGGGATTGTGCGCGTGACATTGCATTCCAGTATCTGTGTTTCTTCCTGGAGGATGATGACCGACTTGAAGATATTCGCGAGGCCTACTCTACCGGACGCATGCTTAGTGGAGAGATCAAAGCGGAGCTCGTGCGTTGTCTACAACCCATGCTTGCAGACTTGCAGGCAAGGCGGCAAGCGGTATCCAATGCGGATGTGGAAGAGTTTATGCGTATTCGACCGTTGATCGTTGAATAGTGCGAGGCAGTGCATCGGTTGTTGCTCACAAGCGTTTCCAATGGATTGCGTTCGTGGCCTAATTCAGACAGCCAAGAATATCTCCTGTCTATGGTATTGCATGGGCGCTTGCTCACAGGGGTCTCCAGAGCATCAAAGATTCGTTTCTCATGCGCACAACGCGCTATCCGAGTTGCCTATGCGGAAATGCACCCCAAACTTCGCTGGAGATCAGCACTAGACATCATCTACCCGTCCAGAAAACGAGCGATGCTTCCCTCCAGCAGGGAGACCACGGAAGCGCGCCAGCATCATGCCATGGAACGCGTCAAGCACAAGGATTCGACATGCCAGCATGAGTGCTGCCTGTAGAGAGATACTCTAGAGCGCGCACCCGAAACTTGTGCAGCTGCTTAGCAGTGGACATGTAGGGCACGTGTGCTTGTGTTATTGTTGACGGCGCTTGCTTCTGGTGTCTGCGCTCGTCCCAGCGGTTGCCGTGAACGCGTTTACCTTCTATATAGTGCGGACGCACAGCATACCGTTTCTGAGCAGGACTCCACTCGCCCATGAACACCGCACCGTCGACCAGGAGCGTCGTACGGATGCTTCCGTTGCCAGGGTGACGCGATCGCTACGAGGCTTCGATGCATCGCAGCCGTGCCGAGTCGTTTCCAGCACACTTTACCGTTACTTGGAGATAAGGCGAATCGAAACGAGGCCCTGTTGCAGCGTTTCCCAGCGCTGACCTGCTCGAGCGCCGCCCAGCACAGTGCCTCTCTGGGACGACCGTCATCTACGCTACCGCTCGGGTACCTAGCACGGAAGCGTGCGCAACCCTTCGGCTTGCCCCCAATATACTAGAAATAGAAACCGCTATACAACGCCTGCCCTGAAACAGCGGTCAAAAACACCGTACAACATTGTAGGCAGGGCCTCGAACCGGATCTCCCAGTGAGCGACTTGCCTGGAGCGTCTCGAGCACTGCGTCCTGAACCCAACACGCTTCGGTTGCGCATGAAAGCAGAAATCCCCGCAGCGAGTCTGCTTGTTGACCGATTCTCATATATGCGCTCCAAGTACCGTCAGTATCCATCAGTGGCGGCACTGCGACTGAGCGAAGAAGCGTCGCAACCATTGTTCATTGGGAACCACGACGCAGCAGCGAAGGTAGAGCTTTTGGGTTTCCACGAGCTCGGCAAAGGCCAACAGGGGCGGCGTCACATTCCTCAGGCAACTCGATGGATGTATCGAGGCAAGCGAGGCATCGGGTGCTGGGTTCTTCGACATCCGGCGCCCGACTCCGCGCCAAGGTCGCGCGAACGGAGAAAGCACCAGGTAGAAGGGCTGGCCACGAAACCACGTCAAACGTGCTATGTTCGTATAAAATCCACTCAAGAAGGCTAGAGTGATACGCTGCTCTAGAGGCAGTGTAATCGGGCTGGACGCACCTGCTTCAAAACCGCACTCGGACAGCCGAGGTGTTTGCTGCAGTTGCGATTTTCGTAGCGCCTCCAGGTGCAGCATGCGTTCCAGTTGGTGTCGAATGCTACGCGCTCGCCGAAGCGCCCGACACTGGACGAAATGCTGCTCGCACCATTCGGTGCTACAGGATGCAGCTGTCCACGCACTATACACCTGCAGCAAACGATGAATATCGCCAGCGGCTGCAAAGAGCTGCTCCTGTGCGCGGGAGGCAGCGAGTCGCTCCACGGGATCGCGAGGTCGAAGCCACACATCACCCCCGGTGCTGCTCTCGCCGGCTCCCACGGAAAGCATCGATACGATCGTTAATGCCTCGTCTAGGCACCGGAGGTCGACCGCTGCGAGTAGAAAGCGACCAAGACGCGGATCCAGAGGCAGCTGTGCGAGACGTGCGCCCACTGGAGTCAGCTGACCCGTTGCATCCTCTAGTGCAGCCAGCATCCAAAGATGCTGCATCGCAAGCACGAGCCGCGCTGCAGGAGGCGGATCCAAGAACTCCACCACTGGACGCCCGTTTCGGCGTTCGAGCAGCTCAGTAGCGCGCTCGATCACACCCAGCTGCAGCAAGTTCAGGATCAACTGCGACAAGTCCGTTCGGGAAATCTCCGGAATCGGTTGCGGCAAGAGCTCCTGCTCCCAAGAACCTCGTGAATAGAGGCGGAAACAGTGCCCAGGAGCAGTGCGGCCCGCTCGACCTGCGCGCTGTCTAGCCGATGCCTGTGAGATTGGACTCAGAATCAGCCGTTCTACACCCGCTAGTCCGTTCGGGAGGAAAACTTTCTGTTTCGCTAGACCCGAATCGATCACATAACGAACACCATCGATTGTTAGCGAGGTCTCCGCAACATTCGTCGCAAAGATGCATTTGCGGGTGCCGGGCGCTGAACGCGCAAGCGCTTGCTGTTGCTGTGCGAGCGACATGTTCGCGTACAACGGGAGCACCACGAGACGACGCTTCGGAGAGGTGCTCACATCGAGCGCACGCTCAGCGGCTTCCGCACGTTCCCGAGTGATCCCAACAGCTGCCTCGACATCGTCCTGTCCGGGAAGAAAGGCCAGAATATCCCCATCGGCTTCCCGGAAGTGAATATCTAGGGCTAGCGTCACAGCAGCAGCGAGATAATCGGTGGCAAAGCGTCCACCGCCGCTGGTCCGCTGTTTCGGCATTCGCCAGCGAGGGAGTGGTACCCAATGTATCTCTACGGGATACGCTTTGCCGGGAATCTCCAAAACTGGAGCATTGGCGAAAAAAGAGGTGAAATGGCCGGCATCAAGTGTGGCACTTGCAATCAACAGACGCTGCTGGACCGTCTCGTGGGCGGCCTTCGCGTTGGAGTCATACAGACGGCGCTTCAGGACTGTGAGCAGCAGGTCGGTATGGAGGGAGCGCTCGTGCGCCTCGTCAACGATGAGAACGTTGTATGCAGACAGCGTTGGATCCATAGCCGCTTCCCGCAGCAGCACCCCATCCGTCATGTATTTGATTTCCGTTTCTGGGCCAGTGCGGTCATCGAAGCGGATGGTGTACCCGACTAGACCGCCCAGGGATGTTTGCATCTCTGCGGCAACGCGACTTGCAAGCCGAGTTGCCGCAAGGCGACGCGGCTGTGTGCATCCTATCCACCTGCCAACAACACGTCCACCGGGTTCTTCGAGCTGGGTGCTCGCTTCACCGCCATCAAAGCGATGACGATGACGACGACGAGTCCAACCTGCCTTCCAGAGAAACTGCGGGATTTGTGTGGACTTGCCTGATCCAGTTTCACCTACAACAAGCACAACAGGGAAGCGCTCAACGAGGTCAAGAAGCACTGCTTCGCACTGGGCGATAGGCAGTGCGGTACTGCCTGCCCCGGGAACCCAAGCAGTGCCTCCATGAGTCTCGTGCACGATGCCACGTGAAACTGCATTTCTAGTCATGGTGCTTTCTGGATCCTGATCAAGAAGACCGTAAACCTCAGCACGCGTCATTTCAGATACTCTGTTTTCGCATGTAGCCGCTGATGCTGCTGCAGGCTCTGAGCTTCGGTTGCGTTCCGCTTCTGCGCACATGGAGGCGTTTGGAGGACACGGCACGATGCTATTACCTGCGCATGGTAGACGGCATGCGTTCGGCACCGAGGGTATTTGGATTTGCCCCAAAGCGCGTGGCTCGTAGACATCGCCTGCGTTGTCTGTGCTCTTGTCCATGCGATGACTCGAGATGTGCAGTCTGTCGCCAGGTTCACTGTCGGCAATAGAAGGCACTGAAGTGCAGCGAATAGGCACGATATTCGGGGGAAAGGCTATCCGATCATGACTCGAATCCCTTGACCGGGACGCGATTCTTTTTGTTGCGTCTACGTTCTCTAATCCAATACCTGTTGCCACTTTTCCGAGTATTCTTTGCGCCGCCGCATCTGCTACTGCTGGTGCTGGATTAGTAGCCGGTGATTGCCGTTTCTTCCCACTTTGCAACGTTGTTTTGTCATCTGGAGAGGCCGTCTCGTCACCACCGACGGATTTCTGTCCACTACAAGCCGCGGAACGTGTTGATGCAGTGTTCTCGTCAGGTGCAGCAGTACTCGTAAGCGCACAAGTCCTTGTTGTTGAACGAATTCCTGCACCGAAGCCAGCACTACCGTGCTCCACATACCGTTCGATGCCCTCAGTAAGCGACAAAGAGTCCGAGGAAACCAAGTCTTTGCCGTGCTGAAGCCACCACAGCAGCAAGCCGCTGCCGTTTCTTGATGCACGGCAAAGTTCACCAGGTGTGCGCCACAGCTTTGGAACAGCCGCTTCCCAGAGACGAGGTCGAGACGACGAATCGCCAGAAAACTTGGTCACAAGGTGCTCTAAAGAGCGGCTCGTGGATTCACGTAACCCCAGCGTGTCCAAAAAAGGAGCCCAGCGGAAAGCAGCAGACACAGACCAGCGCCCAGTGGTATCCTGTGCGGCTTCATAGAGCTCGACACATGAACGCTCTGCTTCATCAGGGATCTCTCTATGGCAACCGCTGATCGACGATACTGTTTGCGGGTATCCAGCAGCCGCAGCTGCAGCTGCCAGTGTAGATGCCGCGCTGGCATCCAGTTGGTTCAGCGCGCCAAGCGTAAATCCAGTCCAGTCGACGCCACTGCAACTGCATGGACCTGCTTTCACGCTTTTCGGTTGACTCGGAACTATTTGCCATCGAGATTTGCGTTGACGCTTTCCAGTTTGTCCGGTGTCCGCGCCCAATGCGTCAGCTTTCGCCTCGGTGCACTGGACACGCACTTCTCCCGCCTCTCGTTGTGCAGCAACCCAGAGTCGCCAGCCGAGTGCTTCATCGAGCGTACCCGCAAGTTTGTCTCCAAACGTTCCCGAAATACGCTCCAGAAACACATTCACGCTGCCGCTTTCCAGTGCCGCCTCACGAAGTACATCGATGAGGTGCGGGTTACCGAGTCCCAGCAGGCAACGTGCCGTGCAGTTAAAGTCAACGCACGGCGACTCCGCTACCCCTACCATACCAAGTGCCGGAGTACAACCAGCCTCCGTCTCTGAAACGACGACGCCAAAAGCCCACACCAGCTTCAATTTGCTGGATCAGCGAACAACGAAACCTCTGTCATCCAAGTGCTTGGACGTCGAGGAAGCGAAACGGGTTGCTCGCACACCCTGGCTCGAAGGAACCTAGAGTATACACTTGAACGGACGCTTCGCGGCGAAGCTGATGCATTCACAGCGAGGCTTGTTGTGTACTGACGGCTGGGCAGCGACTGGTTCACGATTGTTCTTTCAGCGGCAAGAAGACCCAGCTTGTGGCTTGTCGGTTACAAAAGAGAGCACATGTGTCCATAGACGCCTTGCATACGTGAGAATCACTTTTCTTTATAGGGCTTCGAGGCGAGCAGGGTAGCGATCGCGGGTACACAGCAACGGGCGCCATGGCTAGCACGGGGGAGTCGGCGGCAGCCCTGGAGACACCGCTTGCTGCTGAGGCCTTCCGTGAAATGCTCAAGGACTTGGATACGAATGCTGCTCCTATGATTAATGCTTTGGCTTGGATAGCACTCGAGAACGAAGACGGAGCTCGGGAGATTGCAGCGCTGCTGCTAGAGCGCCTAGAGCGAGGCGCGTCCGCGCTACAGTCGGACAAACGAGCAAACTCGCGAACATCATCCCTAGACAAGGTATCGGGGGCAAAGGATAGCGCGGTAGCAGTCTCAGAAGACGCCCTACTCGCAACGCTCTACCTGATCGACTCGATCATCAAAAGAGTCGGTCCTTTCCTAGACGCTGCGCAGCGGTATCGGAGCTATCTCCAGGAGCAAGGTCTGGCGGCGCTGTTGCGACAGCTAAGGAAAACCCATACCGCACTTGCCCCGAGAATTGACAAGCTTGTAAACCTGTGGCAAGATGCTCGATACTTTGGACGAGCGTTCACAGAGCAGGTATTCGAACGCGAACGAGATGCCCCGTCGGTGCCGGCATCCTCAGCACCGTCCACAGAGCCTGGTGCTCCGGAGCGAGCATCGTTGCAGTCGACCGGCACAACCACGGCCAGTGCTTGGTCTAGCGTACAGCTGGCGCCGTCGTCGAGTTCCATGGTGGACGCAGGCCGTTTGCCAGATGCCAGTGGACCGAACGCTGACATCCAAGTCGCCTCGGAGCGTTTGATTCAATTCGTCCAGCAAGGAATCCTACCACCAGCAGAGGATGTAACTCTCTTTGATCGTCTCGTACAGGCGCAGCTGAGCGTGCTGGGTCCCCGCGACTGGTCTTTGCGGCAGTATCTGGAGCAGTTGCGGATGCAGATGCAGGTTGCCATCCGCTCTCTCGCTGAGGCTAAAAGAGCTTCCTGGATGGGTGCAGGCCGGGCGCCCGGCATGACCCCCGATATGCCTGGTGCGCTCATCGGCGGCGTACAGCAAACGGTACCGCCTTCTGCGGCGGTGCCTTCGACGTTGCCGTACGGGGCTGTTCCGCCGGCTTCGTTGCAGCGACCTCTTCCAGGCTCGAACTGGAACCCCATGGAGCACTCCGCTGCACCAGGCTATTCCCTGAACTGGTCAGTGCCGGGCACAGCGGCAGCGGTCTCTTTCTGGGGCGGCGGAACACATACCGCCTCAACGCACAGCCACACGAGTGCGGTAGGCGCACCGCCGAGTACTGACGAGGCTGAAAGTGTCTCTTCGGGAAGCGAGCGTCCACGACGGAAACGGCGTGAGCGCTGTGTTAGCTTTTGTGACATCAAACGAATTTCACCATCGCACGCTGTTGAACAGCTCTACAACAGGCTCCCATTAAAAGCGGATGGTACGGGTATTCGGTTTCGGACGCGGACACAGCTCCGGGATCATTTGGACTGGGTGTTCGCGGAGAATCAGCGGACACGCCTCCGTCAACGCGGTGGTATGTCGCGAAACTGGTTCATGAATGCGACTGAGTGGATGCAACATGCAGGTGGATATCCTGGTACCGGTTTCGAGTCGCCGCCAGCTGATGCAGTAAGTGGCGGTCTGGCTCCCTCTCGCGACGCGTTCGTGGAAGCGGGGCTCGTGTTTGCAGCACCAGCCTCCTCGGATACGGAAACGAACTTGCGAGGCACCGGTCATGATAACGTGGCAAGCATGGCGACGGAGGTGAGCAGTGACCGAGCGCGACGCCTTGCCGACGGCTCTGCTGCGCCTGCTTCAACATCGGAGGCGATTCCGGCCATTATTGAGGACGCGGTTTGTCCGGTATGTCATGAAGAACTTGAGACTTTCTATGATGCCGAGAGAGATCAGTGGCTTTGGCGTGATGCGGTCATGGATACGGAAACCGGCTTTGCGTTCCATCGTCAGTGCTATGGCGAAGGGGTTAATTTGCTATTAGATGAACGTGCGGAGCATACCGCAGCAGCAACAGAAGAAGAAGAAGAAGAAGAAGAAAGCCCAACAGCGTCCGAGTCGGCGTACCCAGCGAAGCGTCAGCGTTCCAAGTCCGGGGACGAGCCCGGGAAATCCGAGTTGTTCGCTGCGGCCACCGTTCCGCAAGCTGCTGTGGAGTATGAAAAACTGCATCAGTCGCATCATCAGCTCGCTGAGGAAAGCAGGTCGGTTTCACAAGGCGACACAGCCGCTCGTGATCGTAATGCATTGCTTCAGAATGCTGCAAACACGTCAACTGATGCCCGCAAGCTGAATGAGCAGCTGCTACCGCACACGCTTGAGTCGTCAAGAACAGAGCGGCAACCTCACGTTGTTGGGGATGGATCTCAGGCGACAGAGCGATTCACAGAGCCTTCGTGCTCAGCGGAAGCAAGTTCCTCGCAAGCGTTGCGGCACTCGGATGCAGAGGAGCTAGAGGCGCTTACCGTTCGAGAGCTGCGAGCACGCCTCGATCGTGCGGGTGTTCCTCATCGACATCTGAAACGAAAGGCAGACTTAGTAGCAGCGCTCGCGGCGGATGCAACGAGCGTCGCCCAGGAGCATCCGTAAAAGGTTGAAAAAACCAAAGTCGCGGGACTCCGAGGCAGCGTCTCTTATGATGGCACGAGAGTTTCGGTGTTTATCGGACGCGCTTCCGGGACGGATGCTGATAGTGGCTGCCAGTCTGACGCTCCACTGAACAGGAGCGCGATTCACTGCAAGATTTCCGGGCCTCGTGTGTGTGTGTGTGTGTGCGTTGCGCTCTGTGAAGGCCTGTGGATCGAGGAGCTTGCACGCGCACCGTACGGAAGGAGCGTTCTCCTTCGACCTTGGCGGAACGGGTACGGCGCTCTAGATCACAGAATTGAAAGTAGAGCGTTTGCCTGCATGTGCTGCAACGTTGCCGAAACGCTCTAGTGCTGCACGATGAGCTTCCAAAGTGACGTCATTTTTCACGACGCAGAATGCCAGGTTACGCATCTTGGTTCCGGGAATGCGGCGGCTTCTCTCAAGTCAGATGAAACTTCCCACAGGGTACTGCTCGCTTTGTTCCTGACCTGCAATTTTTTACTGAACATGTTTGAGAGATACAACTTTGGAATTCCATGGACAGGAGTACAGACTTGCGGATACATATGTGATTTTAGGGCTCTGATTTGTCGCTTCGTATGGGATCGTTCGAAGCGTTGCTGCGGGGTTTCGTTCCGCCGCTGTCATCGAGTTGATTCGCGACGCCCCCGAACACGGGTTCGTAAGCTACCGGGTAGCATCATTCAGCTCATACGTACAGGCCCTCACTCTTCTTCTTCTCATTTCGTTTAGAATCACCAAGAGACGAATTCTACAAGTTTTCGATCTATCAGTTTTCCCCTTTGCAGTGAGCCGGTGTCCGAGCAAACGTGGCGCTAATGCATCCGATGGATACCATGAGCAGACATGAGGGAGAAGAAGCGAAGCTGGCCGGCGATGTGGAGTTCATGAAGCGAATTCTATGTCTTTCGTACGGAGCGTCGGCGGCATTCACGAACCATTGGAGGAACGAACAGGAAACGTGTTGCGGGACGCAATGCTGTCCGTAATGAAACAAGTACCAAGAAGAAATCCTGGGCTGGCGAGGAACTCGAGCGATTCCGATCCGTCCACGCTCGAATCGTAACAAGCGATGATGCATACTCCAGCGGAATCGATCGCTGCGATGACTAAAGTCCGAGTCCAGAATCCTTGTTCATGTGATCACAAATGGCAGTTTGCCGCTGATAGCATATCCAGCGCGGGGTATCGTGTTGCGGTGACATCTCGGTTAGTAGCTGGCCCCAAAGAAATCATGATTTTGCCTTTGACCGGAATCGATGATTTGACGTGGAAACTTCACTGAATGCTTGGCAAGAGCTAGTGAATGAGTCGCCAAGCAACGACGTTGCGTTTGTCCGTCATCGATCCAAGAGCGCGCATCGCAGCTCCAAAGGTTGCATTGGAATAAAATTATGGAATAATTGAAGCATGCATGATTTGATCATGAGACAAGTTAGGAGCTGGGAAGCGTGGAAGCCTTTGCATACAATTTGGATCATGAGATTGATGGTCTACGAACCGTGGTGCGATGTCATCGCAAGCCATCTACATCGCGTTGCCGTGTCGAATACCGCCTGAAAAGCGGTGAAGGAGCCATCCCGAACAGACAACCGAGAACTCTAAAACGGCATGTAAATCCACAAGTTCCTACGGATGCATATCGAGTATCGAGGTTTTCTATCTCAAATAGAACAGTAAGCAGTCGAAAAGAATAACAAATCGAGCAGTTCCGTGGACCAGGTGAATCTCCGACACGAGCGTACATAGCGCACATGCGCGGAAACCATATACGGTCTCTTTCTACCCATTTATTGATATTCCTTCACTGAAGCAATCGTAGAGACAGAGCAAGCGCGCCACGGCATGGTCTACTGCTCCAGTGCGCGCCCTGTAAACGAATACTTTTCTCTAAAGCAGTTTCGCACTGACGAGGCAGGTAGCGTCCATCGAGCGACAGCGCTGTAAACGCCTGCGAACTCGAACATGCCGCCACGTAAGCGCAGGACAACTGAGCTTGAACGTTTGGGCGTGCACCTCGAGGAAAGCGTGTCGGACGCTGTACCCGTGCGACGTCAGGTGCGATCACGGACGACGGAACGTGTTCGCGGAGGCCGGCACGATGATGAAACAACGGAGCAGGTGCATTTGACGGGGTCAGACACATCGGATACACAGAAGCAGCCAAAGCCTATGCCAGTTCAGCAGAAGCAGCCCAGAGCTGCCGTATTGCAGACGCCGAAAGAAACGCTTTCCGAGCAGCTTGATCGTGCGCTATCTCCGTTGCTCCCGTTTCTCTCTTGGCCTCTGCATGATTCGAAAGATTCTGAACTTGAAGATGCGCACTGGCAAGCCCAGCTGGAAGCCGCTGCGACCCAAACTGAGCATTTCGTGGAAGAGCTGGGAAAAGATGCGTCCCATGAATCAGGAATTGACGCAGCACTCGCCCAGGCGCTCTGGTGTCTCTATCTCGCGAGCGCTAGCTCTTTTGAAGCAGAACCCAAGCGCAGCGTCGTGACTTGGCCAGATGTCGCACGAACGCGGTGGACCCAGCTCCTGCGGCGCCTTCTGCATCGGAACTTGCTTAGCAAGGCGGTTCTCGTGCGTTGGCTCCCGCCTGAGAGCTGGCAACAAACCGGTTTGGTGAGCGAGCTCGACGAGCCGGCACAGTGGACGCGGTCAGTGCGGCGACTTCATACCCGAATACATTACACTCAACCAGTGTACCAGGTTTTCCGGGAACAGCCGCTAGGTTTTGCAAGTCTGCTCAGTGCTTTCACAATCTGGATGGAAAACGCAGATGCCTTTTCTACTGACACCAAACTAGACGCATCGAGCAACATGAAACCCGATCACGCCCTAGATGCGATCGTTAACGAGCATCTATCGACTTTTCACATAGAAACAAACCGAGCATACGACTTGGGCATCCAAATGCTGATCGCTATCCATGAATGGAAACTGCGGCAGCATCGAAAGGCTGCACTGCTCAACTCGGGGCCTGCGGCTGGCCCTGGAGCTGAACTGCCGCAGCCACGAACGCCAGAGGAGCAGCAGCAGCAGCAGCAACGGCACTCGCTGCCCGATTCCGGTGTCTGTATCCGTTGCCGGACGCTAGTCGAGATCGAACAGGCCTTGATCAACTGGCTACGAGGTGTCCCGTCTCGTAACGCTGCGCAGCTCTTGGGGTTCCGGCTCCAGCAGCTGCAGTCCGCTGCGGCCTGTGTGACGTACCAAAAAGCGGTGCCCGAAGAGCGCCTACCGGAGGCAGTGTTTCTGGTGGCCGCACGTCTCATTCACGAGAGAATCGTCTCACTGGAACAGCTGTGGCCTCATGTGGTGAACGCGGATTATGAGGACGCCGCCACCGTCGGAACTGACGCAACGCTAGCAACGAGTGGGCAGACATCGACAACCGCGTCGCCACCGCCAAAACGAAACACTGCTGCAGATGCGCGTTCAGCGAGAGCAGCGCCCATAGACCCAGCGAGCGCTGTCCAAAGCAAGCCCTGGGATGAGCTGGGAGCCTTCATCACTGCCCAAACGAAAGCACTTGCGCGCGTGCGCCTGGTTGAACGCGACTGCAGCAGAGAGCAGGCGTCAGCATCGGAGCGGGGTTCGCAGGCATCAGCGGCTACGGCCTCGCGCGAGACAGACAACGCTACCAAAGCGGTCGACGCCGTCTACGATGCCCTGAGCATGCGAGGCATTCTTGCACCAATAGCTGGCGAACTTGCTCTCTTGGCTGCACTGATCGACTATGATGAGTTGCATCTGGTCGAAACCTGGATCCAGCGTGTGTGGCTGGCAGACCTGACCGAGAACGCTACCCTTTGGCACTGCCGGCGGGAGCTTGTCTACGCAGCTGCTCCGCTTCGATATGCCCTGTTTGCCTACATCATGCGTCATATTAGTCAAGTTACGGGAAACGGATCCCGCGTCGTGATGGCGACCGGCGCTGACGCTGCCGCGGCTGAGCCCAGCGACGAGAACAACCATGCCAACGACACCAGAGCACTGCTTCTTCGTGTTTGGCGCCTGCTCGGTGGTCATCTCGTTCAGCGTCCGGAGCTTTTCAAGGCGATGTGGTCTATTGTGAGCAGTACGAGAGCAGTGAAGCGTGCTGATCCTGCTGTTGATGCGCATGAAGCACAGGTAGATTCCACAGTATCCGCCTTCTGGGCGGGTGACGGAATTCTTCCTTGCTCGCCTCTACTTGCTGTGCTGTTCTCCCAGGGGAGCGCGGCGGTTCCAGGTTGGCTCTTCGGAGATGCTAACGCTGCACTTTCCTCGCTGCCCTATGCCTACCGTTATGCTTTGTACCTGAATGCCTGTGCGACCTGCGTGCGTCTTTCGAGCTCAGCTGAGCCACGTGCTTCCGTACTGATCCCGTTCTGGCATGCCCTGTACCGAAGCATGAGTCGACGTCTGCTACGTCGACTCGCCGGCGATACGATTGGTTACATTGCCAAGTCGCTCGAGCCGATGCTCTACAGTGAACCGTGGGCTGTAGCGCGCATCATCCTGGACCAAGTTCAAAGCTACGATAACCTCGTGGAGCCTGTTGTGGAGATGCTTATGTGGCTGTTGCGAGCTCGGACGGACCTCAGTTCCGCCTCAGACGGGGAGCGAGTGCATGCGCTCGCTTTCGCGCTCGATGTCTTCTTCGCGCTGTTCGTCGAGGAATTAGCGGGATCTGCACAGAACGGAACCCAAAGACCTCGCATTCGCTCTCAAGAAAGCGGTGGCAGTCTGGCGAGCTGGTTCCTCAACACCATTGAACTCGTTGTACAGCTCAGTCGGCGCATGGTAGAGCACCTTGCTGCACTTTTGCCGTCAAATGAGAACGAGATCCATGGCTACGAAAGCGTCGATCCGGCGTTCACTCTGCAGCAAGTGCTGCAGGACTGCTGGCGTGCGCTCTTACAGCTGGCTGAAAGGCGCATCATCCGGGGTGATTACGCATTCTACGCGCTCATTCAGCGAGCCCTGGAATGCATGGGCGGCATTCAACCATGGGATGATGAGATGCTCAACAACAGTGGTCTAGAATCGCTGGCAAGGCCAGCGATTGAGCAGCCAACAAACGCCGAGACATGGCGTTTCCTGCAGACGGTGTTTGAGCCAGAGACGGCAGACGCAAGCTCCCCTACGCTTGCGCTGCTCGTGGCACTCGACGCTGCCAAACATGAGTTGCTCCAGGAACTCGCGGCTGGCAAGTGGCCGCTGCGGACGGCTACCGTGCTTCTAGATGCCCTGCATGCGACTTTTCTCCAACTGGCCAGTTTCGGAGAGAGGCAGCGCGCGGCCTCGACAACGGTGACACAGTTGTCTAGTACAGAATCTGCATCGACCTGTTCCGCTGAACGTTCATCATCTGCACCGAGTCTGGGTCTCGAGAAAATCGGCGACTCACTTTGCATGGAAAGTTTCCTGTGCTTGTGTCGCATGTGGGGATACAGTCGTCCGTCGGCACCACTGGCCGAAACATCTCGAGTCGACGTGCTTGAGCGGCGGCTTGGCGTTATGATAGCTGAAGCCGACACTCACCATCAAGATCGCTTGCGCAAAGCCGGGGTCGCGAGCTTTGCCGAGCTCGTCTCGCTTGAATGGCTTCACGCTTTCTGGCGCAATGAACAGCCGCCCGACGGCCCGAAGTCCTGCGCCTTGGGCACGCGACCGTTTGACGACATCGTCAACGCGGAGAACGACCCCGAGCAGCGGAATATGCGCATACAGATTGTTGCCGAGTTTCTCCTCGAGCGCTGCTTCCTGCCGTGGGTCCTGATGAAGCCAGCTGCCTACAACAGTGCCATTGCGTGGATAGAGTTGCTTGCGCAGGATCCAAATCCGACGCCCTTCAATGTGCTGCTCCTGCTTACACTTCTTTTCAAGACAGCTTTTCTGCAGATCGTGGGTATGACCCGCCTAGAGTGCATTCGCCTCGCTCGCTTCGTGCGTCAGGCGCTGCGTCTCACGGATCGATGGCTTCGATACGGACCCGATGCGTGGCAAAGATATCGCTGTTCCAGGGTGACTTTTCAGGGGCGTGGCGGTACTCCGTGTCAATGGGCGCAGTACGTCCTCTGGCACGGAATCATGCGCGAAAAGATGCTCAACACAGTCTGTGAAGCGCTGGAGAAGCTGCCCGAGTCGCTGGTTCACGATCCCTCAATGCAGGACGCTAACGCGGGGTCGCCGCTCCTGTCCACGACGACGGCAAGCGCACCAGGCCCCCAGGATGCGCCATCCCGAACCGATTCGTTGGAAGAGCACCGCCACATGACGCTGGGCAATATGTTGCGGGCGTTGAACGTTATGGTAGAAGAGTTCCCGTCGCGTAACCAGACTGCTTCTGAACGTATGGAAAAGGCACTAACCAAACTAATCGAGCACGAGCAGAACGCGACCGAGGATCAACAGCACACCGATATCCTGACGCTCGCAACAAGCTACCTGGGCCACCTCCGCAGTCGTCAGCGTTGCGCCGCGGCTCGCCAGCGGGCAACAGCGCCACCCGCAGCGAGCAGTGTACCGGCCACGTCCCGTATGGGATCCAAGGAGCGCGCCACAAACGGCGCGCTCATCGAGAAAGCGTCGTCCAAGCACCTAGATGTGTCCACAGAGGCTGCGGCCGCTACGCATCAGCCGGACAGTCGTCACAAGACAGCGCCCGATCACCAAACCGGGGCGGCAGCGCAGCGGCGCTCTGACGAGACGCCCCAGCGCAACCCTGATGGGCGTCGTCCACAGCGCGGAGCCCGCACATCGAGGCCTTCGAGGGTGCGGCATTGGCGCGGCAGCGGCGCCCAAGCGCGGAGTCGAGTCACCGCACTAGCGCTCGCGGGAACCAGCTGGACCCAAAGGACGTATCACAGGCTCGTGCTGCTGCGTCGACGGCATCACAGCGTCCACACATGCGCCAAGCGCGGTCGCAACCTAGTGGAGCTCCTTACGACACCGCTGAAGACAGCAGTAGTTGGAAAGGCTCTCGGAGGACCCTAGCGACGCAGCACACCGGCAACGAAGCCGAGCGTCACCAGCAAGCTCCTTCGAGCGAAACCTCAACGAGTCATCGAATGCAGGCATTCTTCCAACGCGCCCAAGCCCGTTAGGCTGCTCGAGACGTGCTGAAACCGAGGATTTATTGCCGACGTGAGAGAGAAAGTTCACCAGGACACGTGTCGATGCACGCATGCACGCATGCATGCCACCAGGAAGCATCTGGAAGCGCATTGTTCAGCTGCATGTCAGTGATGCACATGCATAAACGGACGTATGCATACGTACGAACAGGAAGCATCTGGAAGCGCATTGTTCAGCTGCGTGTCAGTGATGCACGTGCATAAACGGGCGTATGCATACGTACGAACAGGAAGCATCTGGAAGCGCATTGTTCAGCTGCGTGTCAGTGATGCACGTGCATAAACGGGCGTATGCATACGTACGAACAGGAAGCATCTGGAAGCGCATTGTTCAGCTGCATGTCAGTGATGCACATGCATAAACGGACGTATGCATACGTACGAACAGGAAGCATCTGGAAGCGCATTGTTCAGCTGCGTGTCAGTGATGCACATGCATAAACGGACGTATGCATACGTACGAACAGGAAGCATCTGGAAGCGCATTGTTCAGCTGCGTGTCAGTGATGCACATGCATAAACGGACGTATGCATACGTACGAACAGGAAGCATCTGGAAGCGCATTGTTCAGCTGCGTGTCAGTGATGCACGTGCATAAACGGGCGTATGCATACGTACGAACAGGAAGCATCTGGAAGCGCATTGTTCAGCTGCGTGTCAGTGATGCACGTGCATAAACGGGCGTATGCATACGTACGAACAGGAAGCATCTGGAAGCGCATTGTTCAGCTGCGTGTCAGTGATGCACGTGCATAAACGGGCGTATGCATACGTACGAACAGGAAGCATCTGGAAGCGCATTGTTCAGCTGCGTGTCAGTGATGCACGTGCATAAACGGGCGTATGCATACGTACGAACAGGAAGCATCTGGAAGCGCATTGTTCAGCTGCATGTCAGTGATGCACATGCATAAACGGACGTATGCATACGTACGAACAGGAAGCATCTGGAAGCGCATTGTTCAGCTGCGTGTCAGTGATGCACATGCATAAACGGACGTATGCATACGTACGAACAGGAAGCATCTGGAAGCGCATTGTTCAGCTGCGTGTCAGTGATGCACATGCATAAACGGACGTATGCATACGTACGAACAGGAAGCATCTGGAAGCGCATTGTTCAGCTGCGTGTCAGTGATGCACATGCATAAACGGGCGTATGCATACGTACGAACAGGAAGCATCTGGAAGCGCATTGTTCAGCTGCGTGTCAGTGATGCACATGCATAAACGGGCGTATGCATACGTACGAACAGGAAGCATCTGGAAGCGCATTGTTCAGCTGCGTGTCAGTGATGCACGTGCATAAACGGGCGTATGCATACGTACGAACAGGAAGCATCTGGAAGCGCATTGTTCAGCTGCGTGTCAGTGATGCACGTGCATAAACGGGCGTATGCATACGTACGAACAGGAAGCATCTGGAAGCGCATTGTTCAGCTGCGTGTCAGTGATGCACGTGCATAAACGGGCGTATGCATACGTACGAACAGGAAGCATCTGGAAGCGCATTGTTCAGCTGCATGTCAGTGATGCACATGCATAAACGGACGTATGCATACGTACGAACAGGAAGCATCTGGAAGCGCATTGTTCAGCTGCGTGTCAGTGATGCACATGCATAAACGGACGTATGCATACGTACGAACAGGAAGCATCTGGAAGCGCATTGTTCAGCTGCGTGTCAGTGATGCACATGCATAAACGGGCGTATGCATACGTACGAACAGGAAGCATCTGGAAGCGCATTGTTCAGCTGCATGTCAGTGATGCACATGCATAAACGGACGTATGCATACGTACGAACAGGAAGCATCTGGAAGCGCATTGTTCAGCTGCGTGTCAGTGATGCACATGCATAAACGGACGTATGCATACGTACGACCAGGAAGCATCTGGAAGCGCATTGTTCAGCTGCGTGTCAGTGATGCACATGCATAAACGGACGTCAAGTTCCCAAAGCAAGCTCTCATCAATAAACAGACGCACAAGAGGGCTTGGCGCAAGTGCCTCAATGTTGCCGATACCAGCGTTGGCAGTTGGGGCAGGTGCCGGCATCCCGCACTTTGGATGCGCCCAGCGTTTCACGTCCAACGCGAGCTGTGCGATCGCGAGCACGAGAAGGCTTCAAGTGTCCATTACTAGGCGAGATGCCGTATTAAGATGCATACTTTAGACCATGGCGTCAACAAGCGACGCGGTTTGGCCAAGTCGCTCACCAAGCGACAAGGCAAGCCCCTGGGTCTTGCTCCGGATCCGAACCGTGCCCTGGATCGTGCCATCTGCAAGGCGCTCTGCGCTGAGATTCGCCAGCACATGCTCGCCAAAGACACTCGTTGCGTACAGGTTTGCGGCCAAAAAACCGCTCTTGTTGTTCGCATGGCGCGGGCTCTGACAACGCATGTGCAACGTCTCGGAAACGAGCGCAAGTACTGCGTCGAGGCTACCCAGCCGGGAACGGATCGTCACCTTATTCTCCCATTCAAACTCTTCCCACATACTGCAAAATAGAGCCTCGTTGATTTCGCTTGGTTGCAGGTACTCGATGACATCGAGATGGATTTCGTGCAGCGCTATCACACAACCGGAACCGTCTTCAACGCCGCTGTTTGCCGCTGAACGTCCATAGTCGAATACGAGATTGCCGAATATCACTCCCGTATCCGTCGACGACACTTTTAGTGCCACACGTATTTGTTTGGACTCGTGTGGCCCCAGGACCAGCGGACTCGGTCGCTCGCACAGTCGCAAATCGCCCAGCGTAAATAACTCGACGCATACGTTCTGCAACAGGTGCTCCGTTTGGTTCAGCAACCACAGGTCTAGGAGGATGTCGAACTGGTGCATGGTGATCTGTGCTTCCACGTAGACGGGATCGCTGAGCCCCGACAGCGCATGCAGGTGGCGCAGATGCAGGTCGCGCAGCGCGGCGCGACGTCTCTGGTCACCGCACGCCGCGAGTTCGATGTCGTCCACGTTCGGGTCTGTAGCGGGAACGACAGCGGCCGGTGTACCAGAACGGCCAAGCGCACCGATACTCGTAGCAAATTGCGCTCGTTGGCCTCGGTTCATCGCCATACTGCTAGCACGTCGCGCTTGGAGCAGTCGGAAATCAACGAGCGCCTCCACGGGGAGCTGCTCATCGAGGGCGCGCGCTTTGGCTTTAGCATCCTCGGAGGCGCGGTGGCGTTTCAGCATTTCACAAAATGCCAGATGAGAGCTCTCCAACCAAACGTGGTACGTGAGTGCATCGAGGCTGCCTTGCATGGCCTGAAGTAGCACCTGGAGGCATGATTGGATCCGCTGTGCTGTGTCCTCGTCGAGACGGGTGACGGTCTCCGCGTGCAGCCGATCCCGCCCGAGACGCAGCAGCGACGCGCCCAACAACAGCGCATAAGCCATCGCGCGGCGGCAGACCGCCGGGGTGCAATGCAGATCGGCGGCTTCCGACCTCACCTGACTGAGGCGCAGGGCGAGTTTCGTCAGCGCTGTCATAACAGAAACCCAAAGGAAGTGATCACCCTGCAACAACATGCGACGTAGTGCAGGCGTCGAGAGCGCATCCGCATCACGGAGCGTTACATAGCTACTGTCGCCGAGACTTAGCTCGCTGCCTTGAAACGCGTCCGCAGTCTCGGTTGCGTACGTTCCATCGGGGAGCACGCGCGGCCGCGACGACGTATTCGTCACCTTTTTGGAGCTGATTGCTGTGCTGCTCATCGACGCCGACGCGCTCGTGGGCGTGGCTGACCATGCCCTATCCGCCAATTCTATGGGAGGCACCGCCATTTGCGAGTCCTCATGCTCAAGTTCAGTGGGAGCCAGCGCCTTGTCGCTGCCCGAACCTGTCAACGGCAGATGACCGATCTGCTGCGAAATAGCCGCAAACGCCTCCATGGCTTCGCTCGGCTTCGCACAAAACTCACAAAGTGTCCAAAGTACTCCACGAAAAACGCGGACAGCGCGAATCAGAGGTAGTGCAACCAGCAAATGCCGCAGCACGGGTTCGCGCATTTCCACATAGCGCTCACCGAGCTCTCGCAGAAACGAGACTACATCGAGTCCAGCGAGGCCAACTGCGTCTCCCATAAAATCCGTAAGTGTGCCCAGGATCTTCGCGGCAATTTCCGGATAATGAATTACGGACTGATGGATGGCTCGAATGAGCATCCGCCGATAGTTCAGCGCTGCATCGGAGGCAGAATCCTCCGCGGAGATATTGTCCGCCAGTCGATGCAGCTCCTTGCGCAAAGCAGAGGCCACTTCCTCTACATTTCGAGGCCCGATCATGTCCATGACAAGATCAAGCACACGCTGCCGCACATGCAGGTCCGGGGCTGAGAGCGCTCGCAACAGTTCTGTGAGCTGTTCCTGAATGATCGGGGCGAAGTGTTGCCTCAGGTCTGTTATACGATCAAGCAAGATGAGCTTGACGTTATTGTCGCTCTGCGTCACAAGCAAGTTACAGTACGTCGATACGGCAGCACGAACAGCTGTAGGCGCTGCACTCAATCGGACCAGCACCTGCGCTGCCTCGAAAGCTACAGATGCATTCGATGACTGTAGCAATGCGAAAATGAGCTTCACGAACGTGCCTCTCTCCGCCAGTTCATCTGTTCGAAAGCGGCGCACAAGTTCTAGAGCGGCAAGCTGCATAGGTTCACTCCATGAAGGCAGCTGCTCAGCATGCTGGAGAAGGTATTTTGCAGCCTGACGTTGATCCGCCTGAATCAATACCAGGAACGCGTTCCTTCGGCAATTCTGATCGTTTTCGTTTTCCAGATATTGTACGATGTGCTCAGCTGCGTCAGGTATGAGCTGCGGGAAACGTCGCTGTATCGCACCGATTGCCAGCAGTGCGTTACGGCGAACGTAAGCGTGACGGTGTTCGAGGTTTTGCCGAATAGCCGGCACGAGTGGCTCCAGTAACTCCGCCTCATTCAGCTTACAACAAAGACGTAGCGCGCAACCCCGCGAGTACTCATTCGGATGAATAAGCTCGTTTCGCAGTAAATTGCAGACCAAGATCATCTCTGGCAGCATCTTGCCGTCACGACCAGTCTTATCAACGATCTCGAGATAAATGAAACACAACTTTCGAAGCTGATTATCCTCGTTCGGTAAGACATATCGAATGACCGCCATGAGAAGCGAGCCTTGCTGCGTCGCAGGGATTTCACCGTTCAGCTGCATGAGAATGAGTACGCGTAGCGTTATGACCTTATCTGCGACGTCGGTGGACTCCAGCCCCTGACGCAGATCGTTCACCGTCCAAGCGGCACCTTGGGCAGCGAGCTTCCGGATTCGCGACAGCCCGAGCCCCAATACAGACTCCACCAGACCATCCTCCCCAGTGGCTCCGTCCTCGGAACCGTCACCAGACTCATAGCCGTTGCTTGCTGCAGCAGTTGCCGCTGCCGCCGCCTCGGCAGCTGCCGAGAGCACGTTTCCGACGAAGCGTTCCACCTTGGCTAACGCGCTGCCTTGGATGCCTCCTATTCTGCTGAGGGACTCGCGGGATAAGGCAGCAGCTGTGGATCGAGCAGGAAGTTTGGTAAGCGCTACTGGTACCCCAGGCAGGGCACCCGCTTCAGCAACGTTCGCATCAGACGCGGTCGGACCTTCCAGCGTGCTCTCCATAGCGCTGCCACCGAGACGCCGCTCGCCCAAGCTTGAGCGCAACAGAATCGGTACACCCTTCTCATAACTGATCAAGAGTGTGCATTGCTTCTCCAAAGCGGTCGTCATCGCAAGGACTTGCCCCAGCCAGTGGACGTCGCAGAGCGTCGCTGAACGGTGCGTACAGCTGCTGTCCAGCACCGGCGCTCTCGCGCAAATGTACGAGAAACCGCCTGGCGATATGCGCGCGCAACGCGCTCAGTCACGACATCGATTGTGACACCTCATCGCTTACAGTGCATGTAGCGGCGGCGGCGGCGGCGGCGGCGGCGGCGGCGGCAGGGATGGAATATTTTTGGTTTGACAAAGCGATTCCGTGTAGCCTGGATCCTAGATGGCGGAATAGATATCGGTATTCGGCAAAGCGTCTACCGTGCAGCGCTCTAGCTCCCAGTTCCATGACCCATACCTCCTCTCGGATATGCTGGTCGTTCCGTACGTTCTATCGTTTCTTGGCACTGCCGTTTGGGTTGTGTTCCGCGTGAGTACAACAACTGCCAGTGGATACACAGGTGTCGCTCTCCGCGCATCATCGCCGGGATTGTCCCAAGTCACAGACTAGTCACAGACTAGACGGCAGCTCTCAGAGAGGCACCTTGATGCCCAGTGCACGTGCTGGACATGCGCAATGACAGTGTACTCATGAAGCGCTAATCATCTCTCCAAAAGAAGCTTTTCGGAGTTCTGCATACTTAGCGGATTCTAGAAAAGACGATTCCCCAGAGATGGAGCAATCGTTTCTCTCAATATTGTACTCGAGCGCGACGAGAAAAACCTGCTTGCAGAGTCGTACGTTCGAGCATCCGAAGCGGCAGCGCACTTTTTCCATGTCATCTCCAGAACGGCCTCGACTCTGTGTTGCGAACGGAAAGCTGGGGGTGCCTCGATCCCGATCGTTTTAGAAGACGCTGCTTGCCCTGCTTTCCTGGGCAGAGTACGTGCCTTTGGTCGTGATCCAACGAATCGTCTTTACGGTCTCAGATTGGCCGCTCGCTCTCGTTCATCCACCAGAACCTGTTTCAGCTAGTTTGAGGAACGCCCTAAAGAAGGTGTCGTGCTTCCCGTTGGACTGGCAATCGTACGGAACGCCTCACGAGCACCCGAATACTTCCAATCAACCGCTTCAATATTAAGCAGTACAGAGTCCGCATCAAATACAAATTTGATAGGAAGACCGGCCAGCATCAGGGTACGTCCAGTCATCCGCAGCAAATTGCCGGCGTACTGGTAGACGCCGCTGCGTGCAGCCTCTATCGCACCGGTCAGGGTATTCCGTTGCATCACACCAGGACACCACTCTTCTACTTCGTAGACTCGCTCGGCATCAAGTCCTCGCAGGCGTAAGCGAGGCTCCAGCCGCCCAACTTCGCGTATCTGGTTGAACGCGAACACTAACGCACGGTTGCGATCCGCGGAAACGTACATCCAGGCACAATTCTGGGTGCGAAACGGACACCACAGCCGATACATATCTCCAAACAGTACAACCGGAGCAACCTGCCGATACAATTCAATGTAGTGTCGAATCTCTCGGAGCTCATCCTCAGACAGGACACGCGGGTCTAATTCATACCCAAAAGTACCGCACATGGCAACCAGAGATCGCGTCTTCATCGGAGCGCTCCGCAGCGTCTGGTGATTCGGCACGGTGGACACGTGCGCGGCAATTGCCTTGGCGGGTGCCCAGAGCGAGGTGCCCGCCTGGATCCGCATCCGACTCGACGCATCCGTATTGTCGCTGGTCCATATCTGGGAGCTGTAGTACAGAAGGCCAGCATCGAAGCGGCCGCCGCCACCGGCACAAGTCTCGAAAAACACGTCAGGAAACTGCTCCTGAATACGGCCCAGTACTTCGTAGAGCCCGAGAATATAGCGATGCGCAATCTCGCCTTGTCGTTCAGGCGGATGCACTGCGCTGTAGACTTCCGTCAGGAACCGATTATTATCCCATTTGATATAGCTGATTGCACACGAGCTTAGAATCGTGCTCATGGTGTCGACGAGCCAATCGCGAACTTCGCTGCGTGTCAGGTCGAGCACCAGCTGGTTGCGGCCCATGGTCTTGCCGCGACTTGGAATATGCAGCGCCCAGTCCGGGTGCGCCTTGAAAAGGTCCGATTCGACGGAGACCATCTCTGGCTCGACCCAGAGACCGACCTTGAGACCCGTGGCGGTCAGCTCGCGAACCAAACCATGCAGACCGAAAGGCAACTTGGTCGGGTTCGGGTACCAATCGCCCAGGCCGTCCGAGGTGTCGTTGCGTCGGCCAAACCAGCCGTCGTCAATGACGATCATCTCAATTCCAGCACGTTTCGCTACCTCTGCGATCTTCAGTACGGACTCGTGCGAGAGCTGGAAATACAGCGCCTCCCAGGTATTGAGAAGCACCGGCGGGATGTATGTGCGGAACTGCGGCGGCTGCAGGCGATCCCGTATCAGCCGATGGTATCGACGACTCATCTCTCCGATGCCTTGCGCACTGTACGTAAGGATCACCTCTGGCGTGATGAATTCCTCATCAGGCTCGAGGTTCCAGTAGAAGCCCTGGGGATGAATGCCAATATTCAGGCGCGTACGCCCGGTCTCGCTCACCTCACACTCCACGAGAAAATTTCCCGAGTAGACGAGTAGCGCAGCGAACGCTTCACCGGTATCTTCGTTCGGCTCACCAGCAGAGATAATTGCGAACGGGTTGTGCTGGTGTGAAGAGCCACCGCGTGTGGAGCCGAACGAGGTCTGCCCGCTGCGCAGATGCCGTATCACCTGTTGGCGTTCTCGTGCCCAACTTCCGGATAACTGTGTCAAGTAGTAGTCGTCAGTTTCAAAGTCCAGCGTCGCTGACATCGCTCGGGTAATGATCACATTAGCGTCACCCTCGTTGCGAATGCGGCAATGACGAGTGATCACATCGTAATCATGCACAACACAGTAGATGAGCTCCACCACCAAACCGGTGACGTTGTCGACCATTTCCACAATTAACGTCGTCGCTTCGTGGACGTCCTCGGTGAACACAGCTGGCATGTAATTGGGCATCGGAATTTTGCCGCGACGGATGCGGTGGCGACGATACGTGAAGGGCGACAACGTGGATCCATCCTCATAGATGACACCAATCGAGGGAATGCGGTAGTCGCCAGTTCCGCTATCGGAGATTTCTAGCAGCTTCACGTTCTTGCTAATTGTCTCTTGATCCAACTTACCCCAGTTCACGACGGATGCTGTTGATTTCTGCCCCGAGTCCAGATCCAGCTCAGAAGCGGTCTGCATGAGCGATGGAGCTTGTTTGCCTCCGGCTGTGCTCTGCTGGACGCTCTGAGGTCCTTGTGGGCCCTCCGCTGCGCTACCGCTCACCATTCGAGCGGGCGCCTCCTTGGGAGCGCCCATGCTGTCGCGTTTCCCGCGATTCCAGTCGAGACGCGGACTGGTTATCACTGATGCCAACGAGTGCTCTGATCGCGACAAGTCCAGCGCAGGCGTCGAGGCGAACCGATGTAGCGAACCAGGTGCCGTGCTGCTCGCACGATCCGAGGCATCAACAAGCTCTCCGCCTGCCTCACCACTGGGTAAAATTGCTTGTGGCTGCGTTTCTGTCACCTTCTCCGATGCGGATTGACTGAGCGATTTCCCGCCGCGCTGCAGAGCGCGCTCCAAAACATCATCAGAGAGGTCCTTGTCCAGATCGACAGCCGAGCCTTTCATGCGTTCCATGTGCCATAATCGCCAGGAGGCGTTTTCGAGACGACGCGGTCTGCCGGTGTTCTCAAAGTCACCAGAGACCGCAGAATCATTCTTCGCGCGTGTGAATAAACGCCATTTCTGCTGCAGTTCTTGTTCAGAGGAAAACTGCAATTCATCGAGACCCATGGTTTGCATGATGTTCGGCTCCACGGCTGACGGAACAATGCCATGGGGATCAAATGGTCCTGGAACGTTGCCCAGGCTCAGGTATGTCAAGTTGTCATCCGTTTGGAGCCATGATCCATAGTAGAGATGTTCCAAATTCCGATTATCGTCGATTCGGAAAGCATACAACGTCTCGCGGGAGTAGAGCCGAAATATGCGTGTCGACGGATCGAAATACACACCAGGCCGGGCTAGCAACGATTGTTGGCTTGGTCGGAGTGCTGCTTCTGCTCCTGCGAGGCTGGACTTGCCATCCATACGTCCAATGGTGAACATTCCGGTGTTAGCGTTGGAACTCGACTCCAAAGCCAGATGCGAGAGCGCGGCGCCAACGAGGGCGGGATTGTTCCCCTGATCACCCGCTTGTTGATACACGCTCGATCCAGCAGCTTCGAGCATGCCAGCACGTTCTTTGACCTCGACCATGTCAGTTCACCTCTCGTCTAGTTCTTGCACAGTTGGCCAAAGGTGCGACGTGAGGTCTCGATCCTAGAACACAGGGTCAGACTAATATGAAGGCGCAGAAGAGCGCTAGTGGCGTATTGGATTCGTGTTTGCGTGAAGACTGCAGCGCGCCAGCAAGCGGTCAACGCGTGCGACTAGTTCCTGGTATCCAGCGTGACACAGAAGCGATCCTTAATCGAAAAGGTGCTCCTATTTCGCCGAACGTATGTCGTTCTTTAGGCTACCCAACGAGTACAACTTGACAGTGACGCTACGGCCGGGCTCTTTAGCGCACCTCAGGTTCTTCTTTTCGCGCACAAGCACTTGCCCTAGAAGCACTGTCTTCGACGATCAGAGGCGTGTCTATCCAGAATGCCTGAGTTACGCACCAGCACGAGCACGAGAAATACTTGCCAATACGGGTCCCTGTAGCCGGGTAAATCAAAGCTACCCGAAACGGTACGCTGAGCCAACCCAGTACCCACCGGAAGCCTTCACCACGAGACTGCCACTGTGCACGCTTCCAGTGGACAGGCGACGTCCCAAGCGAACCTGTGCGTAAGCCCCGTTCGTTACAACGTACTGCAAGGTGCTGTCGCCGGACGCCACAACCAAAGCTCTTGCCGAGGGCTTACCTGCCTCGAAGCACCGCCCTGGTGGCCGCGGCTACCCAGTCAGCAGCGCGATGCTCCGCGGCGGGCGGCGTTTTCTGAGCAGCGCGATCGCCGCAGCGGCCCTCATCCCGAGGCGTCTGTGCGTCTACGGTGGCGACGTCGCTGACTGGCCCGCGTCTGATCCGTATGCGATTTTTTTCATTGACAAAACGTTTACTTAGGCCAGCGTTCTCCGATTATGCGCTTTTTTGTTTCTTTCTTTTTTTTTGTGTAATAATCTGTATGAGATCGCCGCAGCGCATGTGGCTAGGTGTGATCTGCTGTGCGCCTTCGATGGCGTCTGTCCATGCGCATTGGTGTGCCTCAATCAAGGAGAACGCTGCCCTGCTTGCCCCATTCCTATTCATCGATCATTTTTCCAACTATTAAGGGGTATATCTTTTATATTCGAAGCGTGACTGTAAGAGCTTATGGATACATATGTAGTTCTGGGATTCGTGGTCGTTTTTCCGAGTGGATCCTTCGACACTTTGAGGCAGCAGTTCGATACATCATTAGAGTCAGGATTATTCGTGACGATCCTATAACATGGGCTCGTAAAATCACCGATATCATGATCGAATTCATATGTACGAGCTTCCAAGCTTCTTTATTGCCTACATATAGAATGCTCAGAGCACGCACTCCCCAGGTTATTGATCGTCCCCTGTGGAGGCAACTCGTGGGCGCACCAAAACGCACCGCTGGATTGACGGGATAAAACAACGCGACATCGTCCTTAGGCGATGTGAAAACAAGCCTATGCCGACGTTTCACTAAAGTTGTCATGTATAAGGATCGATTTTGTTCGAAAGACTAGTTCTTCTGTCGTTTTTGCTTTCGATGAGACGGCATTCGATATCTGCTCGATACATCTCAGTGGATATGCTTCCAGAGGCTCCCGTCTCTTCTGTTTGAATTGGATACGTTCTGGACTCGTACATTAGTCCCCCGCACGGTCGCTTCGAGTGGAGCCTGCGTCACCGTATTTCGCGAAGGACGCGTAGACAAATCGAAATGTCTCGATTTGTCCCCCAAACTCGCTTTTCGATTCGGTAAGTTTTGCCTCACGGAACACATCGCGTGTCACGGATCCTTTATCGAACAATAGATCATGCCCTTGCGCGTGCGCTAAGTGGATTAGTCGCCGAGTGCTTCGCCCAGAGAAAGCGCATGACCTGAAGGCACAGACTCTGCACGAAAGCAGAGTAAGGCGATCAGGTTCGCCTTCTGTACTCGTCGAAAGTATGCACTGATCGATTTTTTTCATTGACAAAACGTTTACTTAGGCCAGCGCTCTCGAATTATACGCTTTTTTGTTTCTTTTTCTTTTCTTTTCCTACTTTTTTGTGTTTTTTCAGTGCGCGGTGAAGTATCCATCAAACACCCTACCTCCATGTTACATTACCTATACTTCGTCTCGGATATTCTGGTCGTTTCATACGTCCTATCGTGTGTGCCTAGAACCTGCCTTTCTGTATCCGCCTTTGCACCTGAACCGCTCGAGCAGATAGTTCGTAGAGCTAGAACAGCATTTCTATACCATAGAGGGCGTCGGCTCGAGGGGTGCTTCACCCGACATAGAATCGGGTCTCGTCGTCGGTTTGTGCTCGGACAGTCCGCGAATGTAGGCTTGGCTTCGCTGCACGACACGCTGGAGAAACTTGCTGTTAGTATGAATCCTGGGAGCCGCCTCTCTCCTTCGTGATCATGCATGGAATGCGTCGTTGGTTGGCAACGCGGGTTTGTGCTTGACACCCACCAGTGGGTAGGCGCAGAAAGCGCACTGGGCCCGTGTGCGCATCCGATTCGCTGGACCTTATGCCTAGAAGGTAGATGCACCGATCGATGAGACGAGCGTTCACGCGCCGTACGTCATTGCTCGACGGAGACGTGTAGCTGGAGTTGTGTGAACACCCCAGCACGCCCAGGCGCCTCCGCTTCGAAAGGCTTACCGATCCTGTATACAAAAAATGAAAACAGCAAGTAAAGCATCCATTGGAACATGCATCTTCGCATAAAATGTGTAGGAATCAGACACCATTGACGAAAGTCGTACTCGATCGCTCCCATCAACATTCCTCGACTGCTATTAATGGAGCTGGAGGGAACGAAGAGACGACCGATTTCTAAGCCCGATATAAGACAGACGGATTCTAATCTGTTCATAAAAAAGCCAGCATATGCTCGTGTTTATCATAGTGGCACGAATTCAAAACATGAGCGCATTCGTGCGTTCCCCCTGAATAGAGACGCTCCATCGATATCTGACTAATGCGCATCGCGCGCGTTCCGCATTGCCAGGGCGCAGCTGAATGCACCACGCTGAAAATCTGTGGTGGATACGAGAGGATACCGGGTAGGCGCGTCTGAATTCGGCATTTGTAGTTGTTGTGTGTTGCTGACTCTCGTCCAACGACTTCGTGCACCATGGAGGCAACGTTCACCCCACTTCTTTCCAAAGTATCAGGAAACCCTACCTCGCCCTCGAGTTCATCGACAGATGATCTCCCTGCGGGAGTTCTTCCCTATGAAGACTTCGACTTTGCGCCGTACCTTCAAGAGGTGAAGACGGAGGAGGATCTGCGGAAGACGTGGCGCGTATTCACCAAAATGAAGGATGTGCTTGAGACAGGGCGAAGGCTCGAGAACTTTTCTTGGCGCTTGTGGTTTGCGAAGCGTAGCCAGGGCGAGACGCTGGACGAAGAGGAGCTTGTTAAGGATCTCACCCAACTCGAGAAGTATGACCTTGACTTGCAGCGCGATCTCCAGCGCATGCGCCAATCGACGGAAGGTGTGCTGACAAATATTTTCACCGATCAGGAGAAGAAACGTTTCGAGGAACAAGAGCGTCGGGAGCAGCTTCGTCTGCTTCTAGAGCACCTGGAACGTCTGAAAGCCATCAAGGAGGAACACAGTTTGCCGGACGATGCGCTGGATAAAATTTTGAACCTTGTTGACGACGCTTTTGGGGAAATGGCTGATGCGGCGGCTGCTGCCCAGCAGCAGCAACAACAGCAGATCTCCCTGGACAGCAAAGCGCCCCGCGTCGTTCGCCTTCCGCGCTCTTACGCCGACGTGCTCGAGACCCTGGAGCGCATTCGAGCGGAGCTGGCGCTCATTCCGTCGTGCGTGGCGTTTGGTCACTCGTTGGAGCGCAATGGAGCCAATAACTTCCTGCTCTACCTCTTGCGAGAGCTTGTGGATAGTTTCATATTTACACTAGTTGTACCAAAGGACGGCCCAATGCGTGAGGACTTCGAAGCGCTCGGGTGCCGTGTTGAGCTGTTGGAGACGACGGCTGAGTCGTTTGCGGATCATGTCAACAAGCTGGTGTCGAGTCACTCATTTCTGATTGCCAATACAATCATGCGCGCAGAAGCTGTCATTGCGGCGGCGAAGCATGGCACACCTTCTATCTGGGTGATTCACGAGGCCTGGCCTCAGGATCAGTTTGATTACTACGCGAAGCAAGTATTTCAAATGGCTCACGTCGATGGTGACCTCATCCGCCAGGGATTTGCAACCGCTAGTCGTATCGTTTTCCCTGCCCACGTTCAGAAACAGTGTTACGCTGGATTATTCGAGCCGCATCGGTCTCAGGTGATCTACAACGGCATACCATTGTCTGCCATCAATAGCTACCGCTCGACGCAGAATCGCGACCGGGTTCGAGCAGAGCTCGGCTACCAGCCGACTGATCGTCTGGTTGTCCACCTGGGAACAATTTGCAAGCGGAAGGGCCAAATCTACACAGCACGTGCTTTCAGCCTACTGAGAAACGATCCGGAAATCCAGCAGTCAGGATACATGTGCAAGCTGCTCATGGTTGGAGCTCGTTTTATTCGTGACCATGAAATCGCCTATCAGCAGGAGATTAAGGCGGAACTCGAGGCTGCTGGCGCAATTCGCGATTGCACCATCCTCGAAATTCAGAAGAATGTTTTGCCCTATTATTTGGCCGCTGATATTCTGGTCGTGCCATCCTTGAACGAGGTCCTGCCGCTCGTGGTGTGCGAAGCCATGGCGTTTGAGCGACCAGTGGTGGCGAGTGCCATCGACGGCATCCCCGAGGCAATCTCAGATGGTGTCGAAGGTTTTCTGGTGCCACCGGCAGACGAGCAGAGCCTGTACGAACGGGTGAAACAACTCATTCTTGATGAGAATCTGCGGACGGTGATGGGCAAGAATGGGCGCAAGCGGGTTTTGGGCCAGTTCAGCTTCAGCGCGATGGCGAACAACTATCGCCAGGTTATTCAAGACGCTCTGAAGGACAAGCCCTCAGCGGCCGCTGCGGCCTTGGAGGCAGCGTAACAGAAAGGCGCCCCAGCCTCAATATAGTATAGGAAGTCAAGCTACGAGCGCTTCCGAACAGAGACATCCGTACGAGTTCCAGCCAGTGGATTAAAGCGGTGACGCGTTTGGTGGAGCATGCTAGCATGCCAGTGATCGCTCTGCCATATGCGGCTATGATTCCCGCTGTTCCCGAGAGATTGTGCGTACAGGCGCTGTACCCGCCGAAACGCGTCACCGAAACGTGCATCGCACGGACGTGGATTCGGTGACCTCAGGTTCGATGTACAATTCACAATTCTGTTCCATATTCGGAACACTGCTGTGCAAATGATTGAACATTGACGCGTTTGCCTCAGAGGTGATGTACATGCACCTGCAGCTGTCATCGTCGGGACCTGTGGGGAGTCTGATGCAATGCAGTGGACAGGAATCGCGTGAACAAGCTGCCGAGCGAGGTCGCCAGCGAGTTGTCGTCGTGAGAAGCTCCAACACACAAGCTGAGGCGATCACGGATGTTCGTCGCCCATTGATGCGGAGGGCGGAATCAAGTATTCTAACGGGAGACCGCAAGACGCATCAACCGCTTTCGGGGAATGTGCATTTGAGAAGAAGCTTCTGTGTCCAAGCGTTTTGAATGATCGAACGCTCCTCTCGCCTCGGTAATCAGGTGGGATCCGTGGATGGAAGGAGATTCAACAGGGTGTGAATGCGCTGCCCATGACCCTGGAAGAGACCCTTGCTCCTCTACTACCGTGCCGAATTCAAAAAGAACACTGAACAGGTCGTTTTGTGACTGCCTGTAAATTTTACGAGTTTCAGTGTAGAATAAGAACTTCGATATTCCAAGTACAACAAGAAGGGCTGGTGGATTCAAATTTAGATTTAGATTTCTCGGTCGTCGTCTAGGAGTGGAGTTTCGAACGCTTTGCATCTCGAATTCGTTGTGTCACCCGAATCAAGATGATCAGCGACGCCCTAACGCAAGAGTTCGTAGAATAACCGATATGAGTATTCAATTCATATGCACAGTTCTGTGCGATTCTCCTTGCGTTAAGTGCAGCATGCTCAAAACATGCATTCGTCAAGTTTCCGATGGATCTGTTTGATGGCTGCTCATTTTTCCAGCGATTAACGGCGCTAAATTAACGAGCAGAAGAGCTCGACGACGACCCCTGGTGATATTATCACAAGTTCATGCCGAAATTTCACTGGCCTTGTCACAGCAAATATTCTATCCCGTTCCAAAGTCAATTCATGCTCTTCATGTGTCCACTTACAATCGTGATGTGATTTCTGCAAGATACTTAGGTGAGAATGTGAATCCAGAGGCTTCCGTCTCGCCTGATTTTGTTGAGAATTCTCTTGATCTCGGACTTTGGTCATCGCAGCTATCCCTTTTAGTCGAGAGTGCGTCGCCATTTTGCAGGAAGCAAGCGTAAACCGATGCAACTCTCACGACATTTTTTGTTTCTCCTTGATTTTCGTTGCATTACTTGTTTTATCATTGATAGCATCGATTTTCCACATATGCTCTATCGAATGGCCCAAAGTTAGTTTGCGTGTCCAGCGGAGATTCTACTCGCCAAGGGGATCGCCCAAAAGAGTTCCATGATAGCACCATACGGCACCGAGCGCGGATATGGACCACGGCATTGCAGGGAACCTTTTCTTTCACATGCAGAGCAGGTACCGAGCGAAGACGCACGCTTTTGCATGCCGCAGGGCAGCTCTCGGAGAAGGAGGACCCCCGGTGGACGTACTGGCGAACCTGATCACGGTCAGGCGTCACCGCTGCGGAGGGCGTATCGTGGCTGCATACAAAGCATATGAAAATGCCATGCAAGGTGTAGATCGCTTCTCCCTTCTGTGCATGAAATTCGTCGGCAACAGCCGGATACTTCAAAGTAGAAGTTTCACGGTGTCATCAAAATCCTTCGAACGTTGTCAACGCAGTAGGAAAGAGAGGAGAGACCGACGCATTTAAAGCTCTAGATTAGATGAAAGAAAAGGAGCCGAATCGAGAAAGAGATTGTATAGGCTGATAATGATAATAATTGGAAGAAATCAAATCGTTAAAGTGTACGCCCGAGTTAGACGGCCTGTTCCATTGTACGTTGCCACGTTTAGATATTCGAGATACAAACATGAATCCATCGCACTCGTCCTCGTCAGGTCTAGGCGTATCCTCAATTAGCACCAGTTCTGGATATGTTTCAAGAAATCTTCACGAGTCATAGCAACTGTGGTAAATGAAAACAGCAGGCTCGTGTGCAAAGCCGCTGGTCCGCGTGTTAGGGACAGCGTCGCAACGACCCAGACGCGACGCCACAGCAGTTTCGTCATGAATTTCGACAACCAGTCATCGTCCCACGCTTTTACCCTAAGTATTCGACGCGAGAAAAGCAAGTTGCACGGCAAATACGGGATTCCAAGGAACGACTGAAGCCTCTGGGCGTAAGTCTCTGCGGGCTATACGTCAGACTGTACGCGAAAACCCATACCTTTTCTGTCTCGTTCACGGAGTGTTGTCTGGTTAGCGAGTTGCGTGCGTACAGCGCGTCGAATGACCTGGCTACTAAGAAGACCAGGACTCTGCTGGGGAGTCCACGGTCACGGTCTGGAACTGCTACGCTCACGGTTGCTCGAAAGCACGAAAACGAGACCGCTTCTGGTCAGCGCTGCTGCTTGGCTGCAATCGAAAAGCAGACTGTGCACGACACCGGGTGCTGCTTCGGAGCCTACAGCGCAAACCACTGTTATCCCCAGGAACGAGTGGACTCCAGAAGAAGACAAACTATTGCAGACTCTTGTTGAGCGCCATGGACCCCGCTGGGCGCTCATTGCCAAAGAGCTGAACTGCTTGCTGAAAAAGGGGCTCGAGCGCTCGCCATCGAGTTGTGCCATGCGTTACAAACGAACTCTGAACCCCAGTATCCTGCGAAACCCTTGGACTCCCGAGGAAGATGCAACTATACTGAAGCTCTACCGGGAAATAGGCCCGCGATGGGCCGAGATAGCTCGACGCATGGCTACGCTTGTGCAAGAAACCACAGATTCCACGGCCTCATCGAAGATTTACCAGCGAACGGACAAGCAGATACTCGACCGCTTTCGCGAAAAGCTTAATCCCCAACGCAAGTCCACCAGATGGACCTATGCGGAAGATCAGCAGCTGAAAGCGCTGGTCAAAGAGCAGGGCCCAGGTCGCTGGACAGCGATCGCTGCAAAGTTACCTGGACGTACCGCGAAAGATTGTCAGCTGCACTGGCGACGATGTCTCGATCCGCGGATATCTCGAAGCTCTTGGACAATAGAGGAAGATGAGAAACTGAAAATGCTCGTATCTCGCCACGGCAGGCGATGGGCACTTATATCGAAGCTCATGGGTAACCGCAGTGATATCCAGTGCATGCATCGATGGAGCAGCAAACTCGATCCGTCCATACGTCGCGGGCCTTGGACGCCGTTGGAGGACCAGGCACTCATTGAGGCGTATGCAGCTTGGCAGAAAAATACAATACGTGAGGCCTCCATTCGACAATTGCGGATCCGCGGACACAGAAACGTCTGGATCTGGGCAGCACGAGCGGTTCCGGAACTTCATGGGAGAAGTTCGAGTCAGTGTCGTCAGCGTTTCATGCAGCTAGCAGCATCGAGAAAATTGCCTCAAGAGCTTTTGAAGGATAACCGACACGAGAATCGAGCGACCTCATGAACACAGTGGAAGCGTGCTTCGTGGCGTCTCGCTGTTTTTCCCCGTGACCCTTGCAGCTGAGGCAGCGCGATTCGCTTAGGCCCGTAGAAGTTCAGGTACTGACGAGTGCACAGCGGAAGAGCTCGCTTGAGGCGCCCTGGCCGAGCGCTGGCAACATTGCAGAGACAGACGCAGATATCTCGTACAACCCAAAGCATATCCGACACTGAGCGTATGTGTGTTTCACATCTTGGGGCTTGGACTATGGATGCCCCTCCTCATTATAGCTTTCTGGAAATCGTGCAATGGAGAACCCGGTACGAGCAGAAGAGTCTTAGAACGCGCATCGAACTTGTTGCAAGAATGCAATGACAGTTTTGCCGGAGAGGTGTATGTTCCTGGTTGCTATGATATCAAATACGAGGCCATTTCTCTGCAAACTTTTTTCAAAGTTTGGTATCCTTGGGTCGCTTTCATGGTTCGATCACACGACTAGCCGCATCCGCTGTCAAGAACTCTGTACCAGGGGGTCCGTAGGGGCTGATTACGCGCAATAGTTGGGCGGGAACGCCTATGCTGTGCAATCCAGGAGACATGCTGCCCTAGTCGAAATGTACATAACTGGGGTATCCTCTAGGGAAGCTGTCGTATACGCGCATATCCTTGGTTGCTGTATGATGTCCGATGGCATATCCGTAAAAGTTTTGCGGATCGTATCATATAGCGTGGAGAGCACGCCAAGTCCACTGGCTAAAATTGACCTCTCCGAGAAACGTTGCAGCGAGCATTACTGCACTCATGGACGGAATGGGCACGAGCAGCAACTGCGTTCGACGCAGAAACGGTAGAATATCATAACCAAGCCAGCTTATATACCAAAAGTATGCGTTACTGAAAAGGTAGAGCGCGCAGCTTGCAAAGCGGCTACGGACCAGGAAACGTAGGAGCACACCCTGCATCACGTACAAAGGCAGGAATACTCCTCCAAATAACGCGTTGCAGTAGACGTCCAGTGCATACATCCATTCCACACGCGGCGACTCGGGTTCCATCCAGGATTCTGAAGAATAGCCTGCAGTGGGATCGGCAAGGAAGCGGTTCGCAATCACGACGTAGAGACTACTGAACACCAGGGCGACGATACCAAACCAGAGAATAGTTTGCGAGGCAGCCAGGCGGAACCCAGCCTTAACTGACCAACCAGAGTAGACGAGCCCATACAAGAAACAAGTCATGAAAAAAGACGAGAGGAAAAGCACAAGAAACGCTGGATCGTCGCGGCTCCACTGCTTCTTCGTTCGCCGGTGATAGCGCGTCGCGCGGTATAGTTTCGAGGGTGCCAATGACGCCAGGCAGGTCATCTGGTATACCGCATAGTCCCAGTCCATTTGCGACCAGTTGAGGGCTCTGGAGAGATATCTCCTTCCAGTTTGGCTCCATGGTCTACTCATAGAGGCACCCTGTTTCCGAGACGATGCGAGAAACAGGTGTGGATCACTGCGCATGAAAGCGAGCTGGTTGGCGCCTAAATGGACTCGCACTCCATACCGTTGCGACGCAGCGCAGCGCGTCATACCTTAAGCCCGTGCTTCTAAAAAGTATACGCTTGTGTGAAACGTATAGAGAGATGCGGTAGAGTTAATCACTGAAGAGCGCTTTGCACTTCATTTTTTGTTCTTGTAAGAGTTTTAGAAGGGCTGCGAACGGCTACGCGTTCTCAGTCGCAATTCGAAGCACTAGTGCGAGTTTAGCGAACGCTGTCCCGTCTATGCTCTTGTCATGCGCCTGCGGAGAAAAGTGGTCTACGTATCAACCGTAGAATTGGGGCTGAGCTCTGGAACCGGAGAATTATCTTGTACGAACGTTTGCGAGGTCCTTCTCTGGTGCTTGCCTGAGCGACAGCGCAGCTACTTCCCGAGCTAGCGTGTTCTCCAGGATACTGCGCTTTCAGCAGCCTTGCGTGTAACGTGAGGTTGCGAGGTTCGGGTCTGGTGCTTACCCGAGTGACAGCCCAGTTAGCTCTCGTTACAGCGCATTCTTCAGGGCTTTTTTGTATCCCGTGCGGGACAGTGGAACGCGAAAGGTCACTCACGCTCCGCAGCCTTACGCCTCCTGCTACAGAACAGAGGTTTGATGCGACATTCCGCCCTGTGTGTCCAGAAGCTGCGCGTATCGCAACGCTCGCGAGCTTGTCTGTTCGCCAACGGTCACGGGAGGATGGTCCCTGCAACCCGAGTACCAACGAAAGTCGTAACAACAAACTCGTGGCCTGATTCCAACTGGAAGCAAGTGCAGTCTTTGTTTCGAGGATTATGGTCCGAGACGGTGCGACCGCAGCAGTGCGCTGATGATCTCTATCTTTCCGAGCGGCGACGACGACTCGAAGTCTTTGCACGGCGGTCTCGCAGCTGCCTCAAGGCGTGTTGTAACAGCATGCGGCGCTTTGTTCGTGCCGCTGTGTCTTCGCCGCGCCAAATGATTGCGAGCTCGCGCTGGAAACATAAGCTGCATGAATTTGACGTCATTCTAAGGTACTTGGGAAAGTTGCTTTCCCATGTAGACGCCCGTACTCGTCAGTTTTGGATCAAGTTATTTGTAGTGCAGATGGAAGAAGAAATTCTGGAGACGACTGCGAACATAGAAAGCATTGTATCACTTGCACCATGTCGAGCGGTGTGCTACGAATGGCTTCTACGCGTCGGTGCATGGCGCGAATTTCGCACTTCGCTGCTGCGCCATCAAGAAGGGCCAATCGACGCTATATGCTCATACAAGAAGGCGGTTTCGCTGGTTCCAGGCGACGGAAGAGCCTATTTCGCTATTGGATGCGCGTTGCGTTTGGTGAGGCACGCTTTGCCGAGTGCTCCAGGCGCTCACGCAGCTGCATCGTCTTCACTGACTACCGGAAAGCTGCCTGGCACCGAGGAACTGGTCTGGCTCGCTCGAGGATACTGGTATATACGCGCATGCCTCGCGAGCACTCGCCAGCATTCAGACGCTCGAAAGCGCTTAGTTGGCCTTGTTCGCAGATCTTCGACCCTGGCATCTATTTTGCTCCCACAGAGTAGATGCTCCGAGAATCGTAGCGGTATGGGCGAGCTCAATTCGTACAGAGATTCTGCTGACGCTTCCACATGTCTAGGCAGTGCTACAGGAGCGGCTGCGCGTGGCGCATTGCTCGCGCGCCCGGCAGCGCACCTCCTAGATGCACACTGCAGTCTCTTGACGAACGCTTTTGATCAGATTTGCGCCTGGTTCGAGGAAACAGCAAACGAACTGACAGCTGATAACCACGATTGTCCGGCGGTGCACCTTATCACGGCGGTGGTGTTTAGCCACGCTGATGCCGGAGCTGTGGGACCAATATGGCGACTGCTCCGCACGTGTTGTTTGAGCCAGTTACAGGCCGGTGCAGGGATTCTTGCTGATTACGTCACAGCGCATCGAGATATTGTTGAGCAGGCCCCGCCGGGCGCTGTCGTTTTTCTGCAGGCTTGTAGGGATCGTTACCTTGCGCACGGTTCCGCGAACGATGCCGTAGCACAAAATGGAGCGCTCACGCTCCTCAGCCCGGCAGTGGTTGCTGCGGTGGATGACTTTTGCGACACGCTCGAGCTCTGCAACGACCGGTTTTTGCCTGCACCTATCTCCCCAGATATTTCCACGAGTTCGAAAACAAGGTATTTGCGAGCTGCACTGCCCGAAGAGCGCGTATTCGGGGGCTTCACTCCAATATCGCAGGTATACGCGAATATAGTTGACTTTTCACATGATCGCTCTTTTGCTGAGGATGCGACACGAGTGCTGGGTCACCTGCACCTGTCGACATCTGCCATGCATGCAGGCTATGCGTGCGCGATGCGCTTGAGGAAACTTGAACATTTGGTCACAAAGCTCCGACGTCAAGCACCCCGGCAGCCGCTGGCATCGACGGGTGCACTGCACACTGGGTGATTTGCGTCGTATGCAGGTTGCTTCGTCAATCGCCTCACGGGCGGATGGAGCGTCTCGTTTGCGTAAGGAATCATGGCGGCGTCTCCGATATCGAGTTCTGCTAGACAAAGGCGTTTGGATCTGGTGGGTGACTGGAATTCGGTGACGAAAGCGGTATGACATGAATTTGGGGCGCCAGTCGAGCACATGTGGGACTTTTCGATGACCGCTCCCCCCCCCCCCCAGAGCAGTATGATCTAGTTTTGCGCTCGTGGGTATACCCTGGACATCGTGTAAGCGTTGCTCATCAGAAGAAGCGCGGGATATGCTGTTGGATTGTGCGGGATACCTGATTGTCGACATCGAGCGCGCTCTAGAAAGGTACGCTATGACCGGTCGTGTAACGCTCCTTCTCGCAATTGGCCAGGGGAGCTCCGGCGTATATCGCGTCGCTCATCCCAAATATATGTGACTGTTCACGATGATAGCCCATCATGGGGAACTTTTTATCCACCGCTCGGCCGTTCACTTGGAATCGAGCGTAAGATGCTGCTGTGCGTGATCTATTTGTGAGAAAGTTCCCGTGCATGTCCTAGTAACTCTACAGCTGCTGGTGGTGCTTCAGGAACATGTTGGGTTAGGATTTGGCCGAACGAACGTTCGGAGAGGACGAAAATCGATAGCTTTATGGAAGAACTTTAAAGGATGAGAAGCGCATTTGAAACGATCGCGCGTTTCCGCCTTCTTGGTACAGCGATATGCTCACCTTGAGAAGAGATATCCACGGGTAGCTACGGCCACATGCAAACAAGGGCGGCAACTCGACCAGTTTGCGCACGAGATCCTGGGCGCATGCCTTCACCGCATAAACTCATGCTTCACTTTCTAACACGCTCCTCTGACTTTTTTCCATGGTCTAAATCCACGATCCTAACCAGATTTCCTCTGGAGGCGCTCACGCCACAACGGAAAACGAAAGAGACCTCAGTGATTCCATTCTATGGCTGTTCCATGAAATGACGCACTTGCCCACGATCGGAGACTCTGTCGAGGGAAACGCGAATTATACAAGGAGGGCACTCAAGGCCACGGTTTTCCACGGCTGGCGTACACAATCCGGGACCCAAAAAGTGGAATGGCTGAGGTGGCTATGGGCAGTAGCCGCAAGCTCCCGAGCACCTGTAGATTCTTTTAGTCCTTCGACTCAACTTTGTTTCACCATTGATATATTGTATAGCAGGAGATCGAAATCTTTACGCAATATACCGTTTAGACAGCAGACGGATCGCATTTAGGATATATATGTTCCTTTACGAACAATGCAAGGAGGACTGCATTCCTTTTTCAGCTCAGTCATACCACAGTACTCCGATGGCCCAGGGACTCCGAAAGAAAGAATTATGTGCGCTGCGCTCTAAAAAACTGCTACTGTCCGAGCGTGCTCGTAGACAATGGTAAAAAAATTGCCCGATAATCACCCCACGAAAAGCAAAAGTGGCGGTAGATGCACTAATAAGCGTCTTTGTTTCTCAACTGCCAGTTCATGTGATCCTGAAACACTGGGATACAGTCGCAATAAAAAGTCGAAGATCGCGCTCGGCAATTTTGCATAGACATCGCAACCACAGCTTTCCTGGTATTCAGCGATCGGTTTGAAGTAGAGGGACGTCGGTTTGGTTTTCAGTCGATTGAACTTGCTTCGAACGAAACAATCAGAGCGCCCTTGGGTATTCGAGGAGACAGGCACCCATTGTATGTACGATCGAACTCGAAGAGAAGAACAACATCATCCGTTCGAGCTGCAGTGGATTCATTCGGCAGCCTCAGTTTCGCTCATAGAGACGGCTCATAAAACAACGCCCAGTACTCGCTCGAATCATTGAAGACTTTTCCCTGACGTTTGGCGATGTGCTTCTATTGGACATCATGGCGCCCCATCATTCCCCTTGCGTTCGAGCTTTTTGCAGATTGTATTGAGGTAGGGCTGCTTTTCATTCTTCCATACGCTCCATGGTTTATCCCCATCGAAGGAGCGTTTTCTGTGGCAAAAAGTAATGATTGCTTCGCTGGGTGATTCCTTGAACCTTTGATCACGATGACACCGGAACACATCTCGTTTTTCTTCCACAAAAGCTTCACCCTTGGAAACGTCTTCATATAAGGGCTTGAAGGGAAGTTTTCATTTTCAAAAAGTAAAAAATCCAAGGGAGAGCTGTGTACATGGAACTGGAGGATCCTGGAGGACCGGTGTCGCCGGTTGCACGAAAAACCCGCAAAGCAGAGCCAAGCAAACAGGAACAGGCGAAGACAAAGAAGGAAAGGCCGGAGGCCCAACGCCAGATGCTGCAAGAAAGCCGACTGTACGACGAGATGGTGGTGAAAGCCTGTCTTCCTAAGCATATCAAGGATCCCTAGAGGGAAAAGTTGCGAGAGGGTATCAGCAAAACGTGTCGACTCGTACTCCAAGAGTACCGTCAAGGCGTCGTCAGGACTGATGCATTTGGCGAGGGAGATGTACGAAGACGTGGCGCACATGGAAAAGGTCGAGGTTCCGGAAGAGGTTTTCGACAAGACGTTTATTCGTCACCTGATGCTTGGTACAGAGGAAACGCGGAGGGAAACTGAGCTACTGCATGCCCTCCACGAAAACTTCGTGGAATTCCGCTTCGAGGGTACCCGATGCAGGGGTGACCGGGATATTTACACATATGGGGCGATGAAGTACATCACGAACCTGAAGAACCATTTGACAGTGAACCTCGAACGTTACATGATACGCGCCTTGTTTGCACTCTACCCGGGCATCTGTCCCAAAGGAATATCAGCGATTATCAATGGCATCACGCACGATCGCAAGCTTGAAGATGACATCGAATTTGTCGACAAGAAGGCGTCAAACCAGAGCACGAATAAGGTGTCCGTCATCCGTGCGGATTTACAAGAGCACCGTGCAGTCATGGAGCTGCCGAATCCAACAGACAAGATATCAGAGTTGAGAAAAGATAAGGGAAGATACTATCGCCTCGTCCTGCTGTATTTCGTGGTTTTGGACCGAGAACTCGAACGCAAGGCACAGGTGAAGCTGAGTGGGGGAAAATGAAGAGTGGGAGAGACGGAAGGCTTTCCATATGGGGAAGCGCTTCTACGTCGTTCTAATGTGCACCATCAAGTCACATTTTGTGACTATCGACTCCGCAGTCATTCATGGCATCATGAAGGAGATCAGTCCGGAGTTCGATGTTAGCAGGGAGGAATTCTCCGGTGAAAACCGGGAGACGTTCTGGAAGAACATCTTCGATTTCAAACGTCTGAGGGTGAGCAAACAAAAGGTACTCACTGGGATGATCGAAACCGATGGAGTAGTCATGTGTGTACACTATCGGCGGTTGAAGAAAGATCGTCCAATCCCCGCCTCGGCGAACCATGAAGATGAGAAGGAGGCGGATCCTGCGAAGCAGGAAGCGGAGGATAACGACTTTGTTGTTGACGTGACGAAGCATGAAGATGAGATGGAAGCGGGTCGTGCGACGCAGGAGGTGGAGGATAACGACTCTGTCGTTGGCGCAACGAAGCATGAAGAAAACAAAGAGGAGGATCCTACGACACAGAAAGTGCAGGATAACGACTTTGTCGTTGGCACGGCGAAGGATGAAGATGAGAAGGAGGCGGGTCCTGCGACGCAGAGAGTGCATGCGAACGACTTTGTCGTTGGCGCGGACCCCGGAAACACGAATATCATCACCATCCCTGCTCCCAAGCGTGCGGAATATGGTACTGATGGCAACTTATGTCAGAAAGACATGCGACTTTCGAGGTTCTCGAGAGCGAGATACTCTCGAGAATCCAGTATAATGAAAGCAAGGAAGAAAATCGAGACGTGGAATGCTAGACTGAAGGAGTACCTGGAAGTTTTGAGCGAGGTGACGAGCCGAGGAGCGGACTTTAAAGCTTTTCGGAAATTTATGAAAGTTCGCGTTGCTCATTGAGATGCACTGTGTGAGGAGTATACAAAGCCGGGTGGGCTCTTCTGCGAATGAACTTGTATTGCCGGAAGCAGCGCGCATTCGCGAACTTTTTCAATGAGTTGAGCGCCCTGAAAGAGGATGAAAGTCAGAGGCTTGTAATAGCGTACGGAGCAGGGCGCTGGATGACCCAAAAAGGTACTACACCAGCTCCAACGACAAGAACGTACAAAGAGTGTGCACGGCGTTTTGTCACAGTACCTGTAGATGAGTTCCGAATATCGTATACACACCATGAACTGGGACGTACACTTCAAAGGGTCGAGATGGAAAAGTGCCAGGGGAGTCCTGAAGACATAGCAAAGTACGGACCGCTGCCGGAGGTGCAAATGGAGAGGAGGACAAAAGTGCGAGGGCTACTCGCATTCGTAAGTACAACCAACGACGGCAAGAAACGTATGGAGTTTGTGAACCGAGACTTTAACGCCGGCATCAATATCAGGAGATGCGCGGTGATGGAGAAAAGGCCTCCACAGTAGACAAGAGAGAATTTTAAAGGACAACTGCTCAAAGTGGAACTATATGAGAAACAATTGGAACCAGTCGTAAGTGGCCGATCCAAGAAGACGGGGAGGCGTCTGCACGTCAGTTCGAGACTGCTTGTCTAGGGCGGGTTTATCGCCACCACTGTGCACCGCTGGCGGCGGTCGACTTTTGGAAGGTATTCGCTAGAGGTGCTGTTTATAGGGATCAAGTCTCTGAAGCGAGATGCTTTCACGACCTCTGCCGCTCCAGACGAGAGAAAAACAACGATAACTTCGGGGCCGGAGAAGTGTTGACATGAAGGCGCTGCACGTGGCGGAGAAGCCTTCAGTTGCACGTCAAGCCGCAGCTGTGCTTGGACATGGTCGCGCGGAGCGAAAATGCAGCTGTTCTCCATATCACCCCAACTGGTTCTGGTCTGGTGTGTTCGAGTTCAGCGCCAAAGACGGGACGCGCTTCGTGGTCGACGAGCAGGTCTTTACATCTGTGAGCGGTCACGTCGAGGAGCTAGACTTCGTCACACCTTATCACAAGTGGAGTGCCTGCGAACCAGTGGACATATTTCGGCGGGACCTGGTGCAAACTCGCCGCTTTGTGCCGGAGAGGAACGCAAAGGTGGCGCAGAATCTGGGGCAACTGGCCCGTACGTGCCAGTACCTTGTGCTCTGGCTTGATGGCGACTCTGAAGGCGAGGCCATATCAGATGAGGTGCAGCGAATTTGTAAGCTGCCTCCTAGCATGGTGTTCCGTGCCCGTTTTTCGGCAGTAACGCCCAGGGACCTTTTCCGAGCCTGCGCTACGCTTGACCGGGTGAATGCGAAAGTTGTCGAGGCCGTATGGATTCGTCAGGAAATCGACTTGCGTGCTGGGGCCGCATTCACCAGGTGGCTAACGCGGCACATACAGCGCCATTACCCACAAGCGCTCATTTGCACATCTGCAATTGTCGCCTCGCGGCGTAAGGGTGCCTCTGGAACTTCCAACTTAGGGCGGAACGAACGCCTGCAGGGGAGCGGTGTTTCTTCTGCTGACGCTGCTGTGGTGAGCTACGGACCCTGTCAGTTTCCGACACTCGGCCTTGTCGTGGATCGCTACCGCGAGCGGCGCGAATTTCAAACGAAGCCCTTCTGGACGATTCGCATGCGTATTCAGACGACTGGCGATCGAGCCAGCGGGAATCAAGTCGAGCTTTGCTGGGACCGGGCACGCATCTTCGACCGCTTTATTGCATATGTCCTTTTTCAGAGGCTCCACGATGCGGTACGGTTGCCAGGCGCCTTACGCATGATCGCTTGTGAGAAGCAACCAGCTCACCGAAGTAGACCGTTGCCGTTATCGACGGTAGAGCTCCAGAAAGAAGCCTCCAGAAAACTCAAGCTATCTTCAGCGCAGACTATGGAAATAGCCGAGCAACTCTATCAACAGGGCTATATATCTTACCCCCGAACGGAGACGGATCGATTCCCAACAGACGATCGTGGTATATCGAACCTCAAAGCACTCATTACCCTGCAATCTGAAGACCAGAGATGGTCATTGCTAGCAAAGCGGCTGCTCGAAACCGACGACGTATCACGTGGTGGGTTCAAAGCACCGCGCGCGGGCAGCCATGATGACCACGCGCATCCGCCTATTCATCCTACCAGCGCTGCACCGCCCGGCACCCTGAGCGGCGATGCCGCCCGACTCTATGAGTATATCGCTCGCAGATTCCTGGCTTCATGCTCTGCGGATGCCAGTGGCGAACGCACCATCTGGCGTTTCGCCGTCTTTTCGGGTGCATCGGAGGCGCGTACTGAAGCACCACAGGAGACGTGCATGTTTCCCGCGAACACGGTCTTAGAGACATTCACGAGCAAGGGTCTTCGTATCACGAATCTGGGCTATTTGGAAGTTTTTTCTCCATATGAGAAGTGGTTGGAAAGCACTTTGCCAGGCGATTTGGAATGCGGTGCTGCGGCTCCAGAGCATTTTTGGCTGACGGAGCTGCGTCTTGAGGAATCGATAACAGAGCCCCCCGCGCTGCTCTCTGAGGCGGATCTCATCGCTGCTATGGATCGCCACGGCATCGGCACCGACGCGACGATTGCAGAGCACATTAAGAAAATCCAGGAACGTCATTATGTGGTGAAACAAATCATAGCGGAGGAGCGGCGCCGCCAGTCTCATCGAGCCGGAACACAGGTGCACGATGCCGCCGCGAACAGCAGCGACGAGTGCGATGCCTCACAAGTGACGTCTCGGGCACACTCTGCGACGAGAACGCGGGAACGTTGTGGGCTCGTCTCAAGGAGCAGCGTACAGCGTTTCGTGCCTATGAAACTGGGCCAAGCTCTCGTCGAAGCATTTGAAAGCTGTCACGTGCATTTAGCGCGCCCCAACCTTCGTGCTGAGCAGGAAAGGCGCCAAAAACTTGTCGCCAAAGGAGAAGCCTCTGGGTCAGAGGCACTGGATGAACTCCTAACGTCTTTTGCGGAAGCGTTCCGACGCCTCGTGCTCGAACGCAGCAAGTTTGATGCGACGTTCTGCAAGTTCTTTCCGAAAGCAGAGCCTCCTTCGCTTTTGCGTGCTCCTGCCGCTCTAGAACTCACTCAGAGCAGCGTAAGACGTTCTTGTGTTGTGCCCACGGACGAATCGAATGCGAACGAATAAGACATATTTGAGCGCAACATGATGCACAGGCATCGCTGGATTCAACAGTACCGCGACTCTGGTTCCTGTGGGCATGTGTCGCTCAGGTTGGTGCCGCCCATGCGAACGATCTGCTGAGACACTTCAGCACTGATTCTCACTCTTGCATCCATCGCTCGCTGCAGCGTCGCCTTTTGCGAAGCTTCAAGTCGCCCAAGGCGACGCATTCTGAGCAATGCTTCCGAGTCGTTTTCGGCATCTGCGCTAATCATACTTGCGACGGTCTTTACGAAGGCTGTAAAGGTCATATACCGCAGCTAAAACATGATCTCTGGAGTTTCGGTCATGTACTCGAAGGGAACAATTTAATGCCGGCCCCGCGAGGGATTCACTGCGACGTACGAGGATTCTATCGTGCTCTCAACTGAAAAAATCTTTCGAATGTGAGAAATCGCATCCTCCGTTCTCACAAAAGCACCAGCGATATTCATGTCGAGCCAGAGTATCACTGTTCCAGGCTTGATCGCAAGAGAGAGGCGTAGTTGGGTACCAGTCAGGTCAGTTCAACGCCAACCGATGCCGTCGTAGCCTTCCAACGTCACCTCCACTTCTCAAGAACTTCAGAGAAAACTCTCATTCATAACCGACTCAGAACGGGATGCCCGAAATGCGACGACGCAAGTGTCTCCGTCGACACACGCACTCGATGACAGCTGCCTTAAGTTTCGAGGACCGGCGTTCGCAGTCCCACCGCGATGCGCCCAGCGACTCCTTACTCCTGTATGGTAACCTCAACTTCCACACCGGGCTCGATAGAAACAGCAGTAATACTTTTCACTACGTCAGTGGGCGCTTCAAGGTCAATAATACGTTTGTGAATGCGCATCTCGAAACGATCCCAGGTGTTGGTTCCCTCTCCACACGGTGACTTGCGCGTCGTGATGCGCAGACGACGTGTCGGCAGCGGCACTGGACCTTTTACTCGCATGAGCCGCCCCTTCTCAGACGACGCACCTGATGACGCTCCCAGCAGCGCGCCATCGACTCGCATCTGCGAGCGTTCCGCGCGAGAAACTGCTCCCTTGCTTTTCGCGCCCTGAACAAGATCAAAACAGACCTTTTCCAGCGCTCGCACGTTTCTCGAAGCTAAGGTGATCCGTATTTTATGAAAAGGCTCCGATGAAGTCTCATAGCCAGGCTTCTTTGCCGGTCCAAACCCCACTCCAGGAGTCGCCATGGTTTCCGAAACAACGTTTGTGTCCGCGCAGCCTAGTCGCCAGCACAGGTTGCAATGCACATTTCTCTACGTACCTGCGGCAGGTGGCGCTCGGACGACGGCGGGACGAGGCGGCGAGAATAGAGACAAAGATGTCATCGCGATCTGCGTGGACATGAGCCGGCCCGCTCGCACTGGAGCAGTGAACTCTGCGGCAGCACTGGTGATGCCCACGAGGACGACCTGCCGGTGAAACGAACGATGTGAATGGCAGTACGCTGAATGCCTGCCAAACACATGGACGGCTTCGTGCGTATGTAAGCGCATATGCTGAGCAAACGTCGCTTCCTGTCCGGATATCGTCTTTTCGGACCCGTTTGAACATCCGGCTGTTCGGTGGACACAGGTTGCGGCGCGCTGTACCGCCGCTCAGACAGCCACGAACATCGCATCGTGCGTCATTGCAACGCTCGGGAGCAGCGTATCATAGCCGGTGCAGCACATGAGAGGATTCCCGCTCGATAATACCGCGCTTCGATACAGGAGCGCCTGCATCCGAACGCCAATCGATTCGGGGACGCTGCATTCACCGGCTTTGCCAGCATAGCAAAATGCTGTAATTCGCGAACATCCCCTACAGCGCCCGCTCTTACAACGCTTTTAGAGATTGCCACGCTGACGACATCGCCGGACAATGACGAACCTCGTTCAACGCGCCTGCCAGCATGGGGCGGCGGCGAGCGCGCACGCCCCAACACGTTTCGCTAAGGGGGGGGTGCCTTAGGCAGGTCTTCGAGCGGCGGCGGCGGCGGCGGCGGCGGCGGCACACGTCTATATCCATGGTGCGGTGCATCGCGGATAGCTGAGCTTCAACTGCAGACTTTCGGTGCCATGTTCGTGTACGCAGTACCGAGGAGCAAGCGGCGAGCTGCTGATGATATCAATTGCCTGGGGAGCACAAGCTCTAGGCTTTGGAGACTCAATGCTGGTGTCGAGGGAGTACCGGAATGGCGAGTTTCTCGCTTTGCGCAGCATACCCGCCCACGCACGACGCTTCTTTGGTCGCATTCATGTGAACGACAAAGTCAGCGTTTGAAGCCCGTCACGAAACTTTCACTGGAGGGTGCTAAAGCGACGTGCAATTTGCAAATAAATGAGGCGAAAACGCGGCAAAAGAAGCAGCATTTGGGTGCTTTCGCGGGGAGGCTGAGCTCCAGCCTCGCCGTTATCATCCGTTTGTGGAAGGTATTGCGACGGACTGTTGGCCTCGAGCGTTGTTGCGCGGCGCTTCGTCTTAGCGGGGTGTCTCTTTCCATGGCGTGCGCAGCGGCGCCGCAAGGTGCTCTGATAGGATCAGTCGTAGCAGCTGCACGGACGGTACCAATTCTAGGGCCTGCGTTTGAGGCGTTTGCCCTCGTGTTTTTCAGTGAGTTTGGTGATAAATCCATGTTTAGTACTGCGTTGCTATCGATGCGGTATGGAACACGTTCTATGCAAATGGTTGTCCTATTGGGCTCAATGGCGGCGCTGACGACAATGACGTTCATTTCCTGCTTTCTCGGCAGATTGATGTCGTTTCTGCCGGCGCGGATTACGCTCATACTCTCTGTACTGTTGCTAGCTATTTTTGGTGTTCGCTTCCTGCAACAAGCAATTGTAGCATGGCGAAGAGATCGAATACGCAGTGCTACAGCAAAACCAGGCGAAGACGAGGGCGATGAGGAGGCAGCAGCTGCCCGGGATCTCGAGCGCTACAGGATTTCCGTCGATGATACAGCACCTGCTGTTTTCGCGAAAAGTTTTACGATCATCGCCTTATCTGAATGGTGCGACCGAAGCATGTTCGCTACGATGGCGTTGGCGGCCAGCACGAACGCGTATGCAGTGATTATTGGAGCCAGCTTGGCGAATTTCGTCTGCACTGGCATGGCCGTAGCTGGTGGCTCACTCTTTCACAAACTACCGGAACGCATCGTCAACTTGGCTGCAGGCGTCCTGTTCCTAGCGACAGCCGCGTATACGTGGCTCTTTGAGTTGCCAGAAGCGGATTCGTAACGCGCAATCTAGACGGAGCATTGTCCTTGGCTGAGCGCTGCAGACGCGGATTTGCGCTGCCTTCGGACCACACTTCCTGGTGCACGCGGAATGTGCGTCGCAGATGCATCCGAACAGCGGTCGGTTCGACCTCGTTTTGGTACAGCTGACGCTGCACAAGCCATAGGCGACAGCCGCATGCAGCTGGAGCCTTATTACTGTGTAGCATGCAATACGGGAACGAGCATGCTGGTGAAACATCGTCCTCTCAAGAAAAGCAACAACTCCCATGCAAGCGGAACTCCATAAAGCTAGGTATGGATAGACGCACATGGAAATGGACAGGAATCGCTTTTCGACTGTTGTGGCCGAGCTAACGCTATTATTCAGTCCAATGTGCGTGGCCTGCATACAAACTCGTTCAACCTGGAGTGACGCAACGAAGTAGGCTGTCATCCGAAACAGGATTTTGGATGTGGAAGCTGCGCGGATGAAAATACACGCCCCAGTGCGCCGAGAGCCCGTGGATGTACGGCGTCCTGAACGATGCCAGTTTTGCATATCACGGGCGCATTCTGGAATACAAGCGATTTCGTTCAGATGCTGTTGCGGTGTATTCGCAAATTATCTATCGGAGTTGTCGACCGCAGGATGACGACTTTAAGGCATTGCAATGTGTGCACCTTAGCCTAGCTCGAGCGCGGTTTTCGGTATCACGTAGGGAACTGTACTTAGTAAAACCTTGAAACCCTTGTCGACAGAAAGTTTCCGTTCATTTTGTCGTAGTTGAACAGCTTGCACAGTAGCGGAGGCTCTCCACTGTGCCGCTCTACCAAGCACCGAAAGGGGCAGGTCGCGCGAAAAGGACACGAAGAGCGCCCGCCGCCCGCTATAGAGATAGCCCTGCCTGTTTCATGCGAGCTTCATTTGTTAATACCCTACTATACTCGTACCATATTAAAATGAAAAACTGAACTGTTCGCTCCGCCCTTGCTTCAATTTTTCCGAACTTTTTTCCTTGTAAAGTCTCGATATCCAAAGTGCAGCATTTCGGATTTACGGATTCATGCTTCATTTTACGATTCTCTGTCGTTTTTACCAGGGTAGCTTCTTCGACTCTTTGATGCCGAAGTTCATGACGTCATCGTCACCAAGATGGTACGGAACGTCCTCGTATACGGGTTTCTAAGTTACCGACCTCATTATCCGGTTTACAGACACAGGCCTCTACTCTTCATTTTCTTTACATGTAGCATGATGAAAAACACGCATACATCACGTTTTCGATCATTCTGTTGCATATGAACTCGTGGGCGCAGCTGTCTGTGCCGCTGAATTGATGAGGAAAAATCTCGACTCCATCCTTAGATACATTCTTCACATGCTCGTGCCGAAAGTTTATCGTCCTTGTCAGGCCATATCATCCATTCCGCTAGAAAGAAGAATACTCCTCTCTTTCAAGGCATCCGGGAAACCAGATTCTACAGCAGCAAGAAGTGTCGCATAGAATGTGCTCCCAGAGGCTCCCGCCTCCTCAGCTCGCATGGAAATTGGCCTCGGGCTCAGTATTTAGTCATCGCAGCGATCGTTTCCGGAGGAGTGTGTGCCACCGCTCTGCACGACGGGAGCATAGCCTTATGGAAATCACTCGATTTTTCCTCAAACCTTGATTTTCCTTTTGTACTTATTCTATCTTGTCCAACATTGCAGAACACAGTTCTCGTTCTATCAGAGCAGCCTGCCCTTCTGCGCCCAGCTGACAGAGTACACGCCGAGGAAATCACCCAGAAGAATCACGTGATCTTGGAGTACTACTCCGGGCCCCGAAACAGAGGTAGCATCGAGCGGAGCCGTCAGTACGCGTCAAGGGCATGAACCGAGCGAAGAAACATTCCTTCATGCGCCGCGTACCAGCGCTCAGAGAAGCAGGTATGGTAGACCTGTGCGGACACCTCACTGTACTCAAGTATCGCAGCTGCGAATGGCGCACCGAGGATACCTAAAAAAGAAGATGAAAATGTCGAGCGAAGCGTACATCGCAACTTGCGCCCGTGAATCTCATGCGTCTATAACGGCATAGAGGTGCGAAATCCGGAATTTAACGCTGCTAACAATGCACCTCAATTATTGACAACGTAGAGGCATGGACAGGCGATGCCATCGTCTTCGAAACCAGAGATAAGCAAAAGGAGGGGAAAGCAGTCGCAAACCAGCGCACATAGGGTTCGTGTTGATGACAGTTTGAAGAGCCCCATACGTTAGTCTACACGCCCCTGCTGAATGATTCGTTCGAACCATTCTGACATTAGTGTGAATTGTAGTACAAATGACTACAGCAAGGATCCTGGGGGCATAACAAGGCTGCTGGAACCAGGGAATCGACTTGCGCTGAACCGCAGTGAATGGAAACAATCAGAAAGCAGGAATCGGAAGTTAACGGTAATCGAAGCTCCAGTTCGATGGTCGATACGCGCACAGCTGCGCGGTGCGCCGTCGAGGCGCCTCAGGGCGTCGTTCGCGTCTCGCCACCAGCAGCGGCGGCGCATTGGACGACACACACGACGGCTGCGATGCTACCAGAGCGCAATCGACCAATTCGCGCTTCTAGCTCTTGCCTGTTTGGCTACGAGCCTGTTCACACCGAACTTTGTGTCTATATTGGTCGTCTTTTCTGAGCACGAGCCCGAGGAAAAAAAGGCATATTCTCATACTTTTAAGTAATGTTTGTTCAAACTTTTGGTGGAGCTGACTTTCTGCAGAGCGTAAAATCTGGGCGCTCCCGCCTGCAGACGTGCACTTCTCGCTGGCACTTACGAATGCTGCGGCGGGGTCGTTTAACGTTTGCGATCCAGCTTCAAGAGCAGCAACCTGGGCGTGGGACAGATGCTGTTGAGTCAGAGGCAAAAGTGGCTTGGGGTGAAGTAGGCGCTGGCGAAGACGCAGACAACGGAGCTTCTCAGGCAACGGATGTCGACATGCCGATGCCATCGCGTCCGCGGCGCACGGGTGCGACCGTGGACGCGGACGGCAAAAGCAACGTTTGGGCTATTGAACCGCGCGTGTATACTGAGTCTAGCGGGGAGTCTGTGACAAAAAAGTATCTGGCCTTAGCGATTGCCGGTTTTGTCGGCCTCGCAATAATTGTGCTTCGCTTTCTGCCACTTACAAACGCTGACCAGATGTAGTGAATGGGAATCTATCAGTCTGCTTATCGTTGATGGGCATGCAGAAGAAGGGCATCGCGCTCGGCTGTTGATGTTGGCTCACCTGGCAGCAGTTGTCGCTCGTCCAAGCCCGAAGAAAATGGAGGTAAATGTCGCTGCAGCGTGACATCCACATGCAGTTTTCGTGCTGCTCGATTCTCTATCTATCGAGCAAGCGCTGTATGCTTAATTTTAAATGGACTTGCACCCGTGCTCACATGCATATCTTTGCGAATCTGGAGCTAGACGTGCAGGGCGTAAGTTCCTTTACTCGGATCCTGGGTCTGTCGGCACGATAACTGGCCCTGTTTACGAATAAGGATCATGCTCTGTTTAATTGTTTGCCTGCATGCTGTCCTGCACACTGCACATAGAGAGCTAGCATCGAGGCTTAGCATCCCGGTGCAAACAGGAAGCTAGCTGAGGAACTGGTTCCACTTCAGCGTCCCGCATACGAACTTGCGATACTGGCCGCGAGCCGCCAACAAACAGCGCACCTTCCGTTCAGACACCGGCATCTATTTGCCTGATCGGCCGCAATTCCGCCTGCAACCGAGGATCCTGTTCAACATGCGCTACTAGCCACGATAGCCAGAGTTCAGCACCGCTATGGATGAACGTGCTGCCCGGCCGCGGCGCGTCGCTGCGTTCCGTTCAGCCAGTGCGAGCTGGTCGCGTCGCCAGCGCTCAAGCACTCGACGTGGTGGAATACTGGGATACGGCTGCGACGCTGCGGGTCCAGTGAAGCCCATTGCAGCTGCGTGGGCGAGCTCCTGATAAGCCAGCACCATCTGCTGGCGCTCTTGTCGAGCAATGCAGACAGGTAGCTGCGTGCGGTGATGATCATGCACACGCTGGCGATAGTATCGCCAGAGAGACCGGTGTGCAATAGTTCGTCCACTCGCACCTAGTTGAAGGCCAACAACTTCTTCATCTGGTGGGTGCGTAGATCTCGGTGCCTCGGCGACCGAGACCCACTTTTCCCATGGCGCTAGAGCGACAAACTCAGCCTCACCCGCAGCCTCATGTGGCGTGCCTGGAGAAAGCGCTTCGCTCGCATCCGCGGCAGACGACAGCAGCGCGTCTGCTCGTACTGGGGTAAAACTGTAGAATTCCTGATACTCATCCCAAACCTCCTCCTGATCAAAATCGGGCAACCGGCAGTGCCCAGCATCTCGCATATGATTTCGACAGGCCTGTAAGCTGCTGAATACCTCCGCACGACGCTCGAACAGCTGCTCCGCGGAGTCCGTAGTGTCTTGCGAGAGCGGTACGACCCTTCCCCCGAACACGCAACAGTAGCCAAGACCGACCTTGACTCCCAGGTATCGTACGAGTCCGGCAAGATCATAGCAGTACTCTATATAGGGCACAAAGAATGAGTGCTCTTTGGCCATGTGGCGGAGATTTGCAAGGAGAGCGCCGCTGCGCTCCTGTTCTGAAACATTCTCGTCAACGGCAACCTTGTGGTTACAGAAAAGACATTCGTGGATATCAAGGGGACGCGCTTCTTGCATGCGCTCAGCGAGCCAAGCGTCCAGGTCTGCAGTTTCGAGACTCGTTTCCTTTGATGCACCGGAGATGAGCTGCTGGTGCTGCTCATCAGATTCTGGGATGCCAAGTTCTCGCAGCTTCTCTCGATGCCTCGCGGTGCGCTCGTGTTGTTGCAGAACTTGCTCACTGGAAAACTCTTTCAGACACCAGATGCATGCCACACGGCGGCTGCTGGGTTGACGCTCGCCGTTCACGGCTGACGACCTCGCAAATCGAGCGGCGGAGAACAGGGCGTCCTCAGGTATCGCAGACCCCACCGATACTCTCACGCTGTAGCTGCTCCAGGGTTCCTGGCTGCTTGGAGTGCTCTCGTCCTCGAGCACGCCGAGATCCATCTGAATAGTTTCGTCGCCGCTTTCCCAGTTCCTGCAGTGTTCCGTGAAATCAGCCTCCGATAGAGGTGGTAGTTGAGCGGTGCGACGCTTCAGGTTGACGCGGTGCCAGTCAGAGCGGTAGTGCTGCCGTCTCTTTTCGAGCAGTGCCTCGGGCGAATGCGCTTTACTGGGAGCAGAGTGGCCGTTGTTGGCGTCTGAAGCAGCGACCGCGTCCGCCGGAGACCACTGGCAGGCTACGCAGTACACGTGCTATGCTGCTGGTGTCGCAACGTGCACCAGCGACGTCGCAATCGAACCATTGTCAAGTTGCATCTGCTCGGACACGTCAAAAGTCGCCTCGTTCGTCGAGCGGCCTAGAAAGAGCCGCAGCTTCGCGTGTCAGCGAGGCGCTTCTAAGCTTGATTCGGTACAGTGGCAGCCGCCAAAGCACCCAACGGAGTCTTTTTCACAGTCGCCCGATAGTTTGCACTCAAGTAACAATTTCAGGTAAATCGAAACGACTCTTGTTCAAAAAGTCAAGTGGCTCGCGCTCATTCGACAGCAGTTACCTGTTGCAGCCCCGTGAAAACGTATCGCCCCGTTGCAACAGCAAGACAGAACGGAGAATCCTAACATTTCTATTCATCACAACCACTCTCATAGTCGTCTCGGAGGTGCCTCTTACGCTAGAGATCGCTCAGGTTTACTTCTGCACTCGTCGAGGGCTTGTCGAGTCACCTTGGCGGGTGACTATACGCTCCTTGCTAGCATTTTGTGGCGTGTAGAGCGCTCGGTAGTCCAGAACGTTGCAGCGACTGCACAAGAACAAGCACTGATGCTCCCGGTCGGACTTGTCCGCGGTGCCGTTGGTCAGCAAGTCACTGTGGAGCTGAAAAATGGAAAGCACTGCACTGGCGTTTTAACTGGTGTTGATCCGTGGATGAACTTGAACTTGGAGAGCGCACGAGTAACTGGGGCTTCACGGGCCGCGACAACGGACTCGGTCGAGCAAGCGGCTTCCTATGCTGCGCTCCATATCCGTGGAACAATGATCAAGCTCGTGCAACTTCCGAGCAAAAGCTGGGAGTATGCACAGGATGAGCGCAAGCCACGGCAGCTCCGCGAGTAGCCGCTCGAGAGCGTCCTGGTCAGAGCCGTCTGCTAAAATTCGTAGTGTACCTCTGGAAGCGAATTTGATACGGTTTATGTTCGAGGAGAAGCTGCTCCAAACCGTACAAGAACACGGTGTGGTAGCTGTGGTGTCCACAGAAGCGAAGGTTGCTACGACTTGAGATGTTTTAGGTGGAATAGCCTACCATCATATCTACAGGTAGCATTTTTATGGGGTACAGCGCAAGCCTTGCGCATATGTATGTGGTAAACTGACGCGAGGTCTGGAATTGTGCCATGGCATTGCCTGGGAATACGAAGACGCTCATTCGACTCCATTTAAATTTCAGAGGCAACAAGTAATGTATGCGCGCTTCTTCCATACCACGGGGGCCCTAGAGGCAGATCCATCTATGCTTCCTGCCTGCCTGCCTGGCTGCCTGCCATTTTCTCTACCTACGTGCAGTTTTCGCGTTCCACAGGAATGAGGTGCGTGTATCTCTGACCTCCTCTGGAGGAGATTGCAATATGCTTGCCAGCCAGTGCTCCAAATATCCGAACGAAGACGCGCTGACTCGAGAAGCAAGTAGAGCGCTTTTAGGTTATCGGGTATCTGCGTCTCAGCTTCGCGATCGTGAAGTTCATTCACCAGGTTCCCCATTTCCTATGTACATTCTCTCGTTCATGTGCGTAGCCACGACATGACCAGGAGATATCGCCTGCAGCGGCCCTTCAAGTGCAGTTCACAAACCACATGCTATTTGGCGCTCGAAGCATGCCGCTGCAAAACAACAGTTGCAAATGCAGAATCCAAACTTCTATCTCGACATGCCATGTGCTTTGTTCGATGCATTCCATAGCGCCTATTGAGGAATATTGCAAGGTACTCTGCCATTTGCGAGCTGTCGCACCAGCAACATTCCGAACTGTACAGCTCCGGTGCGCTTCTCACAACCGCGTCATTTTCCTCCCGCTCTGATGGGCTGCGTACGCGACTAAAATTCTCTTGACACCGCGAAAGTCGGAACCAGAGATTCGAGACCTCGAACAGCGCCCAAGTTTTGCGGTGCCGCTGCAGACGGTGCTGCCGTGCGACCTCGCACTGGGGCCGGAGGCAGCACGCCCGCCAAACCCAGCAGCTTAGCGACGCGCTCAGACGGCTGGGCGCCCACGGACAGCCAGTACTGAGTTCTTTTCACGTCGAACTGAACGAGCTTCGCCCCTCGAATTACCCGCGGGTTGTAGGTTCCGACGTGCTCGAGGAAGCGGCCGTCGCGTGGTGCTCGCGAGTCCGCCACCACGATACGGAACACCGCCGCGTGTCGACGCCCATGCCTCGCAAGACGTATGCGGACTGGACTCATGCGCTCCACAGCGTTCAGTTCTGGCGATAAGCTACGTAGGAGCGTCTATAGCACGGCTGCTCTGAAGCTGCGGCTGATTCGGGCAATACGCATCCAGGATGCTTCGAGGGCGCGCGTGCTATGTTCTGCCCCGTATCCCTTTATTTCTGTACCTAAATGTACAAGAGGGACACAGTGCCAAGGTGACACTTTCCGCTCGACCATTGCCGACACTTGTCCCGATGCTCCTGAACAGTAGATTCGTGCAACTTCCACGGATCAACGTGTCCCCTGCAGTTGCACTTCAACGAGCCGCTGTGTATTTTGTGGTCACGCTCTCGGAAATCCGTGATTTTTGCGCTACTTCGCGAGTGCCAGGTACTCCTGGTGCAAACGCGAATGCGAACAGCACCAGCAGGGAATAGCAACCGACACTTATTCATGCAGCGGCAATGAACAGTGCAGCCTGGTGTAGAATCCTGCATGGCCGCCCTGCATGCAACGGGTGGAATGCCGTGTCGGAGGCCAGCCATGACCTTTGCCTGTTTCGTGCCCACATTTCAGGTTCGGACAGTCTAGGCAGACGAGTTCGAGGCCTTGCGAGCCATGGACCAAAAGGTGAAGGTACTGCAGCATGCCCTTCTCAGTGGTGGTTACGCTGGGAACATGATGCAAGCGGCATCGGCGGCGGCCACTTTTATCGGCCCTGGACGCACGAGCAATGAGCGATGCGATGCTTCAGTACGCAAAATTCATCATGAAACAGCATCTTTAGAGGATCCCTGCAGCGCCCGTGGATTCCTCGAACTTTTGACGCTGGCTGCGGGCTTCGAAAAGAAGAATGGATGCAGCAGCAGCGGCGTTCAAGGATTCTGTGCTAGATTCCAGAGCAACTGAAACTGTATGTGTAGGGCTTGAGCTCTCGTGCGAAGCATGTGGAGCGAGTAACCACGAGAAGCGTGTGCAAGACCTGATTGCTTTGCTCACAAATGGAACGGAATCCCTCCGCAGTACAGAAGCCGCACATGGACAAGCCGAACTGGTCTGTCGGCTCACGCAAAGACAGGATAGACACGATGTATTGAGGCGAATTTCAGGGCTCCTGCGAAATACACAAAGGCCGTAGTTCGAAAATACAATAAATTGCTGCGTTCATCCAGAACGACTCTCCCGAAGATCCTCTTCCGGAACCCTCTCGAACCGTTTCTAGATGTTAGTAACCTGAACCCTTGAGATGCATCCAACGATGTGGCCATGTGCGAGTAGAGCAAAGTTCGCAGAGCCTGATGTGTCGTTGACCAGCGGACTACCGTAGTCTACGAGGTGGAAATCGAAGCAGCGCCTCACCAATGTTAAGTCATAAATGATCGCTCAGGTATACGCCCATTCAAATCAGAGAAGATAGCTCATCCATGAAACGCGTGCACAAAAGAAAAGATTCTTCCAAATATTTGCTGCCAGAACGCGATGTCTATATTAATCACAAAGATCAACAACGATCGTGTCCGCCAGACAACCGGAGTTCTCAGTACGATCATGCCAGCTGCTGTTATTTTGAAGCGTTTGTGACTTTCGCTCAGAGAACGGCTCGAACGAAATGGCCCGCTCGCATTTCATGCTGGCTCGCAAGGCAGACGGCTCCGACTCAGCCGCCATTGTATGCATAAACGTCCCATCTGGAAGGACGTCAATGAACTCCTCTTCTGGATGCGCGAATTCTAGGGCCTTTCGAAAGAACTCGCAGACCTGTAGCATGTGCAGCGGGGCCGGCTTGTTCGTCACTGGGCAGATGAATCGCTTCGTTAAGCGACTCATTTCAATATAACTGATCGCGTCGAAGCACTGAAGCTGCGTACTGCCCCGGACTCGAACTGGTATTTTGATCCGTGTTCGACTGAGCGGACATAATAGCGAAATCCGCACCGATTCAATGTCAAGATCATCATCGCCGGCCTGGACGGCTGGGCACAAAATTGCTCTCGCCTTTTCAGCTGAAGGTCGCTTCCGGGCAAGGACGCGTTCTAGTTCGAATTCTACGGAGAATAAGTGCGCAGATTGTACAACGAAAACGTAGAACTTCTCTGCCGGCCACGGACAGACGTGCTCTTCTAAACTTTGGTTAATATCGAGCCGTAGTAAAAGCGTTCGACCCCCTGTCCCCAACTGAACTTCTTTCCGGTATGCTTTTTGAATGGGAAGTGTAAGATCCACATATTGTGCTGCTTTCTTGATATCCACACTATGTAGCTGTGACGAACTCGAGGACTGCAAACTAAGCCACGCACGGCAAGAGGCTGGAAAAGCGCAGTCCCATGATGAAATTCGCCTATTAGAGACTTCAAAGCAACGCAAAACAATCGCCGTTCGGAGACTCGGCATTTTGGGGAGCATTTTGTCCAGTGGTACCGGAACAGAAAATTCCAGAGATGTTGGGAGCCCTCGTGTCAGCTTCTTGCAGAACGTACGGTCCGTGGTGAAATCATTCTGCCTGGTATCAAATGATATGTTGTCCACAAGAGACAGAAATGACTGAATGCTCTCATCGCAACCAGATCGAGCGTTTTGTGCTTCCAAGGCAAGTGCCATGACATCATCCGTCCATAATCTGCTGAAGGAATCTGCTTGATTTGCAGTGCCTCTTGGATTCCTCATAACCCCGGGAGCTTGCGAATTCGCCAGGGTGCGTTCCAGAGGATTCATAGGCATCTCCTGCGTGATGCCGGTGCTCTGCACATGCTGCACGGCAGCCATGGTTTCGTGGATACGGTGCAAATGGGCACCGTTCAACTGCGATGTCTCCGAGCGGCCTTCCTCGACTTCGCCAGAAGTGCCGTATCGATCGATCGGAACAAGCACACCGTTTCGAATGCAAAATCTCGAAGAACGCAGCCGCCTCGGTGTCCATCGAGGTGGTAATTCGGATGGATGCGGATGCGGAGCCAGCCAACTGATCGCCGTGAACGGCGGACGGATGAAGGCATCCTCGGTAAACCCTCGACGTTCCTCACTCGCACCTCTGTGTAGAATCTGGACTCGCTCAGCGTTGGCTGTGAGCAGTGCATCTTCTGTCACGCAAAGACGTCCGACAGTGGACGAATCTGCACCGTCAGCGACTTTCAGAACGAGGCTCAGCAAAGTAGCCGCATTTGTGCCTCGACGATGCTGCACATTCAGCATGATCCCGATATCCACGACACGCTCTTTGGTGAACTTACCAAAAACCTCCATCCGCCCACGAAGCGAAACGTCTGGGCTCCATCCCTGGTGGGTTAAAATTGCCCTAACTGCCTCCGAGGGATTCGTTCCTCCGTAACCCACCATTTTGGCGAGGAGCCAAAAGCTTGTGAACACAGGAGGCCTTGACCAGAGCTGCAAGATTCGAGTCAAGTTCTCGGCACCAAAGCATCTCTCGGCCAAAAACCCTCCAGAAGGTGTTGCTCGCGAGAACGGCCTACCAAGTAGGCGTTCTGAACCTGCTGGGCTTTGCGTCTCGCAAGCGAACCCACTGGGCACAGAAAGAGAACTAAAGGAACCCCTGATTCCATCAGGTGCCTCCTGTGAATGGTCAGCTGAGCAGTCCTGGAAAGACTCCCGCTCCAGACCGAAACTCGACAGCGCGCTCATAGGATAGTGGTCACCTCCTGGGGTACCGTTTCCTGACTGCCCCGCCATGGCATCAGCGAGCAAGTTATTGTTCGCCGTGAGCACGAGGAGCTCCTCTGCACTGAGGTCAGCTTGAAGGTCCAGTTCTCCGATATCAACGTCCATCAGCACGGCGTTTACGACTATAGCTGCGAAGCTAGAAGCCTTTTTTTGACGTGCACCAATTTTAGGCTGTGACAGTGACCGGCCAGTGATGCTTGCCGGAATCGGTAGCACTACATCGTGTTATCAGAACTGTAAACGCCGGTTGTTCCGGGTAGAGTACTGGAACGATCCCGAGGACTGCTGAAGTTTGATCATTGACCAGAAGCTTGCGCTTTCGAGTTCATACGCTAGGCGCTCTCGTAGTGGTGTGAGTTAAGGCGATTCTGGAAGAAGGTATCTTTGTACTTCCGTTCACTATGCGAGTCGTAAGTTTTCCACGTTCGAGTGGCTCTGCCTTGCGGAAACGCACGGAAGCTTTCGCTGGCTTGCTGAGCTACCCATGGTGCCAGCACTCAGCTCTGGAACTATACAGTCGGCAAAAAGTTTTGAACACCAGGCGATTGAGCTTCCTCGACTCTGGGATGTGCTTATTTGCTGGCGTCCGGACGTTTCGTTCCAATTTCTTAGCGTCTGAGTTGCGCTTGGCGCGAGCAACACACTTAAATTTGGATTTATGGAGGCGCAACTCTAGTTTACTGCGAAAAACGCACGTTCAATACCGACAAGCTAGCGGTCGCGGTCGGGGGCCAAGCACGGCCGACTCGTCTGATGTGCGGAAACGGAACTTGAATTTTCTTGCGTGGAGCCTCTCTGCCGCGATATGTACAGTTGGACTCTCATACGCATCCGTGCCTTTGTATAGAATGTTTTGTCAAGTTACTGGATACGGAGGCACTGTACAGACGGAAACTGAAGAGTATGAGAATCGATGGAGCGCGCTCCAATCATCACCAAGCGCTGAAGGGGATACTCGTTCCGAATCCTCAGCGCCGGAGCCGAGCGCGAGTAGTCGCACAAAATCCTCACATCGCCGGGAACGAATGCGTATTCGACAAGACGCAAGACCTATTACGATCCGCTTCAATGCGGACGTGAATGCTGCCATGCCGATCACTTTCGTGCCACGTCAGTCGATAGTGCACGTTGTACCCGGGGAGGCTGCGCTAGCCTTTTATACCGCACAAAATCAGGCTAATGAAGATGTTGTCGGAATCGCCACCTACAACGTAGTGCCCGCGAAGGCGGGAGTCTACTTCAACAAGATTCAGTGCTTCTGCTTCGAGGAACAGCGTTTTAAGGCAGGCGAAAAAATCGATATGCCTGTCCTTTTTTTCATTGACCGCGAATTCAGTGATGATCCTCGCATGGTAGACGTAGATACGATTATCCTCTCGTACACATTCTTCCGAGCGCAGGATGTTTCTCCTGAATTTCTGGCGGAACAACAGCGTCAAGCAATCGGGCTCGCAACGAGTTGAGATCTGTGGAGAATGACGCTAGGATGGGAACTTGCTTGATAACCTCTTGACCCTCGAGAAACCCCAACAGTCTATGTGTAGTGCATGCATGAAGGCAGCTACGAGTTAACGATCAGATGCATCCGTCTGAACCACGACAATCTCTGTTGTGCATTAATGGGAAGGGCATATGTCGCGAGAAAGACTACCAGTCGCGCTGTAAACCAAGAATTCGCCAGAAGAGGTTTCCCGCGGGATCATTTTCTACGAGTTGACTGTTAGGATGTTCCAGATAATCTAGTTGGACCCCATATGCAGACTGGTGGGTAAGCGGTGTCAGTGGAATATTGTCCATGCGAGTCTGCAGCGGTGCTAGATAGGAATCCAACGGTGGAAACAGGAATTTCAAGAAGCCCAGAACGACAGCGTGCACAGGCGTATTTTCATAAAAGGTGCATCAATCCATGCCCGAGGGCACGAATAGTGAAGTGCGACGAGAGATCCCAAGCTTGCAGAGAAGTTGCTTGCGCGAAGGGTGTGGATGTTCTCTACATTTTTCGGATGCGTCGTTTCTTCTGATCGACTACCCGCCTTGGGGCAACTGCAGAAGTGCGTTGCATGTCGGGCCGTGCTGTTGCGTTCGCAATAAATGGTAGAAACGATCCCACTCCAAACGTAGTCTGCAAGGGAGCAATTTGTCTGGCCTGAGGCGAGGTGGGAAGAGTCTCTGTTGCAGCGGCCGCCGCTGAAACACTTGCGCTCACTACTTCCCCAGATTCGGGATCGTTTATGTCCGGACGACCAGAAAACCCTTCAGAGCTTTCGCGGCTAGGGAGTAGCAAATCTTCGGGAAGGTCGTCCTCCGTCGAAAGGTGCAAAACTATGTCTTCCAACTCGGAGAGGTAACGGACGAAATTAAACGAGTCTCCATCTGCTGTCTCGAGTGACTTGCCCTCATCGTCCAAAACAGCGCTCGCATCGAGCTCCAACGCTCCTGACGGAAGACGAAGAGCTGCAAAAAGTGCGTCCAAGCACTCCTCTTCGTAGGCAGCTGCACCACCGCGTTGTCCGGAACTCATACAGAGCACCAGTGGAAAGCAAGACTTTCTCTCAATTGAAGACGATTTCAACCAATACGCGCATATCAAAGACCTTCCAGTTATATTTCTACGTGTACTCGGGTAACCACAACGTCACCGTGACGAATGACGTACCACTCCGGCAATAGAGAATAGATTTAGCGTTCTTGCATCTCAACACCAGACGCTGCGACAAAACACGTGGTGATTCTGGGACTGTCTTCCGTGGCGGTATGTTTCTGGCAGAGGCCGTGTTTCGGATACGACAACAGTCAAAAACGATCTCGTACTCAGCACGTCACGAAAACAGTTGCGTACAAGGCTTGAAGCTAACTTCAGAGAAACCTGAGGCACGGTCAACTGTGGCGGCACTCTCAAGAAGGGTTTGGAGCCTCCGCGACGAGGGCGCATACTCAATTCTCGAGCGAGCAAACCATTTAGACAGGCATGCAACAAGCACCGCAGACAAGATTATCCACTTGGAAATAGGTCAGCCTTCAGCTGCGCCTCCGCAACACGTCGTTGACGCACTTATCAACGCTGTCCAAAGTGGAGAAACGAAGTACACAGACCCGGCTGGCACGCTGAAGCTTCGCGAAGCCATATGTGCCTACATTGAAAGAACGCACCAGCTAAAACACGGCACCCTGAGTCCTAATATGGTCGTCGTTGGCCCAGGAGCGAAACCGGGAATAGCTCTCTCGTGTCTGGCGCTTTTGGAACCTGGTGACGAGGTTCTCGTTCCAGACCCGGGGTTTCCAGCGTATCGAGCACTGATTGAGGTATGTGGAGCTCGCGCTGTAACCTATACTGTGTCATCAGAGTTTGGATTGCTCGATCCAGCGGAAATCTCTGCTAAAATCACGCAGAAAACGAAGCTTTTGATCCTGAACTCTCCGAGCAATCCGACCGGTGGTGTTTTATCCCCAAAGACTTTAAAGGAACTGGAACATGTTCTAAAGAGTTGCGGCAGCGATATATGGATTTTATCTGATGAGATATATGCGCGATGGTTCTACGAAGACAGACAGATCGATGATGAGGCTGCAGGACACGTATCAATCTTTTGTGACGATGAACTTCGATCTCGAACTATCCTCATCGATGGCCTTTCCAAGTCATTCTCAATGACCGGGTTTCGCATCGGGTACGCAGTCGCTCCGGCGTTCCTTGCGGAGCGGCTCCGGCTCCTTGCAGTGCATATCTATGGATGCGTCGCGAACTTCACCCAAAGCGCGGCTACGACGGCTTTTGTTGAACAGGAAAAGAGTGATGCATATATTCGGAGTCTGATCGAAATGTATCGAAGGAACAGAGATCTAACTTACGAAACGCTCTCCATCATGAAGGGGTGCTATCTGGCGAAACCTCAGGGTGCTTTCTACGCATGGCTAGATGTATCCGCGTACGGGATACCGACACCAGATTTGGCGCGGTACTTGTTGGAACACGGCAGAGTAGCTGTTCTCCCGGGAACGGATTTCGGATCTCAGGGAGAGGGATTTTTGCGGATCAGTTTTGTATGCGATCAGGCCGAGCTACGCGAAGGCCTTGGAAGGTTGGATATTGCCCTGCGAAAAATCGCTCCATCAGGAATACAGCAGAAACTCAAACAAAATTAGATTTGCAGCAAGAAAATGATATTGGGATCTGCTCGACCTTTCGATTAAGTCGCTTTCTGCAACAGAACGACTTCAGCTAGTGAGGAACGTGCCAAGCTCGTGTATGCGCCAGATGGCACGACACGGTAACGGTTTAGGAAGCCAGCGGTTCCGTTAAAGTGTAAGTTTTTGGAAGAATTCGAGCAAAAATTCGTAGCTGATTAATGCCAAAGCCGTGTTTGGCACGGTGCGCAACATGCTCGGGCCTAGTCCTCGATAGAAGCTGGATATGCCCTCTCTGTAAATCATATTCCGAACTAGATGAAACAGACGGATTCGAGGACCCTCAAGTCCGCTTTGCACTCGAGTTCGCAGGACCTCCAATGGAAAACACACAAGCTGGCTCAATATCGCACTCGTCAGAGAAGCGATGCCCATGTAATAAACTCGCTGTGCCCCTTCACAATCTATCAGACGTCTTAGGTTTTCATACAGAGCGAACTGAACGGAAGCAGCGGGGAATCCAGCCATTGATACCAAGGTACCTCGGTAAAGGCCGCCGAGGCCACCTTCCCCGACAATCTCCTGAAGCAGGTTCCGCATGGTTGGTCGATGGGCCTCCTTAGTTAGTAAATGTATACATTTTGTTTCATCAAGCATCCTGGTAATTGCCCGAGTCCGCATCAGCCACAAAGGATTCGTCAGCACTGAGGTTAGAGACCATGCTATCCCAGCTGAAGTTGCACACTTCAATGTAAAAAATGTTGTATCATCCGTCTCCGCCGGGTCCATCCAGGCCTTGACGCTGGAATATATCGTGAAAAAGGAACCTAAAGCGGGTACCAAAGCAAGCGTTGATGGCACGAGGCCTACAAATAAACCGCGAGGCCCTTCGTCATTTAGTATCGTGCGCACTGAACTATACAAGCCAGCGTAACGCGTTCGACGATGTGCTTCACGGCGTTCAGCCTGCATTCTCGTCTTTATGACTTCCAGCGGCTGCGTTAAAGAGGCAGCAATTGCACCGGAGAGGGCACCTGCCAGAGTGTGCAGAGGAGGGGCAGGCGTGGCCTCACTTCGCTCAGCAACAGTGTCAGCTTCCATTCAAAAGGCGAGCTCGAAACTCATGACCAACTACCTCCGCACTACGGTGAGGATGCTCTTCCGATGCAAATCAGCAGCAGTTTCTTATTCGAAGAGTTTTAGTCTAGGCTGCAGATTTGAACGGAACAGCCAGTGACCTGTTAGCGCTCTCAGCAGCACCCTGTATTCAACGCTACAACGCCGCTATGATTGCGCGATGCAAAGAACGAACCAAAGCACTTCAATGTGATCGTGCTCATGAAAAAATGCTTTGGCAGGGCGCCCTGCATCGGAACAGAAATCATTCTTTCTCTTTAATATATAAAAGCGAGGCATGAAGAGGGCAACTACCAAGGTTTCACATGACGACATTGATGCTTTGTAACATTGAATACATTATAGAAAAACTTCTGCGCTTTTCACACCGTTTGACTGATGATAAAAACATAATACGAGATATCTTTCACCGAAGAAGCCTTTGCAGATAGAAAACTCGCAGATAAACAAAATCGGAAGCCGGGTAACGATACAGCAAGCAGTAATATTCACTGTGCAATAACCGAGATTTTAAAATCACTAGTCCTTCGACACAGATCCCGACGGACTAGGCGTGACGGACTCACACATCTCTGAATTTGAGTGGAAATTCGATCTGAGCGACAATTCTACATCAGCGACAATGCCGTCAGGACTACCAAAACCCCTCGTAGGCAAACTCAACCGCAAGTTTGAATTCGACAAGGTCCGCGCAATTTACCACAGCATGCAAGCCATTAAGGAAAGCTGGGCATTTACAAAGCAGGTCGCTTGTGATTTAATGATATAGGATTAAAACAGACCATCAAAAAACTTTTGTTACGAAAGCGGTAGCCCACTGAAGAAGTGAGTTACATCAGGGTGCATCCCGCTCCTCAGCTCGCGCGCTCTCGACGCAGAACACACTCAGAAATATCACAAAAAATAGAACACGATTACCCTTCACCAACGACCCAGGAAAACCATTCCTAGTGTATCCATATGCCTCTCCAGCTTTCCCGGACTCTGAACCATGCCATGCAAGTGCCCTGCTCCAGGCGGGATTTCAGCGCCGCCCCTCTTGGCCACTGAATTGGGTCTATCGCAAGTCCTCGCCATTTCAGCACGATGCCCACAACGGGCACTGCAATACTCCCACCAAAGCTCGCTCGACACAAGCTCGCTGTACGCTCCAGGACCAGCAAACATTTCGGGTTGTTGATTGGCCCGTCCGGCTCGGCGGAGAACGTGCTTCCGTGCACTGTTGCTGGCGATATCACACTATGACGAGCTTCTCACTTTCGATTGCCTCGCAATGCGACGTTCGGTCAGCTTGCCGCCCAAGATCTCGTGGCATCCGACTCTGTTTCAATCTCGCCTTCTCCAGATGCTGCAGCCTACGCCTTCGCACGTGATGGATCTATGCCGTCCAAAGCGCATCGATGTAAATCGTACTAATCGGTTCCTGCACGCGTTGTACGCTCCCGTCGAAGGAGAGGGAGAGCAGCCCGCACGCGCCCCAGCACCTCCAGCGCCATAGACTAACACAAAACCACGCGACTTGTCGGCCATTTACTTTTCTAACTCACTGAACTAGTATATTCTCACGATTCCTGCATATACAAATCGGTAGATGTTGGCGACCCCAGCGCTGTTTCAAGTACCCGGCCAATGTTCGTTCGTATACGACATTTGGACACTCAGGCACTCTCTGAATCAAGCGCACGGGGGATCCGTTTCTGGTCAATCCGGCGCGCAGAACGTCGGGATGGGCCCTGAAGCCGTCATTCCGCGTGCCGGTACGCCTCGTTGAGTCGACCATGCCCGGCTCGCGATAATGCCGAGCCCCGGAGAAGCTGAGTTGCTCCATCTGATTGCCGCACAGCTGTTTGCATGCGTCCTTTCAATTTAGGGGCACGGCGGAAGCTACGGCGTTCTTCATACAGGGATCCACGCCCGCCACAAAGACTGTCCCGTAAGCTACCATGCACGATTGAGAACGAGTCTTGTTGCTCGGCTCAGCTCAGGGTTTCACAACGTGCATGCAGCCTGGTATCCCGTAGGTCTCCGTCGCCCCTGTAAAATTCTTTCCATTTCCTCCCCGTAACGAAGCAACCCTGAGGGAGCTCCGGCAATGCTCCATACGAAGCTGATCGAAAGCTTCGTAATTACCGGAAGAGAGGAGGCATAGCTCGCCGCGGAAACTATCTAGTATGAAACGAATATGCCTACGGTAACATGGCAGGCCTTGATATGAAATATGGGAGTACTTCGAACGGACGCTTGAGGAGTCTTAGGCGCTCGCACACAGTGAGGGAGTTTGCGTTGCTATGGAGGGCTTCCTCGAAGAAAGCGCAGTAGCTCGTATGCAAGGAAGCTAGGCATCACATTTCAACCATCCCCTCTATGGGTCGTGCGTCGGTCCGACCCCGCGAGCAATACGATGAGCCTGCGCCCCCACAGTCGGCTCTCGCGATCGTTGCGTTTTCCCTTCTGCGCTTGCTACGAACTCCATCTCGTCCGCCCAGAGCAGCTCGCCTTTTAACTATAAAGATACCGCTAGAAACTCATCCATCAGTCCCCTCTTTCCTGGGTCAGTGAATTGAGGGTACATCGCCCACAGGGTGCGGTTCATGAAGCGCTCGAGAGTGGCCGCATATTTTCTTCGGTTTTTGACGATAGTTTGATACTTTTTGGCACAGCGCGGTAGCTTTCTTTCGTTGCCCACATACAGCGACGACGCGTCAAAGCATTCTGCGATTCATGTGTGTAGCCGCTCGTCCTACAATCAGGCCGTGCTGCATATTGCGTTCAGAGCATCAGTTGCGCGTCGTCGCGCGAAGTCTTCATCGAGGAACTCCAGAAGAACGTGGACACCATGGAGTCCTATGTCGGAACTTCCGCAGACCGTTGCTTGACCAGGCGGCTCAAGACGAGAGAGGCTAGGCGCGCATTATTCGGGTAAGGAGCTTCTCGAGCCTTCACGACGTCCCGGATTTCGCGTTTTGGAAGAGCCTCCCCGTTGAAGTGTGTTTGTCGGGAGACCTTGGCAACGGTTTCAGACTGATATTTCCGCTCCGACAGCTTTCCTTCCTGTACCACTTCGTCCCGTTTTCTGAAGGCTCTTCCGCTTCCTTGTCTGGTGGTCCCTCGCCCTTCTCCTTGACTTGGCGCGGCGGCAGAACTGTTGCCGCTATATTCCATATCCAGGTTTTTCGTCGGGATTCAGACAAACTAGGTGGATTCTAGCACTGCCATTCGCCCGCTCGATGGATCTATGTATCTAATTCGCTCCGAGTACACTTTCGTCAGTGCTTCCGTGGCAAGCACAAGCATGAGCCGAGGCGCACCTCCTCGCTCGCTCACACGAACCGCAAGAGATGCAACAAAGCAGTTCATGGCGAAGAAAACAAAGAGGGACTTGTCGAACAACGATCTCATGGGCGCGAGCCACTTCTCTATTGATCCGTGAGCGTAAGAATGGAATTTGGCACCGGAGAAGAAACAGTCGACTGGATTAAACCATGGAGAATGGGCTAGTGCGAAGAGCAGCTCCACGAAAATCACAGATGCGTACCCCTTGACCACCTTTGGGTTATGGAAATCGAGATCGTCTCAGAACAGGACAGAAAAATGTGGAAAGAAGGCACCACAAGTGCTTCGACGAAGAAAGAGCTTTTGAGTGATCCAGTCCATTTGGGGATATGTGGGCGATCGCACGACTGCATTTCCGCATGGGTTGGTGTTGTCGCCATTCTCGCTTGTCTCATTACTAGGAAGATGGTCCTCGCTGGGGGCGCGCTTTTTCGCTCGTCTATCCGAGTCTCTTCATAACCAACCGTATCAACGGCGCGTAAATTTCCCGTCCTGTGGCTTCATTGAAAGTTCTGCTCTGAACACATATGCAGCGGAAGGAATTGAGGAGAAAGTCGAGCAGATTAATTTCTATATCATCTGACTCGGGTGCACGGCGTTCAGGATAGGGGCTACGAGAAGGGTGGTTCATCCACCAGCTGACGGCAGGGCGACTTGCAGTATACATGTAGAGACATTTTGGCCAGCTTCCAGTACCACCACAAAGGCTATCCGCGAATTTTTTGCTCAGTTTAAGGGATACATCTTTGTGTTGAATTTCTGCGAAAAAATCAAAAAAATACAAAATGACGCGCTGGTGTAGGGGTGCAGGATATCAGTCCCTATTGAACAATATGGTTTGCATCGGAATTGAACACGTTCATCAGAAAATCTGCGCGCTGCGCGCGGAAATATCGGCGCCGTTTTGGAATTTTTTGTCTGCATACCACTTTATCACTCCATTCTGCTGTCGAGGAATTCTGGTTCGTCAGCTTGGCAGACTTTTCCCTTTATGCTTAGATCTGAAGCCGTTTTGCAAATTTTTGCTATTTTTAATTAATTTCGTTTCTTCTGTTTTGTGAAAGAGGGATAAAGGAGTGATTCTTCTGAACAAAGAGCTTGGGTAAACTATTTGGGACTGACGCAGGTTCGAAAAGTAGAAGTACGATCTCATCTGCGCGGCTCTGGGCACCCGAGTCAGATGATATAGAAATTAATCTGCTCGACTTTCTCCTCAATTCCTTCCGCTGCATATGTGTTCGGAGCAGAACTTTCAATGAAGCCACAGGACGGGAAATTTACGCGCCGTTGATACGGATGGTTATGAAGAGACTCGGATAGACGATCGAAAAAGCGCGCCCTCAGCGAGGACCATCTTCCTAGTACTGAGACAAGCGAGAACGATCACAAAATCAGCCTTAGTGTTCTGAAAATACAGATACTAACCATCAAATAGAAATTCGATATCAATTTTCTTCCTACTTTACGGTAACCATTGAAAGGGGAAAGCATTTGCTTATTCTCAAAAGTTCGGTTTCCAGGCTGAAAGTCGCACGAGCCTTCCGAGCCTGCCAAGCTTTCGCTCCACATGCCTCTTTATAGCCTGGTGCTCTAGCAAGGCTTGAACAGCTCGTCCGCTGTGCGGGATAGTCTGGGACTTCGCGTGCTCAGGCTGTGTCTGGGACTCGCTCTCGTCGCGATGCTACTCTGACACATTGCTTCGCGCTTTTGCTTGCAGTGCGCCTGTCTGCGCGGATTGCAGGCTCTCAGCAATATAATGAATCCCGATCCCGAGTCGGCGAAAAACGCAGCGAGCTTACGTCTTCGGTGGTACGGCAAAGCCGTCCTGTCTGCGTGCTGCATTCGCACCTGCGGGATAGGCGCTAATGCTGGTGCCCACGATAGACTCGGCGCAAGATAGAACGTTCGAAACGACCAGTATGTCCGAGGGGAAGGATGGGTAATAGAACTTGAAGATAAGATTACGCATGACTGACGCTTTCCCGAATGCCAATATCGACCCCGCAGTCTGGGATCCATGGTCTACACAAACGCTCTCTCTGACAAAAATGCACATTTTCCGCGCTCACGGGTCGCGTGCGATACTCTTTCGAATTTTTTTCATTGACAAAACGTTTACTTAGGCCAGCGTTCTCCGATTATGCGCATTTTTCTTTTCTTACTTTTTGTGTCTTTTTCAGTGCGCGGTGAAGTATCCATCAAACGCCCTACCTCCAAGATACATTACCTATGCTTCATCTCGGATATTCTGGTCGTTTCGTACGCCCTATCGTGTGCCGAGCGTGCCGAAAGCGACAGCAGTAGCGCCTATAGCGCCAGTGCGGTCGCTGCACGGAGACAGAACGGCGTTGCCGTACCGCAGAGGGCGTCGGCTCGAGGGATACTCTTTCGATGTGACACGCTTTCGACGCGGCTACAGCGCTGCCGCAAGTGATGTCGCTGACCTTGTTTCCAGAGGGTATACACCCACGGATTCCTGTGGAACCTCAGGACCTTGTATGCTTGCAGTGTCCTGAAGCTAACCTTGGCCGGTCGCTGCTTTATTCTCTTGCTGAACGGGCAGCCCTTTTCAGCTCGAACGGGTTGACGTACCACGTGTTCCTCATTGACGGCGACTGTCTCAGCGGCGTTGTCGGACAAGGCGAGTGTGCCAGAGAGGTACTATGGAAGACTTTGCTAGAAGCCAGAACAGAGGCGACTGTGGAGGAGCCTTTGGCCATAGATCGTGTTTCTATTGCAGTGTGCCACTCGTTTAAGGAAAGCCTTGCTTGTCTTCGAGGCATTCTGCATACTGTCGAGCAGTTGTCACGGGAATTTCCCGAAAACACGCGAACGGTTCCTGAACGAAAGCTTTCACTTCGGACTACTGTATCGCCATTTCCGCATCATGTAAAAGCGAGTCAGAACTTCTCGCTTTTGTCGCTTCCGCATGAACGGCAAATTTCTCAGAACTTGGAAAGCTTTAATGAACCAAGCTCAACCTCTTTCAAAAGCTTTTCAGAGAGCGTTGCACTTACCGACAATTGCATAGTGAAAACACCGAGCACGCTGCCAGTATCGAATGTTCCTAGCCATGAATACGTGTTGATTCTTGTTGATGGTATCGGGAATTCTTCGGGTATGCTTGGAAGCGAATATTACAACACCTGCATCATTGATCTCAGAGAAGAGCTTCGTGATATTTTACGTCAGCTGCTCGCCAGTGCGTACGTTTCAATTGTTTTTCGCGATTCTCTTATGGGTACGAAAACTGAGAGCATTGCACGCGAGATTCCAATCGAGACAAGCGGGGCTGATGGAACGATAGAAAAAATGCTGCGCAATCTCCTGACGAAATCAGTGTTGGTCGAACATTCTTCGATGCCGAACGAAACGTATAGATTATGCTTTCGACAATTCCATCCGTCTGGATCACTCCAGCTTGAGTGGGAAAGTTTTTTAGGCGAGCCTCTCCATCCCGCTTTTAAATGGCTTCGAAGCAAAGCAGCGTAAGGAGCTGCGATTCCATGTGTGCGTGCTGATGCATGAATGAATAGAGTTCCCTTTTTCCGATTTCTTCGGATATCACCTTCCGGATAGTGATGAAGCAATTTTTCGGCGAAAATGTTCGCTCATTTATAGCGCTGGTCTCAACTGGATTAGTACCTACGGCTTGTCTGACTTTTCTTACGAAGTGCATTCACATCCTGCACCCCTACACCAGCGCGTCATTTTGTATTTTTTTGATTTTTTCGCAGAAATTCAACACAAAGATGTATCCCTTAAACTGAGCAAAAAATTCGCGGATAGCCTTTGTGGTGGTACTGGAAGCTGGCCAAAATGTCTCTACATGTATACTGCAAGTCGCCCTGCCGTCAGCTGGTGGATGAACCACCCTTCTCGTAGCCCCTATCCTGAACGCCGTGCACCCGAGTCAGATGATATAGAAATTAATCTGCTCGACTTTCTCCTCAATTCCTTCCGCTGCATATGTGTTCAGAGCAGAACTTTCAATGAAGCCACAGGACGGGAAATTTACGCGCCGTTGATACGGTTGGTTATGAAGAGACTCGGATAGACGAGCGAAAAAGCGCGCCCCCAGCGAGGACCATCTTCCTAGTAATGAGACAAGCGAGAATGGCGACAACACCAACCCATGCGGAAATGCAGTCGTGCGATCGCCCACATATCCCCAAATGGACTGGATCACTCAAAAGCTCTTTCTTCGTCGAAGCACTTGTGGTGCCTTCTTTCCACATTTTTCTGTCCTGTTCTGAGACGATCTCGATTTCCATAACCCAAAGGTGGTCAAGGGGTACGCATCTGTGATTTTCGTGGAGCTGCTCTTCGCACTAGCCCATTCTCCATGGTTTAATCCAGTCGACTGTTTCTTCTCCGGTGCCAAATTCCATTCTTACGCTCACGGATCAATAGAGAAGTGGCTCGCGCCCATGAGATCGTTGTTCGACAAGTCCCTCTTTGTTTTCTTCGCCATGAACTGCTTTGTTGCATCTCTTGCGGTTCGTGTGAGCGAGCGAGGAGGTGCGCCTCGGCTCATGCTTGTGCTTGCCACGGAAGCACTGACGAAAGTGTACTCGGAGCGAATTAGATACATAGATCCATCGAGCGGGCGAATGGCAGTGCTAGAATCCACCTAGTTTGTCTGAATCCCGACGAAAAACCTGGATATGGAATATAGCGGCAACAGTTCTGCCGCCGCGCCAAGTCAAGGAGAAGGGCGAGGGACCACCAGACAAGGAAGCGGAAGAGCCTTCAGAAAACGGGACGAAGTGGTACAGGAAGGAAAGCTGTCGGAGCGGAAATATCAGTCTGAAACCGTTGCCAAGGTCTCCCGACAAACACACTTCAACGGGGAGGCTCTTCCAAAACGCGAAATCCGGGACGTCGTGAAGGCTCGAGAAGCTCCTTACCCGAATAATGCGCGCCTAGCCTCTCTCGTCTTGAGCCGCCTGGTCAAGCAACGGTCTGCGGAAGTTCCGACATAGGACTCCATGGTGTCCACGTTCTTCTGGAGTTCCTCGATGAAGACTTCGCGCGACGACGCGCAACTGATGCTCTGAACGCAATATGCAGCACGGCCTGATTGTAGGACGAGCGGCTACACACATGAATCGCAGAATGCTTTGACGCGTCGTCGCTGTATGTGGGCAACGAAAGAAAGCTACCGCGCTGTGCCAAAAAGTATCAAACTATCGTCAAAAACCGAAGAAAATATGCGGCCACTCTCGAGCGCTTCATGAACCGCACCCTGTGGGCGATGTACCCTCAATTCACTGACCCAGGAAAGAGGGGACTGATGGATGAGTTTCTAGCGGTATCTTTATAGTTAAAAGGCGAGCTGCTCTGGGCGGACGAGATGGAGTTCGTAGCAAGCGCAGAAGGGAAAACGCAACGATCGCGAGAGCCGACTGTGGGGGCGCAGGCTCATCGTATTGCTCGCGGGGTCGGACCGACGCACGACCCATAGAGGGGATGGTTGAAATGTGATGCCTAGCTTCCTTGCATACGAGCTACTGCGCTTTCTTCGAGGAAGCCCTCCATAGCAACGCAAACTCCCTCACTGTGTGCGAGCGCCTAAGACTCCTCAAGCGTCCGTTCGAAGTACTCCCATATTTCATATCAAGGCCTGCCATGTTACCGTAGGCATATTCGTTTCATACTAGATAGTTTCCGCGGCGAGCTATGCCTCCTCTCTTCCGGTAATTACGAAGCTTTCGATCAGCTTCGTATGGAGCATTGCCGGAGCTCCCTCAGGGTTGCTTCGTTACGGGGAGGAAATGGAAAGAATTTTACAGGGGCGACGGAGACCTACGGGATACCAGGCTGCATGCACGTTGTGAAACCCTGAGCTGAGCCGAGCAACAAGACTCGTTCTCAATCGTGCATGGTAGCTTACGGGACAGTCTTTGTGGCGGGCGTGGATCCCTGTATGAAGAACGCCGTAGCTTCCGCCGTGCCCCTAAATTGAAAGGACGCATGCAAACAGCTGTGCGGCAATCAGATGGAGCAACTCAGCTTCTCCGGGGCTCGGCATTATCGCGAGCCGGGCATGGTCGACTCAACGAGGCGTACCGGCACGCGGAATGACGGCTTCAGGGCCCATCCCGACGTTCTGCGCGCCGGATTGACCAGAAACGGATCCCCCGTGCGCTTGATTCAGAGAGTGCCTGAGTGTCCAAATGTCGTATACGAACGAACATTGGCCGGGTACTTGAAACAGCGCTGGGGTCGCCAACATCTACCGATTTGTATATGCAGGAATCGTGAGAATATACTAGTTCAGTGAGTTAGAAAAGTAAATGGCCGACAAGTCGCGTGGTTTTGTGTTAGTCTATGGCGCTGGAGGTGCTGGGGCGCGTGCGGGCTGCTCTCCCTCTCCTTCGACGGGAGCGTACAACGCGTGCAGGAACCGATTAGTACGATTTACATCGATGCGCTTTGGACGGCATAGATCCATCACGTGCGAAGGCGTAGGCTGCAGCATCTGGAGAAGGCGAGATTGAAACAGAGTCGGATGCCACGAGATCTTGGGCGGCAAGCTGACCGAACGTCGCATTGCGAGGCAATCGAAAGTGAGAAGCTCGTCATAGTGTGATATCGCCAGCAACAGTGCACGGAAGCACGTTCTCCGCCGAGCCGGACGGGCCAATCAACAACCCGAAATGTTTGCTGGTCCTGGAGCGTACAGCGAGCTTGTGTCGAGCGAGCTTTGGTGGGAGTATTGCAGTGCCCGTTGTGGGCATCGTGCTGAAATGGCGAGGACTTGCGATAGACCCAATTCAGTGGCCAAGAGGGGCGGCGCTGAAATCCCGCCTGGAGCAGGGCACTTGCATGGCATGGTTCAGAGTCCGGGAAAGCTGGAGAGGCATATGGATACACTAGGAATGGTTTTCCTGGGTCGTTGGTGAAGGGTAATCGTGTTCTATTTTTTGTGATATTTCTGATTGTATTATATTTCAACCAGGCGCTTGCGACTCGACAACTTACATAATCCTTTCGGTTCCCTGATAATGATTTAGAAAAAAATTTTTTGAGCCTTTTTGCAGCCCAGAAGATCGAAAAAGTGCTGCGTGCTCCAATCCACGGGATTCGTCCGAGCCTGGCAGAAGCATTGAACGGTATGAAACTTGCTCGCTTATCAGTAAAAACTTCTATACGGTCTCTCTGGGTGTGAGGAATTTTTTCTTTTGTTCGTTAGTGTGATGCTTTGCATGGTGTTTCGCCTTCAGCACTTGGGAAGTGAGCTATGGTCGGGAACAGCGTTCGCAGCATCAGAATGAAACCGCGAATTCATTTAGTAATATTCTCTGCCACGTAGCTGTTCGTCAGGCGTTGCGAAAATAGGTCACCGGTGGAATTTGTGAATGTTGCATTTTCCGAGATGATTTTAGTCGCCGAATACAGCAGCCACTTGAAGACCTCATGACCCAAGGGTGTTAGAATCGATATCTTCAAGCAAGAAATTTACGCGCATGGTTTTTGCAGCGACTCTGTCTGCGTTTACCTTCCTGGTCGGATATTCCCGCTGGGACTCTATCTATCATGAAGTGGTGCCTCTTGCATATTCTCAAGCCAAAGGGAAGGGGAGCATGTGAATAGTGGTGGTGCTTGGAATATGTTCAAGATTTCATCAGGTATTTTCCAGTGAACCCAGGTCACAGGGCCCACTATCTCATTTGCATACGGCCAGTTATCCTGGAAACACTCCGCCGCAGTTTCAATTTACAGGGTCCATGATTTGATCTATAGACTGCGAAAGCTCTGTGGCAACTTAAGCGAAGCACAACAAAACTCGGGAACCTAGTTATCGCTTATCTAATGAATTGACCACGACGCGTCGCATGGACATCAAAGTTTGTTGCCTTCTGCAAAATGGAGCACTTGCTAAAGAGCTCCTGCAGCAATTGATACTCGGAAAGGTGAACAAAAACGCTGTGCGCTCCGCGCATCATAACTCGAGTTGCTAGGAAATGCGCATCTCAGCTGTTTACAATAGCATCACCGTATAGTTCGCTGAATCTATATTTCACTCATCTTGGGATGAGAACAGCAGCCCCTTTCCTCAATTGTCGAGAGGCTAGGTCGGCAGATGTCGCCTGACAATTTCAAAATTACATGGTCTCAGAAATGAACTGATATACCTTCCAGCAGTGCAACAGAGCCTTATCGGAGACTTCAAATCAAAGCGCACGCACAAGTGTGAGCACCTCTGCTTGGGTGCTCAGCTCGACAGGGCACCTTTGCGGTAGAGAGAGACTCAGCGCTGGCTGCAGTAAGAGCGAAAGCGTTCGGGATATATTACAGAACAAGACCTTCGCCCGGGCCTTCCGATTTATTGCAAAGAAGATGGTCATGTTTTCGGGCTTACAACCATGTGCTGATTTCATTTGCAATTCAAAATCGTTGCACATGAAGAAGAGAGGTAAATGCGTTCATAAAGTTGATATCCAATGGATACTAAGCGCGTTAGCGATCAAAAGACAATGTCGTTCGAATTTTGCACTCAACTTACGATGTATGTTTCGAACCGCAGTACAGCGCCGCGCCCCTTTAGATTGCACACCGTTTCAGATCATATGCCGCTTTCTTTAAAGGCAACGGACTTGGCCACCCGGGCGTGGACTCATCTCAGCAGAAATAAACTGCGAAGATCAGTAATTAAAGCGACTTCGGACCAGCCTTCACGCCCGCCTTGGAAACACCTGCAACGGATCTTGCTCAGCACTCAACTCGCTTCCTTCGGAGCAGACTCCTTCGTGTGCGTGCCTGAGGTTTATGAGTACTTGTTCCAAAGACTATCGATTAGTGATTCCTGGATGGTCGTCTGCAAGACGCTTTTCGTTATCCACTACATCCTGAGGGAGGGAAACCAACGGCTAGCAGAGTTACTGCTTAGCGACTCGGCCACTTGTTTTACGTCTGCTGAACGACTTATCGGGCCTGACTTCGTGTATGCACAGTTCGTACGAAAATATGCCATTTATCTGAGGGAAAAGGTAATCGCCTACCAAGCGATGCGAGTCGTTTTTGAACATCCAGGGACTCGCAAGGCAGTGAGCTCTGGAGCCCCAGTGCGAGTCGTGACACCGAGAGAGTGCGCCTCAGGACCCATAATACTGGGCTCGGCGAGTGGTGAACTCAGGAGGGCTCCACCCCAACAAGCAACAAATTATTCTACCCAGCCGGCTGAGAGTGCTCAAATGGCGGCAGTTGCCTCTATTCCAGGTGCAAGTATTGAGAGCCTTGCTCTCGTCGACGCCATTAGAGTCCTGCCGATTCTTCTCGATCAGCTGGACGCTCTTGTTGCTGTGCGCCTTGCAGACGGCTCGCGACTCAACGATCTAACTTGCGCTGTTTCAGAACTCTTACTAGAAGAATTGGGCGGGCTCATTCCAGAAGTTAATCGAGGCATGAATCGAGTTCTAGAAAGTTTTCATGCTCTGGGGACTCATCACGCCATATTTTGCCTGCATATCTACGATCGTTACTGTAGCTGCGTACGAAGTACTGAAGATTTTCTTTCGATGCAGTTTGGGACGCACGTTTTCCTACCCAGAGGTCGGACGCCGCTGCTTGATCACGTGCCTCTGGATTTGAGTGCAAGTCTCCGAGAGCATATCCTTCGTAAGGGTCTAGAAAGAACCTCTGGAATATCCTCTGATAAAGAACGAGCAAAAGAAGAGGAGCTGATTCGAAAGGCCATCGAGGAATCCATACGGGCAACCATGCGTTAAATTACGAAGTACTCGGTGCGAGTTCGATTTCGCGCCCGCTCTGATGCGATTTTGCGGATGTTGTTCAGAGGCATCATTTCCGACCCGATTCTGCACAAGTCGCTTTACGAAATTCCCGGCAGAAAACTCGCATACGTCCCATCCAAAATGACAGATTATGTCGAGTTTGATCATGCAGACTCGTCGGTAAGCTGTTCCTACGTTTACGAGAAGGCACTTCAATCCGTGTCGCCAAACCTCTGCTGGCATGCCTGACCGCTTTAGACGAGAGATCGAACCAACTCTAGTGCTAGCTTATATGTATACTTGCCGATTCAACTGCTTCTTCTGCAGTTTCTGCTTCCGCTTTATTGACTCGCTGTTTAGATAGGCACCATATCTAGGCCGAAGCGAACATACTCCTCCGAACAGCGTTCAGTAAACTTTTGATACCCTGTACAGCATGTTTCCGGCCTGGGCGTATGCAATTGCTCGTTGTTTTGCGATTTCGGCACCGGAACAAGAACGACCCTGAAGTTGTCACTTCATCTAGGTTCTACTCGTGCGGGTTCGTTACAGAGCCAAACAGGCCATTCCCCAATATTCATAAGCACGAAAGCTGCATCAATCAAGCAACTGTTCCATCAGAATGGTCCCAGATTACCACACGCACGGAGCATGCGGAAACGCTGCACTCTCGGAAGTGACATGCGCTCAAACCATGGCCAGAGCACTAAGCGGAGTGCCGCGCCTCAGATACGGGAGCACAGGACACTTCGGGCGTTTTACAGCAATCAAGGCCTGCGCCTATCGGGCAACCCTAATAGCCTCGAGAGCATAAAGCAATATATAGCGAATACAAACACATGGTTCGCCTCTTCAACGTGCGAGTACGGAGACTTTCTGAATAGGTACTGCGTTCAAGGGAACCTAGATATGGTGAGCGCCGTGCGAGGTGACATGTTTCGCTGCGGTTTCCAGTGTTGCCCGCTGGAGACCTCGTCCCGTGTTCACAGTATGCACGTCGTCTAACTCAACAGTTCGTTTCGCACACAAGTCATTGCAAGGCCGCTGAAGAAGGTCTCTGTCCGCCGGCGAACCACCTGTTCACAATTACTTCTCGGCACCTACGTGGGACTCAACGTTGCGGGTTCTTTCGCTTTCCAGATGCAAGCCATTAGTTCTTGCCTCTTGCCCGTAAACGGGTTGCAGACTGTCAGGACGCTCTGCCGATAGCTCGCCCACTGACACTCACGTCAGACTCAAAAGTGGTCCCCTAACTCGAGCTTCCACAAAAAAGTTTGAGTCTCTTCAAACTGACAACAGCAGATTTGCGGACTTTTCCTGTTACTGATTCCTTTCGATCTCTTGTATCCGAATTTCGATACCTCAGTCTCTCCTTTCTCTCCACAACCATTGCCATCAGTCGCAGGTTGTTGGTGGTAGCAATAAGTCCCTATTTCGTTATGTGTGGCTGCAGGTGATACGCTTTTGAGCACAAGCGACAAGTGCTATCAACACTGCGCTTTCGATTCGCATCTGATCTATGCACAGCCTCATTGTCGCCTCTTGCAACAATGGCACCCGACTGCAGTCAGGCGTTCCCATGTGCGATCACACTTCCTCCGGACGCCGCTCTATCGCCCGTGAAAACTAGCTTCATCGCTCGGACTAAACCGTTGGTGGATATCGAGGTTCCCCTCGATGCCGTCCATCATTTTCGCGTCCAGTGCCGTACCCTACGACCATGGGCTTCTTTGCGATCTTCTCGTCGAATACTCTGTCGGCTCCAGAAACATGAGCACGCTGTTTTATTGGATGGAGGATTTTGGAACGCGACGTTTTACATGATGAAAGGAGTACTCGAAGGGATGTACAGACTCAAGAACACGTCGAGAAATTTCGATCCGTCCATGCTCCCGTCTTGCAAATGGTGATGAACTTTCCACTGGACATGATCTCCAAGATCACTGAAGTCCGAGTTCAAAAAACTTTTTGAATTAAACAATAGAGAAGGGAACTCTGGGAGCGTACCCAGTGAAAGCTACTACGTTCCTGTCGAACGCCATTACGTAGCTGGCCACAAAGACACGTGTGTTGAGATTTCGAGGGGAGGCGGTAATTTTTCGTTACAATTTCAGAGCGCTTTCGGCAGGAGCCCATGAAGAAGTCGCCAAGGGAATACGTCCAGTTATTTTCCTCGTCAATCAAATAGCACGAATTGCAGTGCGCACGAGTTGAAATGATTCTGAAAGATCGAAAACTTGAAGAACTCTTGAGATGAGCGCAACCCATTTATGCAAACAAGAAGAATGGAGGCTCTCGTATATAAATTCGATAATGGTATCGGTTATTCTAAGAAGCCGTATTCGAGGAAGTCGAGAATCATCTTGATTCCGGCGATCTGGCGAATTCCTGCGGCAAAGGCTGGAAGGAAGCACCCCACAAAGACTCCCGAGAATCTTTGACTGCATATATATCCATACGCTCTTAGGGCTGCACATCAGACGCTGATGTCGTCCAACTAAAAAATTGGAAAAATCTACGGGCCGGGACACACAGAGCGATTCAGTGTTCCACTGAAATCTGAGACGGAGCTATGAACGCCAGTTCGGATTTCCGCTCGGGATGCTATGACAAATCACCACTGGCGACGCGTCTCGGCCCGAAACGTGATTACGCGCTTTGCTTCGCGATTCACAATATTTCCGCTCTACCAATGGAGAACGGTGTCTTTTTTGTGTCGCCGAACTTCCTTGGTAAATATCCAGGGGGATTCCGAAAATGCTGTAGCAGCTCTGCAAAACGTAAGGAATGCACTTCTTCAATAAAGCTAAAGCGCCGGGTTTGGTGTTTATCGTTGCAGTTTGATGAGAGCAGTCCAACTGTTGGTCCGCTACAGGACAGGCGCTTCGATGCGCGTACAGCAAGCCGCACGCTTAAGGTAACGCGAAAAATAGCAGAGCTTGTGCGTGAACAGAGACGTACAGTGGAGTCTGCATCGAATCCTGAGCTTGTGGAAGATGCAGCCGACACAGAGATCAATCTTTCTCTGCTGTTTGAAAGCGATCGTGAGAGGGGTTCAGATCCTGCGCGCGTGCTGGAAGCATTCCGAATGCTTTCCAAGCAGCCTAGCCGGCTTGCGAGACTGAATGGTTCGCAGCCGGCTTCTGTAGATAGCACTTTTCCGAAGTTCGACCAGCGCACTGAAGTGCCTGCAGCACAGCACGGACCAACTGTCGATGCCAGAGGTTATTTGTTGCTGCAACGCAGCCTTCCAGTTGAATATGAGTCGCCGATGGGTTTTCAGAAAAAGCGTGGACTCTCTACAAGGCCGCTTGAATGGACGCCGCAGCCTTTCCTTCGCTCGCTCGACATTTGGGACTTTGCTGCTCAGTTTTGGTTGACAACACAGCTTGCGAAATGGCGTTGGACCTACGGAATAGTTGGATCCCGAGAGGAACTCGAGGCGAAGCGAAAAGAGCGACGCCGAGCGATCGCCGCCTGGGTGCGCGAGGAGCTGATTCGGTTAGGACCGACTTTTATTAAGGCAGGCCAGTTATTCAGTGCACGCTCAGATCTCTTCCCAGCGGAGGTGGTTGATGAGCTCTCAAAATTGCAGGATAGCGTTCCACCATTCCCGGCGGAAGTCGCGAAGAAAATTATCCTTACAGAGCTCGGGATCAAGTCTGGAAACATTGGAGAAATATTCTCCTACTTCGAGGACGAGCCAATAGCAGCAGCTTCCCTGGGTCAGGTTCATCTTGCTCGCTTGCGGTCGACTGGAGAATACGTCGTTGTGAAAGTTCAGCGACGCCAGCTGCGAGAACTGTTTGATATTGATCTGCGCTTGCTCAAGTCACTCGCGGATTTTGCGCAACGATCGTCTCAGCTCGGAGGTCCTACGAGAGATTGGCCGGGAATATTTGAAGAGTGCAAAAATGTATTGTTACGCGAAATCGACTACATTGAAGAAGGTCGCTCTGCGGACCGTTTCAGAGAAAATTTCAGAAATATTGAATGGGTACGTGTTCCAAAAGTTTTTTGGGAGTACACAACGCAGCGCGTGCTCGTGCAGCAGTATCTGCCCGGAATCAAAATTAGCAATGTAGCGGAGTTCCAGGCCATGGGCTATAACCTCCCTCGAATCGCAAAAAGGGTCGCAGAAGCATATCTCTTTCAAATTCTCGGTAGCGGATTCTTCCATGCAGATCCTCATCCCGGAAATTTGGCCGTTGCGCCCGGCGAGGTGCTGATTTACTATGATTTCGGCATGATGGGTACATTGCCCTCGAATATCAAGGAGCGCATTGTCATGCTCCTGGCGGCGGTTGTGGATAAGGATGCGGACACTGTGATGAAGCTTCTGATCGAACTGGGGGCGCTTGTTCCGCCCCGAGATCCGACACCAGTTCGAAGAACTATCCAGTTCTTTTTGAACTCCCTCGGGAGTCGCCCTGTGCGCAGCCAGACAGTGCAAGCGATTGGTGAGGATCTGTATTCACTCGCATACGACCGGCCGTTTCGTTTGCCGGCAACTTTCACTTTCGTGCTGCGAGCTTTCACAACGCTCGAGGGCCTTTGCAAAGCACTTGATCCGGGCTTTGCTTTTGGACAAATCGCCCAGCCATATGGTTTCGCTCTTCTGCGACGTCGCAGTCAGGCTCAGAGCCTCCGGCGCTGGCTGAATGACAAGACAATTCGCAACATTGTGAGCCTCCCAAATCGACTGGAGCAACTGGAAAATTCGATGCAAAGAATTCAGAATGGAGATATCGTCGTTCGCTCGCGAAACACAGAACTGGAGAGATTATTAAGAAGGCAGAGTGCCGCGATGGAGACGAACCGGACGACAATCATTGCAGCAGCTCTGGCAGTCGGAGCTGCCACAGTGGATACCAACATAGCTCTGCCATATCTTGGAGATATCAACGTATCCTTGATTCTCGGCGCGCTAGCTGCCCTCTTTGCAGTGAACGCAACGCGATCCTACATAAGTCGGGTTCGACAGGAAGAGCGCTGGGATCGCTTCTTGAGCGGTGATTCTGGGTCGGATAACAATGCGCCCCAGTAAAATAATGGAATAGTATCTTTACTATGAAAAGGTACATCCGCGAGCGGGATGCATCGAGCTAGGAACTACGCAGCTTCCTCTTCACCGACGCGTACAGCGCAGGACTGCTGGACTTGCAAGAGTGTCTCGATCCCCCGAATCCGATAGCCAACAGCGAGGGCCCACAGGATAAGGTGCGCCAGATACTCCCGGCTACTGACGATAGTCACAGAGACGCCCTTGTAGTGGGGAATGCCGCTGGACTCTTTGTCGGATGTTTCGTTACTCTTTCCAAAGAGAGTTGTAAGAATGCGGTTCCGTACAATATTCTCGCCTCCGGAAAACAGACCTCCCACCACATCCCCGCCGAGCTTTCCAACTACGGACCGTACAAGTTCATGCATTGTTTCCGTGACTTCACCCCGCAGATCAGATTGGAGCGCAACTAGTCGCTCCACTCCGATCTGACGCATATAATCGAGGAGCATGATGCGATCCGTCAGATATAGGCCGAGGCGGCTCTCCAGCATCTCGATATACTCTTCCGCAGACATTTCGCGGCCGTGGATGAGCACCTTCCCGCCGACTACCTTGCGCTCTTTTTCAATCCGATCTTTCGAGCCATTATCGGCTTTCTTTTCCGACCGTTCGGATGAGGAGTTTTCGGCAGGCTTTAAGCCCATCGTCCACGAGAAAATGTCAAATTTCTCATCCATGCGCATTCGGACTTCTGCGGCATGGTACATGTAACCAGTCATCATGCTGGAGAGGAGAAGCTTCGAAAAGGCTTCCCGATTCGTCGTAATTTGGATTTCGAACCCTTCCTGAGGTAGCGTGCCCAATATGCCGAGAGCTGTTCGCTTGAAGGCTTCCTTCGTATCTTCAGGGACGTCCTTTGAGATACCATCAACGTCATTCAAATTCTCCAAGTCCTCGTAAACGCGCACGTACTCCAGGAGGCTCGTTATTTTGCGACCTGCCGCAGCCTCAGTCCGGACCAGTCGTTTCGCGTTGTCCACAATCTGACGAAGTGCCCACTTGAGCGTTTCCTCGTCACCATCAAAGACAAAATTGTTATCATCATTGTCGTCCTCATCGTCCCCTTTATCCTCCGCCCGGTTTCTGTTCTCCTCGCGTTCATCGTCGTTGTCTTTAGGCCCCTGGCCGGAACTCCCCTGAGGCGGTTGCAAATTCGCCGCCAAGCGAAATCGTTCAGTTTTCGGCCCTACTGGGCAGGGCAGCGCACACCTGTTAGAGCCCCCTTCTTCTTCGAAACCATTCAAGCACTCACGCTGGTGCCTGTGTGCTTGCGCGAAAACCCGCTGACCCAGCCACGTGCTTCCCTGGTGCGGCAGTGTGTCCTGCGCCGCCGAGCAAGCAGCGCGGCTGCGAGCAGCGGCAAACGAGGACTTTCCGGTACCGTACGAGCTGGTACACGCTGAACATCGAATTCCAAAGAAGCGCGGCAAACCTGGAACTACGAAGGCGTCTCGCATTTTACTGCCTTGCGGCGTCGCTCCACAGAGTACGTAGTCCAACGCTAATCGAAGTACGCAAGAGGTGATGAGCGTAGGATGTCCACATGCGTTCTGAATCGCGCGAGCACATCCATGGGCCATATATTTACATTTATGTATATTTCTTAGACTTCAGGACTGTCTGGCGAGCACCGTGGGGCGAAAACGCTGCACGCCCATGGGATAAATTGATATAGACGTGCAAACGCCTCCCGGCTGCCTTCGACCAGCACTCTGCAATGAGCTCCAGATTCTCCGTGTAAACCTCGAACCTGAGAGGCTGCTCTACAAAGTTAGATCGCGTCAGCTCTCATGATCTCGTCTTCAGCACTGGGCATATCCTAAAAAAGCTGGCAGCGTTAAAGTATCGGTTCAGGAACTGAAAGCGTTTGTTGCTTCTGGTGGTACGCACCAATGCATCGATTCCTCGAACTCGAGCGCTCTGTCCGAGTACAATCTCCTCTAGGCAGACTTTCGTTCTTCTTCCTCGTCTTCGTCACTTGCTCTTATTTGCTCGACGATCACCGAGAAGAGGCTTTTTTCCGTTTTTTCTATGGCACTCGGCTATAACCGCCGTCCAGGTTCCGCGATTTATAGGTCCATATCTTTCCCTTGGATTTTTCATTTCTTCAAATGAAAGAACTTCGGAGACGTCTGCTATGCACCGCGACAAAACAATTGATTAAACGCATCTCGGGGTGAAACACAATTGACGTAAAAGACTGCAAAATGCGTGAAAAACTGCCAGAGGATGCGAAATTGACGCTCGAACGCTGCCATCAGCGTCCTTTGAGAGGTGACTACAGAATTGGAAGGAAAGGGAAAACCGTCGTATTGAACGCGGGCGATACGCTAGCAGAAAAGGAAAGCATCAGAAAAATCCCGGAGAGGCTGATGTAGACTACAGAGGGAAGAGACCCAAACTTTAGTACTTGCCTAAGATATGTTGTTGGACCTGTTCTACATTATACTCACGTGGATGTAGAAAAGCCACGGAAATAGTGTTTATCTGTCGTGAGCAAGTGCGCCTCGGCCGTTTTGCTGTGCAGCGCAATGCTCGCAAGCTAAGAAGGTCGGGAGCACGCATTTACACGGTTGTACAAGAGTTATGTCGCATCCAGGGGCCTGAGCAGTGCACTACAACGGGCGAGTGGGCAACTTTTTCTGATGCCACAGCGCCGTAAGGTTCATAGAGCGCTTTGGTGCAAGACCTCTGCAGATGAAGCTCACAGCCGCGCATACGAGAGATTTTCTTCAGTGCTGATCATTAAACCATCAGCTGGTTCGGAGGAACGTTCTCGTCAAATTGATGTTCCGGCTCGCGTTGCTGTTGAATACGGATATCCGACGATTCTGCCTTTTTCTGGAGGCGCAGAGACTGGAACGCCGGCTCAAGCAACGAGGGCGACGCGTCACAGGATGTTTCGTCTGTACCGGCTCTTGTAACCGTACCGTCGATCTCATTTTCCGAGACGGCGGCCAATATGCTACTATATTTGCGATGAAGCGTGGCAAGATTGTTCTGAATAAAGACCTTGTGATCCGTTAATCGCTCAACTACCAGAAGAAGGGAATCATTTGCCGAATCGTATTCAGCCTGTGTGCTCGCAGCAAGCGTTCGCCATTCTGTTCTTGCATGCTCTATGGCTTTCTGGCTGTTCGCTACGGTTTCCTGGATATTGTTTCGAAGATCGCAAATTTCCTCTTGGATTCGAGCATTCTTCTCCGAAGCGTCTGCGAGTCTCTTAGCGAGAGACTCGCGCTCGGCATTGTAGGTATTTTCGAGCCGTTGGAGCTTAGCTGTAAGGACGCGATTGTTTTCGCGCTGTAGTAATATTTTCTCCTCCACCATGCGGATCGCGTCTTGCAACTCCAGTACTTCGCTATTCAATCTCTCCAGGTTCTCAGTTACCTGTTGCATATGCTCACGCAAGGCATCCTGTATAGTAGAATGAATTTTTTGAGCGTCGGCACTGCTAATGTTCTTGTCGATCGTAGAGGGCAGAACACCGTTGAGTGTGCGTGTTTCCTGGACTCCAACGCGTTCCACAAGCGCGTGAATCCGGCGCAAAAGCTCATCTATCTTGCCTTGCAATGTCTCCTTGTCGCACAAAAGTTCTTTTCGACGTGCTTCTTCTTCTTCGCGCTTTTGCTGGGCGCGGTCGAGCGCCGCTCGCAGTTCGCGACGGCGACGCGATATACGCTCTACGTCGATGGATAAGTTTTGCTGCGCTTCCATTTTGTCTTTGAGTCCTTTCAGTTGCTCTATAAGACTGGTGACCTCTCTGGCTTTTTCCTGGACTTCCTCTTCGCGCTCGGCTAATTTTTTCTCCAGCATACTCTTGTGGGCCGTCAACTGTGCAATGAGTTTCCGAAATTTCTCGATATCCGAAAGGTAATCTTCCCTTCGTTGGCTCAGGTCAGAGATCCGGGACTCATTCTCTGAAACCGCCAACTGTGCTCGCTGTAGCTGATTTTCGAGGTTTTGCATCTGAAGTTCAAGGTCGCGCGAGCGAGAAGTTGCAGCCGAATTGCGGGAGCTAAATACTCCTTCGAGCTCATTGTCAAACTCTTCAAAATCGTCCGAGCCTGCGAGGAATGAAGAATATGTGGCAGAGACGTATTCGAAGAAAACCTCCTCATCTGCTCGCGCTTTTAATTCGATGGATGCCTCGTCGTCAGCAGTTGTCTCTGCCTCGGGATCGGCCGCTCCATCGAGAATACCGACAGAAAACATGATGCGCTTCATCTGCCGAGTTTTGATAGCGCTGTGTTCCACATCGAAAATCAGCAGCTCCACGAGCCAGGCCAAGCACCCGAGCAGCGTTGGCCAAGTGTGTGGGGACCCTACCGCATAGAGCGCAGACTTGCTCACGTTAAAAGGGTATTTCAAGCGCTTCAGCAAGACCGGAACTTCGTCCTCGAACTTGGACGTCCACTGAAAATGCGGGTCAAGCCGTCGAATCAGAAAAGTAAAAATGGACTGAAAATCCTTTGCCGAAGGGCTCGACAGAGTCTTCAGAGAAACCGGATGGTCATAGTGGTGCTCTGTCAAATAGCAAATTAAACTCTTCATGCAAGCTTGCATATACTGTCGATCGGAGAGAGGTCTCGGATCGGTGCGCATGCCAGTGACCCCATATGAAACAGACTTAACGCTTTTCATCGTGCTTGCTGGCGTTCGCGGAACTGTGTTCTCGCAGTCGAAAGCCGTCGTCTGCAGACGCGCCCCCGGGCCCAAGGACATCCTCCTTGGGTTCGGCTGCCACTTCGTCGCAGACAAAGTGGTCGCAGACATTGGACCGGGGGCCTCAAGTTGCCGAAGCTGCTCTGCGAACATAAGCGGCGTGCTCCCACCAAAGCAGCACAACGGGAATCCATCCCTGGGGACTGTGCGTTTTTGAATTTTTGAACGGCTCGATCAGCCGCGGCGCCGGTACCCTGGGTCGCTTCTGCGACAGCGCCATTGAAACGCACGCCATGCTCATGGTGCTGAGACGCTTTGTTCTGGGTTCTACCAAGCAGAACACGCTACAATGTTTGTGTCCCATGTATGGGGAATAACAATAGGCGACAAGCAAGGAAACAAAGTGGGATTTATCTGCCCGAAACCGATGATAAACAGGAGAACCCGACGGACAGAGAAAGACCGTTTCTTCCAGCGCAACGGCTTCAACGGTGTGCCTCTGGGCTCGGCACCGTGCTCTAAACGAAAGCAAAGGAGGAATAAATTCCGTTCCGCACCATTTTATCTGCAGAATGTTGTGATGATTGTACGCTTTCGGCCAGAATCTTTTGTTGAATCTGCACGGCGTGCGCGAGACTCGGAGGAGATAGAGTTCGTGCGGAAGCACGGCGTATCCCTTGTCAAGCGAGCTACTGGGTACTTAGCGAGAGGCGTGCGAGATAAGGCCAGCCATGATATGGCCTGTGTTGTTTTTCTTTTCGGCACGGGGTCCATTGTATTTCTTCTCCAACTCATCAACTCGATACCATGTGCCTCTACAGCGTTTGAGCTCTTTGGCGTCATATCCGCATCGCTCATTGCTTGGAAGTCTCTAATGCGACTGAGCAGCGTAAATGGTAAGAATTCGAGCAAGGGGACCCAGCCTTGGGCCGAATTTTTCAGAATCCGCAACCGGCCATAGACTCTTTCGTCGTAGCGGATCAGGATGCAGCGAAAGTCGTGGGATTCGGTTTCTTAGGGTGCGTGAGCGACGAGTCCACCCATGTCCCCTGGAGCGCGCCATTTCCTCTTGCGGCTAGGGAGAAGCGTCTGATTCGTCAGCTTGCGGCAGCAGAAAAGCACAAGACTCTGTACATATTGGTTTTTGCCTGATGTCCTTATCAGAAACACAGCCCATGCACCAACAAAAACATAAAGCAAGCGTTTCCCAAATCAGCCCTCATCCGCCGGTTTCTAAATAGCATCTTTCACTAGAGGCTCGTGAAAGGTTTTGTGCAGCCTTGCAGATTTAAGCGGGCCAATACCAGGAACAGATGCGAGCTCTTCTGCGCTAGCCGTAAGCACCCTGCGTAGGCTGCCAAAATGTCGCAGAAGAATTGCGGCATCCGCCCGATTCACCGCGCGAGAGTTTGTAAGGAACGCTGCTGCCCGATGGAAAAGCAGATCTCCTCGCTGTACCGAGTCACCGGAGCCTTCGATGCGCGTCTCAGAGCCTCGGGGCCCCAGCAACGGACCTTGTAAACTGTCCGATGCCTTACCTTCTTGGACTTTGTAGCTCTCGAGTATTCGTGCTGCCTCGTCCAGATTCCATGCCACCATTAGAGTCAGCTCTTGAATGAGGCACATTTTCTCTAGCTTGGCGAGTGGCGATCCCTCCGGGATTCCATCCTCACTCGCTCCGGAACCGAAGAAGACGCCGCCCTCGCTGTCCATCAGAAGCAAAAGTATTCGCAAGCGGAAGGATCTTCGTCCAAGCTTCCGAACTCTATCGTATATATAGTCCGGTCGCAGAAGGTGAAACTTCATTGAAAGGAAGAAGGCGCAGGTATAGCTACCCAGAAGAAAGTCTGCGAAACGGAACTCCCCAAACTTCCACGGAACGTCCCGAAAGTGTTTCAAGAGCGGGTTACCTCTTTGAGTAAGGCTTACAAGTATATGCGATTTCGACTGCGCCTGTAGAACCTCAAGCTGGCGAAGAAAATCAACGCTTCCACTAAAAGCCGCAAACTCAACTGACTTCGGCGAGCTTGACGCGTTGAGATCCAGGGCGCCTGGCAGTTCTTTGGCTCTAGTGGGTGCGTAACCATGATTTGCACTCCTTTCTCTTATGGTTTCAATCAAGTCGACACTCTTTGCGGAGCGTCTCGCCCGTTTGGCGCCTGGAGAAGTGACTGCGTGCAAGCTCGACTGCGTGCCGCTGCGTGCTGGACTTGAACCGGCAGCGGCAGAGGAGTCTGCACACGTTTCCGTTCGGCTGCATTTTGTTTGCTTCATCGTTGATGTACCGTTTCTTCCGCACAGTTGCGCCTTCCGTGTGCTCGTCTTGCCGCAAGTTCGCTGCAAACATCCGCTTACATGCGTGGTGCGTAGCTGCTAGTGTTCGGGTAGCCTTTCAACTCCACTCTGTACCCCTTCCGCTGCGACGGGCATGAGTCGAGCGAAATCAGTGTGCAATCTACCTCATAGATCGTAGATGAGTTGCCTGCAGAATTTATTTTCTCTTCTGAATAGTACAAGTTTGACTGCATTCCTCATTCATACAAGTCATATCACAGTATTCAGATGGTTGAGAAACACTGAAAGAAACAAGAACTCGCGCTTCCCGCCAAGAAGCGATATTCTCATAGCGTGTTTGCGGTCCATTGTAGAGAACGACCCGTGGATCACCTAACGGGAACCGAACGCAACGATGGTTGCCAACACGGGTGTCCTTGCTTTCCAACACATTGTTCTTGTGGTCCTAAAAGCTCCGGAATACAGTCGGAAATGATGGCCAATATCATCACCGTGATTTTGCACCCAAATCGCGACGAAAGAGTCTCTGAAATGCTGCGGTCGTTATGAAGCGCGCAGGACGTCATTTTCCTTCAGTCGATGAGACTTCCTTCGTACGAAACGGTCGATGCCTATATGGGTATTCGTGGAGAGGGAGCTCGATTTACGTACGATCGAGCTCGAAGAGAAAGAACTCAGCATCTGCTCAAGCTGCAGTGGACTATTCGGCGGCCTCCTTTTTGCTCGTAGGTATTGGCATGTAAGTCGAGGATCCTGGAGGCTCGTCATCACCGGCTGAAGAAATAAAACGAAAAAATCCTCTTCTTGCCCACCGTCGCGCGAAGAAGTGCAAGCGGAGAAGAAGAAGAGTGGATATAGGCCGGAAAATGCTTTTGCCTGTCAAGACGATGACGAGACTGTTTTGTTAGAGAGGGTGCGAGTTCTGAGAATCTTTGCACAGATGAGTTCATCCAGCGGCAATAAATGCAAGGTGTTCATGAACCGAGACCTAAACGCCGCCATCAATATCAGACAATGTGTGCTGCTGAAGACGAGACTCGAGTAGCTGGTGGAATCTAACTTTGTGCTCAAGCCTTTCAGGCTCGAAGAATTTAGGGAAAAACTAATGCTGGCAGAAAGCGTCCTGTCAAAAAAGCTGGGAAGCGCCAGTGGGTGAGTGTATATTCACCCTACATGATCAGGGACATTTTCTGCATCACAAACAACGTATGTTGAAGCGGTCGGTATACTCAGAGCCATGATTTCTGGAACACCTTAACACACATGCTATGTTAGTTTTGCTTGTTTTCTCACGGCCGGTCGGCTCCAGGAATGTAGTCTTTCCATTAGAGAAAACCTGCGGAGAGAATTCGTGCTGTCTCTGCTAACTTGGGCAAAATGGCTTACATCTACAAGTGAGTCACTCTACAGCCTCCAGACGAATTAACCACCCATATAGCAGTCCTTATCCTAAACAACGCTCGCCCAAAACAGATTGCATGAAACTCCTTCTGCACGACTCTCTCATAATCATTCCACCCCATCCCATATGATCTCCTAGCAATGCTACAAAAGCAGCCAAAAATGTGGAAGGTTTCAGTATCGTTGGTTCTATCGGAGTTGAACAGATTCGGAATGATAAACGGAAAGACGCGCTCAAAACGGAGAGCTTCGAGCTCCGAATAACAAGCACTACCGACTTTGTATTTAAACGCAAACAACAACTATAGTTGCCACGAATGTTCGTCTCCCTCGAAGAGAATTCATTCGCGAGAATAGTAATACTTCTATTTGGGTGCTCAGAGAGGGCAAACCTCTGTCTTTAACGCATCGACACGGGAGCATGACGAATATATCAACCAAAGCCGCAATGTGGTCGTGTGGTCACCTACAGATCGCCAAACGGACATGATCGTTCAGTCCCTAGCCCTTCCTCGAGACACATTTCATGGCTTCTCTTTCGCACATTCTTGTCGTCTGCTCCGAGCCAATGTCGCTTTTCCTCATGTAACAGCTGTAAAGGAGTACCCAGCTCAGATCGACTTTGAGCTGCGTTTTATACGGACCTATTCTCCCCGGTCCGATCCAGACCATGCCGTCTTCTCTACTCTTAAATGCCATATCCATGCTCAAAAATGACAAGCGGACTCATTTGCATCCATGGAACCGATATATGAAGGACGCCGTCATGCATCGTATGGCACCTCTTCGGTGGAAAGCTCGCTCAGCATCTGCTGCATTTACGCTCCGCGCCAGTCCTTCTTCGTCGGGGTTCTGGACGCAAAGCGTTTACGTGTCCACATTCGCCTGAAAATTTTTAATCAAAACTTCGATCGACAAATGATGCTCTAGACATAAGAGACAACACAACGAAGTAGTAGGATAAGGGCTTTGGATACATGCATCTTAGGATACTTAACACGTCGCCGCGCCAGGTCTGCGATCGGAATATCTACAGCGATGGTATCAAAACGTGGCAAACCACTCTCACATACCGAGACCGTATCCGCGTCGGTCTCGAGCTGTTCATGAAGCGCACCGTGTAGCCGTTCTAGCCTCACCTAGCAGGCCGAGACACGGAGGGATCAGCGGAAGGGATCCTTGTGTGTCGATAAAGGCAATCGACGTGCTGGTCCTGGCAGTGGAGGTCGAGATGGCAAGGTGTCGGAAGAGGATGTTGCACAGAGTGCGACAGTCGCATCCGATCGTCCGAGCTCACCGTGTTGTTCTCCACCACAGAAATATGCACGTCGTATTCAAAGAGTTTTCAGCACCTTGATGCACCCCCCTTTGCAACTTCCGGCCCGACGTTTTCCCCGAACAGAGCCTTCCGGAGCAGATCAGGTTCTCTTTCCGAATGCGAGCTATATCGCGTATCCAAGCTTCTATTAGATAAGCCTCTCGTGTGTCAAATCAAGACTCGCCTTATCAGCGTAGACGCTTCCGCCCCGAGCGACATTCTCAGCGAAGTGTGGCTGGTTTCTGCGGGCAAGTGTGGAGAATACGAACACTTTCGCTAAGAGAATAGAGGGTTCGCTCATGTTTTCTGGTTTCCAGACGGGAATGGAGACAATACTAACACAAACAATGTATACTTTCGGAATATCAAACTGCACGTACTTCGTGGGACCTATGTCTGAAACAGTCTGCGAGAATCTTTCTGACCCGTTCAGGATAATTGATGAGAAGAGTGGACAGTGTGTTTGCATCTCAGGCATAAGAGCACGAACGGCCTCACAGTACCTCTGAAGGAAGATAGCGAAGCCAAAGTTCTGAACGGATAGCAGATAAAAGTTTCTGGCTGTTCCTGGGCTCGGGATCATAGAGTCTGTGGTGTTTCGGAGCGGAGGAGCCATACAACCAAAAGTAATGACAGCGTCAGGACCCAGCTCGACGCTCAAGAACACTGTATTGACCTGTGGAAGCCTTGCACGATTTATTCAGAGAGTAAACGATCGCTCAAGTTCCTAATGCGTACGATCCTTGACAGAAATAAATAAAACAATGTTGGGGTCAACGTCCGCTTCCATTGCACCGACGGAGGAAGCGTCCATATACCCATTAGTTCAGTCAGTTTGAAAACGGAAAGAACCGAGAAGTCGCTTCATCTGGTGGTAGGCGATGGCGCTGAATATGCTCTGGTGCGCAAAGCCTGCATTCTGGCTCCTGAAACTAGAGCATTCAGTAAGTGCAGGAACCAAGTCTGTGCGATTCCCGTCGATTATAGAAGGATGACAAACACGCCTTACGAGCGAGATTGCATGCCGAAACTGGAAGGCGAGTTCAACATGAAACAGAGGCGTTTGTATACGATGGTCTACAGGAGGCTGATCGAACATCAGACTGCGAGGAAATCGAGAATGAGGAACCTGCTTTTTGATGATTCCAGCAGCAACAATGCGTACCAGCACATTCTGCAGCGAGCATTGATCGCCTAGATCATTTTCCGGAAATTTCTCCTGCTTCCCGGGCGTTCAGTGGCCTTGTATCGAGCGAACTTTCGAACGATTCGATTAGTACTCAGAGTGAGCATTCCGCTGGAATGTGGAAGACATTAGATCAAGAAGTTCAATAGCAAGGAGAGTGGAAATTTGATGCTCGCCCATGTGAAGGCACAGGTATGGTACGGTACAACAATCTAGCCAGGCTTGGGCGCCAAGCACGAGCGACGGAAACGGCTTTTCCTAGCAATTGATAGAATATAATGGTGTTCTGTTCTTAAATAATACTGAATATTGCATAAACAAGTGCAAAAATATCGAACGCATGCATCTATGCAGCCATGGCACACGATTCGCTGCGAGGCCGGCTGCGGTGCCTCTCGTGAATGGTAAAGGGTCGCTGAATGTAAACCAGGATCTGCAAGTCTTTTTGGTGCGCTTGATCGTCTAAACCACCGGGGGATCAGCAATTTCGAGAGCGATATCGGCTTCCGAGAAGGCGTCCATTTTTCTGTATCAAAACTCCAAAGTCTACCAGCTACCGCCTTAGCTTCTCATTCGAGACATTAGTCTGTTCGCGGCATCATCCGAGTACAAAGTCCTCCAAGAGCGTCCACTGTTACCGTCTACATGGCCGCGCTACCGATCACGCCCGAAGAGAGGACTGCTTTGCCATACGCTTGTCGGCCTGGGGCTTAAGCTCTCGAATACGTCGTAATATTTTCCAGCAAGCTCACGTTGCAGTGCACAGAGACCGCCTCGCATGAACCACTTTTGTACGTTGAATCGAGGGTCTTGACTAGTGTCGACCGTATTACAGCTGTTTGCGGATCATGGAATGTTACCTATTTTGACCTCGAGGTGACTATTTGTGGCAACACCGGTGTCTAGGCATGCGGTAGCGCTCCTCGGGCCGTAGGACGCTTTTACCCTATCTTGTGTTTCGCTTCCATGTCCCATAATGTATAGGCAGAAGCGTTGAACGTTTCACACAGAATACGCAGCCATGCAACGTGTGAAAATTGGAGTCGACTCCTAAGCGTATTGCAGTAGCATGAAGAAACAACAGAAGCTCATGTTAGTTATCTCATTCGAGATAAAGACGGGTTACTGGATTTTGCAGTCATGTAGTTCGCGAAGAGGCTTCAGGATCCTTTTTAAAAGGGACAAGGCACATGCCTCGTCTTGAAATACTGGTTCATGTCCACAACGCGTTTGTCGGCCAACGACCATTTATTATGTGTTTGATCCTCGAAGCGAAACCAATACTGGACTCTGCATAGTCAATGGCAAAGCATTCGCTCTAGTGTCAGATTTCGGTATGAGTAAATCTTTTGCTCCAGGGACCGAAGATACGGTTCCGCACCACATCCCGATACGCTGGTGTAGTGGCCACCTTAAGGGACCACGTGCAATGGTGTGTCCATTGCAGACGTAAAACCTAGAATCTCAGGGACTCGCTCGCGGAGCCGTGCTCCCGCAGTGCATCGTGCAATGTCATGTTGGTCGAAGACAGTATTTTCTGTCTCTCCAATGCTGCTCGAGAAATGAAACCCATCCCTTCTTCGCATGAAGTGCATGTGTGTTGGGTTCTCAGTGAGGTAGGCATTCATCAAGAACCCCCAGCTGATCTAATAAGGAACACTCAGGTGCGCTCTTGGGCCAAGCATGAAGCTATATCGTCCGTTGAAAACTCCCGGCGGTCGTTCGATTCGCAAGCACCTTCCCTTATTCTATAATACGCAGTTGTTGTGTCCTCGTCCACGAATCCAAAAATTACGCTGGATTTTCGTGACCCGGCCTGGCGGTCTGTAGAATGTGTACTCGCGCTGGAGTCTGCGACGTGTCTGTTTTTAACAATACCTTCGATATGGGAGCTCATGCGCAAAGCTTGATCAAGATTGCTCAACTTGAGCATCGCATGCATAGGGACGGCAATCACGACTTCAGGCTCTCTACGAGACGTAATTATCCGTTCTTCAGTGCGAGTCTCCGACTGAGGTGACAGGGCGTTGATCGCTCGGCCAGAAGGCGGCGACCCGACAATGCAGCAACGCACGTGAAAGCAGGCACGTTCACTCCCCAGAATGCACTGCGCAGAGTGTAGCTCCTGGACCATGGAGTCCTCCTCGAACAGAGGCCCTAACAAGCCCGTGGGAAAGGTTGCCGAATCCGAATAAACCACTTCGACATTGGACCAACACCGAAGTTTTGTTAAATCTGCATATACTTGGTAAAGCGCAGCGTACCAGCGCTCTGGAGGCGAGTCCACACAGCTCTTCGCAAGACGAATCGCATCGTGCCCAGCCAGGAAACTGCTCCGGTCTCGTTCCGCAACACTGTCGCTTTCCACCTCTACCATAAAGAAAAGCGCGCTCTCGCAGGTTCGAAATGCCGGACTTTCCAGCCCCAACGATTGACTCGGAAAACGTCCGATTCGATGAACCTGACTGCTTGGAGCCGCACGCACGCACGGACAAAACGCCTTTCAAAAGAAAAATGCTGTCGCCGGCCGTGTACAGGAGTGGCGAATGGTGCGCCCTAGACTAGACATCTCCAACCGACGTGCAGACGCCTCCCAGTGCTTTTGGAGCGGCCACCTACTACTGCTTCCAATTGTTTCTCATATAGTTCGACTTTGAGAGGTTCTCTTACAAAGTTCTCTCTTGTCCATTCTGGAGGACTTTTCTCTAGTACCGCACATCTACTTTTATTGATAGGGGCGTTAAAGTCTCGATTCACAAACTTCATTCGTTTCTTGCCATCACTGGTTGTACTTACTAATGGAAGTAGTCCACGAACTTTCGCCCTCCTTTCCATTTGCTCTTCCGTTAGCGGTCCGTACTTTTTTATATCCTCAGGGCTCTGCTGACACTTTTCCATCTCGACCCTCTGAAGTGCACACCCCAGTTCATGGAGTGTATAGGACGTTCGGAACTCATCTACAGGTATCGTAGCGAAACGCCTTGCGCACTCCTTGTACGTTCTTGTTGACGGAGCTGGCGTAGTCCCTTTTTTGGACGCCCAGCGCCCTGCTCCGTTTGCTACAACGAGCCTCTCACTCTCGTCCTTCTTGAGGGCGCTCAACTCATTGAAAAAGTTCGCGAACGCCCGCTGCTTTTCACAATACAAATTCATTCGCAAACGAGCCCACCGGGGCTTTGTGCATTCTTTCCAAAGGCTCTCGTCATGAGCAGCGTGAATTTTCATAACCTCTCGAAAAGCTTCAATGTCGGCTCCCCGGCTCGTCACATGGCTGATCGCTTCCAAATTCCCTTAACACCTGAATTCGATGTCTCACTTTTCTTCCTTGCATTCATTATACGGGATTCTCGATGGTATCTCGCTCATGAGAGCATCAACAGACTTATGTCTTTCTGACGTAAGTTACCATCAGTACCATCTTCCGCACGCTTGGGTGCTGCGACAGTTATGATATTTGTGTTCCAAGGGTCCACACCAACGACAAAGTCCTTACCCTGCACCTCCTGCATCGCAGGATCCGCACTCTTCTCATCTACATGTTTCGCCTAGCCGTCTACAAGGTTGTACTTCTCCAACTCCTGCGTCGCAGGATCCGCATCCTTCTCATCTACATCCTTCGCCACGGGCGAAGCCGAGGACGGACCAGGAGGCGGGCCCGACAGCGCTGGAGGTGCAGAAGAACGATTTCTCGTTGGCGTGGACTCTGGGAACACAAATATCATAACTGTCGCAGCACCCAAGCGTGCGGAAGATGGTACTGATGGTAACTTACGTCAGAAAGACATAAGTCTGTTGATGCTCTCATGAGCGAGATACCATCGAGAATCCCGTATAATGAATGCAAGGAAGAAAAGTGAGACATCGAATTCAGGTGTTAAGGGAATTTGGAAGCGATCAGCCATGTGACGAGCCGGGGAGCCGACATTGAAGCTTTTCGAGAGGTTATGAAAATTCACGCTGCTCATGACGAGAGCCTTTGGAAAGAATGCACAAAGCCCCGGTGGGCTCGTTTGCGAATGAATTTGTATTGTGAAAAGCAGCGGGCGTTCGCGAACTTTTTCAATGAGTTGAGCGCCCTCAAGAAGGACGAGAGTGAGAGGCTCGTTGTAGCAAACGGAGCAGGGCGCTGGGCGTCCAAAAAAGGGACTACGCCAGCTCCGTCAACAAGAACGTACAAGGAGTGCGCAAGGCGTTTCGCTACGATACCTGTAGATGAGTTCCGAACGTCCTATACACTCCATGAACTGGGGTGTGCACTTCAGAGGGTCGAGATGGAAAAGTGTCAGCAGAGCCCTGAGGATATAAAAAAGTACGGACCGCTAACGGAAGAGCAAATGGAAAGGAGGGCGAAAGTTCGTGGACTACTTCCATTAGTAAGTACAACCAGTGATGGCAAGAAACGAATGAAGTTTGTGAATCGAGACTTTAACGCCCCTATCAATAAAAGTAGATGTGCGGTACTAGAGAAAAGTCCTCCAGAATGGACAAGAGAGAACTTTGTAAGAGAACCTCTCAAAGTCGAACTATATGAGAAACAATTGGAAGCAGTAGTAGGTGGCCGCTCCAAAAGCATTGGGAGGCGTCTGCACGTCGGTTGGAGATGTCTAGTCTAGGGCGCACCATTCGCCACTCCTGTACACGGCCGGCGACAGCATTTTTCTTTTGAAAGGCGTTTGTTTTCGGGGTGTTTCCGGGCTCAACAAGAAACGCTCGTTCCCATTTAGATGCATGTCGTTGCATAAATCGGACTCGAACCAGTTGCTGGTCAGTCTGGTAGTGGAGCACGCGAAACGGGCGACACCACCTCCCGAGGAGAGTGGAATTCTCTTCGACGAGAAGGGTTCGCAAATAAGCGAGCACCATGCTGCACCCGCATTGGAAGGAAGCTCTGCAACGTGGCCTTTTGTGCCCGCAAGGCCTAGAGAAGTTTCGTCGGGAAGCGATAATGCTTGTGAAAACGGCCGCGCTCTCAGAAGATTGCACCGGACGCCTTCACCGGAAGTAACTGGCTCTGGTTCACCGACTAGTCACGCCAACGTAGTCGGAACCTGTTTCGTCACCGGGTTTGTGGTGGAAAAAGACGACTCTGGAACGGACGTAACCGGATGCGGAGAGTCACGTGCGTCCGAGAAAACATCAGGTCGTCCTTTTCGTCGTGAGGTTACAGCTGCAGACTCCAGGCTGAACCTGAGCGGGGAGCACTTGGCCTGTGTGTCGCTTGAGCAGCTTCGCTCTCTACCTTCGCTAGCCGCGCTGAATGAAATATCTCTTGCATCGAATAGTTTACGAAGTGTCGACTTGCGTCCACTTGCTTCCTGCCGCTCGCTGCAGGTCCTGTTACTGAACGATAACTTACTGGAACGCATTGACTTGACGCCATTGGCAAGTTGCTCGCAGCTTGAACGACTCTGGCTGCATAGGAACAAGCTGAAACATATCGATCTGAGTCCGCTGGCCATAAGCGGAAGTGCGTTGAGGTCGCTGTACCTCAGCCGCAACGAACTGCAGGAGATCAGTCTTGCTCCTCTTGAAAAGTGCTCGAAGCTTCGCGCTTTGCAGTTAGAGGGCAACCCAAACCTCAAAGAAATAGACGTCACCCCACTGTTTGCGTGTAGAGAGTTGAGCAGTTTCGAAGCCCCCCCTCAGGCTCGGCTTATAGTTCGTGAACTGGCCGCACTGGAAGTGCAGCGCCGCAGTTATCAACAAGATTGCAACTCACTGGCCAATGTAGAGTCCAGTGAGAGCGCTCGCACCGCTGCGATCATGCCGAGCAAACTTGTGTTACCAAAGGTATTCCGCCGCAGAGGTATTGTCTTACACTGGATCAGAGAGGCATTGCCTGACGCGAACTTGAGGGATTTAACTGGGCAACGATCTTTGAAAGAGAACAGTGTGAATGCGGAGCTGCAGGATGCCGAACGCGGCGAGGGAATTCAGACGAACGCTTCTATGAATATAATTGCACCTGCATCCGAGGAAGCACTCTCGTCCGTGGCCGAGTTGCAAACGGGCCCCACGGCATCGAGGAACTTGGAGTCAGTGCAAGAGGACAAAACGCCTCTTTGCGCTCTGATTGTCGGGATGACCACGCATCGCCGAATATCAACTTGTCGGTTACTTGAGCAGTCGGGGACGTTGAGGGTCCTCCAATCTCCTTCAGCCGCAGCTGCACTGGATGCTTACATCAGCGCACCAGACGGGATTGACTTGATTCTGATGGAACCTGCTGAATATGAGGTCTTTTCCGAACAAGCGCAGGCAGCCTCCATTGAGATCAGCGTGCCGGTGGTGGCGGTTGGTCCTCCGGAGTTTGAACGCTCTGGCGTTTTTCGGCGGTGTATTGCCATAGGTGCAAGGGGTTTCATATCTTTTCCGTTGGATAATCGTGATGCACAGGCCTTGACGGAGGTTGCCCGCAGCTTTCGCGCATCTCGCCAAACTTCTGCTTCGCAGGTTTTGAAGGAATCCAGTGTATCCGAGTTGCTTTTGCCTACACAAGAGGTTCGAGCGGATTCGACAAGTGTTAGCCGCGATCTCTCGCCGATGAGCATGACGAACGGAAGCGATGCATCCAAGTATGGGGCAGGTATAGAGCCTGACTCCAAATGGGTCCCGTCCTGGTGGCAAAACTCCGATTCCATTCGCAAGGAAGGAAACTCCAGTCCGGCAGCCGTTTCCGACCGGATGGACACGTTTCTTTCGAAATCGGAAGGTGTCGAGGATATAGCAGAGGAGTCTTCTACGTACCGTTTTATCCAGCGCGCTGGAATTGGACACCTCCGCTCGGGGAGTCCTATATGCCGCAGTGGTTCCGAGAGCTCGCAATTTGCTTGTGAAAGAGCTGAATGGGCCAGAGTTGAGGCTATTTTCGCGCATCGAGATAAGCGACCGAGTCGAGAGCCTTGCTTCCAACTGCAGTTCATGCAACATTGCTCGAATCCTGCCACGCTTTTGATACCGACCGATGGTTACCATTCTGCTGGCCTGGAGAGATTTGCTGATATCGCAGCAGTCTGTCGACTACCAAAAACCAGTGCTACTGTGCTGTTTCTACGTGTGCTTTCCCACCAGGATAAGCTCGCTAACAGCGGTACAAGCTCGATATCCAATGCTTTAACGCGATCAGCGAGCGAGTCGGTGTCTTCGAATTGCTGGTTGCGAAACATCCATGTAGATGCCTTTTATCACTTTTACCGTTGCAAGCTCGCACCGATCCGATCACCGCTTGAGCGCTTCTATAATGTAATTGCATCTTCATGGCCTGGAAGTGACATACACGATTCATCTTCGTCCCTGTATGCGGAAGGAAAAATACGCAGACTGAAAGAATCCAGGGCAAGGTACGTTTCGAGATACACAATAACCCTTTTGATTCAGGAGCTGGTTTATCGGAAGCTTTGTGTCGGGAGAAACGCTTCTGGCGTTGCAGTCCCGTATCATGCAGCGAAAGCAAATCAGGGACAGATGAGATCTGCCCGGTATTCGTATCAGGGGAAGAGCTTTCTGTCTTCGTCAATCAATCAGAGCGGAAGCGCATCAGCGATGGAGTCCGCACACTTCTCCAGCAAGAACGGAGAAGCTGCGAGGAATGCTTTCCTTGCCTTTCGGGATGAGGTTTGTGAGGTTCTCCTTACCGCCTCCGTCGCAAGTGCATGTGTCTGGTTTCATCTAGGTGGCGGAAATCGAAACTATGTTCCGCTATCGATTCTGCGAAAGGTGCGCTTTGCTGAGGCAATCTTCGCGGCTGAACGCGGCATCATTGTGGATAGTTTGATGGAAATGCTTACCGGGAATGGCATCGCGCTGGTTGCCCAGAAGGAGCTCGAGACCGTCTGGAACTATAACGCACGCACTGGGACTGCAACATCGGAGCAACTAGCGTCGCGAGATGCTCCGAGCTTTGAATGCTCGATTCCTTCTGTCTCTGGATTGTCTTCCTCGTTCCCAGAACAGCAAAGCGACGGCGCTGTCACGCAGGCGCCTTCAGGGGCTACCGAGTCCAGGGAGCAGATAGCGGGTGCAATACGTTCTTCATTTCTTCCGGACACATTTGAGTTTTCGAAATGGTGCAGAAAATTCTGTATTTCGCGAGAGGCTGCCGTATCCTACTTCCTGGATCGGGGTTCGCTCGTTCCCAAGGCAGTAGAGCAAGTGTTGAATCGTTTCCGTGGATTATCGCTCGTACAGAAACCCGCGTCCAGTGAGCACAGCGCTGCAACGCCTCAGCTCCAGGACGAGAAGACGGTTCCCGAGGATCAGAATCTGGCACCGTTCAGCAAGTTAGGAAACGCTTCCGTAGGTGACTCTCTCAGTCCGTCGGCTTTCGTGCACCTCTTCCTGGCGTTGTGTGATCCTGGCAACGAGAAAGCACTGCACATCTTTTTTGATATTATGGATCTCGACATGGATGGGTTTATCTCAGCGGCAGATGTTGCGTACTTTTATCGAGAAAAATGCGAGATCGCGTTTCGAGAGGGCCTAGTGCTCGCGTCTGCAAATAATCTATGGGCGCAGTTGGTAGATATGTGCAGAACGTCGGCAAATGATCCCAAACTTGAATCCAAGGGCATTACACTGAAAATGCTTCGGGATATCGGAGAGAGGCGTCGCTCCAGTTTCATTCGCAATGTGCTTTTCAAGGACGATGGCATGGCACTGGTAGATATTCAACAGACTTTGCGGTTGGAAAACAGTCTCGCGCTCCTGAGCCAACCGTAGGTAGATGAACGACGAGTGCGTCAGGTTGACTTCAGGGTTTGACAATCTTGTACTGTCGCATTGGAACGACTGCGTTCTCCTGGTGCTGGACAATGGAACTCAGCTGTACATGAAGGACACCGCATATTTCGTAATCGCGCTCGCATCGAGCTCGCTGCAGTTGCATGCTCTTTTCGGACGATTAACGGCCATGCACGGCTGCGAACATGATTATGCAGTTCGCGTCGGCGTCGCTTCTAGAGGTGTACGCCCAAAGATCCGTTCCAGTGCGCAGAAATCTCTTATGTCTGCTCTGAGCGAAGCTCGCATCGGCACTTACGGAGCTGCTTCTGTTCCCAAAGAGACCAAATGGAAGTCTCAAGCATTTCCGCAGGCGGACACCAATAGTGCTTCCGTAGCTGAACGAGCTATCGCCCGCGCAAGTGCACCTTGCAAATGGATGGCGCGCTCCTGTGAACGCACTGGAGCCGGCTTGACACCCATGCCAGAATAGCGTGGAATGTGTCCACTTTGCAAAACTCGGACGTACACGCTGCACCCATGTCAGAATAACATGGAGCAGCTCCTCCAATACGGGCGCACGCGCCTCAAGTGGGTCCATTCCCATTGTCATGAACACCAGCCTCGCGTCCTTGTTCTCCAACTGTTTCTTTTTCTCTCTCTTATCTCGGGCTGTAAATATGCTAGTCTCACGTTCATTCAAGCTACATTGTGACCTTGCTAAGGATTATGATGGGTGCATAAATGCTCCGATTTCGTGATTGCCGTCTGATTTCAACGCATTTCATGCATCGATGGAAGTTGAGATCTAGGCATCGCTTGCAATATTCATCTCCTCTGTATACAGCCTAGGTGCGCATTTCGCAACAATGACAGTTGGATGAGATGAGGTGTCCCCATATGTCCATCACGCCTGCCTCTTCTCCGCAGGCCGATCCAAGCCGTATGAACACGTGCTTGATCACTGAATACATGCTCTTGACGAACACAGAAGGCTTCCCACGAGCTCACCTCCATGTCGACGCCCCGTGCCGTAAAATATGAATATGGGCTTCTTCTGGGCGGTCACCCCAGCGAGTACTCTGGATGCTGCATATGCAACGGTAAGCAATTCGATTTGATGAATGATTTGGAGAACGCGATGCGGTCCATGATGAAACACGCAGTCTACGAAAAATCTGGACTGGAGATCAACTCGAGGAATCTGGAGCCGGCTACGCTCCCTACTTGGAAGCTGGGGACACACTCTCTACTGGCAGCAATCGCTGCATTGGCTAAAGTCTGAAACCAAGGCCTCTTGCTTACGAAATAAACCGGACGGGAGCCCCTGGGCACATGTCGTGTAAGCGGTGCCATGCTGTTGCCGAATGCCGTATCGTCGAGAGCCACAAATGTGAGAAGATTCATCCTTCGACCGGAACTGGTTCTTTGACGTGGAAAGTTCAGTGATCATTCGGCATGAGCCTGTGATCAGATCTTTAGGAGACGGCGTCGAGTTTTTCCCCAGCACTCCAGCGGACGAATCACCGCGCCTACGAGTTCGCGTGAAACAGAAAGATCGAAAACTTGAGGAATTCGTGATTGGAACACGTTGCACGTTGGAAAACGAGAAGATTGGAGGCTTGTACGTGTGAACTGGATGTCGGTATCGCGTATTTTTTGGAACTCTAGTTTGAGGACGTCGCAAATCTCCCTTACGATGAATACGTCAGGAATTACAGGAGCAGAGCGTCGAAGGAGCCACGTCCAAAACGCAACCGAGACTCGTACAACTGCGCATGAATCCATAAGCTCTCATTGCTGCACTTCGGATGCCTAGGCTGTCTAGCCAAAAAGCTTTCGAAAAAATTCGCAACGCGGGAACAGAGCGAGCAACTTAGTGTTCATTTTACTCTAAGACGTGTCTAGGCAGCAACATGGGGCATCGAGTGATGCGGTACACAGTACTGGCGCTCGCCTCAACGCACTCGAGTATAATCGATGCTCACTAGGAATTGCCAGTCCCCAGTTACAGGGACGGGATTGCTGAACCACCAACGCATTCGCATTTGCTGTGTCCAGGCTGGCAACGAGTTCAGAGCCGCGCCCCTCATGAGCAGCCGCCTCTGGGGCTCGTGTCAGACATTGACGGGCCGCTGCTGACATAGGAAACCGTTCTGGAGCCCGACGCTGTCGTGCGCGAGCACCTAGCCACCCTGGCGGCTGTGATGCGCAACTGCTAACTCCTGCAAGAAAGATTCCACGAACTGGACGTGTCAGATGAGCCAATGAGCCGAGCGCCCCCGCTGTTGCAGGTGTCGAGCGAAGACCTGCGTTGGAAGGCGGCAGCGCTTTTCTAAACGACCACAAAGGAGGCGCTCGAAGCTGAGGCTATGTCCTAGTCGCCGAGTTCCGCCAGCGCTGCGTTCATCGCAGTGTGGTAACCTATGCCACAAGCCAGGGCAGAAAGCGGTAGTGGAAGCCTTTACGCTTACTGTGCGACTTCTGGAAGTCGCTTGACCCCTTGACTTCGACATCTCCAAGTTACACAGGCTTAGAGCTGGCGAAAAGTGGAGCTGTTTGCGAAGGAACTAGTGTATATTTCCTGGGTTTCTATAACAATCGCACATTAAAAGGAGTCTGCTGCGATTAATCGATCGTGTACAAGACAGAGCCACAACGCTGCCTTTCGAGAAACAGCACCTCATCCGTTTCGCACTCGGGAGGCTCGTCCAAATTTTTGCTCCAAATTTTTTCTTGGTTCCCTGTGAGACGCTTTGGACGAGTCGTGGTCTGTTTCCTTCTAAATGTCGCGTTTAGGGCCACTATATTATGCACTTGTATTTTTCATGGTCTTAGCTTACTTGAGCTTGCCTCTTGGAAAGGTCAGCTGTTCGGGGCTGGGCACTGATCCACAGGCAAACGACCCGGAGCAGCAACCCTGGCACGTGCACCCTACCTCTTTGGCGGATGTCGGCCAGTTGCAGTACTCGAGAAGTCTGCACAAACGTCGTTCTATTTCAGAGCCCGAGGCAAATGGTGATTCCAGAAATATGAGTGACTTTGTGCGGACTGCCACAGAACCCCCCCGTAACCGCTCGTTGCCGCTTTTCGTCTTCGTGGCCGGGGTCGAGGGCTCTGGACACCATGCCTTGGGCATCGCTCTGGAGCGGTGCTTTGACGTTTCGTTCTCGTTTGCTCCTGAAGTGTGGGTTGCTCAGTATTACAGCTTCACGCCGTACGTGTGGACGAGGGCGAGCGATTTTTACGAGCGGCTAGCTGCGAATAGCTATGGAGCGTCCGTTATTGGAGCACGAGCCGTGTTGGACTATCAACACTCATTTCCGTTCGGTTGGTTCCGATCGACACTTTTTCATCCGGATCTTAACATTCTCAGGGAGCTTGATGGCGAATACTTAGATCTTCGTGTCATATTTTTGCATCGGGATCCAACAGATACGGTCATCTCTGCGTTGAAACGCGGGTTTGTCGACGATCCCTTCCTGCAGGCGAGAATCGTCGAAGCTGCCCTGATGTATATGGACCGCTTCATAGATAAGATGGCGCCGGAGAAGGTGGCTGTAATCCATTATAACAGGTACAGAGAGCGTCCTTTAGAGTACCTGGAAACACTGTCGCGCGTCGCAGGGTACTGCAACAAGGAGGACTTGCGCGACTTTATCGTTGAAGCAGAACTAATCATAGATAGATTCAGAAAACAGCGTTTGGAGGGCAACGAGCCCAAGCAGTGCCCAAGAAGCAATCGAAGACGTCCCGAAGACTGCGATGACTTTGAAAAACGAATTCGCGCCTGGTTCGCAGCACGCTCCAAGTATTGGCCACGGTTGGCAGAAGAGCGCCTCTGGTAGAGTCGACGGGTGTACAGCAAGAGCAGCAACAGCACTGGCAACTGCAGCGCTGTTCGCCTGGTATGTACCAGCGTTCACTTTTCCCTAAAGTGGCATATCTTGCCCGAAAAGGGCCCGTCTATGAACCAGCAGGAGCGCAACGCATGCCCGCAGCGCTCGACCTGATGACGTCGTGATTAGACTTGCATTCTGCAGTCGCAACAGCAAAAGCAACAGCAAATATCGATCATATGGATATGCTTCGTCAAGAAGCATGTTCCAATATCGTGTCCCGCGACACTGCAATGCACAGCTTCCAGTACTTATCCAGTAGGCTGATCCGAATGAACGAGTCTCGAGATTCCATTCGAAAGCCCGGTGCCTTTTGCTCTCGTCGAGCGATCATTTCTAAAGCGTCAGTGCGCTGCAAGAGATCCAGGAAATCTTTCTGGCATCCACGGACCCATGGAGGTCCCCCAGCTCCAAAGCGCCTCTCGATACCTTGCGCATGAAGGCCGCTGCGATTGCAGCAGATCCTGCCGGTATTCGCGGCTAGGTTTCCTTATCTAAGGGTACTGTTTCTTCCAATTCACGCAGAAGACAAACACGAATTTCGTTGCATTCATCACCACGCAACATATCACGCGTGAAGCTCGCCCTCACAGAAAACTGCACCATTTCGAGCGCTCCCCGGATCACGCCGCAGAAGATATTGCTGTACCAAAGCGTGTTCGCTACTGCATCAGGTACCTCCACGAATTCAGCGAGTGGATTTGTGTCGAATAGTATGGAGTATGCTGTGTTGTCCGCGGCGAAGTTTGCAGGTCTCGCGCTCACTCCGAGGTACATTCGGAAAGCGACCCGTGCAACTATCTCAGCAGTTGCTTGAAAGGAACGACAGGGTGGTGCTGCAGACCGTGCTAAGAAATCATCGACTAAACGAAGTCCGATATTGTAGCCTATTCTTTCGAGCTCCTCGTTGACATCCTCAGGGGCCTGGTAGTCCAAAAAGAGCTGGCGCACGAGCGCTCCGTACGTCAGCGCAACCAGTTCAGCGCTAACTAGCTCTCCTCTTTGAAAAGCTTGCTCTCCGATCTTAGCAAGAGCAGCAACGTTGAACCCCGCAGACGGGAGCGTATCCTGCGTTTTTACACTGGTAGCGCTCGAGCTCCGCCCCGACTGGCTGGTGCTGGCGCGCTCCCCGGAGGGCTCAAACATGCCTTTGTTGAGCTGGAAGCCTCACCAGGAATAGGGCCTCTTGCCCAGGCCGTGCGCGAAAACCTTTGCAGGGCGCAACTCGGTCTGAATATGCCAAGACTACGCTTCGGTCGCTGCGGTCGTTGAAACTGCGCAACGTTAAAGCTCCAGACGATTGTAGTCGCGGACATGCGGAGTGTTCCTGGGACATTTTTTCGAGTACGCATGCATCGGCGAAACACCCAGAAACTCTTATGGATGACCGCGGATACGTGTTGCTGCAGGAATGCTAATCGGGACAAGCGCTTGTTAGCCTATTGCCGATGCGATGACATCGGTCAGGAGGTCAGGTGCGAGGGACTGGGTGCTTCAAGCACCCGGCATACCGCTTCGGGAAGGTTGGCGAATATTTCCATGCGCTATTGTTAGTCAATGTTTGTAGCCACGGGGGATATGCTTTTCGTTCTTGTTTCGGGATGAAACACGAACGATTACGAGCGCAGGAGCTTCTAGGCTGGTCAAGGAAGCATGCAGTGCAAGAACGTTTCGATCGAACTTGTCCTTGGTGTGAATAAGTCGCACGGACGGAGACCCAGAGGGCAGCATGTTCCAGGGTTCCCGTTTCGGTATGCTCCGACGCCGCAGCTCCTTGTCCAAGTTCAGTGTGAACGGGTTATATATATATGTCTATATCAACATGCGTCACGCCTCTGCCTCGCAATACGACGTCACAGAACGCCTGCCGGCGCGTACCCTGGTACTCGATAGACCGTACTCGAAAGAGCGTCACTGACGCGGCCCTATAATACAAAGCAATCATATCACGAATATTCGTATCGTCGTCATATTTTTTCGATCGGACACATCACCCAGAATAGCATACGCATGTCCACGGCCTCGCGGGCCGGGCCGAGCGCCCACCGAGCCAGCTCGTAACCGTGGAACAAAGCTCTGGTGCAGCAGTCAGGGTGTAGTCCCATGTTTCCAGTGCTCGCTTGAATGTCCAGACCTGGATATTAAGGTCGTGCCCGGGCTCATCGCCGTCCTGGGATGTGAGATGGGCTCACCAGTCAGAAACAGGTGCAGGACTAACCAATGAGCGCACGTTCGAGTTCAGCTTCGGATGGAAACGAATGACAGGCGGGAGACGGCTGGCATATTATGCCCAGCTGCTTGAACATCACGCTACCCACATAGACAGCATCTTTTAGTGTCATGAACACAAGCAAATACGCTTCTCCACGCAGCGCGGTCACGATGGGATGCGCAGCCTGTGTCCTTCGGGATCCTGCAACGTACGTACAGCGTATCCAGAAGGGGCGAATTTCGCGCTGTGAAGACGCAGTGCCGCGGGAGGGGCGTCGCAAGCCCCGGAATCGAATATACCAATTGCCATAATGATCACTAGAACCTGAAAAACGCAGGTTGCAGCAACTTCACAGACGACAAGTACGGCATGGCGAGTCTGTTACGCAGAAAGTTTACCGGGTGCCAAAAACGTTCTGATGTGGGCATCAAGCGCTGGTCCGCAGCGTTCTCCCTGAAGCCGTTGTGGGTTGCAAGACACCCCATGCGCTAATTGGTTCGATTCGAGCTCCCAACTGTCCCTAATTTAGAAATCTCACTTCATGAGCACGAGCGCTCGACTTGAGTTCAGGTGCGGCGCTAGCAATCCAGGGAATTTCCTCCAATGTGCGGACCCTATTAGGGTTTGTAATAGTTCGTCTTAACGAATGGCATTTTGACTACTTCACCTGGCACAAGTTTTCCCCGAATTTTCACTGAAATACGCGTACCGACAGCGTCCATAGGCTTCGAGATGTAACCCATACCAATAGCGCAGTTCCGTGTGGGGGAGAATCCTCCCGAAGTCACAGTACCGATCACGGCGTTATCGGCAGCTTTCGGTGAATTTTCGTGAATCGTTTCGTGTCCACGAGCTGGTGGTCCCCCGTGAAGGACAAAGCCTACTCTTTTCTTCTGCACGATACTTGGATTGGCAATCTCCTTGAGTATCACGTCTGCACCGAGGAACGAGGGCCGGCCATCACCGGAGTCTGGGTTGCGGCGAGACTTGGCAATCGTCCACGTTAAACCAGCGCTCACGGGCGTCGTGTTCTCATCAATATCGTTACCGTAGAGACAAAGGCCAGCTTCCATGCGCAGCGAGTCCCGTGCACCGAGACCACACGGAAGCACCGCTTCATTGGACACGAGCATTTCGAAGAGCTTCGGCGCATCCTGATTGTGCACACTGATCTCAAAGCCGTCCTCTCCTGTATACCCGCAACGAGATACGAGCAAGTAATCAGAGAAAGCAGGTGCCTTGACCATCCGAGCATTCATGAACGCCATCTGCTCTAGGTTCAGTGTGCTTCGGTCGACAATATGCTGCAGTACCTGCATCGCTTTCGGGCCTTGAAGTGCCAGCAGCGAGCGATCCGCTAAAAACTCCAAGCGAACATCCATGCCGTCGACCTCGCGGGCGCGTCTCTCATGTGCTCGCAGGTGCGCCATGTCCTTATCGACACAGGCGCCATTGATCACCATATTCAGGGCTTCCGCCCCAGTATTGTCCTTTCCTAGGTTCGTAATGATCGTATCGTCAATGATACCTCCGTGCTCGTTCGTGAGTAGCGACAAAACCGCTGTACCCGCCGGGAGTGCCTGTAGATCCGCGACGATGAGTCTCTCGAGGAAGCGGACGCGGTCGGTGCCGTACACGCGCACCTGCCCCATGTGCGAGACATCAAACACACCAGCCGACTGACGAACCTGCAAGTGCTCGTTTTTTATCCCGCCTTTCTCGCCAGAGTACATCACTGGGAGCGCATAGCCTGCAAAGGGAACCATTTTGCCCCCGTACTTCAGGTGCGTCTCATACAGCGCGGTATGTTTGAGTTTCTCCTCAGGGCTCGGCTGCGTGGCGGACGTTGTGCTTGCCTGGCGGTAGCGCAAATGACCGTTTGCAATCCAATTCAACGGTGACAGACGCTTGTGCGTTTCGCCCCGCAACAGCGCTACCGGAGCACTTAGGCGGTGCCCAGGGTGCTTCCCCGCTACAAAACGCACTTCCGACGCACATACTGCGCTCAATTCAAGCCACCTGTTCAGAATCCGAGCTGCCATAGCGTATCAGATGACGAGAGGCTCCCCTAAGAAACCGAGCTCCCAGATAAAGCCCTTCTTTCCCAAGGTCCAGGGATGAGCAACGTTTCGTTGCACTAGAAACTTGCTGCAATGCGATGCAGCAGCAGCAGCGCCGTCTATGATCATTCTTAAGCCGCATCGCCGCTACCGTCTGGGGACGTGTTCGCACAATCCCAGTGCAGAAGCCTGCCACGACGCACAGCAGAGTCTTTGGAGATAGCCAGATTCCTTCGGAAGGGCGCAGTGAACAGTTTTAGCTGGGCCTCCGTGTGTGGTCGGTGATACGCTGGTGACGCTACTCTAGCGTTTGCAGCGATACTAGTAGTGTCGGTGTTCGTGCCCGCGCCCCGTGCTGGAAACGGTGCAGGTCAACGGCCTCGAACGCGGTAGCGCGCAAAGGCTGGTGCTATTGCGCGAACGCATTCGAGGCAGACCCGTTGCTGTCTAAAACAGATCCTCAGGACGTCTCGTGCGCTTGGTAAATTCTGTGCTGCACGCATAGCGATGGCGTGGAGTCATGGCCAGTGGCAGTGGAAGCGATGAGCGCGTGCCACTCTTGGGCGAACGTGGACGGCCGACAGGCGCTGTGGCGGCTACAGCTGCCGAAACCGCTCATAGTCGTGATCCGGTTGGACGAGCTCAGAGCGATCGTGAGCGTGTTTGCCTTGCAAGTCGGGGTCGACGCGCTCACAGGCTCGACGAGTTGTGTTTCTGGCTGATATATGCCGTACTCCTGGTGGCTTCCATAGTCTGGGCGCTGATCAGCGCCAAGATGCGTGGACACCAACGACTGCAGGGAGAGCCTGTCGTGCCCGAGCCTGCGGTGGCGAATACTGAATCAGCATCGTTTTGCCAGGTCGGCAGTACTGGATGGAATAAGCACCGCACACGTCTCGGTTGGTCATGTACCAGTGAGCTCCGGTCTCGCGTAACGCTTGGGCGCGCTGTCAGCCAGTCTGCGCCCCTATCCATCCTTGAGAAGGTGAAATCAACCTGTCCAAACTGGCGACGGTTGCTCCAGTATCCGGCGCTATGTCGCCGCCAGGAGCGCTCTGTCTCAGGATGCGGCTCCTTCCTCTGGATAAGCGATTTGCATGTGGATTACTGGTTCGATCCTCGCGTGCCTCCGACGTTGTGTGGTGAACGCAAAGTCTGTCGCCCGGCGGAGCTCGTCTACAATGTGTCATCCCAGGTGCGCGATGCGAGCATTCCCAATAACCCTGCCGTGCCTGTGCGGGATGTAGCCACGACATATACCTACGGACGGCCCGGATGTGATCCTCCGCTGCCTCTCTTGGAGTCTTTGACGGAAGCGATGAAAAAGGTCGATAGTGATCCTGACTTTATTCTCATCACAGGTGATCTGGCTCCGCATGACCTGCCTTCTCGCGCATATGTGCTCAGGAGCCTCAATGCATCTGCGCAGCACCTTTCTGCAACTGTTTGCGGCGCGCTGGGCAACAGCGGTGAGTCTCAGCGACGGTCGCCAAGATGCATCGTAGTTGTCGGCAACGTCGATCTGTTTCCGACGTTGCACATACCTATAGAGGCGAAACCTGTGAGCTCCGCAGAACGCTATGATGCAGAGAACAATAATCAACCGGTGCGCTTTCGGGACCTGTACGAACTCTACGTTACCGCAGGCATTCTGGATCCAGAGAATGAGGCGCTGCGCAGATCGTTCACTGTGGGCGGATATTACAGAGCGTATGATGATGGCAAGCTGCGAGTTCTGGTATACAACTCTCTCCATTACATCGCTGGGAGGCTCTTCAGTTCAGCGAGTGCACTGAACAGAACGAATGCATCGCCCGCTTTGCCCTTCTACGCCCTGCCTTGTGAACAATGGAAGCAGGTGCTTCCAGATGCGGATGATCCTGCGGGCCAGTTTGCCTGGCTCGAGGAGGAATTGCAGGATGCTGAACAGAACGGACGATCCGTTTTCCTTGCTTCTCACATCGGACCGGGCAGTAAAACTGGTTCCCGGGCCTGGTGTGCACCCTATGTTACCCGCTTTGCGGACTTGTTGACCAAGTATGCAGACACAGTGACCATGCAGTTTTACGGTGATTTATCTCGTGAAGAATTGCGCTTGATTGAGCCTTATGGTTCGCCGAATGGAACCAGCGAAATGCGAGGACTAGCTCTTCTCATCAATCCCGGACTTACACCGAGACGGATGCCTGGTGGTGCGCCGACATTTCGCCACTGCTTCTTCGACCGCGGCATACACCGAGCGAAGCAGGTAGCTCAGCGAAGACGCGGTGACCATGTGTTCGCACCGGTGACCTTGCTTGACTATCACGCGTATGCGTTTCCGCTTCAGCACACCGTGATAGAGCGAATGACTCGGGGCGCGAGCGCGCCTCATCCCGAATGGCGCTGGCGGTACAGCTTTGCGGAACAGTTTTGTGTTCCGCACCTGTCGGCGTCGACGCTGCGTCAGGTCATTCAGAACATTGCATCGGAGCCCGAGTTCATGGAGGCCTACACCTTGCGCACGGAGGATGGCCTCGAGAGCGATCTCGACTTGAGCGCAGCAGTCGGAAGCCTTCGAGTCCAACCTGCTGCCTAAGCGCAGCACTGGTATTCTCGCAGCATTCAACTAAGAGTTGCTGATGGTGTTGAAGGGCGGGTCTTTTTAGATGCCTTTACTGAGAGCAAGGCACCTTTTTCTCCAGATGCGCGGGTGCCAAGGGCCAGATGCCTGCCAGTTGAGCGGACCAGACTCGCTGCCACTTACCATAATCGAGCATTGAGGGGGGGTCGAGATGTCCGGACCGCCTTCACGGACGTATGGCTCGCTGCACCAGTGTCTACGCCTTGCTTTGGGAAGGTGCAATCCGTTCGCGGAGCGCTGCGCCACAGCGCTGGAAGTTGTGAAACACAACCAGGCTATATTGCTGGACGCCTTTGGCCATTTTTGGCTGCGTTGCCCTTTCTAAACTCATATCCGTCTTTGGAAAGAACGTTCACATACCGCAACGGCCTCGACAAGGTCTTTCCGCACAATGCGATACATTGGAATGCATGCCGCCTCTTTCCTGTAGAGTGCACAAGTCCCAGAGACTGTATATGAACGGAGGGAGTACCTACCAGGGAGCCATGTTCGCAGCGACGTCTCCTACGCGTACCATCTAGCGACAGCGCCTCAACAACGCACGTACCATTCAGGTGTTGTCCCAACGCGGACGCCGATGACAGTGACTCGGTAATACTAGCATCGCCAGCGCTGCCACAACCAGCTCCACCACCAACACCACATGCATCGCAATGCCACGAACGCTGTGTAGATAAGGTGGCGCTCTATGCTAGTCGCAGCCGATGCTGCTTCTAGTTTCCGTGAGCGCAAGGCGCGCCCCCGTATACACCGCTGCCGCTGGAACTGCACAAAAATTGCCGTCGATGCATCGACATGTACCTTATTGATCGACATAAATAGAATTATGTGGAAATCATGGTCCATGCGCGCGCTGACTCGCCCCTAATCACTGCAAATTCCATGCTCGTCGATGCATCGACATGCAATCTTATCCGATTTATATACATAAATATACCTATATGTAAATCATGGTCAACGCGCGTGCCGACATCAGGCAACGTCTTTGACGCTGCTCGAAACGCTCAGCATGAAGGCATATGATCTGTGGCCGTTCGAGACGACAGAGCTGTTTGCCCCGCTCGGTTCGTTGTGGACCTGCCTTATCATGGACTCTGGAGCGCACCGGTCGTTCTGGCGAGAGCGTGTTTGCAAGACGGCACCCATACCGCGGTGGCTCGCGCACGGCATCGATGCGTTGCTCATAGCGTTGGTAGTGATCGCTTTCGGGGCGATGCTCTCGGAAACAGCGCGCTCGGTGGCAGACCCAGCCTCAAGAGCCGTGCTCGCGCACACGGTGCGGCCAGCTATGGAGCATACGCTTTCTTCAGAGAGCATCTCGGGACGCTTGGAATCGTTCCGAAGCCTGTTCGCCGGAGTCTCTAATCGGTGCTGTCGCGCGGCGCTCGCACCAGGTCTGGCGAACGGTGTGTTGGGGCGCGTCCTGCCCAGGCAAAATGAGGGCGCGGTTGCTTTTCCTGGTAAGCAAACTGACGGATCGCGGCTCTCGAGTGCGGCGTCCGTTGTAACATGGCCACAAACGAGTTTTGTGCGGGCACTTTTAGAAAGCGTGGCTCGCCCTAACGAAGGTGCGGGATCTGCCGGGGACGATCGCCTTATAATAGCGTTTGTTCTATTCACCGTTTTCGTCTTACTGGCCCTGTACATTCTTGGCGTCTGTGGATCCCTCAGAAAATGCGGGTATGCCGCTTGGTTTGGTCTGATGCCATTTACGGGTCAGGTCGCTCTATGTGAAGCGGGCGGCAACGTGTGGCTCTGGGTCCTTCCCAGACTCTTCACCAATCCGCCGTTTTCAACAACAGCGAATGCAATCATATGCTATGGATTTGCAGTGTCTTTCTTGGGCAAGCGCGAACAAGATGAAGCAGGAGGTTTGGGCGCGCGGCCTGCGACGACATCGATTTGGGATGATTTTACGTGGAAAGCCTTCTGGCTCACAGTCGGTCTAGTGTTCTTTCCGTTCGTCTCTTTCCCTTTGGTTGCTTTGAGTGATTCACTCCAGTACGATGCATGCTATCGAGCACGCCTGGCGGAGAGGGTCAGGGCCGCGGCGCCCTCGGCGGGCGAATACATTGCCCTACCCTAGGCGGGTGCGCAGTCGTTACCGGCGTTCTGTTTCGGGCTCTCAAGCTGATGCCCACAATGCCATTCTGAAAAGATGCAGTCTGTGTAGGTCCACGACAGAGGCGAAGAGGCAAGCAGTTTCACTGCTAGCGTCTGAGGTAGACTCAATGGCCCAGGGTTCTCTGTGTCTTGAACTGGTTGCCGGTCTGGCGCTGGCTCTATGCATCGAGGCTACTCCGGCTCAAGAGACAGGATTGCCAGACGCAGGATCAGTGGCTGCCCACTCCAAGACGCCCCAGCTGGGGCTCCGCTCGAAGCGACGCATGCGCCTCTTTCGGGTACCAGCTGCACGACCATGGCGACGAAACGATCTTCGGCTAAGTACGATGACGATTGTGACTCGCCGTGAATGTTTCGCTTAGCAACGAATCTATTCGGAATCTAGAAACGTTCCTGGATAAAGAGGATCGGTTTCTTCGTACCGAGGCGCTCGGGTTGCCTCTGGACTTTGTGCATGGCCCGTCGAACACTCGCACCAAGGGCTGGATTCCCACAGAAAAAGATGCCTCTTTGTACGTCGTTGGAGAAGCCAGACACGCGATTGAACTGTTTCACCTGGATAATGTTCCCAAAAAGTCTTTCAAACTCGTACGGATCGCGCAGGTCCAACAAATCCTCGATGAACGTTTCAAAGCGGGGCCGTCCCTGGTGAAACTGCAGTATCGACTTGGTTGATTGGCCGGCTTCCAGGATGCTCGCAGGAATCTCGCCTCTCGTCAGAAATATGTGTACCCGAACGCGCGGAATCAGGTCAGGAGTCCAGGTTTGCGCCAAGTCGAACAGGCCTTGAATACCCCACAGGTCCGCGTATTCGCGCACCACCCAGACAAAAGTTAGACTGAACACGTTCGCATACAGACGCTGCTCCTGCTGCTCCTGCTGCTCCTGCTGCTCCTGCTGCTCCTGCTGCTCCTGCTGCTCCTGCTGCTCCTGCTGCTCCTGCTGCTCCTGCTGCTCCTGCTGCTCCTGCTGCTCCTGCTGCTCCTGCTGCTCCTGCTGCTCTACATGGGAGACCTTATCGTCGGATTGGACGCACCGCTGCTGCGCCACAGCTGTCCCAAGACCGTTCCCCCTCCGCGAGAGCAAGGCGCTCGCTTTCCGTCCCAGATGACGCACGCGCCTCAGCTGGATACGCCACGGCCGCGGCAGATAGAAAATTCTGAGGGTCAGCGCAAACATGATACTTTTGATACAGAAGAGGACGAGGGCGATGATGCGCATCGCATTCCCTGCGCCGTCCATATAATGCGACGAGTGTTGTTCGATGCCGAAGAGCGTTGCACCCACGACCAGGTCTGCAACGAGGAGTCCGCAAACACTCAGTGATACAAAGCCGCGCGGGGTGCCGACGTAACGCCAGCGAGGCGGATCCAATGTCACCAGCATATCCGACGCAATCGTGAACGAGAAGAGAAAAAGAAGCACTGCCGAGCTGGTGAAATCCGCAACTAAGGCTACATTGGCATCGAATGCATTTGCGATGACATAAATCGTCAAGCTAATGTACAGCATCCAGAGCAGACTGAACAGCCAGAGGCTACTCAATACAAAAGCCCGTAGTCGATCAATTCGCGTTTCCGTTTGGAATATTCCAACGCGCTCTTTCATGTACATCGAAAGGATGCCAGATTTCCGTATTCGATCCAGCAACTGTGCCGATGTTTCCTGTTTGCTCAGTGTATCGAGAGTCCCGTGCTGCGTTCCGGCCCTGATTCCTCGAATATCATCATCGGACGCATCCGCGATGCCGGCCAATTTGGCGGGAGCACGAGCGCTACATATTTCCCGGAGTATGGAGACCATCGGGGTTGCACCAACGCCGCTTCCGATCAGCAACTGGTAGGGAAAGTGCAGATGGGACTGCGCCGGTGCTCCATACGGGCCTGCCAAGAGCACCCGGTACGCCTCGATTGTCGTCATACATATCCGTTCAGGGGCCAAATCGAGGCCGTCCGCCGTTGTTGTCGCTGCTTCTGCCACTGCTGCTTCTGCAAGGCTGTGCAGCCTGCGAGTCCATTTGCCCACTGCCGCAATGTAGAACGTGATGCGATCCGAGTCGCATGACGGTGCGCTTGCGGCTGTGAACGGATGCCAAGCATCAGCGGGCATACCACACCCTTTGCGCGTGTCGATGATCATGATCTTGAAATACTGGCCCGGTAGGTAGACCGCGTTCCGTCGTTCAACGGAGAGCTTCACGATATTGGAGTTTGCCTGAGCCAGACTGAGCACCAGGATGCGCCGAGGAGTTACGGTCGCCCGGGAGAGCTGATACAAGCGGTCGATGATATAGAGGAATACCGGGCCTGCGAAGAAGTACACCGTCCAGGGCCGGCCGCCTCGCAAGCCGTGAAATACCAGACAGATGTATACCAGGACCGCAATCGGACGGTGCGTCCACCAGAACAGGCGGAACCATTTCCGGCGTACAGTTTCAACTCCAAAACCGAGCAAAGGAACCAGCAAAACCATGAGCACCACACCTGTGACAAAAAGCATGGTCGCTGGCAGTGCCGCTGGTCCCGTGAACAAACCGCCACGAAATACGAACACGCTCGCAGCGTAGTTGACGATCTGGGCGATGCCGTGAATCCAGCCGGTTGCGGCAAGTGACGTCCCTACGATGGTGTGCATGTCGGGTATCCATCGCTCCACACATAGCAGGTCGTAGAGAGGTGTGCGGTACAGAACCGTCGCTAGAGTGCGGTTTATCGTGAGCGGGAGGACAAGCGAACAGAATGTGCACGCAAATCCCATGCCCCGTGCGATGGATCCCGCATACCGCAGGATACCACTGGGGCGCAAGTCGACGATAACGTAGCGTACCCCGTAAGCAAAGAACCACGACATGGCACAGAAGAACAGGAGAACAATCGAGTACCAAAGCCCGTTTTCAACGAGGTGGATATTCCATATTTGCGTACGTTCCGTCAGGCTGGGATCGAGATTCGACTCGTTCTGTTTTGCTTTGTTCATCAGTATCGTACGAAAAACGCAGATGGAATAACCACAAGTCAAGTCTCTTCGGCAGGTGAGCGAATCACGGACAAGTGCAGCGCCAGCGCACGTTGGGAACCAGGCTTATTCGCTGGTAGGCTCGCTCGTTGTCGCCTCGGAACAGATGCTGCAGCTCCGTCTCACCGGTTGACTACAGTCCTCCGGGCACCGTGCAACCTTCCTTTCCAAACAGTGCGTTGCCCGAACCACTTTTACTTGCTAGGCAGTGCGCTAAAGGCTTCTGCAGAGCTGGCTACCAACGGATGCTATAGACCGACGGCGCCAACTCAGCACCAGGCATCGCTGACGCATCATGCACTCCATCTAGACAAACCTGCCACTGCAGCCTGTTGATTGCATGCCGCGGCGTATACACGCACGAGACATATACGCAAGCACCAGCTCATCTGTAGTACTGATGCGTCCATTGGAAACCTGGTAAGAGTCAACGATTCTGCATCACGAGAAGCTCGTCGTGTGGTATTGTCGGGAAGCGATCCGCTCAGATATGCCTATCGTAGGTAGCATGGTTTAGCGGCGATACCGCACCGTGGCGCTGCGCGGTGCGTGCAGCAACAGCGCCGCGGCACAAACGCATACGAACGCACTGCGGATCGCGTTTATCATTACGTGCATGATGCGCAGCGCCAAACAAGTCTTTCCAAGTTTTCGTTACATGATTACGTCAAAGAGCGTGAGCCGAAGCTTTCGTGGAGTGTGCATATGCACCAAGTGTATGCTCGCTGGGTTTTTCTTGAGCGGTCACGTCGCTGGTCAGCGTGCCGAGTCTGGGTGACGACTTTCACGATCTCGCACGTTGCACAGCAGCGTGTTCAAGTTGGAGAGACTTGCTGGTACTTTCCGTGTGTTTCGGTTGCCGGGCCGGAAAAGAAGCAAGCAGATTGCTCGCGGGCGCCTCGGTATACGCAATAGGATCGCGCGCTCAAGTGGCAGCCTCCTCACAGTTAGTCTTCAACCGCGTGCCCTGAAAATTAGAACCCTTTGAGTAGGCGGTATGGAAACGCACAAAGTTCGATGATGCTCCTAGAATGCGTCTGTCGCCCAGAAAACATGTCGGTCCATTTCAGGCAGCGCCTGTTGTCCCGCATCCTGCTCAAGGAGTGCCCGATACATATATCCGTGGTCTTCCGTCGTTTCGAGAACTGCCGATGATCCACCGATGAGTGGAAGCAGCGGCGCCGCTAGAACAGCGCAAACTTGACGAACGTCGGGCGAAACTGCCCTCGCGAGGAATGCATCAAGATAGAGGCCTGCTCGTTTGAGTCCACAAAGTCGAACAACGAACTCTCGCACATGAATGGCGTCTTCTCGTTTTTGGAGAATCGCGTAGGCTTCTTTCGTACGTGTCTGCAATCGAAAGGGCGTTAGATTCGCGTCATTCCATTCGGTGTCACCGCTTTCCGCCCGCACCCATCTCTGCCAGTACGCCGGGTCATCGCGAACGATGCAGCCGTCAAACCTGGATGCGAACTCTGCGTACGCTTCCGAGCAGCGCTGAATTTCCACCTCGCTCCCCAAGGCCAATGTTTCAATATGATCGCGATGGGAATGTGCAACTTCTCGAACGACACGGACGAATTTTTGTGGGACTGAAATCCATCCAAGAGAGCGATACAGCGACTCGGAGCTGCTCGTATGCAAAAACGACAGCGCAAAACCAGCAGCTCGCATTCGGGTACTCGCCTCTTCGAGCAGTCGGGACGCAATGCCCTGTCTCCGGTACGCTGAAGCGACACTTACCTCGCCAATACCAGCCGCAGACACCGCTGATCCCTTGAGATAGACACGTCGTCGGAAGATTCGCAGCGAGCCAATAAACTTGTCCTGCTCTCCGACAGCGACGAGGATGTCTTCCGACAAACGTTCCACAGCGCCGGGATCGTTTTCGACATGTCTCAGAAAATATGAACGAGGAGGCGCGGCAGTTCCCTTCGCGTCTTTGAAAACGCCGTAGACAAATTCCAACCAAGCTTCGAGTTCCTCGGAGCGGAGTCCACGGACTTGGTAGCTGGCCATGTTTAGTTGTAGCCTAGTCCAGGAACGCGAATAGACTTTCCACGGAGAGACGCGCTTTCGCCGGCACGTGTGTGTTGCCACAACCGGAGCCTCGCTGGAGGCGTTCACTGAGTGAGCCGCGCGGTAGCCCAGCGTCGTACAGCAGAACGCTGTTCGTGGGCCTCTCGTCTCCCTCATTCCGGTCGCGTCGCCACTGGTCAATGTTCTAACCAGTGGCAAGAGTCTTCTACGGCTTTCTAGACCTCATTTCGTGTAGCAGGTTCCACGGCATTGCCTACCTCTGGATTTCGGAAATCATTGTACAAAAAGACACTTTACCCCCATGTCAGAATATCGTAGAAAGGGTCAACAGCGCTAAGTCGGCGAGCAATGCATAGTTTCGGTTTCTTCTCTCTATCATCAATACTAGCCATTGCGGGGTTTCTCAGCGACAGCTTCCTTTTTTTCCCTCTTGTCTCTGGCTTTAACCAGGTAAGGCTTTCCTTTTCCGTCAGCTCTATTCTGAGCAGTTGAACGACATGGATGGCATCGTTCAAGTTCAGGTTTCGCGACTTCCAACCGCTGTCGACACGTTTCATGCACAGGCGAAAGTTGTGATCTACGCTTCGCTTGTCGGTGCCATATTCCTTGGACGCAACTTCGTTGCGCCTCCGTCGGTGATGACATTTGACGTTGGTGAGGTGTTCCTAGATGTGCACCACACCTTCTCCTTCGAGGGCAACCCTGTGGTGCATGGACGTTTGCTTCATCACTCGGCACATGCCCTTGACGAGTACAGGAGGCGCCCCGAGTTCCGTGCTCCTTTTCCGCTCACGGTGCAGAACAATAAGATTTTGGGCTTCTTCTGAGCAATCACCTCAGCGAGTTCGTCGGATGCAGCAAGCGTACGCATACGCCGTTTCATTTGATACAGGATTTGTGGAATGCCATGCTGTCCATGATGAAACAACTACATATAGGATCATCCAGACTAGAGAACAATTCGAGAACATTCGATCCGTCTGTTCTCCACTCGTACCGAGCGGTGAAGCACGCTTCATCAAGAGGAATCGCTCGGAAGCGTCAAGTACGAGTCCAAGACCCTTTTCCACGCAAACAGAAGCGAAGGAAGCCTCTGGGGGCATATACTCGAGTGAGAACATGCTGCACTGGAATGCCGTTTCATTGATGGGCATATAGAGAGGAGTACTCGTCGTTCGAACGGAATCGATTATATGACGTGACGAGTTCAATGAACTCTCGGCATGAATTTGTGAACAATTCGCCTGATGACGACGTCGAGTTTTTCCCTTGCTAACCCGGCGATGATGTTGCCCGCACCTACGTGTTGCCGCGAAGCAGAAACATAGAGAACCTAAAGAATGCGGGAACTGGCATGCCAGCCTGTAGCAAGAAAGAGACGTCGCGACCTCTACATGTGAATAAGCTACTGGTATCGATCAATTTATGAAACCATGTTTGATAGCGGTGCGAATTATCATGATTCTGATGATGGAACGAATGCCAGCGGAAAATTGCCGAGGGAGCCTCTCAGGGAAGGCGATTGGAAACCCAGAAGCTACATAGAAACCGCAAGCCCTCATCGATGCACTTTGATTGCACGGGCTGTTCATATTCAAACAGCTGCTGAAAATTTGGAAAGAAAGGAGCACGGCGAGCAGCTCACTTGTCCATTTTCATATGACATAGGTGTATGATCAAAACCCACCACTGAAAGACGAGTGATTCCGTTTCAGGAACCTCGCTCATGCGACCGACGCCAGCAAGCTCGCTCGCCCGAAGGCCAGTCTCGATCCGGATGACAGGCGTCTCGAGGCGAACCCAAATTTGGCGACGCCCGCTCGATCCACCAGGGCCGACGTGCACGCATGCTCGCCGCTGCTGTACACGTGTCCCGCACGAGGTGACGCGAGCCAGGGATCCAATCGCCACGCGCATGCCGCGTAGCACCCGTGGATGCGAGGCCCTGCGCTGCTCCGGTCCCGAGCGGGCAAAAGATCATGGTATGGCTGCTGCTTGGATACGCGTTGAGCTGTAGCAATATCGTTCCGCTTCTTTCGCTCAAATTTTTCAGGTCTCAACGAAAAAGTCTTCAGTAGAGCTCCGAAGATAAAACGCCAAATTGCGGAAGCAGTCGTATGTATGCAGGAATGCGTCTTAGAGTTGTCGCATTGCTCTTGATGCTCGTCACATATCTGTGCGTTCCGAGTGCTGCGCTCGGTGTTGCCGCTGAGGATACGATTCAGGGCTCGCGTACCGTTCTCCGTGCTGCACCGGGCACAGAGTTTCGGATTGGTGGCCCTGTCACGATCCAAAACATGACGATCGCTGCAAACTATCTCGTTGGAATCGAGGTGGCGCCAATGCCCCCGGGCATGCCAGATCCAGCGGCACAAAATGTTGTGCATTTGGAGGCTGATGTGCACGCCACATCCACGAATCCCTGGGGATTCCCCAATGGATCCTGGATCCCGTACCTGAGCATTGTCTACACGATCAGCAAAGAGGGATCATCCTGGAGCGCCCGGGGTGTTCTCAGCCCTATGACTGCAGATGATGGCCCGCACTACGCCGACAGTCTGACACTTGCGGGTCCGGGTCGCTATGCGCTCATATACAAGCTCATTCCACCGCAAGTGAATGGTTTTCTAAGACACGTTGATCACGCGACTGGTGTGCCCGACTGGTGGACGCCCTTCGAGGTGCCGTTCAACTTCACGTATCCGGTTGAAACAGCGTCAGCATCTTAAAACAATGGATTTCGAATGGAAGGATATCAACCTTAGTTCAAAGGGATAAGCATGCGATGCAGCGTTATCCGGCGCGTAAATCCTGAACGCGTTTCGTCCACAGTGCCAATGACTTCCGAAAGGATTCCCCGTGGTGGCCTGTTCGATGTGTAACATAAATGAACTGTGGAAGATGCCCCGGCACCGAGGCGCGCCAAATCACCAAACACCAACAAAACCGTCAACACCATGCCGTTCCTTGCGGGCAGCGGTCAACGAGGCACCACAACTATGGTGTCATAGCGGGAGCTACGTCGCGTTCAACGGTGCACGCACGAAAAAATATTCGGGCAAAAATGGATAGAGCTGTGGTGGAATGCCTGTTCAGGTACCGGCTCCATCTCGCACGGAAGGTACAACCAGAAAAGAAACTCTGGCAAGGCTCCCATGACATAAAGACGTACAGGGGAATTGCTACTGCGCCCATGGTATCACTTGTAGCGCCGCCAGATTCCAGAGCGCGAGGCACGAGGGTTACCAGCATAGCCTGACTGTAGTCTCCGTGGCATCTATCGTGAGCGCGCCACAGCTCGTAAACCTTTAAACCCTGATACGATGCATGGGACCAAACACAAGTGCGCTACGGCGTCATTGTATCAAAGAGTTCAGACACTCATCAAAGTTCGCCTGTGCAAATGCAGATCACATGCTCGGATGTCGAACCGCGTGCTCGACCGTCTGAAGAGCACTGCTTTCTTCCACGAAATGCGCTGAAGCATTTAAACCTTTGCGAGTAGCTTCCGCGGCCCGATGCGCCCCAGGATCAAGACGATGACGCACTACGCTCCGGGCCGCTGCAACCTACGTATATAACTAGGGCAGGCGATGCGGCACACGGCAATGTCAACATCCCTTGAGCCGACGCCCTCTGTGGTACGGCAACGCCGTTGTGTCTCCGTGCAGCGACCGCACCGGTGCTATAGGCGCTATTGCTGTCGCTTTCGGCAGGCTCGGCACTCGATAGGACGTATGTAGCGACCAGAATATCCGAGACGAGGTATAGGTAATGTATCTTGGAGGTAGGGCGTTTGATGGATACCTCACCTCGCACTGAAAAAGACACAAAAAAGTAAGAAAAGAAAAATGCGCATAATCGGAGAACGCTGGCCTAAGTAACCGTTTTGTCAATGAAAACGTCAACATCCGCCTCCCTGCCGGCATCTATCGATCATGTCTGGTACAGCATCGTTGGCACCAGTTCTCCATGGAAATAAATCAAAGAATGATGATCCGGGAGCAAAGGCATCTGGGTCTTTCCTCAACGGATGCCGGGGCGGTAACGTCACCAAGCTCCAGCGGCAGATACCGCGAGTGCATGCCGCAGCCGCATTAGAATGCTGTGCGAGCTGCGCAAAGTCACGAGGAGCCCTGGCAATCGACGCGCATGCTACCAACGCCGCACCTAGAGTTGCGGTGCAGTCAAGGCTCGGGAAACTTTGATTCGGCACTCTTGTTGCGCGGTATGACATTGGTGCTGTCGTGCCGGATGCATCACGACATCGATGCGGGAATGCGTCATGCATCTGCAAGTTCGACGCTCGCGTCAAGCACAGCGCCAGGCTTTTGATAGTGAGTCGAGGCGCTTCTGGAGCGAACAATGGTTTTTTTTCTGTGAATAAATGAGCTGCTAGTTGCGTATATCGATGTGAATCGGAGCGCGCCATTCGCGGAACGCATGGTCAGCGTCTATGCTCCCAGTTCACGCAGATGCTGATCCATAGTTATACATATATCTACATATATGAATCGTTTCGTGGATGAATACGGTTTGAGGCGGCATGCGCTGCAGCATCGCGTCGCACGCCTCTGTCCTGGCACCAACACTGGCGCAACTCTGTTCGCCATACCGTTGTGCTGTACTGACAGCTCCGCCGCGGGCGTCTACGAGCGTGACTGAGTCGCACCGCTGCCGTGTATAACGCTTGCATCGAGACATGGTCAACACGGCGACCACAGAGTCGGCTCGACCCGAGTCGAGAGCGATTACTGCGGCGGAGCTCCCCGCGAAGCTTGAACAACTGCGCGCTGAAGCAGAGACCGGTGGCGACACGAAGCCCGTCATAGAGGCCCTGTACGCGTTGGAAAAGAAGTTCCGTTTGGCCGATGATGCGAACGCTACAGCGCTGGTAGCTACTGAGATCGTTCGTCTTGCCTGGCAGCAAGGCCGAGTGCCCGCACTCGTAGAGCACCTGCGACTGCTCAGCCGTCGTCGGGCGCAGCTCAAGCAGGTTGTTGCGACGATCGTGCGCGAGGGAATGCAGTACCTCGATCGAATAAAAGATGTTGCGGAGAAACGTGAGCTGTTGGAAGTGCTGCGCGATATATCCATGGGGAAACTGTTCCTGGAACTGGAGCGTGCGCGTCTCACCAGAATGCTAGCCGAGCTCATGGAGCAAGCCGGAGATATTAGTGGTGCCGGGCGTGTGCTGAACGAACTCCAGATTGAAACATTCGGAAGCATGGAGCGTCAGGAAAAATGGACTTTTATGCTGGAGCAGATCAGGCTCTGCCTTGATCTCGAGGACACTGTTCGCGCGCAGATTATTGCGAACAAGTTCACAGCCCGAACACTGGTCGACGAGGAGTTCAGGAAGAGCCCCATCAAGACTAGGTATTATATGCTGATGATTCGACTGTATACAATGCAGCAGCGTTTGAAGCTCGCGGACGACACCCGTTTCATTGATATTGCCAGGGCATACCTTGCGCTTGGGGAGGAATTCCTGGGCAACGCGGCGCTGTATACGATCCTTGCTCCCCGGAACCATGAGCAACACGATCTGCTGCATCGATTGTCCCAACGTCAGCCATTGCTCGAGAACAAATCACCGCTCCGTATATATGGCGAACTCCTGTCACTGTTCCGGATCGAAGAGCTTATCCGCTGGCCAATCTTCGTTCAATCATACCGCAGTGCGCTGGAGGAGAAGCACCCGGACTTGAACTGGTTGTACTTGCAACGCCGTGTTCACGAGCACAATCTGCGAGTGATCGCCAAATATTACCGACGGATTCATTTGTCTCGTTTGGCTGCGCTTATGGAAGTCGATGAGGATACCGTGGAAGATCTGCTCTGCGATGAGATAACGAGTGGACGGATATGGGGCCGCATCGATCGTATCGATGGTATCGTGAGTTTTCAAAGGGAACGAAAACCAGAGGAGATTGTCTCTGAATGGGCGCAAAACGTCGACGAGGTGCTCGCTTCTGTGGACCGTCTCGATGAGTTGGTGAACAAGGAACGTCAGCAACGGGCGGTGCCTACGAGCGGTACGAGCTGAAACGCACTGCATCGTTTCATGCGTGTTGAAAACGCTCTGAGGAGCATTGGCATCAGGCATCTGGCTTACGTATCCCAGAATACATGCATCGTCTACGAAATCGACCTGGCGTCATGGAGTGTCCATCGAACTCGCGGCAGTCCAGTGTGCTGGATCCAGGAAGAAATGCATAGCACCAGGTCGAGAAGCTGTTGTTGTTGTTGTTGACATCAATCTGAGTCCATGTCAGAGTGAAATGTACGAGGTCCTCTATTTCGGTCGTACGCAATAATGTTGGGGTCTATTCACGCTGTCATGAACACCAGACACTGTAGTATTTTTCTGCGGCTGCTTCGCGTATCTCGCTCCTTTATTCGGCTTTAAAAACGCTGGTCTCGCCTGTCCTTTCAGCTTCGTTCTGAACAGTCGAAGGATGTCAATGGCAGGATTACAATCCGGATTTTACAGTTTGCGGCTGCTGTTGACGCATTTCATTAACAGACAAAAATTGCTATTGACGCTTCGCTTGTTATTGTCATCCTCTTCGTATCCACCCTCGGTACGCCCTTCGATGCATTGACACACGACTATGATGCGTTTTTTTCGTATGTGTGTACGGAACCTCTCCTCCTCGAACGCTACGCTGTGAAACGTGGACGCTTCGTGTATCGCTCGAAACATGCGCTTGGCGGATACAGAAGGCCCTCATCGATACCATCCGTCGTTTTTGCACCTGGTGCTGTGTCCTACGATCATAGGCTTCTTCTGAGAAATGCCCTCGGCGAGTACGCTGTCCGCCGCTCACGCAAGCACGCGCTGTTCCATTCGACAGAGGATCTGTGGAACGCGAGATTGTCCATGAAAGGAAAATTACCCTATGGAAAATCCACACTGGAGATCAAACCGAGAAATATCGATTCGTCTACGCGACCCACTTGCAAAAAAAGTACCGCGTTATCCACTGGTAGCGATTACTGCGATGGCTCAAGTCCGAGTCCATGGCCCTTTACGATGCGGACGGGCGACAAAGAGCCCTCTGGGAGCATATCCCATCATATGGATCATGCTCACGTCGAATGCATTCTCGATGATACTCCCATAGAGGCGAGGATTTGGCATTCGAACGGAATCCATTCTTTAAAGTTGCGTATTCAGCAATCGCTCGGCATGGGCTCGTAAAGAAGTCGTCGAGGGGCGACGTCGAGATTCTTTCCTCGTCAATCCACTGGCGCGAATTGCAACGTGTATGATTAGTTAATGAAAAGAAAAATCGAGTTATTGAAGTATGCGTGATTTGAGCATGTTCGCTGTCAGGAACTGGGAGGCGTGCAGGTTAGCGCATATAAACTGGATAGTCGTATCTGCCGCTTTACGAACCATTGTTCGAGGGCTTCGCGAATGTTCTTCACTCCGGTGAGATAACGCATTCCATTGGTGACATGTTTTAGGCACTTCTACGGAGCGAAGACCAAGAATCCTCAACAGTACTTACGGACCCGTAAACCCATATTGGAGTACTTCGATTGTCGAGGCTGTATATCTTGAGGAAAAATCACCCGGAAAAATAATCGAGATACAAGAAGCGAGCGATCAGTCTAGTGTTCCATTTTACTCTGACACGGGTGTCGTACCCTGCGACTTTTCTGATGACTGAGATTTCGGTGACTGCTCGCGAAAACGCGTCCGATTTCAGGGCAACTAGACATATCTTCGGAGTAAATCGAAGCCGCAGGCTATGGTCGACTAGCGAGAACAGTCTCGTGCGTCACGCACGTGATAGACACCGGGGAATGACCGAAAACCAGAGGCGCTTCCGTGCCCGCTGCTCCCTCGCTGGATGAAGTCCATGCAAAATCCTGCTTCCAAAGCAAAACCTTTGACAACAGATATGCATCTCAACCTCTTTCTTCTGAGTTTCCGGATTTCACACTGCTTATTGCTGGGTCACAAAGCGCTCTGCCAACTTCTTTCCCTCAAACGCCATCGTCCGCACCAAGGCCACACAAGTTCGCTCGTACCGATTCCGGCCTGTTCTCGACATGCCTCGTTCTTCCTCATCGGTACCGAGCTTAAAATTCGTTGCCTGTAGCACCGTCTTCATGTCTGCGGAAACAGTTCCTCGGGTTGCGAGGCAGTGTGAGCGCCCATGGCCTGCATTCAAGTCAAACCGAATGCATTATCCAAGTACGATGTACGCATGCGTTTCATGCTCATGTGCGCTATGCTTGACCGATCCCCGGGACGCTTTAGTTTTTGAACCATCCTGGAGACGCTATGACGCCAGGCGATTCCCGCTGCAACCCTGGGACGACGGTTACCAAGTCCCGTCTCGTGGCCACTACAGAGGCTGCGGGCTCTACGAAGCCAATTCTCACTGCTGTGCGGTGTGTGAAACAATCTTTGCTTCGGTCCAGTGTCGCTCGAGTAGTTCTCTGCCGCCATTGGACCTATTTATGCGATCGAAAGTCCGTACCGAACCGGATTTGTTTTGCACGGAAAGCGCCGGTCTTGAGGTAAGTTTACCGTCCTGATGCTGTCCTCATTTCCTGGGTCGCAGCTGCAGAACAACCCCGAAAAGCACATGTCTCTCTCTTTAGCGAGCCGTGAACGCTCTAAACTTGTCCATTAAAGCAAGAGTAGCTCGAACCGGTCAAACGTACATCCCAACAGTGCAAGCGCGACGCAATGCATAGGCGAGCCGCTGGCTGCTAGGTAGCGTGCGCAGTAAACAGCAGCGACTGGCAATAAAGGCCGCAGCGTTTCCCACGTCGCACTTTTTGGACACGGGAGCGCACCAGCGACCAAGGCACTCAGCTGCAGGAACGAAGCGGATGCTTCGAGTGCTTCGCAGGTCTTCGAGTTTCAACCTGGTCGGGCCTTTCCCGGCTGCGATCCGGCCGAGGCTGGGTGTTCGGGAACAGAGCGGCGCGGCCAGTTATGTGGAAAGCCTCACGCAGCTGGGTCGCAAAGTGACACTGCCCAAGTCACCGTCGGAAGCTGTTCTTGAGAAAGTTGCAAACATGCACGAGAATTACCCTTACGTGACGCGCTTCACCTGCCCCGAGTTCACGTCGCTCTGTCCTCTTACAGGGCAACCGGACTTTTGTCATATGGTAATAGACTATGTGCCAGACAAGTGGCTCGTGGAGAGCAAATCGCTAAAGTTGTATTTACATTCGTTTCGTAATCACGGAGACTTCCACGAGGCATGCACTATTGGTATTGCCCGTAGGCTCACGACGGAACTAGAACCCAAGTGGCTGCGCATCGCGGGCTACTGGTATCCGCGTGGTGGCATTCCAATCGATGTCTTCTACCAGACGGGGGAGCCACCAAAAGGTCTCTGGATACCCGATACAGGTGTTCAGCCGTATCGCGGTAGAGGCTGAACTGCAGCGGCATTTGTCTCGTGTCGGATGCAAGTCCGTGATGGATGCGTTTCAGGCGATGCAGAAGAGAGCAGACAGCCCAGAAACGAAACTCGAGAGAAGCCCAGCGACCAGCGGAATCATCTCATTCACGCACATATTTCTTAGTGTGCAGGTTGGGTTAGGTTTCAGCAAAAATCATTCAAGTATCTACGTATCTAGCGAGAAACATAGAGTCGCATGAAGCGCACACTGCGTGCTCGCGCTGCTCAACGAGCTTGAGCAAGATATCTCCATGTGGAAGCGCATTCACTTTGCCGCAGCGAGCAGTAAACGTGCAGACAGAAACTTGCCGGTGCGTCGCCCGCAACGACTTCGCTCCGCCGAACAACCCGAGTGCATCGCTCACAGCGCCAGATGCCGCTCAAGCGTTCGAACTGGAACGGCGCCTGCGCTCTCCAGGTGCAAAATGCTAGACCCGGGATCGTTTTCTTGGTCCAGTCGCATAGAGACGGGAACTCGTGTCTCAGCTTATATTAATGATACCGTATTCAATCGCCGCATGCTTCTACGGGAAGCGTTCTTTTATCAGAGCTTGAAAAGACGCACCCATCATAGACTCGCCTGCACTCCATGATGAAGTACCGCTTCTGGCGAGGAGGGATGCAGGCTCGCGCGTTCCGCGAAATAATTCCAGTACTTCAGTTCTGGCGAGTATACTTCCAATAAACAACTTCGCGTAAGTATCGCACATACGCATCAGGAGCGTCATCATCATCATCAGCGTTACTATCACCACCTTGGACATGTTGCCAATGTATTCATTCTCGTGTGTGTAGCGAATGCGCATTACGGTCACCATCGCCATCACCACCACCATCATCAGCAGCAGCAGCAGGAGCAGCAGCAGCAATGATGTGAAAAATACCGCCAGTAACGGTACCAGCATCGAATACCGCACGCCGTATTTGCAGTTTAGCTGACAGGCCCGTAGGCGTGATCGAACGATGTCTCGTGATCGTGCTCTATTCGGTGCAGTGAGTCGAGAGGTTTCGGTCGATAGATTGCACGGGCAGTCGCTGTTTCCTCCACTGTTACAGCAGATAAACAAGGAATAGAAGGTTTCAGCTTCCGATACGCCCAGTACGCAATATACTCAGCAGTTGGCGCGTCTGTCTCTAAGGTCTCGTTCAAGTGCTGGTGATCAAGAAACTTTTCCACAAGAGGGCGAACGACGGCTGCGATCTCGTCAAAGTCCATGACCATGCCTTTCTTGGGACCAGAGGTCACCAGCGCCTCCGTCGATACTTCCACAACCAGCACGTACGAGTGACCGTGTAATCGACTGCACTTCGAGTCGTGGTGTTGTAGACAATGGGATGCCTCGAAGGGGAACCGCTTCTCCAGAATAAACATGGCTGATGTTGCGTTCACCGCTGACCCAGCAGGCCTCAGAACACTTTCTCGCACCAGCGGCTGAAGCGCGTTCCCGGTTGACAGGGAAGCAGCGCACGCCATGAGTCGAGGCTGGCGAAGGCGACCCGACGCCGGGCCGCTACGCAGCTCGGGGGGAGTAAAGCGACGCCCCGTCGTTGTCGGTATCTTTATGGACGAAGCGTCAGACCCCGAGGCAAGACTCTACACATGGGTCTATGAAAAGGCTCCGAAACTTCTATTGCCCACAAATGTGACGGTAAACCGTCTCGAGGAGACGAGCGCCGTAGCCTCGTCAACAGCGCTGAATGCCTTCGTAGCCGGGGCGCTTGGCTCCGACGAGCCTGTCTCCAGTCGCCTCGCAGACCGCGTTTTGCTTCTGGGCAATCCCTCTAAGCATACGCGCAGGCGGGAGAGTGTTCTTGGTGGACAGAAAAGGCGTCGGTTGAAACCGAGTCGGCAGAGGCGGCAGGTGCAGCCGCTTACCGCTCGAGAGCGACGCAGACTCGGGTTGTATAAGCTGGACAAGCGCATTCCTTACGCAGAGGTGCAACCACTGGCGCAGCTCTGGCTGGAGTACGCACAGTCCATGATCCCCGTGCAACAGCTCGACCGACTGCGGCAGCAGGAGCGAGAAGCAGTGCTCGACCGCCTTCTTCGGCTGGACTGGCACGGGGCCAGCATCACAGTGCACCAGAGCGCTGCCCCGGAGCGCGTCGGTGTTCACGGCATTGTTATTCAGGAGACTGAACAGACATTTAAAATCGTGTCGCCTGACTCTCGATTGCGTGTTCTGCCCAAGCTATCGACGGTGTTCACGGTGGACCTCAGCGACGACTGGGTGCTGGTTCTCTGCGGTGATGCCTTGCGAGTGCGGAGCGCGGAACGGTCCGTACGGAAACCGAAACGAAAAGCGCTGCTTCTTGTTTGATGAGAGTTTTCCGCGAAACGGGCAAACAGCGCGCTATTTCGAAAAGGACACTCGTTCTGTCAAGTTTGGGATCGGTCCTCGGTTGACATCGGCGGCGACTCGAGGCGCCCTGCTCCAGTTGCGCGCCTCTGCGACCCAACGTAGACAGCTTTGCCCGAACTTGTCATCATGTAGTTGGGATCAAAGATCAGACCTTTGGGAAGAATGAGTTCCCGGTAGGCACTAGAGCACTGGTACCCGACACGATGCGGGATGTGGCTTGCAAACAGACCCCATTTGTCACCGCAGCCGTACTGGCGCGCTACGGCCATGAACCTGTCGAGCTCCTCGGGACTCCAGTCACCGAACCACTGCTCTTCTCCGGGCTCGTTGTGGCGATAAAAATAGGCATTAGGGTTCTTCTGAAGACTTCGTCGGGCGATCTCTTTCGCACTGAGTGTCACCCGTGTCGAGCTCGTACCCTTCGTCGTTCCGAGCGGGTTGCGCACCGAAAACCGCCCGCCCCCGTTTGAGTTCCAGGCCTCTGCCGCATTCGAGGCAATGGACCAGCGTGCGGCTACCTCGGGGTTCACCCAGCCTCGGTAGTGGCCATCCACACGCAGGGGCTCAGGCGCATCTGCGGGCAAGGGTGCAACCTCTGTGAAATAGCGCTGGATCTCATATAGCTCATCGAAGACACCGCTCAAGATCTCATTTCGGGACGTCGAATCGGAGTTTCCGCTGTTTGTTCCGTCTTCCGTGGAACGAATGAGTTCAACTGGCCCATTCGACACGGGGCAGTCTTCTTCCCGAAAGCGTTTGCGTTCCGACCGACGCAGTGGTTTCTGCGGAGTTGAGGTGCATTTTGGATCCCTTTCCGGCACTCGCTTTCTCACCCTTGATAATGTCGAGTTTTTCTTCTGATCAACGGACGCGCTGAGCTCGACTGGGCCCAGCGCTTGCCGTGCTTCTGCGTTTTGTTGCTTTAGTGGATCCGTGCCGCTCTCGAACGTCTTTGACCAAATTTGTTGCAAAAATATACGGTTCCTTTCGAGCCGTTTTAGCCTCTCGAGTTCGTAAGTTGAAGCATAGCGCTCTGTTTCAGAGGAGTTTATGTCGACGTCATCGTTTAAAGCCAGCATTGCGGTGTCACGTGTACACCGTTACCAGCGGCGAGCTCGTACCGGACGCCTCAGTCTTTTGCGAGCGGTGCCCTGACGAGCGCGCAGCGCATCTCCCGCCAAGCAGCGGCGGTAACGGCTGGATCGGGGCTTGACGCTGTTCTTATCACAATGATGTACTTATCTGTACTTTTCCTTCCTATACGGACACGCGCTGCTTCGCACGGCACACTCAGAGACGATGCGCGACGCGCCAGTCGACATTGCCGGCGTTTTCGCTCCGAGGAGGTCTGTTCCTCTACGAGCCTGTCGCTAAACAACGATGCGGTCCGCCTATGCAGCAAATCTACTTTTACTCATTTTCTCATTTTGGTTCATGCTAGGCGTTTGCGGGGTTCACGCCTGGAACTTCCGCATGGATCCAGAGGTAGACCCCGAGCGCGTCTGCTTTTTGGCGTCCGTGAAAGGTGGACGGGAGGTCCAGGGTTTCTTCGAGGTCCTGCTTTCGCCGGACTCGGACGCCCCTGCAGCCGTGGGGTTTACCATCACAGGGCCAGTGGTAGACTCGAAGCAACCAGAGAAAGCTAGAGGTCCCGAGCTCGTCCGTCTGGTGGAGGTTTCGGCACCTTTCGTGTTCGCTGCACCGAGCGACGGCGAGTATGAGCTCTGCTTCCACTACGGGGAAGAGAAGAAAGCACGAGATATTGCGTTTTTCTACGACCTTGGTGACGCAGAGGATGAGGTGTCGGAACTTCTGCGTGACGCAGTGAAACAAGATAAGCATCTGGAGCCCCTGCAGCATAGGGCAGTTTCGATCATGCACGAGCTGCGTAACGTACGGATAGCGCAGATGCGAATGCGAGAACGCATTCGCCAAAATCTTCGTATGCTGCAAGAGCGTAAGCGATCCGTCATGTGGATGACGTTGTTGGAGCTTTTGACTGTGGTTGCAGCGTGCACCTTGGAGGTAGTTTTCGTGAAGCAGAAGCTCGATACTCGGCGCATATTTTGAGCGAATGCATCGTCTCCGGTATGGAACGGCGCTGGTTCTGTGAATAACGCGTCAGACAGCGTCTGCAGCGGGGCTCACTGCCGACACCCTCCAGCATGCCGTACTGTTACGCGGTCGCTAGCGCAACGCCAGCAGCTGTGCGCCTGTGTCACCGAGACTTTTAGGTTCCATAAACAATCCACGCGCACTGGACACGGGATTGCGCGAGAAAGACTTGAACTGAGTAACCATCTGTTTGAGCCTCGGTTCGGAAGGAGACGATCCACGCGCCGCTCGACTCTGATAGGCAATATGACCGTAATAGGCATCTCCATTAGGCTTTACGTCCAGATGAAACGAGGGCACGAACCGAGGTACGCCTGCCGGACTCGCTATTGTTCTTCTATACGACACACAAGCCTGCTTGTCATTCCTCGTCGAGGCATACCGCTTCGGGAGCACACACATAGAGTGACACACAGATGCCTGAGATGGATCCATGTCTGGGGGTTTGGCGGCTCGCGGTATCATTGGTGAAGCAACGACGGATCGACGACATCGCCTGCCACCGCGACTGCCGTGACCCAGGCGCGAGCCGGTGACCCAGGAGAGCGCCTGCTCGACACATGGCCCGGCTTCGGGTGCGAGCGGGAGCTCGATTGGAGGCTTCTGTCACTGGTACGCATCATTGCTTTGCTTGTTAGCCGCTTTTCCTGGGGTGTACGATGAATGCGTCTGATCGGGTTCCCCAGGATGTTTTTGTTTTTGCGCGCCGACGATTACCCGGAAATGTACCGCCGATAAAGCGACACACAACGCCTCCAGCGCTGAAAACGCACCCTTTGGCATCATACTGCACCCCAAGAGCTGATGCATGCGCTCTCTGGAAAACGCATGCCTAAAGTGCTGCACGATATTCATGGTATCGAGATGTATGAACGCTCGATCATCGTTCTGCATGATATTCATGGTGTCGAGATTTATGAACGCTTGATCATCGTTCTGCACGATATCCATGGCGTCGAGTAGCACGAGCGCTTGCGTGCCGCATGCTGCTACCGCACTGGGGGCTATGGATGTGCGTAGACGCCAGGTGGAGTTTCAGCGAATGCCTCCATGCCCATTGTAGGGAGTATCGGGCGAGGACTCTGGCCAGCCCGGCTCGTTCAGGTCGCTGGACAGTCCCGGTGCGCTGCCAATGTGCTCAAGTGGCTCGCTACGCGCCTTCCCATAAGATGTCGTCCGGCCGTGTACCGCCTCAACGCACAGCGACTTGATCACTGAGCACAGAACGTTTCATGGCTGGGTGTCGGCGTTGCGTCCGCGTCGTCTACGGACGCCAGATCGTTTCTGACTCGTGATCGCGGACGAGTATGCAGTGCCCACTACAAAATCGTTTATCAGAATGTCTCTCTCTATATATTTCCAGAATTACGGTTGCCAAGGGTCGCCAGCTCGACGGTAAAGATACTGTCTGAGCCGACCCCTTCGCAGTAGTTTTATTCACACGTCGGTTATAAACATAAAAGCGTCATCACGTGAGCTGCCTTGAGCTGAATCCAAGTAGCATCGCACAGCAAGCGCTTTGCTTGGATAATTTCGAATGCACCGCTGGGGGGAGTAGTGCTCGTTGCGCGCTCCGCGTAGGTTCACGCAACAACGCATGCGCGACAAGCGCTTTCCGCAGCCGGACTCTGCAAACGTGCAGAAACGGTGCCGAAGAGGCGCACTTACCGTGCTGGTGCGTCACCACCGCCATGATTCACGCAACGCTTCGCATCTGGTCGTGTTCGTTTCGTTGGTGTCAGCGTTGGACCCAGCTTTTGTTGATCTCTATAATTTCCGCCTTTGTGCAGCGTCAAGAGAAAATCACGAATGGCAGCCGCTTCGTCCACCTCCAGATGGGTGAAATGGGATTGAACTTCGTGCACCAGCTGGGCACGGCTCACATCCGAGCGCAGTGGAAGCCCAAATCGTTTTGAATATCGACGCAATGCCTTCGCATTGAGCCGACTGATCGTCACCCCAAGGGACCCGCCCGCATTGGGGTGAAACTCAAGTGAATCTGCCCCAGGCGACTCGGGGCATCGCATCAACGTGGCCGCTTCCGCTGGGGGCCAGTCCTGGCGAGATACAGCGGCCCCAGGACCCAGCACCTCCGGACGCTGGACTTGTTGCGATGGCTCCGTACCGTATCGCCAGTGCTCGCCATGTTGCGCAGACGGCATAGGAGGTGCACAACTGGTCAGATCTTCGGGACTCGTCCAGGAAAGCTTCGCTCGATTCAGCACCGGTGACCCAAGCAAAGGTTTCGTCATCGGCGAGCAGTGGAGTCCGTGGTTCGGCGTCACCGCGCTAAACGTCGGCGAAGAAGGATTCGTATCCAAAGGGTCTCGGCCCGTTCTAGGGCGCGAGCGCTCGCGCTTAAGCTTCAAACCCGGGGCTGTCTCTACGAAAACGGCCCCTGTAGGGATATCGATAGCCTGGATAGCGTTCCGCTGAACACGAATCCGTCGACCATCGTCGAGACAGATCACGTGCCAGCCTCCGATGGGTGCTCCGCTTTCAATGGAACCCTCTAGACCGATCCACTTTGGTTTGGTCCGATTGTTGCCGATGATGCGCACACGCGTGCCCTGTGGCAGAAGGGCGTCGTCCGGGTCCGGCTTCTCGCTCGGAAGCGCGTACGTTTTTTCGGGCGACTTGGGGCAGTCAATACCCTCCAGCCCAGAGTCATGAGTCTGGGTGTCTGTTTCATTTCGCTGCAGTAGCCGAGCACTGGCCCCAGCGAGGCACCGTGAATGCGCCTCTGCGTCGAGTCGCGCCTCTGCGGCTACGCTCGGCGTCGTCTGCTCCTGTTTCTCTACATCTTGCAGCGCTTTGGGGGCTGCTGTCCCAAAATCAGTCACGAAGGTATCTTCGGCGTGCTTCATGGTTTCTTCTGACGTCACTGGACGCGTACTAGTCATCGTTTCACGCAGCACCGGAGCCGCACCGGCGCGTTCACGCCGGCGCGCCGACGCACAGTTTGTGTTAGGCGACTTTCTCTCCTCCAAAGTACCGCCGGAACTCATTATCTCCATTCTTCCGTTGCATTCTGGGTGCAAAGTGAAATAACTTGGGGGACCTCTTTGCGGTCTGTACACTACAGCGGTGTCGTCCAGCACAGACATGCCAGGAATGATCGCATGAAACGCGAATCTCGACCGAAGCCGTTCGAGATTGGATGCGCGCGCGCGCAGCACGTCACGGCTTCTGTCGTTGTTTCCTCTCCAAATTTAAATTCTTACTGGCGCTTCGCTTGCTAGAGGCAAGCCATGTACCTTGCGAACGCTTTTCGTCGCTCTGCCAGTAAAAATAGCGAGGCCTTTACAGGGTCTGCTTTGGTAGGAACTGGAAAATTGAAGCAGGGTTGGGAGGGTTCCTATCCTGGGACGCCACTGGGGCCGAAAACTCCACACACGCCGATGCTGCTTGATCACACCGGCTGCCTGACGCTGAGCCAGACCCACGAGTACTCTGAGAAAAGAGAAGCTTCCGAGCGGCTTGGTAGTGAACAGGGTTTCGGGGCGGATACTTCGGCTTTGAATTCGGGGAAAGAGACTCTTCCCCAGGAGGCCGCCGCGACACCCGCTGGCGACCACGGAAGGAACCCCTTTGACGACGACGATGTTGAGCGCGTCACTTTGGACATTGATGAGTCCGAAATCGAAGCACATAAGAAAGTGTGGGACTCTCGGCGAGCTGCACTGGCGAACTCTGGTGGGCGCGACCCGCTGGACGCATCGGCACGTAGCGCGCTGGCGGCTAGCGCGGGAACGCCGCAGCGGTCTCTGCGCCACACACTGGCCCCTGACGTGCAAGACAGCATCCTGTTCATGGAACCAAGTCCTGAATCTGTCCCGGGGAATCACGGGAACGGTTCTGAAGTGGACTTTTCTCGAGCAGAGGGCTCGACAGATTTCCGGAAATCGGCGGCGAAGCCTGCTGTCGTGACGAATCTATCCTCCACATTTGAGGAGGAAGCGCATCACCCGCGGGAACTGTCAGTTACCCCGTCGCTTCGTTCTGAAGACGTGCATCAGAAATTGAACCAATCCAGTGTGCATCACTTCGAGGGGTCGGCCTTGCGACCCGCCCTCTCATGGGATCATATCCCCAGTAGCATTATTCGAGAAACGATCGTATCGCTCGAGACACAGATGGCTCAATATCAGAGGGAGCTTGCTGCGGCTCAGGACGTTATCGGCTCGTTGAGAAAGGCTCTCTGCATTGAGCAAACCAATCGACAGAGCCAAGCTGCGAAAATCGCTGAGATGGAGCTACAGATTCGCGCTTTAGAAGAGGAAACAGACCGAAAAAGCCTTCGAATTGCTTGTTTGGAAAAAGATCGCGAGGAACAGGAGGGTGTTCTCGAGCGCCTCCGCGAGGAACTCGTCCAGACGCAGCGCCGGAACAACGCCGCACACGAGACGGAGGCGTATGCGGACATCTTGTCAAAGCTGCGGGCAGTGCAAGAACAGCTGGATCTCGTGCAACTCGAACGTGATTTGCTGGAGAAACGATTGAACGGACACTCGTTTGAATCCACTGCGAGAAAACAGAACGACAGCGACGTCTCAACCGGAAAGGAGAATATCGGGAATACGTCGTCGCGTGCGGTGCCTGCCGAAGCGCCCAGTGCGACGCCCGACGTGCCCAGTGCGCAACGCACGAAGCCAACACCGCTCCGGTTGACCCAGAAGAGTCCCCATGAAGACGCAGCGGCCGCGTCCGCAAGCCTGGAGCGGTCGGTGGCGAAGCAGCACATCCAAAAGTTTGAACGGATCCAGACGAGCTCGCTCCTGAGCGCCGAGCAAAGAAACGAGAAGCGGGTCATGCGTTTCACTGACTGGATCGGTAGCGTGCAAGAGCCGAGCAACTACATGAACACATGAACAGCCAAGGAGAGACAGAGAGAGGGTTTCGTGATCTGTGCTCGGTTCGTACGCCGAGCGTATTCAGGTTTTGCACGTGCACTGGTGCGCATGGCTAGCCGCATACGCGAACAGCCTAGGGTGCAGGTGGCGAGTGCGCACTGCCCCGAAAGCAGATATGCATAAACCCAGCGCCCGTGCGCTGGTGTCGTTCCTGGTGATACCTTGAATCGGGTTGTGGTCTGGTTCGCACGAGCGTCCTGTTACAAAAGCCGATCAGCGTGATTCGAGGCCAAAGATGGACCCACCGGAAATCTTCCAGATATACGAAGGCAGCTTTGCGGCACCGTGCCTTGGGTTATACGGGGGTTTACCACCAAGCATGTTCGTACTTTGCGCGGTCTGCTTCCGAGACCTGTCTCCGATGAGCAGCACAGCACGCCATCAGCAAGCTGTGCTCCAAGCGATGCTCTCGCTCATTTGCTCGCTTCGTTAAGCGCCGAGTGAGCGCGCTGTCATCCGGCAACATGAGACGGTGGATCCAAGACGGTGCACGCTTGGCGCTCTCTCACAGAATCCACACGACAACTGCAGAGATTCTCAAGTCGTCTGGCTGAATCCGATGCTTCGCACACGCCCATCCAACCGCATATTGCCGATGTTGACGCGCTCCTCGCTATAACCCGTCTGAAACGAATACGAGAGGCACCTCAAACGTCAGATGGGCGGCAGCAGTGTACGTTCCAAACTGTGATGCGTATCGTTCATCACTTTCCCTAAAAATACATCCTGCAACTTTTTGGACACCTCATACGACCGAGCAGCGAATCTCTCTCCGCATCTCGTGCCAACGTGCACCGTCATTCATACCGCTGCGAGACGGCAGCGTGACTGACTTCCTGACACCGCCGGCTCCGATCCAAGGCCTCTGTCACGCGGCTGGGACACGACCAGTGGAACGACCGCCCCTTCGCCCATGGCGCTGCTGGGGCCGCAGCCTTCCACTTTTCCCGCCAGACGCACGAAAACGTCCCGCGCACTGAAAACGAGCGCGCCATCGGCCATGCGACGCCGAAGATCGGATATGCGCAGCTCCAGCTGCAGCTGCGTCCTTGCGACTCCATCGCTTGGATCGGGGCGAGAGGCGCAGCGCTCGGAAACCTCGCGAACAAGTCGGCTCTCGGGGGCTTGCAAGCTCAAGACCAAACGATACGCTAGATGCGAGTCTGGAAGAAACGCGAGGCCGCACGATACCAGCTCGCCCAGTACGAAGAGCATGTCGAAGCTTTCCAAAGCCGTGCTGAGGAACTTTTGACCAAGATCGACAGCAGGTTAGAGAGACTGTGTGAGCGCCTGGAGAAAGTAGAAGAAAAGTGTTGCCAACTCGTCGGAATCAATCCCCAGCAGAGGGCAGGAGAAAAGTAGGCTGCGTCAACGCCGCACGAGAGCACCGGGCTGGCGTTACCGTTAACGAGAGGCAGGCACGACACGCGAAGCGCTGCGACAGCGCGGTGCGTGCCTCGGCCTCATGACGAGCTCAAAGACTGAATCCAGTCCTGAACAGGGTCTCCCGTCGACGCGGCTCGGTCTTCGGACCTGGACAGCTGTTCCCGTAAAGCCTGCAGCTCAGCTGCCTGACGCTGAAGCTCCGCCTCGAGCTTCCTCCGCGCGTTGCGCTCCCGCTGCGCGTTCATAGAACTACCAGCCAAATAGCCGATAAAAACTGCACCCACTCGCGCAAAGTTCAAAAGACTCGTATACGACGCCGTGGCACCAGCTGAACCAACAGTTCCGGAAACCATTCCTGTCTTCTCAGTGCAGTATACCCGTTCCGGGTAGACAGAACGACGCGGATTCGCTGACGGCGAGCAGTGCGCGACTCTACCGATCCACTTTTTTCTTAATTTGATCAAATGTTCATAGAGGCCAGCGTTCCCCAGCTGTGCGCTTTGTATCCGCGCGCGGTCATTCATCCATCGATCCACGTCCTACTTCCAAGTTCCATACCTCATTCTTCTTCTCGGATATACTCGTCGTTTGATCTGCTCTATCGAGCGCCGAGCACCTGCCCTGATCGTCTGCGACAGCGCCTGTACCGTTGGTACGGATGCAGCTCGGCAACAGAACGGCGTTGCCGTGCCAGAGAGAGCGTCGGCTCGACAGGTTAAACGAATGCCGTGTCACGGAGGCCTCCCATTCTTGTTGGACCGGCCACCCTTCCAATGGTTTCAGCTTCTCCTTGTGCATAACGGCTCTGAGAGGCTGCCCCACAAAGTTCGCTCGTGTCTGCTCCGCGGATCACGTCTTCAGTACCACACATCGTCCGATATGGATGGCGGCATTGAAGTCTCGGTTCACGGATTCTATGCGTTTATTGCCTCTGATTGAACAGATCCTTTCAAGGCGTCGTTGAACGCTCGCCCCCTGTTCGATTTGGTGCTCTATCAGCTATTCAAACTTTCCGATCGCCGAGGCGCTTCGCAGCCTTCCCACCGTCTCGATCTTCAGTATTGTACGCCTCTGCTGAATCTTTCGATTTTTTACTTTTGAAAATGGATGCACTACTTTGTACCCTTTTAAGTGAGGGCCTTCTCGGGGCGAGAAGGACTTGCGGAAGAAAGACGAGATGTGCTGCCTTGTGTTACGCTGTGTTGAAAACTTCATCAATTCGCCCAGAGCAGCGATCGCTACGTTTCACGATAGAGAGCACTCTTTCGATGCGGCTCAACAATGGACAGTACGGAGGAATGAAGAGCAGCTCTACCCGATAGACCCGGCAAAAGCTCGAACGCAAGCGGAAATATCAAATGCAACGTTGTCCAAAGGAAGGACGTGGCAAGACCTTGAGAAGAAAATTTTCAAGGATTCAGTGGAGTAGATCGTGGCGTTGTATGAGCTTGCTGTACGGGCGAAACTGAGACCGTCGAAAGAATCCACTGCATCTATACTAGATAATGATGTCGTCGTTCTCTTCGAGTTCGATCTTAGATACAACGGGTTCCCTGTACGCGAATACCCAGATACGCTCCGATTGTTTCATCAGAAGCAAGTCTCACCGACTGGAAAAACAAACCGGCGTCCCTGTGCTTCATACGGATCGGAACGTTCCAGGAACGCTGTCGCTGCGATTCCGATGGAAGATAGCCTTGCACGAACCAGGGCATTTTGGGAATGTATCACGGTGTTTTTGCGATCATATGAACGAGCTGGCGAGAAAAATACATACAGGTAATGGCTATTGTCATCGCTCTCGCCTTCCGAAAAAAAGGGGTTCAAAGGGTCATTCTCTACCATTGACCTCAGGAAGTATCTGAAAATATCGGTTTCTTTTGGCGCGAAGCGCAGAATACTTGTTTCTTTCTGTGTTCTTCAACGATCTGAGCTCTGTGGACTGGCCGACTGACCTGCATGAGGAAACCAGCCCTCCATACACTATTTAGAAAAGAACATATATCCTACAGGCAGTTCGTCGACGATCTATAGGGTACGCTGCATCGTGATACCGATCTCCTGCAACATACCGCAACAGGGGTGAAACACAACTGGATTGAAAAGCCAGAAAGTCCTGCTGCCGACCTGGCCTGGGCTGGGCATCTGCCCGTCGGCGATTATCCGGACAGCACCGAAAGCGCTCCGCCTGGTTACGCTAACCGAGGTGTTTTTGGGCTTTTCGGTTGCCGCTGAGCGAGGTTCGCCCATAACCAACCTGCACTGCTGCACCAGTGGCATGCGTCGTCTGGAGCAGAGCGAAGTGCAGGCTAGCACAGGAAGCGATCACGTTTCGCTGGTCTCTTTTCTGGCACTGCAAGCACTCCTATACGCTACCGCCCTCAGCGGTGTTCTGGTGCCTTGCTTGGGCAACGACAGCGACACTGAGGTTGGGCAAGTGTCCAGCGCCGCCTGCGAGGAATTCGGCCCGCAAGCCGACCCCAGACTGAGACTCGCAGTAGCGCGGAGGACGCAGCGGCCCCAAGCGGCTCGGCGTTCGTGGAAACACGTTTTCGAGGACTGGGGTCGCGGCGTTGCCGCTGGGGTGCTCCTATCCGCAGCGCTGGTGCATATCCTCCCGTCCAGTGCTGTGCAGCTCGAAGATAACCTAGCCACTGCGTACGGAATGGAACGCAGCACTGCTGTTTCTCTGTTGGGAACCTGTTTCCTCGTAGGCGTGCTGGGTGTCTACTGCATCGACTTGAGAGCGCGACGCGCTGCCGACGCACCCAGATTGCCAAGTCCGTTATGCGTAGACGCTCGAGCGCCACATCCTTGGGGCGATTGTTCGCAGCGACCGGCACCATCCGAGCGAGTGGATTCTGGACATCCGCTTTCCCAGCTCGAAGCACACCCTGCATCGACAAGCGCTGCATTGCAACGTTCACAGCCTGCAACTGCCGAGCACCATCTGCGGCCAATCTGGAAAATCCTGCTCTGCTCGCTGTCCTTTCACGCCCTATCAGAGGGTATGGCGCTTGGCTTGTCCGTGTATCGCACGTTCGTCGCGATGTACCTTGCGATTATTTTGCATAAATTTTTCGCGGGGCTCGCGCTTGGCGTATCGCTTGCCAGCGCAAGAGAGCCAATGGCGCGTTGTCTCAGGGCTGGAGCGCTTTTCGCAGCGGCAACGCCATGTGCCGCTACCCTAGCGAGGCTGTCAGCGCACTGGAGTCAGTTGGACAGCGCCCGCTCGGGAGGAGCAGTCCGAATCGTAGGCGGCCTCCTGAATGGAATTGCTGCCGGGAGTTTCCTAGCGATCAGTTTACTCGAAATCATACCTTGTCCGAGGAATTCTGCTGAAGCTAGCCAAGTGGCGCCATGGATTGGAAAATCGCACGAAAATGCCATGGATTGGTACCGGGGAACGCCCGGCTATGAGACGCTAACGACAGCGGATTCATGTGCAACCCTGAATGCTGGCGTAGATACGGCTGCAGATCCAATGGCAGCGATGTCGAGTCGACAAACGCTCGTTCCGTTGCTTTTTAGTGCGGCTACATTCTCGCTGCTTGCGCTGTGGATTTGAGGTATCACACCGATCTACTTTTCCTGCGTTGCATACGGGAACGACACGCCGTCGCCGCCACCGCCTGCACAAGGCCTTGTATCGATACGCTCTATATATCTTGGGATCATTGAATCTAACCACGGATCCTGGCCTATAACAGGCGTTGCGTCGATACGAGCCCCGAAACGGCTTCAAGGAGCGACGCGCACATGCACACAGGCATCCGCGTCGATGCATTGATCCTGCAGTATCTAACGAGGCATGGTCACCTAGGCGATTCCGGATGCAGTACCGCGCACCATCTCGGCGATGGTCGTTGTCGTGGCGCTCAAAGTCGCTACAGCGCCGAATGCTAGCATGAAAATGTCGAGTGCTCGCTCCCATGTGGAGAGTCGCTGCCAAAACACACGCAGATGAAAGAGCGCCGGCAGCGTGTACGCGAGTGTCGCTGCACCGAGCGCACCCACAAGTGATTGGAAAAGTCCGAAATCTTTGCCGGCGATGACTGCTGCGACAACGGTGCCAATGACAAGCGAAACACGCACGAGAACGGCAGCGGGCTCGTCAGTGAAATAGGTGCAATAGAGGGTTGCGACTCTCCTCGCCAGCGGTGCCCGGTCTGCGGCGATGGGCGGGGCCGGTTCCGGCGGTGCCTCAGCTGGTGCGCTGGCCTGCGGAGATGGCGGCGAGGCTCCACCAGGCGCACCGAATGCATCGATATGATCTGGTACAGGGACCGGAGATGTCGAAATCGCCGCTTTGGAACCGCCAGATTCTTCGAACAGTAGCGCGCTGCCCGGACCCGAATCGCGCTGCTCTGAAGCAACTCGCACGTCGACAATATCGATGGAATCGAGTCGCTCGTCAAGAGGCTCTGGCGTTTGCTCCCCGTCGATTGCACGAGACGCTTTACGCTCGGGCGTAATGCGAGTTTCGACGACCTGAATAGCGTCTATAGATACAGTCTCATCGAAAGGTTCCGGATGCCGGCTTGGCAGTGGCTCGCCTGAATGCGCCGATCCAGTACCCAGTTGACGCGTTCGAAGCCACGTCGTGGTTGCCAGCCAGGCCTCGAGCGCTTGAACAATGGGTACCAGCTGCAGTGGATATGTAAAAAGAATACCGATACAGGCAACGCTCTTCACAATACGCACGGCCGCGCTGTGACCCATATTCAGGAGAATGATCGAGCGAGTCTGCTTGCCAAAGGTCATGAAACCCAGCAATCCGATGAGCAGAAGAATCGCCCCCATGAGCACCATCGTTGCGCTCAGGATAACGTTGAAGCGACGGGGATTCTTCATGCTCCCTTCGACTGGCAAGACCACACCGATGCCTTCCAGTGCAGCGCTCATCTGTCCAAAGAACACGGGCCACTTCCAGAACAAAGGCGAATACGGTCGATATTGAAAGTTTGCCATGAGGAATACAAGCACCGCACTGAACCCGACGAAAATACCGATATTGGCTAGATAACTGAATGGTGTCAACTTCCGCACCGACCGCAGAAGCGCCAACGTGAGCACGATGGGCAGCGGGATGAGGAGGAACCAGGCTGGCGCACAGTCGCAGCGCGTCAGGTCATGTATGGTCTGGGCGAGGAAAATCAGATACCCCGTGCAGTACCCGAACTGGGTCAGCAGGAGCGCCAGATTCACGACCAGCTCTCCGGCACGACCAAAGGCATAGGCACCAACGTCGCCGTAAAGCACTTGTCGAGCGGGCACACACGACGCTGCCCCCGGAGAGTCCGAACTGACCTCTGCGAACGGTGCACGTTCTGAGCCAGGTTCTGTGCCGCCGCGTTGTCTCTGCCACCATTCTGCTGGGATATGGCGCTTCACGCGCACGAGTAAGACACAGCCATAGAAGGTCAACAGACTGACTAGGACCAAACCCAGAATGCCTCGCGTCACGCCAGCGTAGGAAAACGCATAGGAAACGTAGAGAAAGTTCAAACCGAGGAATCCTTTCAGCAAGTTGGCAAACTCACCCAGCACGCTTTTCAAACTCGAGCCCGACGTGCGAAGCGTGTCGCTTTCGGGTTTCGTACCGGTTGCGTCCGCGTTTTCCGCAGAGTGCTCGGTAGCCACAACCAGGTCCGGGACACTGTCTGCAGCGGCCTGCGACGAGGCACCTCCCGGCGAGCTCGCCGCGTCTGGTGTAAAACGCCCGACCATGAAGGAAGCTTGCTTCGCATTCGCGTACGTCTGAGACAGCGTCAATGACGAAGAGTTCACGCTGTGAGGAAACCGCACCTAGTCAGGCGGGTAGGCAGTCTGCCTGAATACGTTCGTACGTATGGGTGTCGCGCGCGACTCGAGAAAGTAACGACAGCAGGTAGAGGCGCGCGTGGATACTCCGCCAAGCTCCGACGTGAGACACGGGGGCTGGTTGCTCTCATATGCACGTTGAGGGTGCCTATGCTTTGAATGCACGTAGTTGTAGGTGTGTCTGCTTTCCAGGGAAAAACTGTGCAGGAATATGGGCGAACGGATGCAGTGTCTGCATAGAAAAACGAAAGCGTTGAGCAGTACGCGTTTGTTTTTCATAGTAGCTATCGGAAAATCGACGCTTCGTTGCTTGATCCCTGAACAAATCAGCAGAAAGGTTGCAATGAGAAGTCTATCTTGCCGGCAGCAAGTCTCGAGCAGGCATCCTGGCAAGCTGGCTGGTTCCCGATCTAGCGAAATCAATACCACGAAAACGAGCTGCTTCCGGTGTCGGTGCACTGTGCTCGCGGTGCCTCTACTACGTCGTGTCGCGACTTGTGCCGCTGGAGCGTGAACTCTGCCGCAGAACGATACGCAGCGCGAACAACAAAGCACGCTGTTGCTGTGGAGCTGTCGCAGCTCCTGCTGACAGCATCAGGCTGCGTAACCTGGTAGAGTCTCGTTCGGTGCATCGATCTCGTTTGGCGTACCCGACGGACTACACGAATCAGGGAATCGCTGAACCATACGCAATGGTTATTGGCATCTGGGAGAGCGTCCATTATGCTGCAGGAGACTTGCAAGCTCCACTGGGTACCAGCCATAATTCCATGCGGATATCATGGTCGATTCAAATGGTCTAATAGGTGCTGAGCTCACCGTACGCGCTCACTACCAAGTCTGTGGATGCATGGATCCTGTGCAGTTGATAAAGCATCCACGTTCGAAACCGATACTTGGTACGATGGTAGACAGTTCTTTCATGCCAGCTGGGCGTGCTGCAGGACGGTGCATGTGCTCGCTGCTCATCCTCCAATGCTCGACATGCACTCTTGTGAGAATTAAAAATGAAACAAGTCCATGAGCACGGGGCGTGCAAGTCTAACCTGGGATCTATCTCTGCTATCAGCAATACCAGCGTTTGCGGGCTTTTTCGAAGACGACTTTGTCTCTCTGATCTCCGGATTTGAACACGTTGGTGTGCCTGCTTTTCGCCCAGCTCCGCTGCGGGCAGTCGAATGAAGTTGACAGCAGCTTTCAAGTCCCGAAATCAAAGCGCCAAGCTGTGATTCAAGCATTTCATGCACAGGCAAGCGTTCCGATTTGCGCTCGGCATGCCAGATTCATACTTTTTTTGTGTATGGCCTCGATGCGCACTTCGTAGCGGTGACGCTCGGCACGGGTATGGTAAGGGGTTTCCATGTAAGAAATGTGCTTTCACCTGCGGGCGGTGCACGACGGTGCATGAACGCCTGCCTCATGGCTCGGTACATGCCCTTGACAGGCGTACAAGGCTTTCCTCGATACTCGGCTCGGTTTCCGCCCCGGTGCACCGCACCCTATGATCACAGGCTTTTTCTGGGCGATCCCCTTGTCAAGGACGCGGTCCGCCGCACGCGCAAGCTGTTCTGTTCGATACAGGATTTGCGGAATGCGATGCTGTTCATAATGAAACAAGTACCGGAACGAAACTCCATCTTGGAGAACAAGTCGCGCAGCATCGATTCGTTTGCGTTGCTTTCGTACAAAGCGGTGGTGTACGCTCTACTGGAAGTGATCGCTGCGATGACAGGTGCCCGAGTCGAACACCCTTCCCGACGCAAAAGATAGAGATGCAGACGCTATGGAGCATGCTCCGCGATAGGTAGCATACTGCCGTAAAGTACCGAATCATCAACGGCTGCAGAGAGAGACAGCATGATTTGTCTATCGAATAAAGTCGGTTATTTAACGGAACAAGTTCAGTAACGTTTTTGCATGAGCCTGCGACAAAGGATTCTGGGAGATTCTTTGGGGGGTTTCGTTCCCCCAGCAACCCAGCGGCATGCTCAGTTGCGCCGCCGAGTTGCCTCAAAAGATAGTCGTATAGAAAACCTGAAGCAGTTGTGATATGGGCATGGTACACGTAAGGAAAGGAGCAGCGTGGACTATCTTACACACGAATTGGATAAAGATATCGCGTACCTTACGAAGCTTTGCTCAAGATCGTCTCAAACCATCTTGACTCCTGGAATGTCATGAATTCCAGTGGTAAAGCATCGAAGGAGCAACGCTGAAAACGCGATCAAGAACCCTAACGCTGCGTGTGAGTCCGTGAACCCCCATTGCTGCCATTCGAATGCCACGGCTATCTATCTACACAAATTTTCGGAAAATAATCGAAAGCCTGGAAGAGAGCACCCAGTACCGTATTCCGAAATGTTCTGACATGGGCGTGCGACACAGCTTCCGCCAATTTTGAGAAGCGCGCTCCGTGAGCCGCGCCAGGTATTCGAATACTTTAGACGTAGACAGCGTCTTGGTACCAGCATCCATAAGAGATGCTGTTTGGCAGCTACTGGAGCCCAGTGTGTGGCTGGTTTGACACCACCACCACCACCACCACCACCACCACCACCCTGGATATGCACGCTGCCTGCAGAGGTTCCCTAGCGAGTCCGCAGGCCGCGTACCTGGCTGGCCAGATACCACCTCGGTGTTGTACGTGGTGCACCGGTGTTTCGTGTCGTTTCACGTGCCAAGTACCATTCCACCAGATGTCTCTACTGGATTCCGGGTTTAGCGAATGGTCCCGCTTCCTCCACACCTAACCACGATTCCGTCACAAAGAAGCTGCACGGCGTGCCGCGTTCTCTCTTCCCTTGAAGACGCTTCCATTCCCAGTGCGGTATGCGAACGGACGCTTCGCCGCCTCCGTTTTGCGTCAGGCAGCGCTGGTTAGACTCAAACTCATGGAGAGACGCATCTGCAAAGGCAGAGCAGCCAGTTCCACGCTGAGTGCCGCTCGTCGTCGTCATCATCACCATCGACGAAAAGTTCTGCGCTGAGGCGCCTCGCCTCTCCTGTCAATATCGTGGAGCGTGGCGCGCCACTATCGACGCTAGCGTGGCCAACTTCCAGACGCGAAACATCAAGCATTGGGTACTTGTTCGAAAATCATGCCTCTCCAAGTGCCAATGTATCCCATGCGAGCGCTCCAAGTGCCGGTCTGGTTTACAATGACGTTCAGACGCTATCGCGCAAATACTGACAGAGAAAGAGTACCTTCGAGAGCGTGTCCTCGCACCGAAGCCAAGAGCTGTCGAGTGCCCTCAGGCATTTCGATGCCCCGTGCTGCAGTGCCGGTTCCTTCATGATCAGCTCCGCGTGCTCGTTCAGAAACACCCGTAGCTGCGCCTGAGCAAGTTCAAAGTCACGCTCTGACTGCAGACGCCACGTGAAGAACGACAGCGCATCGGCAAGTGCCTCGGGCGGCAGCAGCCGTATTTCTACGTCTGCCGCCGCTGGTGTCAGCGCATCCAGGCGCTTTGCGGCGGTGGCAAAGTCTGCTCGCTGCAATGCATCCACAAAACTCGAGGCTATCGAATCGGGAAGCGGTCTGCGGTCCTCGATGCCGGGCGAAACAGACGCGTCCGCAGCTTCGCGGTAGCCGTCGTGCAGCTCAGCGACTAGCGGTGGTGGCGGTTTCTGAGTCCCGGTCACGGAATCGCTCTCCCTCGTTGCCTTGTTCTGCTCCTTGATTTCGTCAAGGTACGGCAGCAGAAGCCAGTAGCTTTCAGGCTGACTCGAAAACACGACGCCGCAGTGTGCATCGTCGATAGGTTCAACGGTTAGCGAAACACATCGCGGGTTATTTTCAGGGGATGCTGTAGCGTCTGCAACTGCGGAGACAACGGGATCCCACGACATTGCCAGGTCCGGCAGCTGCACCGCATGACGCCGCCAGAGCGCTTCCACATCGAGACCATTTCCCGCTCGCGAAGAAAGCGCCACCATATTGCCCTGCTCGCTGGGCCCCCGATAATACGCTTTGCAGTGCCACATGCAGATTCCGATATGCCCCACATGCGTTGTGACAATAAAATCGCCCCGTGGTGACATGGCGCATGACGTCGGTGCAGCAGCCATACGAAGCACATCCACACAGCGGCCTGCGACAAGATCCCACGTTCGGAGCGTTCCGTCCAGTGAAGTGCTCAGAATTTGTCGCCCATCTGCTTGGCAGCTGAAGCAGATATCCGTAATGCGAGCAGTGTGGCCCCTGAGCCAGCGCACACAGCGGCCGCTCGCTGCCTCAAAGACTTTGATGGAAAAGTCGTCAGCACAGCTCACAGCGAGAAGATCTGAAACCGGACTCCAGATGAGCTGTAGACCTGGACTGTGGACGACAATATCGGCGACTTTCTCACGCGACTGATGTCGATAGATGCCGAGGCGTCCGTCGTGGCTACCCAGTGACGCAAGCAACCCGCCGCTCCCGTCGAAAGCGACACCCGCTACACCTCCCGGATGGTGCGCGTCTCGTATCCGCCACCGATGCAACCCACTCTGGAGGTTGAAGAGATCAACGTGACCCACAGAGAGACCTACTGCAGCGAAATGGCCGCAAGTGGAAATTGAAACACAAGTCGCAGTGCCTTGATCGAGATCCGTTGAAGCGTCACCCCGGAAACGGAGCACATGGCGATAGCGATGGTTCTCAGCGTAGCGCCAGGTGTAGGCCTCGGAGCGCCCGAGGTGACACGTTACCAGATTGGCAAGATCCGGGTCGTTTTGTCGAGCCTCACTCACAGCAAACTCCGTTACCGGTGGAAGAAGCGATGCGGTGTCGGGATCGTCCTCGTCGAGTGCGAACTCATCCGATGCTTCAATGGCGCGCTCGTGTTGCATTTGACGGGCCCGCTTGCGTGCTCTCCGTAGCCGCGTTGTGACCTGGGACAACTCACGGTGATGATGGGATACGACTGTGCTGGTAACGCGCAGCTGCTGATCACTGCAGCCCGCAGAGATCAGCTGGCGATAATCTTCACCGATGAAACGAATGCGCGTCGGCGGTGCCCGGTGCCCGGCTCGGTACTTGAGCAGACGCGGTGCACCGCTCGGTGAATCGCAAATAAACATGTTCATGCGATTATCCTCATCGCCAATGGTCAACAGGATCGGCTCGCGGGGATAGAAGAACGCCATCCGACATGGACCCCGATGCAGACGCGGTATCGTGTCCAGAACTCGCCGTGCTTCGAGGTCGTAGATGCAGAGAGAGCCATCGGAGTGGAACGAGAACAGATGCGGAAACGCATTCGCATCGTCGTTCCGGAAACACAACGCATTGACAGTGAGCGAGGTACCCAGTGGCAGGTGCATCCGCAGGTTGTACTGATCCAGGATCGAGCCACGACCAATGTCGTAGATGATCACAGAGCCGTCGTGGAAACCCATGCCGATGATATCCAGCGCCGGAGACTCTGACAGCGCCGTCACTGCACCGTGCTTGGAAAAGTCGAGTGTCTGGAGGATGCGACTGTGGCAAATATCCACGAGTGCAATGCGCCCCTGGTCGCTTCCGATGCAGACGACGTCGAGCATCGTCGGTGGATGCACAATGAGGCCATTCGGGGTGATATCTTCTCCGAAGAATACTTCCGAGACGAGCTCATTGTCGCGGTTGTAGGTGCGCGCGCAGCGTTCTCCAGCGTCCACTGCAACGAATACTCCATTCCCAAAAGCGTATAGCCCAACGATGCAGCCACCTGGGGCAGTTTCGATCGACACACGGGATCGCAATTGTTCTGTTATATGAAGGCTGTGCTGTGTGGCAACAACCAGTCGCTCTCGACCGAGATGCGCTACGGCAGTGATGCGCGAAGGCAAAGCATTCGATAGGCTCAGTAAACGAAGCGTCCTTCCATCGTAGAGCTGCAGGCAGCGTCCAAGCGGTACGACAACGAACGGTGCAATGCCGAGTTCATAGAAGCATGGCTTGGGGGACGAGGTACCGCCAAGCATGCGCCCGCTTCCCTCACAGGTGACCAGGCCGAGAACTCGAAATGGAGCGTAAAGTGACGTGCGTTGCCCCAGCGCGACGAGTTCTCCCTCTTCGAGGCCACCTTCGAGCAGCTTTCCCTCCGCCTGCACCATTGCGCTACACGTTCACACACAGGCACCGTTTCGAGAGGTACGTCGTAGCTGGAGCGCCCGTCCAGTCTGCGAATCTTTTATGGAGGCGTTTGCTGCGACCTTTATGCGAAAGCGGGTTCAAGTGTGAACTCGCGTGAGACTGCTGTTTGCAGGTTCGCAACTGATGCGCAGCACAGTGCGGATTCCAGCACGAAAACAACGCGGCCGCGCCAGAGGATCAACACGCTCGGGAACTCAGCGGTATATGTGGTCTGCGAGATGACGGCCCTGTTCAAGCGTGCCCGACGAGGCTCCGTTCCCAGCCGAGTTTCGAGCGTTCCCGCTTCAGGAGCGGTTTTGGGGTACAGTTCCTACCTCTCGGTGCCAGGTACCCAGGCAGTTGACTGAAAAATTAGTCGCCTCTATTCAAGCCCCTCAGAAAAATAGAAACCTCAGTCAACCCCAAGAGTCTCGCGCAGAAGCAGTAGACTGCACTGCCTCAGAAACTGCGGATCAGCAGCGTAAGCGCTCGACGTCCACCGCTGGGCGACCAGTGCTAGCGTCCGCTCGCTCCGACAGACAAAGCGACACTGATCACTGGCTTGAACCGCTCGTTTAATGCCTCTACTGCGAAACAGGCGATCCCAGCCTGTTGCAAGAGAAAGCGTTCCACTGAAGCGCAACACCTGTCGAACACCAGCCGAGGCGGAAGCGACGGCCCCGAGTCGTGCGCACTGCCCAGGCGGCTTCCTGGATAGCGAAGAACAAAGGGGCGTTCAGGTTGCTTCTCGCTGGAGCACGTGGCATGGTATACACCTGTTGAAGCGTATTTGTTTCATTTGGTGGATAGATTTATAACGAGCGACACCTGAGTGTATTTTTGCAGCACTGGCATTCAACTAGATCCAGCGCTTCCGAGCAAACAACGAGTAACTGCTGGCTTCGGGGAAGACTGGCGTTTGCGCGGGAACTGCAGACGCGCTAGACGGGTGACACACACCCATGGGTATTCGACAGCTGGCGAAGCTTATTGTGGACCATGCGCCACGAGCATATAAAGAACAAGATATTCGGGCGCTCTTTGGGCGGGTCATCGCCATCGACGCGTCTATGTGCATCTACCAGTTCCTTGTGGCGGTGCGTACGGCGGACGCTGCCAACCTCACCAACGAGTCTGGTGAGATCACCTCGCACCTCTCGGGAGTATTTTACCGCACCATCAAACTTCTGGAGCTGGGTATCAAGCCCATATACGTCTTTGATGGCAAAGCACCGGATCTCAAAGCAAATGAGCTCGCAAAAAGGAGATCCCGGCGAGAGGAAGATGAGCAGGCCGCAGCCAAGGCTCGCGAGGAGGGCGACCTCGAGCTCTATGCAAAGTACGCTCGACGGGTGAATAAAGTCTCCGCGGAGACCATCGACAATGTGAAGCGTTTGTTGCGCCTCATGGGGATACCTGTTGTCGAGGCGCCCAGCGAGGCTGAGGCCCAGTGCGCTGTCCTCACCCGAGCAGGTCTTGCCTATGCGACAGCCAGTGAGGATATGGATGCGCTCACGTTTGGTACACCGCTTTTGATAAGGAATTTGTTTGCAGCGCTGGCATCTGGAGCCGAACGCAAAGATCGCAAACCGAGCGAGTTCTCGTTAGCGATAACGCTAGAGGATCTGGGCATCTCTATGGATCAATTTATCGATATATGTATTCTGTGTGGTTGCGACTATACCTGTACGATACCGAAAATCGGGCCCTATCGGGCTTTGATGCTGGTCAAACAGCATGGCTGCATCGAGGAGGTGCTTGCATCGCTGCGGGAATCCAACCACCCGATACCCGATGATTTTGATTACCTCGGAGCACGAGGACTCTTTAAAGAGCCGCACGTCAAGGATGCTGCAGATATTGAACCGCTTTTGGAATGGCATGCTCCTAACGAAGAAGGACTCGTGCAGTTCCTGGTCCAGGAGAACAGCTTCAATGAACAGCTGGTGCGCAAAGCCGTGGAACGCATGACGAAAGCCCTGCGATCGGGGGTTGCAAATCAGTCGCGGCTGGACAATTTTTTCAAGCCGAAAACCTTGCCCAAGAAGCATGAGCCAGAGCGGCCATCATCGAAGAGGAGCACGAAACGAGCACGCAAAACCTAAGTGGATCCCGAGCCGCACCCGGAGGTTACGCTCAGCAGGGTCAACGAACGACGAGACGCGCTGGTTAGCGCTGCTGACTTGTTCCCGGATGCATCACAGGGCCGTGGCCTGGTATGCACCAAAACTTACGGTATGCGCGTTGCTCGATCATGACGGCAAGCTATGCGCATCTCGGTTGTGCTTGGTCTGGCACAAAACGCGAAAGCAAGCTGCCAGTGATCTTGATTGTCGCTTTCAAGTGAAGCGGCGGGTAAAGCACGCACCGACGGGCGCTATGTCGACCGCTGCTGCGGAACGACCAGACGGCAGGCGTCGCTGCGACCTTGTGATGATGCCACAGAGAAGCACATAAATGAGCGTTTATCGTTACCAGCTTCGACGGAGCATGTGATTGTTCCCGCTGGAGAATGCACATTAGTGTGGTGCGTTCCCGTCAGGTCAAGTAACGACCGGGGATTCCGTCCGCACCGCCTCCGTTAGACATCATGTGCTGAAGGTGTCCGAGGCTCGTGCGCAGATCACTCGCTTGGGCCGTACTCGTCTATGTGTCGAAAGGAAACACCGTCGACGAGCCGAGTGCTTCGCTTCGATCGCTCATTCGTCATAGCATTGTAGATGAGCGACGAAAGCGCGTTCATGACGCCTCGCTCCGCGCCTCGCGAATGGAGTCTAGAGTGGGTATCGTCGAAAAATACAAGTCTATGATCGTTGACGAATTGCCCACGACAATCGTTACCAGTAGAAAGAGGTAGAGAGAGAGCTATGCGGCGCGTCAGGCTTGCTCAGTCGCTGAACCCCTCCATACCAGTCCTTTGATCAACGCGAGCATCCAGAGCGGTATCTCCTGGTCACCGAGTTTTTGCATCGGAATGCAGCTGCGTTTCAGTACAATGGCCGCACAGAGTGCGAAACGAGTCTCGTTCAAGTTCGCTCGACACGAAACCGCTGGACGCGACTGAAGCGCAGGACATTTCCGGGTATCGATCGCTGCATGCAAGTAGCGGTTCGGAAAGTGCATGCCCTGCTGGGTACTGGTGGCATCGCAACACAGCAAGTGTCACCACCAGGTCGATAGTCGCGCCATCTGATGTTGCATCAGTTACCCGATGTACGATCTTGTGAGTCTGGCTCTGTTTCACGCGCCTCTACGCTGCCGGATTCAACAGGCACCTGTGCTCGCGATACACGTACTTTGTCCTTATTCATTCGCGAAACTCGCATAGATCCGATTGCTGGACTCGGTGTATGCTCCTGTCGATAAAGTCGATGTACTCCGTGTGCGGCGCCCGAAAAGCACACCGAGCCTTGGGCGCAATGCCTTGCTGCTTAGCCCTCTTGCTTCTGCTTGTAAGGCTGCTATGAAACTTGGAACTCTGTGTCCAACCCGCAACGAAGACCCGTGCTACTATGCCACGCACCTAGAACCAAGACTGTTCCAGTGCAGCCTGGGGGTATCTTCGTGCTACTGAGACGCTACCGACAGTGCGTGCGTTCACTTCGCGGCCTCTGCTGGACGCTAGTGCCAGACAGTCGAGGCTGACTGCGACTCAAGTGCAGTTATGCAGTTCGCTTATCGGGCTCTATGCTCTACACGAGACGCAGCGTCTACAGCACGTTGCAGTCGCGACACGCACGCGTGCTTGAAAAGCACCGGTGGCTTCTTCTCTGGTCGCCCTTGTCACGCGCGCTTGCGGAAGCTTGATTTAAGGACACATCGCGCACAGCATACAAGAGCACGCTGTACGTCCTCGCACGAAAACCGGTGTCTATGCGCAAAAGTTACGATACGCAGGTCGCAACGAACGCCCCGAACAATGACGCGTCAGCGCGAGCGGTTACGCTACCCAGCTTGCTGCTGTTCGGGACGCGAGGAGCGGCAATAATAGCGTCTGCGGTACTGAACTGTGTTGAGCGTTTACGACAGGCTCGGGAGGACGTATCGTCCCAACGTTGTTGTTTCCAGTACGCGGGAAGCGAGCATAGCTTCTGTCGTACTGAACTGCGTCGAGCTTTTCAAAGCAGGCTCGCGGGGACGACCGCTCAGCCCGAGTTGGCTCCGGTCGGGAGCTCGCCTCCACTTCCGAACGGTGGTCTGTTTCGAGCGGAGAGGCTCGTTTTGGGCGGTGTCGAACCGGACACCTCACCAGGAGGCCCTGCGGTGCAGCACCACCTGATGCAGCAGTCCCAGCAGCACGCGGACGACTCTTGTACAACCGCAGCGCAGCCGAGCTTGGACTGGAGTGAGCTTGAGGTGTTCGAAAAAATAGCCTCGGGCACAGACACGGACATCTTCCGAGCTTCTCTCCACGGCGATGCGGTCGCTGTGAAGGTACTCTCCAAGTACGCTTCTACCGACGCTGAAGACGCTTTTAATCGCGAGTGGAGGACCTTCGTGGAGCACGACCTCAGGCACCAGAACATCATCCGCTTCTACGGCTGGGGCTATCGACCAAACGGGGAGCGCTTTCTTGTCGTAGAGCACGCCAAAGGCGGTAGCTTGCGGCAAGCACTGACTCGGCGACTCTGGAAGGACATCGGACGAGTGGTTCGCCTCGCCCGCGACATTACCGCTGCACTCGAGTACCTACACAGCCGAAACATTATCTACAGAGACCTCAAGTCCAGCAACGTACTCCTGGATGCGTCCTGGAATCGAGCGCTGCTGTGTGATTTCGGAATCGCCAGAGCGATGATAGGCGATGGTGCAGGCCAAATGACCCGCGAATGCGGTACCTATCAGTACATGTCACCTGAGGTGATTCTCGGGAAAGCAGACTACGGCGAGAAAGCAGATATCTACAGTTTTGGCATCCTTTTGAATGAGATGTGCACGGGGGAGATTCCCTTCAGTCGTCAGCGACTCCTTCCTGTGCAGGCTGCGGCAGCGGTGGTGAACAAGGGTCTGCGACCCGGTATGCGCGGCTCCGTAGAGCGCAAGTATCCAGAGTTGCACGCGCTCATTCGCAAGTGCTGGGCGCAACGGGACGATGCTCGACCCACAGCTGCGGAAGCACGCGCTGAACTGGATGCCATTCTGGTTAAATATTTTTCTGCGGATCAGACGCCGACCGCAGATGCGCAGCTATCCACGGCCACAACTTGAGACACAGATGATCGTTTCGGCATCTGTGAGTCAGCGTGTGCGGCAACGAACTGCATTGGATGCGCTGGTATCTGGTCTCGGGCGAGCAGAAGAGAGCGAGACGCGGACGTGGATGCGACGTCACGCGTGAACGACTGCCCAGAGGCCGTGAAGCCGACTCGAGCGGCGTCTGGGATGAGCGCTTGCTCTCGTGCAGCGCACGAGAGACCGCGTGTAAATTACTCATCAGCGAATAGTTATAAGTGGACGCAGGACCCGGGCATGTATTCGGCTGGTGCACAGGGGTCTGGGGTATAGCACCGGTTTGACAGACGCTCCCTGTGGTAGACGCATGCCTCGCGTCTTGTGAACAGAGCATGTATGCCCAGCGCGAAACTGGATTCGATGTGCCGGACGCTCCAAGTGTAAAGCATGCGATGCCGCATCTGGTGTTTTCTAGAGTACGCAGGCGTTTTTACGTTCAAGAATAAAGCGAGGCTGGGGCGTGCGAGTGCGACCCCGGCCCATGCCTAGCGCTGCGTGTACACTCCGTCTCGATGGGCAACGGCTCGGTCGCAGCAAGCAGCAATGACAATAGCAACACGTTTTGCATTCGGATTCGACTTGAACTGGCATCGAGTCGATGTACTCTGCGAAACGGTATCCGACAGCCGTCACAGTCCCTGAGCTTGCAAGGAACCGCGTTGCGACTGTGGCACTGTCGTACGCCCGTACGACACGCAAATAGCCAGATTCACGCGCGAGCGTCACTGCTCCCAGGAACAAGTGATAGAGTTGCCGCGCTGGGGCGCCTCACAGAAACAGAACGTGTTGTCCAAGTACGCGGGTGCGAGTTGGCGCGACCGCAGGTTACGCTCGGGCGACGCGGAACCAGAGCCTCACCTTACTTAAGCGGGATGAAACGTGACGACGATGAGGCACCAATACCTGGCCTCCCGTGCTTAACTGGCTTGTACGTCAAACTGAACTCGCCAAGGTAGTGGCCAACCATATCCCCGCGGATTTCAACCTCGTTGAAGGTGCGCCCGTTGTGAACTCCGAGGCGTGCACCGATCATCTCCGGAACTATGATCATGTTCCTGCAGTGCGTTTTCACAATCTCCGGCTTGCTGAACTCATCAGGGACTTCGGCCTTCGCTTTTCGAATTTTCTTTATGAGCGAGGTCTGCCGACGGTCCAGGCCACGCGCGAGCTTCCGCCGAGCGCGTGCTGGTAAGAGCTCCACCATTTCATTGTGCGGCAGCGCAAGAAGTGCCTCCAGGTCTACACCTCTATAGGAAAACTTGCGAAAAGTTCGCTTCTTAGGCGCTGATGAGCTTTCCTCGTCCATGGGTTACGCACGCGAGCTTTCCACGTTCAAGGGGTAAACCGTGTACGCCAAGCAGCGCAGAGGGCGGCATCTAAGCGAGTCGCGGCGAGGCCGCGAGCGGCGACCGCATCTTCCTCATGCTGTACCTTACGCACTTTTAGGGATATATCTGGACTTCATTGGCCTGTCCGATGCGTGCGCGCCTATTTTTGTCCATTTTGATGCAATGCTGACCAAGCCAGCGTTCTCTGACCCGGTGCTCGGTATTCGCACGCGGTGGAGCATTCGTGATTCCAGGGCCCGCTTCCAAGTCCCAGAACCCATCCTTCATCCCGTATACACAGGTTGCTTCATTCGTTCGATCGCTTGCCCAGCGTCTCCCCTGATCGTCCGCAATACTGCCTGTACCGTTGGTACGGATACAGCACGGATGCAGTACGGCGTTGCTGTGGTAAACGAGGGCTTCGGGCTCGAGGTTTGCCTCAGACGACACTGAATCAGGGCTCGTCGCCAGTTTGTGCTCAGCCAGTCTGCGGTTGCAAACTTGCCTTCGCTGCACGACACGTTGGAGCAACTTGGCTGTTAGGATGAATCCTGGGAGGCGCCTCTCTCCTTTGTGATCGTTCATGGAATGCACGATCGTTTAGCGACGCGGGCTATTGCTAGGCACCCACCAGTGGGTAGGCGCAGAAAGCGCACTGGGCCCGTGTGCGCATCCGATTCGCTGGACCTTTTGCCCAGAGGGTGGCTTGGGCGCGAATGTCCGCCAGGCCGCCGCCTGTCTGTGGCGCACGAACGCTTGCTTCATCGGTCGGTGCATGCGACGGGCGTATGCAAAGGGTTACACCCTGGATGCTCCTCTCGGTTTGCGCATCCGGTGCTGTACTCTGCGATCATGGGCCTCTTCTGGGCGATTGCCTCGGCGAGTGCTCTGTCTGCTGTAAACACAAGCGCAAGCGGTTTTACTAGATAGCGGTTATGTTGCATGGGATTTCATATTCTTGATGAAACAGGTACCGGGAGGAAAATCCAGGCTGGAGCAGAAGTCGAGAAATGTCGATCTGCCAATGCTCCTTTCGTCCAAATAAGCGACGCCCTGGACATGGAAGCGATCGCCACGATGGCTGAATTCCGAGTCCGAGGCCTTTTTCCAGGCACACAGAAGAGACGGAACCCCCTGGGGGCATAGTCCATAAGATGCAATGCCGCTGCCTGGTGCCGTTCCCGTGAAGGCCACAAAGAGAGGAGTCTATGTCTGTCATTCGGAATCAATTATGATTTGATTTGACAAGTTCTCGGAAAGTTCGGCTGGAGCTTGTGTCCAAACAGCGTCAGGCCGACGTCGAGTGTGTTTTTCCTCGTCAGGCCAGCGGCACGAGTTGCTGCATCCATGCATTGCCATGAGATCGAAGTATAGAAAATTTGGAGAATGCATGGTTTCGGCATGCGGGACGTTTGCAACATTAGAAAATTGGAGGTGTGTACATACGCACTGGATAACGATATTCGTTATTCTACGAGCACGCGTTCACTAGCGACGCCAATCATGACGAATTCGTTGACAGCACGCATTCTGGCGGCAGCGTCCCAAAAGATCGATTCCGATGAACGCGACCGTGAAACCCAAAACAACGAATGATTCGATGAGCCCTGATTCATGACCTTCGAAAGCCGAACCTGTACAGCTTCAAAAAAACTTTCGGAAAAATATTCCAATGGTACGAACAGAGCAACCAGTTTAGCGTTCGGTTTTCCGCTTTACGGATTCAAAGCACCGCACCTGGTGCAAGCCGCAACTGCAGCGCGGCGCCAGCGCGGACGCCCACCCCCTGCCAGCGTGGGGCCCATGGAGGTATCGTCTGCTTAGTCTCTAAAGTGGTAATCTATGGTAGTTTTATGCAGAATGACTTGGCAGGCGCTATGGACCGCGAGGGCGCTGCGCTCGCGTAGCAGATCGTGCAGTTTTATGCGTTGGTAATATAGTGACGCGCATGCGCTTGCGCGGACGCCCACTCCCTGCCAGCGTGGGGCCCATGGAGGTATCGTCTGCTTAGTCTCTAAAGTGGTAATCTATGGTAGTTTTATGCAGAATGACTTGGCAGGCGCTATGGACCGCGAGGGCGCTGCGCTCGCGTAGCAGATCGTGCAGTTTTATGCGTTGGTAATATAGTGACGCGCATGCGCTTGCGCGGACGCCCACTCCCTGCCAGCGTGGGGCCCATGGAGGTATCGTCTGCTTAGTCTCTAAAGTGGTAATCTATGGTAGTTTTATGCAGAATGACTTGGCAGGCGCTATGGACCGCGAGGGCGCTGCGCTCGCGTAGCATATCGTGCAGTTTTATGCGTTGGAGATATAGTGACGCGCATGCGCTTGCGCGGACGGCTATTACTTGCCAAAGCTGACCATCCTGCCGCTTCACTTGAGCTGTGTGTACGCATGGCTTTTCTTGCAAGCAGTTGCGTAACAACTGCGCATCCGCTAACCCGTCGTTCAGCGAAGCAGCGCTGTGCGGCAGGGGTCCACGTGCGTCGCGCGTTGCTGGCCTCAGGTGCTGCTGGCGAGCGAAGGTTGCGGCGCGTGCAGCACCCACTGATTCAAAGACTCGCTGAGGGCATAGAGCGCACTTGGCAGACAGAGCTGCATGACCTTGCGCCGTTTCACCTACCAGAGGACCTAGGCTACATCGAAGGGAAACTCGAAGGCGAGAGAGTCGTTATCGAGAATGTCTGTCATCAGAGTCCGGCCTTTCGAAAAATGCATCTGGAGCTAGCACGTGTCGGGACCTCCCAGACCGCGTCCTTGGATATTCTGCACTGTGTTATGTTCCCGTGCGCTGGGCGCGTCGGAACCAATGTACCCATGTTCGGCTGTGATATTGTAGCGGGACGGGGAGCGGTATCCGCAGCGATCGTCGACCTGTCGCCAGTCAGCGCCTCGCGAGAACTGCCGCCGAGCTACCGAGACGCACTGCAGTCGCCGGAAATGGCTGCGCTTCGACGTTTTCGCCAGGTACGCGAGTTGCCGGCTTGGGGTCGCGAGATCTTCTCCGAATTCTGCGTTTTCATACGCCCGGTGCAGACACCCGAATGCAATGAAGAGGATCGCTTCGTGGATTTAGTATTGCGGATGCTCCGGATTCACTGCCATCTAGCACAGAAGAGCACGAGCACACCACATCTGGACCAGGTAAGAGAGGCCCTGGAGGGCCAGATTCACTACTGTCGAAAACAGCAGGAGAATGACAAAACGCGCCGTGTCCTGGAGAGTGCTTTCGGTAAACCCTGGACGGAGCGCTACATTAGCACGGTGTTGTTTGATTCGCCGGTGCTGGCAGCGAACTAGATTACCTTTTGGTAATGCTGTCAAGTGAGTACATGTACAACACGCAAGATGCATTTAGCATTGTAGTCGAGTGGAGTTCTAGGAGCCGCTCGGTACAAGCTCTTTTCCTGTTGCAGTGCCACGGCGGCGCGGTGTCGTCAGCTGGCGAAGAGGCCTCCACCAGAACCTGAACGTAAGCGACGCCGCGCTGTACGCTGCCTATTCACCGAGGACGCATCCATGAAACCAACGTGAAACGCATGGCAATGCCGCATGGGTCGTAACGCGAATGCGAATGCCGCACAGCGCCTTTTGCATGACGATGATGGATGCAAACCTCCCGATATTTGTGTCGAGTGCCGGATGATGACTGGATGCACGTGCACGTGAAGTCGAATGGACAGGATGCTGCGGCTGGTACAGCGGCATCGGTCGCTGCCTGCACGGTACAAGCTGTCATGGAATGCGCGCCACTCGAGGGCATTCCATAATAGGATATGTGCTCGCTTTGCGCTGGGGTCATGTTGGGAGTACCTGCAACGCGCATCATGCGTTGGACCAGACCGGCGCGAATGGAGTCTAGAGTGGGTATCGTCGAAAAATACAAGTCTATGATCGTTGACGAATTGCCCACGACAATCGTTACCAGTAGAAAGAGATAGAGAGAGAGCTATGCGGCGCGTCAGGCTTGCTTAGTCGCTGAACCCCTCCATACCAGTCCCTTGATCAACGCGAGCATCCAGAGCGGTATCTCCTGGTCACCGAGTTTTTGCATCGGAATGCAGCTGCGTTTCAGTACAATGGCCGCACAGAGTGCGAAACGAGTCTCGTTCAAGTTCGCTCGACACGAAACCGCTGGACGCGACTGAAGCGCAGGACATTTCCGGGTATCGATCGCTGCATGCAAGTAGCGGTTCGGAAAGTGCATGCCCTGCTGGGTACTGGTGGCATCGCAACACAGCAAGTGTCACCACCAGGTCGATAGTCGCGCCATCTGATGTTGCATCAGTTACCCGATGTACGATCTTGTGAGTCTGGCTATGTTTCACGCGCCTCTACGCTGCCGGATTCAACAGGCACCTGTGCTCGCGATACACGTACTTTGTCCTTATTCATTCGCGAAACTCGCATAGATCCGATTGCTGGACTCGGTGTATGCTCCTGTCGATGGAGCTGGGGTGTGGATTTTGCGGGCGGCAGCGCATCCAGCACCATAGGCTATTACCGAACGATGAGACTGGCATGTCATTTTTTCTGGTGCACTGAATAAATTGGCGAATGCACGCGTCTTGGCTCCGAACAATCAAACCCATTCGCGACGTGAGCCCGGTCTTTTGAACTCCTGCAAATGATCGTTTGCGCATAAGATGTAAAGACGTTCATGTACACGCTGAATAAAACCTCCAATGTATCTCGCTCCGCTCCATGCAGTACGGGGTGCATCGACATGCGTTCTGACGTGGTCATGTCGCTCGTTGGTATGCCTCGTGACGCCCATTTAACTCGAATTTCGATCAAAACAAACGCTGGAGTGATAGAGTATCTGCATTCGGCTCGGGTCTTTGGCTTCATCCCCTTGATTTAGCGGCCTTGGCGACGACCGCGACACCGTGAACTACGGGTTCCAGGCTCACCACGAGGCTTTTCTCGTTGTCAATTGTGAACGGTTGGCAGTGAAGCTCGTTGCTCGACTCTGGTCCAGATGCTGCGAACTGCATGCAGATTGATGTTCCGTGGGTCTCCCGTATCCCTGAAAACTTCTATCTATTTGTTTCCTGTAAAACGAGAAACAATGTACGCGCTACGCCAATCCTTTTCGCAAAGCTGTTTGAGTCGTTCGTAGTTGCTCGCAGTAACTAGCTCCTTCTTCGCCTTGTCTTTTACTTGGCGGGTTGGTATACATAGGGTCACTGTACGCGATATACGGTTATTTTACTCGGAATGCAGACGAACGGAATGGGCAGCGGTACCAAATTTCGCCTTTTATAATCGTATACCCTCTATTGTACAAGTGGCGTTTCTTATCTTCTCCGCCGAATGCACGTCCATGGACCGAAGCGTGTCCCTCTGCTCCCGAGCGTATTCGAGCAGGAAAGCAACCCCGCAATTCATGGCTGGCGAAAGTGGACACGGACTTGTCTACTGGTACATTAGTAATAAATAGTGTTTTGTCAACAGAGAAGACGCTTTCAATTTGAATGAACCGGAATGAATAGGCTGGTTCGAAGAGCACCTCAACGACGCACTGCGCTCCATGGTCGTTGTTGATTGACGGAAAACGACCTTGTCGAAAAGCAGGACAAAAGCATGCCGGTCGGAGATCCCACGAAACGTGCTTCGACGACAGATGAGGTTTCCCATGACCCTTCCTGTATGGCAACTTGTCAGCGATTCCATGACAGCGTCGCCACACGGGCTGATCTCGTCTCCATGTTCGCTTGATTCTCCTTTCCGAAAAGCGGCTCTCCCATTTTTGAGAACGCAATATCCATCGCCTCTATTTTCCCACGAATAACGTCCGATCGAATGAGGCGTTCATCCGTTCCTACTGAAACAAGCGTTTCCATTGCAGCACCAAGTCGATTACGCGACACAGAACGCACGAGCGAGTCTCGCCGCTGAAGCGCGCTTCTCCCTGGCTCCACCCGAGTATCTCTATCAGCCTCGGTATGAAGCATCCTGGAACTGCATATATGCTGTGCCTCTCATGCTGGTGTTTCCTGGAGCATGCACGTCGTGGAATGATCTGAGCAGCACGCTCAAGTGTAGAGAACATGTATGGTGCATTCTGCTTTTTTTTGAGCGCACGACGTCCATGATCTCGACAACGACCGGGACGATTCATGCGTTCTCTCTGACCCTCGTATGACGAACTTGTAAGCGTCGGGTCTGTCGTTGACCAGCCAGCAGTGACGCCATCGAGTCTCATCGCGAGCTTTCGCCGACCAACAGGAATCGTTCTTGTTGTTGAATACCACCGAGAGGACCGAATAAAACCAGAAACGGCATGCTGGTACGGGCATTCCGGATAAGCACAAGCACGTCAGTGGTCGATACCTTTACGTCACGCGCATCCTCAGCACCGATTCCTACGTACCCTAGTCTCTATAGTTGCTCATAACTGAGACGAATATGACGGAACATGTCGCTCGCCTCCTTCGATTCGCATGCCGCTCACGACCGTCTCCGCGAGACGTGCACACTTCACGCTGCGAAAGAGGAGAGCGCTCTCACCTGAGCGCTTTCCAGTTGACCGTATGTAGAAGAGAAACTGCTTTTCGTGGAGATATCTCCCGTGAAGCCCACGCAGCGCCAACCCTGTGCCACAAAGACCGCACGATTCTAATACCATCACTGCTATTTACGAACCTTGGAGTAATCGGGAAACTTCCTCTTGCAGAGCTGCAAGTGCGGCATCCAGCGAGGTAGCATCACGGCCGCCTGCCTGGGCTTGGGTAGGTTTTCCACCACCGCCACCGCGGCACCGCTTTGCTGCCGCCTGTAGTAACCGACCCATATGCACGGGCGTCTCGCTAGCCACGAGCGGTGTACAGCGGCCGACCATGATCACTTGTTGCGCACTGGGTGCTGCTGCTGCTGCTAGCACTACGATACCTCGATCACCAAGTTGCGAGAGGATGGCGTCGGCAGCGGCACCGAGGATATCGTTGTCCCAGGAGCCGAGCGCCGTTCCCACTGCGTCTACTTGATCCAGACGCTTGATGAGCAACGCCACCGGCTTGCCAGTCTCTTGTCTGAGCTGCTGCGTTGGCAAGCAGCGCATTGCGAGCGCTTTGGCAAGCTCTGTGCGCGCACTCGCCGCCTGTCGCTCTAGCAGCTTGTTTTCGTTCAGTAATGCCTCAGCTCGTGCCACGAGCTCGGCGCTTTGGGTCACCCGCAAAGTCTGCTGCAGGGTACGCACCAAGAGATCCCGCTGGTTCAGGAAATCGCGAGCGGCCTGCCCGCATATCGCCTCAATCCGCCGAACACCCGAGGATATGCTACTCTCGCTTAGGACATGAAAGAGGCCAACTTCTGCTGTGTTGCGGACATGGGTGCCTCCACAAAGCTCCATAGAGACCCCTGGCACATTGACGACCCGCACCACATCACCGTACTTTTCGCCGAACATCGCGATTGCACCGCGCTGAACCGCTTCCGGATACGGCAGATGCTCTACGATCAACGGATGTGCTTCGTCAATCCACTGATTGACGAGCTCACTCACCAGCTCCAGTTCACGGTCGGTGAGCGCTCTCGGAGCCGTAAAATCAAAGCGTAGACGCTCTGAGTCGACAAGCGACCCCGCCTGGGCGACCTGATCAGCACCAAGGACTTGGCGGAGTGCAGCCTGCAGAAGATGCGTACCTGTGTGGTGTGCCCGAATCCGACGACGACGGGCTGCGTCAATACGAGCGGTTACGACGTCACCCACGTGTAGGTCAGCAGAGGTGCCATCCAGGGAGGCTGTATGGATCCAGGCATTGCCCAGCTGTTGCACGTCGGCAACTCGTAGCGCTATTCGCGGTTCCCGCTGCACCAGCTGCAATTCACCGGTGTCGGCAACCTGTCCTCCGCCTTCAGCATAGAAGGGGGTGCGGTCCAAAATGACTTGCACTTTGTTCAGCGACCCTTCGGGTACGCTGGCGAGGCTCTGCACTGCCTTGCCATCCACGATAAGGGCCACAATGCGCGCAGTGGCGACTTGCTCCTGCTCGTAACCAACAAACTCGGTACGGTCTATAGCGGTGCCGTTGCCGCCCAGCTGTGCGACAAGTTCGCTCTCGGCGGGCAGATCGATGCTACCCGGTCGACCGCGCTCACGTGCTCGTGCTCGTTGTGCCTCCATACAGCGCTGGAAGGCGTCCATATCGATCTGGAGACCCTGCTCAGCAGCGATTTCCTGTGTCATCTCAACGGGAAAGCCGTACGTGTCGTAGAGCTCGAAAGCGTCCTCCCCTGAGATATGCCCCCGATTTTCGCGCAAAAGTTCAGCGAGTAGGGCTTCACCACGTTCCAGCGTTTGCCGAAAACGCACTTCCTCCATCTGCAACTCTCGTGTGATACGAGCGCGATGCTCAGCAACGTGCAAGTAGCCGGCGTCTGCGGCTAGCGCTACGGCAGTGCCCGCGACCACTTCAGTGAACGCCTGCTCAATACCCAGTTGACGCCCGTGACGAACCATACGGCGAATGAGGCGCCGCAGCACATACCCACGCCCCAGGTTTGAGGGCTGCACGCCGTCTGCTAACAGGTGGACGACGGCTCGAGCGTGGTCTGCAACGATCTTCGCAGAAACTCGTTCGCGTTCAGATAGGGAAGCGTACGCCCGGCCGGCAAGCTCCGCCGTCTTGTCAAGCAACGGCCGCATCAGGTCCGTCTCGTAGTTATTCGGTACACCCTGGAGCACCTGCGCGATTCGCTCCAGTCCCATACCGGTGTCAATGTTTCTGGCTTGCAGGGGCATAAGGCGTCCTTCGGTATCTCGATTAAACTCCATGAAAACCAAATTGTACAGTTCAATAAAACGCTCATCGTCATTGAGGTCCAGAATACCCGTTCCGGCGGTGGCCGGCGGCACGCTCGTCTCGTGTCCGCCGGATGCGACATTCGTGCCCAGCTCCGGCTTAAAGTCGTAGTAGACTTCTGAGCAAGGCCCACAGGGACCGGTCGGTCCACTCGACCAGAAGTTATCGGTTTCGCTCATGCGAACGATGCGGTGTTCGGGGAGTCCCACCACGTCACGCCAGATCTCGTAGGCCTCCTGATCAGCGTGCAGAACGGATACACAGAGTCGTTCGCGCGGAATGCCGTACACCTCGGTAATGAGCTCCCAAGCCCACCGGATCGATTGCTCTTTGAAATAATCACCGAAGGAAAAATTTCCCAGCATTTCAAAAAAGGTGTGGTGTCGTTTGGTGCGTCCAACGTTCTCGATATCATTCGTGCGCAAGCACCGCTGCGCTGAGACTGCTCTTGGGGGATCCGGAGGCTGCCGCTGCCCCAGAAAGATCGGCTTGAAGGGCACCATGCCCGCTATCGTGAGCAGAATCGTGGGGTCGTCCGGAACCAGAGACGCGGACGGCACAACCCGGTGTCCTCTTTGCTGATAAAACTCCAGAAACGCAGCCCTAATTTCGTTTGATGATAAGCGTTTTCCGACAGCTACGCGTTCCGCTGCTTTCTTGCGGGCAGTCGCCTCAGGCGATAAGGTTGCTATCAGCGCCGGGCGAGCACTCCGTTGTGGTCGAGAGAGCGCTCGTTCTCTCTTCGCATACCGATTGATACGTGGACACCACTTCCAACGCGGTAGTGTCCCAGTAGCGTAGTCTCGTAGTGACCATGGTGTCGACCAGGACACCAGGTTGCGCGGCACAAGTTGGCGCAGGCTCGTCGTTGCCCACTGCATACCTTGTGGTGAATTGGCGAAGCCAAAGGTGTGTTCTTTCAGGTCCATGAGGAACAGCACTCCAGCGCCTTGCTCCGTATGTCTGAAGTTCCGCACAGTCAGTAAAACCGGTCTTTGACACCTTCACGATGAGAAAGACGACGTCTCGAAAATGCAGAGGCGTATCGTGCTCACACCTCGCTCGCCGGTGGACTAGCACGGCTGATGGTACGGGAGCCGGGGCGAACGTCGCATCTCCGGCCGGCGGTCGGTGGCTTGATCATCACCTGGCTCAGCGAGGTACAGCATTGAGCATCTGAGCGGTTGTATGGTACTCTGGACGGAGCTGGTGAAGGAAACGCAGCTATGATAGATCTCTCGTTGTTGTATAGGCTGTATAGAGCAATATAGGCGAAAGAGAACGCAACCGATTCCTGTTTATCAATGAATGAACACTCTCTGGTCAAGCAGGTGTCTCTGGATAACGTTCTTTTTTGGAGATTTCGACGGAGCTGGTGAAGGAAACGCAGCTATGATAGATCTCTCGTTGTTACATAGGCTGTATAGAGCAATATAGGCGAAAGAGAACGCAACCGATTCCTGTTTATCAATGAATGAACACTCTCTGGTGAAGCAGGTGTCTCTCGATAGAGAATTAGCAGCCTGATGTCGCGGGTCTGTCGAGAGCAGACTCCTTCAGGCGACACACAGCTTGCTGAGCTGCTGTGCCCAAACGGCATTTCTGTAGGGCATTGCGAGCTTAGTGCCTCCCAGTGCTGGGCTTGGGTCGGAACAACGCCGGTTCTTGCCTCGAACAGCGTCGCTTTCGGGGTACACTGCACCAGAGTTTCCCAGCGAACGCGCGGCAGAGTCCCAGCTGCTTCTGGCGCGTGTGCTCGTACAGCGCAGCGTCATCGCACTTGGTCCAACTCGCAAAGCAATCCGTCCTAGCGGACTGCTATGCAGCCACTGCGGTGTTTCCAGCTGCGTTTGGTGTGCGAAACAGACGGCAATAGGTCCAGCATGCACTGCACTGCCATGATGCCAACGAAACAGCTCCCTGAAGTAGACAGGGAGACTCGCGATCTAGTTCCGGTGCCGTGAACGTTATCTACGCTGCATATGGTACTGGCGTTGCGCGTTTGTTGCACAAGCGCCGAGTCGCCACAGAAGCAAAGGTCGCGTTTCATACTCGGTTGAACAGATCAAGGCAAAGCTGGGTGTTTCCGTGGTTCGATGCGCATACGCTCGTTCCCAGTAAGTACGCAAACTGCCGAATAGCGAGCGTTGAGCGCGTGGCACCCTCTTGCCGCGAATCACACATTTGATGAGGCATTGCACCATGCAGCACCGGACAGCGCGTCGAGCGCACATGTTTGTATCCTAGCGTCCGTTGAAAAAAACGACCATACCAGAGATATCATATAGGCAAGTGTGTGCTCACGCATGCTCCCGTGCAGCGTCTCCAGGCGGTGGCAGCAGCGGCGCTTTGGCGGCACTCGTGGAAAGCAGCGCGGCAACCACGGTCACGTTGTCTTGAGTCTCTCGCTGTAATGCCTCCGTAACCAGGCGGCGTGCCAACAGACCAGGGACCTGCACAGTGCCTCGGATGATTTTCGCTACTTCACCGACATCCATGACATCCCAGAGACCGTCGGTGGCAAGGATCAGGATATATTCTCGATCGGGCTGCAAATGCTGGATGTAGAGCTCAGGTTCCGCAGTCAAATAGCGTTTGAGCGCAATGTCCCCGATCGCACGCGTAACCAGCGTAAGACCCTCAACTCGAAGCGTACCAGCGCTATCTGCAAGGACCCGTGCGCCTTGTTCTTGAAGACGTGCACGTTCCTGTGAAGACGCTGTACAAGTTTGATCTAAAGTGACGAGGATAGGCACCAAGGCCGTATCGGGTTGCACTTCAAAGAGCACCGCCCTGGAGTCCCCGATATTTGCCACATATAACGTGCCGCTGTGCACCATCGCCACAAGTGCCGTGCTGCCAACAAGTCCTCGCTTCCCGAGGGCCTGTGATGCGTCGTGCTGGGCGCACCACAGCGACCAGCACATATCCACGAAACAGAGAAGCTCGCGCAGCACTTGTTCGGGGCGCATTTGCGGGTTACGACCCAGCAGCCTCTGGAGAGCATCTGGAATCAGAGCCGCCGTAAAGTCAGCTGCCTCCACACCACCATGGCCATCGAAAACACCCAGTATATGGGAACTGCCCCAACAGGCGAGTGCCGGTCCAGACTGGACAAGCTCTATTGACAATTGCAATGGAGATGCTACCAGGTGACGATCTTCCATACGATCTGGTCCACGACGACCCGACACGGCATACGCCTCCGCTTGCACCCGATCTGAGCGATCTACAGAGGCAGGTGAGCTGCTTCGGTCGAGACGTTGGCGGAAACCAGCAGGCGCGGCGCTTCCCGTATCGCTAAGCGGGAACGGGCGATGCGCAACGCTCTGAACCAGTTCATGCGCTATGGTGGTGATCTCGTGAGCGTCCTTTCCAAAGTACGAAGCGGCGAGCGCACTCGGATCGGTTTCAGAAACAAGGTCAGCACCGGTAGCCGCAGAGGCCTGACGAGTGCGCTCCGCTGGACCTCTTGGGGTCTGCGATGCGTCCACCTCGTCGTCGCCGATGTGCGTTGCCCACGCAGCGCCAGCCAAGGCGCCCTCTGGGTTCTCCGCCAAGGTAGAACGCAGTATCCTGACCGCTTTAAACGAGGAACGCTTCAGCTGGTCAACCAATGCAGCTAGTTCCTTCACCACAGCTGACATGGCAGGCCGTCTCGCAGGGTCCGCATCCCAACACCTTTCAATGAGTTCGCACAGGCGTTGACCCTCGCGACCTCCAAGTGCATCCACATCCAGTCTGGGTCGCAGGTGCTCGGTAACGATAGCCGTTCGTAGCTGCAGCTCGTTGAAGCGTGTCTCCAGAACCGTGTGCAGCTCTGGCTCGGAAAGTTGTCGATCCACGTAAGGCACAGAGGCGGTGACTATCTCATTCAGCGTGATACCGAACGCGTAGACATCGGATGCATACGTAGATCCCCAGCCTGAACGCTCCGCGCTCAGAAGCTCCGGCGCCATGTACACGGTCGTACCAACCATATGAGCAAGACGTCCGGCACTGGGTCCAACGGGCAAAGGCGTGCCTTCGGAATGCAGACGATGCTTTCCTTCGTTAGCTTGTCGAATAGCATGCGCGCTTGACTCCCGTATGGATTCCGTGTTTGGTAGCGAGTGCGAGTTGCTCATGATGGCGAGTTCAAAGTCCGCGAGCAGGACGCGATCATCTTCCAAGAGCAAGTTGGCCGTTTTCACATCGCGGTGGATAACACCAAGCTCGTGCAGGTTCTGCAAGCCGATGGCGAGCTGCAACGCCCACTCGAGTCGCTGGAGAATGCTATGGGTACCGGGCGTTGTCCGTTTATGGAGGACATCGAAAACGCAGCCCCCAGAGCACCAGGGCGTCACCGTGCAGTAAAACGGGGGCGCTTCGCATACCGCTAACAGCGGCAGCAGACCCGCCGGCATGCTTACCTTCTCATCGCCACGCTGGACGCAAGTTCTCTGACGTGCACGCACTGTAACATAGTGCTGCAGGTGAACCTGAGAGTGAAAGCGTTCCAACGCTGCGCTGGATGTGATGCGTGGCTGCCTCACCGCGACCGCCAGACCGTCCAACGTACCGCGGTACACAGCGGCACCGCTACCTATAGCCGCTGGGTCAGCGAGTGGTCCCAGCTCAGCGCGAGACACCTGACGAAGTTCGCTTACAATGGACATTTGAAGCGTCTAGGTAACGCTAGTCACCTAAACTTCCAGCGATCCTGCCAAGAACGTCGGTAGGCAGGCAGGCTGGCTGGCTGGCTGGCTAGCTGGTAAACCACAACGCAGCATGCTGCAGTGCAAACGGATTCAAAGGGAACACTGACCTATCTACTCGCTATATCGCTGCGTTTCTATCTTATTCAGACCTTTTTTAGTGTGCAGCCTTGGCATTCGCACGGAAGCAAGAGGGGTTTACGAAATCCTACCTAGTTTTGCGATTCTCGGTCGTTTTAGCGGAGTTGTGCCTTGGATGCTTTGTCGCTGGAATTCGTTACGTTAAGGAAATGAAGGTGATTCGCGTCGCCGTCGAGCAAGAGCTCCTTCAATGATCGATATCGGGACTTCATGCATACGTACTAACCTCTATTTTTCTCCGTTGCTTCAGCGTACAACGTGCAAATCAGGCATGCTTGGAGGTTTCGACCTCTCTATTTAAGGCTTCTCGTGAGTGCAGCTAATAACGTCACTGGACTCACGCGGAAATAATTCTTGACGACACCGACCATCGATGACTTGTTCAACAGCTCACGTCAAAAGATCACTGAGCTAATCACGTCAAATACTCGATTCCGTTCGACGGACATATCACCCCGTCTTCATGAACATGGAAGAGACAGCATTCCACAGCGGCATGACACCTCGCCGGGTAATACGCTCGAAAGGCTACCGTCTCCTCTGTTTGTACGGAAATTCGCCATGGTCTTGGATTTGAGTCATCATAACGACTGCGTCCAATGGGCAGTGCGTCACCGAGTTGCACGAAGTAAGCGTCGACGGGTCGTAATCTATCGACTTGTTCTCCGATATGGATTTTGCTTTCCGTGCTCGTTTCATCATAAACAACATTACACTCCACATTTATTCCATCGAATGGGACAGCGTACGCTTTCATGAGCAGCGGACAGCGTACTCGCCGAGGAGGTTGCCCACAACAACAAGTCCACGATCTTATTGTATGGAACCAAGCGCGGAAACGGAGCAGCGGGCATTGGAGGAAACCCAAAGTATCTGTCAAGGGCATGTACCGGGTGATGAAGCAATTCTTGACGCGCCACAAGGCGGCGCCCGGAAGAGTAGATACGGTGGACATATGGGAACACATGACGACAACCATATATAACCGCTGCAAGCGGCACACCTGGCCAGTATACAAAGGAGATGGAAATGCCAAGCGAAGCGTCGATGCCAATGATCGCCTGTACATGAAATGCGTTGACATGAACTGGAAGCGGCGAAACCGCGACTCGAACGCCGCCATCAACATCTTTCGACTGCCGAATACGAATCTGGAAGTAAAGTGAGAGACCGACGTATTTAAAGCTTCAAAAACGAGAGAGAAAAAGCCGGCAAAGACTGGTGTTGATGATAATGGGTAACGACGAAAACCTGAGCATGTAACTCCTCCGTGCAAGCGGGACACGTTCCATTTCATCATGATACGGACGTCGTCCATACGTCTCAATGAACGTAACAGATCCGTTCCGTTTCATGCTGACACTGGTGTCGTTAGCTTTGCCGGTCTTCCCGGGTTGCGGCAAAGGCGTTGGACGCGCCGGGCGTCTCCGGGGCCGCCCCGCGCGCTCGCAACTCCCAGACGGGTTCGTAAGGTCCCGCTCGGCGCCCTACGGATGCATGGGCGTTCTCGTCGTCCTCAGCACCGTTGGCGTACAAGCGTTCCGCGTCTTCTGGTGACAGGAGACGCGATCGAAAACATCGCACAAGCCGCCGCACCTTGCCCACGCACGAGTCCACCGTACCATTCATGTAGTAGTACCGAAACTGGTACACTGGACTGTAGCAGAACCAGAGCGCATCCAAGTCAGGAACACAGCTCTCAGGTACTTTAGAACTGCTACGTTCTCCGGCCAGAGCAACGTCAGTGCGATGGCTTGTCTGGGAGTCGGCGGGCACAGCCGACGTTCGCGGCTCGGCGGCTGCCATGATGAACTGCGACCCCAGATAACGCCTACTCGTTGTTTTCTATCGCTGCGTTAGGTGCCGTAGCAGGTAAACGCAAGCGTCTATCTCGAGCAGCTCAAACGCGAGCAGTACCCACGAGGCATAGCAGCGGCTTGTGCACCATATCGCAAAAGCGTTTTTTCGTCTGGCAGTTGACGCCCGTGTGCAGCAAATGCGGGTGCGTTCGGCTTCGCACAACAGCTATCCATTATTTTCCCAAATAATACATACATGTACAGTAAAATCGCATATGCGTGCCAGAGGTCCTGGTGTGCATGCGCATTTCTCTATGGCATGGGATGGGTGGCACGAACCGGACATCGCTCCATGTGTGCGCTCTCTCGAAGCATCTGGGTATGCATGCGGCATACCGCTCCAGATGCTCAGGTTCCACCCGCCGTGTTCATCATTATCATCATCATTACCGTGAACGTGTTCTATACTTCCCATTGGAGATGATGGTTCGTTCACGTCATCTCCCTGGTGCCAGGCATGCTATGTGCGCTCACCGCAACGACTACGGCGCCGGTACGGACGCTGCTTGGCGACAGAACAAGCGCACGAACACGCTTCCAGCCGCTGTGGACACAAGCGTTTGGCGCACGAGCCGGTACGCGCACCCTCCGCAAGGCCTCTGGCATGCTGGTCGGCGTGTTCACGATAGCACCGCGCGGAGTTGCGCAGTGCGAACGAGACAATAGCGATACCAACGTGCTGCCTGCGATGCGCCGATGACATCGCCTACGCAGAGCGGCGACAAAGATGCAGGCGGCATAGCGCAGGCATCATCCAGAAACTATGTCGGTGGCAACGCAGCGAGCTGTCATCTCTTGCCCGCAACGAATGACTCGCCTTTCGCAAAACAGGTCCGCCGTCATCGATCCCTCCATGCAGCACTCGTGCGCGCAGGCGTCCGTGGACAACACACTGCAGTCCGGTACAAAAGCCTTGCTCCAAGCGCATCTATCCGCAGAAAAATTGACGCTTCGACTTGCTGCTGTGGACGACGATACCACTGCCAGCGCCAGACGCGATGCAAGCGGACGTGACACCCTACAATTGACACCAGGCGCAAGCATGCACCCGTAAGCGATCCGGCTCCATTGGAAAACACAACCGATATGGCAACACGGTCGATAGCGACGATGCCCCTGCACTCGACGTATCGGCAATCCGGAGGTGCCTACACATCGACGGCAAGCCGGTCGACCGCTTGCGGCAAGCAGAAGCGCGGTTTCGGCAGGCACTAGGCACACACGATAGGACGTATGAAACGACCAGAATATCCGAGAAGAAGTATAGGGAATGTAACTTGGAGGTAGGGTGTTTGATGGATACTTAAGCGTGCACTGAAAACCCCACAAAAAGAAAAGAAAAATGCGCATAATCGGAGAACGCTACGAAAGCGCTTTGTCAATGAAAGAACATGAAGAGGCGCCGCTGCTGCCGCCGCAGCCAACGCACGGCGTCGACGTCGGGGCTCGCTGCACGGCTGCCGCTGGTACCGTAGGTACGGGTGCTGCATACCCTGCGCTTCGCGTCTCCGAGCAAGTGGTGAACATGGCGCGGCTTTTTGAAGTGCCACCAGATAGTATCGCCGCTAAGAAGCGAGAGCACAACTGGTGGAACCGCACCGTTGACCAGTTAGAAGACTGGAAGGACTCGGTCACGGAGACCAAGTGGTACCAGCGCGTGGAGCGGGTTGCGTCTTCGGGCTACACCTTCGTAAGACGAGCGTTCGGTTTAGGCGGCCGCGTGGCCTGGATCAGTGCAACCAGCGCTTTGGTGCTTGTGGTTCCCCTGGTTTATGAAATTGATCGGGAGCTGGATGCAAACGCGGCAAGTTCTTCGGCCGCAGCCGCTGGGGGCAGCGGTGTTGGCAGCAGTAGCACCGCTGGCCGTCCCGCTGCGACTCGATGAGAGGCCTTCGCCCCCGCGGACCGCGACAGTGTTTGTGCTCCAGACCTGGTCAAGTGGTATTGATCGCCTGCGAGGTGTATTTGACACGAGCTGCCCCGAATAGCGGCCTGTAGGCATGGTGAAACAAGCGAACGTATTGGACCGCTACGCCGAGTCGTAACGTATAGAGGAGCTCGTTATGTGCTCGGCATCGAGAGTTCTGGAATACATGTATCATCATGATCTTTTTGACTTTGTTCGTCGTTGTCTCGCGGAGGTATTGGACAAAGGGAATGAATCCTGTCGATAGGGGGAAACGCCGCGGAAAGAATTCATGCTGGGGCTGCTCGCTTGCGAAAAACTGGTTCACTCGCCCAAGTCAGTCATTCTGGCATTCAGCACGTACTTGAACCGAGCTTCTCGTGGCGCTGATGCCGAACCTCTTGCACCCAAAACGGAACCTGTCGTTCTCTATTTAGACAAATGTCTGACTGGTTGTCCATACATTCCCGTCCGTAATTTCTTTGTGAAAACCTCTCAAAGAAGCCACAGGACGCGACTTTTTCGTACTAAGGATACGAAAAGTGACGAAGAGGCACTGATGGACATAGGGAGAAAACGTGCTTCTACGGGACTCCGTCACGCGTTGCACAGCACACGAACACTGTTGTACTGAAACGCAAACGCTTCCCACACAATGGACGAGTGTTCGTCGCCCTGGACGTTACGCGATTCGAGAAAAACGCTCGACCTGTATACGGTACTCAAAGAGGTTTAGAACGCTGTCCGTACAGAAGATGCAAGCGAGCATGACAACAATAAAAGTCCTAGCGGCTCTTCAATGGTGCAATCGCCTACATATCACCAGGCGGAGAGGATCAATCGACATCTCATTGTTCCTTGACGCGTGCTTCGTGGCTTCTCCTTCCTCGGTGCTGCTGTCCTACTCTCGGACAAGGTCGCCGTCCATCAAGTAAAAGCGGTCATGCGGCACCCGACATACGTTGGCGTTGAGCTGATCTTCGTACCAGCTTCTGCGTTCTGGTGCAATCCAGTCGAAAACAGCTTGTCTAGTGCGAAGCGCCGGTTTTCGCGCCCACGGATCAATAGATTGGTCAGTTGCACCCACGACGCTGAAAGCTGCAGGATGCCACTGAGGATCGCGTAGCTTTCTAGTCGAGGAAGGCTCGCCTAGCACTCATCGCCTCGACGCACCTCGTCAAGCAAATGTGCGTAAGTTTCTCGGACACACGGCATCGAGCTGTCCTTTTTCCACTCGAATTTTCTGATGAAATTTCCCTGCGACAGTACAACGGATATTCGTTAGAAAGCACGCAACTCGATCTGATGTAATGATCAGAGGTTTGGAGGCACACTTCCCAGCATACCTTCAGACGTGGACGCGTCACGTTGTCAATTGAGGTAAACGATACAGCACAGGTGTGAAAAATTATTGAACAAGACTCAAAAAGCAAATCCATTTGCAGGTCAATGTCGAGCGATTCATGAGGTCTGTCTCGTGAGCGTTGTACGCTCAACTCGCTGGTCCAAGAAACTGAAGACTACTTCAAGCGGATTCCTTAGGTGTCTATAGAGGCGAGTGGCGAGCTGGTGATGAAGCGCTCGAAATGGCAGCGAGTTCGGAAGAAAAGTCATTCCAACAGCGACAGTCGCTTCAGACCGTCCAAGCACATCCTAGTGTGCTCGGTGCCGGGCCGACGGACGTCACCTGCAGAGCATGGTTCAGACGTCATGCCTGCCTTGCTTGCATCCTGCGCTACTGCGTTTCCCAGAGGAGAGCCATCCCGGGGGGAATCGGATTTCCTTCCAGCATCCGAGCGTCTTGGCCTGACCGAGCGTCCACTGGATATGGTCACCAGTTGTCGAGTCAAGACCCATGAGATCACCGTTGACATTTGTTTGTAGTAGTGCATGGACTCCACAGTAGGTCATGGTAGGTCTCTGTGAGCAAGCATGAAGCATTCGAACAAGATCGTGATGAGTATGGCCGTACATCGTTCATGGCTCCTGGGCTACCGCGAGGACCTGGAAAGAGGTTCGCATTGGCGGTCAGGATCGACGGAATATCCAACTGAATGCACTCTGTGAAGTATAGACCTGAGTTCAGCACCGACACTCATTCTCATCCGTCCTAAGTAGCTGGACGTACGTAGAGAGGTTTCGTGGCGAGCATGCGTTTCGAGTCCAAGAACATCGTTGCCGTCTTCGCAGCTCTGATTCAAGAGGATAGAGCCAACGACGTGCATAGAACGCCAATGATGCTGCTCAACTTCTCCAAGGCTCTCTCTGATCGAGATTCGAGTCTGATGGACGCAAGAAGCCACACCAGCTACTGCAGTGAATGCATTGTGACCATCTCGACGCCCTGAGTATCGTAACGGGCAGAGACGGGGGATGCGCTGTGCGCCTCGTTCAGAGCGTTCACGAGCATCCACAGAGCTCATACCGCAAAATTTTGGCGATAGTGGACGAAACCGTGTTGTCGTCGCCGACATTGTCGGTTGTGCGGAGGCAACAAGCGTGCATTCACCAATATCTTCAAAGAGCTGGAAAAACTGAAGCCCATAACTCGCGTCCTTGGGTTGCAGTCTACGGCGCCAGACATGCCGCTGTGCGCAAGGGCCGTACTCGTGCCTCTTCCGCCAGAGCGTACAACGAATTCAGGAATCGATTCTATACGATTTTCATCGATGATATCGTGATTCTATCCACGCATCACGAGCAAGCGTGCACAATGAAACAGGTGGAGAGGCAGCGCTTGCAACAGAGCCGGATGGATAACGTGGTGGTGTACCGTACGCTGACCGAATGCCAGATAGCGAGACGATCGAAAAAGAGCGGCTTGCTGGTATGTGATTCAACCAGAAAACACACGCGGACGCATTTCCTGTACCGAGACTTGACCACCACGATCAACCTTCGGAAACGTCTTGCGCTTCCACAGCATCTGGCGGCTTTTTTTCGACAAAGCTTTCAAGCGAATCGTTTGGTACTCTGTGTGGGCATTGGGCTAAAATGCGCAAGTCCTTCGATGAAAACATCAGTGCTCAGGAGCGAGGGCATTGAATCGTCGCTTGGACCACTGAACTGGGGTTTTACGCTTCAGCTACCCAGCAAGGCTGCTACTGGGCTCACAGACACCTGGAACACCTGTCCTTGGCCATCGATGAACGATATTGGTGTTCCATTATTCGATATTGCAGCGTGTGCACGCTTGAAACCAACGCTGCATTGTTTCGATATAGACAGGATTACCTAGGCGAACTGACCAGACTCTGTACTTACAGCATCCACAAAGATCTGCATCGCAACGGCAGCTGCTGGTATGGACCGGACACCTGAATAGCGACGACGGCTCCCTAAACCGATGCCGTGCAGTGCTTAACAGGGATGCTACTGGACCAGCGCTGTCACCGTCACGAACAAAGTTTGAAGACGTGAATCGTTTCGACGCTTGTCACGGAGTCGTTGCCGGTCGGTACCATCGTTGTCGTCGTTCGCACAGACTTGGTGTTGATCAGAGTTCGCGCATGCTCCGATTGTGCCCGTGGAGGACTCGCCACATACGATGCAATTTCTGAGTGCAGATGTCATCAGTCCAGCCCATGGATATTGCAATGGTTTTTCATCGCGCACTGACCAGCCGATGAACAAGCGACACACTTCTGGACGTGAGCGCAGGGTCTCCAGCGAGCAACCGAACAGCTGACGCTCGGGCGCCGTCCAGCGCACTGCCACCAACGGTCATCTGGAGACGACGGCGTTTCCCGCAAATATTGCTGACTGTTGGAGCGGTCGTAGACCTTGCGAGCCAGTGTGTTTCATTTGCGGCTTTGCAGGGCGCTCTCTGCTTCTACACCAGCAGCAATTACAATGACGTTCGCGAGTGCGGTAGAAGCAGCGCGTCCCGTAAGCACGCGGCACGCCACGCCGCCACCTGCGGAAACAGTTTGCTCACATGGGCGACAAAGTCCCGTGCCGTGCTCTCGCTCTCGAATACAAGGTCCAGCACCTGCGTAACATCCGAGCGCTGAATGAGCACACACCAGCCCTCATTGGTAGCAGACGTTGTCGGCTCGGGCTCGGTTAACTCCAGAATGTATTCGAGTGGAAGACCAAGTAGGGGCTGGAAGCCGCCACCTTCCAGCACCTCCCCTACGATGAGCATTTTGCTCTCGTTCTCGTCGGCCGCGCACAGGACACGCCTGCCCTCCAGTGAACAGTTAAAAACATCCGTCTGGGCTAGCGCCAAGGTCATCGTCTCCGCCGACTGTGTTGACCAGCGGCTCGGATCCGAACGCGCCAGATCGCACTTGTAAAGGGGCAGCAGGACGGCGTCCACGTCCGAGTAGGTATCGCTGTCGAGCGTTGCCTCGAGATACCCCAGAAAACAGGTCACCCGTTTGTATGCAGCGCTTGTCTCCGACGAATCAGCCGGTCGGGATGGGGTTCCAGTCTGTCTACGCGGCGCTTGAGCAGCTACAGCATGCGCTAGCATCCAGAGACTTGCGTCCGCGATCACATGCTCTCGACGCTGCACGCTGTCGAGCGCGTTCTCGTTCAGGGTGTTCGCTTCAGAGGGCGTCACCGACCCGAATCTCGATCGATAACGATCCCTGATGTGTTGGAGAAGATCATTGCACAGGCGCTGGCGGTCCTCCGCGTGAGCAAGCAGGCGTCCCAGATCATTCGCGTAGGCTGGGTTCTGCTCCAGGCTGAGCTGGATATCCCCGATGCGTTCTCGGTAGAGCTGGACAATGGACGCATCGATTTGCGTGTGCTGTTCGGGGTCGTCAACTGCAAGGACAAGCCTCAATAAAACCATTTCAAGAGTGGTTGCTATACCACCCGCACCGTTGGTTTTCTCATCGAACACCGATCCCCAGAACGATCTCCCCGGGTCTAGCTGGATCCAGAGTTCGCCTTGGGGCACCGCTTCCAAGCGGTTGATGAGCGCCTCACGAGCCGCTATGCAAACGGGAACGCTCGCCGCATATGCCGTCAAGCATCGTAAACGAACGTGGTCAGCAATTCGATCAGCGTTCGAAGCACTTGCTTTGACGAAACGAGATAACAGCGCTGTATAACGCTCGCTACGTACGAGAGTGGCGCAGCATTCAGAGCATACCAAGGCTGAGTGCCCACGTTCCAGAAAGAAAATGAAAAGTTGGACTGCGTCCGATAGCGTTAGATCCGAGCGATCACCATTCGCTGCTGCGACGAGCACCGGAGTCAGAAAATCGCTGCGCAACAGGTTCAAGAGCGTCAGCTGCACGAAAGGACCAGCCTGGTTCGCCAGTTCACCCAAGAACTCGTAGACGTCCTGGAGCTCGGCGGCTGCTCTCGCTTGATCCCCGTTGACGGAGACTGCCGCGATTGCAGCTTGTCCCAGATTGGCGATATAACGCCTAGAAAAACTATTTTTTTGCTCCATCTCTCGCGATAGAAAGCGATCGAGTGTCGGTGCATCTGCGCTTAAGCGGACGAGTCCCAAGATCATACCATATGCTGCCGCACGCACCAGACGATCGTCGTTGTCCAGAAACTGTGTAGCAGCATTCAGGAGCGGGAAAGTGTTATCCTCTTCGCGAAAGACCAAGGGCAAAGAGGCAATGTCCAGGCGCAAGCAGACTGTGCGCAGGAGAGAGAGATAGCTCGGAAGGAGGTCCGAATCCACGTCAGCCTCTTTTCCTGTGGCAGAATGAGTAGCTTCCGTCTCTTGGAAAAGCGGTGCTGCCAGAACGACCTGACGTAGTGCGTCGTGCGCCAGCAGGTACGCCAACAGAAGCGGGTCGTGGATATTCCATAAAAGCATCGCTGCAGTCTGTAAAGCTTTGACACGGAGCGCTTGCTGCTTCGCATCGCCGGCTGGCTGAACAGCAAGCTCCAGAATGGCCGCCCAGCACTCGTTTTCCAGGAAAGCGGTGCGGCTTAGTTCTCGTTCTCGCGGCTCTGTCGACAGCACCAGTTCCACAAGCTCCCCGAGGGCGTCGAATCGAGCAACCACATCCATTTGACCCGCGTCCGAGACCAGCTGTGCGACTCGCTCTGCACGCTGAGCGACATTTTCCCGAGGTTGTAACCAGCTAGACCAGGAGCCACGCGGAGCTGCCTGCGCTCCCCTGGACTTGGTCGGTGTCATGTGCACCGAGCTATGTTTGCCTCTTGCGCTGGTCTGGGCGCGAAGCGAGCCCCGTTGAGCTTGGACGTCTCGAAGGCGTCACGATTGCTGTTGCTGTTGCTGCTGCTGGGAACGCAGTTCTCCCGAACGTCTCCAGGGGCAGTGGATACCAGCGACCGCTCAGTATCTGCCCCAGCGAGCGCTCAGCAGCGTCGCACGTCCGAAACGCTTGCGAACTTTTCTCTCGACTGGGCGCTGTTCGGACTTTGCGCGTTCGCTTTCGCTGGGAGCGGGTGGAGGTGGCAGCCTAGTTTACACGGCGGCATGTAACGCTGGCGAGCACTCAAGCTGGACGCCCAGTCTTAGCACGTTGGGCGTCCAGCTCTTTTTTGATGGTTTCCAGGTAGCGGCGCTAGCGCTTCTTGGGCGTTCGCGCTTGCACCCGAGAGCGCCTGCGGCTGGGCGAGTGCTTCTTCGGACGTACCCTCCTGCTTGCCTGGCCTGGAACGATGCCACAAGTTGTGGATACCTGACGCAGGAACCCACCGGGGCCCTGTGCTGGGCTCGCATGGCAAGGCTACTCTGGAGACGCCCAGCGAAGCGTCAGTCGCCCGCTGCGGAACTAGAGTCGCGCGTGTAGCACGTGAAGACACCACGCTGGGGACGCAGCCGTACGCTTGCACGGCCGTCTTGCAGTGAACCGCTGTTGAAGAGTTCCCGGGGGCGGCGCTTGCGCTGATCGTGCATAGAGCTGCGACTGACAAGCGATCCCAGACAGAGCGGCAGCAGTGGTGAGCGCTCACCGCCGCCCAGGCACGTATTGGCCCGTCACGCGTTCAGAACGTTTCCCTTGAATAGTGCGCAACGGCTAGCTCGAATGACGGGACTAGGACGCTCTCGACCTCATCGGGAGCCTGGACGACGCTGTCGATTCTGGAAGGGCATAGTAATGAGGCTGGCGATTGCCCTGAGAGCGAACCTGGCATGACTGACTTGTGGTGAACGTTGCGCTCGTTTTTCGCCGCGCAGCATGCTTACGAAAGCTACATCCACGTGCCAGACGCACCGACTTGTATAGACCGGTTGCAATCGTTGGTGAAATCTTCTGCCGATCGCTCACATGCATCTCACAAAACTATATCACCTGCAAAAAGCGTGATTGATTGACGCTGCAAACAGCGCACGGGTCTCGGTCATCCAACGTGGACCGCGAAATAACCTCACAAATTGTCAATGGACGCTTACGTGAACAACGCATATCCCTGCAATGCGTGGTCACGAGTCGAGCAGGCAGCGCAGTGGGCCACGCGGAAGCGAATGCGCTCCCATCGCTCGTTCCCTGGCGATATGACCACATGACCAGCACCTTTTTCGTTCTTCATATGTTTCCGTGTTTAACGTGCCGCATCTGAAGCGTTTTCCCTGAGACGACTTGGATCTGATGCGCAGGGACCTCGCACGACTTCGCCGCCGTGGAGTACCGACCAGAAGCGGCGCAGCGCATGAGTAGGCCATGCCGCGATTATGAAACTTTTTGTACAATCATGGATATTGTTCCTGAGGCCTCGAAGCACGTGCATCGAATACATGGCACATTCTAAACATCACAGTACAAAATTGTATGGCCGTCGGCGCGACGCGGACGCGTGTTCATACGCCGCAGCACCTGGTCATCGCTTCTGTCGGATGATACGCTAGTCGACCGCGAAAGCTCCCGTATTGGCGCTCCGAACCTGCTACAATACGAGTTGCTCAGATAACCTAGTTCTGACCATGAAGTACCTTGCTGCATATATGCTTCTCAAGTTGGGTGGAGCGGAGGAGGTTACTGCTGATGACATACGAAAAGTTGTCAGTGCTGCCGGCGCCGAGGTCGACGACGATCGAGTCGCTGCGCTACTCCAAGCGGTTAACGGACGATCCATCGACGAACTCGTCACTGAGGGCCGCTCTAAAATGGAGTCGGTTGCAGGGGTTGCTGTTGCGGCAGCGTCGGCAGCACCTGCGGCAGCCGCTGCTGGAGGCGGTGACAGCGGCGCTGCGGCAGCGTCAGCCGACAAAGGCGCAGCGAAAGAGGAACCCAAAGAGGAAAGCGACGAGGACCTTGGCTTTGGTTTGTTCGATTAAACAGTTTGTTGTGAACGTCATCGTTGAAACTGTGCTGAACCTCACTAGCCTGGAGACGTTTTGAGGAGCGTTCGGCTCTGGCTTGCACGCGGAGCAACGGCGACGTTTCGCAAGGCACTGGGACCGCTGGCCTCCGTTTCGACCAAGCGTGCTACGGCGTCGTGGATGGCGTGCGCATGGCAACATTCATATGAATAGTTTACGGACTTGCTGGTGCGTTAGGCAAGATGAGGGTGTGCGGGCTTTCTTTGACGCTTCGTTGGAAGACGAATACATTCGCAGAGAAAGCTGCAAGTCGTTCGCGCCATCAGGTCGACGCTGCGGCCTGGTCGAAGAGATGCGACCGGACAGCCATGCAACTGAACTGCACCAGCGGTTCCGCAGCACCCTTACCGCCAATGCAGATAGGGTGCCAGGCTTCTCGACGTCTATCGTTTGCAGGTGACGCATTGCCAATGCACCGCACAACGGAACCAGACACTATAAACGATGCCGGTGCATCTTCAAGCGCCGTTTGGCAAGTTCCATACCCCACGGCCGATGCGTACACCAGAAACCATCGCCGGGTGCCCGCGGGATAACATGCACGTGCACGTGGGGCACGCTCTGACCAGCGCAACGCCCGTTATTGACGCCGATGTTGTATCCGAAACGCTCCTGGGAGGAAACCGACGCTTCTACGCGCGTCACTGGTTCCTCTGTCGGTTCTCGTGCGCTCATTCGTTCAGAAAACGTTAGTCGGCTCGCGTCGGAAACCCGTCGGGTGAGGTAGACTTCACGAAGCACGACCTGGGCGACGTGGCGTGCCTGCGTAAACAACTCCGCGAGTTCCGACTCTGTGAGCGCGTCCATACTCGAAACGTGTCTCCGCGATATGACTAAACAGTGCCCGAGCGTCACAGGTGTCCGGTCCAGAATCGTAAGCGTTCGCGCACTCGCGTGCAGTGCAACGCAGTTCTCCAGAGTCAGGCAGCAGAACACACAGTCGACTTTCGAGGAGGAGTAGCTGTCTTCGGTGCTTAAGTCAATGTCGCCGCCGTCCGCTTGGTGCTGCAGTGCAACACGAATTCGGTGGACAAGGTTTTCATCGAGCAGCGGCCGCGGTTTCGTTCGGTCCCGCATCAGTCTTCCTAGACGCGAACAAACTGGCGGCGTGCTGTCGACCTCTGAACCAGTCGCAGCTGGCAGCGCCAAGCGCTGGAGATTTGCGCCGCAGCCCGGAATCGCACGAGATCCCCAGGCATGCGCTGGGCGTCTGCAGCTGGAGCGCAAGTCTGGGCTCCACGGAACGTTCAAGGCACTGGGGTTGCATGTGGTGGTGGTGGTGGTGGTGGTGGTTACCGACTGGTAGCAGGCGTGCAACAAGTCCCGCGCCTTTCAGGTATGAATCATGTTGGAAGCGTGTCACGCTGCGTCACGCTTGAATGGACAGACGATTCATGATGCGTCTTCAAGTGCGAACGATGGCACTCCTGCTCTGGCGTATAGCACGAGATCGGAATCACGATGCAATGTATTGTACAGATTGTAGACGAGTTGCTTCTAGGATGTATACGCTTTACGGAACAGTGCAAGGAGGACTGCAAGAATGCTTCAGGTCAGTCATAAAACAGTACGCAGATGATTTAGGAACTCTGAAAGAAAGAAAGAAAGAAAGAAAGAAAGAAGTGTGTGCGATCGGCACCAGAAACTGGTATTGTGAAAGTGTGCCTGCGGTCAGTGGTAGAAGTAGCAGAAAACGACCCATTGATCACTCCAGGGAAAGCAAACGATACGATAGTAGACGCCGGGGGGGGGGGGTCTCTGTTTCTCAAAAGCTTGTTCTTTTTGTCCTGGTAACACGGGGCTCTGGTCACTAAAAAGCCCTAGTTCACGCACGGCTATCTTCCACCGAAATCGGAACTAGAGCGTTCCTGGAAAGTCACGACCCGTATGAAGCACGGACGTCGCTTTGCTTTTCCAGTTAATGAGACTCTCTTCGGACGAAACAGTCGTAGCGTCTATGGGTATTCGCGGAGCAGGGATCCCGTCGTAGGTATACACGATCGTACTCGAAGAGAACGAGGGAATCATCATCTGTTCTAGGTGCAGTGGATTCATTTGGCAGGTCAGCTTTGGCTCGTAGAGAGGGTTCGTACATCAGCACAAACCACTTTTTCGAAGACCTGAAGACTTCTCCCTGACGTCTGCCGACATGTTTCTATTGGAAAATTGTGGTATTTTACCGCTCTCTTTGCATTCGAGCCTTTGCCGATTCTATCAGGGTAGAGCTGCTTTTCAATCCTGCGTACGCTTCGTGGTTGAATCCCGTTGAAGGAGTCGTTTCTATCGTGAAACGCCATGGTCGCTGCACTGGGCGAATTGATGAAGCGTTCAGCATACGACGACACACGGGCGCACATCTCGACTTTCTTCCGCAAGTCCTTCTCGCCTCGCGAAGGTCCGAACCTGCGGCTTGCAACAGGTCCGTTCATTCGACGAAATAAAGAATCCCATGGAGCGGTATGTGCACGCAAGTCGAGGATCCTGAAGCGCTGTTACCGCCGGATGCCGAAAGAAAACGACAAAATCCTCTTCTCGCCGACCATGGAGCGAAGCAGACCAAATGACGAAAAAGAAGAAGAACGGTTGAGATAGGCCAGAAAACGTGTCCGCCCGACGGGACGATCACGAGACTTTGGTGACACCGAGGACACGAGTTGAACGAAGCCCTGCATTGGCGCGTACCACCAGAGGCAGTTCACGCGAGACGTTCACGAACCGAGGCGTTAACGCCACCATTAATATCAGACGTTGTGCGGTGCGGAATACGAGACCTGAGAAGTTTAGGCGATCTAACTTTGTGGAGCAGCCTCTCAGGGTCGAAGTGTGCATGGAGAAGCTGAAGCCGATAGCACGCGCCCCGTCGAAAAAGGCTGAGAGACGTCTCCACATCAGGGGTTAGATATTCAGTCTATGGATGTCAAAATCATAGCGTGTAATGGCGAAACAATCTTGTCGGCATTGGCGAGTTGGGATGAGGATCCGGTTCAGGGTACGTTCAGCTCGACAACGCTGGACGAGTAACGGAACGTGTAAGTGAGCGCCAGTTTTCGCGGTGTATTCGGGTTATGCGGACGTGGACGCGCCACAAAGCTCACATGCACGTCGTCCCGTGCGCTATGATGCAGCAAAAGCACCATGTAAGGATGTCAACGGCGGACTAGGTCTGTCGCCGTACACTCTTCTGTGCAGGTTCGACTTGTGGCGGCGTCTCCGCTACGACAAATCAGTGACCGATTCGACTCCGTAGATCGGCACTGGTAACGTAGCTTTTGAAACAGGCCACTTTCTCAGACCATCATGATGTACTGAGCGTTGACGAGCCGTCAGCGTGCCCACTCGAAATGAGGGACCAGTCAACCGGGCACCATGGCATCCACGCGACGCATTCCGCATCGTGCCGTATTCCTGGCGGCGTTGGGCGTTCAGACACCTACACGACTTCATGTGCAGCGGTTTTACATATTCGTTTCGCGGATATGACGCACTGGAGTCGTCTGAGCTGCGTGCAGGTTCCGGTCGTCAGTGCCGCCTGACTCGAATTCAACAGTCCAGTGGTCTCGTACTAGGGAGCGCGTCCGCGCTCGTCTCGTGACGACCTGCGGCATACGCAACGTCGACGTCGAGGGAAAAGCCCCAAACAAAGCTGCTACTTCAGGGCTCTGATATCGTGGCGCGCGGAAAGAAACGATATGAGTTTCACCATACGCCCTTGACCCTGGTAGGATTCCTGGTACCAGCACAACTAGCGACAGCATGCGTAGTTGCACGATTCGTAGCAACTGTTGCTCGAACAGCATTCATCGTCGTCGAACGCCCGGTAGTAGTCACCGCAGCAGCACTCAGCGTAGTCGTTGTAGCAGGATATATAGTTGTGTGCTCGGCATCGGAAAATCGGCGTGTGCTGCTAGCGCTCTAAATCAAAGAGAAGCCTCATGATTCGCTGCACTTGCTGGCGGGCTGTGCTCGCGGTAGCTCCCTGTTCCGCGTAGTGTCGCTCGAGTCGATGCATCGCATCAGGATCAAGGTGGATACCTTCGGCGCTCACAATGGCGAGGCACTCGGCCAAGGCCGGCCATAGAACAGCAGGAGCCTTGCAATGGGCACGAATCAGGGCACGAACGCCAATGTGGCTCGGGAGCACTGTCGTAGCTGCAATTTCGCCGTTTGCGAACACATGAAACAAGTCTAGCGCGGTACGAGCACGGTGCGTTCGGTCACTAGCAACGAGCAACGCATCTAGTATCGAGCGAAGCATCTGTGGTGTCAGTTTCTCTTGAATGGTCTCGTTCCTACGCACATAGGTCTCGTAGATGGTAAAGGCGTAGTCCGCAAGACGCACCGCACGAGCGTTGTACGCGAGACCCCGGATTGCCGGAACGACGAGGCGCTGGGCATCTGGTAGGGTCCCTCGCAGGATCTGCAGCACTTGTGCGCCCTTGCCGTTGTAGGCAAACGCTTCAACCTCGGCGATGGGCAGAGCTTCCCGCGCTGGCGCTGGGCCGCGTTCTGAATCGGGGAGGGCGCTCCACCTGGACTGAATGCGAGGCAAGAACCGATCCGCAAGGCTAAAGAATTCCCTCCAAGAATGCCTTGATGCGTCAGGAAGTGATGACGGTCTCCAACGCGGATCTAGTCCACGAAAAAGAACCCGAAACGTGAAAGCGTCGGGTACGAGCCTTGCGAACCCTGCGTCATGCCTCGTCTCTTTGCCTAAGGCATACGGGCTAGGAACCCAGCGATCGTAAAACCCAAGCATTTCCTCAGTGCAGCCTCGGGTGCCGAGAAACTCCAGCATGATGTTCAATGTGCCTCTGTCTGGCTCTATTTGCCATTCCCGGCGGATACGCTCGAGAAAGCGTTCCAAGAAGCCTAACGGTTCGTCCTCGGTGATCGGATGCGGAAGCTGCCGACGCCGCCACGTCGGATAGAAAGGACCCCCTCGAGGTCCATTGCAGAGCCCGTCGAGCACCGTATTCAGGAGAACGATATCGGGACTACATTGATATCGCCGGCAAACGTCGAAGCACTCGTCCAGGTCCTGCGGCCAGCGCAGATACCCCAGCGCTTGAACACGACACTTCCACAGAGCGCTGTAGACCCCAAGGGAGAGTGCGGGAGCTGCTGCGTAGACCTGCTCCAGCGTGCGATACAGCCGGGTAACGGTCTCGGGTCGAAGCCAGCGGATCCATGGCGTCCAGCTGGCAAGCGCTTTCGCAAACGCGAGCTTGTCTGTTGGCTGTAATGCGCTCACGTCCCCAAAAGCGCTCGTACACCATTCGACGATATCCGAGAGCAGAGCCCCCGTCTGGCGATCATGTGGGACACTGGGCCAGGAAGCAAGCTTTGTCCGCACTGCAGCAGCGATCAGCGGGGCACGTCGATTCGCGTCGGGAGACCGGTTCTTCTCCCCAAACGGAACGCTTTCTGCCTGGCTGTGTCGAAGTGCTGCATGAAGGCTCTGGATGGTGTCGGAGTCTCGGATGGCTTGCAGCGCTCGGTGCAGGTCTGTAGCGCAGGAGTCCGGAGTATCCGCCGCTATCAGTGCCGCCTTCCGCAGTGCAGCACTGGCAAGCTCATTCGCCGACAGCGGCTGTTGTGAATGGCTGGAAACCAGACGACGACGACGACCTGGAGCATGTGTATGGAATCCGTCCAAAGTCGCTGCGTGTAGTTCAACGGCGCCGCTCTTCGACAGCAGCTCCGGGTGCACCTGCAGTCCGCAGTTCGACAGCCAACAGCTAGCACGCTGTGGGCTCAAGGCACTACATGTCCCCGGTATTCGCTGGTAGTACGGTTTCCAGTTAATGAAAGTAAAGTCCAGCGTGTGCAGTCGCAAACGAGCAGAAGAACGGTGCAGTTGCAACGCTTTCCCCAGCATATCGACGTCGACGTTGGAAGCAGTCGTTTCCGTGCCTCTAAAACTGTGAAACGCTGGGTTACCACTTGATGGCTCAAGACAGCGCTCTCTGCTTACTGCCACGGCCAGTCCAGGGGCAACGTTCCAAGCGGGACTTTTGTTTCTGCGGCTGTTCCAAAAGCCATGAAAGGAGAGTATCCAGTGGAGCTCGCAAATGAACGCATTGGCAGCGCGTCGTTCGTACCAACGAGGCCGAGCGCCACCAGCGACAACGTGTTGCTGCTCCTGAGACCGTGTGTTCGTGCTGCTGTTATTGTGCCTGGCAATGTAGCTGTTGCGGTGTCCAGCGACCTGGTGGTTGCATGGACCGAATGCGGTTAGCGGAAGCGCCAGGGTCCGGCTGCTGGGCTGCGGTGCACAAGACGAACCGGCCGACTCGCTCGAGACTCGCGAGACGCGCTATTGCACCTGAAGTTGCTCCTACAGCACGGCAAACTTTACAAGACTCCCTGAGAGCGGTATCGTGTACTGGTGAAAGAGCAGCCAACTGCTGGTGCCGGGTCTAGCAGAGGCAGCGCTGAGCCCCTGTTGATGTGCGCGCCGCTTTTGAACACGGGAATCGTCCGTTAAGGCACTCATGGAGAAGGGGCACCTGCTCCCCATCGCGTCCCACTGCTGGAACTTGAACCGCCATCGACCGACATTGCTGCGTCCCTAGCACGCTTTGTGTCCAGTTGCTTGTTCAGGGTAGCTTGCTACCGCAGCAGAATAGAACCTTCAGTCGGGAGCAGGTTTCCAGGTTGCGTCATTTTGGCTCACGCTTTCCCTAGCGTTCAGAACGCTGCAGCATCCCGTTGCTTGCCCCGCACGTACTGTGAAAGTATCACTCTCCGATGAAGGCATTGGTGCTTTCCAGGGCGCAAGGAGCTTTGGTGGGGTTCCATTCCCGCAGATGATACGGGAAGAGTCTCCATACACTTGAGGGAAAGAAGCGGCAGTCACCGTGGTCGAGGTCAGCGCCTCGATAGAGTCCTCGTATCCGAACGCGGAGCGTGCGATGCACCGCCCCGCCCCAAGGAAACGAATACGTTGGACCTGTTTTTCCATGGGCCACCTCGATGTGTCGTTTGTCCCGCATGCATGGTATCGCTCGCTCATGGGCGGGTGCACTGTCCACTGATATCTTCGCTGCACCGCAAACAAACAGCCCGCTGGCGTGATGTCCATAGCGGTCCGATGAACGCCAGCACAGCCAAGAGTGCACCGTTTCTGTGGCGTGTGTGTGTGTGTGTGCGTAATCGAAACAACAAACCGAGCGCTATCGGGTGCACGGAGCCTACCTGCTGCCGAAACATAATCCCCTACTCAGCTGCCGCCCGTTGTATGCTCTAGCCCTATACCGGTGCTCTTTGTTGAAATGAGACGCACCGGTACCGTGAGCATCGAGTCAGCGTTCCGGTGAATGCTCACCATAGCAACAGACTACGTCTCTAGTTTTGCAGGTAGCGCAGCGTTCGTCCGAGCAGAGAGTGCGCCCTCTCTGAACACCAACTTTGTCTTTTCCAGCCGCGGGGTGCGTCCCGTTCGGTTTTTTTAGTGAACTGGACTCGTGATTTGGACTAGCCGCGTTCGGATACACGAACACTGCAGGCTTATTATAGAGGAACTATCGGTAGTGCCTTTCCAGTCGCCATTGCAGCCAATACCGATCTCTACGCTCTCCGTGAATTAGACCCGTGATTCCAACCACACTCATTCGGATACTAGAACACTGCACGCTTGTTATAGAGGAACTATCGGTAGTGCCTTTCCAGTCGCCACCGCAGCCAATACCGATCTCTACGCTCTCCGTGAATTAGACTCGTGATTCCAACCATACTCATTCGGATACTAGAACACTGCACGCTTGTTATAGAGGAACTATCGGTAGTGCCTTTCCAGTCGCCATTGCAGCCAATACCGATCTCTACGCTCTCCGTGAATTAGACTCGTGATTCCAACCATACTCATTCGGATACTAGAACACTGCAGGCTTATTATAGAGGAACTATCGGTAGTGCCTTTCCAGTCGCCACCGCAGCCAATACCGATCTCTACGCTCTCCGTGAATTAGACCCGTGATTTCAACCATACTCATTCGGATACTAGAACACTGCAGGCTTATTATAGAGGAACTATCGGTAGTGCCTTTCCAGTCGCCATTGCAGCCAATACCGATCTCTACGCTCTCCGTGAATTAGACTCGTGATTCCAACCACACTCATTCGGATACTAGAACACTGCACGCTTGTTATAGAGGAACTATCGGTAGTGCCTTTCCAGTCGCCATTGCAGCCAATACCAATCTCTACGCTCTCCGTGAATTAGACCCGTGATTCCAACCACACTCATTCGGATACTAGAACACTGCACGCTTGTTATAGAGGAACTATCGGTAGTGCCTTTCCAGTCGCCATTGCAGCCAATACCGATCTCTACGCTCTCCGTGAATTAGACTCGTGATTCCAACCATACTCATTCGAATACTAGAACACTGCAGGCTTGTTATAGAGGAACCAGCTCTAGGTTCTTGGTACACACCTCAACCGCTTCCCTTATAGCTGCAACTGCATCATCGCGGCACTGGTGCTTCCGCTGAGAGCGCTCGCGTCCAGCGCGCATGCCGGCGCCGCGGTGGGCTCGCCGGCCGCCCATCGCCACCCTGGAGCTTGCTCTTCGACCTCAGCTCAACGTGGCTTTCAGTGCCTGTTTCATGTTCGTGACTATCGGTATTGGGACGACTACCTTTCGCGAGCAGAAGCTCGATGTGCATCGTGCACTCAAAGCATCTCAACCCGCGTGGAACGTTGCCAACGTGCGTTTCCGGGTAGCGTGCGCTCCGTTTCGCAAGACGTCGTCGACGACGCGGTCTCGGCGAGCCGGCACCGCCGCCCTACACGCCCGACTGAACCTGACTGAGCGCATTCCGGTGGCGGTCCTCGGTGCTACCGGTTCGGTTGGACAGCGTTTCGTGCAGCTGCTTGAGGGTCATCCCTGGTTCGAGGTAGTTGCTCTGGGCGCTTCGTCGCGTTCCGCGGGCCACAAGTACGGCGAGCAGGTGTCTTGGAAGCAGGCGACGCCCATACCCGCAGACATGGCCGATATCGAGATATCGGAATGTGATCCGAATGAGGCTGCCTATCGGGACGTGAGGATCGTGTTCAGCGGACTAGACAACCAGATTGCTGGCGAGATCGAGACGCGTTTCGCGCAAGCCGGAAAAGCCGTCTTCTCGAACGCGAAGAACCACCGCATGGACCCGGACGTGCCTATCCTGATTCCTCCCGTCAACGCCTCACATATTGAAGCAGTGCGAACACAAGCGGTGTATCGTCAGAGTGGAGGTTTCATCGTCACCAACGCGAACTGCTCTACGACAGCGATGACTATCGGTCTGGCGCCTATATGGAAGAGCCCCGAGCTTGGCATTGAGACGATTGTGGTTAGCACCATGCAGGCCATTAGCGGTGCTGGGTACCCTGGGCTCAGCGGTATGGATATTCTTGACAACGTTGTTCCGTATATTGGTGCCGAGGAGGGCAAGATGGAAACCGAATCACTGAAAATTTATGGAGAATACCAGCCGACTCGAGGCTTCGTGCCTGCAGAGATCAATGTTTCGGCGATGTGCAATCGGGTACACGTGCTGGACGGGCACACTGAAGCGGTATCCATCAAAGTCCGGAATCGCGGCAACCGGAGCAAGGAAGAACTGGCCCAAATGGTGATTCGAGCCATCCAAGAGTACCCGTCGACATCTCGCGATGTTTTTGGACTACCAAGCGGACCTGAACGCGACGTTGTCTACAATCAGGCACCAGATCGTCCGCAGCCGCGGCTTGATCGGAACCTGGGTAGAGGCTTTACGGTTACCGTAGGACGGGTGCGCCCCTGCAATGTGCTCGACGTGAAATTGGCCTTGTGCGGACACAACACCATTGTCGGAGCCGCTGGTGGCAGTATCCTGAACGCCGAACTCGCTGTGGTGAAGAAACTCATCGCAAGCGTCGGTGTAGGTGCAACGGAGCATGGCGCAGCCGTTCGGCGTTGAGCGCTAGCGGGGAACTCGCCGTACACGTGATGGCGCGTAAACCTTTATCATCTACGCACCCTTTGGTTCTATGGATGGAACGTGCGCGCTCTGCGTTTACGTATCCTTAGATTGCAATATTCACAACGTCTGGGTGCATCCGGAGAAAAGCCGTCGCAACTGCAATGGCCAGTGAACGCCCCAGCGATAACCCAGAGACGTAAACAACGCGGCGATCAAGCATGCCGCTGGAAGCGCGCCGACCTTGCCCGGAAATCATCGCCTCTGCTGAGCAGGCATCAAACAGGCATCGTGGTGAAAGCCTCGTCCAGGCATCCGCGCCCTATGCGCTCTTTAGCACATATTCGTTGGCGCGTCTCATGCACGGCAAGGCTGTAGCGTCATTGGCTGTGTGTCTGGATGCTTCAAGCACTGTGGCACCACGCTGTCAGGTCATGAGAGGCTTACGCAGCGGCTGCGACGCCAAGAACGCTCGCGCATTGCGTACGCACAGTCCTGTACGCAACGGTGCTTGGTCAGGAGCAATGCTGCTGGAGGTTTCATCCCGCTGCGTATTCAAAAGCAGGACCCGGAGTCTCAGTGCGCAACAAGTTCCCTATTGATCTGGGATCTGCTCAGCGAATGCGTCGACTGAAGACGCCTGTGTGTACCCAAGGAACGCACCGCATCGCACCACAGCATAGCATACCATGGCGTACCGAAGCGAACCTTGCATGCTGATCGATATCGGTTGCCGCGTCCAGGTCGAACGATGATTTCGATATTCCCTGGACAACGACAGACTTCGATCGGCTGTATGCGCAAAAGGCCACCTCAACAACCGACATGCACGCGCTGCCTCTGCACACTGACCAGGGTGGCCATGGATTGGCCAAAGCGCTGCGATATGCGAATCACAGGCTCCGACACATCTTCATCAGCGACCGCATGTCGCGCAGTGCGTTACGATTTAACGATTTGAACGACATCTTCGTCCTGAAGTACGTGATCTGCACCAACTTTCTGAGGAGAGAACTTCACAGACGAGCCCCAGACCCACGCGTACCGCATCTGATCCAGCAACGACTTGTGGATTCGACGGCACAGTGCGCGTACGGTGCAGTGTTCGGGTGCATTGCGGAGCACAATAGGTGCGTCATAGTCCGGTATTTCGCCCTTGGGCTTGGTGTAGATGCGGATCAGGTCCAGCTTTTTCCACATCTCCTCGAGGAGTCCATCGAGATTCCAGCCCAGATGTCCACTTATCGGCACATAGTCCTCAAGTCGGTCGTACAACTCAAGTTCCTCCATGCTCGTTGCGTCAATCTTATTTAGCACATAGAGCACCGGCACATAGACTCGATTCCCTTCCAGAACGTCGATGAGATCGTCGGGTGTCGCATCCTCCTTGAGCACGATTTCAGCATTGGGACAACGATACTCTTGGCATATGGTTCGGCAAAGCTCCAAATCGAGATGCGATGCCGGTCCCTGGAACAGGGTGGTCAGCGTGACTCCGCCGCGGTCTTTTCGACGCACCGCTATCCGCGGTCGCTGCTTCCCGAGTCGAATGCCGAACCCTTCAAGCTCGCGCTCGATGATGCGCTTGTGAACGACTGGCTTGGTCGCGTCCAGAACAATCATGATTAAATCACAGGAGCGTGCGACCGCGATGACTTGCCGGCCCCTGCCGCGACCCTCCTTGGCCCCTTCGATGATGCCAGGCAGGTCGATGAGCTGGATTTTTGCACCCCGGTAAAAGATGTTCGATGGAATAGCAGTTAGCGTCGTGAACTCGTACGCAGCCACCTCGCTTTCCGTCTCGGTGAGCTTACTGAAGAGCGTGGACTTACCCACGGACGGGAAACCGATCATGGCAACGCGTGCGTCACCGGTTCGAGCGACGTCGAAGCCTTCACCACCGCCACCGCCGCCGCTGGCTTTGGTGCTCTCGAGCAACAGTTCCCGCTTGAGCTTCGCAAGTCGGGACTTGAGACGGCATATATGACCCATGGTTGCTTTGTTCACCTGGGTTCGAGCCAGTTCATCCTCGATATCTTTGATTTTCTGCAGTGTCGCCATTGTTCCCCTACAGACTACACCGCCAGGGCCTGCGGCAACAAACGCGCTGTAGAGGCAGCGCGTTTCTCCACGGCGATATGCGATATTTGCCGCCGCGTCCACGCACTGCACCATTGCGTACCGGGAGGCGATGCCTCGAACTGACTGTGCTCGACGAGTGTGCGGTTGATATCGGTTGCTGGAGGCACAAATTTCGAATTATCGGGCGACAGGTCCACGATCCTACTCCAGGCAAGTGCGACTCGGCTTGTCCGCCTGGTCATTGTGGCCCAGAGCGCGAGCGAGCGCCACCTTCCGGCGCCTGTGAGGCTGCCTCGGCCCCGGTACCACGACGTATGCAAGTTCCCGAAACGAGGTCCTCTATGCTACTGGTTGTCCACGTGATCAGTCGGTGCCTGTGACTGAGCCTTCTCGATGACATTCGCTCTCGTCGATCATATTTTCGTGCTTCGCAGCGGCGCGTGCAGGCGAACGCTGCGATCCGGTGCGGCAACCTTGCAAGCGCGAATGCCCTGCTCTTGATAATTCGATGCTTTGCACGCGCAAACGGGTTTGAGTCACAACTATCTGCATAGGATCATGAAAGACGAACCGGTGCAATGAGGCATTCAGGAACGGGCGCACGGGCCTCGGAGTACCGGCTCTGAGCGGGCGATGTCGACGAGCGCGTCGTCAATACGCGATTGCGACCAACTTGGGGCCGCAGCAAGCATCAGCGGCCTCTCTGGCAACGCATCGACAACGAGACGAGAGACTGCTCACGTTAGACGTGCAACCTGATTCCATCGAGGCCATGGGAATCGCCAGACTCGATACAGGGTTGCGGGGCACGGCCGTCGATTCGCCTGCAACGACATACGACGCTGTTGCTGTTGCCCGGGACCATGCCATCTTCAGAGCGAGCGATCGACTTTGAGCGGGGCCCTCACATCCGACCAGCGAACAACGTGTCAAACTCTTGGACTGGAACGCTCGTTCTTCGTAGCAGGTAGAGCGAAGCGCGATGATAACCCATCTCTAACCATAAAGTACCCTGCTCGCGTGCACGTCGTTGTCGCTTTCCTCGATGGCTTCCCGAACGCAACACGCAAGCGTCTTGCAGCATGCATCTCCGTAGAACGTCGCTATGTCGCGAACCGACACGCACAAGGGTATAGGAAAGCTGTTTAGCCGCTGTGCTGCATCTGTTCCAGCGGTTTGAGCGCTACGGCGGACGCTCCAAGCACGAACTCGGCGCACGATAGAACGTACAAGACGACCAGTGCATCTGGATGGGAGTATCAGCAATGCAGCTTGGAGGCAGGGTGCAACAACATCATGGACGCTTTCCCGAAAGCCTATTCCCATCCGAATCGCACTCTGGAGTCCGTGATCGAAGGCAACGTTTTGCGATCGGACGCGCAGATCCTCAATCGCCGCGCATGCATGCTCGTGTTGCCATGCCGCGCAAGTGCATTGCGCTGGGGCGGCGAGGCGCGCTTCTGTAACTGTGGCACATTTGTCTAATACAGGCGACGCGCCCCCGCAGCAGCCGCAGCGACTGCATATCGGGTCGAGCGGGCGTGCAGGCATACGCCACGAACGCTGGCGCATGCTCGCGTGACTGCGGGCATTTTTCAAGGTCGACTGTCGGAACGTACCGTAGTGGAGCTGCACACGGGCGTACCTCTCACTTGTTTGAGTTAACTGTTTGAAAACATAGCGCGTAATTGATCAGAGAGGGGTTCGGAGAGAAAGAGGGGTGAAACGCTGTCCTGGGCGCTGAATTATTCGCAGCACGGACGAATGAGCTTCGTAACAACTGGGCCCGGGGGCTTGCACGAACTCGTGCTACGCCGCGTTCGCGACCTGGGGAACGAAGCCACCATTCGTCGGGTTATTGAGGCGACAACCTCGGGAAAAGCGAATGACTATGCGCCTTACGCTCCTGAAGGGTCGAAAACGAGCGGTACGCTGCGGCTATTGCTCGCCGCGATTTGGAAGAGCTATCTGCGCAAGCTGCAGACCGACCCGGTGGTGACCAAGTCCATCTCTGCGGCGATAATCTCACTAGTATCTGACTTGCTCGCCTCTTCCCTTTCGGGTTCGAAACTTAGCTCGCGTTCGCTTCTGAACCAGTTCAGTATAGGCTTGGCTATTCGTGGCCCCATTGTACACTACTTCCATCAGTTTCTGGACCGTGTGGTGTTTGCGCGTGTCACCAACCAGACCCAAATCGCAGTGGTCATCGCAAAGGTCATTATCGATCAGTTCATTTTCTCGCCACCGTACAACGCGCTTTATTTCCTTATCATTGGACTGCTGGAGGATCGCTCGCTCGCCGAGATCGGCCGCAAGATTCGTCGCGAGCTCTGGGGCGTGATGAAAACGAACTGGATTGTCTGGACACCTGCGAACATCATTTCGTACTACGCCATCCCGTTGGAACTGCGGGTGTTATGGGGTAATTTGGTGGGTATTATTTGGACCGCTATATTGATTTCGAAAGTGCGCCGAGGAGGTGGGAGCAGTTCTACCAGTAACCAGAACAGCGGCGGTAGTGGCAGCGGCGACATGTCCGCGAACTCGAGCGGTCACGCTCGTATCGGATCGTCGGAGCAACCCAATGATCAGAGCGGAACGCGTACCTACGCAAATGCTGCTGCAACGAGATCGAGTGTAGGCCTCAGGGCTGGCGACGCATCAGCAGCATCGGGCAAACATCGTCAACCTATTGCCGAGAACACGAACGATGTTGAGGAATCAGAACACCTGAATGACCATAATAAGTTTGAATAGGAGGGTACCAGCATAAATCCGGTTTGCTCTTGTTTCTTTTGCGTTCAAAGAATGCCTGTCAGCAGACAGGGCTTTGGATGAGAGACGCGCAGTAACGACTACTACTACTGCTACCACTACTACTACTGCTGCTGCTGCTGCTGCTGCTGCTGCTGCCAGCACAGATTTGGTCACGACTCGACTCGGACCTGCTAGGTTGTTCGTGGATGCGGCATGGAAGCGGGCACATTGGCACTGGAGCAGTGCGCTGCAGCCTGAACCCGCAGGCTGTGACACCCGCACCAGCGTGAAATTGAACAGGCTCGCGTACTTAACTAGGGCATACATACCAAAGGCCGTTCTCTTGCGACTGTCAAAAATACCAGCCTTTGCGGAGCGGTTTTCGCGACTGTTTCCTTTTCTTCTCTCTTATCTCCGGATTTCTATACGATGGTCTCTCGTTTCACCCCAGCTCTGATGTCAGCTGTTGAAGGAAGCGGATGGCAGTGCTCAAATCTCGATCTCACTGATTCCGGCGGTTTTCGACGACTCCTATGCCCGGGCATAAGTTGCCCGTGATGCTTCCCGTGCCATTTTCATCTGCTTGGTTTACAGACCGGGTGCGCATGTCAGAGCGATGACAAGCCCTATGGTGGTCAAGTGTTCCCGTGTGTCCACCGAGCCTCCGTCTTGTAAATTCGCTCTGTGACTCGTACAGGCTTGCTTCATCGCTCGGCATGTGTCCAGGTGAGGTGTATCGGACGCTCATCTGGATACCCGACTCCGTCTCCGCCTCCATCTTCGCAAACCGAGGCACTCTCCTACGATCACGCGCTTCTTCTGAGCGATCCTCTAGGCGAGTTTCCTGCCCGCTGCACGAGCCAGTGTGCGCTGCCTCATTTGATATACGACTTGTGGACCGTGATGGTGTACGTGATGAAACAAGTACCGGAAAGAATATCCAAGTTGGAGACCAAGTCGCGAAATTCGGATCCGTCTACCCACTTGCCATGCAAACCAGTGACGCATTTTCCAGAGGAAGGGATCGCTGCGAAGCCTGCAGTCCCAGCTCGAGACACTTGACGATGCAAACACATGAGACGGGAGCTTCTTGGAACACATCCTTTGACAAGGTTCCAGCTGGTTCCGCATCTGGTTTCATCGGTGGCTGCAAAGAATGGAGCACTGGTGTTTCAAGCGGAATCGCTCATTTGAGGTGAGAATCTCAGTGAGGGTTCGGTATGGGTTTTTTTTTCGGAGGACCGGTCAAGGACTGACGTCGCATCGTTTCCTTTTTTCTATGGACCTATCAGCGCGGAGCGGAACGTCCACGAGTTACCGTGAATGAGAAAACACCAAAGACTCGAAGCATGTGTGATTTGAGCGTGCCTCACACACGAGAAGCGGACGATTATGGTATGTAACGAGTCATTGTTCGAGGACGTCCGGAATCATGGTTATTTCGCTGATATCATGAATGCCGGGGACAACGCGTCCATAGAGCGATTCCGACGAGCCGAGCGAGATTCCCAAAAGCACCAAAGAATCCGTAGGGCTTTATTCCAGCACTTTGAATAACAAGGCTGTGCATCGAAACAATTTTCGAAAAGCGTTGTATACGAGAAACAGTGCGACTAGTTCAGTGTTACATTATTATCCGATACCAGTGTAGACTTCAAAGAAGCGTTTGTGATGTGTGATCTGTGAAACCGAAAAATGTCCTTTCCCATCGAGGGTAAATGTAGATCCACTTGCAGACGCGAGCCAGCCTTTTCTGACATGCCGACTGCTATCGGTTTAGGTTTCTCCTTGCAGACTTCGAGTATTAGACGCTGCACCATGGAGTTCGCTTGCGTCATCTCCTCGGATCTCGTCTTCAGCGTCACACAGTTTCTGGTATTCTCAGCAGCGTTGAAGTTTCGATTCACGAACTCCATGTATTTCTCGCTGCTGCTCGTACTCATCAATGGAAGCATTCCCCGAACTTTTGCCCTCCGAGCCACTTGCGTCTTGTCATTGTCCCGTGGGGCGAAGAGCTTTGCTCGCCCAGCGCCCGCTTCTTCTTCTTCTTCTTCGTTACTCGGCTATCTTCGCTCGACGGTCGAAGAGAAGGGCATGTATTCCCTTTGTTTCTGGCCTCCTGGATCCTCGCTTTCCATGTCGACACCTTTCCCTTGGATTTTTATTTCTTCAAATGAATGCACTTTGAATGTTTCTACTATAAAAGGCTAAAAAGCATTTGATGCCACGCACCTGGGCATGGAGCACAACTGAGCTGAAAGACCACAGCGAAGCAGCATCATCCTCCAGGCTGCTGGAACGCCGCTCTAGCCTTCAACACCTCATCTTCCTAGACGCTGCTTTTGCGGCAACCGCGGCTGCCGCATGACCTAACCATAGCTCATGTTCACTACCTCTCCGAATGCCGAAGAATGGTCTCTCTTTAGGGAAAGTAGAAGCGGTTGCTGCTAGTCTGGACGTTCCCGAGGGCTACCACTGGCCGCACGAGGCCTTCCGTTCCCTCGACGTTTTAACTCGGTGCCCGATCTGTGGGGAACACTTCCGCGCGCCTGTGCTGCTTGAGTGTGGCCACAGTTTCTGCAGCGAATGCATTCGTCGTGCGCTTGTTTATCGAAGCGAGTGCCCGCAGTGTCGAGCGCCCGCCAGTGCAGGGCAACTTCGTCGAAACCGTTTGGTTCAGGACGTTACAACCGCGTGGCAACAAGCACGCGAATGCGTGCTAACCCGCTTTTCACCACAAGAGCACGCTGGGAATACGGAATGCCGGAGCTCGAAATTGGAAGCTTCGACTGAGAGCGGCCTCACGGTTCGAGAAAGAACCGAAGCAGCTTGCCCGGTGCGAGCGGCAGCGCTGACCGCACAAGTTGCGACTAGAGGTCGCGCTCGGAGCGCTCCTGTCCCGCCAGACGAGCATACCGCAGCGGTATCAGCTGTTTGGACAGACAGACAACACCAGAATTGGGATGAAGCGGGTGTCTGTTGTGGAAATTGCGAGGAGTCGGCTTCCTCTGCAGTGTCAATGTCGAAGCGCACCGAACCCAGTCATCGATTCGAAAGAAGCGCTGAACGGGCGGGAGCCCAGCCTCCGAACGGAGGACTGAGCGGCATTGCGGCTGTACCGCAGCCGCTTCCAGTGTTTCAGAAAACAGACGACATCTACGCGGAGGATTGGTCGGAGGCTGCTCCAACTCGGACGCCCGCCGCGTTGCCTGGTGAAGCTGCACGGGCAATGGAGCCGCGCCCACGAAACGATGCAGAGTCGACGGCGACAAGCGGTCACGCGTCGTTCACTCGACGGGCCTCGTGCGAGAGGATCCAGCAAAGAGACCATACCAAGTATGTCGAGTGCCCCATTTGCAATCGTGCATACCCGCCGGCTTTTATCCAGGTCCACGTGAATGAATGCCTGGATCAACTGGATGCCGTAGAGGCGAGCGGCTTTCCGGAAGCCGGATCTCGGGCTTTGGCCAAAGCCACCAACACGCTCGAAGACGAATATCCGATGCGGAAGATTCCCGAGGTTTGGTACGACGGCCTGACTGAACGTCGTCTCCGGGAAATGATTCGGGCGCTCGGCATGAAAGCTCCACCAGCGTGGCTCCGGAATCGTCGTGGCCTCATTTACCTGCACCGCGAGTACGTCATTCGACATAATGCGGAGTGCGATGTGGAGCCGGTGACCGCGCGCAAACAGCGACGTAACATCTGCAGAGAGGTCGAGGAACTCGCCTGGTTCCAGATCGAGTCTGCGAGGCGACCCACACGACCAGAGGCAGCGCGTTCTTCGAATGCAACCTGAAAGCAGACGCTTGCTTCGGGCGAGCGTGCTGTCAATGTGCACAGGCGTCGACGATGACGCCTATCGCGTTGCGCTGTGGTATTTTGAAGCATTGAGGCCACTGGAATCGTTGTGAACAAGAAACGCTGACGACTTGGACAGATGCATGAGTCTCTTGCATGCTTGCATCGATTCGAGGTAGCTGTCATGCCACTGGGCTGTTTTCATGGGAAGCACTGCGTGTCAGTCGTAGATTCTGATGCGTACAGGAGCGCGAGTGAAGCTCAAACTCCTTGCGAGATATTTTCGAACTTGGTTCGTTATACCCAGTTTTTCCTGTTGGTGCAGTTTGGTGCGAATGAAAAAGACCGAGGAGTCGGTGATGAACGGACGATGAGGCCCAAACGGGGCCAATTGCTGTTCGCGATTCATTATTTATTAGAATACGCTACGCATAGGCATTTCGGAAGGGTAAAGTCTGTGCGTCCATCGATACACTGGAGCACCGATCTATTGCCCTTGCTTCTGCGCAGACCGCCCTCGATGCCACCTTCGCAGCAGTGTGTGTGTGTGTGTGTGTGCTCGTGCGCTACCTCGCGTCAACGCTCGCACATGCCCGTAAACGCTGTGCAATGTCTGTGTGTGTCTGCTCCGCGCTGCAGGTATAGGTGCGATAGCGAGCGCGCGTAGCAGGCACAGCACCCGGATGACCGCATCCACTGACTTGCTTCGCCAAAGAAAAGAACGAGTGACTGTCGTTCAGCACCTGGAGGTTCGTAAAACCCGACTCGTACCGCAGAATGGAAGCACGGATCGTCGTCGTTGCTGGGTATCGAACGTGTCTGGTGCTGCATCATAAATGCTTTCGTCGATAATGTTACGTATCGCGGACTCGGGCTCTCATGGCTCGTGGAAACGACCCTGTGCCCCCGAACAAAACGAACACAAACACTTCATCCGATCCGAACAGTTCCCCGCAACAGGCCGCGTACCATGCCTGGGAGCACAGCCCCGGTGCACATCGCCTCTTCAGCGCCCGTGCCGTCGAAATACCTGAACGAGACATGCAAGTCCCAGCCAGTCCAAGCCAGTTCTTCCTCTCACAAAAAGAAGATGCCCGGAAGAACTAGCGACTGTCGTTTCTGACCGACCGCCTCCGACCTGAAACAAAAACCCGCTATGGTCGCTCGTGGTGCTTGTGTTGGACCCTGCGCGATGTGCGCTTTCTCGCCAATGCATCGCTACGGAGCAGCAAAAGGCTCCGAATCATCGGGACCACGCCGATGCCACCTGTTTTGTGGATAGAGAAGCAGCGCCTGTCGATCCCACGAAGCGATCATACCGGGTTTTGCTTCGTCCTTCCAGATCTCCGTCGAACACGGTGGCCTGATGCAGCGCACCAGCACCGTCTCGTTCACTGTTTCGTACGAGTCTTCGAGGCCGTACCCGCTGTCCTGGATGAGCCAGTCTCCGGGTCGCCACAGCTGACTCGCGTGCCGCAGCGCACAGTTCTCTGGTCGGCCGACGCTAGCATAAAAGTTGAAACCAGGTGCTTCGTGGCGGTAATACACCGCCTGCTGCTGCTGCTGCTGCTGGCGGTTGCGTTGACCGTACCCATAACCGAGGCGAGCCATATGGTATCGCCAACATCCTTCGATGTGCCGCAACATGGCAGCCGGCGCCCGTTGTAGCGCTGGACTGCCCACGAAATGAACGGGGAAAAGCACCGACGCTCGACAGGGGTAGGTATGGGCGTAACGCAGGAGCAACTCTGGTGGAGCACTCGGGAACGCGGCATGCAGATACAGAAGGTGCCACAGAGCGGTCTGGTCTAGACTCGCTTGCGGCCACTGGGTGCCCAGTGCGATCCAGTTCCGCACAAATTGCAAGGATTCCGGTGTATTACGGAGGAGAAACGCTCCCGAGTTAATCTCGGGTCCATCGTGAACGACCACGTAGTGCTCTGGACTGATTCCTTGCAAGAACGTCTGGACCGGAATCGAAAAGTTCGTGATCACTGCATCCACATCAACGTACATGAACCAGTCGTACGGAGCGTCTTGCTTCAGTAGACGCTCAAGTGCGAAGAGGCGATTGTAGTGCGGTGGTAGAGGTTGTCCTGGTTCGGCGTGTCGCTCGGGTGTCGCAGCGACCTTCAACCAGTGATACGGATAGGAATCGAGTAGAAAATCGACTGTCGCTGACCATTTCTTGGCGTAGAGAACTTTGTTCTGAACCGCGTACGCAAACCGTCGGGCATACGCTGCCGTTGTCGTGCTGAGGAGCGCCACCCGAGGCAGCTGGGTTTCGTGCCCAGCCCCAGGCCAAAGTGCTCTTGGAGTGCGTTTGCGCGTCAGGGAATAACTACTGCGACTGATGCCTAATTGACATCCTATCCAAGAGCCGATAAGACAACAGGCAACAACGAAGGCGACGGTCCGACCGACTCGACGGCGTAGGTGACGCTTCATTACCGCTTCAAGCGGCGACGCCTGGTAAGGAACAGCGGTCCCGGCGGTGTCGTTTTCTGTAGCACTGGGGTTGCAGGCGCCTCGATGCAGGCCGTGGAGGCGTCTAGTGTTGCCACTGGCACGTGTACGGTTTCCCGCAGGTTCAAGAGGCGTTCGTAAGGACCCGGTTCGTACGCCTACGAGTCCGCGAAAGCAGGACGTGTAACGGACACCAGCTCGAGCAGCAGAACGGACTTTAAGGGGCAACTTGATGCAGAGCGCAGTACGAATGAGCTGTACACGTTCAGTGGATCAGGCGGTGGGCGATCCTCTTGTGCGTTGCGAACCTGTTGTTGGAGGCGGCATGCTGCATGACGACACGCTGATACGCCTGCACGAACAAGTGCCACGTCGCTTTTCCGCATGATATCAGAATCGATATCGATGCTTCTCGGTTCAGAGCTGTAGGTCATCGCGTGCGTCTGCTACCAATGTTAGTCGGTAGCGTTGGGTACGCGTAGTGCCACGATGTTGCTGCGACGTATGCAGCGCCGAGTTTCGTTTTTCGAGAACGAGGCGACCTCAGAGACGTTATCAGCAGCATCGATCCCGTTCACGAGCGCTACCGCCATACCTGACAAAAGGCTGATCACAGAAGAAGCAGAGGCCTGGTGATGCGACGCAATCCATCGTTGTCGACACAAACATGGCGTTTGTCCCGGCACCGAGTCTGGATATCCCGGATCTGCCACAGGACCCGGTCTTTAGCGCGTCAAAGACAGGACGGTACGAGTTGTGGTAGCTCGTTGCGATCGAGCTGTTGTCGACACGCGTGCTTTACTAGACCTTGAGCATCCCCAGGAATGAAGTTGTAAATACTGCATACCGACGATGCTGCGGTGTTATGGAGAAATTGAGGCACACGCCACTGGAAGCTGTGCAACATTCGAATGCATCTGCCTTGCGGATGCATTGTTGAGCGGTGGTCATGGCTCGTGGAACGCCATTCGCAGCGTCACATTGTTGCATCAAGAACTGCTCATGCAGAACCTTTTTCGCAGCACAAACGCTACGGTGGTATCTCGATTGTCGCCCATCTGTGGCCAGCTTGGCAGCCGCCCTACCGACTGATGACCGGAGCATTCGGGGCTTGCCCAGTGGAGCAGCAAGCGAACGTTTCCAGAGCGACACGTGGACACCCGAAGCGCGCGATCGATGTTGCTACGCTGTCGCTGCGTCTGTTTCTATACTATTTTTCCAATATAGGCCATGCTGGCCTGCTACAGCGTACAGGATGTGGTGAATCTGTGGATTAGCGGAGAATGCGCGGTTCAGCACGCCTACTAGATTCTTCAAGCCACGACACCGATGCCGGGCGCTTGCCCAGCACATGCAGGAATGCGAGCAGTTCGTCTATACACACACACACACACATACATACGCACGTGCTGCTTCAAGGATGCGGCCGCTTCTGCAGCGAGTTTCGCATCGTTGAGCGCGAACGAGCCGTCCGCGCAACTCGTTGCCGGCACGGGAAGCGCTGGCCCGAATGTTGTCGATGCCGCATTCATCAGGCTGAGGCCAGCGCCCCAGACTCGCATCCCAGGGCAAGTACGGGGCTTGTGCTCGCTCGCCCAGCAATCGTCGGGTGGATATAAGGCCTCAGATGACGGCCGATGAACGCCGTGCCTTTCGGATGAGAGCGTGAAGTCGATTCTTCACCGCATTCTCTGAACGCCCCTTGAGTTTCGAAGCGATGAAGGCCCACGCTGGCCCGCGTCGCTCATACTCGCGCAGGATGATGAGATCCTCACGGGCACTAAAGGGCTCGTGCCGAATACTCGGATCCAAATAGTTCCGATATCGTTCACGGCAGCGGGCGGCAGTACGTCCCGGCAAGCGTGACGCGATCTGCGTCCACGGTATTCGCAGGCCCGACACAGAGACCTGGACATTGCCGTAGGCGTTTCGTGTAGGGTCGTATTCGCTATCGGGCTGATCATGATCATCATCTTCATGGGGCCAGAGTCCACGAGGTTCCCTATCCCGCGTCATGTGCGCACCAGTTCGCAGCGTGGACAGATGCGCTTCCACAAGCTGGCGCAGACGATTGTCCTCCTCGGGGGTCCAGTCACGTCGCTTGCGGTTATCTTTCTCGATGCCGTTATTCAAGGGAATGGAATCAGCGAGATATTCTTGCAAGGACGTGTCTATCGTCTGCTCCGTGCCCGGACTCGGCTTTGTTTTGAGCTTTTTTGCCGTCCGGGGATGATCTTCTCCGAAAGAATCGGGTTCGCCGCCAGCACCCGCGACGTCTCTTTTTAGCGACAAGCTCCGAGTCGGCATCGACGACGATGCCGAGACGTCCGCGGACGATGTTCTGCGCCCATGGTCGCTGCCTCCACGAGAAGCGCGCAACGCTTCCCATCCGATCGAATGGAGGACCTGCTGAACAGCGCTCGCATGAGAGGCCTCCAGGAGATGCGCGCAGAAGATGCAAACATTAGGCTGTTGTGTATCTGTCGATAGATCATCGAAGCAGGCGGGGCCAGCGCGCGCTATGGAACTCGTTTCCGACAACGGAGTGCTGCGGGCGCGACACCAAGGCGTCGTCGTCGTCGTCGTCGAAGATGCTGACGGGTCGCTGCCCACACAGAACGGGCTCATGGCATCCAGGCGAGTTTGCGTGTCGAGGTGCACGGGCTGAGGTGTCACCGGCGAGAGCGCTGCTGAATGCGCCGCGGCGTTCGCAGCACCGACGAGGTCGCCTCCATCGAGCGAAGTATTTAACGGTGCACGCTTCCAGTTTGGATACCCTACACCTTTGAGGTCGTCTACTAAAATCGATGAGCATACGGAGTGCGTCCCGTGGTCGCTCTCCGACATCGTATCCTGACTAAGGCTCTCGATCGTGCCGGAAAGCGCCTCGGCAGTAAACCTGTGCAACCAGGTTTTCCACCCTTCGGTAAGACTATCGCTTGCGTACGAGAAACTAGAGTGCTCGTGTGGCTCAGGTCCAAGAAGCGGCAGCCAGTCAACAGGGATACAAGATAACTCGCTGGTACTCTGCTCCCCGGTTTCCGCACAAGTTGCCATAGAGCATAAAACTTCTAGTAGCCGATGAAGATATTTGGGTATGCCACTTGGCACGCAACGTACCAGAGAAAAAAAGCACGAAAATATCGTTGTGCTTTCGACTTTGTACACAAAACACCAACACAATTTATCACCTCGAGCAACCGTCGTATGGCTTCGTGAACCCGTCTGCATCGTCAGCTGTCCCCCGTCGTGCGGTACGTACCGCAAGCGTCTTGTCCCCGAATTCGCGGGCGCATCGAGCGCGCATCGAGTGCGGCGCGAGATCGAATGCATCGCTGCGCCACGTCTGCCGATGAAAGACGCTCCCGTTGCAGCGCAAATTAGTCGATCCGCTGCCGAGTGGCGCCAGATCGCTGCGCCACGTCTGCCGATGAAAGACGCTCCTGTTGCGGCGTAAATTAGTCGATCCGCTGCCGAGTGGCGCCAGATCGACTAATCTGGACACGGACCCGGCGGCAAGCGGCGCACAGCGGCCGGCCAGTGATCGCGGATCGAGTGGCGTGCGTGTTTGCCCTTCGTGGACGCGGGCGACTGCGCAAGTGGACACGACACCTCCGTTCAACGGCAGTGCCGCGAATTTGGCGACGACGACGACGACGATTCGGGGATGAGCGTTCATTGATCGTATCGATGTGAGATGTATCATTTGATTCATGTGGAATCATAGAGTTCAAGATATTTGGGGCGGAAGGTTTCAGATGGGTTCGGGTTTCTGTAAACGTTGGGATACGCGTTGCAGGGATACCGAGTGCTTGTAGCGTTGATCAACAGGGTGCTTGCGCACTCTTGCTTGTATAGGAGCGTGAGTTGGAGGCGTCGCACCGGTGGAGGCCAGTGACGGCGCCGACGGCACCGTTAGCATGGGGCAAGACCCGCGTCGGCGGGTCCCATTGGGTCGCGCAACTTTTCCGGGACGCACGACATACTTTACAAGAAAATTCTGTGCACAAACGGCATCATGTGTTTCTATTGCCAGTGGTAGGAGCTAAATCACGCCTTCGCGGAGCGGGGTGGTCGGCACCAGCGGTCGACCGGAGCCTGAAAGTCTACCTTGGCGGACGAGCTCCTCCATGCGTTGTCGCGCTTGCGTCCGGCATGAAATGTGTGCTCTGCGCCTGCTACCGTCGCTCAACAATGCTGCTTCGGTGCTTATAGGGTCGCTCTCCGTTGAACTGAAGTAGCCATCGACGGCCGATTCAAGTGAATCGCTGCGGCGGAGTCCAGTTGCTGATACGAGGTTCAGATCCGACATGTCTGCGCTCAGCGCACTGGTTTCCGAGTCTTCCCGCTGAGTTGGTAGAGATTCCGCGGACGGATCTCGCTTTCGGAATGCCGTCTGGATACGCTGCCAATTTGGTGGCTCGTCGGATGGCTGAACACTGCCAGTCCATTCATGCACAAATTGGGTCCAGCCTGCAGAGCTCCAGCCTGACGCTTCCTCTACAGACTCAACGTGCAGGTCATATTCCAGAGATACTTCAGTTTCTTTGAGAACCTCGAGTGTTGGGGCTTGCGTCGCTGGATTCTGGGTGAGATGTTCAGGGCTCGCCTGTCGCCAGCATGGACTAGTCTGTTCATCGGCGAATGCCGCAGATGCTGCGACGCCCGGGCGTGATCCGCTAAGCCAGCCGCACAGCGTCTCCGTATCTGCACCCGTCTGGTTGCCACTGAACTTGGTCGACCAGGGCGAGGCCCAACCAGCCATTGCCGATGACGCACCGCAAGCGACCCGTGCTGGCCGCGGTTCGAATTTCGGCTCGATGCACGTATCCGCCTGATTGAGCTCTCTCGCTAGCGACCAATCCCCGTCAACATGATGCTCTTGTGTCACGCGTTCAAGATCAAACGATAATGAAGGCAAGGGACATGTGGATCTCTTCATCGGGCAAGCTCGCTGCGCTGGAGCAGTCACTACTGTTCGCGTCCCTGAATCGTTTTCGGAGGTTGCTTGGCTCGGCGCTTCCGACACCACCGTATGAGCCTGGTCCGAGGGCGACACCGCGACTCGCGGGCAAACGCTTTGGCTTGGTGATCCCGCGACCGCTCGCCGACTCGTACCAGTGGCTCGCGCCTGCACCTGCTCGTTGCTCGAGCGGGTGTCCAGTGTGCTGCTGAGTGCACCACGTCGCAGTCGCTCCCGAGCTGCATCTTTTGCCGCCCTGCTTTTTGATTTTAGCCGCTCCTGATTTCTCGAATAGTAAAGCAGGTTGCGTGTGTACTGGTAAATTCTTTGCTCGTGAAGTTCGAGCCAGCGACGCTGTGCCTCGGACTCGTCTCCACTCGGCAAACCGGTAATTCGCGCAATTTCCAATCGAAGAAAGCGCTTTCTCGGCTTGGTCAGGAGGACGCTTGCTGTGACGGCGTCTCGACTCTTGCTCTTTTCAGAGGAACGGTGCCAGTCGTCGGCGATCCAGTTGCGCACCTCCTGTTGGACAAGCTGTTTCACCACCCGGTGGTACTCTCGCCGCTGTAAGTTACCGCCTTTTGCGGTTATTTCCCTATACAAAGCATCGTGCTTGTGATCACTCTCATAACCCATGCGATGGACGCACTAGAAAGCGGACGGAACCTGACAGACCTTGCGCACAAGTCACACTTGTGTAAACAACCAACGTTCATGTGCGAGGAAGCATCTGGAGTATGTCACACGCGTCGTTACGCGCGTGCCGCTGTCGTCGGTGCCAGCGGGCCGGCGCATGCCTTGCTGCACCCGCCGCAGATGCGATACGCGTGTCTAATGATGACAGAACACGGAGCTGCTGCTTGCTCGGTACCTGCACGTGGATTCTGTTTCAGAACTTGCTCTAGGCGGACATCATCGACATTTGGAGTGCAGCGATAAAGGCCTAGGGATTCAGACGTGGGTTAAGGGTTCTCGGTCTTCTGTTCGAGGTGGCTCGTTCGACGCCTCACCGCTGGAATGCTCTATCTGGTCAGCGACACGATGATTCGCTACGCTCTTGGACAGGAATGCATAAACGATCCGATATATGGATCGAATGGATACGTATAAGCACCGATACCTCTACGCTGCCCACGAGTAGCATGCGTGAATCATGCATGCTTCAATGTTGCGATCTGTTTGCATGCGACTCATGGGCGCTGCAATATGCGGCGCTGGATCGACACGCAAACAACACGAAGGCGTCCTTTCATGCTTTGTTCTCAAAACTGCGGCCAAAAAGTTCATTGTACGTGTCGCGTCGAATGAGCAGTTGGTTTCGAAAGACAGATCCCCTTCTCTTTGCGGTCATCGACGAACGACGTTCCGCGGTAGCGCGACACATTTCACGGAATATGCTCGCAGAGGTTCCCGCTGCTTCTTTTTGCGTGCGAATGTGTCTTGCACTCGAACTTGAATCACTGCAACGATTGCTTCCAGTGGAGCATGCGTCGTCGCTTTGCGCGCGAACGGCGTCCAGACGGATCGAGGTGTCCCGACATGTTCTCCAATCTGGATTTTCATTCCGGTGCTTGTTTCGTAAATAACGACATTGCGTTCCGTAAATGCCCTGTCGAATCGAACAGCAGGCTCTGATGTGCGCAGCGGATAAAGCGTTCGCTCATGGGATCGTCCAGAAGACGCCCGTGATCGTACGATATGGAATGGGTCGCGAACCCAGAGCAGGATATCCCGGGAAGCCTCATGTACCCGCCAAGGGCATATCCCGAGCGATGGACCGAGCGTACACGAGAAACAGAGCAACCCCCGGAAGAGGATGCATGGTGGACACACCTGGGGACGCCTGACCGCAGTTCAGTGTCACCGCTTCGATAATCTCCGCATATACCTTCGGTGCGACCTTCGCAGCGGTGCCCAAAATGTAGATCGCGTCTTTTGGCTGTGCATCAAGTTCAGCGACAACAGCCGAAAGCGGAAAAATCTGCACCTTATAGACGCTATCCATGCGCTTCGACCCATGACAACGAAGGTGAAGCGCACGGAGAGAATTTCGTGCAGTGAACCAGAAAGAACTGATGGGAAAAGGAAGCAGTTGAAGAAGAAGTCTGCAAGAGCCGGAGTTGATAACCATAGGAACACAACAAAACCTGAGTACGTACATCCGAGCATGGCAAGTGGACCCATTTGCTTTTACACGTTCATATACGCATGTGTAGGCAGCTTGACGAAAGCGTCCCATGCTGGTGCCAACGCGGAAGCGCCCCGCGTGTGCGAGTTCCCGTTGATACTCAGCGCCCTTCAGGGTGCAGTCAGGAGCCCGGTGCACGCATGTCTGCGCAGACCCGTCAAATCCCAACCGACGAGACGTCATACACGAACTCCGAATGAAGTGCGCGTCCAACCGATGCGCTTCAAGGCACAGGAACGCGATTCCGTGTCCGAGCGGTGATCGTTGGTGTGTCGCATCGGGCGTCGCCGGCTGAGCTGGGCATTCGGAGAATCCATAGCCCTGGATCCAGCCTGCATTACCGTTGGTAGGACTGGCATGAGGCTGACGAAACGTTTTCATAGCTCGAGAGGAGCCATGGCGCTCGATTTCCCGGCTGAAGGCAGCAGCGCAGGCGCCCTCGCGAAATGGGCGCTCTCCATGCCGCGGGCGTCTGCCGCTCGACAACGAGATTCCTGGTAGACGAAACATGATATGTATCATATGCGACAATCATGAATCTTTCAGTCACCTGCGGACAGAGGCGTGTCACCGGCGACCGGCCCCATCGGAGCAGAGCTCAGATCGTACCTTCCCAACGAAACGGTGCGACTTCTCCGCATGAGCGTCTACAACCAGTTTGTGCCGTCAGTTGGAATCGAGAACCGTACAAGTCTGCGTTATTTAACTGCGCACCATGTGCGGAACCTAGCGACGCAACCAGCTGTTCGACTTCGGCCCCGATTCCTCTCGGTGCGTAGAGTGGGTTGGGCGCGACCTCTACTGCGCCTCCGCAGCGAGGTTCCCGCCACCGTCCATGGCGCAGATATATACCATTCACCACTGTTTCGGAAGCACTGGCCATATGGTGAAGACTTGGACGATGAACCCCAGCACCCGGAGTGTCCTCACCGGGTAATCGTCATTGAACGTGCTTTACACGAGTCACAGTTACCGTTGCACTGGCACGAGGTTCCGCGTTTCCGGGAGCCGTTTGCCGCGAACTGCGCGAAACTGCTGAAAATAGTCGAGGCTAGCGGGCTCGAGGCTCTGGAAAAGGAGACGGAGGATCCAGCTCTCGCGCGGGCTGTCCGAGCGGCCGCTGCGGTTCATTTTCTGGACCATATAGCGGAGATCCACCGCCTCGTCCATGTGCGCGGAGCTACTCGCATCGACATGGATACATATTTGAGCGACGATACACTTGAAGTTGCCCTCATGGCTACTCGGGCTGCTTTGGAAGCCACCGACGCGGCACTGAAGGACCCGAGTCGCCTGGCTTTTGTGGTTTCGCGTCCGCCAGGACACCATGCTACCCGAGCAACCGCCATGGGCTTTTGTTTTCTGAGCAACGTCGCTATCGCCGCGCATGAGGTTCTCAAACGCTCCGACAAGGGTGAATTCTCCAGACCAATAACCAGAATCGGTATTCTTGATTTCGATGTGCATCACGGGAACGGAACAGAGGACTGCGTTCGACAGCAGGAACGGATCCGCTTCGTTTCACTGCACGAGCACCCGCAGTACCCCATGACTGGGGGGAATCCGAACGAACACGGTCCAAAACATAACATCTGGAATTTTCCGCTACCTGCCGGGACCGATTGGCACAACGGCTATGCGGAAGCGTATGCCGAGGCGCTCAACCGGCTCTGCAGCGGTACGGATCGATCGGATGTGGTTAGCGACCTCGACCTGGTGCTCGTCTCTGCTGGCTACGATGCACTGGCGAGTGATCCACTAGCTGGGTTGCATCTGAAACCATCAGATTACAGTGAAATGGCTTTTCAGCTGATTCATCGACTCAAACCATCTACTCCCGTAGTCTTCTGCCTGGAAGGTGGATATGATCTCAACGCCATTGGTGAGGCCGTCTCCCAGACCATTCAAGGCGCGCTTCGAGCTCGTGCCGAACAGCCTCAGGCCGTCGTCTGAAGAGGTTCGCTCGAACAGCTCAGTAAAGGTAGCCTCGTTCAATCGTCTTGCTATGTTCGTGCTGCGCACGATGTCCTCGTTCACCTCAGAGCTGCGCACGGATGCGAATCTCAGCGCAACCGACCGATATTCAGCGAGAGAAGCACCAGTGCCGATGGTACGCTCCAGACTCGGAAGGTATCCACATGCTCCAGGAGAAAAATCTCCGACGTGAAAACAGAGCTGCGCAACGCCTCGAGTCACGTTTCGCATGCTAGGCTCGTCGCGAGGCCGCACCCGCACGTACTCAGCTTTCCCGGGTACTGTCTCCAGCGGGCAGCGACGAGCACGTACTGGTGCCGACGTCAGAACCGTGGAGCTTCACGACCCAATATGAGCAAATGCCGCAACCCCGCGCGCGCCAGCCACATGCCTCACGCACAACCGGATGCTTAGGTTCGCTTCGCAGACGCCGAGTCCGTCGTCAGCTCCAACGCTCTGCAGTTCAGGCCTGTGGTGCTGGTGCAGGCCGATCCGGGGTATGGCGGCGCAGTCGGGTTGCGGGAAGTAGTGCATCGCCCGTGCCAGTCGAATCCGGTACGCTGTATGGAGGCTCTGCCGCTGACGACAAGGCTCGTGCGCGACTACGCCGAATATCTGACCACAGATGGTGAAAAGAGTCGTAGTCCCTTTCCATCGGTCGATTGCAAATGCCCCTAGCGGTTCACCTGGTTCAATGCACAAGTGATCTTGCACCATAGAACATCCAGTGCCACTGCAGTCGTGTTAAGCAGCCACCATCACCATCATCATCGAGGTCTTGACTCGGAGCCTCAATCCTGTTCGTGTCTCCAGAACAGGCACCCACACAGGTGCGATCAGACGGACTCTCCGCGCCGATGCCGCGAAGCATTCGCCGTCGAGTCCTCGGTCAGATGTTGCGCTTGCAGTCGAGCCTCGAGCCTTGAGAGCTCGCGCTTCTCCAAGAGGTCCCTGATCACTGCAGCGAGCTCAAAATCCAACTGTGCAGCAGCTTCATGCATGTGCGTACGAAGCTGCTCATCGTCCAAGGCGCCAAGACCCGCCGGTAACCTGCCCCCGAGGCCCATTTTCGAACTGGTCTTCTCTCGTTTCAGATAGGGTTCATGCTTCGCAAGAATCGAACGCGGCTCCATTCCATATTTCGCGTTGTAGGCTGCTTGTATAGCTCGCCGTCTTTCGGTTTCTGAGATCGCTCGCTGCATCGAGTCCGTCAGCGTATCCGCGTAGAGCGTCACGGTGCCGGCTACGTGGCGCGCCGCACGCCCCATTGTCTGAATGAGTGCGGTCTCGCTTCGGAGGAATCCTTCCTTGTCCGCGTCGAGAATGGCCACCAGACTGACCTGAGGGAGGTCAAGGCCTTCCCGAAGAAGGTTCACGCCGACGATCACGTCACAGCTTTCTGTGCCAAGGGCTGAGAGCACCTCTACCCGCTCCAGAGCGTTCAGTTCGGAATGCAAGTAGCTGACCCTGAAGCGCTGTTCGCGGAGGTAACGGCAGAGTTCTTCAGCCATTCTCTTCGTTAGGGTGGTAATCAGGGCTTTCTCTCCTCGCTGTACTCTTTGGCGAAGCGAAGCGGCTAGGTGTTCGATCTGGCCCCGGGTAGGGTGCACCTGAATCCGCGGATCAAGCACATGCGTCGGGCGAATCAACAACTCCGCCAGGGCACCGTCGGCGAGACACAGTTCGAATGGGCCCGGTGTAGCTGAAACAAACACGCAGCGATGGACCTTGGTCCAGAACTCTGACTCACGAAGCGGTCGATTCTCCAGAGCGCTCGGTAGACGAAAACCGTAACGTACCAGGTTTTCCTTGCGTGCGCGATCTCCATGGTACATACCCCGTATCTGCGGAACCATAACATGGCTCTCATCGATGATGAGTAACCATTCGGGGGGAAAGTAGTCCAGTAGGCACTCGGGTGGTACATCTGGTGCCCTGCCCGAGAGGTGCATGGCATAGTTCTCGATTCCCGAACAGTAGCCGTGTTCGCGCAACAGCTCAAGGTCCTGGGTCGTGCGTCGCTCCAGACGCTCGGCCGCGTGGTGCTGCCCTCGCTCGCGGAGCCGTTTGCAGCGGCTTTGTAGTTCAGCGGCGATAGCCTGGAGCGCCCGCTCGCGCTCCTCCTTGGGCGTCACGAAGTGCCGAGCGGGATACAAGGTCACATGGGAGCTGTATTCCACATCCGCTCCCGTTTCGCGATCCACATACCTGAGTTCGACAATTTGATGATCCTGTACATCGATGCGGAGTAATAGCTCCCGCTCATCCCACGACGGTAGCGAAACCTCCACCGCCGTATCCCTGATCCGAAACGTACCCGGATCGCGGGGATCGGCTCTGCGTTCGTAGAGCATGGCCTCCAGTTGTAAAACGATCTCGTCGAGACTGCAGACATCACCGAGTTTAAGGCTTGTCGCTGCTCGAAGGTACGTTGACGGCATGCCGAGGCCGTAGATGCACGATACTGACGAGACGATGATCACATCGGGGCGCTCGAACAGGGCGCGCGTGGCAGCATGGCGATAACGATCAATGTCCTTATTGATGCTTGCCGACTTTTCGATGTACGTGTCTGTGGCACTGTTGTAGGCCTCTGGCAGGTAAAAATCATAATAGCTCACGAAAAACTCGACTGCATTCGATGGGAAGAATCCCCTCAGCTCACGATACAGTTGTGCTGCGAGCGTCTTGTTCGGTGCGAGTACCAGGGTTGGTCGTCCGTATTGCGCGATCACATTTGCGATAACGAAGGTTTTGCCAGTGCCCGTAGCGCCTTTAAGGACCTGGAATCGTTTCGAGGGCAAACGATCTACGAGGCACTGAATGGCTGCAGGTTGATCAGCGGCAGGTGTGTAGGGCGCGACCAGCTGGAAACGCTGATCAGGCAGTCGCGCAAAATGCTCTGCCAGTGTCTCCTGCTCTGCGCTTCTGCGAGGCGATATCGAAACGTCTGCGGGTATCGGTAGAATTTTGGTCAATGGAACAATTTGATCTGCGTCGTCGGAATAGCGGAAGATGTGCCAGCCGTGCTGTTCGAGGTGTTGTTGAGCGTCCGCGTCCAGTCGCCCGCGTCGAAGCAGCAGCGCCAGTTGTGTACAGAGTCGCCACATCACTGCATGCCGTGCAACAAGTCGCTCTGCGTCGGGTCTTTTCAGTGGCAGCTTGCGTTCTATGACAATGACCGCCATACTATCGTCCAAGTACAGTTTCATTGATCGGGAGAAGCGAGCGTTTTTGGTGATCGCGTGCTCCGCACTCCCATTGCACACCTCTTGTACGAAGCGAACAAGTCGCTCAAATGGAGGCCGCTGCTCGGTCGCCACACGCGGATCCAAGGGACGCCCGTGTGCAGTTGCTGCAAGCACCGCTCGGCTCGCATCGTTCGTTGCGTTGCAGACGAGCGTCAGCGAAGGCCAGCGCCCGGCGCCGTTGGCGAGCAAGCGCATCACGACTGGGCCGTGGAACACCCCACCACCGATCCGCAAACGACACAAACATCCCGCGTTCCTCGCTAAACCTGACCTGCATAATCCTAAATTCCCTATGAGGAACATACACGCAAGCGCGTCAAAGCACAGACGAGAAGAGTTCAACACAGACACACACTCGACAGAGTTCACGCTGGTGCGCAACTGTCATGTCCGCCTGCCAACGGATTACAGGAGCGCGCTCCTTTGACGGGCGATTTGCTTTGCGTTTTCTCTCGGCGATCAAAAGTTTACTTTGACCATGCATCCCAGATTGCGGGATGCGTATTGGCTTTCGGAAAAGCGTCCTTAGGGCTGCGCAACACTACCAAGTTCCATGACGTAGACTTGCATTCGGATGTACTGGACGTTTAGTACGTTCTATCGTGTGCCGAGTGCCTGCATTACTGCACCAGCCGTATCGCATATGCCTCTGTTACGGATCCAGCACGGAGACGGAACGGCTTTGCCATAGAACAGAGGGCGTCGGCTCGAGGTATGATTCATTCAACATGGAATCGGGATTCATTAGCCTGCTGGGAGCGTGCAAGCTGCGCAGACACACATGCTGCCTGCGACAGCGCGAAGCGACATACGAGGCGGATACCACGCCGACCAGGGCGATGCCCAGACGCAGCCTGTCCGCTGGCAGTCCCAGATTACACTGCGTTCCGGATGAGCTGCTGACATTTCCCTACAGGACTCGCCACTCGCGAGGGCATCGTGCACTAGCCCGATAGACTCGTCCGGCTCGCGGAACTTTCTGCCTAGAAAGAAGAGTTTCGAGGATACGGAAAGCGTTTCCCCCTCCTAGCGTTCTTCGTAGTGGGGGCGGGAAATCTTTATCTCGTTGCTGGTGAATCTTGAGTCTCTGTTCTTTGCCCTGAATAGCGCGCTCGATACGTGCGCCTTTATATTTGGCAGGAATTGAACATGTCCTGCTTCTCATCGTTGAAGAGAAGCGCAATCCTGATCATTATCGTGTTGCAGCAAGGTGCAATGTGGATTTGCATGAAAGTCGTCGCAAAGTATAGTTGTGTATCTCAATTGGGTTTCAATCTTTACATTTGTGGATTCAAGTGCTTTTTCGCTGTGTATAACAAAAACGTTCAAAGTGCGTTCTCTTTTGCAAAAGGAAAGAAAGGAAAGTTATGGAAGTAGAAGTGGAGGATCCTGCAGGCCTGGTGTCGGCGGCTGCCGCAGAGAACAAAAAACATTTCCGGCACCATAGGAACGGGAAAAGACGAAGAATCAACGGGAACGAGGGAGGGCGGACGTCAGACGCCGCACGAAAAACGACACTACGACGAGATGTTCGTGAAAGCTTTTCTTTCAAGCCGTATCGAGGATCCCTACAAGCAACCGTTGCAAGAGGTCATCAGAAACCCTGTCGAATCATATTCCAGGAGTGCTCAAATCTCCTGTTTAGGACTGATGCATATGACGAGGGAGATGTATCGCGGCGTGACGCGCATAGAAAGAGTCGAGGTTCCGGAGGAATTTTCTAACGAGACCTTCATCCGCCACTTGATGCTTGGCACGGGGGAAACCTCGAAGAGAAATGAGCGAGCGCATGACGTACAGGAAAATGACACCGAATTCCGCTTCAACGGTACTCGATACAAGTATGACGGGGACATTCACACCTACGGGGCGATCTAGTACCCCAGGATCCTGAGGAACCCCATGATCGTAAACTTCGACCGCATCATGATACGCTCCGTCTTTGCACTGTAACCGGGCCTCTCTCGCAAAGGGATATGGGCTATCGTCGATGGCATCACGAACGATAGTGACAATGAAGAGGAGACCGAATTCGCCGAAAAGAAGGCATCACCCGGGAGCATGAATGAAGCTTCTGTGCTCCGTGCGGCTCTTCGAGAGCACCGTACGGGTTGGCGTTAGCCAATCCTGCAGCAAAGGTATCAGAGATGAAAAGAGATGCTATCCCCTCATCCTGCGCTATTTCGTGTTCCTGAACCGAGAGCTCGAACGCAAGGCGGAGATGGAGCTGGATGTGGAAGCAAGTGAAAAGTCGGTGAAACGGAAGGCTGCGCTTCTGAAGAGGCGCTTCAACCTCGTTCTGGAATGCAAAAGCAAGTCGCGCTTTGTGGCTAGCGATTCCAGATTCCTTCGCTGCTCCAAGGAGATCTGTCCGAAATTCGATGTTCATAACAAGGAATTCACGGGAGAAAAACGGTGAGACTCATCGGAAGAATATCTTCGATTTCAAACGTCTCAAAACGAGCAAGAAAAAGGTATTCACGGTGACGATCGACAGCGATGGGGTATCCATATGTGTACATTATCGGCGGTTGAAGGCGGATCGTCCAATTGTGCCTTCGGCTTCGCCCGCGGCGAGGCACGAAGAAAACACGGAGGCGGGCCCTGGATCGTATAACCCCCAGAAGAACGACATCGTGGCAGGCGCAGACCCCGGGAACACGTATATCATAACCATCGCAGTGCCCAGGGGTGCGAAAGATGGTATTGCTGGCGGCTTGCGTCAGAAAGCCATGAGTCTTTTAAAGCACTCAAAAGCGAGATATTACCGAGAGTCTAGGATAATTCATGCGAGGAAAAAAGTGTGACGTAGAATGCAGCCGGGAAGGCGCACCTGGAGGCGATCAGCCAGGTGACGGGCCGCCGAGCGGACTCTGAAGCTTTTCAGGAATTCATGAAAACTCATGCTGCTCACTAGGAGGAGCTGTGGAGAGATTACGCAAAGCTCCGGTTGGCTCGTCAGCGTATGAATCTCTACTGTGGGAAGCAACATGCGTTCGCCAACTTTTTCAATGAGTTGAGCGCCCTGGAGGAGGACGAGAGTCAAACGCTCGTAGTAGCATACGAAGCAGGGCGCTCGATGAATCAAAAACGGAGCATACCCGCTCCGTAAACCACAGCGTACAAGGAGTGTGCACAGTGTTTTGTCATAATACCGATAGATGAGTTCCGAACGTCATATACGGACCATGAACGGGGGTATACACTTCACCGGGTCGAGATGGAAAAGTGCCAGAGGAGCCCTGTGAAGATATAGAAAAGTAAGGAGAGCTGACAGAAGAGCAAAATGGAATGGAGGGCGAAAGTTCCAGGGCTACTTGCACTGGTGAGTACAAGCGGTGGCAAGAAACGTATGGAGTTTATGAATCTTGACTTTAACGCCGCTATCAATATCAGACGAAGTGCGATTCTGAAGACGGGACCTGCAGAGCTGACGAGAGCCAACTTTGTGGGGCAGCCAGTCAAAGTCGAGTTTTACAAGGAACAGCCGAAGCCGATATCACTCGAGCAGTCGAAAAAGGCTCGGAGGCGTCTACGCGTCGGTGTATAGACATATACGCTCTGGGTCTCACGGAAGCAAATGCAACGATGCGCTGTCCATTGGCGATACGCTGCACGCGTTTCAGGCAACGAAGGTCGCTGCTGTGAGTCACGGCAGCATCGATGCCCACGAGAAAGGCAGTTCGATGCAACAACCTCACACCACACAGGATCGTTCTCTGCGGACAAGGCGAATCGTTCACACTGCTGCTCGGTGCCGGATTGGCTTCAGATGCCGGCGATGATCTCTCCTCGTTCATCAGCGTCGACAGCAATCCGAGTCGCCCCGAGTCCGGGCACTGAATCGATGCAACTGTGGCGCAACCATGTCAGATACTGTGTCGCGTTAGCCGTGAAGCCCGAACATGCAGTCATGTATGTGATGGTCTGCATCCAGTGACTGCAGCACTGCATCGGGGCGCTTTCGGGGCGTGCACAGGTGCCTCTGGGTCGATGATCCTGGCGAGCGGCGAGACGTCCGCGAGCATCCTCGCAGCGAAACAATGGTGATAGATGCGTCATCCTCGCATGGCTGCGTCCTCGCGAATAGCGTCGAGCGCGCTTGCCATGAGGCTTACCAGCATCGACCGAACAGACCAAAATCCCCAGAGGAAGGTACGGTCAAGGGCCCACGGGAAGCATTGGTGGTAGAATGCGGGCTGATGATTGATTCCCTCGATGCCGATACGCATCGCACGCGGAGGAACTCCATATCAAATGAAACGATCCAAGTTTTCGTCACGTGAGCGAAAAGTGCAACAGGCTCGCATCGTCGGGCATACACGCTCAAGTTTGCGTCGCTTCCTGGTGTCATGAACAACAGCGTTCGTATGCGTTTTCTGAGATTGCTTCTTTTTCCTCTCTCATATTTCCGGCTTCAAACTACGTCGGTCTCTATTGTCCATCCAGGCTCTGTTGCCAGCAGTCGAATGACGTTCTTAGCCGCGGAAACGTTCCGATTTCGCTGCTTGCCGCTGTTGTCGACGCATTTCAAGTAACGGCGGTCGTTGCGATCCATGGTTCGATGGCCAGTTTCATCTTCTCTCTACACAGCCTCGGAGCGCCTTTTGTGGCGGCCAAACTTGGCAGTGATCAGGCGTTCTCGAATGTCCGCTAAACCTCCTGCTCCTCGTACGGGCGCCGCTCTGTGGCACGAGAATGCATGCTTCGCCTCTCAGCACATGCACTTGACGAACGCAGGAGGCTACCCTCGATGTCTGTCTCCGGTTTCCGCGCCCGACGGTATACACCGGGATCACAGGCTTCCTGTTGGCGAACTCCGCAAAGCGCTCTCTGTCCGTTGAACGCGCCTGCGAACACTGTTCCAATCGATGAAGGATGTGTGGAATGCGAAATTCTCCTAGATGAAACAACTACAGGAAAGAAAATCTTGGCTGTAGAACAAGTCGATAGATTTCGATCCGCTGACGTTTTTTAGGTAAAAAACGGTAACGCATGCTCCACTGGAAAGCATCGCTGCGGTGGTTCAAGTTCGAGTCCAGGACATTTTTCCGTGCAAACACGAGAAACGGGAGCCTCCTTGAGCACACCCTTTGACAAGTACCATGATGCTGTCGATCGCCGCGTTCTCGATGGCTACTAAGAACCGAGGATTTGTGTTTCAAACGGAATCGCTTGTTTCAGGTGAGAATCTCAGTGAATTTTCGGTACGAGGGTACGACCTAGCCGTCAATGGATAACGTGGCGCTTTTTTCATCGTCAATCTAGAGGCACAGAGCGCTGCGCCCTCGAGTTGCCTTTGTACAGAAAGTTCGAGAACTTGAAGCATGTGTGATTTGAGCATGCTACTCGAAATGACCGAAAAAAATCGAGGCTTGACAGTTTAAACTGGATCGTAATACTGGTCAATTTACGAACCTGTGTGCGACAGCGCCGCGAATCCTATTCATGCTGATGTCATAACGAATTCCAGCAGAAGAAGCGTTGAACGGGTCACGCAGAGAACAAGATCATAAATCCTAAAACAACATATGGATCTGCACGCCCCTATTGCTGCACCACGAACATGGAGGCTGTCTATGTAAAAAATTTGGAAGAAAATCAAACAGCAGGAGCAGAGCGAACACTTCCGAGTTCCCTTTTCATCTGACAAATGGGTAAACGAGGAAACAAATGCGGTTCCGCGACGGGCGCACCAATCGATCCTGACCCTGCGACGTACACCGCCGCGAGATACGTTTTGTTTTCCGGTGCACGATCGATGATCCTGACTCTAAGAATCCCTCTGAAACCGCAGTTGCTGTCGGCAGTTCGGGAAACGACCGCTGTATCCCTCCAGGCCCTTGTCCATTTCACTGACGCTGGGACGGTCTATCCGTCAGAGATACGCTCTAGAGGGATCGAGTGAGCCGCCAGATGCCGAGCTTGCATAGGCGCTCGCAACAACGCAGCATTCGCCAACTCTCTGCATGCTCATCTGGGGATAGGATCGCTCTGCGGTGCCTGCATACCGGCATCGGGTCAAGCAGCATAATACGGTGCTTGCACTTGTCCATGACAATCATTCAGCGTGCTCATCGATTCTACGCGATCGATGTTTTGGAAAGAGCGCTCGTTTTCATTCTGGTTTCTGATGCGCACAACCGGAGCCTTTGATCGACCTGGAAACAGTAGATCCTCGACAGCGTGGATCTGCGACAAAACGTCTCCTGGGCAATACTCGCGTTTTACCGTTGCTTGTGTCGCGTTATACCTGAATGCTGCCGTGCGCCAGCGTTCATGCGTCGGGACATTGCGGCGCTGGAGACCGCATTCTGTACAGCATCAGTTCGATGAATCGAACGACATGTTCCCAGATGCACGAGTGCTGGCGCGTACCCGGCACCAGGGCGCCATCTCAACGCAGGCGAATGCTCCGGATCCCGAACGAGAGCGAAGACATATCAGAGTCCGTCCAGTTTTGCGTTGCATCACGCAGCACGTCGGCAGCATATCCTCGAGTACATCCAAGTCGGCGTTATTCTGGCATGTCTTATTCAGACGAACCCGGATGCACCTCTCGCCTGGTGACTTTGCTTACGATACTAGCGGATACAAGTCGGCGTTATTCTGGTATGTCTTATTCAGACGAACCCGGATGCACCTCTCGCCTGGTGTCTTTGCTCACGATACTAGCGGATACAAGTCGGCGTTATTCTGGTATGTCTTATTCAGACGAACCCGGATGCACCTCTCGCCTGGTGACTTTGCTTACGATACTAGCGGATACAAGTCGGCGTTATTCTGGCATGTCTTATTCAGACGAACCCGGATGCACCTCTCGCCTGGTGACTTTGCTCACGATACTAGCGGATACAAGTCGGCGTTATTCTGGTATGTCTTATTCAGACGAACCCGGATGCACCTCTCGCCTGGTGACTTTGCTCACGATACTAGCGGATACAAGTCGGCGTTATTCTGGTATGTCTTATTCAGACGAACCCGGATGCACCTCTCGCCTGGTGACTTTGCTCACGATACTAGCGGATACAAGTCGGCGTTATTCTGGTATGTCTTATTCAGACGAACCCGGATGCACCTCTCGCCTGGTGACTTTGCTCACGATACTAGCGGATACAAGTCGGCGTTATTCTGGTATGTCTTATTCAGACGAACCCGGATGCACCTCTCGCCTGGTGACTTTGCTCACGAGACTAGCGGATACCGCCGTGCAGCACGCCTCCGGGTCGCCACACATGATATGCCCGTTAGAACAGGGCTCTCTGGCCGGGAAACACAGACTTGTTTCGGCGCTGCGACTGCTGCTTGAAGGTGCTCCCCCGTGGCCCAAACGAACTTCCTGTGGCAGTCCCATACCACGCATCGCGCCTTGCTACCGGGTGTCAGGTCCAGCACCGCTCTCAGGGCCTCCGCTTACCTCACGACGCTCTTCTCGAACTGGTTTCGAGCTGCATGCACGCTGTTTTCCGAAACGCTTTTCTAACGAGTTCCGCAGGCGCCGTGTGTCCCGCTGCGTGTTCGCATGCGACTGTCACCAGAAGTAGCGCCCGCGTTCGAAAAAGGACAAAAGACTTTCGTTCGCCTGGTTGCCTATCGCCGCAAAAGCGATATCACACATATCCGTCTACACCATGCGCTGTATATACTTGTTCGTCGCGTTCATCTCCGGTTTCAGTGCTACGAACACTGGTTGAAAAGGCGGTAAGCGCTAGCCGCAGCTGGCGTCAAGCGCGTGGGTTGGGGTCGGCGCGCCTTCGCCCCAGGCTCCATCGACACCGTTTGCGGAGGCGACGACGCTTTGGAGCGCTGGACGTGACGGGTATCGTTTCTGTTATCTTTCGTAACGCCACGCTGGAAGCGAGTAAATAGTGTTGTTCTGGGGGAGTGCTGTGGAACTTGCCGGTGGTTCACATGTCTGCACCTAGTGCGGGCCCAAGTGAACGCGCGAACCATGTGGCGACAACTTCTCGAGCGTCGCGACTCCGACTGCTAGCTGACCTGCGCGACATGCAGCAAGACCCGCCGGAGGGCTGCTCCGCGTCTCCGTACTGCGAAGATAGTAAGTTTTGGATAGAATGAGTGCGTCGAGCGTCTTGGCTCACGAAGATGCGCGACTCGGTTTTGAACACGAGACTAACCACTTGGTTGAACGCTCAGACTTGTATACCTGGGGTGCAACTATCATCGGTCCCGAGGACAGTGAATGGGAAAATGCGGTGCTTACGCTGAAGCTGACGTTCCCAGAGCAGTATCCTGAGAAACCACCACGAGTTCGCTTTACATGTGAGATGTTCCATCCGAACGTGTACCACGATGGCAACGTATGCTTGTCTCTTCTCAGCGAGAACTGGTCGGCTGCATATAGTGTATCCAGTATCCTGATCGCAATCCGGAGCTTGCTAACGGATCCGAACCCAAACTCGCCCGCGAATCCCGAAGCTGCACATCTATTCTCAATGGACTACAATGATTACAAGCGGCGGGTGCGGCGAATTGCCCAAAAATCTCTAGAATGAGGCGCCCCTCTCTTCGTCTCTCCTGAAAACGAGTATATCCGCAGTGAGTGGCGCAGTACGTCTGTTTTCCAAAGTGTCTGCGGGTTTGTCCGGCCCCAGCTTGTGATGGGATGGAGCGGAGCTCGCACGCGAGCATCAGAAACGAACACGGGTGTTAAGAGTGGATCCCGGCATCACCATCATCATCATCGTCGTCGTCATACCGAGCGGACAGCAGTTCTTTACTGCTGGTACTAGAGCATGCCCATTGCAGCGCGAAGGAAATATTGCGCGTGCACTGCAGTAGCGCGGTTTCCGTTGACGGCACGACGCCAGCGCGGCGAGCGCACACGGAACCCTCCAGCACGATAGGGCGCACGGCAGCTAGTTGGCTGCAGGTCGTGTCGGGAGCGAGGCGTTGCGGGAACCGGTGTTTGAAGCAGCAACGCAGCGCCTTCGCTCGTGCATGCTGAGCGGCTTTGCCCGCTGCAGAGATGCCCCGCTTACGGAACTTTGTTCGTCGATCAAACGCATTTCTACCGCTGGAAGTTTTCTGTTTACTGCGCGCGACTCAAAAAAATGCTCATGTATAGGACATCGGGACAAAAGAGCGGCTTTGAAAGCTTTCTTGGATGTATTCGGGGCCTCCGGTCTGTGTGGATGCCATTGCTGTTCGCGATGACTGCTTGCTTCATCAGCGCGTAAAGTGTTCCCATGTACAGCACGGAGAGCAGTTCGGAACCGTACGAGAAGCGCAAGTATTCCCCGTCGATTCCTGTGCTGGTCAACGTCATAGTGCCTGGCCCTGGATACATTTGTTGGTACCCAGCGCTGCTAGAGTGAGGTCATCGCCTTCATCTTGCTGACTTGGTCATGTCCATGGAAGCGGCGCTCTCAGCGCTGCTCCTGGACTGGATCACGATTCGGCGCCTCCATCACACCAAGACGCTGCATGAAAGATCGGCACAAAGTGACTGTGAGGCGGTCGCATCGGAGAAGATTCTCAGAGCGTTGGCGAGGTTACACTACCGCGCACACCCGTGATGTCTAGTTCCGGCTGCAGCGGCCTCGCTTTTTTTCAGGGAACACTTTACATCCAGTGCGAGATCGACTGCGAATCCAGTATTACCGGACAAAGCAATCGGGATCAAATGATGAAAGCAATGCCCATTGTAGCTAGACGGATTCAGATATACTCAAATCCTGCGTGAGAAAGACGTCCCTTCGCAAAACACACGGCACCATGAATGACCGAAACAACGCGCGTTGTAGCCGGATGGATACCAACATGCTCAAGTCCTGTGTGAGACGGTTTCCATCTGGGGCCAAAGAGGCCCTGAATGACGCACTCAACCGTTTTCAATGAACGGGGCACCCAGCTTTGACGCAGGGACGCCTCGCCCCGACCGCATGGCACCTGGGTGTAAACGTTAACGCCAACAACGGGAACAACAACGGCGCACGTATCATCACACGAGCAGTACTCGTTCGCACTGAAAACAGCTACAGGAAGGCTATTTATGCAAAGACTCGCAGGCGGCTCGTGTCTATCCAAGGATTGATACCGCTCCGACGTGCTTCATCGGCCAGCTCGAGCTCGTCCTGATCCATACGCAAGACGTAGAGCAACGGCTCAGCGGGAAGCAGGGAAACTACAACGTCAACAACGCAACCGTGCATCACGGGTGCCTGCTGCAGCACAACACCCAGACGTTCGTGGAGCGCGCCCTGCGCCAGCGCTTTGTTCCGGATGACGACAAGGTCACCGGCCTGATACCGCGGTATCCACGATTTGTCCATGGAGTGCAGCACTTGTGCAGGCATGTGCTGGGCTGCAAGCCTCGTCGCTCTGGTAGGAGGCGGGTTCCATGAATCGAATTCCATTACAAGACGCTGGACGTCGACAATGTCTCGTTCCGACTCGCAGACTGCCGACTGGGCGACGTGCGCTTCCGCAGCTGTGACGCTACTCCTCGCGACCTGAGGGAGGTTGGTACCCAAACGGCGCTCATGGAGCTCCAGGATGCTCTTATTCGAAAGCGGAATTCCGGGGGCCTTTGATACGTTGCCATGAACGGTGTCTTGGATGGAGACGAGCCAAACACGCTCCGGCTGCAGACGAACGACTGCGCTGGTATGCGGCGACGTTTCTCCTTCTGATACGAAAACTACTCGGTCTGGACAATGGGCCAAGAGCCACTGCAAGAAGCGTCGGAGACTTTGCCAGCGCGTAGCGTGAAGCCGCACGTGTCTAGGGTCCTGAGTGACGTAGTCATACACTTTCGTTGCCTGCACGCGTCGGTCTGGAAACTGAGACGTCCGACTGAGCTGAGCGAGTGCCAGCAAGAACTGGGAAAAAAAGCGTTCCGAGAAAAGCGCACGACAGGCACTTTCATTGCCAGCTAGAGCAATGACGCGCTCCTGGTGTGCTCGACCCGCCTGGTGGGTGTCCAGCGCTCGTTGGTCGCGGAACTGTCGTTCACACACCTGGCAGTAGAGTCGCAGTGCGGGCTTTGCCTGGCTCCGCAAACGCCGTGCGATCGCTCTAGGTGTCGACATGGTCCATGCTTTTCAAACGGCGCTCTTGCTGCGTCTTGAACCGCCGTTCTGCGGCCTGATGTAAGCGCTTCGTAGTCCAAGGGGACGTGCAGGATACGCAACTGCGTCGACCTAACGACGTCGCGTTGGGTGAAGGTCCCCGTAGCTGCGTAGCTGTGGCCGGCTATGCGCGGCCAGGCGAAGCGCAAGTCCTTCCCTAGGAGGCCAGCAGTTTGATCAACTTGTATCGCCTGTACCGTACGATACGCTAATGAAACCGGTTAACTTTGCGAACTCGGGTGTGCATGCTATAGTTTGAGTCTCTTGCGACTGTCAAAAATACCAGCCTTTGCGGAGCGGTTTTCGCGACTGTTTCCTTTTCCTCTCTCTTATCTCCGGATTTCCATACGATGGTCTCTCGTTTCACCCCAGCTCTGATGTCAGCTGTCGAAGGAAGCGGATGGCAGTGCTCAAATCTCGATCTCACTGATTTCGGCGGTTTTCGACGACTCCTATGCCCGGGCATAAGTTGCCCGTGATGCTTCCCGTGCCATTTTCATCTGCTTGGTTTACAGACCGGGTGCGCATGTCAGAGCGATGACAAGCCCTATGGTGGTCAAGTGTTCCCGTGTGTCCACCGAGCCTCCGTCTTCTAAATTCGCTCTGTGACTCGTACAGGCTTGCTTCATCGCTCGGCATGTGTCCAGGTGAGGTGTATCGGACGCTCATCTGGATACCCGACTCCGTCTCCGCCTCCATCTTCGCAAACCGAGGCACTCTCCTACGATCACGCGCTTCTTCTGAGCGATCCTCTAGGCGAGTTTCCTGCCCGCTGCACGAGCCAGTCTGCGCTGCCTCATTTGATATACGACTTGTGGACCGTGATGGTGTACGTGACGAAACAAGTACCGAAAAGAATATCCAAGTTGGAGACCAAGTCGCGAAATTCGGATCCGTCTACCCACTTGCCATGCAAACCAGTGACGCATTTTCCAGAGGAAGGGATCGCTGCGAAGCCTGCAGTCCCAGCTCGAGACACTTGACGATGCAAACACATGAGACGGGAGCTTCTTGGAACACATCCTTTGACAAGGTTCCAGCTGGTTCCGCATCGGGGTTTCATCGGTGGCTGCAAAGAATGGAGCACTGGTGTTTCAAACGGAATCGCTCATTTGAGGTGAGAATCTCAGTGAGGGTTCGGTATGGGTTTTTTTCGGAGGACCGGTCAAGGACTGACGTCGCATCGTTTCCTTTTCTCTATGAATCTATCAGCGCGGAGCGGAACGTCCACGAGTTACCGTGAATGAGAAAACACCAAAGACTCGAAGCATGTGTGATTTGAGCGTGCCTCACACACGAGAAGCGGACGATTATGGTATGTAACGAGTCATTGTTCGAGGACGTCCGGAATCATGTTTATTTCGCTGATATCATGAACGCCGGGGACAACGCGTCCATAGAGCGATTCCGACAAGCCGAGCGAGATTCCCAAAAGCACCAAAGAATCCGTAGGGCTTTATTCCAGCACTTTGAATAACAAGGCTGTGCATCGAAACAATTTTCGAAAAGCGTTGTATACGAGAAACAGTGCGACTAGTTCAGCCTTCTAGTTTCATCGAAGACGAATGCGTCGTAAGCACTGATGCTGGACAGCATTGCTGCCGCTGCAGCACTCTTTGTCTACGTATCGTCCACTGAATAATCAGTTCGTGTGCAGACGGAGTGCTCAGGCCGCTCAGTGTCGCAGCCTAAGTTGCTCCGTTTGCGTTTCATCGTAAACTGGTTCGCAGACCGCTAGAGCCGCACCTGCTATCGGGTTTTGTTGGGCTGGCAACCAGAGCTTCGCGAAAGCCACGCACTAGGGTTGCTGCGTTTTGGCGAAGCGTTACGCAGCCTGGTGCAGCGACCAGTGCAACGTATGCCTCTGAACCCAGGTGCGTCTGTTGCGGTGATTGGCGCTGGTGCTGCCGGACTAGTGGCAGTACGGATCTTTCGTGACGCGGGTTTCCGCGTGACTGCATTCGAGTGCAGCGAAACCGTCGGCGGCACTTGGAACTACCAAGATGTTGCGAACGAGCCTGACCTAGCACGGGCCGCAAGCCGCAGACTCGAGTCGACAACGACGACAGAGACGCCATCTTCGGAGGTTTTCAGGCAGGTGCCAGAACAGACGACTAGGCTCGCTGCACTGCCGCCGGTGCAGTCGTCTATCTACGCGGGTCTGCGAACGAACTTGCCCAGGCAAGTTATGCAGTTTTCCGATGCTCCGTTTCCAGAGCATTTGCCTTCATTCATAGGCCATCGCGATGTTCAGCGCTATATGGTAGACTATGCTCGACGACACAACCTGGAGCGCCACATACGCTTCGGTGTCTGGGTGCAGCGCGTGCAGCCGGTCTCGAACGACGTTTGGAGTCGCTACCTGGTGACGTTCTCGTCCTCGAAAAGCCCGGAGGCATGCACACAAGCATTCGATGCTGTTTGCGTCTGCAACGGGCACTACAGCGTGCCACAAATACCTGCTGAGCCGTACTCAGAGCCTGCGGATGGCACGGAGTACATTCCTGGTCTCACTGACGGAACATTTTGTCCTGGTGTTGTGCGGCACAGTCATTACTATCGGGATGCAGAAAAGTATCGCGATTTGCGGGTAATCTGCTTAGGAGCTGGTCCCTCCGGAGTGGATATCAGTCTAGAGATCGCTGAATATGCCAGAAAACCTGTCTATCTCTCGTGTCGAGCGGTGAAGCAAATGCCCTCAGATAGCGCCACGGAGCAGTACGGAGTTCTCCAGGTACCGCGACTTGTCGCTGTCATTGGTCCACGCACCGTGCAACTCGCGGACGGCAGCATTCTGCACGACATTGACGTGATCATGCTTTGCACCGGCTATCGATACTCGTTTCCGTTTCTGACCGAAGCGTGCGGTATATCGGTGACGCTGCAGGGACGTGTCGTCACGCCGCTCTACCGCCATCTGATTCCAGTGTCCAGGTGGACGCTACCGCTCATAGGTATACCATATGCGGTGGTACCGTTTCCATTGTTTGAATTCCAGGCTCGTTATGTAGCTGCGGTCTTCCAAGGTCGCGTCCAGTTGCCGGAAATGAACGCAATGCAGGCTGCGATTCTAGAAGAGAAACAGGTGCAGCAAAGCTTTGGGTTACAGGCAAAACATTTTCATCGACTCGGTGATCGCCAGTGGGCCTACAACCGCGAGCTTGCGGATGCTGTTGGAGTCAAGGGACCGACCTTGGCCGTTCAGTCTGTGTACAACGATGCAGGCACACATCGGAAACTCGATCCGAAACATTATCGAGAGCGCGAATATCGTATATTTGGTGACGGCCCAGAGGACTGGGAAGTACAGAGCCCGGCGATGGTACAGCTGGATGCGAAATCCAGTAAGAAGGGAAAGCATCCAACCAGGTCGAAAGAAGCAGCTATTGAGACAAGCGCTGAGTTTTCCGCTGGACTCTAACGCGATGTCGCTTTTCCAGGTAGAACCACGTAAGAACGATGAATCGCGACTCTTGATTCATCCTTGAGATAGCCGCACATACGGATTGTGTCTTTTTTTCGGTATTGCCCTGGGATCGTAGGTGACGGTCTCGTGTTCTTCCAATATCAAATGAGATGCCCATGCTCATACCGCTCGAGCAGATGCCAATGCGTGGTGCGTCTCACTACAGACACAATATCGAATGAAAGCTCCACTCTTGTACGATTACAGAAGATGACATAGCGTGTTGCGTTCCACTAGAGACGTGAAGCCTCCGTTATTGTGCGGTAGCCGTCTGGCGGCGCTCGCTTCGTCCATTCATCAGCAAACTTCATCTTGGGGCATTCGCACTTGATTCCTGCGTTTCGGGGAGCGATATCGAGGTAACAGGTGGCTCGAATAGACGTTTTCCGTCTTGAAGCCGGAGCCGAAGGTCGTGCGGAGGTCCGGAAGGAAGCCAACGCGACACCGGTTACGCCGAATTTGCGAACATGTTCCGAGTCTGTACGCTGGAAACCTGAACCATTGGCAACGATGACTGCCTTCTTTCAAACATGAAGCCATAATCGGGGAAAGTCGCCGGCCCTTGTGCGAGAATGGCAGCCCAACGAGCGCCTTCGACTTTGGCAGTGCGTCCATCATCATAGATTGTCAAGTTGCGGCCAGTGTTCCGCTGGTAGCGCAGACCTAGGATCTGGTTCACGTCGCTACCACTGCGTATGCACGGTGTTCGGTGACTCGCTCTCGACGCATAGCTTGTAATCCCCGAATCCCTGCAGCGTCTTGCTTCTGGAACATTTACGCCTAGGCACTGGAAGGACGAGTTGTTTCGTAGAGCACACCGGCGTCTTGTATTTGGAAACTTTACCCCTATGTACTGGAAAGATGAGCAGGCCGTTCGTGTCGATTGGCTACTAGTCGTCTAGAAACACATGCTAGTCCTGTTCGGGCTTCGAACCTGGTGCTCGCGGAGGCGCTGTCCGCGAGTCAGGTCGTTTTCGTTTTGGACGCCTTTCCCTCGATGAGTCCAAAACTTCATCAAATAGCGCACGGGACTCGGGGTCCTTTTCTGCCTCTGACGCAATTCGTGCAGTTATGGTCGTAAAGAGTATTCCGAAGAAGACGATGGCGACGCCGCCGACGACGACGCGAAAGAAAAGCGACTTGTCCGGCCCAGAGGCTGCCTCTTCGGCGAGCCAAGAGCTCGGAAGCAAGCGGTACAAGCTCCAGTTCACTGCTGTACTGCAGGTCAGGTGGCTCGTCAGCTGCAAAGCACGCCTGTCAGACCGCTTAGACCGGGTTGCTCGCGGCCACAGGCGCGCAGCTCGGACGTAGCCCGGGGCTTGACGACCACGACACTGCTCGTGGACTGCAGGTGCGGCCGACTTCCACAGCGGCTGTCTTACGGTGATTCGATGAGCACAGAGAAACATCGCACCGCCACCTATAGCCGCAGGTCGGAGTCACTACCACAAAGCACCCTCTGTGCTTTTTCCTTTCAGTTAAGGTCCCCTAGTCGTCAAACGCTCGGCTGTCAGTGCCCAAAGCCGAAATGCAGGACGCAAGCGGGGATGTCCGCAACAGCACCAGCACCGACTGCGGTGTCAGCTGCCTGCCTACAGTGTTGCCCGCGGGATGTGCACTTTCGTACTGTGCTCACGTTGTGTATGCTGCGCAGTGACGGCGTTGGATGCAACAGAGAAAAGTGCAACTGAGCAAACATGTTCCAGGAATTTTTTCTTGGAATCAGAACTAGCGTACTTGTCGCAGTGATCGACAGGCTCGCTGTTATCCACAGTGGTGGACGGTAGCGCGAACTGCCTCTGCGGATGGATATCGCACGGAACGAGAAGCGCTGCTTGCATGCACGTACGCTTTCCTAGGACCCGAACTCAGAGATGGTACTTGCGACGCATGGTAAGCTCTGGATATGGAAGGCAGTGCCCGCCAAACCTAACTAGCTGCTTCACCAGACGACGATCAAATTCTATATTGCGAGTGCTTGGCATCCGGATTCATCCCGAAACAACTCGATACCCAAAGCACAGAGATTGCTTCAACAAGTGATCCAGATGCGAGCGCTCATGCTCCAGTGCGGGAGCAGCAAGTACAGCTACAACGTCTTGCCACGCGTCGAAGACGAGCCACTTGCCCTAAATGCCGAGAGCGATGCGCAGGTAGGTATCTGCCCTGACGTATGTGTGTGCAGCGTCCATGAAGACAGCGCTGTGCGTTGCGCGGCTGGAGTGTCTCTCGGAGACGTGCTTTTGATCACATACGTAGAATCAGGACTGTAGGCGTCATACACAAAGCACTGAAATGTGGAATACATGTATCATCATGATCTTTTTGACTTTGTTCGTCGTTGTCTCGCGGAGGTATTGGACAAAGGGAATGAATCCTGTCGATAGGGGGAAACGCCGCGGAAAGAATTCATGCTGGGGCTGCTCGCTTGCGAAAAACTGGTTCACTCGCCCAAGTCAGTCATTCTGGCATTCAGCACGTACTTGAAGCGAGCTTCTCGTGGCGCTGATGCCGAACCTCTTGCACCCAAAACGGAACCTGTCGTTCTCTATTTAGACAAATGTCTGACTGGTTGTCCATACATTCCCGTCCGTTATTCCTTTGTGAAAACCTCTCAAAGAAGCCACAGGACGCGACTTTTTCCTACTAAGGATACGAAAAGTGACGAAGAGGCACTGATGGACATAGGGAGAAAACGTGCTTCTACGGGACTCCGTCACGCGTTGAACAGCACACGAACACTGTTGTACTGAAACGCAAACGCTTCCCACACAATGGACGAGTGTTCGTCGCCCTGGACGTTACGCGATTCGAGAAAAACGCTCGACCTGTATACGGTACTCAAAGAGGTTTAGAACGCTGTCCGTACAGAAGATGCGAGCGAGCATGACAACAATAAAAGTCCTAGCGGCTCTTCAAAGGTGCAATCGCCTACATATCACCAGGCGGAGAGGATCAATCGACATCTCATTGTTCGTTGACGCGTGCTTCGTGGCTTCTCCTTCCTCGGTGCTGCTGTCCTACTCTCGGACAAGGTCGCCGTCCATCAAGTAAAAGCGGTCATGCGGCACCCGACATACGTTGGCGTTGAGCTGATCTTCGTACCAGCTTCTGCGTTCTGGTGCAATCCAGTCGAAAACATCTTGTCTAGTGCGAAGCGCCGGTTTTCGCGCCCACGGATCAATAGATTGGTCAGTTGCACCCGCGACGCTGAAAGCTGCAGGACGCCACTGAGGATCGCGTAGCTTTCTAGTCGAGGAAGGCTCGCCTAGCACTCATCGCCTCGACGCACCTCGTCAAGCAAATGTGCGTAAGTTTCTCGGACACACGGCATCGAGCTGTCCTTTTTCCACTCGAATTTTCTGATGAAATTTCCCTGCGACAGTACAACGGATATTCGTTAGAAAGCACGCAACTCGATCTGATGTAATGATCAGAGGTTTGGAGGCACACTTCCCAGCATACCTTCAGACGTGGACGCGTCACGTTGTCAATTGAGGTAAACGATACAGCACAGGTGTGAAAAATTATTGAACAAGACTCAAAAAGCAAATCCATTTGCAGGTCAATGTCGAGCGATTCATGAGGTCTGTCTCGTGAGCGTTGTACGCTCAACTCGCTGGTCCAAGAAACTGAAGACTACTTCAAGCGGATTTCACGCTTCAGAGAGTATATGAGTACCCAAACTTAGCATGCGGACAATCTTATGGACGCTTGCATAGCATTGCGCTGGGGTCGCCATTTGTTTCGGTTCGCGATGAGTGCAAAAAACTTGCATTCGCCAAGTTCCTCCATGGTTTCATAAAGGAAATAGCTGCTCAGTCGAGTTGATTTGCGGTTGCCTAGTGCGTATCACGTGGCGCAGCGCGCCACGGTCACGTTCCTGCTCCTTCGACGAGTCCAGCAAGCGACCCTGCATGATTCCCGTTGATGCGCTCCGAGCGACACAGACGCATCACGAGCACGGGCGGACATGGAATCTGGAATAGAACAAGCGTTTGAAACAGCGCCGAATACACGAAATTGCAAACAATACGCTGAGCAAACCTCCGAAAGCAAGGCAATTGCATCCGTGACCCTCGCGTTGGTGGAACTCCGCCAACAACAGTGCACGACAGCACGTTCTGCACGACGACCTGAACACCCCGGTCAGTATCCGAAAAACAACTTCACGTTTCCGGAACGTCCATTGGCTCTGTATTGAGCAAACGTTTCTAGTGATCAGGATGAACACAGAGTAGGCATCGTGCTGAAACACTGAACACTTTCAAAAAACAGTTAGTGTCTAGATGATAGGGCAATGGAATCCAGGAAAACTGTAGCGCCCTATACACGCACACTGGAAACAATGCCCCTGAACAATCACCCTTGTGCTCCATTATGGGATATCAAAGCGATCATTGCGAGTGATGCAGTGCTCCCCACGGAGTTGTCACAGCAAGCCTGTGGCGTGACTGCCAATGCCGTGCACGCACGCAGACACCACGTTGCAGGGCATTCGCGCATGCATTGCAGCGCGCGCGCGCGCGATAGAGACGCCCTGGCAGCTCGATGGGCGACAAAAGTCGCGTCGACGCGTCACGAAGCGGTACTGCGACGCCTGCCTCCGCATCAAGAACTGGAGCACAGCATCGCGTTGCGTTGCACGACACTGTGTAGAGCGCAGAGCGGTTGCTGTGCAGCTAGCGTGCCTGTCGCTCCTGACACTGACGCCCTGGGCTGCTTCAGCGTCTCCGTATGGGCCTCCTCACGACTGGCCGCCCGCTCGGCTGGTGGGACGCCCAACCCCACCTGGACTACGTTCGCGAGCACGGCATCGAGCAGTTTGTGAACGTGTTCTGCGCAACGCGTGATCGCCAAGGTGACGTGCTCAAATGGGGCGACGAGATCGAGTACACACTCCTAGTTTTGAATGAGTCCGAGCGTTGCACATACTTATCGCTTCGGGCACCGCAGGTGATCCAAGAGTTGCAGTCCGAGGAGCGACTCGTGAGTCGCAATTCGCTTGCCGACGTGCAGGAGCATGTGACCGGAGAGTCGGAGCTGTCTGAATTCGACTCTGCTCCAGTTCCAGAGACACTGTGGCGCCCAGAGTATGCCAACTGGATGGTTGAAGGTACACCTGGTGTACCCTACTCGTGTTATATGCGAGACCTTGTTTTGGTGGAGCAGAATATGGCACTGCGGCGAGCCCAGATACGCCGAGTCCTGCGGCCGAACGAGCGCTTGCTCTCGCTCACTGCTTATCCGCTGCTGGGCTGCGGGCGTTTTTGTGAGCCTGCTGGAGACGGGGTTTGCGGTCCACTTGCGCGCTCACTTTACCTTCCAGATGCGGTCATTAACCCGCACCCGCGATTCGGTACGCTCACCCGGAACATTCGGCTACGACGAGGCGAGCCGGTCGCCATTCATGTGCCTCTGTATCGAGACAAGAGCACGCCGTCTGAGATTCCTCTCTGGGAGGGTGGTTCGCGACACGGCGGCGTTGTTGACATCGATCTGCATCAGATTGTTGACGAAAAACTCGCAACGACATCTCTGTCGCAGGACAACACCGACCAGAACGTTGGGTCTGTTCGGAGTGACGAAGCCGTGCGGCGACAGCGGCTGGCTTGGTCACTGTCGCAGGCCAGCAGCGATACTGAATTAGTACTTGTACCGATTGAAGCACCGAGTGTCGATGGTCCCGAGCGTCCCGAAGCGCTTGACGCGCAACACGACGGCCTCGGCTACTTGTGCGAGAAGGCTGGGCTTGCATCGTGGAATGAGCGAAATCGCGACGGGAGGCACACCAGTCCAGATATCTACATGGATGCTATGGGCTTTGGGATGGGCCTCTGTTGTCTGCAAATTACCCTGCAGGCAGCGAATATGGACGAGGGTCGGTACCTCTACGACCAGCTCGCGGTGTTGGCCCCGGTCATGTTGGCACTGACCGCAGCGACACCAGCGCTGCGCGGTTTTCTCACCGATACCGATGTGCGATGGAGTATCATCAGCGCTTCGGTAGACGATCGGACCGCTTTGGAGCGCGCATTAGGATGCCCGCCCAAGTCGCGATATTCCTCGATTGACTGTTTCATCAGTAATAGACCGGAAATGAAAGCCGCCCTCTACAACGATATCCCCGTACTGGTGGATGCACGTGCCTATCGACGACTTCGCGAAGCCGGTGTCGACGAGCACCTCGCACGCCACGTTGCGCATCTCTTCATTCGAGATCCGCTGGTCATATTTGATGACTTTGCCACCGTCGACGACCGTGTATCGTTGACTCATTTCGAGAATATCCAATCCACGAACTGGAATACGGTGCGGTTCAAGCCGCCGAGCCAGACTGGCCCGAATACGTCCGCGGGCTGGCGAACCGAGTTCCGCTCGATGGAGCTCCAGATCACGGACTTTGAAAATGCCGCGTTCACGGTGTTCATGGTGCTGCTGTCCCGCTGCATTCTGGCGTTTGGCATGAACCTGTACATTCCGATATCGAAGCATGATGAGAATCTTGTGACTGCACACCAGCGCGACGCTGTGCGCCAAGGCAAGTTCTGGTTCCGCAAACATATTTTCTCTCGCGAAGCAGAGCTCTCCTGCTCTGTCCGGTGTCACTATCGATGCGCTTGCGGTTCGGAGCACTGTGTCTCGTTCCAGAGCCTGAACGCGGGGTCACCAGCCGGTTCGCAATCGTCGCCATCGCAGTCTTGTCCATTCCGCTTCTGCACCGATCCGGATCCCGAGGCCATGGAGCTCATGACCATCGACGAGATCATGAATGGAAAACCCTGCTGCGAGAAACACGCTTTTCGCAAAGCCTACCCCGGCCTCCTGACGCTCGTTCGGGTCTACCTCGACGCAATCCCGGGTCTCGATCGGGCCACGAGAATGCGTCTTGGAGCCTATTTGGACTTTGTAGCTGCACGTTCCAGTGGAAGGCTGCTGACCTGTGCGGCATGGATGCGAGAATTCATTCTCAAGCACCCCAGCTATCGACATGATTCAAAAGTGACTCCCGAGGCATGTTACGATCTGATCCAACGTTGCATAGAACTTTCAGAGGGTCGTTGTGGTGAACCGGCGCTCTTGGGCGATTTCTGGCCCGAGCATCATATTGACGGGGAGTTAACGAGCCATGATTTTTCAAAATTACGAAACCAGATACATGAAGAGGATTCTCCGCAGTTGCGCGGAGAGTCATTCCGCGAAGAGCTCCTCCCAGCAGCTGCATCGCGAATCCTCGAGACGGTATCGATATCCGCGCGGACGCACGCGGGCGTTGCTGAGCATCATCACGATCAGCATGCTCGTCATCGCGGCTGTGATTACCACCAAGCACATGGTGTCGACGAACGTCAACGTCGTCACCATCGAGGTGCTGGTGCTTTGGGGCGCTTTCAAGAGGCAAGGCACCAGGCAGACCAACACTTGTGAGCGCTGGGCTGCGTTCGGGTTCTAGGAGGCGCGAGCTAGGTGGCATGTGTTTGTAAAATGCAGAAGGCACACCGCAGTCTCGCCCGGCATGTAAACCGCATCGATTAGAAATGGTTGCAGTCTCGTACACCCAGTGACGGAAGCGACGCGTGTCAAGTCGCGGGCTCCATCACTCGGATCGTCGCACGGGAGCTGCTAGCGTCGCTTTTTTCCTTCACGGGGATTGCAGTGACCATCCGACGCGATTCACGACTTTTAGGTACGCGGCAATCCGAAGGCGTCAGGGGTTTGGCTGCCCCCTCGATCTCGCGCCTCGACAGGTACGAACAAATTGCTGCATGGAAGAGTCGCGATCCTTATGCAGAACCCGCGGGGCTCGCTGGGGTTGCCAGCGACCCGCGCACGACGCGACGGCGCGCTCAGAGGCCGTTCACGAGAATCGGACGCGCTCCGTTAGAGGCGCGAAACGCATCTGACGATACACAGCGTATGCTTCAAGTCAGTAGCAGGGACCCGGTGGCGTTGATAACGGTCCTCTGATGTTTTGAATCAAAACATTGAGACGAACAACAGCCGACTGCACATGGACGTGCGCAAAACCTACCAACACCTGAGCGAGCACCAATCGACCGAACTCGAGTGCTTCGCAAGAGCAGAAAACACATGCACGTAGAGCTGCGTCGCGAATACGCAGCTCCATTCGTCACGCTAGACGCGGGGGAAACGCGTCTCGCTGACGGGACACGTTGCGCAATGTGTGTCATGCATGCGTGCTCGGATGTGTGCAATGGAGGCTGGGATGGAGTATTCCAAACAGAACATTTACAAACAATGATCATTGCAAGAGCATGCTTTGTTGCGATGCACTCCTGTCGTCGTTCCGAATCTGTCATGGCTCTCGGTACCGCAGCTAAGCAGAGGAGCGCGTGTCGCCAGCTACCCATGTGGAGCCGCCGCGAGTGCGGAACGCTACCATAGCCCCGCTTGGCTCTGCGCACTTGCCACAAGCTTTCAAGATCGATTCTTGAGATAAAAAGCGTTCATTTGGGGCCCATGCGAAGCCTGCGGGCGGCGTCTGGCGAACTGGTGCGCGCACTCAACGCGTCAGTGACGAGTTTGACACTGACGCTTGCACACAGGCCCGGATGATGCTCAGCTCCGGTGCGCAGCTTGACTCCAAGGAATCAATATTTTCAGCAGCACATACGATCAAACTAACAACTGTACTTGCGCAGTAACGGGCAGCGTTTATGAGGTCCGATAAAAGAACGCCCGGGACTTGGAGAACGTCACCGATACAGCTCGGCAACTCCTCGGTGAAAAGCGCGGCACAGCCTGAAAGTCCAGGTGTAGCAGTGGGAGAAGCCGCAGGAGTTACAGCCTCAACAAAACGAAACATAACGAAAACGAATATAACGAGGAGTATTAACCTTCGTGCGAACATTTAGCCTCCAGGTCACTTTTGGAGAGGAAACACACGAAACGCCGAAAAGCGTATGCGTGCGCGCGTGCGTGCGTGCGTGCGCAATCCAAACGATCCCTAAATTGGTTGCCGCTGTGCTGTCCACCAGCGCGGTGCTGTCCAGGGCTACGAGCAGCAGCAGCAGCAGCAGCAGCAGCAGCAGCAGCGCCTCGCGCACCTCATCGCTACCACACGTGCGGTTTCGGTACCGGATCCGTGCCTGCAACTGGACGCGCCCGGGATACGCAAGCGGAATGCGCTCGTCGGGGTGCCTGCTCCATGGCGCCGTTGATGAGCAAACATGCACTGCATCTGTTTCAGGTACGTCTATCTGGTATCGTTGGCTTCACCAATGTTCGAGGTCGATAGTCACAGCGTATGACAGCCGCAAACGCTCAGGATCAGACGCTGGAAGGGTGGTGTTTTTGGTGCGCCTCTCCATGGTCGCAACTCGGCTGCTCCAGATGCCCCCAGAGGCCGTCATCCCGTCGAACTGGGCCTTGAATGGAAATATAGGTTGGGGCGGCTGCACGTAGCCGAGTTGACGCGGACAGCACAACTGCATCGGCCGTCGAAAGTGAGCCTGAACTGCGAGTCGCGACCTCGAGAGGCACCGCCAAGCTGCTCCGCGGCCGTCTGGAAGCTGCCGCTTTTGCGTTTGCAGTGCATCCACGTCCTTGTCAAGCGTCTGCGGCACGACAGGTACCTTGAGGATCCATGTTAATGGATCGTGCGAGAGCCAGCTCCCAACGATAACACTGGTCTGGGGCTCGTATATCCTATATGCATCTCTGGAAGAAAGGAGGTCTGCTGCTGACACATCGACAGCAGTCGCGTATCCAAGGAGTTTGCAGGTTCGCCGCTCTGCGCATGTGCTCCATCGACAGCAAATCATCAGCGTCGGCGACGGAGGATCCGTATCTGCGAAGCGACTTGCACCAGAACCATTGACGCGGGACGTGCGGTTTCAAGCTCAGAAAACTTACGGAAGGGCTGCGTTCGCTGAACCGCTTCGCATAATGCCTTGAAAAAAGCCGCTTATCATCGCTGGGAATGATTCTGGAGAACTCGGACGAGCGCTGCTCACTGGCGCGGCAGGTACGTTGCTGCGAGCAACGCTGGTTCCAGGAGACTCGCGAACAGGCTACTGCGGGTGACCTCGCGAGCATGCTGCTCGCGGCGGAAATGCTATGCCATAGTTACGGTTGCTCGCATAGTCGTTATGAACGGTTTCGAGAGGCGCTCCACTTTCTGCGTCTGTACCTGGTTCGGCGCTACGGCACTGCGAACCTGCTGCAGCTCGAGGTGCTGGCGCAGTCGGGTGCCTCCGCCGACGAGACGCTTCCTCGGGCACTCTTTTTATACCGGCAAGCACGGATCGAGCTCGCAGGTTTGGAAACACCATAATTTAAAGTTCAGGCGAGCATCGTTCACCTCCCGAGGAGACTGGGTCCGTTCTGGTTGAACCTGCGGAACCGGGATGCCCGACCAGCTCAGCGGGGACGGCGGGTCGGCACCCGACGCGCCCGAGGCGCTGCTGCCACCACCCGAGAAGCGGGCCCGCACCCTACCCGCAACTGGAACGTCCACGCAAAGCACCCAGGTGACGCCAGCGCTGACAAGTGAGCGCTCGGTAACCTCGAGCAGACAACTCCGCCTCGTCACCTGGAACGTGGCCTCCTACCGCAGCGCTTCGACTGCACTGCTCAAATACGTTCACGAAGCTAATCCAGATATCATCTGTTTACAGGAGACGAAGCTGCAGGCGAACGCGACACCCGGGCCGTTTCTTCTGCCTCAGTACCGTTACAAGACCTGGTTTTGCAGTACAGCGCGCAAGGGTTACTCTGGCACCGCAGTGTTATCGAAACTCAAGCCTCAAAGCGTACATCGGGGAATACCAGGTCACCCGGAACACGATGCTGAAGGTCGCTGCATCGTCTACGAATATCCCGACCTTGTCTTAGTGAACGTGTACGTACCAAACTCGGGACTGAGGTCCTGCGAGCGCCTTGCGTACCGAGTCCAAGAGTGGGATTCTGCCCTGCGCGACTACCTCCGACAACTAGCGGCAACGCGACGATCCATCATTCTCTGTGGCGACATGAATGTGGCTCTAGACGATCGCGACGTCTATTCGGTGGAGGCTTGTCGAGGGTGTGCGGGTTTCACCAGCGATGAGCGGGAGAGCTTTCGGAGAACGCTCTCGGAAGCGGGTCTGGTGGACGCTTTCATGGCTCTGCATGGCAACGAGGCGACACCGCGCTTTACATTTTGGGATTATCGGGATTCTATGGGAGGCGTTCGACGGAACGGGTGGCGAATCGATCTCTTCTGCGTCAGTGCAGCCATGGTGGGTCAGGGTCGGACACCGCGGCAGGTACTGCGGCATAACGATGCTTCCGCAGAGGCCTGCACCGCTGACACCTCCCCGCAATCGATGGCGACGGAGAGCGTCTGGAAAGTAGTGCAAGTGCGTCCGCGCCCGGATATCTACGGAAGCGATCACTGCCCTGTCGAGATGGTGCTAGCTTTTGTGCCTGACGCGGAAGCAAGCGCCGCTTTCTCGCAACCATTGGTGAACGTGCCTGAGCGGCGGGAAAGCGCTGAATGCTCGAGTCCGGTGCGTACCGATGACGATGCATCCGGCTGCTGCCCCGAGCGCGGCGACTCGGACAAGGCCGACCCAGCATGCCCAGGGGTAAAGCAAAGCTAGATCTATCCTGAACCAGTGCGCTCGATATACACGTGTACGTCAAACGTCATTCGGGTAGGTTGAATAACCCGAGCGTCTAGCCCCCGAGGCATCCGCATACCATATACAGGGCTAGCTCACGGTGTCGTGGCGACGGAAAGGGTGCAGCTCCAACCCGCACAGCGCCGAGCGGGTACTTGCAGGTCGAAATCCAATACCGCTTCGTACCGAGAAGACCGTCAATATATTTGATCTGTGGCCGCGACACTGGTCGAAGGTGTCTTGGCCGGAACACTCCGATCAAAACTGCAAGGGAAACGAGTAACCCGCGGTTGCTCCGCTAGAATATTGCGCAGGAGTTTGTCCCACTGTGGTGGCGAAATCTCCACCGTTGCTGCAGCCTGTGCTTCTGCCTCCGCTTCGCTCATACCAGCCTGGACTAGTCGCTGCTTCACGCTGCTAGCCGCCTCTTTCAAAACCTCCGGTGGATACTCGTTACATAGATAGTATCCTACCCGGATAAACTCCTGCCCACGATAACTGCAGGTCACGAGTACGATCGTAACCCCCGTGGCATCTTCCTCTGGTATCCGTTCTGGTCGCGGCGGTGGCACCTCCAAGACAAACGCAAAGCGCCCAGGGGTATCCGCGGGTACCAGAACAGCGTCGAGCTCCTGGTCATAAGATTCGGACGACGCTGAACCGACGTAGACGACGCGCCACTCGATGTCGTCAGAGAGCGCCTCTCGAACCTCGTACGCAATCGCAAAGCGAAGGTTTGAGAGAAAGGGTGCTGGGTTATTTTCCACTGCCACAGAGATTATGTCTACAGCAGCCATGCTGTTTCACCGGGCACAAGCTCGAAAAGCGTGCCCTTGGCACAGGCAAGGCCAGCTATGTACTGGAACCCGCGCGAAAAAAAGCGAAATTGTTGTGGGAAATTTTTCCCGCGGCTCTGCAGCAGCCTGTGCGCAGCCACCGGAGAAGGCGCTTGCGTAAGCGCGACTTGCGGGCCCTTCGATGAGCGCCAATGGAGGATAGACGCAGGTCTTCGATGCTGGTGTTGCTCGCTTCCGCTGTGGTATTGGGACTGGTGCGGCAAACGCTCGCAAGGTGACGCGAATCTGTTAGATAGGCGAGCGGTGGCTCCGCTTCGACGAGCTCCCGGAGTTTACCTGGTCAACTTTTGTGCAGCTTGGAGGCGCTGCTCGACGTTCCAGCTTGTAGACAGTCTCATGAAGCAACCACGAAGACACTACGATTTAGGCACCGGTGTACTGAGCGTTATCAGGTGCTTCAGGGAAGCGAGGCGTGCAGGACGTTAGGCCAACGTATTCAGAGGGCCGACTTCCTGCCACCCCTAATATCCGTTGTGTCGACGCTGCTTTGGCTCGTTCGATCGCTTGATGCATGCTGCCGCCAAAGGTCATAGCGACCTATCAGATTGTGCTCGGTACCTCCGGGATGCGGGTGCCAGGTGCGGACGCCTCAGAGCCGCGACCTGCACAAGTGTCGGATTGTACGCGGTGCTGTGTAAACTGCGAAGCGTTACGCTTAAGGAGACGCTAAGTTAAACATATAGATCTGAACTTTGCTCGGAAGCATTAACAGAAATGCGAAGGTGGCGGCGTCTCTGGCACGGCACCGCGGCTGAAATGTTCTGCTGCGAACGCTTGAGCAGATTGATCGGAAAGTTGTTGTTGTTGTTGTTGTTGCTGCTGCTGCGGCACGGTGCCTCCCGAACTACTCTGCCACTCAACATTGCCATTGGACGGATAAGCTCCCATTTCCATGCTCGATATGGACTCGTTCGTTCGGTGCGTGGGTTCCCCAAAACCTGCTCCAGCTGATACCGCCATCGACCAGGGTGCCTCGACAGGCTGGCCATATGGTGAAACGATTGACTGGTAAGCCTGCGCCATATCTAGAGAATTTTGTGGTGCGTTCAGCGGCACGGCTCCCGCTCCTTGGAACGATGTCCCCGTGTACATGCCAGAAACATTTTCAGGATGCGCAAAACTGGACGCAGTCGCCATCGCAGGCGGCTTACCGGATCCAGAAGGCATCATCATGGATTCCGTCCCAAAACGCGTCATCGTGCTGGGCGCTTTCTCTCCAGTTGCCGAGAAGGCCCCATTCACAGCTGACGACATTGACGGCATTGGTTGCGGTGCTGTTGCAAAAGCCGCAGGCGGTGCCGTTGACATGCCCTGCATCGTTCGGGATGCCTGTCGATGCGCTTGCCGTTGCAGCATCTGCTGCGCAGTCTCGAGCGCTTGGTGGACGCGGCTTGCCTCCTGTGCCTCGATCTGTGCCAGAGAAGCGCCCTGAAAGTGCACAGCTGCATAGGCATCGGCTCGCAACTCCTCAAATGAAACATCAACGCCCTTCACCGAACTCTTCGCATACGTATTGCCGTAGCAGGAGAGGGGCCAGACCCCTGATTCGTGACCTTCGCGCCACCAGTCCCAAAGCGTCTTTCTCTGGTTGTTACCACGCCCAGCTCCCTGGTTCGTTTCGCTGCCAGCTCCACGATCCGGTGCCCTTGCTGAATCGTTAACCCCGTAGGGCGCACCACCTGACATATTGAACGCGTTTGGTGTCACCGCCGGCCAGGTGCCGCCCCCGGCTGCTGGTGTGCCCGCCGTAGGCAAGCCTGAGGCCGGGAACCCTGCCTGTCCGCTTGCCGCAGGCATGCCAGGCCCGACCTGCTGGCGACTGGCTCTCCCACCAAGCCCCGGTGGATGTTCATATCGACAACGGTCCCCGAACTTGCAGTTCCCCTGCAAATAGTAACGACAAACAACCATAGGCAAAAGCACCTCAGCCACCTGAAGCCGTCGAGGCCCGCTCTCCTTACAAACGCCCTATTCAAAATTATCAACCGTAACTTCAGGTTTTCCAGAAGAGCGCAAACCGCGGCTACGGTGCTTGCACTTGGTCCACAGCAACACCAGTGCTGGGTTCACAGTGAACGCGTCGCTCGACAAGGGTGTCTTCCGAGACCCGGTCGACTACGCGATGCGAAACTTGCCGTCTCCTCGACACAGAACACGAACCGTACACACCCCAGTCTATAGTTGAAAAGCTATCTCTGGTGCCTGTGCACCCTAGAGCACGAAAAAGTCAGTGCTAACCTCCGCAGCCGTCGCTGGTCTGGGTAGTGCGACAGCCGCGACTGCTGTGGCCGCTGCCAGCTTGATGTGCCATACCAGCTGTGCAGCGTGAGACGCACGCTCTTCGAACGGAACGACCAGTTACCTGTTGTGGTGCTTGTCTGACTGTTTGACTGGCGCTTGGTGAACACGGAGCAGGTGACACGTGCATCATACCCGAAAAGCAGTGACCCCGTGGTGTCCAGACCGTGTGACGGACGCTTGCTTACCGTGCGAGCGCTGCAAAGCGGCTGCTGTGGATCGCTCACGAAAGCGCTTGCGAGGAGCCACGAGCGTCGGATACGCTATTCGCCCGTCCAATGACATTTATAGTGCCCTCGCGAGGAGTTCGTGCCCCACAAAAGCACGCAGTGTTGCAAGCGAGGCGTCCGCGGGGACCCGGTCCCTTGACGAGGTGCTGGCGCTTGGCACCCCTGCGGGCGAGCCTCGAAAGGCCGCGCTCTGTGACCCCTGCCGACGACGACAACCAGGTGCTCGGCTCGACCAAAGTACCGACTCGGAAACGGGAACCCACAAGTGCATACAGTTACATCGACAGGGCACGCATCCGCGTCAAGGGAGGCGACGGCGGTGACGGGTGTGTAGCTTGGCGTCGAGAGCGTGGCAACGCACGCGGTGGACCCGCTGGTGGCAACGGTGGACGAGGCGGTGACGTCTACCTCGTGGCAGACGCCGGACTAAATACTCTAGTCAAGTTCGGAAGTGTGGTTCACTTCACGGCTGAGAACGGAGAAAAGGGTCAGCCGAAAAACTGCACTGGCGCCGATGGCAAGGCGCTGGAGCTGCGAGTCCCGCTCGGTACAGTTGTCTACGACGCAGAAACGGGAGCGCTCTTGGGCGATCTTGACCAGGTTGGTGCGCGGTTGCTGGTCGCACGGGGTGGTCGCGGTGGTCGCGGCAACGCAGCCTTCAAAACGGATCGAAACCGAGCGCCCGTTATCCGCGAAAAGGGTGAACCCGGCACCGGCTGCTGGCTTCGTCTGGAACTGCGCGTGCTCGCCGATATCGGCATTATAGGGTGTCCCAATGCTGGCAAATCAACTTGGCTTGCAGCGGTGAGCAACGCGCGACCAAAGATTGCTGACTATCCCTTTACCACTCTGGTTCCGAATCTGGGCGTCTACGCTGAGAACGTTGTCCTTGCGGATATACCGGGGCTTTGCGAGGGCGCCCATCTCGGGCGAGGGCTTGGTATAGGATTTCTCCGCCATATTGAGCGCTGCCGCATGATACTGCATTTGGTTGCAGGAGATGCACCAGATCCTCTCTATGATCTACAGGCTATTCGTTTGGAGTTGGCGTTGTTCAATCCGCGTCTGGTCCAAGACAAATTGCACGTCGTGCTCTTTACGAAGATGGATTTGCCTTTGGCCCAGCAGCGTTGGAATGATGCTTCTTTCCGCGAGGCGTTCCAGAAGGCAGTGGGGCACCGCCGGATTGCCGCCGTATCAGCAGTTACGGGCCAGGGTGTAGAGGAAACCATGCAGCGTGTATGCAAGCTCCTGGAGAAAATCCCGCAACCTGACCGCTTAAGCTCGCTGCCTGATGCATCTCCTGGTGTGCTAGAGCAATCGCGGAGCCCAGCAGCCGCTGATACCTTTCGTGGTGATCATGACGCCATCGGTGCGAGCGTGGATGGCACGTTCCGTATCCAAAAGGAGCGAATGGCAGATGGCCAGCGGCGCTGGCGCATACTGGGTTTGCCCAAGCTCGAAAGACTCGCTGTTATGACGGACTGGGCGTACCCAGAGGCCGTGGATCGCTTTCAGCGAGTACTTCGAGCGCTGGGGGTCACGGAGGCGCTCTCGCAGAGCGGCATTCGCGCCGGTGATGTTGTCGTCATTGCGAATATTGAATTCGACTATACCCCCGATGATAATGTGTTTTACCAGAATGCCCTAGAGGACGGTGTGGACTTGTTTAAGGACACAAGCGATGTCGAGATCGCTGTGGATGAGGATCACGATTATCGTGAATGGAGCGAAAACGTTTCGCAATCATAGAGGGTGAATGCGTACCCATTCGGAGACGCCTTCCAGCCGTGTTCGACCGGCCGCCTGCTATCGGTTTCCGTTTTTCCAGGCACACCTCGAGCTTGAGAGGCTACCTCACAAAGTTAGATCACTTGAGCTCCTCGGGTATCGTCTTCGGCACCACACATTGTCTGATATTCGTAGCAGCGTAAAGTCTCGTTTCACGAACTCTATGGGTTTCTCGTTGCTGGTGGAACTCATCCGCGAAAGGATAGCTAAAATGCGTGCCGCTACAGCCTAGTTATCGTGTCGTCGGGCAAACACCTTGTCTCACTTGTCTCCCCTTTTACTTTTGCTGCCTCATCACTTGCTCTTCTTCGCTTGATGGTTAGTGAGATGCGGATTTATTTCGCTTGTTTCCGACGACCGGGGATGACTGTCCTCCGGGATCCTTGAATCTCACGCCCATACCCTTTGCTTGGATTTTTTATTTCTTAGAAATGAACGCATTTCTGTATGCCCCTGTGTGAGGGCGTTCCCAGATGCACGATAGCTCGCACAAGAAAGACGACATGTGCCCTGGGTTGTTAGCGTGCAGAACGCTCAAGCGATTCGCCCAGTGGAGCGATTATTAATTTCACAATAGAAAACATTTCTTATACGTGGTTGAAACATGCAGCGTACGGAGGATAGAGAAGCAGCTCTACTCCTGGGACAGATTCGACACAAGCTCGAACGCTAGGGGAATGGTGAAATACCACGCTCTCCAACAGAAGGACGTTGCCAGATGTCAGGGAAAAGTCTTGTGTAATTCGAGCAAGTGGCTGATGCAGTTGTTCAGGCCTTCTCTACGAGCGAAACTGAGCCGCCAAATGAATCCACCGCAGCTAGAACAGATGGTGTCGTCGTCGTCCAGTTGGATCGCACATAAAACGGGCTCCATCTCCGAGAAAAAACATTCACGCTCCGACCATTTCGTCCGAAGGAACTATGATCGAATGAAAAAACAAACCGACATCCCTGTGCTTCATAGCGATCGCGAAGTTCCAGGTACGCTGTTGATGCGTTTTTGGTAAACAATGGCCGTACATGAACTAAGACTTTTTTTCGACTGTATCCCAGTGTTTTTCGGGACCAAACGAACTAGATGTTGCGAAACAGAGACGCCCATGATGGCTGCTGCGATCGTTGCTTTTGCTTTCCGTAAGGTAGTCAGCAGGTCGTTTTCCTACCCTTGACCGCAAGAAGTCTTGAATAATATCGGTATTCGGCGCAAAGCGCATCTGCTTGTTTCTTGCAGGGTTCGCCAACCACCTGAGTACTGTGGTATGACTGACACTGAGGATTCATGCGGCGCTCCTTATACAGTTCAGTAAAGAATCTATCCTACAGGGAATTCGTCCAGGAGGTATAGAGCGCATTGCATCCTGCCCTCGATCACCTGCTATCCACCGCAGCACAAGTGAAGCAAAACTGAGTTGTGAGACCTGAACAAGGTCGATCACCTGCAGCGGATTTCGTTCGTCCGACGCCTCTAAGATCGCATTGGTACGGGGACATGAACTTCGCGGCCATTGCTCGCCTGCGAACGGTATGATGCGTAGACCAAGTTCGTGTTCCAAGTCATGGTGATGGTCACGGTGATGCGTATCACAGAACGACCAGAAAGGGCCGGTGCGGCAGCCGCCGCCGCCGCCGACGACGACATCCGTCGGGAGACCCCTTCATGGCGTCAGTAGGTCTAGGCGGGACGACTCACGAGCGGAGCGAATCCTAATAACTGGCTTTGCCTTGTTCGTAAAACGTGCGGGCATGAAATCTCGTATCTGAGGTTTTAATGAGCACGCCCCTGATTCTATGAAGGAAAAGCGGAACCGAATCGCGAGACTGAGCATCGCGGTCTGCCGCCGAGAGCATGCGACCGAGACAGCTTTCGTCCTGTAGACACTAGGCATCCACGTACACCGGAAAACAAACACGACTCCATTGGATGCAGTAACCAGTGCCTCGTTCACAGAAGCGTTTCGCGGTGCGCATCCATGCTATGCCGGCGTCGACGCTGAACGCGCAGCCTCCGTGCGCACTCCAACGTCGATAGCCATTTGCGTCGGGACACGTGTCTGCGTCCCGCGAACAGCACGCATGGACGTCTGTAGTGCGCTGCAGCGCACTAGGCGAGGACACGTGTCCGCATACCGCGAGCAGCACGCATGGACACACAGAGTGCCGACTCCCGCCGAGTTGCTCTCTACGTTGTACGAGCAACGCCGCTTCATTGCCTCCCGTGGCATGTTTCGCGCTCCCATAAGACTTGCGGCGTCATGGAAAAGGCACTCGACTCGCGTACGGCACTAGCAGTTGCCGCCAACGTCGAACTGCGCAATGCGGATGCTGCAGGCGATATGCGTCTCCGAAACAAACCATGTGGCGCTTCACCCACCTGCATACAAGCGTTGTATTTGCGCCGCATAACGAGCTTCGATGAATGCGCGTCGCAACTTCAGCGTAGGTGTCAGAGTCTGATCTTCCACAGAGAACGCGCGGGGAACAATCCAAGCCTTGCGCACTTGCGCAGCTCGAGAAACGGCTTGTCTGTTCGCTTTCGCAAGACCCTGCTCCACGTACCGATTCCAGGGTGTACCAAGAACTGCGGCTTCCGCCGATGCATCCGCTGCCGTCCGAGTCGCGTCATCTACGGCGGCTGCTTCACCGATGAGCGTCTCCCCGTCAGGCGCAGTCTGCAACGACAGGAGACAGCTGAGGAATTTTCGCCGATCACCGATCACCATGGCGCGCGCTACTGCCGGCATGGCGCTCTCCAGGGCTCGTTCTAGTGGCGCTGGTGCAATATTCTCGCCTCCAGCTGTCACTATAAGCTCTTTCAAGCGTCCAGTGATCCAAATGAAACCGTCACGATCGATTGTCGCCAGATCACCGGTACGGAAAAAGCCATCGCTCGTAAAAGCAACAGCAGTACTCGCCGGGTCATTAAAGTACGCTTTGAACACGTGCGAGCCCTGAACCTGCAGCTCCGATGTCTCGGCATCGACGCGAACGCAGGTTCCCGGTAGCGGCCGGCCGGAGCTCCCCCTTCGGTACGCCCTCGGGAGGTTGATTGCAATCGGACCGGTGCATTCAGTCATTCCGTAGAGATCGCAGATTCGCATGCCCAGAGAGCTGAAGTAGTCGAGGGTTTCAGGTCCCAAGGGTGCAGCAGAGGAAATCAGGATGCGAGCTCGATCGAGACCGAGCGCTCGGCGAATAGGCCAAAGCACGAGGCGGTCGGCCAGCCACGCCGACCAGCTTGGACACCAATCTGCTTGTGGATATTCCCAGCGCTGGATATCGCTGAACATGACGCGCTTCGCCCAGGTGGAAACGTGTCGGATTGGTGCCGGCTGACTCGCGGCGACCTCTTGGAGCTGTTCGGCGATGCGCTCCCAGACCCGCGGCACACCGACGAAAAAGTCTGGTCGCACCGCTCGCAGCGTTCGCACGAGAGAACGGGAACCAGGCTGCAGCACGTCGGGATCTGCAAAGTGTAGAGAAAATCCGACAATGGCGGGTCCGATAATGTCGAGCATGGTAGCCGCCACGTGCGACAGCGGCAGGTACGAGACGCCACGCCAGGTCTCATCGAACTGAACGAGCCTCCGTGCGCTCTCAATGACAAACAGGACGTTACGATGCGAGAGCGCGACGGCCTTGGGCGTCCCGCTGGTTCCCGAGGTAAAGACAATCAGCGCTGCTTGGTCAGCGTTCTGAGCGCGATGGCGGTGCATGAGAACGATGTTCCCGTCGTCCAGTGAGCATCCTGCATTCAGAAATGTATGCCACGACATGACACGAGTATCCATGGACGCAAACGTTTTTGTTTGCGAGACGGTGTCATCGTCGGGACTCGTCGCTGTACTTGGCCATAAGACGAGATGCTTTAGTTTCAGGTCTGGGAATGCTGCTGCTGCTGCAGCTGCTGCTGCTGCGACGAGGCGCATTCCACAGTCGCCATCCTCCCCAAAAGCGACGACGCACCGACCAAGCTCTAGCAGCTGCCGACAGCTTGCCTCACTGCTCGTCGGATAGATGCCGTATGGTAACACGCCAGCAAGCAACGCACCCCAATACGCTATAAGGTATTTGGGGCTATTCGAGCCGAATATGGCCACCGTTGCCCCAGGTTCAACTCCCAGAGCGACCAGGGCACGTGCCACGTCCACGCACGCTTCATAGTATTCAGCATAGGTGTAGTGGCAAGCGTTCGGCCGATACTGAACGAGCGCAGTTCGGCTTCCGTGCCGCTCAGCGGTGTGTTGAAACGCCTCGGGCAGCGTTGATGACAAGTTATTAGCCGTCGACATGGTCACCGGAAGCAACTTGTTTCAGATATAGACGTCCGTCGTTGTTGTCGTCGATCGACGCGGAGCAACGAGTCACCACCGGTTTCCGCTGCCGGACTCGAAGCACCTACCGTTGTCCACGTCACGAACGACCATAGAGTCAATAGGCACTATCCAGTTTCCTGTTCGGTGTCGTTTTCGTTCAGGGCACCAGATCGAGACAGTTTCCTGGTAGAGTACGCGGGGCGTCGAACGGCAATGCTAGTTTTCAGAAGTACAGCGTACGCGTCTCGCGACTGAATACAATCAAGTTTGGGTGATTCGGGGGCTGCTCTAACGAAAACGCTGCAACCTGATACCAGTAGATTCGACTAATCTTTCGTTCTGGTCCAATGAATCAAACCATCACGCCACTGGATGTATGATGGCTATGGGGAACTAGGAGCGTGACTCCTGTTCCTCGCTGAGTACGACAAGGTTCCAGAGACTCTGGACGAATCGCTCCTTCGGGAGTAGGAGCCGGAACCAACCAGCGGACCTTGCGAGTGCGGAGGCTCTCTCTTACACCCGCTACAACGCTGAGTGCTTCGTTACGCTGTTCATGCAGAGACCGGAAAGCTTTGCGGTGCTTTATGGACGTCAACTCTACACAAGACCAGACGTGTCGGACACACGCTAGCTAGATTCGGTTTCTCCAACGGCATGCGCTGCGATCTGTTGTTCTTGTAGCGCGCCTGCCGAGTCCATTGCGAAGACATCATCAACGAGCGCCGCAACGTTTTGGGTACGGTAGCCACTCTAGGCATGCAATGGGTCATGGCACGAGCGCGGGTGTATCCACAGTGTCGTGCGATGGACTCGAATTCTGCGCTCTAGCAACCACAATAGCAACAGCATTACTCCCTGTACGCGCTAGGAAGCGACTCCAGCGGCGCTGTGTACCTCGTGTAATCATCGCTGAGCGCTACACGGTATCGAGCGACCACCACAGGCGCACCAACTGGCCGATCTGTTCGTCCGCAGCCGGAAAGCCCACATACGCCCGCAACGAGGTCATAGATGCGCAAACTCGGTGCAGGAGCGTTGCTGCATGGTGCACGTGCCTACGCTCGGCGTGCGTCTCTTGCGCATGCGCTGATGCCAGCGCCGGTGAATCCGGATACGCGGCCCGCATCGACATGGAGGCTGGTGCTAGGACCCAGTGCGTAGCGCGCCTTCACGCCATCGAGACTTGTGGAAACTGGTGTCGTGATTTCGGCATGGTTCTCTTCCGAGCAAGGCACGGATTTGCTGGCGGGTTTAGCGGAATGCATTCGTGCAATGCAAAACAAACGTAGCAGATCCACGGTCTATTGCAGCATTTCGATAGCGTTGCGTACGACTTTACCTGTTCCCGCATTCGTGGACTGTCCATGATACGAATGGACCCCGACGCATAAACAAAGCGCACCACTATAGTATTGCACGGACCGCATTTTCGCCACTGTCCTGCTATGAAGTCTTTCAAACGGGCATAGACTGCCTCCAGCACGTTGTTATGATCCGGCACATGCCAACGGCAACGCGTCCGACACGAACACCCGACGCATCCAGCGGTGCATCGTGTAAGCGAATCGGGCGCCACCATCCATTCCAAGCTCCACCTGGAATCAGGAGCTCGTCCACCAGACGCCAAACAGCTCAGAAACTAGACGTAGAGGCAGCGCAGAGATGCATCTAAATGGGGAATCCTCGCATCGCACAGAGAGAGGCACACCGGGATCGTTTCCAGCTACCTGCGTGGAGCATGCGATCACGGCAAGCGACCGTCAAACTCGGCACTCTGCTCGCCTTTGTATGGACAGCTTCCGCGATATACCGATACGTCGCACATCCACTGTAACGCTCGTCGGATTCGCTGCCTGAAAATTCGCCCCAATGCATCATACAGCATCGCAGTGGAAACGCTGAGCGACAGCCGCTCAGCGTGCAACGACTGGGTGTGCATGCGCCCACGGCCGAGTGGATCTCCCTGCTTCGCTGCGATCGCGCACGCACGCATACGCACGCACGCATACGCACGCACGCATACGCACGCACGCATACGCACGCACGCATACGCACGCACGCATACGCACGCACGCATACGCACGCACGCATACGCGCTGTTGCAGAATACCGTACACTGTTCAGCGCTGCGCTGCTGCACCGAGGCCGGCTACCAGCACACTCTTCTCGTGCATGGTAAGCGTTGTTTTAATATTGAATTGAACCAATATATGAACGCTAAACCCGAACAGCTTCAAGCGCGAGGCGGTGCTTTGCTGACTCCTCGAAGCTCAACCGCGCCGGGTGCTTTCCTTGCGGCATCGGCTGGCGTGCGCCTCTTGGTTGGCGGGTGGACAACTCGTGGAGGCACCTGTCGTCAGCGCAGTACGCGTCGTACCCCGGCCCGATGGGTCTGCATGGACCAGGGTGCTGCACCCGTGGGCACGAGGAAGAGCATCCAGGCGCTGGAGAACGCGCTCCAACCTACGGCGTTCCACCGACGCGTCACCATTTTGGGAAGCACCGGGAGCATTGGAACGCAAACCCTGGATATTGTGCGCTCTTGTCCGGACAAGTTTTCTGTCGTAGCGTTGGCGGCGAACGGTTCAAACGTAGAGCTTCTCGCGGAGCAGACGCACGAGTTTTCGCCCGAACTTGTCGCTATACGTGATACTGCCCGCCTCGAGACCTATCGGGAGGCGCTGCGGCAGCGTGGCGTCCCGGAACCGCCGCACATTGTTGCTGGCGAAGACGGTGTCGTCGAGTGTGCGCGATACGGTGACGCAGATGTCGTTGTCACTGGGCTTGTTGGATGTGCGGGTCTCTTGCCCACAGTTGCTGCGATCAAGGCCCGAAAAGACATTGCGCTGGCGAACAAGGAAACACTGATCGCGGGCGGCCCCGTGGTCGTGCCCCTAGTTCACGAGTACGGCATTCATCTGACTCCAGCCGACTCAGAGCACTCTGCGTTGTTCCAGTGTCTTCAGGGTGCGCCAGATGGCGCGCTTCGGCGCATCATTCTCACGGCGTCTGGTGGTGCATTTCGCGACTGGGATGTTTCGCGCTTAGCGCATGTGACTGCTGCAGATGCGCTCAAGCATCCGAACTGGAACATGGGTCCGAAAATCACTTGCGATTCGGCGACGCTCATGAACAAGGGTCTGGAGGTTATTGAAGCGCATTTTCTCTTTGGCATCGATTACGACGCCATCGAAATTGTCATCCATCCCCAGTCGATCATTCATTCGGCAGTCGAGTTTCAGGATACGAGCGTTCTCGCTCAACTCGGATGGCCAGATATGCGTCTTCCACTGTTGTACGCGCTGTCCTGGCCTCATCGGCTTCGGATTGAGACGTTTCGCCCACTGGATCTCGTTCAAGTGGGAAGTCTAACTTTTCGCGCGCCTGACCACGACAAGTATCCATGCATGCTTCTCGCGTACGCTGCGGGACGCCGTGGCGGTACCATGCCGGCGGTGCTGAACGCGGCGAACGAGGTCGCGGTGGAGCTTTTCCTGCGTAACGAACTGGAGTTTATGGGGATTCCCGCGGTCATCGAGCGCACCATGCAGCGGCATGACACAAGCGACTGGAAACAAACACCTACTTTGGATGATCTCATTGCTGCAGATGCTTGGGCGCGTCGCACGGCACGAGAGGAGGCCGCGAAGCGCCCGATCTACCCCGCCGGGGCTAACCTGGAGACGCAAAAGACGTAGGAGAGCACCACGCTCGACCAGCTCGCCGACGATCCCTGGCCTGAGACGCATCGGCGGGAACGCTGTAGTGGCGATGAGGTGAACGACTGCAAATCTCGATCGCTGGCTACGCTGCGGGTACTGGTCGTTGCCCTCACGAGAACTCGGACCGGATCTTGGCTTGTTGATGATGGGCATACAATGCTATTGGACAACGACGGGATGGCATTCACCCAGAGGCCTGTTGTCGTCAACATCTGTCTTGGCCGTGTTCAGGAAGGAGCAACGCTCGCGCTGCAGCAAGCGGGGGTGCCTCTACACAATAGAGCCGTATCTAAAGCAGGACAGCATCGCTATGTCAACGCGGTGTCTCTCGCTTATACGTAGCACTATCGAAGAATGGAGCACCATGCTGTGCCATCGATTGCTCGGGAAAAACGTTCCCGATGTGTAGATACATGGCGCTCCAGCTTTCTTTTATCGCCGAATCGTACCTGACCAGTACATTGATCCAGGGGAGAATGCAGTCCCCTCTCCCATTCATGGTCACCTTTTTTTAATCGAGGGTGTTCGGAATTTCAGCACACTGTCCGTACTGAATACAAAACCGTTTCCTTGAAAGCGCGCTCGACTTTAGCTGCCGGACGCTCCCGAAGCATGAGACAGATCCGGATGTTGATTGAGGCGTTCGGCTCTTGGTTCGGACACTGCTTTTCCGCATCGGTGCAGCGGAGCCTGACCATAGAAAGCCCCTCAGCTTCCGATTGCCACGCCATGTGACTTCCAGCCAGCTTACCACGCCTCATCTCACGCATCCGGCTCCGTTTCACGCCCTTCTTCTATACCTGTTTCAGCGTGCACCCGTGCTCGTGATCCGTGCACGTCGTCGTCTTGAACGCATCAACGCGAATCGTACAGAATCGGTTCCTGAACTCGTTGAAGGCTCTCGTGTAAGGAGCAAGCGTGCCGTCCCGGCGTGGCACTGTACGTCCAGCACCAGAGGATACAATTAAGCGATACGATTCGTCGGTAATATCCGTTCCCAACTCATTGACCAAGTTATCGAATGCAAGTTTCTTGCTTCTGTACAACAGTGACTCTAGGCTAGCAGAGCGCTCTCTCGTGTACGTTTGCCAAATATCGTCCGTGCGAGTTCTTCGGACGCCCAGAAACGCGCTAGAAAAGGCGCACGATACATTCGCTGCATGCTCGATACAGCGCACAGAGCGTCGAGGTAGGTGCTGATATTTCCCTCCATCATTCCACTTGTTCATATGCGTCTTGGCCTCGCTCATGGCGGACGATCGATCGTGCCGGGCCCTGGAAAGTTTGAATAGCGTGAACTGCTTTCGTAGCGGGTGTTTGGCACCGTTCTCTTGATTTTAGGGGTGCGGCGGCGACGGTGGCTACGATGTTCTAATAAGCGGGGTCCACGCTCTTTACGGACTGAAGCTCTCTTCGTCTACCCTGAATGATTGAAGACGAGTCTCGTTTGCCGGTTTGATACTTTTTGGCCCCGGTGCGGTAGGATTTTCGTGAATCGCCGGGATAGCGCCGCGACGCGGCAAACGACTCCGAGAAGCACAAGTGCAAACCTCTGACCCGACGATCAGACCGAATTGCGTCTTCTGCACCGTGTATCAATTGTACTGTTGCACGCAAGCTTGATGAAAGAGTTCCGCAAGAATTTGGACGGTAGACAGTCCTGCGTCCCGAACTCCGAGGAAGAGCTGCTTGACGAGGCTCATCATGGCATGAGGAGCTAAGCAACTAAGCCTCGAGTCAGAAGCTACGGGATCCGTCATTCGCGTCCTGCATCCTGCATTTTGAAACATTCTCCATGTTTATTTTTCTGGATATGAGATCTTGACACTGCGTCCGGAATGACTCTACCGTTGGTTCCAGTGCCTGCTCGCCCCCGTCTTTGTCGATCTGTCTCGTTCTTGTCAGATAGAGTCTGCTCCATTTCTTTTTCTTGGCAAAGTGGCATGGATGGGTTCGCTAGACTCCACGTCCGTTTCTCCCTCGGGATACAGGCGCACTGGATGGATCCTGACACTGAAATCCATCCCCTCTTTGTGTGTACCACTCCTCACGCGCCGTTTCGTTGTCTTCTCCGATGCGAGCACAGCTGCGGACCGTGCGCACCGCTCCGCTGCCTCCCGCGAACGCGAAGAGAAGCGACACAGCACACCGGGGGCCGGCGAAGCCAGAGAGCAACGAATGGATGAACGGTTTCACCGATGCGAACGAGTGTCCCATTGATTTGAGAGGGTGAAAATAACGTTTGTCAACATCGAAGACGTCTTCGACTGGGTTGATCCATGGGCAATAGCACGATAAGGAGAGCAGCGCAACATGAATGTCGATTGTGCACTACGCAACCGTTCCGCATTGATCGAAAGCGACGTTATCTAAGAACGGAACAGAAGAAGGCGGGAAGCTCAAGCTACGCTTCGTGTTTCTTGGATCGCTGAGCTACGAAAAGATCTGGTATGTATGTCGATTTGTAGGCGACCACACGATTGAATCGCTTCTAGTCCTGGTGGCCTCGTAACGGCCAATCGTACCTTGTTTGCGATCAGCGGCCCGCCAGTGTTTGAGTAGTCGTATTGAGGTCTACCGTTTTCGGTGCATACAGGCTCGGTGAATGCGACAAACATCCGTCTGTCCTGAGGTAAGCGTTCGTGCTTCAGTGCGACACCGATTCTGAGCAGTTCTACAAGCGACACTTGTCATCGAAGCGCCTTGCTTTTTCTTTCCATCTGTGTCTCTTCATCACCGTTCGGATCTATATTATGCGAGCTTTATATTCTGTGGCTTTTCGACAGTATACCTAAAAGGACGCACCGCGTGCAATGGACTGACGAGCAGACAGTCACATGGGCAGTGTTTGGCGATTCTATCTTTGGGAGCACGACCTTCGGGCTATGCACGAACAGAAGCGTCATTCGTGCACCAGATGAGCATAGAGTGACTGACGCGTAAAAGCGATGCTCTTTTTCGTAGGCTGGTAATGACAGCATCCCAAATCTCAGCAACATTGCTTCGATCCACTGAATTCATTCCTTTTATTGAATACTTGCGAGAAAAACATACAAGAAGAAATAGGGCTTGCTTTAGAGGGGTATTCCAGAGCGCATGGCCCCAGCTATAACGCCAGCGTTTCTCGATGTCGCCCTTGTGTCGATATCGCTGACCCGTTGCGTGCTGCCGGAGACAGACTGCTTGGAAAAAACGACCTCCATCGGTGCACATCTGCTTCATCCACGCAAAAATAAAATCGAACAGTTCCTCTGACCTACCTCGGACGTATGCGATGAAGCTTGGGTGCCTTTCCACTGTCAGCGACAAGAGTCCCCGTGGGCTCTTCTCTGAAGGATTCCTTTTTCGTTCGCTTGTCTCAGACTCGAAATACTCTGGTCGTTTCTGTTCCGCAAGCTCCATCATCAGCAGTCGAAAGTCGTTGACGGCAGCGTGAATATCCCAAATTGGCAGCTTCAGGCTGTTTCTGACCATTTCGTGCACAGGCCAAAGCTGCGGTGGACTCTTCGCTTGCCGTGTTCATCTTCTTCCTACCAAGCCTCGATGTGCATTTCGCAGTGTTGACACCTGGTGAGGTCAGATGTTCTCATGTGTCCGCCATCACTCGTCATCTGTGGACCGGACTGTGGCGCGTAAAGACCTGCTTCATCGCACGGCACATGCTCTTGAGTGATGGCGACGGCTCGATTCGATACCCTCTCGCTTTTGCACGCCTGTCGCCGTACCCTACGATTCCGGGCTTCTTCTCGACGATACCGTCGGCGAGTGCGCTGGCCGGCGCACAACCAAGCGCACGTCTTTCTATTTGATGGAGGATCTGTGAAATGCGATACTGTGCATGATGAAACAGGTCCCGGGAGGAAATCCGGATTACCGAACAAGTCGAGATATGTTGATCCGTCTACACTCCTAGCGTGCAAAGCGGTGACGCACGCTCCACTGGAAGCAATTGCTTTGATGACTCAAGTCGGTGTCCACGACTGTTTTCTATGTAAACAGAAGAGAAGGGGCCTCTGAAAGCGTATCCCATGAACGGTGTCATGCAGCTGTCGAATACCGATTCTTCACTGAACACAGAGAGACAAGCGCTTGTCCCAAGAGCAAAATCGATTACTTGACGTGAAAAAGTTGGTGAGCTTTCGGCATAAGCTTCTAAACAAGTCGCCAGGGACGACGCCCAGTTCGTTGCTTCGTCAATCCAGTTTTGTTCGTTGCTGCGTCGACGACTCGCCTTGCAACAGAGATATCGAAAACTTGCAGAATGCCTGGTTTGAGCATGCTGTACATAAGGAAAGCAGAAATATGGAGGCTTGCCCATACGTAGTGCTTCCTGAGATCAGTTATTTTCGCAATCGCGGATCGCAGGCTCCGCGATTCATCTCGATTCTCGTTGCGTCACGGATTCCAGCGGAAAAGAGCGGCAGAGGTTCCGCTCCAGAATGACGACGGCGAATCCTCCAGCTATATATGAGTTCGTCAGCTCTAATTGATACAATTTGAACGTCAAGGCTGCACATTTGATAGAAAAGTTCAGAACCGCCATCAAAACGCAGAAACAGAGCAACCGGCTCCGTTTTTCAGGTGCATCTGACAGCCAATCGTTGTGAGCGCAGTCAGCGGCGACATCATGGATTCCGTGAAGAGGCAACCGCTCCGCATTGGACACGCTATCGGAGATACCTTTTCTTCCAAACGATCCCATACCTGTGGAATATCGGCGGGGTTGTTTAAGAAACCCAAGTGCTCGCATCTAAGCTCGCGCCACGTCGAGCGCACGCGCTGCACCTATCCCGCGTTGCGTATGATGCCGCTTCCCGAGACGGCCCTGCAACGCGATCGTGGACAGAAACCAGACCCCGGAGTGTCAATAATCCAGGCGCTTGGAGTCAGCAACCGGGATGCGTCGATAAATCGTGCGATTCGAGCTAGCGCTACTGATACCGCTCCGCCGGCGTCGTCGTTTTCTCTCTATTTTCTAGTACGAACGCGATTGTGTTTGTGTTTGAGTAAATCGTGCTTCATGGCAGACGCTGCCGTCGAACTGCTCGCGGGAACTGCAGCGGCAAGCGATCAAGCGACACAAATAGACCACTGCGATTGGCGCCACTTGGGCTGTTTGGTGCCGCAGAACGCACCCGTCGCACACTCAGGCCCATGTACTTGAAGTAGGTAGCGCAACGAGCAGGCGGCAGACGCAGAGCCTCCGCCAAAGCATCGACGGGCTGGTCTTGAAAACCACTGCAGTGCAAGTACAGAACGAGGATATGATGCAGCATGCGCTCTTTTTCCACTATTCTTTTGGTCTCGGTAGAATCTGCTTGAGTGAAAATCTCCAGCAGAAGCTTACCCAGCCAGGACGGCAGCCAGCGCAGCGGCTCGGGCACATCGGCGGTATCTCCCGACAGACCGTGCTCACGAGACGCCGGTACGCGTAATTGTCGTGGCCAGCGATGGTAGCACTCCAGCAGAATCCAAAGGTAGAGGTGCGTGCATCGCTGTAAAAGAGGGTTCGAACCTACAGAAGCTGTCGTAGATGGCAGCGCTTCAGCGGCAGCGCTGGCGGGCGGCTGTTCTAGCGAGGTTGCCGTCTCTGTATCTGCGGTCTTTCGGGAACTCGTAAACTGTTCCCTCAGACTTTTCGCGTATTTCATATCGCTTCCAAGTGATTCAAGTTCGGTGGCATTGCTCTTGTATGCACTGAAGAAGCGGCTCGGGAGGCAGCCACCCAGCAGGGGATACGCTGTTTCAGGTGTCGTCGCCTCCGAGTTGTACGGCGGTACCAACCGAACGCTCTCGGTGGTGGCCTCTCGGAGACTCGGTGGCGGAGCTTCTCTCGAGATAGCATCGCGTTTGCGTACGTGGTCTGATGGACCGCGCTCCACTACGTCGGTAACGTGCTGGTTCAAAGAGTCCCCAGCGTCGTCGTCTGTGGCGTCTCCCTGGACAGCTGCCTCTGCCGCTTGCACGTTCTCATTCGTTACGTGGCGCGCCAAAGAGAGGGCACGTGCGCGTTTCTGGCGCTTGCTCCCAAACGCTGCAATGAGTGCGTTTCGCGCCTCGTGTGCTTCCCGGGACGCCTGCGACTGGACAGCGAGCTCGTCGGGGAGCTGAGCGCCGTCCGCTGCTGCAGTCTCTCCGGAGTTCTGCTGAAGCGCCAATGAAGGCACTAAAGAGCTCACTGTATTCGATGAACCCGCTCGAAGCGTGGCAGTGCTGGCGATCGGCACAATTTGTAGCTCCTGAGCTGCAGCATCGACAAAAATCAACACGTGCTGACCGCTGGTCGCCTTTCGCCCAGCACTGGCCTCGAGACGCGCCGTCCGCCAGGCCCCTGCCTCCCAGGGGCCATCGAGCTCAACCAGCGGACCTTCAAAGGACACAGTGCTGGTTTCCAGCTGGACCCTATTACGTTGATCGCGCTGCCAACGCAAGGGCCCCAGGGGGCAACGTGCCTCCGTGCAACCGAGAAACCGGAGCAGAACCTTGCGCTGCGCTGCGTCCTGCACAACTCGTACACGCCAGCGCTTCTCTTCACTGTCCATGGTGACCAAAGGGTGTACTTGTTGCGACTCGTTGCAGTCACCGAGAGCCACAACAAAGCAGCGGTTCAAATGGACGGTGCCGAGGTGACCGATCGACCAGGAGCAGGGCACAGGGTGCCGCCTCTGTGATGCCACCGCTGCGGTGTGCGTCGATACGAACCGATGATGATAGACCAGTTTTGTACATGTATGGATCTAAATATCAGGAATGCAATCAGAGGCGCTCATGGCAACGCGCGGCACCTGCTATGCAGCTTCGAGAAAGGCGATGTCAAGTCTCTGGTTTCCAAGCGCTCGTGTCAAACTGGGGAACCTGCTATGCAGCAACGAAAAAATACGTCAACTCTCCGGCTTTCTTGACCGAATCAGCGGTCGAAGATGCGTTTCATCGGGAGGAGAAAATGAGTCTTTAGGGTTAGAAGGGCAACACATATGCTCTGGTGTACGGAAGAGATGTACCGCTCGATGCTCCAACGGGGAGAGAACGGGCAACGAGCGGGAAGAAGTGATCCAAGGGGACGTTTGCGTTTCCAAGTTGAAGCTGAACTCTTTCTCCCGAGAACGTCATCGCGTACGAATAAAGTGCCTCGCCGCTTGTTTCTTCATCCTGATCAACTCACCGGAAATCGAGGCACACATCCTTGTGAACTTCTACATGCTGAGAACTCTCTCCCCGTCTCACGCGACCCTTGACCTAGTTCAAACGATTGTTTGTTTCCCGTCTGACAGGTACTGAAAGAATGTAGGTACGTGAAGGTCCGAAAATGGGCGAGCGAAGAGGCCACAAATACGCTCCCGTCCCCTGATTTTTTTCATTGACAAAACGTTTACTTAGGCCAGGGTTCGCCGATTATGCGCATTTTTCTTTTCTTACGTTTTTTTGTGTGTGCGTTTTTTTTCAGTGCGAGGTGAGGTATCCATCAACCCCCTACATCTCCTGTCCCCTGATGGGAAGTTTTTCGCGCTTGCTGGATCGCCTGTACCGAGAGGAGCTGTAACGAACTCGAGAGGAACATCGGCTCGAGTTCCATGTCAAGTATTGGTGCATGCGTTCCGCTCTGACCCAAAAGAACCGAAGCGCAAACCGAGAGGCAAGAACGGTGCGCGTCAAGGAATCTGTATTTTCTTCGAATGATGCAAATGCACCCGGAGCTTTCCATCACGAAGGCGGCGATAGAAACGACGCATATCCTAAGGAATTTTGGGTCACGTATCGCTCATTACATCGAGCAGATGCATGGAGAGTAAACGATAAGCGTCTCCAAAGAGAAACAGAGATTGTCGGTGCCGCACCCGCTTGATCGTTGGTTAGTCTCGAGATTCGTTTCCACCCCCCCCCCCCCCCCCGAGAGAAAGCAAAACCGAACATGTCCTTGGCGGCCGTGAGCGTGGAGGACAAGACGCATTCCCGAAGGCTTGTCTCTGAAGCATTCGTCGAAGACATCTTTGAGCCTTTCTCTGTATTACACACTGTTGGAAGCGCGTGTGAACGCTTCGAACACTTGTTGAGAATGCGGTGCAGAAGACAGAAGAGATGAACTCCGCCCCGAGACGTTCGCCCTCCGACCGAAGAAGCCTGGCTTCACAAATGGTCATATCTCTTGCAATTACTTGAGCGTCGTGAGCATCCAACGACGCCATGACATCGCGAAAAAGAATCACGACGAAACGCAATCAGGTGGAGAAATGCAGAGCAGGGCGTACGACGGAAACGTTGATATCGAAGCTGCCGAAACTACAAACATTCCAATTGATTTCCGTTTTCTCCCGGATGCGTACGGTGCTAGCGTTTCATTGAGAGCGTCGAAGAATATCTCAGGGTAAATGGGAAACGATGAAAGCCTTCCGACTCTGAAAGATAACCAAAGACTTGTTGGCGTCTGGTCGGGTCTTCCCATACCTAGACAACTTTGTTGCCTCGATTTCAGGGCGAAAGACGCGTCATCACAGCAGCAGAAGATACGTTCATGAGGCAACGTCCGTATACAGCGCGAGAAAGCATAAAAACAGAACCAACACAAGGGGGATGTGACTGCTCGTCTCTTCATTGGCGAGACGACGGACTCGGAAGCGTACAAAACTCATCTGCGAACATACTTGAGCGTGTTCCCCGAATGACTGAAACACATAACTCGTTCTGGGTTGCAGCGACTGCGATTCCTCCGTCACGTGCTCGAACAGAAAGCAACCCACGGGATTTGGACGCCCGTATGCTACTGAGTGACGAAGAGACGGTCATCGGGTGCGAGAACAGAGTGCGAGCGAGCATAGCGTCCGACCTCTCCGTCGCAAACGCGGTGCACTGACAGCGACAGATCAGAAGCTAAGGGAAATGCCGAATGTGTGTGTGTGTGTGACGAATATCGATGGTTCCCGGATGTCGACCAGGTGTTCCCGTTGCGCAGGTCGCTGCACGATTGTGAAAGCGATGCCGACGAAGTCCATGACCAGCAAAGAAACGAAAGAAAATGACAGGAGGTCGTATGGTACTCGAACTCACAAACTGCTGCACTGAATGCGTGTCAGATGCGAGGGCAGGAGAGTATTCGCCCACCCGAGGTACAACATGGAACTGTGAGGGCAACGAGTGCCGCAACATTCCGGAGATGTTGCGCATCAGCACGAGAGGAGGTTAACAACCTGCACGGTTTCGCCGCGCGAGAGACAATGAAAAGCATAGTCCCCAGACGAAAAATCTCACCATCCTCCCAGACCAAAGCTCTCGAAGCGAAACAAACATTGCATGATCCTGGTTCTCGGATATAACGAGAATAATATTCTGGTACGGTCACAAGGAAGCAAGTGGGATGAAACGACTGTCCCGCAATGTTTACGCATGCCTGTACGGGATCAGCGAACTGCATCGATAAAGACGCCTTGTATAAGCGTTCAACATTATGCGCATGCTTTGTGCATGCTCTGAAACACAGTTCGTATCACGGCATACTCGTCGTCAGCGACATCCAAAATTCTAGTCTTTGGTATACGATGACACCTTCTGATGACTGATTCAGGGGCTGTTGTGGCCTCGGCGCCCGTCGCCTTCATGCTGCAACACCCAGCGCACAGGATTCCCCAGTCCGTATTCAGGTGCTTTCATCTACGGCCAGTGCTCTCTACGCTGAAACTCCTGATCGCCGACCGCAGCCTACACCCGGAACACCTGACCTATCGAGGCTGGAGCGGCTACGAGTGAATCCCAGCGATTGCTGACCAAGTTCCTACGTGTTCCTCAATCCAGCGATATACGTTACGTGCGAAGAAAAACTCGAGTCCAAACATGATGCGACCCACCTGAGAAAGCGGCATGTCGCCCGGGCTTGCACCCTCACGGGGACCAGCGTGTCCCCGATTTGTTTCGTGGCTTTCGCATGGGTTGCAGGAGGCGCGTACCCTCGGACCCGCCGTTTCCTAGAAGGACGAGCTTGCGCTTTATAAGATGCGCACCGCTCGCTCGCATCCATACGACGGTAGCGGCTGACGTTTAACTGCTTGTCACGAGCATCTGCGGGACATTTCAGCTGGTGCAGAGGCTTCGACGCGCTTGTTCGGCGCAGGTGCTGTCTACGGATTGTAGGGGGCACTCGTCAGCCCATGAGACTGCAACGGCATTCGCAGGCGCCTTGCGTCACACTTTTCAAGTCTGGCCCCTGATATCGTCTTTAGCGATTGACTGGCGGGCAGGACGCTTCGCTAAGTGCAATACGTAGCTTGAAGGAAACGCTTAGTGATGCTTTGAAACGCAGGCTTCGTCCGCTGTTGGTCACATACGTCGTTCCGTGGCTAGCTGCTTGGCTCGAGAATCTCTGCAGCGTTTCTGTAACCCGATATTGCAGAACGTTTATCTGTATCATCATTCCAGCGCCTGCGACAGGGGAATCAGTGCCCCCGCGATCGCGTGATTGCAGAGGGTATATTCGCATATCTGCAAGGAGCAAAGCGGAAAGCTGGGTCATGCTTTCGTGTAGTGCCCTCTCCGCATCGATAGCTCAAGTGCCTACGCCAGTGACGCCAAAGTTGCTGACGGGACTGAGCACGCACGATTTGAACGCGAGTACCGGCGCCGACACTGAACAATGATATCTGAAAGGCCCAGCTTGCAGGGCGTACTGAAACGTCAAGGCACCTACACCGCCGAGCATCCGCTCGAGCAGGTGCATGCGTTGATATCCAGCGCATGCTGAACCAGAGCCATATGCGCGTCTTCGGTGCCGACGGTAGATGGTCGGAGACTCCAATCTCACGGATGTAAACGATGATCAACTCATTGTCGTCAGCACGGTACCAGCCGCAACGAGGCGGGAACGCGGGCCACGTCAATGTTCATTCGGTACGAAGGCTGTAGTAACGGATCGTTGTCGATCCGCTTGATCAGGTGATGAATCATGTCCGCTCTGAGATACTTGCGAACCAGGGCATCGACGACGCGATTTTCAAGCCACGTATCAGGAGCGTGGCTCGGCTCGGTTTCCGCCATATCAATCTGTGGACTCGAGTCTGACGAATCTGGTGATAGGATCGAAGAAGATGACTGCGCGGATAGCCGAGGCAGGAGACGTGGCGTTTCGTGGACCTCACGAGGGCGCCAGTCTCTGTGTGATCGCTCGGTATCGAGCGCCGTCGGTTCCCGGTGCCATTTGCCATATCCATTAACCACACTGGACTGTAGCTCGTGTGCAAGTCGATCTAGTTCTGCTTTCAAGCGCTGCGATTGCATTGCTGCTGCTTGCAGAGCAACATTCGCACTCAGTTGCTTGCGCGCTGCTCTGAATCCATACGCGGAAGATTCCCTACACGTCGGCGAATACCGTCGCCTTGAACCCGCTTTCGTCGTCACGGCTGCCGGACCCGGTGTCGGCCAGTCATGATCTATGGGGGTATCCGCGGGCTGCCTCGGGGAAATCGTGGAAATGCTCCCGTCTGAGAGCATCGTGTCGGGTGTCGCTCGTGACGGTGTTTGTCGCGGCTCTGCGGGGTGAGTTCGCTCCCCAGACCGCGCTTTGCGAGCAAGCCGCCTGGTTTCAATCACCGTTGGCGTGGAAGCAGTGCTCGGAAAAGATGTGGTGTCTGTTAGAACAAATGAATCACTGTCGAATAGACTACTAGCGAAACTCAAGTCAACAGTGCTGAGCTCCAAATCAGCTGGTTCCGTCGACCGCGCTATTACTCTTTCCGTTTGTTGCGCAGGTCGGTAGCGAGACGCCCCGGCGCGTACGGGTTGGTGCTCCCGCTTACCGCTGGGAGAGGCACTTCGACTGATAGCATCCTCTTCCTCCTCATGTTCTTCCAAAATTCTTTCGATCTCTTCGCTTTCAATGTCCAAGTCCTCGAGGGACAGCTCCTCCTGTAACTGCCGTAACGTGTCCTCGTCCAACAAGCCTTCGCTTTCTGCGAACAACTCGGACTCTACTTCCGAGGCTGTGCTATCATCAGAGGCCAGTAACGCATCAAAGCTGCTAGAAGCGGACACGTCACCCAGCTCGGGCATTCAAGCGCTCTGCGAAGGCTCTTCCTTCCAAAGACACCAGTGCCGGTTCGAACTCGCCCGTTCGTCTGTGAACACGCGCCTCAATCACCGCAACTACCCCCAAAAAGCAGCTTTCTTTTCGAATCCACCTTGCCTCGAGGTACGCAGCAGCCCAGGATACCTGAGACGTATCGCCAACCAAGAGGCGCTGCTCCGACCGCGTTACAAACGGGATCCAGCAGGCGTCGCCAGCAGCCAGCAGCCGGCCGGCGTCATCTGCTTCGCGCACGCCTGCGCACGCCCGCGCGAGCACCGTTTGGAGTGCCGTGGCGTTGTTGACGGCGCGCGCGCGCACGCGCCAATCTCGCATCCATGCACACGATAGATACGCAGCTGCCTTTCAAATCGCAAGAGCGATCAGAGCAGCTGCCTTTCAAATTGCATGAGCGATCAGAGCAGCTGCCTGATGCCATCCGAGCAACAGCATGGGTGACAGGGCTCGGGGTTCGGGCGTGTGGATCGATCGATGGATGCTTCGCCGCGCGCTGACCAGCAAGCGCGCAGTCGAGGAACGCTGAACAGGGTCAACTATTTCCAAAATTAAAACATAAAACAATCACTGCGCTGGTAGTGAACGTCCAGCGTTCTGAGGTTGCGCGATGCGCGCGAACGCCACGGGCTGTATGCACCTGGGCAGCTCGGGCGTGCGGATCTCTATAGCGCCACCGCCGCCGTCGCAGCAGCAGCCGCAGCTGCACGTGTCAAGCTGGAGGCTTGTCTGCCAGCTGGGGTCAGCGAGCAGGAACGCAAGACGTGCTTCGCTCACGGGACGTTGCGTCTCGAGACCGCTGTGTTCTTCGGAACTGGGTGATTTGAAGAGTGCTCACAAACCGTTGGGCCTATTTGGGTTCTCGTGTGAGGGTTTCGTGGAGGTTCCAACGGCGCCTTGAGGTCGGGTGCTCCTCCCAGACGCACAGCGCTTGCGCCAGGGGGGTGTCTGGTGCGGTTCCCGCTTAGGGAAACGGTGCACCCTATTTTGACAGTTTGTGGTTGCCGGTGTATTCGTGTGAGAGAAACCGTGGTACGCAGTGTTGTGCTTCAGCCGAGTGGCGCCGGTCGGAAGCCATTGTGATTGTTGATTCTGCGCTAAAGCTTCGTTTGGGAGCTTTGTGTGTGTGTGTTTGTTTGTGTGTGAATAGGTTCTCGATAACGGGAACAAAGCGCGATAGGGGACATGTCTGAGTGGAACGAGGTTGTCTCGCCGAGGCGCCTGGTGTCTGTCAGCCCGCACGGAGAACCAATGACTCGAGCAGAATCGCCGCTGAGAGGTAGTCCGGAGGCGCGGACGCAGCAGCACGAGGAGGTCGCGCTCGAGCTTGCGAGGGGGGATGTGCCGGCGGAGCCGACGGATGCTGTAGATGAGGCAGCAAGTACGCTAGCCGCTCAAACACTGGACGAGAATGAGGTTGAGCAGACTCCCAGCTCACCTCCTTCGTCCTCGTCTGTGTCGATGGGATTCGGAGGCGAGGCGCCGTACCTTGCCCGTCGTCCGCGCCGATCCTCGCTAACCCTCAAAGTGGGCATGGTGGGCGATGCCGGTTGCGGGAAAACTTCCCTTATGGTGCGATACTGCGAAGGCCACTTCGACGAGGACTATATCATGACACTAGGAGTGAATTTTCTTGAACGCTCCGTTTCTCTGCGGCACACAGACATCGTGTTCTCTGTCTGGGATCTGGGAGGTCAAAGTGAATTCCGAACGATGCTTCCCCTGGTGACCAGTGACGCCGCAGCCATGCTTTTTATTTTCGACCTCACGAGAAAAACGACGTTGATCTCCATTCGAGACTGGTACCAGCAGGTACGATTACTCAACGTCACAGCGGTTCCGATTCTGGTAGGCAACAAGTACGACCTGTTTATATCACTTGCGGCTGATCAGCAGGCTTCGATTGTTCGTCGAGCCCGGAAATACGCACGTGCCATGCATGCGCCGCTGGTTTTTTGCAGTGCAAGCCATTGTGTTCAAGTGCAGCGAGTTTTCAAGTTGGTTCTCGTCCGGCTTTTCGATCTTCAGCCGGCTTTCGAGCGCCAAACTGATGCAGCACGAGGCCCACTGTGCGAATGGTAGATACCAAACCAGGCAGTGAGCGAGCCCCGAGGAGACGCATTGAATCACACCGCTTTCGTGCCGCTCGCCAAGAATCTATTTGCATGGCCAGTCGGTGCGACCGTCGGAACAAGCTACGCCCCAGAATCCCTCGTCATTCATCTCTACTGCGCGAATATAGACAGCACGTAAGAATCTATAATCCTGCCGCCGACTCGATTGACATGCAGTAGCGCAGGCGACTAGGCGGCGTATCGACGCCGGAGGCAAGTCTTTTCAGGGACGTGTGCTGCGGCCATCATCAAAATCACAGCATAGCGCTCCTTTACTCTGGTGATTTTCGGGTTTATGCTGGAGCAATCGCGAAGCACGACAAGGCATCATGTACAAGCGTCACCCATGCATGGTACAAGGGGGCATATTTTTAGTACCATAAGCAGTTGCGACACATGGCCTCCCACGGACACATTTCACCATCTCCACAGCAGATCGATCTCAAACTGCGAGCTTCTTCCGCGCAGCGCATATACACGATCGGGACCACTGTTTCTCTCATCGTTGCGGTAGCTCGCAAAACCCGCTGGTCATGTACTGGGCTCATACGATCACGCTTTTGGTCATGGTTTTCACGAGGTTGCCACTAGCCCTATCCATATCTGTGCAGCAGCGCTGTTCCATACCAGGGAATGCTCCTAAACTAAGAAGATGCCCGTAGCGCCAAATCCGCCGCTGTTAGCGTGGCCCTAAAAATGCCACGCGTACCCGGTCCCTGTGATATCAACAGAAGCATGTGGGTGCCTATAGCTCTGACTTGCACGGTTCGCAGGAGCAAAAATGTTCACGGGTACATGATAAGATACTCGGCACCAAAGTCCGCAGCCGAGAAGCTATACCACACATCTGCGGCCCTTTGTTTTGTCTCACGCACGCCTTGCCTCGATGCCCTAGCAAGTCCGGCTGCAAGATCGCCGCCGGCGCGCGCTCATCTGTCTTGTGTCTAAGAGAGGAGCTAGCTTCCATGCTCATCAAAGCTTGAGCGAAACTGGACAAACTCAAGCAAACTCTTCACGAAGCACGCAAACTCGCCCGCCGAAGCAAGCACTCCCGAGAGCCTCTCCATGCGCTTCGTGCGACTCACGCGCGGCTCCACGATAAACTCTATGGTCTCTCGCTGCTGCTGAACCTGTGCGCGCAAATACTCTAGCGTAGCCTGGTCTTCTACAGAGTCTGCTGTCTGGCCGCTCGAGCTGTTGTTTACCAGAAGCGCGAGCCGCTTCGCGAACGACTCGGCGCGTGCTGCGGGGTCACGCTCGGGCACCGCGACCCCTTTCGTACGTTTCCAGGTTGGAGCGCGTTGTGCACCCAGCGTTCTGTACTGACTCGAACAGCGAGGCACATGTTCTTGGAAACACTGTGCACTACCGTAGCGCACCCCGCAGACTGGACATCGGTACTTGCTACTGCAGTCGACGCTTGCCCCGAGTCGTGTCCCTGAACACACCTCGCAGCGCCCTGTTTTGTCCATGAATGATGCTTCGGCTCAGTGTCTCGACGTTTCCATCAGTAGCTTGACTATGATCGAGTAGGAAGATGCTTGCCTCGTGTTTTTGAGCGCTATCCACACTGCACGCGTAGCACGGAGCAATCCAAGCGTAATTGATCGTACGTATGGCAAGCGGTTTACGCTGCAGATTTCTGGGTGCGCACGCACGCACGCACGCACGCACGCACGCACGCACGCACGCACGCACGCACGCACGCACGCACGCACGCACGCACGCACGCACGTTCGCATGCGTGCCTATGGACACGTGTCCATTGGGGTATCCATGATCGTTTTTGGGGTAGCGCGCCTCGACCCATCGTATTGCACAGCTATCTTGACTGGGTGTGTGTGTGTGTGTCCGTGCATAGCGACCAAACAATGCCGCCACCTGGCCCGATCGCAGCACTCCGGGACCGCGTATCTTCCATTTTGTTTGATTTTAAGGATGCCACAGAGGTACTGGCCGAAGAGGAGGCGCACCTGGGTCGGCGCTCTGGCCAGGCGCTCTACAGAGCGCTCGTTGCACTTGAACAAGCCCAGGGGGCGTTTCTTCGCACAAGCGAACGAACACTGGCCTATTGTACCGCTTGGAGCGGTTTGGCTCGTGCGCTGCGCGCGCTTGCCGAACCCTTGTCGGCCGGTGACCTGGTACCACTCGCGTTTCGGGTTGAGCACGAGGAGCGTGTTGTCGCGCAGTTACAAACTGGAGGTGCTTGCGGCGCAACTGCCGAGTCCATAGAGCGCACAGCGAACCGGTTGCGCAACCGGTTGCGCTCACTTCGGGGAGAACTGGACACCGTGGTCGTGCAGGAGTCGCTTTCGTCGCGGAAAGCACAGTACCGACGCGCGCGAGACAACTATCGCAAACAGCAGGATGAGGCGGCGTTGGAGGTCTGGCGTGAGGCCAGCCTCGAGTTGCAGACAGCCGCAGTGCGAGCGGTGCAGCGCTTCAGCGATGCTGTCGATGAGGTTGTTAGTATGGTCGCACGCTCCACTTATCATATTGGACGCATGCTATCCGAAGAGTGGCGGGAGGCCGCCGCTGCCGTTGTTGGTCTGGACGAGGTTTTTGCAGAGGAAGCCTCTGAGGCAGCGGATGCCGCGTTTGCACCGGTGTCTGCAGTGAGGCATGTCGAGGACACTACGAACGCGGATGCGCCAGTGGAAGCGCCGAAGGCGCCAGGGCAGTCGTCAGCGACCGCTGCCGACGAGCGTCTCTCCGCCAGCGCGCCTGTTTCTGCATCCGTGCTGCCCAGGAGCAGCACCGGGCCTACCGGTGACGAGCCGGATACCGGGGCGGCTTTCACGCTTTACGACGAGCTCGATGCAACATTTGACGCTTATTCGAAGGAGGAACCACAAGAACCAGCATCATCATCATCATCATCACCGCAGCAATGACCTGATTCGTTGCCGTCTTCGAATCATGCCTGGTCCAGGGTAATCCAAAGCCAGCCAGCCAGCCAGCAGACCCGGAGCTAAGGAAGCCGGTTTCGGCGAAGGGGGCGCAGCTTCAAACCAGTTCAAAGCGACTCCTTCTCAGCGGTCATTGACCATATTTCCTTCCCGCGCAGGCGCTGACGGCTGCGCTGTCTATTCCGACGCGGCCGGAAACCCTGACCGAGAGTTATACGTATAGTGCTTTGCAGCGGAGTCAACGGCCTCCTGCTGTTGCTAGTGCAATGGCGCCCGCAATCAATGTGTTGCGTCCGCGGCCGGAGTTCAGCAGCCACGCAGTATTGACGCCAGTTTTGCATAAAACGCGAATCTGGGGATCCTCGATCAGAATCAATGTTCACAATTACTTCCGGATGGAAAAACGAACAAAGCGCCACCAACTGTGCACCGTTCGCGACGCAGGAGAAAAGGCCCCGGCACACCGGCCCCAAACCCGTCCGCTTTGCAATCGAGACAACGGGGCCTCGAAGGGTCGAGACATTCTCCGCACGACGCATGATTTCCGACGGGATTGGCTCTCGGATCTCACGCCACGAGACATTTCTGCGTCGCATCGTCGACCCGAGCCTCCCGGTCGAGTCTACCGACACGTTGACGAGGGGTTTTGCGTTCGAGCGACGCTGCTTGGCATCCGAACCGCGGATTCCTAAAAGGTCTGCGAATGAACATCTGCCTGCGGCTTGTTGCTCTATGCCAGTGGCGCGACAGTAGAAGGCACGCTCGTGCGACATTGCTTTCGTTGATGCGATCATGAGTTCCAGCCGCTGTTTCCAAGCGATTTCGCGACGCATTTGCAGAAGGTGGGCCATGAAAATCACGGGCCCCTTGATTCGCCACATCAAACTCAACGCCAAACCAGAATCCCTACCGCTATGCACGCTAGCCGCGCTAGACAGCACGATCAACTGGAAAAACCAAACATACAGGCGTCTCGAAGCGCGCCTGATGGAGGACAAACCCGCAGCCGCACATTGCAGATTGCACCAAGCCAGCCAACGGTCTCGAGCCTGCCTCAGCTTAACTCGCGAATCGTCAGTTCCGAGAGCCACAGTTGATGCACGAGTTTGAAGAGAGCTGCACTCACGCTCACTTTGTAGGGTGTCGGATTCAATGGACGCTTGTAATCGTACCGAAGCGCCTGCACCTGCTCTCGGCAACGTCGACGAGCCAGCTGAAGACGATCCCGGTCGCTCGCTGTACTCGCGAGGGCATCCTCTGGCATGACGGTACCGTTGATGAGGCGCAAGTGCAGAATTTCCTCCACTCTCGATGGAGTCATGTAGCATCGTTTGTGTTCTTCGTATGGATGGCAACAGAGTATGCGCTCGCCGGGTTGCGGCTCCGGTTCCGAATCCAACATCATCAGATCGATCATGGAAACACTTGGATCACGCCCGTACAGACGGTAGACTCGTTTGCGCCCGGGTATGGTGGTTTTGTTGGGATCCTCGCTCACCTTGATGCAAGGCGTCTGATCCACTTGCACGAGCTTGAAAACGCAGCCCAGTGCCGGCTGTTTCTGACAAGTGACGAGGTGCGTACCCACCCCGAAGGCGTCAATCGCGTGCCCCTGCTCCTTCAAGGCGTACAAGGTGTCCTCGTGAATATCTGACGAGGCGAATATGATATACTTATTACCTGGCTTCACCACGTCGAAGATGCGTCTCGCCTGGCTCGAGATGTATGCCAGATCACCCGAATCGATTCGAATGCCGAGTGGCTTATAGCCCTGGTGCTCTAGAGCCAGCGCCACAGCCAGAAAGTTGGGAACCCCCGATCCCAGCGAATCGTAGGTATCGACGAGCGCGAGAAAAGCGCGCGGAAAAGCCGCCGCATAGGCAATGAACGCTTCCAATTCCGACTCGTTTGCTGCTTTTGCTGATAGCTGAAATGACTGACGCAAAGCCGGGTCCACAATTTCATCCCGATATCGATACGCAAGCAGCGCGAGCGCGCTTCGTTCCGTGGAAGCACCAGCGTCAACGGGCGGCGCTTGTGCTGGCCTGACGAAGCTCTGTACAAAGGCGTGCGCATGCGTACCTCGACACGGGATACCGTAGGTAAACGCTGCCATCACGTTGCTTGTTGCATCAAAACCTCCGAGATAGGCATAGCGACTGGCAGTCATACCACCGTCGGGACCCTGGGCTCTCCGCAAGCCAAACTCCACGAGTTGCACGCGGTCGCCGACTGCAACACGATGTCGAGCAGCATTCGTCGCTACCAGGGATGGAAAGTTTACCAGGGTCAAGAGCGTCGTCTCGAGAAGCTGGCAAACAGCGAGCGGTCCGTCCACGCGCACCAGAGGCTCTAGCGGGAAGCAAACACTGCCTTCGGGGAGCGCTCGGAGCTGCACCACCTGACCGCTGCACTCGTCGGACTGGAGAAACGCTAAAAACGCTTCTAGTTGTTCGGCTTCCGCGAAGACCTCGTGCTGCCTAATGAATGCACAGTGCTCAGCGGTGAACCGGAACTGCTCTTGCACAAAGTGCAGGACCTCCGTCAGGCCAGCAAACACGGTGTACTCGCCTTGGAAGGGGTTTTTACGGAAAAAGAGGTCAAACGTAGCCGGGAGGAGATGTCTTCCCTCCCGGAAGTAGGCATACGCCATCGTTATCTCATAGAGGTCCGTTAAGAGCGGTGTAACGAAGTTATTCCGGGGAAACGGCTCCATGAGTGCATCAACAAGTCCAGTTACGAAGTGCAGGTATGCCTGGAGACGCTGGCACTGAGGCAGGTCATTGACCGACGTGAGCGTGCCGCCGCACCCGTCTTCGGCGACGACCGGTAAGCGAAACGCGTTGCTTTACGCTCGCGTTTTTCGGAGCTTTCCATTTTGAGAGGTACAGCCTCGAGATTCGAAGTGCAGCCATGAGGGCTTGTGGATTCATATGTGGATTATGGGATCTCGGCGGTCTATTCGGTGTGGCTCTTTCGAGTCTTTACCGTTGCTCTTCGTTACGTCACCGGTACCAGGATATGATTCGCGACGGCCTCGAAGAGTGGTTCATATAATGACCCACATCATCATGCAAATGAAATGAACGTGCATCTACGCGCCTCCTTTCCTTACACGCAGCATACTCCAATCATGCACGGTTTCAGTTTTCGAACGTTGTGGTTCAACGAACTCGTAGGCGTTGCAGTTTGCGTCGCTGGATCGACGAGCTGTGAAAACCTCGACAGGGTCGCTTGAGGACTTGTTCACAAACGCGCGCCGAAAGATCGCTGAAGCTGCCACATCAGGTGATCGATTCCGTTCGAAACGCGAATCCCCCTGTCTCTGTGGCCATCGACGGATCGGCATTCCACTAGGGCATCGTACATCTCGTGGAGTATGCAACCGGAGGCTCACGACTCTTTTGGTTGCATGAGAAAGGGTCTTGGGCTTGCTCGGAGCGCCAGACATTGCAGCGATCGTTCCCAGTGGAGCGTGCGTCACCGTTTTGCATGAACGTCGTGCAGAGAGATCGAGATTTCTCGACGTGTTTCCCAACCTGAATTTTTCTTCTGGCACGTGTTCCATCGCGGATACCATCGTGTTCCACAAACCTTTTACTGAATGGAGCAACGTGCGCTTGCATGTGCGGCGAGCAGCGTACTCGCCCCGTGAATCGCCCAGTAGAGGCTCGTGTCCGTAAGGTACGAAACCAGACCCGGAAACGGATGGGGGCATCGGAGGCAGGCCGCTGTACCAGTCCTGGGCATGTATCGACCGATAAAGCAAGCCATCTGCGGTACCAAGACGGTCCACCTAGGTAGCGATCTGGTAGGCAGATTGGAATACCTGCACACAGTCAGGTGTCAATGCTGCGAAGCGTGCACCGAGACTGTACTCAAAAATGATGAGAATCGCAATTGATGCACATTTCGCAACTTTCGCCTGAGGGTGTATGCGTCGACAACAGTCGGAAGCAACGAAATCGGGGCTTGGAAATCGCACTTGATGCACATTTCGCAACTTTCGCCTGAGGGTGTATGCGTCGACAACAGTCGGAAGCAACGAAGTCGGGGCTTGGAAATCGCAATTGATGCACATTTCGCAACTTTCGCCTGAGGGTGTATGCGTCGACAACAGTCGGAAGCAACGAAATCGGGGCTTGAACGCAGCCATCAACATGTTTCGTCTGCTGACCACGGGGCCGGAGTGAAACGCGACACATTCGCGTATTGAACGCCAAAGCTAAGAGAGAGACGAAAAGAAAGCAGTCGAACGTATAGCCAGCCAAGTCTGGTGCTGAGGACAGTGACAGGAGACACATCCTATAAGCATGGACGCTCCAGTTAGCAACGTAGACCTGTTCCATTATACGCTGACAAGAATTTCACGCGATAACGATGCCATCCTCAGAGCTGTATGCATGGATGCGCGCCCGTGTCTGCATGCCTGTGCATTCACTTGTTCGTTCGTGCAGACCGCATGTGCACGCGCGGATGACAAGCGGCCGTGCGTCCGTAGCGAATACGGTTCTGTATCGAGGTAGAGTGCGTCGACTGGCGCTGATCCAAAGCACGCTCACGGCTGGAGTACGTCGCAGTTCCACAGGCACGAAGAACGATATCCGAAGGTATGTGCTGTGTTGCCGCACACGAGCGCCGCAGCAGCACGTCGGTGGCAAGAAATCCAGCTGGCAGACCTGCAACGATGCGCCAAGTCGTTCGAGAATCCTAACTGGGCCCAGGGAGATGGGTCGCAGGCCTCGCTCTGGAGGCCAGACAGCCGGTCCCAACGGTAGGTAGGCAGGTATGTCGTCGATGCGCGGAGGATGCTCTTGGACGAGAAGATTGCCATTGGAGCCGAACAAACCGTGTCGTGGACAGCAACGCCAGAACGGCTTTTCAGATAGTTTGCGCATTTTACCGCACGTCACACATGATGAAACTGCAGAGCCGCAAGGCAGCACGCGGGATGTTCTCGTTGAGTTCTTTGATAGCGTCTGCGACGTACGTCACAGCGATATCGCGCTGTACCCATAAACATCTGGACGCTCAGCATTCGCGTGTAAGTCGCGCACCCAGAACGTGAACATAGCGCCCGGCGCCGTCAGTGCAAACCCCCATGAACCGATGTTGACGCAAGCGTGCCTAGTCCACATCCGCCATGACTGCGGAGCGCGACGGCGTCACCCGTGCGTTCATCAGAGAAGCTCGCTCTTTGCGCTTCAGCAGCGCTATCCGGTCCTTATCCAGACGCAGCGCAATGATCTGGACTTTGCTGGGGTGGATCCCAATGTCAACCGGGAGGCCCCGGCTGTCCTCGCGCGCAACGCCCTCCACTGCGATTCGGTATTTTTTCCGGTGGCATCGTTTGACTTTTCCTTCCTGCATTTTATACAAACCTCTCATGATGCGTACTTCGTCTCCAACTCGGATCGGGACAGCGTGCACACCGTACTTCTCAACGAGCTCGCTGCTCAGCGGAGCGGACATTCGAATCCGCCGCTCGTGACTCGGGGCCGTAAAGTGCGCCTTGCGTTGCTTCCGTCGCGAAGACGATACTTCCTTGCTAAACTTCATGCCTCACTGGGTAAGTAGGGTATCTGAACAGCAGGTACCGTGGTCTTCCTCTGAGGCCAGCGGATAGACGTTGTGGATAAACTCCACCGCAACAAACACTCCTCGGTGTTGAGGAATCGGGGTACGCGTCGCGGGTGCGGATACAGACGGCGTTCGCGGGCGGACGCATGTGCCGGCGCGGCGCATTGGAATAAACCTAAACAAAAATGTATTTTACTGTACTTAAGGGATCATTGTGGAATCAACTTGCATGATCATGGAACATGCCCTATGTTCCATATCAGGCATGCCGACACTTTTACCGGACATGCGATCATGAATGCGACGTGCTCATGTGATCGTCGAAACGGTACGCGAGGCGCATGCGTTCGTTACGTGTCTGGAACGCCGTATGGTAGAGCTACCTGCACGCTACACGAGAACAGCTTCGGTGCCTGGACAGCCCACCGTGACGAATAGGTGTCGTTCAGGACCGGCCGAAAGGTAGCTGTGTGCCGCACGGCTGGAGGGCGCGCGCTGGGGCCGCGCGCCCCTGCTCCGCGTAGGGGCGTGTGTGCGGTATGCGCGCCCCTGCACCAGTCAGGAACGTTGTAAAGTAGACGCGTTTGCCCTCGTGACTCGAAACGAGGCAAGCGTTGTCGATAGTCGTAGTATAACGTTGGGCAGTACCGGACACTAGAGCGTCTGTAGCGGCGCAGTGAGACGCTAAACAACTATCGAGTCGTGCGACGCGCGCCTGCCAGCGTCGGTATGGGCGGTGTCGTTTGCGCTAGAGCGAGACCGTAGCGTCCACTGCGTAATATCCAGCCTTTTTGATGCGGGCTCCAGTGGAGCCTTGGACGCAGAGACCGGTGCGCCCATAAACCAGGGCGACGATCAGCACTTGCTCTGCAGCGCGTGTACGGTCCAGTGCCATGCCCTCGGACAACTGGATACAAACGCAGTTTTGCAGTATGGAGTGAGCTCTGTGCAACCCGGAGCGACACCCACTAGCACCTGCGGCAGCCTGAAGCATATCACAGAAGGAGTATCGCGAGTGTTTTTCGTAAGAGCGTCAGTAGCGCCGAGCTGGTGACGCTCTCCAGCGACATCGCTTGAACAGGACGCGCCTGGAGGTTGCTATGGCTTGGGGATCAGCATGGGTTGCAACCGACATTGGGAAGGTGCGGGTCGTTTTCCTTCCACATGCAGCCATGGAGAAGCGGTAACGGCGCATTGCCTCCGCAAGCCAGCAGGGATACTGTCGTTGTCAAGAACTTCATACCCGCTCCGGATTGTAGACCGATGTTCATCCCACAGCTCGCATCCGGTTGTGCAGCGTGTTGGCCTGGAACATCCGTCAAACCAACATGATGCGTATTTCGCCTTTGACTGCGAAGCCACCGCCCCAGGAGAAACATCGTCGCCGCTAACGCTCTGGGGCAGACGATACAGAGGATGCGGTAGAAACCGATGTGGATGAAACCGTCACCGCCACAGTGGCGAGGGTACGAGTCCCTGGTGAGGTACTCGGGTCTGCCTCCGTGTTGGTCTCGGCGCTTGCAATGCCCAGTGGATTGCCCACGCGAGACGTCTCGCCTCTCCAGGACGCGGTACGAAACGTTCTTGTCTTTTGTATGATCAAATGCGGTGAATCGCCAATTTCAATTGGCGCAGCAGGCATTTCGAAGGGCCGCACATCCTGCAAGGGGCCGAACAGCGCATCGAGTTCCGCTTGCTCAGCTGAACGATGGGCAGCTCTACGTTGGTGCGACCACCGACTCGCCTCTGGCAGCGCGCAATGATCGGAAGATTCAGCAGCACCAGCGACACATGTCCCCGAGAACATTTCCCCGCCTCGTTGCTCCGACACAGAGGCCGGTACATCCAGCTGCGATGGTGCTTGCCGGTGCCAGTGGAAAGCGGGTCGCGCGGGCATGTCTCTGGGCGCTTCCTCCAGGTAGTGCGCTTGGGCGTGCTGGCTTGTAGACGGCGCTCGACGTCTCAGGGATTCTCGAGTTGGAGCCCAGCGCAAATGCGGTTCCACTCGATCCCACAGATCAGGTCGTTTCGCAACCAGCACTGATTGCTGCTCGGCAATCTGGTGGCTCAACGGACGCCGCACGATGCGGTCGTGGAATTCCTCTGGAATATTTGCTCGGTTACACACAACGTCGTCGAGCAACTCGATAACGTTAGACTGCACAGCCTGCAGGAAAGCAGAGCAGAAACAAGCTGCCTCGAAAATGGTTCGATGTCGACGAATGACGTTGCGCACTGAATGACTTGGTGGATAGCGATAGTGTTCTCGCACTTTGCGTTCGATCGTCGCCCGCGATATTTCTCGTTGAGCGACTGCAGCCGCCGCAGCCGTGATACATGCTGCAGCGTCGTCGCTGTCGGAGCGCCAACGCCTGTGCAGGCATTCGCCCGGTTCATCCGTGACCGGGGCCGCGGCTCCAGGCGACGTCAAGCCAGAGTCAGGAAGCTTGGCTGCCTTCTGTTGTGACGCAGACGCCACCGTGGTCATCGTGGCGGCTGCGTCTGCGTCTGCGACCTCTTGGCGAAATACTGGTGACAGGCTTGGGGGCTTGGACTGATTCCAGTTGTGACCGAAGAAGACGGAGGCTCCGTCGGGGCTCGTAACGATCGCAGTGAGCTCACCGAGACAGGCTGGTCCACCCCGTGGTGCCGGCGACGACGCGAGCAGTCTGCGAGCAAGCGCAGCACCCTCTAACGTCAGCGGGAGCTTCTCATTCGGTTTCAAAAGCCCGAACAAGACGCGGAAATTTTCCAGGCGCTCCAGGACGCTTTCGCCATAGCTCCCGCCAACAGGCCGGAACGTGAAGTGGAATTTGCGCTGTCGTAGAGCGGAGAGAACGGTTTCGTCACGCTGCTGGCGCATATCCAAGTGCGTTGAGGTGGTCTCCATCGCCGTGGTGCCGCTGGTACCACTGCTGGTGCCCTCTGCGTGCATCAGTGTGCATCCAGTCGACGAAGCGAGCTGCCAAGAGAGCTCCCGCGACGAGCTACGTCTCTCAACCGATGGTGGTGACGTTGGCGTCCCTGACAGGGCAGAAGGTGGCGAGAACGCGCCGGCTGAGCGCCCACCAGGCCTAACGAGCTTGGGCACCTCTGCTTCGTCTTGTTTGCTGCTGTGGTACTGCGCTGTCTCAAGCTGCTGACTGCGGCTCTCTGGAACCCGCGCAGTCGTCCAGCTGACCGCTGCGCTCTGCGGGTCGGTTACGCTCTCCGAAAGCGTCCCCGTCGCCATCGGCGTATCGGTTACGCAGCTTTCCGCGGGTGAGTGCACAGCCACGGACGCAGACGGCAGCAGAGCGTCGGTTTCTCGTGCCGAACGCACTGCGGTCGACGTGGAAGCGACTCCTGCCGGCACCAGCCTCGCCAGCTGGTGCCCAGGGTTCTCGGCCGGCTGTGTCGCGCCCGCGAGCGGACGCTTGTCCTCGTCTATTGGAAAAACGAACGCAGGTGCTTGCCGCAAGTCGCCCGAGTTCGAACCGGACATGAAGCGGAACGCCTCCCTACTGCACCAGAAGCGCCCCCGTCGCCACCAGACTTGCTCCTCGCAACGCCGTTCACACCCAGACGATACTTTCACCAAAACTAGTCAATGAAAAATCAATTTTGGCACCACAGCGTTTCCTGCAACTTCTAGAACGAAAGTTTTCTCTGAAACCGCACGTGTACACGTGCGATCGTGCGCTTGCAGAGAAATCTCTGTTTGTCGTTGCATTGGCCGGTGGCATCGCACTGGGCGCAGCGCCAGCGGCGTAGAAACGTCCTCGCCATCACCGGGCCTTGGGTTGTCGATACGCTGCCGACGCCTGCGCCTCTGCTTGGGCGGCTGCACAACACGTGTAGGGTTCCCGAGGCGCGATGCGTCACCACTGTATATATCAGTATACAATGGTATAGAATAGAACAGCGACGTCAATCTGGATGAAATGGTATCAAGCGGACAGAGAGGCATCGCGCGCGAGACGCTGCGGGGCGCGAGATGCGTGCGCGCCTTTCTGATTCTAGTAAAAACGGACTCCTTGTCCATGCGGCCCTGAGCAGCAGGTAGCACCAGCATACCGCAACGCATTTTTTACATAGGCAGCGAGCATACTGGGAAGGGTCAAGTCCGGGGGCCCCGACATCGGTTCTCCTGGAGGCACCTTAGCCATCGCGGTTGCGCTGCCTCAAGGGCGTAGCTCTCTGGGTATTCGGCTGTGTTCGGTGGCGTCTGCCGCTGCAACCGTGGGTCCGGTGCCAGAAGCGAAGCGCCTTTGCGTTAGCCGCTTCAGTGGTGCGGTCTGGGCGCACGCGGTCTGCAGCCGACACTTGAGGTGCGCTGCGTCCGCGGCTTCGGCGCTCGATAAAACCGTACTGCGGATACCCAAGCGGTAGCAGGCACAGGCTGATCGCCCCGCGTTTTCACTGTCTCGGACCCGATGGTCCATGTGCTCTAGACCCAGAGGTAAGCGGTGCCTTCGCACGGAGCTGCGACGAGCGTTCCCTGGGGCAAGGTGCGGCTACCGGCGTGGCTAGGAGCAGAGCGCTGCGCCCGCCGCAAGTCAAGTCCTACCTGCGACCGTTGAGGCAGCAGAGGCCGTCCACGACAGCGAGCACTCGAGCGCGGCACGGTGACCGGGTCCAGGATCCAGTCGACAAGCATCGGCTCTTGAAGACCCTGCTTGTACCGAATCTACCAAGGAGGTCGCACAGAATCGGGCTAGCTTTACTGTACGTGCGCAGTTGCCAGAACGAAGAGCCAGAAAAGCTGCTCGACGTCAAAGTTCGTTCTGTCTTTGTGAGGCGCACTCGAGGATACCAGAGCCGAGCACCTGGCCTAGCAGGGGCTTCTGACGGCATATCCAGCAACGTCGTTGACGTTTCTATGTCGTTGCTGACACAGTGCGACCAGCCCCGGCATATTGCACCTCCTGGCTGATAACGTCAACCAGCTTTGCATTCGGGTGGTCTGCATGAAGCGCCCGAATGAGCATAACCTCGCGGGAATACCGTTTACATCAAGACTCTCCAAACTATGCGGACTGGAGCCCGCGTTATCTTTCGGAGCTAGCGAACCCGCCGAAACCCTTGCTGTACAGCACGTTCAGTGAGTCGGCCGAGCACTTGCCGAAACAGGTCGCTTGCAGGCGGTGCGAGCTCCAGTAGCCACTCGAGTGCGTCGGGAGCTGGAAGCCACGGTACCAGCGGCAACAATCGCGGTACAAGCGATACCATTGGCAACGCCCGCTGCGTGCTTCCTCGTGACCAGTAGCTGTCCGATTGCTTTTGTATTCCTGCTGTGAGCAGTGTCGGGGTCAGCTCACCGAGAAACTGCACCAGCTCACGCAACGTCTCAAGCTTGGCGATATCGTGAGGCGCACGCCGCCCGCGTCGTCTCGGATCCAACAGGAGCTCGACGCCATCGACAATCTCGTCCACGAGGAGCTCTCGCAGAACCTTACCGCCATCGCTCGCCAGCACAAACCGCAACGCAGCTCGCATAGCTGCAGCATCCATCTGTTTCGGTGGAGCGTCAAAGTCTACAAATGCTTTGCCATCGATAAGGAGGCCCTGGCTTGAGCTGATCAGTGTACGCAACCGGGCGATCCGCAGACGCGACCCGTTCGCGTAGAGAATCTCGCGCAGTGCCTTGCGTAAAGTCTGGTTATTGGCGCTTGCCGCCGTCATGACGCGTCTACTCACAAACGGTAGCGCCTCCATGATCATTTTGAAGTTCGGGTCCGCTTTCAGCGCGATGCCTTCGAGCACGCCCAAGGCTCGGATGATCAAGGCAAAATACGGCGGAATCGAGAACGGGAATTCGAAGGTTACCGCGGCAAGGTCGCTGGACAGGGATCGAAAGTCGATCGCGCGAGCGCCACCACCCTCTAGAGCCTGGTTCAAGATGTTACCCATAACTCCTACGATGCGTGAGCGGTTCTCCCGAACCTTCTCGGTATCCGGGAGAAAATCGAGCGCGATAAAGTCATCGACCACGGCCTCAAAGTCGCGATTCGCCAAGTGAATGATTGAGGCGACCATCCGATCCATTTGCGGGCGCTCAATCTCAGCCATAAGACCAAAGTCAAGAATCACCAAGCGTCCGTCGGCGGTGGCTAACAGGTTTCCGGGATGAGGATCTGCGTGGAAAAACCCCGTCTCCAGCAGCTGCGTTAGGAAACACTCAACACCGACGTTCACTAATGCTCGGATACGCTCGGGAGGAGCGTCTGCCAGTTTGGTTCCGTCGATCCACTCGGTCGTCAGAACCCGTCGTGAAGTGTATTCGAAATAAACCTTGGGAATTTTCACCTGATCAGCAGTGATCCTGGCCTCGGGATCGGAACCGCGCTGCTGCAAGCAACCGAGGAGCAGGCGTTCGAAGCGTTCCGCGTTACGACCCTCGTTCACATAGTCGAGCTCGAGATACATTCCACGAGCCCATTGGGTAAACAGTGCGATAAAATCCGTTCGATTGGCGGTAAAGAGATTCTGGATGCTCTGCGCCGAACCTGCCAGACGACGGATGCAAAACAAATCCAGAGAGACGCGCTGCAGCATATCAGGTCGCTGCACTTTCACGGCGACTTTTTTCTGCGGGTCTCGTGCGAGCGTTCCCCGATAGACTTGCCCTAAAGAGGCAGCTGCGACTGGCTCGGGCGTGAGCGTTGCGAAGACGTCATCGACGGAGCACCCCAGCTCCTCTTCGATCATGCGCCGTGCCACTGCCGTCGGAAACGGTGGTACCGCATCGTGCAGCTTTTGTAGCTCGCGCATGGTAACCGGGCCGACGAGGTCCGGTCGAACGGCGAGCCACTGCCCGATTTTGATAAAAGTTGGTCCAAGTTCGGTAAGAATCTCGCGCAGACGAGCTGCTCGTGCCACCTCGAGGTCCGCTTTCGCCGCTCCCGATGCAGTCGACATTCGCGAAGTCGCCGTCGATACCAGGAAAGGAATCAAGAGCGAAGAAATCTCGCTGAGGCGGCGCGCAACCTCCGTTGGCCTTCGCGACCAGTAGGCGGCAATCGCGTCCTCGTCGTAGGTAAGCGGGAGTCCGCGGTCCGCGTCCAGCACTTGACGCGTCTGGACGGCTGCCAACGCCTCAGTGTTATCAGGCGGAGGACTCAAGACCGCACGGCTCGCCAGCGTATTCATCGCGCGCGATACTCGAGTGCGTCGCGCGGCTTTCCCCTGAACGGCCACAGGCCGCGTACACCAAGTCGCGGCAGGAGCGGGCAACTCGTGTCTCGTAGGACGCAGTGTCCGCTTGCCAGCCGTCAGGGTGAACGCCTGCTGTGCTCCCACAAAGAGCATGCTCGGCAATGCTCTAATGAACATTGGTCCCCTTTCATTTGATCTATTTTGATTTCTCATATCCCAAGGTTTTACAGAAAGAAAAACTCCTCAGGGGTACCCAGAACACCGAGTACTTTGCCTAGATAAACCACAACGCGATCATGGCGTGAAATCCGAACTGGATGCGGTGGCGCGGTGCGCGTAGGGCTTTCTAGTTATTTGCGACAATGTGGACAGGACCTGGAAGCAGCCGCACGCGTTACCAACCAATGGACGGCGGGCGTGAACGAGGCGTTTCGATCGCGCGCGCAGCTGCCTGCCTGCTTGACTGCCTGGCTGGCGCAGCGACGTCCCGGGCGCGACGCTCGAGGCAAGAGCGCCTCCATCGCTGCTGGAACGTTTGCGCTGGGCGATGAGCGCACCAGCGATGATCACCGGAATGACACCCGACATCGATGAAGCTCTTCGTGAACAAGGTATGATCTCAGGGTGACGTTTCAAGACCGGGAAGCATCGGTACTGTGCGAGGGACGCGATCCCGCGGCGTTTCAGCGGACGTCGATTTTCATCGATGCGATGGATGTTGCCATGCCGCGGCTCCTGGGCAGGCACAAAGGCGTTGTCATCCATGGTGGATGGCATTGACTACGGCGCGGTGGCGAGTCGTTTCTGCGCGAGCATGCGTCAACACGCGTGCCTTGGGCTGGATGCGGATGAACGCGTAGCGCACTGAACGCGAGGTTGCTCACAATCGGACACTTGTCGCTCCTCCGAGCTGCATGGAAGCGACTGCGCGCTCGCACGACTAGGCCAACTGCTCGATGGTGTGCGCGTCCGCGAAACGGGCACATACCAATGGCTGTTCTGTACTGCACATCTCTCGGAAAGAGGCCAGTGCGGTACACCGGGACGTGCAAGCACTCGGCACACCACCGACCTGAGATGCGCCTGTCGCCTCGGGCGACGCTGCCGGGCGGTGGCACGGCAGGCCCTCGCATCCACGCGATCGACCTCATCGAACGATACTCGGTTCATTTGAGTTTACGCATTCGAGGTGAATATGTGTATCAGGGGCATTAATCTATGAACTGACTCGCGCGTACCGCTGTTCGGATGGAGTACAGAGACCGATCTCTCAATGAGAGCATCAGCCACAGGCAGCAGTATCACGGTTATGAATCCATGATCTGATGCACGCATTACGCTTCCCCCTCAAAATGAATATGTTGGTGTCCCGCACGCCCGGTTTCAATCCAAATCACGCAACGGTTCTCACGTCTTGGCAGATGCCCGCAGAAACGCAAGGCAGCCCAGCCCGACGCGTCCGTGTCGTCATCGACCAGGACCGCGCTCGGGGGATCCAGCGCCAACGACTCCGACCGCAGGAAGCGTGCGCTCCAGATGTCGCTCATCGCCGCACGTCCACTTTATACAGAGATGTACCGAACACCACCATCACGCCACCAGCGTTACGCGGATCAGCGGATCGGCGTTCATGCCTGTGCACGCACGCACGCACGCACCTGCGCATGATCGCGGGCGGTGTCGCTCAGCGAGAGCTCCCGCGCGCTCATCATCGCCGTGCGCTCGGCGAGGGCTCGAGCGCGCACGCGCACACACACACCCTTCCCGCAGCGCTCTCCCGCGGATGGCCTCAGCACGTGAGCAGCGCCTCGGGGGGCGGTGGCTGTGCGCTCACCGATCGCCGTCACGAGGCGAACAGCCGCAGGGCGTGTGCGCTCAGCGACAACAGGTGTGAGCACGCAGCACACGAACACTTGCCCTGGAACGAGGTTTTGCTAGAAAGGAATAGCCCAGAAGCGTGCAATGTTTGTAACTACTCCTCTTTCTCTGAAGAATAGTAAGGTCAGCACACGGTCTAGTTGCTGTGTGCAACGAGCACGGCGCTCGACCGGTGTGGCGAAGCTCGCTATGAAGGAGGCTTGGGTGCGTTTGGTGCCCACGAGCGACTTGCAACCCGGCGAGCTGCGCACGGTCACGGTTGCGTCCCAGCTTGTGCTGGTGGCCGTAGATCAGGACGGTAGCGTGTTTGCGACCCAGGGCTACTGCAGTCACTTGGCGGTGCCGCTGGATACGGGCTCTATCGGCGACGGCGTGCTCACCTGCTCACAGCACCGCTCGTCGTTCGACCTGAAGACCGGTGAAGTGATTTCGTGGTGTACGTTCCCGCCGATTCTGGGTCCACTTCTGGGTAAACTACAACCGCCAACACCCATCTCGGTGTACCCGGTTCGTGAGAACGCCGGCTACATCGAGGCGTATCTGCAGGTGGACGCAAAGGATGAGTTCGAGAAGCAGTACTGGAAAGGCATCTTGGACGCTCAAGGCAAGGCAACAGGTGGTTACTATTGAGTTACCGCAGCCGTGTACAAGTGCCTACCATGGCGCGAAGCGCTCGCAGTTGAAGGTGATACTGTGAACGATGGCAACAGCAATGACGCGCAGCGTGGCGAGGCCAGCACTGATCGCAGCACTGGGCTACCACCCGCATGCCACTTGTGCCATTTTTACGCGGATACAGGGGATGCACCACGGAAGCGGTCAACCGTTGCGTGCTGCTGGAGCGCACACCTGCATGCGTACGTCTTCCTCTTTCACCTTGGGGTAACCGGCACGTTTATCCCAAGCGCCACCGCACGGCATGCTTTTCGGGACCTTGTTTGCAGATGTACGCGCCATGGGCACGAGGCTCGACAGATGCGTGGGTTTCGGCATACTGGAGGCACCCGTCAGCATCGTCATCATTCTGAGGTATTCATCGCTATGGTAGGTTTCTGAACGGGTAAGCGAGAGGTGCTTTTTCATAAACTGCTTCGGGTTTGCTTACACGGTTGTCTTTCGATACACCAGACGCGTCTCCCCGTGTCGCCATACTAGGAAATCGTCGCTTGATAAACCTGCTGCAGTTAGCGCCTGCGCAAGCCTTCGCTCCGGATCGCCGAGGCCCTCGTCCGTCAGCACAAACGTGGAGTGGTGCATTGCAACGCTCGACCTCGCTCGTACATCCCGATGAATGGCTACCGAATCCACTGGATCTACATGAAAGCGGCTCATAAACCATCGCGGTGAATAGGCACCAATAGGGATCATGGCGAAATCGAAGGGACCCCACTTGTCGCCAATCTCTCGAAACACAGGGCAAGGTGCTCGCTGCGGGTGCTGGACCGCCAGCTGCTCGCGTTCTTTTTCTGTCGGATACGGATAGCTCGGGTCATCCTCTCGAATGACGCGGTAGGCAGTATCTCCGGCAAAATAACATCGAAAGTCCGTCTCGATATCCCGGAGCACCCAACCGCCCCAGAGTGTCTGATTTCGATCCCAGAGCGTGCGGCCCGTAGCGTGCTGTGCCGGCACAAACGTGACCTCGAGTCGCCCGAGTCTCCTTTGCTCGTACCAGTCCAGTTCATAGATCTGGTGCGAGGCCGGCACTTGTCCGCCCCAAAGCGGATTCTTGTCTCGTAGCAACGACTCGACACCCAGAGGAACCAGCCAGGAGATCGTACGACGCTGCGCCCTGGCGCTCGCTACGAGCGCCCGAATCGTTCCAATATCACAGTGATCGTAATGGTTATGACTGATGCACACAACATCAGGTAATGGGCATTCTTGGAGAGGCGCTGCCCTGACAAGCCGTTTCGGGCCCAGGAATGACACTGGACTTGCCCGTTCCGAGAAAATCGGGTCCAAGTACACGGTGGTGATACCGTTGGGAAGATCGTATCGGCGCCCGGCGCAGTTCGTCGGCTGTGTCGCTTCATCAGTATCGCTTCGCCCAGGAAACTGTAAGATGAAGCTGGCATGACCAATCCAAGTGGCAGCTATCGCCGCCTGCTGGGGTTCCACGTTGCCCACGAGACTCCAGTCCGGAGTACGTGCTGCTGCCTGCAGTGCTTGTCGCTGCTCCTGCGTCACTCTACTCGTCTCCTTGTTCCAGACGCTGCGGACGCGCCAGATGTCCTTTAGCGGGGGCGGGTCCGCCTCCGAGGTCCACGGGTTGCGAAAACCGCACAGCCGACCGTTCGCGTCGCGCACGTGGTGCTCCCGAGCACCCGACGGTGCGGCTGCCTTGCGTGTTGCATCCGGTGCGGTCGGGGCTGTCGCCTCGAGATCAGACTCGCAAGTTCCAGCGCCAACAGCGAGCGGAGAGCTCATGCGCAAACCGCGCTGACGAGCCCCGACACTCGCTTGTTTGGGCGCACTTGCACTCTTCGTTGTCGCAGTCGTTGCGCTGCGCTGAAACTCAGAATCGTACTCACGTTCGAGTTCCTGAGCCTTCAACTGTACTCTGCTACAGATCCGCCGAAGTTGTCTCTGCCAGCTGCGGTACAGTGACGCAGCAGCCGTGCTCATGTAGAACCTGCAGCAAGTCTTTGCTAGGCGCATCGGATGCCACCATCCGATGCGAAAAACTGCGCTGGCGCCCGGCAGGGCACAGCTGTGCTTTTTCTCCAGTTCCATGCAGTGCAGCGATTGTTGGAAAATCCATGCAAGGATACCCTTTTTTTTCTCTGTTTCCTCGTAGTCGTTCTAAAAAAGGGATTTCTCCCGGAGATTGGAGCAGGATCGCAATAGACTTTATGGTGGCAGGGCGAGCTTGCGAAAGACTGCCTTACTTGGACATATTGGTTTTTGTACGGTCTGCGGGTGCATGAACTATCCTTCTCATGTCGTCCACATGCTGCACGTTGTGCACTCGAGGCGGAGCTTATCAAACTCTATCTAGATGATTGTGCACATGTCCGTGCATTCGACTTCATACGTTGTCTACGAAATATTACGAATGAAGCTAAAGGGTGAGAAGTTTCGATTCCATTGATCCGGATATGGATGAAGCGACACGAATAGACAACATGAAGAGCACGTCGCAATGCGAAACCACCACGTGTTTATCAGAGATACGACTGATTTCGTATGGAAGCGCTGAGTCGCATTCCAGGAGAGACGGGTTCGCGTCGCACTCGATGAGACTCCATTCGAGGAACATGGAAAACCTGTATATGGGTACGCAAATAGGGGTCAACAGCTGTTCGTAAAGAAGGGACAGGTAACCTTGAAGACAACTTCAGGTCTAATGGCTAATCAGGTGTATGGTCGCCCGCAAATCGCCAAACTGGCGGGATCGTTCGACGTCTTGGTGCTTCATCGAACCAGGCCTCGTGGCCTCTCCTTCCCACTTGTTTTGTGTCCTGCTCGTAGACAGCGTCACTGTGCATGAATCAAAGGCAGTCGAGTCGTCCGCAACAGAGATTATCGTTGAGCTGCTCTTCATGCCTGCCGGTTCTGCCTGGTTCAACGCAGTCGAGGATATCTGGTGTAGTGTCGAACACCAATTTTACGCGTCCGGATCAATAGCCGAGTCGTTCGCATCCGCACCACTGTCCTTTGATGAATTTTGGTCCACATGCGCGAGCTTTGATATGCTCTATTCTTGTTTACTCGTGTGCGGAAGTTAGCGGGGGGCTGTCTCAGTCCATGATCGCGTCGCTCCGGAGCAGGCGATCAAGAAAACTTTCTTGAGGATTCGCAGGTTCAGCATCGAAAGGTCGAGCTTCACAACGTATGTCCGTCTGGTGCATGTGAATTCCGAGTAAAAACCGGGTACAGAGAATGCCGACTGTACTCACGCCACAAGACGAGGAAACCACCAGACAAGGAAATGAAAGATCCGTTGGAACAAAAGGACGAGGAAGGACGCGAAATAGAAACTTGCTGATCGGAAACATCAGGCTGAAATCGTTGCCAAGATCTCTCCAAAGAATCACGTCAATGTTGAGCACCTCCCGAAAAATGAGATGCAGGACGTAACGACGGTTTGCCTGGTTTCCCTCGCCTTGAAGCACCTACTGAAGCGGTTTCTCGGGGGGCTCCGGACGCTATGCTGCCAGTCATCCACATTCTTCCAGCATTTTTCGATCCAATCTTCATGCAGCAATACAGCTGACACTATGGACCGCAGATGCAACACGGTCTGATTGCAGGATCTGAGCATCGGACACACGCTACCTAGAATGGCTTGACGTGGTGCGATGCCACATCGGTGAATGGAACGCCCACAGCGCACGAGCCAAACAGTGTGAAACCCATCTCGAAGTCTATATACTGGTCAGTATCGCGCGCTTGTTGAAGTGCATGCCGTCAGCATTCCACCTTCATGTTAGACGACCACAAAATTAGAGTCTTATGAAAGGGATCCTTGGGGTGTCGACAGAGGCAACTGATGAGCCGCTGGTGCCTGGTTCGGAACTAATGTCGCAACGAAAGCGCACGTCGCAGCAGCTCATCCAAACGCATTGTATTGCTCGCGGCCTCATTCCGATGGACATCGTATCCAATGGATGGTTGAAGCGCGATGCCTGCAATCCTCGCATCCCACTCGACAACCATTTCCTGAGCAGAGCCTTCCGAGGTAAAACGACACGCTGCAGATCCGCACGTCGTCGCTTCATCGAGCTTCGATTCGATATGGTCCAGAAATCCGCGATCGAGACGCATCATATCATAGTAGAATTTCTCAGTCGTGAAACATCTCGTCAATGAGCTAGGGCTCGTCTCTGCGGGCAAGTATACAGCATTCGAAAAATTCCTCGAAGAGCATGGACAACGTTCATTCGGGGTTTCTCGTTTCCACGGAGCAAATGTAGAGCAGCGTACAGGCATGACCGAAAGCGGCGGTATATCCATCTGCATGTACTTGGTAAAACTCGGAGAATCGTGGTCTAAATCGAGCGCCGATACTCACCTGCAACCGTTTAGTGTAGACGACGAGAAACTCTCCAAAGTGAGTTTTGATCCACGGTTTGAAGAACGTCATGGCCGCCGCCATGCCCCTCAATCAAGAGTACGGACCCCAAGACCTGAATGACAGACAGGTGATGCTGGTCAATGGTTGCAGGGCTGGGCATCACCGCGAGTCGGGCGTGATGCATTCCAGACGGCATCGCAGGACATCGAATGACGGCCTTGGGAAGCATTTCGAAGCGCCAGGCACCGTATCGAGCAGCTAAGGATGCTTTGTACGCTTCATCTATGGATTACGTCAGCGTCCACGCAGCGCTTGAGGGCGATTTTCGGCAGCAGTGCACGAGATCGAGCCATTGCGATGGCCAACGGTGTTTGATCCTGCGGAGCCAAGAGGCATGCATTTGCCAACTTCTTTAACTCGTTGGAATGGGGATTGCATTGCGTGTCACGTCGTTTGGTGGTAGCGTATGACACCGAACGTGCAGCAGCGTGGAAGCACTGCGCTCGTGCTCGGTCCCTGCGAGCGTCCACCGAGTCCAGGAATCGACTCATTACGACGGACATCGATGCGTGCATCACGAGCACGAGTGCACCCTGAAGCGGATAGAGAAGAAGCGCACGTCATAGAGCCGGATGCATGAGATAACGTACGATACGCTGACGGGACATCAGTTTGCAAATGAGTCAAAAGTGAGAGCCTTGCTCGGGTCGAATGCCACGCGCAGGTGCTCGCTGTACCAGGACTCGGGCGCATCGGCCTATATCCGTAATGATGTCTCATGCGATCGGAGCGACCATTGGGTTTGTGTCGGGCGCACTTTCGAAGCAATGGTTTCGTATTCGGTGTGGGTATCATGCTGAAACGCTGAAGACTCTCAATGAAAGAAATCAGGTACCAGGAGAGATGACCTTGGATTCCCGATCGGAACAAGGCGCTCGTCTTGTACAGTAACCAATCCAGCGGAACTAGCGCTACGTATCCATATTCACCGAAAAAAGCTTTCCAGGTCAATCGTTCAACGATACTTGTGCTTCATGCCTCGATATCGCTGAGTATCTCAGCTGGCTGCTGGGCGCAGGTTGCATCGCGGACGCATCAGCAATGCCGCTTGGCTGGGTCCAGGAACGCAACCCGCCGTGCCGGATTGGCATGGCATCATGAAGTGCTCGCTCTGTTCCCGCCTTGGATGTCTCCGAATCATTCTTTAGATGTGCAACCATGCCATTCGACGTGATGCAACAAGGGCTTGCGGAATCAAGCCTCGTATGAGGATTCTCGGTTGCCGTTTCGAAGTGGCGCATCCGATGCATTGTCGCTGAAATTCGTTGCGTTCTCTGTATCAAGAGCGTTCGCGAGGCCCTCAATCAGGGATTCGGAACGAATGGGTATCACCGTGGAATTCCCGCGTACATGCCATCACCCTTCACCTGTCCACGCGTGTGTGGCAGGGACGAATCACGCATGCTTCAAGAGTTTGGCACTTGCATTTCATGCCAACACGTTTGTGCGGCATCTCCCCGCCGCTCGATTGGCGAAGAAGAGCATTCGACTTTATTTTTCTTGACGACTTTTGCACAAGCCCATGCCAAGAGTTCAATGCTCTTTATCAAGTAATCGATTCCGTTCGGAGAGACAACGTCTCGTCTATTTGTGGCCATCGAAGAAACCGTATTCGACAGCAGCATTTTACGGCTTGCGCGATGTGCGCTCTGGGGCTCGCGTCTCGTCGACTTCCACCGGAAAGCGTCTTGGGCTGGGCTTTGATTTGTGGGAACGATCGCTGGCGGCGGCAAGTGCATCATCGCTTTGCACAATGCAACCCAAGATGGATAGAAAAATTTCCTCGACTTTTTCGTGAGCCTGGCGTCCACTTTCAATACTGTGTTCATCATCGAAGACACCACGTTTTGCACATCCCCAATCGAATGGAAAGCCCTGCGTCTGTCTGTACGGCAGACAACAACGTCCTTTTCAACAGGGTCATACAGACGAAAAGCCGTTGATCATCGGGTACAGCACCGGGCGCGTATACCTAGGCAGGTACCGAGCAGAGGCATCGGTACCCGTCAGGCGCATGTTCCGAACGATGAAGCAAGCCTGTAGGCGCCGCAGGATAGCATCCGGAGAGGGCGATATTGTGGCCATATAGGAACATCTGACCATGATCGAGTATCAGTGCTGCGATAAGCGCACCTCCGCTCCATACAAACACGACGAAAATCGCAGTCGAAGCATAGATCGCGTTTACCGTATGCGCACGGAACCCATCAACAACCGTCGGAAGCAGTCAAATCGGGACTTGTGCGCTTCCATCAGCATCCTTCGGTTGCGGATGGCGGAGCTGGAGCGAAAGAAGAGACAGGCTGATCTAGGGCCGGAGAAACGGGAGCTCCAGGAGGAGGCATCCTCCGAAAAAACCAACCACATTCTCTTGTTCAGCATAGTTGGCTGCATCCGAAGCTTTAGTGTGTGTACGGCCGTCGCAGACAGCCTGTCCCATTGCATGCTGTCATGATGGTAAAAAAAGCTGCTATGATGCAGCGCTTGAAGCACCGCGGCGGACGTCGCATGCAGCCAGCACGCCCCTGTGGAGCCGTCAGGGACGTCGCCACGAGGCACGGCAAGTCTACCGTCAGACAGGCATCGTCCGGTGAAGGTGCGCTATTCTGTGCCATAGGGCTGGTGAAGGCGCCGAGAGACCCACAACGAGCCTCGCCTTGGAGGTCGGGGGGTGTCTTTTCCAGCGTTTTCCCGGGAGGCGTCTGTCACGACGGTGCTCGCACGACCAGCACCGAAGCGCCGTCTAGGTACCGAATGTTTGCCGATGCACACGAGGTCATCTCGAATACCTCTGATGCCGCACGTTGCTTCTCCGGATGGAGCTACGCGAGGCAGCGTTCACGCCGAGCGAGGTGCGCGCCCAGATTACGACGCGATCGAGCCGGGACTGGAGGATACTCGCGCGGCTCCGTCAGGTTGACGCTTGGGCTGGAAAGGGGGTTTTCGAGTCTCAAAAACATCATTGAAAGTAAAGCGTATTATGATTGGCCCGCCTAACCGCAAACTACTGGAATCCACTGGCAGCAACTCGTGACTGACTACTCAGCCACAGCGTAAGCTTTTCCGCCTAGCTCAGTTTCGGTAGGCCGCAATGTCTCCCGCGCGACACCAACGGGTAGTCTGTCAAGAGTCTACAGCAGTCGTGCCCAGTACAGCGTGCACCAGTGTTGTCTATTCGCCTGGGGCTAAACGAACTCTTTGTTCTGCTGTTGAAAGCAGCCGCCTACTGACGTGCGTGCGCGCTTTGCACCCCTTGTCTGAGACATTTCAGTGAATTCGCTGCTCGAAATGCACACTTCGGGATATACCTCCTCTGAGTCCTCTTTTAAGACGTTTCAGAAGCATCGCTGCTTCAGGTGAAAACCTAGGAGCGTGTCCAGCTGAGCTCCAGTCCAAACAGGCTTCGTGCAAGCTGAGCCTCCAGCGCATCCAAGTGTGGCGCTGTCCGCAGGCGACGGTGCGACACGACCCTGCATTGGCAGCGACACAGCCGACGTATCTCCTGCCGCCCCAGACACATACCTAGACACCTCTGGGCCTGTTGATGGCACTCGGTTTCGTCAATAGCCCTTCTCTGATGCAGTCAACAGTCCGTCTTCACCGAAGGGCCAGGAGACGAGTGGGTTCCTTTGCCAATCGACAGAACGTGGCTGCAGCGACGTCGCCCTCTGGTAACGGTGACGCGATGCAGCCTCAGACCGCGTCGGCGCCAAGCGAACAGCCGTCTCGAGACAGACACCCGCAGCGACGACCTACCGCTGGGAAAGCTGATCTCCGTGGCCAGCCGCTCACGTCACCGGCGATGCTATCGTTCTACGGTCGCCAGGAGAGCCTCTTTCGAGACGATAGCGATCGCGAGGCGCTCTTTCAGTGTCTCACGCAACCTCTGCCAACCTGTTTTCGTATTGTGGCGGGGAATCCGTTTAGCAAACTCATCCAACAGCGGCTTGACCAAAAACTATCGCTGATAACGAGCGATGCTGGTCTGGCTGCTGCTCGAGAACCTGGACTGGTTCCTGGTTCCACCGAGTCGACGAGTACGATGACGACGACCACCGAGCGGACGCGCTGCGAAGCACCGTTTCCTTTGCCCTGGTATCCGGATCGCTTGGCTTGGCAAGTGAATCTGCCGCGAGCGTTGCTTCGACGGGATCCAGCACTTCAGTGGCTGCATGAATTTCTTGTAAAAGAGCACGAATTCGGCAGTATTCATCGTCAAGAAGCCGTCAGCATGATACCACCTCTCGTGCTCGGCATCGAGCCGGGGCAGCGTATCCTGGACCTTTGCGCTGCTCCGGGCAGCAAGACAGCTCAGATTCTGGATATGTTGGCGAGCGAACGTTCAGTTCCATTCGAAGTAGCAAACAACACTCTACTCGTGGCGAATGATGTCGACCGAAAGCGATGCTGGATGCTGGTGCATCAACTACAGCGATATGCGCTCGCGGGAGTCATCGTCACCAACTTTGATGCGTCCTCGTATCCGACCAGAGGCCTGCCGTTCCGGTTTGATCGGGTGCTCTGCGATGTCCCCTGCACTGGAGATGGTACGTTACGCAAGGCCCCGGATCTGTGGCTGCGCTGGAATCCCCACCAGGCTCGCTCCCTGCACCGCTTACAGACGCGAATTGCCATTCGTGGTATCGAGGCCCTGGTGACCGATGGTCGGGGTCGCATGGTCTACTCCACGTGCTCGTTGAATCCGATCGAAAATGAGGCAGTGGTTGCGGCGGTGTTGCGTCATTTTGGATCAGATCACGTGGAGTTACTCGACGCTGCCGGAATGATACCCGCTATCTATAGGAGACCGGGTTTATCGTCATGGGATCCTGGATTCGATGTCGTCGATGAGACGTCGTCCAGCGCAGCGTTTTCACCGCCATCAGCAGCGGAGCGGAGCTGGATGCATTTGTCGCGCTGCATTCGAATCATGCCTCATGATCAGAATACCGGAGGGTTCTTTGTGGCTGTTTTCCATCGCAAAAAGCTGCCCGAGCAGCATCTTAATGAGCAGACGCAAGCGCACGCTGCAGCAGAGGGAAGCGCGCTCCATACGCTCGACAGCAAGGCAGGATCGGCAGGCGAGGGCTCACCTCAGCCGCAGAGTGCTTCGCGACTCGAGACCTCGGCAGGCTATGGGGGCGCTTTGCGGCAGCCCTGCCGTCCGGCAGCTTCCCAGGGTGTCTTGGCCAGGGCGAGACCGCCAGCGGAGGCACAGGGTTGCCCTTTTCTAACGGACGGCAGCAGGGATGCTCACGACGAGGATCACTTGGGAGCGAAAGCGCGCAAATCTCCGCATCCCAGGTCGCGTTCCGGAGCAGCCGAGCCACAGTCTCCTGGCACCGGGGATGCACTCGTATCAGCGCTTTGCCCGGGACGCTGTCCTGAGGCGTCAGCACCAGTGCCGGGAGCTGGTCAGCAATGCGGGAACGAGTCGTTCTTGAATAGCAGCTGGAGGTCGACGCAGCACGCCGGGGAACCTGAGCCAGTCCACACATCGAATGCGTCTCCTGCGCATGTGCCTCTGCCGATGCTCGACAGAGACAGAATGCCGAGCACGGCGATATCAGCCGCCGCAGGAGTCGTCCAAGCGGATTTGATGGGATTTTCGAATGCAGCTGGTTTCAATGAGGTTGGTGCTGAACAGCAACGTAAGCAGGAACGGTGTTCGCCAGAAAAGAATCGCAGCGACGACAACTCCAACAAGTGCACCACAACAGGATTTGCGGACCTTTGGAGCGTTTCCGAAACCAGTGCCCCGATCAAGAGAGGCGGTCGCCGGGTGGCGCACTCGGAACCCTCGAATGTGCCTGGATCAGCGAAGGTTCATGCTGCTGACGATGCTGCCGCGGTTACCTTCGAGATGCCGACGGCTGAAAAGCGAGCCGCTGATGATGGCACGCAATCTGGATCCGACGAGGATCATGCTACTGCTGTTGTTACCGCTTCACCTGCAGCAAGCTCGGAAACGACGCCCGTTGGCACGCCTTCGGAGAGCTCGCTCTGCTCGCACCCAGGGCCGTACGCCCACCGCATGCGAGGCCCTCGGGACCCGCCTTTGATACCGGTACGACACGTTCCCTTTGGTGCCATTGTCGTTCAACGCATTGCATCAAGCTACGGAATCCCGGTGGAGATCCTGGAAGCACACCTCTACTGCCGTGTCTACCTTGACCAGTGCAGTGCTTCGCCTTCTAAGCGCCTTCGAGTATACTGGCTTCCGGAAGCGGTGCGCTCTGTACTTGCATCTCACGAGCATCGACCGGAACGGATCCTTTTCGCTGGCATCCGAGCCTTTGAAGCCATGGAACTTCGCCAAGCACCACAAGGCGCCGCTGACGGAAACGCTGACCTGTGGTTTCGAATCGCCCACGAAGCGATCCCGACCCTGCTCCCGTACCTTCCCGAGGCCAAAGTTGCAACGCTTACACAAAGCGACTTGAGGAACATGATCAAAGAGATCCTTCAGGGTCGACTCGGCTTGCGCATAGCGATGCTGGCGGAGTCACCAACACGACGCACGCTGGAGGAGTACCCTCTGGGACCCATGATCCTGCGCGGGGCACTCGTTGCTGCTGTCACTGGCAGCTCCCCGGTGGACATTCCGCTGCTATTATCGTCGTGGAAGACAAGCCCCCAGTTTATCAGCCTCTTCTTGTCCCGTGAAGAGCTCGAAGCGATTCGGCGGGCGATGCCTTTTCTCGTGGAAGACGGTACGACGGATTCATCCGCGAAGGATCCTGCCCAGGCGCTGGCCTGCGAGTAGAACCGGTGCTATTCCTTCGAATGCACCAGGTACGGATGCAGAGTCGGAGAAACGCGGGTATATTTACTGGAGCTTTTGCCCATGGGTACGGATCAATGAGAGGTGCGTTCGGATCGTTGCGCATTCGGAAGAGGCATCGCCGGGATTCGAGCACCGGATGCCGTCTCATAGAGCGGAGCGCCTGGAAGCACCACAGCTGTGGCGATCCATGAATGCGTCGACGGTGCAGGCAATGAACCATTCGCGTGATTGCTCTGAACACGATCGGAGCAAGATCGAGCAGGCATGAGCAGTCGGTTACGGAACGCTTTCCGTGCTAGGCTACGCTGCATTGCTCGACGCTGCTCCACGAGGTTGCACGCGGGTTGCTGCATGTTGCGCAACTGCGACCCGTCCTTGATGCTGGTTCATTTCGGACTTTCGTCAGATCCATGCATGGGACCGGGCATAACGCGTGAGAGAGGTCGCTCCTCCAGAGAATCCGTTGTCGGTACTTGCAGCCCGTGTTGACTCAAGACGCTTTTAGGAGTCTTGTCGGATCAATGAAAAGCACCAAGCATACAGATCGCTGGCTTGGTCAGAGGCGATAAGCGGTCTCGTGCAGCTGTCACAAGGCGTGCATATCTAGCAGCAGAACAGCAGACCAGCACGCGTTGTGCCCGTTGATCCTCTGCATTCGCGTCACACGTTTCATTCAACATAAAAGCTGGAACAGGTACGCATTCTCGCGCTCTCGGATGTCGCTGCTCAATTCGCTGTTGAACGCTGGCGTCTTCCACGCAACGTTCACAGGTGACTCGGGATTCCGATGACAATCCTCTGTGGCGGACACAGTCCGTGCACCCATATCCATGACGACGTCGTTCCTATTCGATCAGGTAACATCTAGATATGCTGCGGGCTGCCTGTGTCGGCGCCAAGTGACAGCGCGCAACATCTTCGGCGTCTTGTTCGTGCGACATATCCGGTGCTATCGATTCTACTGCCGCGAAGCGCACTACAGGGCGCTCTTCGACCGACACGAAAGCATTTGATCCACAGATTCCAACGTTTGCACGCTGTACCAAACAGAGGAATGGCCGCCACGGGGACTCCACACACACACACACACACACACACGATCAGGTTACCGCTATTTGGTGACATTGTGGCATCCGGCACCTCCTCTTATCGCATTTGCCATGCTCGTTCAGCAAGCGTGCAGGCACCGACAAGTCCTGCATGCGGCCCGTAGGCGCTCGAAACGATGTACTTCTCAACAGGCGTTTCTATCCCGAGGTAGTCGCGATCGAGCTCCACGAACTTGGACTGGATCTTCTTCAGCAGACTCTTGCGCTGCATGACCCCGCCGCCTAGCACGATCCAGTGCGGAGCCAGCACACAGGAGAGGTTCCAGCATAGCTGTGCAAGGTAATGCGCAGCCAGCTTCCAAACCGGATGATCGTCTGCGAGATCCGCAAGCTGCGAGGCGTCAACCTTCGCTCGTTCTGCGAGCGCCCCAGCGCAGCAGAGACCCTCCAGGCAGTCCTGATGCCAAATGCATGAACCAGAGTACGAATCCGCGGGATATCGGACAACGCGGATGTGGCCTGCCTCTGGGTGAAGGCGTCCATGCAGGGGCTCATCCTGAATCGCGACACCCACACCTACTCCGGTGCCAACAGTGACGTAGGCGAGCACGAGCGGACCTCCCGGGTCGGTCGGAGATCGCCTAGCAGCCAGTTCGGCTAGAGCGGGAGCATTCACATCTGTATCCACCAGGACTGGAATTCTGGTACCAATAGCCTTCGCCAGCTCTTGACTTGCAGGACGCTGCTCATCGCGTTCCCATAACTGTTGCAGCTCCTCTAGCAGCGCTAGCCCTTGCCATGCTTTCTTCGGTGTCTTTCCGAAGCGAACCTGGTGTGACGCGGCGCTCGACGCGACAGACGGGAGCAGGATCGGACCAAAAGTAGCCACACCTAGTGCTGTAATCGGGTGCGTTTCGTGTCGCTCTGCCAGCCAAGCGGTCAGAAGCGTCAGCGTCTCACGAGGTGTACTCGTAGGAACCTGGAATCGTTCAATGAACTGATCGGGACGACCTACTGCGATTGCCGCTCGTGCACTCGTGCCCCCTAACTCGATAGCGGCAAACACAAGGTGCTGGTTACGTAAAGATTGTACCGCGGGAACTGTGGTGCTGCGCTCGTCCTCTTCGCCAAGGCTCAGCGCTCGTCGTTGCCGCCATCGAGCCAGACCCCAACCGAGTGCAGTCACCGTGCTGAAGAGTGCCGGAGCAGCTGCCCACACCAGCCAAGTCGGTGTCGTTGTCTGCCTGCTCGTCATAGGTTCCTACTTTTCTGCCACAAGAACGAAAGTCACAGGTTTCCCAGCAGGCACCGTTCCCGGGTGGTTATCGCAGCCGCAACACGCGGAGATGCCCGAATGACGCTGTCCAATGGGATGCCAGTTTCGCTACCTGTGGTCAGGTGGGTGCTGCCCTAGACACCAAGCAGCACCAGTGCTGGATACAGCGTCCGCTATTGGAGCACAGATCAACGGGCGTAGCGACAGGCTTCACGTAACGGATTACAACTAAGGAGCTTTTCGAGTCCGTGAGAGCCGCTTTGGCTTTGGAACGGAGCAGGAGCGCTGCAGCACCGCAAGGAACCGGTCTGCAGGTGCCGGAGCGCGCCCGGGTCGCTCTTGTTTGCGCTTCGGGTCTCAACGCGCCTGCCTTGCAGAGTCCTGAAGCATAAACAGTGAGTTTTTCTTTCCTAGAGGAGCGCTGCGGAGTCGTGCCGCCTCTAGACGCTGCAAGCTGGTTGCGTGTCATGAGTGCAAGCGACACGGTTGCGCAGCGGCTCGACGCTATGTCGGAGCAGATTGACGCGGAGACGTCCCGAAAACTGGAGCTCCAGCGTCGAACCAAGGATCGGCAAGAGCGTGCAACTGTGGAGCAGGTGCTCGATAGACGCACAAGGGCGTACCTGGCGAAGCTCTTTCGCCAGGGCGCTCTGCTTGCAGTGCACGGCTGCATCGCCACAGGTAAGGAAGCGAACGTCTACTTTGGTCGATCGCATCCACCGAATGAACCTGAATCTGTCGTCGTCAGCGCAGCAATCAAGGTATATAAGACCTCAATTTTAATCTTTCGGGATCGAGAAAAGTACATCGCGGGAGAGCGCCGCTTTCGTTACGGCTATGGGAAGCCAAGAAACCCCAGGAAAATGGTCAAACTGTGGGCGGAGAAGGAGTTTCGAAACCTATCACGTCTTTGCCGTGCAAACATTCCATGTCCATCACCGTTCTATATTCGTGGCCATGTGCTTGTGATGCAGTTCATCGGCGATGAAGAGGGAACACCCGCTCCGCGTCTCCAAGAGGTGCGAGCTCGGCGGCGAGCACCGAGTTTATCGGCAGAGGGTGCATCCCGGGGCGAGGAAGGCGTCAGCTCGGCCCCGGAGACGATGACGGAAGCTGCCACAACGCCGGCCGAGTCACTTTATGAACAAACCGTGATCAATATGCGCCGTATGTACCAAAAAGCACGTCTCGTGCATGGTGACCTCAGTAGTTTTAATATTCTACTTTGGCAAGGTCGAATCTATTTCGTGGATGTCTCGCAGAGCATGGAGCAAGATCATCCGTTGGCCCTCGATTTCCTTCGTCGAGACTGCCAGAATATCACAGCCTTTTTCCAGGCCGAGATGGGCAACGCAGAAGCGAACGAGGGCATGATACTATTGAGCGTTCGCAACCTCTTTGAGTACATCGTGGATGTCTGGGATGACGTGGATGATATTGCACTTTTGCAGAAATATCAGACGAGGCAAGAGGAACAGAGGAGGCGACGCGTCAGCCGCAGTGCGCAGCATGCGGACGACGAGCTCCTCTCAGATGACTCCACGGACGCCCTGGTATTCCAGTCCGTTCGAATTCCTCGTCGACTCGATGAAGTCGATGAAGAGCAACTGGACAGGATCTACTACGATCGGCTGTTGCGACTGGCGTCTTCTTCATCATCGAGTAGCTACTCGAGTTCGGCGAGCGACAGCTACACAGGTGCCTCATCGGCTTTGAGTGCAGAGGTCGCTCGTTCGGATGACAAGTCCGACCATGAGGTATCGTCGACAGCCTCCTTGCGCCACGCAATAACAGTCCTTGATGGAGACGGTGATGTCTCCACGAATGACGGGTCGATCGAGGGAGATGCTGCGCCTGCCGTTTTCGACAGACAGTGCCGGCGTTCTACCTCTCGACAGAGCGGGAATTCGAGTGCTTCCACGGAAGCCGCCTCGATCAGACAAGTTTCAGCGCAAGCCATGGCATCAGACACAAGGTCTCCGCTGCGTTATCCGGAGCACCTCGATGCGGTGTCGAGCGCCCGGTCCGCTTCTGGGCATGAGCCTGGGACGCCTTCGACGCCACAACACCCCTGCAAAGTTCCATACAGTGCTGCGCCTGCAGGCAGCGAGCAGCGCGTGGTACCCGTCGCCGCGCCGCACAACCACAGTGCCACGGAGGATAGCGATACCATCGTGCGGTCGACGAGCAAGTCCGCGGAAACTCCAGAGGCAGCGTCGGTCGAACGTGTGCATCTGCGCTGTGCTCGAAAAGCTTGGAAGAAACAAGTGAAAGAGCAGAATCGCATTCGGCGACAGAACAAGATACCGAAACACGTGAAACGTCAAGCGGTACACCGGCCTGGACGTTTACGGCGGTATCTGGCGGCACGAGAGACCGCTGCTCGAACTCAGCAAGCGTCGTCTGGAGAGTGCTAGTGGGTACACGCCTCCAGAATCGACGCCTTCGACACGCGCACATCACACCCGTTGCTTTGGGAATCTGTCGCTAGGAGGCTTTGCAACTGAGGCTGGCATACATCGTGACGCAAGCAGCGTTCCGACCTGCGGGACCGTACGCTCGATCACGATGAACGCTGCCGAAGGGTTACTGCATCACCTTCACCCTATGCCGGAGAGGGACGCACTGCCCCATTCCGATTCGCTTCGTCCTCAGCTTGATTGTCGTTAGGCATTCACTGCGATGTGGTAGGGCGAGCGTCCAGGGAGCTCGCCTCGTTCCATGACCAGCGTCGGCATCGGTTGCTGGTCTGGCTTTTGATTTCCGTTCGGTTTCTTTTGCGGAGCTTGTCAGCTCGCGCAGCGTCGATCCGTAAACGTCATAGCATGTTCTTTTTCTGGTTGTATTCGTTCGTTGCCGCCAGGCACATGCAAAAAAGTCAGCATCGAAGCGAATTGTACGAGCGGATACGTATAGGCAAGCGCTTACGAGCAAGATGGTCTCCATTCGCGTCAAACCGTACATGGAACACTGAACCGTTTGCGCTGTACCTGACTTTCCGTGCTTTACCAGCTTGCTGGTAGATGTACAGCCTCTGCATTCGAGATGCAGCAAGAAGGGCGTACGAATTCGTGCGTGAAATCAGGATTCTCGGTCGTCTTTGATTTCAGTGGCTCCTTCAGCGCTTTCCCGCTGGGAATCGTTATCGCACCGGCATGACGGGGACTCACGACGCCCTCGAAAACGGGTACGTAAAACAACCGAAACGATGATTTCAATACATATGCACAAGCTCTAGTCTTCTCCTTTGTTTTCGTGGAACGTGTTCAAATCACGGATTTGTTGTGTCGTAGATCTCTCTGTTCCATGGCAACGGACGAGCGCAGCTACCCGCACCGCTTGATGGATTGCAAATGAAACTCTCGACTTCGTCCATGGACAGCTTCTTCAAAAGCTCATGCCGCAGCTTCACCGAACCTGTTACGTCAAAGAATCCAAGCCGCTCGAAGGACGACCCATCATGTCTTTGTGGCCATCGACGAAACGACATTCGACACCAGCACCATGATACCTCGCATGATATATGCTTCGAGAGGTTCCCCTCTCTTTCGTTTGCGTGGGATCGGGTGTCGAACTCGGACTTGAGTCATCGCAGCGATCGTTTCCAGTGGGGAACGCATTACCACTTTGCACGACAGGCGCGTAGACGGATCGACACTTCTCGATTTGTTTTCAAGGTGCTCTTTCATCATGGGAGACATTGCGTTCCACAAAACCTCTATTACATAAGAGGGTTCGCGCGTACACGCTCAGCAGACAGAGGACTTGCCTGCGGAGATCGCCTCCAAGTCGCCCGAGATCATAGGATACGGAACCGAGCACGGAAACGGAGCAAAGCATCGAGGTGAATCCTCTGTACCAGACCTGCGCATCGACAGAGCGATGAAGCAAGCCTTCATGCGTCGTGCGGCCATGCCCCGAGGCCGGCATATGGTGGACTCAGGGTACCGCCTGACCCCGGTTAGCTGTCACCGCTGCGAGGCGTGCACCGATGCAGTATGCAAAGAAGGGGAAAATTGCGATCGAGGCATCCATCGCAACTGCCGCCTGTTCATGAAATGCGTTGACAACTGCCAGACACGGTGAAATCGGGATTGAAACAGTTCCGTCGAATCCCTTCAACAGCCGACAATAGAGTTGGAAAGAAAGGAGGGACCGGCGAACTTGAAACCTGGGATAAAAGAGAGAAAATGAAGCTATCACAAAATTCGTCCGCTCAAAGCTGGTCTAAATGACAACGGGAGCATACGCAGGCTTTAGCGTGTACCTCGGAATCAGAAGACGCATTCTGTTTTGTACTGGGATCGATGTAGCGTCTGTGACGATTCACATATCTCTGTGCGCACCGCAGTAGCTCCAAGTGGCAACGGTACGCACGTCAGCATGGAAACTCCCGGACATACGCATTCGGAAGCGGGACCAGGAACGTGCGGCTCAGGTCATGCGGGTGGTATCCGCTGCCAGCGCGGGTATCCCCGGCAGGTACACCCTGTGGGGCATCAGAAATGAGAAATAGGCGCTGATGCACATGCGCGAGAACGCGCCTTCGGTGTCCATGTCGTGCCCTTTTACAGCTTTCGCTTACCTCGGACTTTCCCTGGACGAGCGCTACACTGCTTGTCTTGCTTTCAAAACGCCGTCCCAGCCTGCTTTGCGTTTCCAAGGGTCTCGGGTTCGTCACCAAAATCGTCCAGTGCATGCGAGGCCTGCTTTCCGCGATGGAGCGCATCTTCGAGCGCGATCGAGGGCCAAGCTCTGGCTTCCTGAAATACTATACATCTCGAGTGAACGGTTGCACGCTCGCATAAGGCTGGAGCGCAGCACGCGAGCAACAACGACGCCTGACTCGTGAGTCGCTGCAAACGCTTGCGTCCACGCTCGCTGACCGCCTCCCCGACAGTGAACCGTGCGCTTGATCCGCCAGAGATGCCCCCCGAGAAATCCGCTTGTGTAGAGGAAGGCACCGAACCCTCGAGAACAGCAGCGATTCCGGTGCTGCCGCAGCTCCCCATGCTGCTGACCACAACCCCGTTGTGCGGGGAATCAGCGTCTACAGACGCTCTGTTGGCATGAGACGGTTCGGGCACTGCGTCGTATTCCGAACGAGCCAGGTGCTGTCGGAAGCGATATGCGACTGAGCGGAGTTATCGCCGGGCGTTGCACAGGTGCTCGAGTTCGAGTACTCGCACGCGACGCGGTTCCATTCGAAGTACGCATGGGTATGGTTGTAGACAACCAGTTTTCCGACACCGAATGAGCCCTCGCGGAAGGCCGACCAAGATGGTTGCGGGTCGATGAACGGCAGCGATGGACCTTCGCGGTTGCCGGCATCACCGAGTACCAGCTGCACTGCGCCGCACGGGTTGGTCTGATTGTTGTACACCGGATAGGTGCGCTCGTAGACGTGGACGTGCCCCACAAGTATCAAATCCACACCATACTTATAGATGAGGTCCTCCATGGCCTCACGCATCAGCAGGCGCGAACCAGTCCCGAGTACGGAGCAGTACCAGGGTACGTGGAACTGCACCACCAGCCAAGGCGTGCGTGTTCGGTTGACACGCTCGAGCGCACGCATTAGCCAACGGTACTGAACGCTCTGCTTATCGAAACGAGCAAAGGAGGCCAGCGTGATCACATGCACCAAACCAGCCTCAAAGGCGTGGTATTCGAAGGTCGGGGACTCGGACTCTTCGAAGGGCGTCGCGAAACGGAACATGTACGCGACATTGTTCTCGTTGCCGGAGTTGAATTCATGGTTCCCATTGCACCACAGGTGCATCTTCGTAGAGAACAGCGGCTCCATGAGCCGCTGCCAGGTATCCCACAGTGGCCAGTATGCGTCTGCATACGAGAGATCGCCGTGCAGCATCACGAAATCGGGGTTCACCTTGTTCAACATGTACTCCATGTTCATGACGCTGATGTTGGTCTGCCCGACATCGGCCCAGAGTCCAATGGTCATAGGACGGTCCTGGATACCCGGCTCCGGCAAGGTTGTAAAGTTACCCGAGAATTCGCCATCGATGTCGTAGTAGTACGTCGTTTGCGGGAGGAGATTATCGAGCTTCGCTTGGAAAACCAGCGGCGACTGATAGAGTGCTGTCGGGTTGTTGTAGACCGCGAAGACGGAGCGGTTCTCCGGAATGTCTGCCACAGTGGTGTTTCGGTAGACGTACCACCAAGGTTCTGCCCAGGAGGCGGTATTCATGAATGCCGCTACCTCGGAACGGTTCAACGCGGGCGCGCCCATCGGCGGATTCCACAAGTAGCTGTTGTACTCTTGCATGCCGGAATAGACCCTGGCGTTCAGAACCATTTCGTGATCAAGATGCGATGCATTGGTACCGTAGCGAAGCGTGGCCTGCATCGGTAACTCGGTATTCGGTAAATCGTTAATATCGCGAAGAAAACCGATGACCACGCGATCGTAGCGCAGGACGCTGAGGTGGACCTGTTCGACTTTACCGTGCCGCGACTGCACCCGAATATCATGGAACGGGAGCGCCTCGCTCGAAAACTTGGGCCGAATATAGGCGCTGGTGCGAGATAACGTCTGCAGTTTTACGGGCATCGAGAGCGCACCACTGCAAAGCAGCACGAGCGTGCTCACGAGAACACATACTGCGATGATGTGGCGCATCAGCATGGCGTCGTTTACGTGGCTTTTGTTTCGCTGTGCACTGCCTTGGTCGTGCTGCACTTCGATAAACCCCAATGTATACCGAAGAAAAAGTGCAGGCAGAATTCGCAGCAGATGCCCACTGCCATGGATGTGCTGCATCCCGAGCGCTCCCGTTTGTGCATCAACCGTATCCCCCAGTGCACGCGATACGCATCTGGCGGACGGGATGCGTCGATGGACGCCCGCCGCAGCAGCGCGCTGGGCACGTATGGCGACACGTGTCGTGTGCTGCGATGCAACGCCAACCCTGGATATTTTGGGATGGATATGTACTCATTGGCATACGAACTGATAACGGTTCGCGGGCGGGATTGCATCGTGCAGCATGCCACAGGACATCGATGCATATTTATGAATATAAATGTATAAAATGGACATATGCAGGCCTGTCGTCTCTGGCGCACACAGGCCATCTACCTGCGTACGCGCTCCAAGCAGCAGCAGCGCCAGACTGGCGTACGCTCGTCTCGGCACAAGCCGGGCAGGAGACCAGCGCCGATGCCCGCTCGTTTCTGCAGGAACTGCAGTAATCTTCTCTATCCTCAGGAGGACAAAGAGTACTTTCTCCGGGAACGACGTCGCCGTCTGCTGTACGTGTGTCGAACGTGTGCGTACCGAGAGGTGGTTCAGAACCTCGCGGAACCCGTGCATCGTCACGTTGTGCACCACTCGGCTAGCGAAAAGACTACCGTGCGTTTGGATGCACCATTAGATCCGACGCTGCCGCGGACACATCACGTGACTTGCGCCAAGTGCGGCCACCACGAAGCGGTTTACTTTCAGTCTCCGGTGGGGCGCAACGACGAAGCACTCGTACTGGTGTTCATCTGCGTGCACTGCAAGAATACGTGGCTGTCTTCGGACGAGCAGTAGAGATGGTATCGGGACACGAAGTACCCAGTGGGGACGCATGAGGCACAGCTTCATCACGCTTTTGTGTTCGTCGACAGCGCTGCTTGGGCGACGAAGCACCACGGTGCTCAGCGCGCGTGCTGAGGACGTTCTGGAGTCGATGACGAAAATCTCTCGCATACAACGGAGCTGGCGTTATCAGGCGCCATGCTAGGGCCAGCCCAGCTGCTGATACCTGTCTTGCTCTACGGCAGTGGACACAGCAGGAAATGCGGCGAAAGTGGCAACGCCGGCTCTGGCCAGGTCCCAGAGACGAGTGCGCCCTGGAGCCACCGAATGAAAAGTGACTAAAAAAGCATAGCGTTACGTTTCAGTACGGTGCCTGCAGTGACGAACGTCGACTCGTAACCGCGACATCGAGCGTACGATACTCGTGGACAACGATGCATGCGCCCAGGCTAGGGACGCGTGCCATGGTGACGCCTCCGCTGGCCTGCAGCGACGTAACCACAAGACCGCATCTTACGCCGTACATCTCCCGAGATGCTTGCACAGCATGACGCCACAGCGGGAGTGTGCTCTAGTCAAACGAAGTAGATGCCAGAGACCGGCACATCCGCTGGAAGGCGCGGGGAGACCTCCACCGCCACAATTACATTCCAGATCCGTCTCTTCTCCGTAGCAACAGCAACATCTAGTGAAACGTTTGCGCTGCGTATTCAACGCGGTGAGGAGCTCTCGTCGTGGGTCCATTCCGAATCGGTGCTGACTCTGCTGCAACATCTGCAGCACCTGCAACAGGTAAACGGGTTGTGCTGTGTATGGTACTCGCATGCTCTACGCCTCTGTTCCAAGTCAAGGACGGAGCGGAGTTCTACGCGGGCAAGCTGCTATCGCTGCACGAGCGACAGAAACGCCTCCCGCAAGCTGGACGCCGCCCTCACTGGAAGCGCATGTATGACGAGACTGTAGTAGGTCCGGTGTTTACACGTCAATAATTCGGGATAGCTTTTGAAGTCGATTCAGCAAGGCGTCGCCGTGCTTGAGAACCTCTTGATATAGCCCACTACGAGAATCCGGACGACTCGCTACGATGATGCCGGTAATTCGGTCGATTTTCACGCTCAGCCGATCTGCATTGATGAAACGTGCAAGCTCCGCATCCAGGAATGCTTCTCGCACCCCGAAAGCGGCAGCCATATTGGTGAGCGAAACGCTTTTGTATGCTCGCAAGTACTGGGCGTACGCGGCCAGCCGGATCTCGCGTCCAAGGAACGCCTCATAGCGATGAAGCAATCGCTCCTTTCGAACCTGCTCCAGAATGGATGGTAATGTCTGCATGATTCGCAGATAGTCACATGAAACAAAGGCATTCAAACAGTCGCGTACAGCGGGATAATTGTCGATAACCTGCAAAACTTCCGGAGACGACGCGACGCGTTCTTGTAGAACGGGACGCTCCCTTGTTGCCAGACAACAGACTACAGCGTAGAAGACGAACTGAGGAAAACTGAGCAGTTCTGTTGCCGTGAAAGTAGCGAGTCCGTCGAGAAATGCCTCGGATGCCTCCAGCCACTCACCTTCGCAGTACATGCGGTGTAGCGCATCGTACACGCGCAAACGGTTCCGGCGCTCCCAGTCGCTGCCCTTGGCCAGCAGGTCCCGTGCTCGAGCTAGCTCGCGACGCATGAGTCTCCGATCTTCCATAGCTAAACCCAGGCGAAACAGGGCGAAGCAGATGTCGAGTTTCGGCCCAACTGCCACCGTCTCTTGAAACGCCGCTTCATAAGAGCGGGTCGCGTTTTCTATGTCGCCGATGCGAGCCCAGAACGCGGAGCGCGCTTCCAGCGCCTCGCGAACCTCGGTTTCACCTTCATGCTCGCGCGCGTCTTGGACGCGCACCTGCAGTTGCTTGATCGTCGACGCTATGCGCTCCCGCAGTGCGTCTTCGGAGACACGTGCACTTGGAAGCAGCGGCCGTACCCGCTTCTCGTAAAACGGTAGCGCCAGCTGCGTGTCAATCGCTTGCTCGAGTTCCGAAACGTGCTTCCATCCATTGATGACCGCGAATGCGAGATCGGCGAGATCCAGAATAGGGTCGCGTTGTGTCTCTCCTTCGGTTACCATAAGTGCAGCCCACACAGTGCGTGTGTGTGTGTGTGCGAGTGTCTGGAGCAAGAGGTTCAGCCGGAGCCGCACGCCTAGCTCCACACCTGAGAATCCGCTGCGCGTCGACGCGTGCCTGCGCGTTGGGCGGCGATCAGCGCGCGAAGCGCCTACGACTCGACGATACGGCGCTATGACAGGGCGTGATGCCCCAGAGGAGCGTCTCTTACGCCACGCTCCCACAGTTTCGTGTACAGCACGATTGCACACGACCCTGATGCACCCCAATGACCAGAATGAAGGCAAGTGCGCACTGCAATGCTCTCTCAGAGCCGCTGATGCAGCTCGTGCGCCGAGGCATGCGCTACGCCCGAGGCTGACGTGTCCATCTGCACGGAGGTGTTTCGGGCACAGGATCCCTGAATCGAGCGAAGCGTCATCCCCGATGATGCAATGGCCATCAGCATCCGGGGTAGCGTCTATCACTTCGCACCAGAGCTGCAGGTTCGACCACTGGCCACCGTCGATGCCTGCTTTCTGGGATCGTTGTTCATTCATGTGATCCTAGGAGTACCGAGCCAGGCGTGAGCGCGCGCTCCGCAGCACGTGGAGCGACGGTATGACTGGCGGTGCGCCCCGGGGAGGCGGATCGACGCTGCGCTGGTGATGCGGGCGGCGGCGGCGGCGACGGCGGCACGATCGATCCAAATCAGATGGAGGTCCTTCTAAGACTGATCTTATTGGTATATACATGGTGAAATCTGTCGCTCACTCCATCGCGCTACGCCTGCCGTTGCTGCGCAATGCGTGCAACCCTGGCGCCAAGCCTCGCTTCTGCGCTTCAGATAGGATTCTGTGCGGGGGTCTCAGCAACCCGAGACGTTCGGGAGTACCACACGACTATGTTTTCAGCAACAGCATTTCTTTCAGCATCTGTTCATACTCGGGGATCCTGGCTTGGGAGCGAGAAAAAATCCACTGTTTGGTGGAAAAGGGCCAACAGTGTAGCGGAGAGACGGCGTCGCTGCAGCGCGCTGCGTCTGATCATTTCGCCGGACCAGCGCACTGCGGATCGCTCGGACCAACCCTCCTCAGACGGCAGCAGGGGTGTTACAGGCTCACCAACTGTGCGACGTCGGCGTACAAAGGACCCATTTAATCCGGATTTCAAGGCGGCACCGCGCTTCCAAGAAATCTACCCGTCCTCCGAGAAGGTGTACCGCGAGGTCGTCCACGAGCCCACGGGTGAACGCCTGCGTGTTCCGTTTCGGCGTATATACCTTACCAACGGAGAGCATTTGGACGTCTATGACACATCGGGACCACAGGGGTACGACCCGCACGACGGTCTGCCGAAACTGCGTCAGAGGTGGATAGAGCGGCGAGAGAAGCGCGGGGATCCGTGCTTTACGCAACTATACTACGCGCGCAAGGGCATCATCACCGAAGAGATGCTCTTTGCTGCCGTACGCGAGAACGTTGATCCAGAGTTTGTACGTCAAGAGGTTGCAGCTGGTCGGGCGATCATCCCGAGCAACAAAAAAGCGCTCGAACTGGAACCGATGGTGGTTGGACCCAACTTCAGCGTCAAAGTGAATGCGAATTTCGGTAATAGCGCCGTCGCATCCAACATCGAAGATGAAGTCGAGAAACTCCAATGGTCGGTGCTCTGGGGCGCCGACACGGTCATGGACCTCAGCACCGGCGAGCACATACCCCTGGTGCGCAACTGGATCCTGCGCAACTCGCCCGTCCCGGTGGGCACTGTACCTATCTACGAGGCACTGGATAAGGTTGGCGGAGTCGTCGAGGATCTCAACTGGGAGGTATTCCGCGACACAGTCATCGAGCAGGCCGAAGCCGGAGTGAGTTACTTCACGATTCACGCCGGTGTTCGCCTGGCTTACATTCCGCTCACAGCGCGTCGCTTGACAGGCATTGTTTCGCGCGGCGGGTCCATTCACGCCAAGTGGTGTATCGCACATCGCAAAGAGAACTTTGCCTATGAGCACTGGGATGAGCTCTGTGAAATCATGCGTCAATACGACGTTGCGTTCTCCATTGGTGACGGCCTACGTCCGGGATGTATCCACGATGCCAACGACGAGGCCCAGTTCGCTGAGCTTAAAACACAAGGCGAGCTGACTCGTCGCGCTTGGGCGTTCGATGTGCAAGTAATGAACGAAGGACCAGGCCATGTTCCGTTGCATAAAATCCCGGAGAACATGGAAAAGCAGAAAAAGTGGTGCTCAAGCGAAGATGGTTCCATGGGACCGGCGCCCTTCTATACGCTCGGCCCACTGGTCATTGACCATGCTGCTGGGCGTGATCACATCTCAAGCTGCATCGGTGCAGCCAACATCGCCATGCATGGAACTGCGTTGCTGTGCTATGTGACTCCGAAGGAACACCTTGGCCTGCCCAACGCTGACGACGTGAAAGAGGGCTTGCTGGCCTATCGAATCGCTGCACATGCAGCAAACCTGGCCAAGGGGTTACCAGGTGCCCAGGCTCGTGACGATGCCATCAGCAAGGCTCGATTTGAATTTCGCTGGAGCGATCAGTTCAACCTTTCTCTGGCACCGCTTGATGCGAAGCGCCATCACGATGAGGCGCTGCCGGCGGAGGCCGCCAAGTCTGCTCCTTTTTGCTCTATGTGCTCGTATGATTTTTGTTCGATGCGCATCACGCAGGATATTCGCAAGTTTGCGGCTGAAAACGGTTATGGAACGGGCATCACGACTGGAATGGATGCGTTACCCATCCACCCGCATGAATGTGAATCTTTCGTGCAGGCGGAGAATGAGCATACCAAATCACTCTAGACAAGCTTGAAACGGATGCGCTCCCATTTATCGAGAGCGCACGAGACTGGACGGATGTGTGGTACGCCCGCCTGCCTGCGATTGCGGGTATGAAAAGAGAGATGCCTTTCGGGCAAACCATTGGACTGGCCTCGGATCAGCATCAGCGTCGAGACGGTACTGACTTGTGAGTTTGAAAGAAGGGCTGACGCTGCAGGAACGCGAAGGTAAAGCTGAATCTGCGAGGTTGCAGCGGGTTCATGCATGTTCATCTACACCAGTGACAGATTCAAATGGGACGCTAAACGGCTCACTCTGTTCCTGTCTGTCGATTTCTTCGGAATTCATTCCTGATTCGTACAGCAGTCTCGACGTGAGAAGCGCGACAATAACGGCTGGCGGATTCATGCCGAATCCAGGAATGCTCCATCGACTTGTCAAGCTGGCGCGGTGGGTGCTCTCTCTCTCTCTCTCTCCGATCGAATACGTTCTATCGTCAGAGCAGAGATCACTCGCAACGCCCTCGAACACACACTCATACAATAACCGGTATTCGGATGCAATGCATAGGCGCCCAGGCAGCCACGCTTCTCCTGTACGCACACATAGCATACCCAGAGCAGGCGTGCTTCAAGTCTCCCGTCGTTCCGGTTCGAGGCAACTCGTGTACACGCGAACGACCAACGCTGGCACGACAAGACGAAACGCTTGACGTCACCGCTTGACGACCTGTTCACAAGCTCGTGCCCGACGGTCGCTGAACTCGTCACGGCACACGACTGAGTCGCTTCGGAACGCAAGTGCTGCTCGCTGGGTGGCCACGGACGTCACGGCACTCGACAGCGGCACGCTGTCTGTGAGGGGATATGCGGCCAGAGGCTTCCGTCTCTGGTGTTGCCGTGCAAAAGCGTCTCGGACTCGGACTGGAGTCATCGCGGTGATCGCTTCGAGTGGAGAACGCGTCACCGTTTTGCGCCAAAAGCGAACGTAGACGCTTCAGGAGTTCTGGACGTGTTCGCCAGCGCGAGTATTGCCTGCAGCACCTGGTTCATCGTGGAAACCTGCGTCTCCGTTCCAGAAATCCTCTACGGAACGGAGACGCATGTACCTGCTCGTGTGCAACGGACACGGCACTCGACGAAGCGATCACCCGGAAGAAGCGCGTGACAGTAGCGTGCCTCACTAGTCGGAGAAGCGGCGGATGCATCGACGGTAACCTTCGTCGCCCGTCCAGGGCGTGGACCTGGCGCTGAAGCGAGCGTTCACGAGACACAGGGTAGCGCTCTTAGGAGGGCGTGTGATGCTGGCGGTGCAGCGGTGCAGTGGTGCAGCGGTGCAGCGGTGCATATCTGGGTACACCCGGTCATAGCTTAGAGTGATCGCTGCGACCAGCGTACCGCGGCCGTATACGAGGAAGACGAGCGTAGCCATCCGAGTGCAGGTCGCAAGACAGGTGATCACTTTTCCAGTTGCTGACGGCTGCTCTGAAGACGACAGATAGACCTGTGTACTTCGAGCCGGAAACACACAGTTAGAGAATGAAGCAGTCCAAGGAAAAGACCCCAGAGGCTTCCGTAGATGATGCAACTGTAAACAGGTCGAAACATTTGTGCATCCACACGTGTTGGAGCACCCGTTTCCTTCCAGTCTGAAACAAGCATAGGAACACGATACAGTCTGTTCCATACCCGGGGTGCTTTCGTCCAGGTTGTGCGTTTACTCGGGAAATGTCGCATCTTGGACTCCGGGGACTGCACAGTGTTCAGCTGAGGCTCCTGCAAGTAACCTCAAACGATCAGCAACCTCATGCGAAGGCGTTCGAAAGGTCGTATCGACATCGAACGCCGCCTCCAAAGCGTTCCACAACAAGTACCCTCACGGCTATCGAGAATCCCAGTATCGAAATCGAGCGAAAGATACTTAGCTCTGGAGCTACGTCCGTCTCACAGGTCCCAGAATCGCCGCATGAAGCAAGCATATTCATCAACATGGGTAACGGTTCCCGGTGGGGTTACGAGCCGGCTCCTTTGCTTGGGGCGGCGAACTTCAAGCTCGGAAAACGCAGTCGTATGACAAGCACGCACGCAAGCACCATTTTCATTCCAAATGCACCGCTACCGCTCCAGTGCCGCCCTGATAACGAGCGCGTACACATCAGGCTCAACAACTGTGACGACGACAGCGGCAGTAGAAACGCCAGACGCGAACCTCTAAGGCGCTGATGGCAACGCAGGCACCATTCCAGAACGCTCAATCAGCGCCAGTGCCTGCACCACTGTGGCATCATCGTAGGCATCACCAATGAACTGGATGCCTACTGGAAGGTAAACCGGCGGCTCGCTTCCCTGTGCGTCGGCAGAGGGCACAAGACCTACCGGTGCTGTTCCCGCCGGCAAACCAGCAATGTTTGCCACAAAAGTATAGGTGACGGCTTGCCAGGTCGCCCGCAGATCCTTGCAAGGTTTCCGATCGGGCCGGAACGCAACCGGAAGCGTATCGGTTGTGGGCAAGGCCAGCACATCCACAATGTTGCGACGAAACAGGGTTGCCAGTTGCACTCGAAGGGCCGCTCTCGCTCGCCGAGCAACGGCCATATCGGCTCCGGTGATGCCTTTCACCGTGTGCAGAACGAGACGACTCCCGTACTCAAGAAGCTCGCTGCGTGGTTTGAAGCTCCAGTCTGTGGATAAAAGACATTCGAGGGCATCCAGGGGCAAATAAATTGCTCCAAGAGCTGAGGCAAACGGTTGCAAAGATATGTGCTCCTGGGGTATCGTCACGAGTTCCGCCCAACCGCGATCCGCGAGCCGATGCAAGGCGTCCAGACCAGTGCGTCGAATCGCCGCCGAGGAGCATCGCTGCCACTCAGACAATGGTATACCAATGCGGAGCTTTCTCGTGGACCCAACCGCTATTTGTCCGGCATCGTTCAGCGATGCGCTCCATTGCTCCAAGCGGTCCAGTAGCATCGCCACAGCATGTTTCGCTGAACCTCTCGGAGCGTAACCATCTCCGCTCTCGTCAGCATGCACGAGCAAATGATCCATGCTCTTCGTGTTGGGTGACGTATCCTGCACCGCGGCGACCAGGAAGGCAACAAGATCAAGCACCGAGACTCCGAGGACGCCACCGTGGCCTACGCTTGAGCAGGCGATACCGGGGTCACCACGACGCGGAAGCAGAAATGCATGGGTCGGCTTCAATCCGAAAAGGCCATTCCAAGCAGCCGGAATCCGCACGCTACCGCCACCATCGGTACCATAGGCAACAGGCACATGCAGCAGCGCGACGCGTGCGACAGCAGCCGCGCTACCCGTTGATGAGCCACCAGCGGCATGCCGCTCGCTAAAAGCACACGGCGGCATCGCATAGACCTCACTGAAACCGAGCGGGTCGAGTCCAAACTCTGTCATCTTCGTTTTTCCGAGCACAACGGCACCAGCTGCTTCGAGGCGTTCGATCAAGAGTGCATCCGCGTCGGCGACGCGAGGAGCGTCTCGGTATGGAGGGATCGTATGAATGCGCGTTCCACTGGAGGTCACACGTCCAGCCACATTGACCGAGTCTTTCACAACGACAAGCACTCCATCCAGGACTGAGAGCGGCTGAGGCTGCGGCTCTCTCGCATAGCGCTGTGCAGAGGCGTTCGCAGCTCGCCGAGCGCGCTCTTCGAATACCTGTGAAAATGGCGATGGACCCCATGCCGTCATCCCTCCCTGTTCCATCTTCCGGATAGCGCTTAGCGTAGATTCCAGGATTTGCAGCGGTGTGCAGACTCGCTGTCGATATAGTTGATGATAGGTTAGGCAGGAGCCGGTGCGGATGCCGCGCTCTTCGAATGCAGTCGGTGGAGCTGCTTCCTGAACGGAAGCGACTCGCGTTTTCCCAACACTTGCGGAGTATGCTTCGCACAGAGCCCAAACTCGCGCATAGGAGAGCGCTTCTCGTGGCTGTCGAGTCGCTGAACTGCCATCGATGTGCCGACCCGGCAACGGACGCTCGTCTAGCGCACTCGTAGCGAGTGCCGCGGCGTCGACTGCTGTCGCTGAACCCTCCGCAGCACCCAGCTCAACGATCGAACGCAGCGTCGTGCATAGCCGGTCGAAGCTGAACAGTCGTTTCGTAAAGGTTGCGGCAAGCCACGAACCCAGGTTGCCTAGAAGTTCCAGGACCAAAACCAGCACACGGAGCGTTGTGCCGTGGAGTGACGTGAACCGCTTAGGCTTTCTTGGTTGCAAGCTCATGAACGCACTGAATCACCACAGCTTTCAGTGGATTCACGTTCAACACGCTGGACAGTGCAGGAACGCTCTGCCCCAATGACATCGCTTCGAATCAATGTGGGGACGGGTTCGCGGATACTTGCATTCTCGGTCGATGACAGAAGCGGTATGCAACCTGTGGCACTTCTCTACCTATGCTCTGATGGTTCATGTTCGGCATAGATAGGTATGGTTGGTGAGGTTATCCCAGGGATTCGAGCTTGCCGCAAATCGGCTGGTGATATCTCGTATTCTGCGAGGCCGATTTTTTGCGGCTCTTGCTGTTGACACCACCACCACCGTCCGAGTAGCTGCTGTTGCGAACATCTCGGTCTGTGGAAGCACCTGGCTGGGGTAAACGTGAAAAGGCCACGGAATCGTCTAAAAGGATTTTGTAGACGGAACTTGAACACATATCTGAAACGTGTTTGCCAAGCGAACCTGTGCCCTTGACGTGATGCTGAACCAAGTGCGTACATCGCACGGTACCTGGCCGGTTTTCAGCATCGATCGATTCTTGTACCCCGAAAAAGGGAGTACGCGTCCGTGCACAAGGCATCAACGTTTAGAGAGCATCTGCATAGACCGCAGCTTAACCCCTTCAACCGAGTCGTTCGCCTCGTTCGGATTCCAGGTACGACTCCTGCCGTGTTGACTGTCGAAAACATTCCATGATCGCTTGCTTATCAGTACCGCATGTGGCATTACCAATGCAGGTACCTGTTCCGTGAGCCTAATCGTCTACAATCGCACGAGGCACAAGTTTGGTGCCTTGTTTTATATCCGATTATCCGGAATGTTGAGCGGTATTGCATGCTCTAGCGCTGGCGAGCATGGACAACGACGATAGACAGAATACCTCGCTGGAATCGGTTATGGAGTGTACGCTTTCCTCGCGACGCATAGCGCTCAGATGTCGTGGTGAGGCATACGCTGCGGAGTGTGGTCCCATGCAGACTGCCGGTTAGGATCGGCGTAAACGACGCATTTTCGATCCAGTCTCGAAGAAAGGAAGACATTCAGATGATCCGTCGTGGAAACGGGTGCATTTCTGTTTCTTATCAGTCTTTCGAAGCTTTTCGATTGTACCGTTAGAGATCGCAACGATAGAGGCTACCTCTCACCGGATTGTGAACGGATGTGCGGCATCGACACCACAGGCACAGCTGTTATGCTCGTCTATACAATCGCTACGTATCCCAGTTCCAGTCGCAGAACTGCTCCGTTCCCAGCAGAGAGCGATCCATGCTCCGCTCTGATGGTGTTCCAGTGCTCTGAAGCACTGTAAGATTCAAATGGGACGCTAAACGGCTCACTCTGTTCCTGTCTGTCGATTTCTTCGGAGTTCATTCCTGATTCGTACTGCAGTCTCGACGTGAGAAGCGCGACAATAACGGCTGGCGGATTCATGCCGAATCCAGGAATGCTCCATCGACTTGTCAAGCTGGCGCGGTGGGTGCTCTCTCTCTCTCTCTCTCCGATCGAATACGTTCTATCGTCAGAGCAGAGATCACTCGCTACGCCCTCGAACACACACTCATACAATAACCGATATTCGGATGCAATGCATAGGCGCCCAGGCAGCCACGCTTCTCCTGTACGCACACGTAGCATACCCAGAGCAGGTGTGCTTCAAGTCTCCCGTCGTTCCGGTTCGAGGCAACTCGTGTACACGCGAACGACCAACGCTGGCACGACAAGACGAAACGCTTGACGTCACCGCTTGACGACCTGTTCACAAGCTCGTGCCCGACGGTCGCTGAACTCGTCACCGCACACGACTGAGTCGCTTCGGAACGCAAGTGCTGCTCGCTGGGTGGCCACGGACGTCACGGCACTCGACAGCGGCACGCTGTCTGTCAGGGGATATGCGGCCAGAGGCTTCCGTCTCTGGTGTTGCCGTGCAAAAGCGTCTCGGACTCGGACTGGAGTCATCGCGGTGATCGCTTCGAGTGGAGAACGCGTCACCGTTTTGTGCCAAAAGCGAACGTAGACGCTTCAGGAGTTCTGGACGTGTTCGCCAGCGCGAGTATTGCCTGCAGCACCTGGTTCATCGTGGAAACCTGCGTCTCCGTTCCAGAAATCCTCTACGGAACGGAGACGCATGTACCTGCTCGTGTGCAACGGACACGGCACTCGACGAAGCGATCACCCGGAAGAAGCGCGTGACAGTAGCGTGCCTCACTAGTCGGAGAAGCGGCGGGTGCATCGACGGTAACCTTCGTCGCCCGTCCAGGGCGTGGACCTGGCGCTGAAGCGAGCGTTCACGAGACACAGGGCAGCGCTCTTAGGAGGGCGTGTGATGCTGGCGGTGCAGCGGTGCAGTGGTGCAGCGGTGCAGCGGTGCACAACTGGGTACACCCGGTCATAGCCTAGAGTGATCGCTGCGACCAGCGTACCGCGGCCGTATACGAGGAAGACGAGCGTAGCCATCCGAGTGCAGGTCGCAAGACAGGTGATCACTTTTCCAGTTGCTGACGGCTGCTCTGAAGACGACAGATAGACCTGCGTACTTCGAGCTGGAAACACACAGTTAGAGAATGAAGCAGTCCAAGGAAAAGACCCCAGAGGCTTCCGTAGATGATGCAACTGTAAACAGGTCGAAACATTTGTGCATCCACACGTGTTGGAGCACCCGTTCCCTTCCAGTCTGGAATTCATGAATACCTTATCTGATCTATATGTAGAGGTCGCGAGACCCGTCCGAACCCCAACATACGCATATGCGTTTTTTCCTGCACGTTGACGTGTCCATGGGCAGCGCCACTGCCGAAGACATACACGCTCATGAAACGTGGTATCTGGAGCGGCATCGATGTGATTTCGTAACACTCTACGACATTGCTGCTGACATCGACGCGAGCACAGGGGCATACGCGCTCATCCGCATCCGACCGTGGAGCCATTTCTGTCATGTGTACCAGATTCAAGAAAAGCCAATTCAAAGCAACCACTTGAAACATAGGGAATTCGTCGTCGTCACTCACTTTTGCGTACTTGATCCCTTATTTAACCTGGTTCCCATTGACAATTTGTATGCTTTATGAACCAAAACAGGTCGCGTACGAAAACGAATCTGGCGCGACCTTGTTCGAATCGTTTTGGCTTGTACTTGATTGCCCGTGGCTCTTAGGAAGCGTTTCGGTCGGCACGGGGCGTTTCCCATGACTGACGAGCACCAGTCGGGCACAGCGTGTCAGAGCTCAGCGAGGAAACCGCCCAAGGGAGGTCTGCGACGAAGCACACGCAGCAGGATTCGGGAAGCTCCACCCGAAGACTCACCAGCGTTGCCGACGCCGCGTACGCCGCAATGGCAGGCCAAGGCGCCCGCTGAAACGCTCTGGAGCCCTTGGCGGGATCAAATAGAGACTGGTTTGGGGTTCGAAACGCCGAAAAACTCCGGTAAAGGGGATCGTCGTCGAGGTCACCGTCGAGAGCAGCGGACCAGGCCGGCAGCCGACAAGCGACGCGTTCGCTGGGCGGCCTCAGTGCGTGGGAAACGCCCGCCGCTGCTCTCGATAGCTGTATCGGTGGCTGGCTGGATCACGCTGGTTATCGTTGCGGTACTTCTTCTGGTGCGTGGGCAAAAGTGGCAGCAACAGCAAGTGCTGTCGCTTCGGGCGACAACTCGGAGGTACGCGTACGCCACCCTGCTCTGTGATGATGAACGCATGCTCCGGGCAGTTGCGGCATTGGTGCACTCGCTTCGAGTCCGAGCAAACACCTCCTACCCGATCTTGGTGCTTACCACACCCAACTTGTCAACAGCGGCGTCACAGCATCTGGAGGCGCTTGGAGCAACAGTAATACGGCGCGAGCCGCTGCCGTATCCGTTTGCCCTGAACGCAGCCCGGCTCCGCGATAACAAACCCTGTCGCTATGCCAAGTTACACCTGTGGTCGTTAACAACATACGAAAAGATTGTGTTCCTTGATGGAGACACATTGGTTTTGGCACCAATTGATGATCTCTTTGAAAAGTATGATGCGCTCGCTGCTGCTCCAGACCTCTATCCGGAGACGTTCAACTCCGGCGTGATGGTGCTCGAACCGCGCCACGATGTGTACGCCTCGATGTTGGCACGATATCGGGAGACACCCTCGTACAACTTGGGCGATCAGGGCTTTCTGAATAGTTTCTTTGGTGAGCAATGGAGAGCGAACCCGAAGCGTTTCCACTTGCCCCTGGAATACAACACGCTGCTGAAGCTGCGGGAGACCATTCTCTGGGCGAGCCTCCAGCGCCGCGTCCGTGTTGTCCATTTTACTGGAGAAACCAAACCGTGGAGCTGGCACTTGACCAATTTTCGTGACTGGGATCGTCATATCGATCCTGTCTTCTACTACGAATGGATTCAGATCGACCGATCAGCACGCAACTTATCACTTGATGAACCGCACTGGGCCCGTTGCGCTCTGGAAGCCCAGACGCTAGCCATGCACAACGGGAGCCTTGGACAACGCTTTCCGCTTCGCGATCGCTACAGTGTGGTGCTCAGCACGTATAGCCGCGATGATTTGCTACATAAGCTGTTGCGCATTCATTATCGCCCTGGCCTGTTCCCTGGAAAACCCAAGTCGCGTCAGAAGGAACAAACATCGGACGCGAGTGCGCTGATCGATAAGGTATTCATTGTGTGGCATGATCCGCAGCGAACACCACCGCCGGACCTTCTTCGTAATCTGCCGCCGGATCGATTCCTGCTTGTTCAACAGCAGCAGGACTCGCTGAATAACCGCTTTAATCCTCTGGGGCCCGCTCTGCGCACACGAGCAGTGCTCATCGTCGATGACGATATTCGCATTCATCACGAGGATGCAGCATTCGCTTTCCGAGTCTGGCAGGATAATCCGAATGCGCTGGTTGGCTTCTTCCCGCGTTTTCACCGGCGGCATCCTCAGACCGGAACGTATGAGTACCACATTGCTGAGCCCGTGGATCACGATGCGAACGCGAGTCACAGACAGTTCCGTCGCTACTCGATTGTGCTAACCAAGCACATGTTCATGCGCGCTGACTTTCTCTTCTACTATCGCTGCCTTCTGCCGGATGAACGCATTCATGCTTATGTCGACGAGCATCGGAACTGCGAGGATATCGCTTGTCAGTGCATGGTGACCAGTATGGGTGGATCCGCTCCCATCGCCGTTCGTGCGGTGCACCCGGTCGAGGACTACGGCACCCCGGGTGTAGGCGTTGCCGGTGGTATCAGCGCATCACGGTCTCATTTGGGGTCCCGTTCCCACTGCATTGCGACCTTTTTAGAGACGTTTTGGAAAGGTTCAAATGCCCTTCTTTATAATGACGTAATCATGGAGCGTTTTGTGAAGATTCCGTTTGAGAAAAAGCGACTGCGGGACCTGGCGAAAACGTGATCGCTGCAGAGCTATCGCCAGTGCTGGTGCGGATGCAGAGGACCTGGACGCGCCCTCCAGTAGTCAAGCGTGCGAAGCATCGCGTCGGATCCAGTGAAGAGGTATTTTGTCGGCACTCGACTTGGCTGCTGGTGCAGGTTCTATGGTGCGCGGATCCTACGAGCAAGAGGGTCTGCACTCCAACCGTGGTGTAAGCGCTCGGCACACCCTCTATATTGCGTCAGGGGTTTAGGCTTCGCGTAGGTACACGGGCGAAGCGATCGTCGCATGCCTTGCGTCTGCGGGTTATACTGGCGAAGGACACGTGCGGAATTCTGCTCGAAGATTCAAGAACTGTCGGCTAGGAGTTTGAACAGGAATCTGATTGTACCGTGCTTTGCGATGTGAATGCGATCGGGGAGTGCACCAAGATGGCATTTGAATAAAATGCTCGTACATCGCTCCAGTTCTTGTTGTAGGTATGTATCGGGTTCAAACGGGACGCTAAACGGCTCACTCTGTTCCTGTCTGTCGATTTCTTCGGAGTTCATTCCTGATTCGTACTGCAGTCTCGACGTGAGAAGCGCGACAATAACGGCTGGCGGATTCATGCCGAATCCAGGAATGCTCCATCGACTTGTCAAGCTGGCGCGGTGGGTGCGCTCTCTCTCTCTCTCTCCGATCGAATACGTTCTATCGTCAGAGCAGAGATCACTCGCTACGCCCTCGAACACACACTCATACAATAACCGATATTCGGATGCAATGCATAGGCGCCCAGGCAGCCACGCTTCTCCTGTACGCACACGTAGCATACCCAGAGCAGGCGTGCTTCAAGTCTCCCGTCGTTCCGGTTCGAGGCAACTCGTGTACACGCGAACGACCAACGCTGGCACGACAAGACGAAACGCTTGACGTCACCGCTTGACGACCTGTTCACAAGCTCGTGCCCGACGGTCGCTGAACTCGTCACGGCACACGACTGAGTCGCTTCGGAACGCAAGTGCTGCTCGCTGGGTGGCCACGGACGTCACGGCACTCGACAGCGGCACGCTGTCTGTCAGGGGATATGCGGCCAGAGGCTTCCGTCCCTGGTGTTGCCGTGCAAAAGCGTCTCGGACTCGGACTGGAGTCATCGCGGTGATCGCTTCGAGTGGAGAACGCGTCACCGTTTTGTGCCAAAAGCGAACGTAGACGCTTCAGGAGTTCTGGACGTGTTCGCCAGCGCGAGTATTGCCTGCAGCACCTGGTTCATCGTGGAAACCTGCGTCTCCGTTCCAGAAATCCTCTACGGAACGGAGACGCATGTGCCTGCTCGTGTGCAACGGACACGGCACTCGACGAAGCGATCACCCGGAAGAAGCGCGTGACAGTGGCGTGCCTCACTAGTCGGAGAAGCGGCGGGTGCATCGACGGTAACCTTCGTCGCCCGTCCAGGGCGTGGACCTGGCGCTGAAGCGAGCGTTCACGAGACACAGGGTAGCGCTCTTGGGAGGGCGTGTGATGCTGGCGGTGCAGCGGTGCAGTGGTGCAGCGGTGCAGCGGTGCATATCTGGGTACACCCGGTCATAGCCTAGAGTGATCGCTGCGACCAGCGTACCGCGACCGTATACGAGGAAGACGAGCGTAGCCATCCGAGTGCAGGTCGCAAGACAGGTGATCACTTTTTCCAGTTGCTGACGGCTGCTCTGAAGACGACAGATAGACCTGCGTACTTCGAGCCGGAAACACACAGTTAGAGAATGAAGCAGTCCAAGGAAAAGACCCCAGAGGCTTCCGTAGATGATGCAACTGTAAACAGGTCGAAACATTTGTGGATCCACACGTGTTGGCGCACCCGTTCCCTTCCAGTCTGTCATAGGCGTGCAGTAACTTGTTCAGTGATGCATTCCGTTGATGAGGGTGCTCGCGGGCCGTCGCGACGTCAACGCCCACTTCAAGCAAGCTGCTGGATTCTTGACTTGCTTTCCGCGTTCCTTGCCAGATTTGTCTTGCATGAGCATGTAAGCTGGATCGTACAGAAACGTTGTACAAAGCCTAGCGTGGATCAAAGTGCACTGCCCAGTGCCAATGCACGGCAAGTGCTCGCTTCGCATCAAGCGTACGCTGCGTAGCTCCTATGCTGAGAACATGCTGGGAAACCGAGCGCTTTACCTTTCACAGGCACGTGCCAAGCACGGGCTACGGCACTGCGTCTTCAGCTGCACAGGCGTTCGTGACAGTGTCGTATCGCATGAAAATGCAAGCGCTCTTTCTCGCAGTACAAGAGACAACCAGCACGGGTACCATATCGATCGTGATGACGCGTTTATGCTGCCACTTGGCGCCTGTCACGCAGCTGGTCAGGTTGCAAGATAGCCAATGACTACACCCGCTTGCGCTCGGTGTTGTGTTGTTTGATAGCTGCCCTGTTCGCAAGTTTGAGTAAACGTTGTAGCTGCTCTGATCCAAGCAGTCGCACGGCTTCCTGGAGGCCCCGTTCTGATCGTAAACTTTCGAAGCGTTCTTGTAGAACCCGCAGCGGTACGTTCTTTTCTTCAGAGAGCAGTGTCCATAGCCATTCAGGGTAGGCGGATAACGGCTGCTTTGGCGGTCCTGTTTCGCCCTTGACAATATTAAGCGCGCTCCAGGTAGTCTCCGTGGCTTCTGACGCCAGCTGGTCTGTGCTTGTTGCGTCGGGAGCTGGACTCGGCTTTTCCGCTCGGTCTGGAGCCTGCTTTCGCGTTTTGGTTGCAACCCCGCGCCGCACAAGGAACTGGAACCGCTGCCTCAAGGCCCGTACGACGTCTAGCCCTTGCATTCCGTATCCGACGACACCTTCTGACGCAAATAGAAAAGAAGTTTGGCACCAATGAACGGCAACTACTGCTTTAACAGCGCGCAGCGTCAAGAGCGGTACAATCGACTGAAGAGCATGCGCTTAGGCCATTCGAACGCTCGTTCACGCGCTCTGCATGAAGCGAACACCGCATGCCGCTCCGGTCGACAAGGCGCTCACAGTGTCGAAACGAGTCCTGACACACACATTGCACCTGTTGCTTTATGTCGTGGCTCACGTCATGCCTGGCAGTAGAGACCAGCGAGCACTGGAAAAGTCAGACCGCATCGCATCTGCTCTTCCGCGTATAAGCTGTCTTGTGGAACGAAATTGTGGACGAAAAATGCCAGAGGTATGTGGACTGCTGGCAGCCCTGCTTGACAACCACCTAGGAACAGTTGCTTGACGACATGCGTCGAGGTGAGCGTTGCTAGGCAAGACCTGCTCGAGTGCGAAGCATCGCGATCCCTCACGACATCCTATATATTATGATTACTTGGTAGCGAACAATGCTTCTACTGAACCGTGAGCGTCTACATCGCATTTGACAAGATGAAAGACGTATTTAACTGGACAAAATCAGGGAGAATCGGCTTGCCCGATGAGCGCCTGAGCACCAATCGCAGCGGTGCACGATTTGATCGCTTTCGAGTCGTGGAAAGCGGTTTGGTCCGAGGGCCGAATCGCGGCCCCTTGAATGAGATGCCATGACGCGCTTCAACCCTGATTGCGTTCATGAACGATGCTATCGCTTTGGCGGTTTGGATGCAACCACGCAACTGAATCACCGCTAGGTCTGATGTCGTCGGAACGTTCGCTTGACTCCTCTTTTCGAATAGCGAGTTGCACTTTGTTGCTTGTTCATAGACAGGTCTAGCATTTTGTTGGAGTGATCGCTTACGGAATGAGCCGAGTACTTGTCCCCACTGAAATATTATGATTTAGAAACTCGTAGACAGGTCTAGCATTTTGTTGGAGTGATCGCTTACGGAATGAGCCGAGTACTTGTCCCAACTGAAATATTATGATTTAGAAACTCGTAGACAGGTCTAGCATTTTGTTGGAGTGATCGCTTACGGAATGAGCCGAGTACTTGTCCCCACTGAAATATTATGATTTAGAAACTCGTAGACAGGTCTAGCATTTTGTTGGAGTGATCGCTTACGGAATGAGCCGAGTACTTGTCCCAACTGAAATAATATGATTTAGAAACTCGTAGACAGGTCTAGCATTTTGTTGGAGTGATCGCTTACGGAATGAGCCGAGTACTTGTCCCAACTGAAATAATATGATTTAGAAACTCGTAGACAGGTCTAGCATTTTGTTGGAGTGATCGCTTACGGAATGAGCCGAGTACTTGTCCCAATTGGAATATTATGATTTATAAACGGACAAATTGGATCACCTGTTGATCGACACGCAGCGGGCTCCCGGTGAAGCACTCGCTTACGCTTACCCATCCGTATCTCTTCGTTGCCGGTCGTATGAACGGTACGGATTCTTCACAGGCTGTTCCCTCTTTGATAATAGCTCCTAGAGATAGTATGGAGTGAAATGATTTGACAAGGAGGCTATCATTTATACTGAGTTTCATACGTGCCGTTTGAGGTGCACGACGTTCCAAACACCGACAACGAGAAGGATGGTGCATCCATATGCTGACCATACAGGGACAACCTTGAACGGATAAGGTCTTGTTTCGCTGCCTAGCAGCGACGGCTTCAAGTCTGGTCGGGGTACTTCTCCAGTCTACGGATTATATTCCTTTTGTCGAACGTCTTCATGAAAAACGAAAAAAAAACACAAAAAGTAGCGCTGGTACATGCGGTACAGAATGAGGTGCTCTGCGTACAAGGCGGTGCAGACCTGACGGTTCTCGTGGATGGTCTTTTTTTGGTTCCTTTTCGTTGGCAGGCAACCCTTCGGTGCGCTTCGATGCAAAAAGAACTTTTCCGATTCACGAAACCGACGGCTCAAATGCCGATGACGCTTCACGTGATGCCGGTGCTGGACAGGTTCTCTCCTCAATACGTGGCTGCCTGGCTCCTGTACGTTCATGCGTTGGACAGCGAGCGGAACTTTATGGTGAGTAGAGCATCACTAGCATCAGCTGGTGCCATTGCTCGCGCGCATCCTATGATGACTTCCGGTAGGTCTGTCTCTAGTACTGAACGCTCGACCAACAGACTCTCTTGTGGTAAGCACTGCGCTGACACCTCCATCGAGCCGTCATGTTCACTGACGTAAAAAATTCTGGCACGTGCGGAACCACGAGTCGAAGACGATGCCGTTATCCATGAGTGCGGTTCTTGTCGCCGCTAAAGCGCGAGTATCTCTTCGTGCTTGTGATGCCACATCCTCATGCAGTCAGTTTACGTGCGAGTCTCGCGATGGAGACACATCTGGACGTGCGGCTCGAGTCACTGCCCTCCGTTTATCGACGACGAGGATGCAGGGGAACGCCATCTGGAGCTCCACGCCCGACGGCGATAAGCGTAGGAGGATTCGAGTGTAGCACTTGTGACCAGGCAGCTTCACGCGTTGCGCACTTTGTCGTCCATGCTCATCTGCTCGGGGCGTTATCTTGCGCAGCGTAGAGGTCTCCACTGTACACATGTGGCGCCCCGCAGCGCGGTCCTGCAAAGAATCACATGAACAACGCTTTTGCGTACGCATCGCCTTGAGCAAAAGCGCTATTCCACAAATGAATGCCCTTAGCGTAAACGGAAATCCACCAAGGTAGCAAAAGCCTCTACGGCAATGCGTCTCCAGAGCGTGCGTTCCTGGCGATGCCTAGGCTTCGGCAGTGCCAGCATTGCCTCTGAGGTCCAGCGACACCTGTCACCGCGTGGATCCCTCTCCCACTATCTGTAGATGCGGTCCTGCGGAAACAAAAGCAAACTGATCCGGCTCTAGTATGAAGCCAGCGCAACAGCGAGGCATCCATCAGCGAGCTCGAGTGCACCACGGATATGAACATGGATAAAATGCGACATTCGACGCAGTTTTGGTCTGCTCAAGTGTCGACACCTCAAACCAATATCTAGATGGGCGCCCGAACACCATTACCAGCCGTACCCCGCAAAGCGCCTCCCCAGGCCTGCGGTTTGCGGATGACTCGCGTCGCAGCAAGCAGCTCTGGCAGGCCCGCCACCCAAACAGTCGCTGAGACTAGTTTCCAGGCATCAAAGAACGATTGTTCTGGGGATTCAGGTACAAAGAAGGCGTATCTTAAGGAACTTGGGTCTCTTTCCTGCTCCTCCATGGCACCCTCGCATAAAAGAGAACCGCGGTTCAATGCATGTATCTTATTCTATTTCCCAGCACGAGGGCTGCGCGCGCTTTTACGGGACGTCGAATCGTTCACATGAGCCAGAGGATCCCAAATAGCACGATGGTTATCCCAATTGATGTGCGCTTCCATTACGGAGCGCCCTACCTTCAGGTGCAGCTCCACGAGCACGATCGACCAATTCTTGCGGAGAGCACGCTGCTTCCGTACGAAGCTCACGGTACCAAGCGACTGGTAGGAGCGCTCGCTATGAAACCGCACGAACACAGCGCATTTCTGCCATATAGTTTACTACGGACAAGAGCGCAAGAACCACGTGTACACGCACTCATAGTTCACTAGAACCGCCCCAGTGGGGCCACTTGAAACACACAGGCACCACTGTAGAACTTTTCCGTCGAGTACCTCAACGCGCTGCGTACTGACGGGTGAACCACCGGCTTTCCGACACAGCATCGTTTCGAGGATGCACAAAGACGCTTTCCGGCGGTGACGGCGCTACTCAGTCAGTCAGTCTGTCTGTCTGTCAGTCAGTCAGTCTGTCTGCCACGAACCCGAGTATCAATGCCTGCACCTCGACAGTGCAACCTAGGTCGGCGTCAGCATCTGCTGCTACCGCTGGTGTATACTTGTGTGCGTGTGTGTGTGTGCAGTTATTGATGCTTGCCCGCGCTAGCCTAGACTTCTATAAAGCAGAACATCACTTTGCATGTGCAGTCGCAGTTCAAGTATCTGACGCTGAGAGCGGAGCGCCGTACAAACCGCGCGCCGCTCTGTGTTTTCGAAACGACGGCGAGTCACTTTCGATGCTGAGGGCCTGAAAGCTGCAGCTGCTTCGGGTCTGTTTCGGGAACCGACGCAACGGGTTGTAGGTGTTTCGCTCTGGACTGTCGGGAGGTTTTGCTACCTCAAGGACCTGGGCGTGGCAGGCGTGATAAGCAGAGCGCTTACCCTTACGCATTGCGTAGTCGCTCTAAAAAACTTGGGGTGTGCTCCAGGTCGAGATTTGTGAACTTGCCGTTCAAACCAAAGCCGTCAGAATAGCGTGTGGACAGGAAAGCAATACAACGCGACTAGTACCACCACCTAACAAGAGATGAAGGAAGCCTCTCGTTCTAGAGGGTGCCAGGTGCGGCTTCGAATAGCGTCGCACCTGACATGCACCCGGGTGTACCCCGAGCTTCAGTGGGTACAGCCGCATGTGCTTTTCTCCGGTCGTCAGGCAGTTTCCCGCAAAGCCAAGGTAGTCAACATTGCGAAGGCGTGGTCGCGAGCCCCCCACAGAATATATGCTGCCTGCCGTCGGAGAAGCGTTGCCAATCTAGTCTACTGCTGCGCCACCAAGGGACACCAAGAGCACTCCGAAGCACCACCGAGCGATGACGCTTTGAGGGAATATGAAGCGGTGACCAGCACGCCGGAACACGACACCAACGATGCCGTCCGCCGGGAGCTGGCGGAAAATCGTTTCAAAGCTGTTCGTGAACGCGTTGCTACGTTAGAGCAGAAACTACAGCACGGCGAGGCCATTCGCCGCGTTTTGCTAGCAGAGCAGCTGCTGAAAGCGCTACGAAATCCGGAACTCTACGCAAAACTAGAAGCGGTGGGCCGCAGGCATGCCGCTGAACAGGAAACGCCTTCCAGTGCCAGCTCGGATTCCAAAGCAACCGCTTCTGCAGCTATGAGCTCCGCTGTTGCTGGGGCAGCTGCTACGGAGCTTGAGCAACCAACAGATGTCGATGCTGGGCGCACTCCTTCTGTCGCAGCCTCTGACGAGAGGATCATGGCACTTGCCCGGATCATTCAGCAAACACAGGGCCTTCTCGAAGCACTGAGCCAGTGGAAACACTTGCCAGATAGCGTTTTGGCGAAGGCGAAGGAGTTTCGCAAAGAGCTCGGACAAGTTCTCCTTGAGACTGACCTTGAAACGGTACTAACCACGGGAGGTTCCGTTTCGAGTGCTGGCACCCCAAGCTCTGAAACCAGTTCTCCTGCCGCGAGAGATTTCTTCAACCGCGCAGTACGGGCGCTGCGAGGGCGCTCGAGCGGCAAGCCGGCCGTTACAGACGAAGAGCTGGAGAGTATCCTCTCGGCCGCTGCACAAATGCGACGGACAAGTGCGCTCAAGGCAGAGATGGATCGCATCGTCACTGCCGAAGCCGCAGCTGCGATGGTGGAGGCCCAACGAGCTCGCGACGAAAAGAGCGCTAAGAACACGGGCGCAACGTACACTCAAGCTTCAGCCCGTCATGCGCAGCATCTCCTAGAGCGCTGTCGTTTGAAGGGACACGAGCTCAGGAGCTGGCTGAAGCATTTTGTTTCCGACACCTGGCAACGTCTGAATGGTGTCCCGAGCCCGTCACAGGGTTCCAGTGAAATGAGCGAGACTGCGATTGCACCAGCCCCTGTCATGCCGTTCCGCCAACGCCAAGCGCTGATCTTTAAGCACACTCTGGAAGATCTGAAACCTCTCGAACGAAAACTGCAGGAATTGAGCAAAGAACGCGAAATGCGTCTGCGACGCGAGGGCCCTCTCGGCAAGCTGATCCATATTCGCGACCTGCGCGCACTAGACGACCAAGTGAACGCACTTCGTCGACAAATCAGCGTCCGAGTTCTCGAGAGCGAGATGGAACGCATTTATCTCTATCTCGATGCAGAGCTCGACGCCTCGACTTTGTTTTTCTCGCGGCCTATCAACGACGAACAGGAGGAGATGCTGCTCATCGCCGAATACGGGTTGCTGGCTCGGCGTCTAGCGGAAATCCAAGTCCTCGTGGATGTCGGTGAGGCGGTGCTCATCGAAGACGACGAGCTTGCCGATCTGGCCTCTGACATCCAGTTTCTCAAGTCTCGCCTGGGCATCGGAGAAGACGATGCGTACATGAACCTGGGCTCTGTGGTACTCGATTGGTCGCGAATTCGTCAGTATCTGGCGGAGATGTCCCAAAAAGCCAAGGAGGGTGGAGAATTCTACTGGCGAGGCGTTCGCCTTCTCGGAGGTGACATCATGTACAGCCTTCGACTGATTCAACGAGCAGCCGCAGGTTACACGTTAACACCGCGCGAAGTCCGCACCATTAGGCGAACAGGTCGCGATATCTTGACACTGGTCCCGTTTGGCATTTTATTGGCACTGCCGCTGACTCCCGTCGGCCATGTCATGGTGTTCTCGTTCATTCAGCGATATTTCCCGAGTTTCTTCCCGAGCACGTTCACGGATAAGCGCCAGGAGCTCATGAGACGTTACGAAAGCCTCATGCAGCAAATTTCGAGCCTCGAAAAAGACTCTGCAACCGAGGAGGCTGAGAAAGTCTCGCTATTGGCTCGCGCTGCGCCCGAGGAGACACACCTCGCCAGTGACGATGATGATAACGACATCGACGCCGGCACCAGTTACGTCGACAACGAAATCGACATCGACAAGCGCAGTAGCGCGTTGGGAAACAGCGCTGGCGAACGTTTGGCAAGTCGCCGCTCGCGAGGCGTCGAGTTTCCGCGCAAGTGACGCAGCGTGCATGCGAAGACGCGCTCCCGTTGAGGCTTCCCTTTAGCAGAGGCGCGCTACAATGCTCTTTCGCTGTCGTTCCAAGGCGGTTGCCGCCGTCCAGCACTCCAGTTTGCAACCAGTCTCCGCTTTCGCTGATTCGACGATCGACGAGCCGTCGAGGAGCAAACCACGTGCATAGCCGTTCTGCGGCCTGGTCCAGCGTGACGCATCATTCGAGAACACCGGTGATGATAATGGTGATATTCGTCGTCATTAGCGCACCGTAGGTCCGCAGCACCACCAAAGTGATACCCAGGGGTTTACCGCTCTCAATGTTGTGCGTCGTTGTCGCGCGGCGGTACCTGCTGCTGCTGCTGCTGTTGCTGGTAACCGAGCGGTGGCGACGTGCTGACGGTATGTGTGCTGCGGTCGAGAATGCATGTGTGTGTTTGTGTCTGCACGCGTGGCTTCACACCAGGTGTGCTTCAGGAGACTCGAACCGTAACGCGTCGTGCAGCGCTGCGGACGGCATCACTTGGGAATGAGCTGCTTGCGAAATGCATCCAACCTGGCAGCGCTGTAGTTGCCTCAGTGACTACCGGCTCTACGGACTCGGGGATGCAGAGGCAACGCAGGGGCAACTGCGGCTTGTGTGTGCCAAGGATGCATGTGCACTGTCGCTTGCGTTCGAAGCGTCAGTTCGCGTCTCGGCCATGTTCGAGAATGTTTTTGGTACAAGGACGGGGATCGTTGCCGATGATGATCATCGTCCGGCGTACGAATGCGTCCGCTGACCATGACCCCTTGACCGCGCATGCTGCACTGCGCATTCCAGGTGAACGTGCTGGAGGCAACGCAGAGAGGCTCGCGACCTGGGGACGGCACCGGAGCCTTGACGACTGGTTGATCCTGCGCTAGCAGCACGGAAGTGTGCACAGTGAGCGGTGCCAGTGCAGGCCGGCGCACGAGAAACAGCAGGACCTGGTGGCACAACTCGGTTCGAACTGCGCAGCGCTTGCTGCAGGAGCTTGTTCGGTATCGGAAAGCTGTGTTCGGCGATGCTGTTCACGGCCACACGGGTGGAGAACGGTCGGGGCTTTTGCCTTTGTCAAACTAAAATGCGTAACTGACCTGGTCGCTCTACTCATGTCTTGTGATTATGTTTCCGAACGTTTCATGGGTGTTTAGCCTCGGCATTCGATTTGCAGTCGCAAGGGATGCCGCTTTCATGCGTCGTTCTAGGATCCGCGGTCGTCGTTTCGGAGTGAGATTCTCGATGCTTTGCTGCTGGAATTCGGAACGATTCCAGAGTGAGGATGAGTCGCGAGGCAGTGGAACACGACTACGCAACACACGCGATACCATTGTGGTATTCGTATGTACCGGCAACCAGGCTACTCCTTTGCTTGTGTGCGTCGCATGCGCAGATCACACACAGGATTCATGTCTTCTATCGTTCTGTGTTCAGGCATTACGCGGACGAAGCAGTATGCGCTGTTGGATTGGCGAGCAAAAACACTCCATGTCGGGCGCTGAAACCTCGTTGACGAGTTCATGGCGAATGCTCACTGAACTTGTCCCGTCAACACATCGATCTCATTCGAAACACACACGTCCTACGCTCTGTGTATGGAGCCATCGACGACACAGCATTCGACAGCAGCATGACACCGGTCACGGGATATGCTCCCAGACGCTGTTGTCTCTTCCGTTTCGATCGAAAAAGGGTCCTGGAGTCGGAATGCTATGATCACAGCGATCGCTTTCTGCGGAGAATGCTTCGCGACTGAGAAAGAAGCGCGCGTTGCCGGATCGAAGGTTCTCGACTTGATCTCGAGCCTCGGTTTCCCTCTCGGTACTTGTTTCATTTCAGAGAGCAACGCTCAGCACAAATCCGCTTGTAGAAAATCGAAAAACAAGCGTTCACGCGCCTAGAGAGCAGCGTACGAGGTCAAGGCATTGCCCCGAAGAAGCCAGCGGTATCAGGGAACTGCAGTGGGCACGTCAACTGAGGAGCGCATCGCGAGGAGCCTTCTGTACCCGTCAAGGGCATGGGCTGAGCGATACGGTGAGCGTTCACGCTCTGCAGAGTGGCGCTGCCACCAGGCGGAAATTTGCCGGAGACATGCATTCGAGTGCCTGACCAAAGTCAAGTGTCGCCGCTGCGAAGCGCGCACCGAGGCTGTTTCCGACAAGTACGAAACCGAGAAGCGAAGCGTGATTCGCGACTTGAGCCTGTGGACATCGTGCGTCGACACCAGCCGAAGCCCGTGATACCCGGACTTGGAAGCTGTTGTTGTTGTTGTTGTCGTCGTCGTCATGCAGTGACTACTGAAAACAGAGCTGGCGAGACGAACACGATCCGCGTACGTAAACGCCGGAAATAAAAGAGGGAATATGCGGCAGTTGCAGACATAGCTTTCAACAACCGGTATTCATGAGAATGAAGAGAGACCCGACCCTTTTGCGAGTTCGCTCGATATACAGGACCTGTCCTATTTCTAGGCTGACACGGGTACGATGTAGCTCGATCCTAGTCCTTGTGGTAAAGCAGAGCCGGCGTTACCGGTTTTAGTTTACATCAGTACAAGTCGCTTTGATTTCATTGGGCGGGGCCAGCGAAACGTATTGCAATCCGAAAACGCCCAGCAAATAACTCAGCACAGCAAACAGGAGCGCGATGGCTGCCAGATCTCCCAGGGAAGGTATACCGCCAAAGGCAGCTCGCCAGCCAAGCCCACCCCCGTCCTGCTGCTTGCGTCGATACAGTACATACAAACTAAGGATGATGAATAAGAGAACCGCAATCCGATTGGCATACTTCAGGCCCAGTGGCGGTCGATAGGCCGGTACTCGATAGACCGTCGCCATCGGACGATATATGAGTTCGTCTCGGATCCGCGCCGCCACGGTGAGAGCGTGCTCCACTGCAGCGACAGTCTCAGCATACGACGGATCACAGGGGTCTACGGAGCTCGCGATCGCCTCGCAGTACTCCGTGAAGATGGTCAGTACTGCGGGCATGTCGCGGGCGCGGAGCACGAGCTTCGCTGTTTGGCCGCGACGAAGCTTGACGCGTCGAACGAATACATCGGCGTTATTGTAGCAAAGCGCAAGCGTGGCTATCGCCATGACTTGGGGAATCGCCACAAAATAAAATACAGATTCCGACCGCACCTGCGACATATACTGAAGACAATCGGGTACGTGCCGAAGCGCGTCGGTGACCATGGCGTTCAGGCACTCGACGGCGACACGGCGGTGTTCAGGTCGGGCTAGATCGGCGAGTTCCATGTCCTTGCCAAACCTACCCCATATCTCCTGAGGCCAAAATGTGCGTCCATCACGTTGGTCTTCCAGATAGTCCCGGATAATATTGGTTTTCTGCAGGAAAAGACCCATAGAGTTCGCTAACGCATCAGCAAGCTTGCTCTCTACGAATACTTCCCGTGACTCGTACCCGGAAGCAGCGAACATGGCACTCAACCCAATACCCACCAAACCAGCAACGTAGTGGCAGTACAAGTCGTAGTCCGCAATGGTCGCACATGCCTTGTGATGAATGTGCTGAGCCATACCGTCACCCATACAACGGGTAATATCCGTTATGATCTCTCGATAAGCAGGTTTCAGCTCATGGAAACAACCAAGCACTCGGGGAAACTCTTCCAACAGCTTCCGCTCGTCCGCGCTGCCGATATCGTGCACAGCGTAGCTGTTGCCCTGCAGGTGCGTGTACAACTCTTGACACAGCCGCATCCGCAACGTTGCGTCAACGCTCGTGTCGTCCTCTATCGTGTCCAAGGCGCGTAGAATAAGGTAAAATATACATACCGGGTCGCGAAGTTCTGAATCCAGCTCCATGATCACCAGCGCGAACGAACGAGACACTCTCCGGAGGTACTCGTAACAGAAGCGCCAGTCGGCGATGCGCTCAGCATCGCCCACCCGCTGCCGTAAACCCTCTTCCTGTACGTTTACTGCCTTTCTACTCTTCTCACGATACTTGACTAACGCCCATAACTCATCAGGATGGCATAAAACCGTGCGTAACGCGCCCATCGAGTGCTAAAGAAGCAGGCACCTACGAACAAGGCACACGAAAGAAGACCAGCAATCCACGCTGTTCGCGCATCGCGCAATGGATGGCGTACAACAGCGCGCTGCAGCGCCCTGCGTGTCCATGCGACGTGCGACGTGCGTCGTACGTCGTGCGTGTGCGTGTGCGTGTGCGTGTGTTCGAATCGGCGCACTGGACGCGCCTTGCCGCGCAGACGCATCGCAGGTGCCATGCGTGGCGCTGTTTTCGGCGGCAGGCGATCGAATTCGCGATGCCACAGGTATCCCAGTGCGGATCGTAGCTGCATTGTATAGAGGCTATGCATTTCTATTCGTTACTGGACAGCGCAAAATGGACTGCATGAATGCCTCAGGTCAGTCATAGCACAGTGCGCAGATGGCTGAGGAACACTGAAAGACAGCAAGCGAGAACTGTATGCGCTCTGCGCCAAGAACTGGTATTGTGAAAGGCTCTAGTGGTCTATGGTAGAAAAACGAACTGTTGATTATCTTCCATGGAAGGCAAAATCGAAGATTGTAGTTACCACGGGCGTCTCTGCTTCTCAACAGCTCATTCATTTGGTCCTGCAAGCACTGAGATACAGTTGCAGAAAAAGAGTACCGGTTGAAGCATGGTGGTTTTTCACGGAAATCGCACAGAGAGGCTTCCTGGAAATTGGGAATCTGTATGAAGCAGAGGAACGTCGGTTTGTTTTTCCAGTTAATGATACTGTGTTCGGATGAAACAGTCGTAGCGTCTATGCGTATTCGTGGAGCATGGATCCCGTCGTAGGTATGCACGATCGAACTCGAAGAGAACGGGGACATCATCATCGGTTCTAGGTGCAGTGGATTCATTTTTGGCGGCCTCAGCTTTGGCTCCTAGAGAAGGTTCGCGCATCAGCACAAACCACTTTGTCGAATTATCGAAGAATTTTGCCCTGACGTCTGAGAATGTCCCTCTGTTGCACATCGTGCCACTTCACTCTTTCCCTTGCGTTTGGGCTTTTCCCGATTCTATCGGGGAGTAGAGCTGCTTTTCATTCCTTCATACTGAGCGTGATTGAATCCCGTTGAGGGAGTCGTTTCTATCGTGAATTGTGCGGATCGCTGCACTGGGTGGATCGCCGTAGCTCTGAACATGTGCTAACATACCGCGGCACGTTAGCTCTGTCTTCCACAAGTCCTTCTCGCTCTGGAAAAGTGCTCACCTATGGGCATGAATGAGTGCATTCATTTGAAGAAATAAATAATCTGAGGGATGCGCTGTAGAATGCACTTCAGAAGATCGAGTTGGAGAGACGGCAGCGGAGCGCCTCGGCGCTAGAGGAGCACGGACAGCTGACAGACCACCGAATGGCACCGAGGGCAAGCGTTGGAGGACTCCTCGAAAATGCGGGTTTAACCAGCGGGAATCAACGCATGGAATGCGTGAACCGAGAGACTTCAACGCCGTGATCAATATCAGAAGATATGCGGTGCGGAGGATGAGACCCGAGGAGCCGCTGCAAACCAACTTTGGGGAGCAGCCTATGAAGCTCGAAGCGTACAAGGAGAAGCTGAAGCCGGTAGCACACGGCCCGTCAACGAAAATGTCCGGAGGCTTCTACGGTTCTGTATCCGTGTACCCGGCATGGTCTTGCCACATGTATCGTTTCATTCAACATATTTGTACACCTTAGAATAACATTGAACACATCGTGTGCGGACACCGGACTCGGCGCTACCAGCGCCTGAGCGGCGCAGTGCCTCCTGGCCAAGCACACGGGAACAAGCGGTCAAGTTCTCATAACTGCGCATCGGCTATTTTTATGAACTGAAGTCTCACTGTCTTGGACTACATAGAGCTGCACTTCTGTCGACGAACGCGCACGAGATCCTGTGCCCAGCGCTTTGTCTTAACAAGACTGGCGTCTGCCGCTCGAGGGCTCCGTACCCGCAGACCGCGCTCGTGACACCTTATGAGCGTGAAGGGTGCTCAGGTCGATACTGCACACGGAGCACTCGACAGAGAAATCTTTGATAATGGGTTTCCATCCGATAATGGTGGCTGCAGGGACAGCGATCAGGGCATCCCGCCGCACACAGGCGCAGTCAACGCGATGCTCCGGAACCTGTCAACAAGCGTGCCGTTCGACGCCTCCGTCTATGGTAGCTATACCTTTGTGCACGAGTCCTGGGAACCGTGTCCTACTGCAGTCAACGCTTGGCAGCGTTTATGCGAAGTCTGGCGAGCGAGACAGGAGCTGCAACAGATCGAGCGTCAGCTCGAACAGGTGCGGCGCAGAGCGTCCTCGCTGCTGCCAATGCAGAAGACCAGCTCCGAAACGAATCAAGACGCGATGACGACAAACGTCTACCGCACCACATATGCCCAGATACATAGACTACTGCTCGAACGCGAGCAGGCGCGACGAGCGCTCTCCGCGCGGCCCGTAACGCTTCGCGACGATACACAGGTTCTCTCCCGCAGCCTAGAGGCTATTCAGTTCCGAATCCCTTCCGTCGATGATATTCGACGCGCTTCTGTGATTGAAATGAACCGCAAACAATTGTACACCCCCGAGCACGACATCGTCCCGCACGGCGCACTGGACAAGCACCTAGGCGTCAGCGATAAGAACGAGCGCTGTGCAACCTGCGGACTCTCCCTGGCTGACTGTGCCGGCCATTTCGGTCATATCGAACTAGTGCTTCCTGTGTTCCACGTTGGCTATCTGAGTTTCTTGCTTCAAGTACTCCAGTGCATCTGCAAGCGCTGTAGTGGCCTACTTGCAGATGCACAGTTCGTTGAGCATCTGCGTCATCAACAACGTGAGCATCGCGCTCGAAACACACCGGGCTACCTTCAGAGCCTCCTCAAGCGCCACTTGGAATGGGCCAAGCGCTCCTCGATCTGCCGACACTGCGGCGCTCCGAATGGTCTCGTTCGTAAAGTCAGCAGCCCGCGGGAATGGCTCGCCACTGCATCCGCGGCAGCGACAAGCTCTAGTACGACTTGTACGCAGCGGGATGGCAGCGGTGGCATCGCAACACGAGCCGCCTCTGGGCTGCGCTCGAATTCCTCGATGAGCCATACAGGAGCACCGCGACTCGTGCATGAACTGATGCCCCGGGCCGGCTGGAGCCACCGCCAGTACCTCCAACTTGAACTTTACTTGGCGCACTGGTACGAACGGGCGAGCTTTGCAGCTGGAAGGAACTTGCGTCGATGCCCAGCGGATCAGGTCATTGCACAGAAGGCGCCCACTGCACAGGCCAGTTCGATCGCTGGAGTCTTGATGCACACCGCGGACGGCGATAAGGACGACTTGGACAGCGACCACAACGAGTTCAACGCTTTACCGAGCGCACTGGGCAAGCCAGCAGCCTCTGGGGCGTCACTGTCTGCTGCCGTTGCAGCTCGCAGGATGATGCATCGCTCCCGCAAGGCACACTTTGCATTCGAGCTGACGCCGCTCCACGTACTGGAACTGCTGCGAAACATTGCACCGGCGGACCTTGAAGCACTCGGCATGGATCCCGACACCACGAGACCCGAGGATATGCTCCTGCGCTGCGTTGCCGTTCCGCCAGTCTGCATTCGTCCCAGCGTTTGTAACGATCCATCCCAAGGGAGCACTGAGGACGATCTCACGATCATGCTTGCCGATATAGCGGGTGCGAATGCTCTTGTGATGGAGCAACTGGTCAAAGGCAGCGATTTGGGCAAACTGCTCGATGCTTGGGATCATTTGCAACTCGCTGTTGCCCGCTACATTCATGCAGACTATCCAGGTCTACCGGCTAGTCTCTACTACAAGGCACAGATCGGTCTCTGCCAACGCCTGAAAGGCAAACAGGGGCGCTTCCGGGGAAATCTCTCGGGCAAGCGGGTCGACTTTTCGGCTCGAACGGTCATATCTCCGGACCCGAACTTGTCCATCGATCAGGTGGGTGTTCCGCTGCGGATCGCGAAGATTCTCACCTACCCGGAGCGCGTCACGCCCTGGAACATCGACCAGCTGCGGAAAAGTGTCCTGCGAGGCCCGGATCGCCATCCAGGTGCCAACTACGTGCTCTTTCCTGATGGAAGCAAGCGTTTTCTTCGCTTTGGTGACCGCGAGGACATCGCTCGCAGTCTCTGCGTGGGCTGCGTCGTCGAGCGTCACCTCCGAGACGGTGACCTGGTGCTCTTCAATCGACAACCGTCGTTGCACCGGCTTTCAATCATGGCGCACTCGGTGAAAGTGATTGCTGGTCGGACCTTCCGCTTCAATGAGTGCGTATGTGCGCCCTATAATGCCGACTTTGATGGCGACGAAATGAACCTGCACGTGCCGCAGACCGAGGAGGCGCGAGCAGAAGCACGAGCGTTGCTTGCCGTTCCCCAGAACCTGCTCTCGCCACGCAACGGTGAGCCGCTCATCGCCTGCACTCAGGATTTCATCACCGCGCTGTACCTGCTGACCCACAAGGACGTCTTCTATGGACGCTGGGCTGCGGTCCAGTGTCTGAGCTTCGGCCTGGAACCGGAGGCATCGGCAGCGATCCTTGGACGCCTGCCCGAGCCGGCAATTCTCCATCCGCTTCCCTTGTGGACAGGAAAGCAGCTCTTCAGCGCGCTGGTGCAGGCCGATCCCGCCCTCAGCGATGAGGCAGTGCGCGTGCTCATCTGCTTTGATGCAACCGAGAAAGCCTACACTCATGAAGGCATCTGGTGTCGTGCCGACGCCTACGTCTGTGTCCGATCCGCGGAGCTCATCAGTGGCCAGGTCGCGAAACGAACGCTGGGCTCCCAGTCGAAGCAGTCCCTGCTCTACGTCCTGCAGCGAGAAGCAGGGCCACTGCTTGCCGTGCGCTGCATGAACCGCCTAGCCCGTTTCGCGAGCCGTTGGCTCTCTGAGTACGGCTTCAGTTTTGGGATCGATGATGTTCGACCCTCGCCGGCCCTGGAACACGCCAAAGCTGTGCGCATTCGCAACGCCTACACCCAAGTTCAGGATGCTATCGAGCGATATCGAGCAGGTGTTATGCGACCTCGCCCCGGTTACACCGACGAGGAGACCCTCGAGTGGCACATTCATCGACTCTTGAGCGACCTGCGCGAACACGCTGGACAAGTATGTCTCCAGGAGATGGCACCCCACAACACTGCGATGATCATGGCCATGAGCGGGGCGAAAGGCAGCACCATCAACATCTCCCAGATGGTGGCTTGTGTCGGACAACAGACCGTGAACGGTACGCGCGTCCGAGCAGGGTTTCACCAGCGCACACTGCCTCATTTTATGCGCGGGGATAAGTCACCAGAGGCAGGTGGGTTTGTGGCAAACTCGTTCTATTCAGGGATGAACGCAATCGAGTTCTTCTTCCATTCGATGGCGGGACGCGAGGGCCTCGTAGATACCGCAGTGAAAACCGCAGAAACCGGCTACATGCAACGCCGTTTTATGAAAGCGCTTGAGGACCTCCGCGTCGCATACGATGATACTGTCCGCACAAGTGATGCCAGTCTGGTACAGTTGCGCTTTGGCGGTGACGGTCTGGATCCCCTGGAAATGGAAGCGAGCGACGGTCAAGCTATCGACTGGGAGCGACTCTGGACGACGGTGCAGTGGCTGGACGCACACTCTGATCCGCTGGTTGAACGGGCGCTCGGTGGACGCTTCCTGGCGGATAGCGTTCCGAGCGCGGTCGCGGTAGCGATGCCCGACACTGGGAGCGCGCAGGCGTTGCCAGGCGCTAGCCACAGGTATCAGCAACAACAACAACAACAACAACGACTACAACAACAGCGTCGATCCTGGACGTTGGCGTCGCCCCGGATGCAACCAGAGCCTGAACGCATGGTCGACGACCTACAGAGGCCGCTTCTAGAAGCGCTGGAGGCAGCGGACCCGTCGACGGCTGCTTTCGAGCAACAGCAACAGCAGGTCCCTCTAAGCTGGCCGGGGCGTGTTCGCCAAGGTGTACTAGCTCTGGCGACACGACACAGTCCGCTGACGCCGCGACAATGGCAACTGCTGATGACCCTAACGGAACGCAAGCTCCGGCGAGCGCTCATCGAACCTGGAACCGCAGTCGGTGCCATTGCTGCCCAGTCGATTGGGGAACCGTCCACCCAGATGACCCTCAAGACGTTTCATTTTGCAGGAGTGGCGTCGATGAACATTACCCAGGGCGTTCCGAGAATCAAAGAGCTCGTGAATGCAACCCGTCGGATCGCAACTCCGCTGGTAACTGCATACCTGGAGACGACGGCTCCAGGGCAGCAAGAGCCTCGGGCGCTCGCCTACAACCTGCAGCGTCGGCTGGAGTGTCGACGTCTCAAACAGGTCATTCGGTATGGAGAAGTGCGCTGGAATGCATCCGGTGTATACCTGGATTACGTCCTCGACGAGCGCTTTGTCGCCGAGTACGGTCTTCATGCCATCGACGCAAAAGCGTCTGCAACATTGGAAGCCAGTGGAGCAAAGGCGCTGCCAAACATGACTGGAATTTCTCAGGTTGAGTCCTTGTGTCGTCGTTTGCGCGCTCAGCTGCCTTGGCCGGCACTCTCCGAGGAAGAGGACACATGCAATGACCCCCGTCGTGACGAATCGACCGGGAACGTCCGTGTGGTATACGCCAACGGTAGCAGCGACGGCAGCGACGACGACGTTGTCCATCTCCAGTTTTGGCCACCGAGCGCGTTGGCACGTTCACGACCTACTCGGCGACGAATGGGCAGCGCCTCGGCAGCGGCAGCAGTTGCAGCAACAGCAGCAGCAACAACAGAGACAAACGTTGCGGACTGGGAGCCAGCGCTCGCTCAGCTGCAACGTCTCGTACCAGAGCTGGTTGTCAGTGGACTTGCGAGCATCGCTCGCGTTGTTTGGAGTCAGGCGCTCTCTCCTGCGAGCGATAGCGCTGGGAAAAGCGGGGAAGCTGCTGCCGCTGCTGCTGCCGCTTCTGCTGCTACCGAGTCTATCCAGTTGCTCGCTGAAACCGAAGATATGCGTTCGGTGATGAATACGCAAGGCATCGATGCGAGTAGTGTCTACTGCAACCACGTACTGGTCGTGGAGCAGGTCCTAGGTATCGAGGCAGCGCGAAGCACCATCGTGAAGGAGGTGCTGGAGACCATGGCTGCGCACGGGGTAACGCTTGATGCTCGTCATGTGGACCTGCTCTCCGACATGATGACCCAGAGTGGGCAAGTGCTTGGCATCACGCGCTTTGGAATCAGCAAGATGCGTCAGAGTACCCTGATGCTGGCGAGTTTTGAGAAGACCGTGGATCATCTCTTTGAGGCTGCGGTTCGTTCACGTTCTGATCGGATTCGAGGAGTCAGTGAGCGGGTGATTATGGGAAAGCCAGTGCCACTGGGCACCGGCATGGTGTCAGTCGGCTATGTCGAGTGTCCTGAACGCGTCGCACTCGCTCCGCAACGCGATGCGACTTGTTCCGGGTCGGAGGAGGCGGTTTCGTCTAGTTTGGAGGGTACGTCAAGGTCAAGATCTAGGCCAGAGGCGATACAAAGTGCTGACGACGAGGCGCCACGAGACGTAGATCGCCCAGCAACAGAGCGAGGAGTAGATAGGATCACAAACGGAACAACAACAGCAGTAGCAGCAGCAGCAGCAGGAGGAGATGCAGACGAAACGTTTGCCGCCATGCCGTTCCCAAACCAGAAGCGACTTGCCTGGCATTTGTTGCGACCGCCCGAGGCAGCGACCTGGTCGAGAAATTGCAACAGGCGTGAAAAGGCAACCATCGTTCACGAGCAGTGAAGTCTGGAATACCAACGCAAGCACGTCCTTGTTGTTTTTCAGCTTGTACTTGTCGTAGGTATTTCGTAAAGGGATTGGATTCCATGGATTTGGCAAATGTCGCGAAAACGAAACTTGATGCTGTTGTTCCTTGCTTGCGAAAACGGCTTTATTCTTCCGAGTCGATCATAGCATGATGAGCAGATGCACGAACTGGTGCTGTCGTGGACAGCATCGTTCACTCAAAACAGCACTTGTCAAATGCGATGGCCATAACCGTCTCCTCGTGAATTTATCCAGAGTCATACGTTCTCTCAGAATGTCGATCGATCGACGAGAGCGTTGGATGAGAAGTACGCTGCGTCCAGTTGCAACGAACGGTGATAAAAAGACCCGGACGGATAACGAACAAGAAAGCATGGGTCTTTGAAAAACCGTTGCAGGTTGAAAAGACACCAACGAGGTCGTACGAAAACGCGGACGACGATTCCAGGGGAAACAGATGCTCGACGAACGCCCTGAGAGGTTCATCCGGAGGTACGGTGGATTCATGTCTATGGGAATTCAAGGAGGATCAAAAAGCATACATAAGGTTTCTTTCTCAGTGGTTTGGAAAAGCAAGTGACCGTCGATTCCAACCGTTTCGTGGCAACCTTCAACGCTGGGCACGTTCTGACGTGCCCAGCGTGCACACTCCCGCTCTTAACGATAGCGTTCGGGCTAGGCAGGCTTCGACTCTGAACAACTCGAATGGGTGCGTTTCATGACGACTTGCAGACCTCACGGCTACAGTTGCCTGCTGGACCCTCTAGAGAAGAAGAACGTGAAACAGGCCCGGATCTACAAAGTTGTGTACGAGAAGCTCACCGAAATTCAGACTGCGACGAAAAGAATGCGCTGTTCAGCATAATGAGACTCCAGCAGCAACCACGTTGCACAAGCACGTCGTGCACTGTCGCTTGAAGGTCACGATCAGTATCCGGAAAAGTATCGTACGCCGCTGGTATCCATCTGTGTTCAACCACGAGCGCACGTCCAAGGGAACTGTTTCGTATTCTTTTTTGACATGGTGCTTCAACCCGGAACGCCTTGTAGGAACCAAAGCTTGAACCTAGACAGACAGAGAGACAGGTTATTGAACGTTCGCTTGGACCAATGCACGGAGTACGGTACCGTTCAGCGGTCCAGCCAAGCAGAAGCACCGTTTCCACACATCGAAAACGATTTTTCTGGGCAACGGGTGACCGGAAACGGGGTACCAGTACGCTATCGTACTGGGTGTATGCGGAAAACCTCACCTTGGCATACCGGAGATGCTTTCCATCATACGATCCCCGTGTCTGAGTGAATCAGCGGCCAACATCGAAGCTGAACCATGCAGTCCGTACCTGATCGCTTTTTCAAACGAGAACCAGTATCCGAGGATTCTGGAAACCTTTTCTCATGGCTATGGAAACCTACGTGCTTTCTGGTATCGCTTGTCGTCCAGCATCTTCGCTCGACATATGCATACGATGGAAGCGCATCACCCATGCTCTCGACTGCCTTGGCTGTAACGACACGGAAGCATCCGTCATCACCGAGCCGCTATCATTCTTGATGCATATGCTGCATCGTATGCATGGGACGAATCAACGGGTTACGGGCCTGTGCTGGGTACGGATCCCTTGCCAGCCGTCTACGACGACGACGACGACGAAGATACCACTTGGCTGCGATTGCTATGAAGAGCAACACCAGTAAGCTGCCTCGGAGTTCGCCACGATGCCCAGAGACAACGGACAAGCGGGCCCAAGCAGGTCGTCGACTTGGCACTGCCACGTACTGCAAGTATCGCAGGAGACGCTGCCAGGGCGACAACAGCCACCGCCACCGCCACCAGCGTACGCTTTCCTGCCAGCGTTCCAGTTGTAGCCAAGCCAGGACTAGTGTGGACGCTAACCAGGCCTCCTTGGCATCCACGACTCGGGCGGTTTCCAAGTACCGCTCGGCAAGGTGCAGATCACGCGGTGCTCCACCACGACCACGTAAATGCAGATAGCCCAGGTTAAATAGCGCCTCTGCTGTACCGAGTTCCGCCGCTTGACGATAAAACATCCACGCTGATATCGGATCGGATGGCGCTGCGACCTCTTCGTTGAACCACACCTGCGACTTGTCGCCAGACGCTGCCTGCTGCTCCTGCCAACGGTAGAGGAGATCACCAGCCGCCACCATCGCTTGACGCTGTCCATTCAGGGACGCCAACAACCAGAAGGAGAGCGCCCGCTGTTCATCCTGCATCCACGCGTCCAACAGTATCGCCGCATTGTACTGAGCGACCTCGACGCCCGCCCACGCTGCCTGCACCACATTCCAGAGCGCTTCGTCGACAAGCGCTGCCTTGACAGCTCTCGACAACATCCGCGGACGCGTGCGGGATAAGCGCGCGGTCGTTACCAAGCCGCTCAGCTCCAAGAGGTACTGGGCGCGTTCGAGGGACCGGCGCACAAGCGGGGCCTCTTCGGCTACCCGACGAAAGCTCAGCGCAATATCGACACAAGCGCTCGGGGCGATACCGGCCTGCATCAACGCTGCTGCCTTCCATATCGCTCGTCGATGTCCAGCTCGTGCCGCTTCCACCATACACACCAGCGCTTGGCGCTCGTCACGCCGATCGACTCCGGCACCGCTGAGGTAGAGCAATCCCAGGTTGTATTTGGCTTCACTGTAGCCGTGCGCTGCAGCCGCACGAAAGAGACGCGCTGCTTCGTGCTCATCACGTTCCACAGCGATGCCCCAACGATGCAGTTGACCGAGCGCGTTCAGAGCGCTCGGTTCGCCACGAGCAGCCGCCACTCGGTAATGCCACAGTGCCGACTCGTTACTCGGTGCAACCCCGAGGCCGTGCAGATACATCGACGCGAGCAGCACATGAGCGTGTGGGTCACCCGTCTGGGCCGCGCGTGTCAAGTACTGCAAGGCGCGTCCATAGTCGGGCGCGTGCCCAGCCATACCCGTGAGCAGCACATGTCCGAGGGCGACCTGGGCGCGAACGTCACCACGATCAGCAGCATGGCGATAGTACTGGATGAGTTCTCGTTCGTCAGCGTGTACCTGGGGTAGCAGCGTCATCGATGTTTCCAGCGCGAAGCGCGGTTTTGTTTCCAGCAGCTCCGGAGGGGTATTTCGGCGGGCAGCTGCGATCTGTTGGAGACTGGCGAGCCAGTCAGGTAGCCAGCGACGAGGACGGTCGAGCGGTTGCCAGGAAGCGCTCCCGAGTCCAGCGGCAGCGGGTTCATGTGCTAGCGTGGCAGCAGCGGTTCGTTGCCAAAGAGCAGGCGCTCGCTTTGCGAAACGTCGTATTCGTTGTGCATCCTGCAGTGACAGGCGAAAGCTTTCCAGTGGTAGGCGCTGTGATGCGAACCAGCCACGTTCGCTGAATGTTCCAGTAAAGTCGAGTTGTCCGTCAGCAAGTGGATGCATGGGGTTCTTGGAGGCGCGTTCCCGGGAGCTGGACGTAGGCCTCAATATGCCGTCGTCGTTTTCGTGGTGATCATCATCGACTTGTCCGAGGTAGGCTGCAGCGAGACGATAGAAGCGCACAGCTTGCTCGCAGTTCTCGGGGAGACCACCGATCCCATACAGGTAACGAAAAGCGAGGGCGAGTTGTGCTCGGGGATGTCCATCGTTCGCAGCGCGATGCCAGTGCAACAGCGCGGCAACGCGGTCTCGTTCGCCAGTACTCGTACTGCTACTACTGCTACTACTGCTGCTGGGCGTTTTGCTGCCTGCATGGGGCACGCTGCTTTGCGCGCTTCGCCAAGCGGCAGCGTACCCGAGAGGAATGCTACCATGCTCCGCAGTCGTGGTGCTACTCCAAAGCAGCAGCGTCGCCACAAGGTCATGCGCATCCGCTTGTCCAGATGCCACTGCACGTTCCAAGTGATACGTAGCGCGTGTACGGTTCGGTTTCAGTCCGTATACGCTGTCGCCAGACCAGTAGAGGCGCGCTAGAACGCTGCTTGCAAGGAAACAATCGGGAGATTCTGCGGTTGCAGCGGTTGTCTCTAAGAGCGCTACAATGGCCGTTACGTTCGCCTGTGTACGCCACAAGGCCTCGACCTCGGATATCCAGGAAGGTACCGGGCGTTGTTGTGCTTCGGGTTGCACAGTGGGCATCGAGAAGCGCTTCAATGATGATGCTTCCTGAGGCTCTTCTGCACCATGCACGTCCTGAGACGCTTCAGACGCTGCCGATGCACTGCCCTGTACACCGGACAAGAGCTCTGGGGCAGCACGTTCATCTTTGACGTTTGCTCTACTTCGACTCGGTGCACGAGGACGCTCACCTGCGATTGTATCGGTTGCGGACAATTTGCTTACGAGCAGCATCTGTTCCGCGTACAAGTCCAGGTGCCAACGCGTGAGCTGTTGCCTCAGCTGTTGGAAAGCCGTCGGTTTCCGTCCCTGGGGCAGAGACAGTGCGAGCGGATGCTGCTCTCCCTTGTCGAGTAGGGTCATCATGGCGGCAAACGAGGCATTCAATTCCTTTCCAAAGAGCTGCAGACGCTCTCGGAGGTCTTGCACTTCTCTGAGAGGCTGCTCATCTGTCAAGGCAGCAATGCGATCGGTGATTCGGAGCGACTCGACTTGCACGCGATGCAGCTGGAGCCTTGTCGTCAAGCGCAGAACCTCACTCGTGGCGCGCTCCCTGAGTTCAGGCCACCAGCCTTCGAGTGCGGATGCAGTTTGTGGAGCGGGAATGAGTTGTCGGAGTTCCTCTTCGAGACGCAGCACTTGGTGAATGACCTGTATCGCCTGCCAAGCGACACCCGCCGGGTGCGCATCCGTCTCTGGTGCTGGTGCTGCGGATTCGACCGGCTCGGGAGTGGGCTCTTCCAGTATCGAAGCATCCAGAGGCCAGCCCAGCATATGGAGAAGCGCATCCTCGGGTGGTAAGATACTCGGCTTCGGATCGGGTAAACGCTGGTCGAGGGGTAGCGGCATCTGCTGATGTTGATGCTGTTCCATGTGCTGTTGCTGTTGCTGTTGCTGTTGCTGTTCCTGTTGCTGTTGCTGTTTGTATCCTTCGCCTAGACGCTCCTGCTGTGTCCAGAGTGTTGCGTCGGGACCCTGCTTTGAGTCCGTTGCGGTGTTTGGTGTGCGGTTCCTTTCGGATACACCATAGGTGGTGTTCACTGCCTGCTGTGTGTCTGTGATTCGAAACGATTCTGACAACGATGAACGTATTTCCATTGGTGAACCAGCATCCACAGTGCTTTCCGGACTGTCGCTGTTATCGATCGCTCTAGGAGACTCAAGGCCTGCGGCTTCCAGCGATGCTTTGGGCTTCGACTCGGGATCATAAGACCACGAAGCGCCTGGAGCACTACCGAGCAACTGCTCCGAACGCGAGCGCTCCTGCGCAACATCCTTTGGGAATGGATCCATCGCTGAAACTTGTGTCGCAGCGACCACAACGCTGCTGGATTCCGTTTCATCACCAGCAGTAGGATGCACAGTACCAGAAACAGTAGAATCAATCGTATCAGCAGCCGTAGAATCAGCAGGCAGCTGAATTGCCACAAGTGATACCGACGGTTGTGCCTGTTGTTTCTCCGAGTCTGCGGCTGGAGCGTTGCGGGCCCCATGGACGACAGCATTCGCTTGGGGTGCCTCGTCTCGAGTACGCTTCGGCCATGAACTTGACTCGAGATGCTTTGCATGCTCGACGCTGCCGGTTGTTATCGCTTCGGTTGACGCCAAGCTGGACAGTGTCGGTTTCCATGTGGTCCAAGACGCCGCACTCACACCAAAAGTCCGCCGTTGCATGAAAAGATTCGAGTCTGATCCTCTAGAAGCATTGACATTGGATGTGTCTGTTGCCGCTGAGCTATCTGAGGATCGCCAATGTGTCTGCCAGGCAGCAGACTGAACCACACTGGGACGGATAAGACTCCCGCGTCCTTGTATTGTAGGTGATGCGCTCGTCTGCGGAATAGACGGAGATTTCGTGACGCTTTCCTCGCGCATCTCTCGCTGATGTGCTTGAGCTGCTCCCAGGTTGCAGAGCACGACCCAGAGGATGACCCCCAGCCAGAACTTGCGGTGAATAAATAAGCGCCACCGCTTCCATAACTTGCAAGAGCTAAACAGGGTCTCCATTCAGGGGCGACTCGGAGTCAGCGCTCTATGATGGCGATGCTGGGCGTACGGACAAGAGTTCCTAAAATGATCCAGGAAAAGTCAGACTGGGAACCAGCAGACCTCCAGAAAGAAAACTCTGGAACACCTTACGCTCTCTGCGGAAGCAAGTTCCTCGTTGAAAGGTTCTTGGGCTCAGCGAAGCGCCGCGGTGTATGCCTCGTGAGAGAACCTCTGCTCCCGTTGGCTCTAGACCAACTTTCGTTCCTCGATGTCTCCAGGAGTAGGGCTTCAAACGGAAGCGCCCTTGAGCTTCGACGAAGAGAACGTTTGCAGCCGTTTGCTCTGTACCGATCCTCGTGTCTCCTTGTCTTTAGAAAACGCTTCGCGGATCGGTTACCAACCTCTGTCGTGCAGAAAGCGCTGCGCAGGACTCGTCCCAAGCCGTCTTCGGAGCAGTTCAAGGATACTTGTTTCTGCAAGACCTTGAACGCCACAGTTTATCAACGATCGATTCCTACCTCTCGTTTAAGGGTGAAAAGAAGCTCAGAAAACGCCCGGATATATCTGTGATAAACGTGTTTTCCGTAGGCGAGAAATCCGGAAGCGTCTTGTGCCGCGTTGTCCTATACCCGTGTCAAACTAAAATGCGTAACTGACCTGGTCGCTCTACTCATGTCTTGTGATTATGTTTCCGAACGTTTCATGGGTGTTTAGCCTCGGCATTCGATTTGCAGTCGCAAGGGATGCCGCTTTCATGCGTCGTTCTAGGATCCGCGGTCGTCGTTTCGGAGTGAGATTCTCGATGCTTTGCTGCTGGAATTCGGAACGATTCCAGAGTGAAGATGAGTCGCGAGGCAGTGGAACACGACTACGCAACACACGCGATACCATTGTGGTATTCGTATGTACCGGCAACCAGGCTACTCCTTTGCTTGTGTGCGTCGCATGCGCAGATCACACACAGGATTCATGTCTTCTATCGTTCTGTGTTCAGGCATTACGCGGACGAAGCAGTATGCGCTGTTGGATTGGCGAGCAAAAACACTCCATGTCGGGCGCTGAAACCTCGTTGACGAGTTCATGGCGAATGCTCACTGAACTTGTCCCGTCAACACATCGATCTCATTCGAAACACACAAGTCCTACGCCCTGTGTATGGAGCCATCGACGACACAGCATTCGACAGCAGCATGACACCGGTCACGGGATATGCTCCCAGACGCTGTTGTCTCTTCCGTTTCGATCGAAAAAGGGTCCTGGAGTCGGAATGCTATGATCACAGCGATCGCTTTCTGCGGAGAATGCTTCGCGACTGAGAAAGAAGCGCGCGTTGCCGGATCGAAGGTTCTCGACTTGATCTCGAGCCTCGGTTTCCCTCTCGGTACTTGTTTCATCTCCGAGAGCAACGCTCAGCACAAAGCCGCTTGTAGAAAATCGAAAAACAAGCGTTCACGCGCCTAGAGAGCAGCGTACGAGGTCAAGGCATTGCCCCGAAGAAGCCAGCGGTATCAGGGAACTGCAGTGGGCACGTCAACTGAGGAGCGCATCGCGAGGAGCCTTCTGTACCCGTCAAGGGCATGGGCTGAGCGATACGGTGAGCGTTCACGCTCTGCAGAGTGGCGCTGCCACCAGGCGGAAATTTGCCGGAGACATGCATTCGAGTGCCTGACCAAAGTCAAGTGTCGCCGCTGCGAAGCGCGCACCGAGGCTGTTTCCGACAAGTACGAAACCGAAAAGCGAAGCGTGATTCGCGACTTGAGCCTGTGGACATCGTGCGTCGACACCAGCCGAAGCCCGTGATACCCGGACTTGGAAGCTGTTGTTGTTGTTGTCGTCGTCGTCATGCAGTGACTACTGGAAACAGAGCTGGCGAGACGAACACGATCCGCGTACGTAAACGCCGGAAATAAAAGAGGGAATATGCGGCAGTTGCAGACATAGCTTTCAACAACCGGTATTCATGAGAATGAAAAGAGACCCAAACTTTAGGCTGTACACCCGTGTTCGAGTACCTGCTCCATGATATCACGAGATACGTGTATTCTCTACATCGAAGAAGGCACACAACGGTTTACGAGCCATGAAGCATGAAACGAGATCGTGCGTTCGGCGGAATCGTACATATTGCTTTAGTCTTTCAACGCAACGATATTGCATATCCGAATCATGTCATCGAATGCTTTTTCGCGGAGTATATCAAGAGATCGAAATCACGATGCAATGCACCATACAGATCGTAGACGAATTACCAATAAAACATATGCGTTACAGAACAGTGCAACGAGGACTGCATCCCTCCTTCTGTTCAGTTATACCACAGGACGCAGATGAGAGAAGAACACAGAAAGAAACAAGTATATTTGCTCCGGCCCCAAAACTGGTATTCTTAACGTGTGCTTGCTGTAAATGGTAGAGAACAAGCAGTTGAGCACCTTTTACGGAAGGCAAAAGCAACGACACTAGCTACCACCGGCGCCTCTGTTTCTCTACAGCTTGTTCGTGTGGCACTGAAAACACTGGGATAGAGTCGCAGAAAAAGGGTGCTAGTTCATGAATGGCCATTTTCCATAGGAACCACGACTACAGCGTTCCTGGAACGTCGCAATTGGTATTAGGGACCGAAAAGGCGACCTGTTTTCATCAGTAGATGACACTTGCTTCGGCCGAAACGGTCGCAGCGGCTATGGGTATTTGCGGAGCACGGAGCCCGTGGTATGTACAATCGAACTCCAAGAGGACTAAGACATCATTATCTGTTCGACCTGCATTGGATACATTTGGCGGCATCAGTTTCCCCCGTAGAGAAAGCTCATACTACAGCACCAACCACTGTGTCGAATTATTGAAGACCTTTTCTCCTGAATGTCTCTTGACGCCCTTGTATTGAACGTTGCATTTCAACGTTCCGCTTGCGTTCGAGCTTTTGTCGATTCTATCTGGGTAGAGCTGCTTTTCGATCCTCCGTGCTTAGCGTGTTTCAACCCCATCGAACGAGTCTTTCGTATCCTGATACGTAATGATCGCTCCACTGGACGAAGCATCGAAGCTTTGAACACGCGGTGACATTCCGGGACACCTGTCGTCTTTCTTGTACAAGTGCTCCTCTCGCAGGGAACGCCCTCACATGAGGGCATGAACAAGTGCGTTCATTTTGAAGAAATAAAAAATCCAAGGGAAAGGTATCGAAATGGAACACGTGGATGCTGGATGCCCGACGTCGCCGGGTTCGGCGAAAAAAACGAAAAAAATCCTCTTCACGCCGACCAACGAGCGATAAAGCACAACTGACGAAGAATAAGGGCAAGAGGGCAGGTAAGCGAGCTCGGCTGGGCTTGCCCGATTTCAGGATGACGAGGCTGTGGTGCCCCTGAGGGCACGAGTTCCAGCAATCCTCGCATTGGTTCGTTCAACCTCAGGCAATCACCGCGTAGACTTCGTGAGCCCGGACTTTAACGCTGTTCTTAATATCACAAGATGTACAGTGCTGAAGACGAGACTCGAGGAGCTGATGCGAGCCAGCTTGGTGTGGCAGCCTCGAATACTCGACGTATCCAAGAAGACCTGAAACCGATAGCAGGCGGCCGGTCGGAAAAAAAAGCCGGCAGGCATTTGGACGTCGCCATACGTTCGCCCTACATGTTCGTGAGCGTTTGTTCGTTTCCGAGACAATGCACTCCCAGTCTCAACACAAGTCGTGCGCTTGGAACAGGGTTTTTTTTCAAGTAGAGAAAACTCAGGTTCAGAGCTGCACTAGACACTTGTTGCTTGCGAGGACTCTCCAATTCTGACGTTTGTCTTTGCCTTCACACACACACACACAGACTCACACCCGGCGACGGATAGCTTCGCAAGTATGACAGCAGACGTCTGGCTTCAGACGCTCGTTGGCGACGAGCTTCTCTTACGCAACTGGTGTGAAAGGGATCGAAACACGACTGGTGAATTAATTGCTCGCGTACTTTCCGAGTACGGTCTGGTGTGGGAACCCAACGGAGCCGACGCTGACGTCTTACGCGTCGAGCAGGAATACTTTGGCGCCGGCGGAGAGTTCTTCGTCTTGGAGCATAAGCCTACCGCACAGATTGTAGGTTCTGTCGGCTGGTATCCACTGCCTCCCGAGACAAACGCGCCACTGCGGGCGGAGCTTCGCAAAATGTACCTTGAGCGCTCTTTTCGTGGAAGAGGGTTGGGTCGTCTGCTGTTGGCCTTTGCAGAGGCACGTATTCGCCAGACGAGCTGCGCTCCCTGGCAAGTGATCCTCGAGTCCGCATCAGTGCTCGAACGTGCCTGCGCACTATACCGCCGCTCGGGGTACACCGACCTGGCGGCGGCGACGAATCAAACCAAGCGATGCGACGTGGTGCTGACAAAGTGGATCGCTCCGCTTGCTCCTCTCTGTGGCGGGCCAGCGAGCCATAGCCATGCACCACGGCATGAAGCCGATAACCAGAACTGTTTGGCATGCGGAGAGCATGTCGACACTTGGACGCATTCGTGTTCTGCTGTGCACTTCGCCATTGCCAGCTGCGCGACGGCAACGTTCGGTTCGATAGTGGCGTGGTTACCCTTATCCTTGCGAGCGCCTGTGCCGACTTTGTGGCGAGTGACACTCTGGCTCGTCCAAAAACAGAACGCAGACGTCTCCTCTGCACAATACATGTGGATGCGTGCGTCGAATAGCGCTTCGAGTCGAGCGTCGCCGAATCTTTCATGGCATTTTCTATACTGCACGCCGTGGTACACGATGATGGATGGAAACGGTGCTCATGGCGCATGTGCTTGTGACTGGGCGTGTGCTTGTTGTGCTTGTGGTGGCAGGTGCTGCTCGCCGTTGCCTCCGAGCTTGCGGTGCGGTGCGAATCCGCAGCTCGCTTTTCGGCAGGTGCTTGTACCGGGACCCGCGTCTGCGCAAGTGCTTCTTCTCCCAGGGCCGCAGCATCAATCGCTCGTTGCTGATCTGTGTTTGTTGCGTCTCCGTGACGTAAAGCAGCAGCGCTTTTCAGACGATGAAGCGATGGCTGCCGCAGAATATCTCTGGTGCAGGTGGGACGAACTCGCTCAGCGCATCGCTGAATGCGATCCACCGATGCGAGCGTTCCTTCAACAGGTCTGGCGTATACTGGACACAGTTCGCTGTTCGTTTGAGCCCGTGCGATAAGCACATAACGTTCTCTAGCGCAAAAAATGACAACAATTCACGCAGAGCGGGTTTCGGGTGCGTGCATTTCATTATGCAGGGTTAACGTTGCGGGCACGAGCGTCGAGTCCAGGTACCGTGTCGAGTCAGCGAATGTGCGCTGGTCAGGGCTTTGGTTTCAAGAAGCGTGCTGCACTTGTGTTGTGCATCGAGACAGAGGCGTCTATTCCAAGGATTGCTGGGTTCGGTGCGAGGATCGAATAGAAAGCGCACTTGCCAGGTTGAAACAGGGTGCAAGACGCACACGGTGCCAGGCGGGTCGTTGCACTGGCACTGAGATCCCGCGAGTTTCCGTGGCAGATGCTACACTACATTGCACCGGCTGATAACGAGTCTGGTGTTCGCTGATGCGGTAGATATTCATTTTGCAGGGTACGCATCTGTGTTTGGTTTCGAATACAGCGTCGGCGTCCGTGGAAAGGGAAACGAAAGGTTGCCGCAGCGTTACCCAGGACATCAGAGGCACACCTGCTGTGCGGTGGTGGTACATGATATGCATGGAATTGAGCGTGCAGCATTTGTTAACTCGAGAATGCGTTGATGGAGCCGAGTTCATCAGCATGAGAAAAGTTGCCTGTGAGTCGCGTTCCCCAAAGGCGGGCTTCTGGTTTCCTTTACATTAGCCAATGTCCAAGAAGCGCAACTGTATGAGATGTGACACGGGGCTGTATGCGGGGCGAGAAAGTCTGCGAGTCGTGCTCGAAGGCGCTTGCGCTACGACGCGGCCTTTCATCGGTAAGCGCCGATTGACGGGCTCTGGAGAAGCGCACAGTAGTGCATGCGCTCATGGGTTGCCTGACGTGCGGTGACCACGGTACTCTCGCACACCGCAACAGATAGACAGGCTACTCAGCGAACGCGACGCCCTCTGCACGACCCGAACGCATATGAAACCTACCAAAAATGATGTCTGTTGGGGTCATTTCTTGCCTTGCTCTGTATTCCGCGTGAATGATGTACGTGCACAATTCGGGGCAAGTACACCGCGTGCATCGGCTCGTTGAGGGCATTGCCTCCATCTCTCCTGCTAAAGCTCAGCATGCAAGCACTTGCCGATCCTTGGTGGCCCTGAGGAACCTGCCTACTACCAGCTGTGGTCGTCCACGACGATTTTCTCGTCGTGCAGCGCTTTTGAACGCGCTCGGCAAAGTGCTAGATGCATTGCGCTTTCAAGCGCGCTCTCTCTCTCTCTCGCTGATCACGAAATCATCGATCGAGGTGCCCTGCAGAGCCCCGACCTGACCCAGATGCCACCGGGGACATCCCAGGAAAGCCACCATGTCGCCAGATCCGTCAATGAAGCAGGCACCACGGCTTGCTCCGTTTCATGACCGAGGGTGGCGAGTGCGCACAGCGTCACCCAGTGTGTGTGTGTGTGTGTGTATGCACGCATCCTCATGCGTACGTCTACAGAGAGCCACATATAGGTGTATACGCATTTCGCTCGCAAAGGGAAAATGCGTCTCATTAGAGTATGTGGAATTTGCTTCGGAATTTCCCGCTGCACAAGCATGTGCCTCTGTCTTGGATGTATATATCACATTGGACTCCTCTTCCGGATACGCACAATGCTGTCTGTGACCAAAGCATGCATGTCAGCTTCAGTGCAAGTGCTTCCGGACGGTACCACTTCTGATCGTATCGCATCGTATAGAACACAAGATCGATTCGGTCAGTGATCCGGCAGTCGCTGAGCCCATCGTCATGACGCAGCGGCACAGGCCAGGGCATTGCAATGCCTTGGCACACGACGCTTCAAAGCGTCGACTAGCCAGCGCTGGTTCGGGGCTCATTATCCTTCCTGGACCCCAACAGGGCGACTTTGAACACATGAGCGCACGAGTCAGCGATGCCAATCGGTGCTAGGGATCGTAGGTTCAACGAATTTATCGTTTTGCGTCTGATACATGAGATGTCTGGGCAGCGTGTCTGCGAATACCAGCTCGGGCTACGTTCCTCCGGTGGGCGCGGCTCTGTTTATGTCTCGCAAGCGTGCACGCTCGCGCAAAGTCCCGCTTGCACGTCGTGCAGCGCAGCGTCGCGTTGGCTAACGCTCCGCTCGATGGTGCGACTGCTTCCTCGCTTTGCGAAGCACTGGGCGTGTTCGAAGGCCCTTGTTGGGACGCTGAGCTTCGTCGTTCTCTTGATGGAGGCGTCTGCCGCCAGTTTTCCAAACTCTGACTTTCGCTGGTCACCAAGCTCGTGGGCTGTCGGACCAGCTCGACTGTCTGTGGTGCCCAAGACAGCGCCACGGGTGCCTCAGACTCGAAGGGCTCGTCCATTGAACTCTCCGAAGACGGTCGAGTCACCGCAATGGGTACGCTCCCGGTAACAGGGAAGGCGCGCATGAGCTCCCGAAGTGCGCAGCGCTGTCGGTGCGACGAGCTTCACTGCACGTTCAAGGCAAAACGGTTGAACTGTGGCGCAACGCCCTACCGGTAGCGGTTTGAAACCGGGGCATCCAGGTGGCCCGATTTGGCTTGACCTTTTCTGTCAGGTTGATACAATGATTTATCATAAATGTCAGGCTTTGTTTCAGCTGCGTTGCCTGACGGCTGAATTTGGGATGATTGCCACGACATGGCCGGTGCGCTGCTCAATGAGAGAGAACTCATTCGCGACCAATGCGTTTCAAAGGCAGCGGCGCTAGCGCCTGTGGAAAACGCTACCCCCGAACGAGTCACGAGAGGGATCGACGGAGGCTCCGTATTATCCTGTGAGAATGCACTAAAGTCGGCGGAACGTAGCGGTGTCGAAAGAGGAAGGCTGGTGTTGGCCCTGGACAGCGGTACCAACTGCGCAGCTGAGAGACGACGGCTGGAGTCGTCGATTTGGCAACGTAGGAGTAAACCTGCGCGCATGGTAGAATCAGCGACCAGAACCACGTCCAACTGAATGGGAACACTGAAGTCTTTGTTCTGTTTCTGCTTGTCGATTTTCCCGGTGTTTTTTGGTGTCGACCCTGCACTTTTGGAAGTGAAGCAAGAAAGGCACACAGCTTACCAGTTAGTTTACGTTTCCCGGTTATGTTTTTGACGTGACTCGTTTCGCGCTTTGCCGCTGGAACTCGTGACATCCTGGAACAACGCTGCGCAAAACTACCAGAATCATCATTCCATGCTCATGCACGAGCCTCCACGGTTCACCTTCGCTTTCCAAGTAGCATACGCAAATCACGCAGTGTTCAAGTATTTGATCTTTGTGTTTCACTGCAAATCGTGGGCGCTTCAATTCGTGTCGCTGGACTGAAGATGACCAGTACACGATATCGTTGATTGAAGACCTTTTCACATGCTCATGCCGAAAGTTCATTGAACTGTTCGAGTCGAACAATGAACTCTGCTCGAAAGACAAATCCCTCTCTATTTCCGGTCGTCGAAGGATCAGCATTCGACTGCAGCATGATACCGCTGACGGGATATGATCCCAGAGGCGCCGGTCTCTTCCGTTCACAAACGGAACAGCGTCTTGGACTTAGGCTTTCGCGATGGCAACGATCGCTTCCAGTAGAGACATCGTCATCGCTTGCCACAGAGGGAGCGTAGGCGGATCGAGATTTCTCGACCCGTCCTCCAGCACAGGATTTTTTTCCGATACCCGTTTCATCATGGATACCATCGCGTTTCACAAATCCTGTATTGACTAGCACGGCGGATGCCTGTACGTCCAGCTGGCAGCTGCGTATTCGCCGAGGAGATCACCTACGCGAAGCTCGTGTTTGTAGATTGCAGCGCTGGACGCGGAAACGGAGTGCATCGAGGAAAGGTATCTGTACTACGCCAGGTCATGCACCGAGCGATGAAGCACGCTTTTTCGCGCTACAGGTCTGCTCTCGAAGGAGGTGTTGTAGTGGACATACGGGAGCTCCTGATCACAGACAAGTGTCCCAGCTGCAAATGGCGTACCGAATCCGCATGCAGAGAAGATCACCATCGCAAGCGAAGCGTAGGTCGTAACCGCAGCCTATGAGTGGAATGTCGTAGAGAACTTGCGGAAGCAGCGGACTCGGGACTTGAACGCCGCATTCAGTGTCGTTCGACTGCCGAAACCCGGCCTGACGAGAAACGCGAGACCGGCATATTGCAAGGCGCGAACAAGATAGAGGAGAAGGTAGCAGCGGTTTAGACAACCCGTAAAAGTTGGTATTCATCATGGTGAGAAGAGACCCAAACGTTTGCGTGTACGCATGTGGTAGGTTTCCTGACCCGTTCTCATCTGACATGGATGCAGAAGAACCGTGGCCTTCTCGCAGGTATGCGACAGCAACTGCGCGTGCTAGCGGTCCAGCTTACTTGTCCCGATCTCACACGAGAAACAGTTGATCAACGGAAGGAAAATCTCTCGCGTCCGTACAAGGTAAATATATGCAACCACGCAGAGGACGCCTCCAAGCTTTTTTTTCTGAACTGGCCGACCGCTATCGGTTTCAACTTATCCAGGCATCACTTTGAACCAGAGAGGTTGTCCCACGAAGTTTACTCGCCTCAGATCCTCGGGTCTCATCTTGAGCACTGCACATCGTCTGGTATTCATAGCAGCGTTAAAGTCTCGGTTCACGAACTCTATGCGGTGATCGCCTCTGGTTGAACTCACCAATGCGGGGATTGTTAGAACTCGCGCCCTCTGTGCCACTAGAGTCTTCTGAGCGTCCCGTCGGGGAAACAGCTTGTCTCGTCTATCTCCCCTGTTCTTCTGCTTCTTCTTTTTCGTCACTTGCTCTGCTTCGCTCCATGGTCGGCAAGAAGAAGATTTTCGTCGAGTTTTTGTCGACCCTGGTAATGAAGGGCCCTCCAGGATTCCCTACTTCCATGTCCATCCCTTTCCCTAGAGTTTTTTATGTTTGAACTTGAACGCATTCGATCCCGTCTATTATAAACCGCGAAAAAGCATTTGATGACACCCACCTTCACGTGGAACACAACTGAGGTAAAAGTCTGCATGCGTCCGCAACCGCCGTCGATACATTAGGCAACGAACGCCTCAAAAACCTCCCAAACGTTGTTGTTACGGTTGCAGTCCAGCTCTGGCAAGCTGCTTCATCAAGAATAGGACGACTCTTCGAACGAGGCGCTGACTGTCGTCGCAGGCGCCACGATTCAAGGCGGCCGGTTGCCGTTTCCCAAAAGTCGACGCGAGGCATCCCTGATCCCGGAGTTCCCTCGTATCAGGCTTGTGGGTTCGTCACGTCGGGGGCGCAAGTGATCTTCCATGGCTGCTCTCAGTGTCGAGCGTAACCTGGAGCAAGTCCTGCATCAAACTCGGGAACAAGTAGACGCTGGCGTGTGGACGTTGGAAGAGGCAGCACAGTTACTGCAGCGCCGACGGGCCTGGGAGTGCTCCCTCGCGCGCCTGAAAACTGGGAAAACTGCGGTTGAACAACTCCGTGATACCTTCAAGTCGTATATCACGTATGAAATCGCGGTCCTGGAACTCATCAGACATCGTTTTGGCCGTCTGAAACGGAGCCGTGAACCCCAGCGGCCCGCAGCAGGAGCGACCGGGCTGCGGCGGCCCCGCGCCCAGCAGTTCAAAGTACTTGGGAAAATGCGCCAACGCGTTTTCCAACTTTATGAACGTGCCATCTCTTGTAGGTCGTTGCGGACTGATGAGTCGTTGTGGCTTGCCTATATGCGGTTCGCTGCGCGTACCGGAGAGGTGCGGAAACTGCGCCCGATACTGGTACGTGCGATGCACCAAGTAGGTCCCTACTCTGCGCGTATTTTCGCAGTTGCGGCCGCTCTTGAGGCAGATGTTTGTGGTTCCATATCGACAGCACGGGCGGTTTATTTGCGGGGCCTTCGACATCACGACCAGAATGCTGAATTATGGGCGCAGTACGTGATTTTCGAGGTCACCATGGCCCTAAAACGTATCGGTCGTGAAGCCGTCTTGCACGACGTGAAGCGTCAAATGCCTGATGCGGCAGTTTGGCAAGTTCCACGAACGGTGCGATGCTATGCGCTTACAACGCTCACGCTAGCGGAACTGCGTCAGCAGTTTCACGACTGCCTAGAGAGCATGTTGAAACAGGTTGGAGGTATTTGGCAAGAAGATCCAGCGTTCTTAGCTCATGCAATTGGCGTGGACAGAGCTCGACCTGCACCCGCAACGCTGGAAGCTGGTCTCGGTGTGTCCGACCCGGCGATGCTTTCCGCGTCATAGTACGCAACTTGACCTGCGGAATCTGAGGCATGACGCTGCGTTCGGTGTATCCACCTGTTTGATGTGTCGACCGGTCTCCACGTTGCACAACGACGTTTCGTCGTCAGGAAGCGTTGCATGAACAAAGGCTTCTGCGCAGTCGCACTGGCACATGCCATGGCGGTACGCTGCGGTAACTGGGCGACATGCGTCGCCTGGAAGCTATGATACGAGCGGTCCTTTCAAGATGGCGGCTGCATCCGCTGGCGGTTTCTTCCAAGGAGCACTCTTGCACCCGCATGGATTGGAAGCGGTGACGAAGCGAACTCATTTGCCGGTCCTCAGCGCCTCGATCGATTCCGGTTCATAGCTATTGACTGCGCATGAGCGCTCTCGCCGTGACGCACTGCACTAAACGTTTCGGTTTCATGGCAGTGACCGCAACCGCTGCGTCTCCACTGACCGAGACGCACGTTGCCATGACTCCGACATAGAGCTGCGTTTGTACAGAGCAACGTCATTGCCGAGGGAACGATATACTCTTCGCGGATAGCAATGTGTTTCTGGGACACAGGGTGGTACGCTTTTGCGCTTGAGCAGACGCATGCAGCGATGGCGGCACTCGGTAGTGTGTTTCATCGCTTGTCCAAATCGTACGAGATGAGCGTACCTCGATGCGCGTGTACCGCAAAATGTTTTCTCGTGGATACGTCCGCCACTGGATGGTGATCCTACCAAACGATTCACTCAGCGGTGGGTGCGGGGGTTCCGCTCCGAGTACAACGTCCTGTATCCATGCTGTTCTTTTGAGAAGCGGTATGCGTTCGCCAAACATGCTTCCAAGACGAAGTCCTTGAATATATTCGAGGTATTTACGAGCCCTCATTGAACGCAGATGCGCTCAAGATCTAATGGACCGCAAAGCATCCCAAACAGCGTGGTTGCATCGTGGTGCTAGGATTTAGAGCTGCCGAGGCCCGCCGGCGGCGACCTGCCCGAGCATCGCAGACTCGACACTGTTCCGAATACTTTACTGGTCCACACGTTCACGGTTGCAAATCAGGTGCTACGGTTTGTTTCTGGCACGACGTATGTGCGTACCTTGCGTTCGTCACCTCGAATCGGATGCAGCACCGCGTATAGCACATCAGCGTGTCACCGGCATGCTCTGCATACAACTGCACTGGGGCGAGTTCGCGCATAGCTTCAGATACGTGTCCTGTAAATGCCAAAGCAGCTCGTGAACGAAATGCGGTCCCGATAGCTGTCCATATGGCTAGAACAGCTACTGCCGGACGTCCAATTTCAGCACCAACCGTTCCGGTATTCCAGTCGCGGATCTAAACCACCGTTGTACGTGACTGGCATGTTGCTCACCGATCACGCTTTCCGTGCGGCCATCTCCTGCCGAAGGAGATCTCGCTCGCTTCGGCCGAGGTACTTGCAGTCCTCGTGCTGCACCAGATAGCGACCGGGTGTGTGACATTTGAAATTCTTCCCTTTGCAATTGTCGTACTCCTCGCCACCATTGTTCAAAACGAATTCGAGCTCTTTCGCCAATAGCCGGATAAAATAGAGGTTCTGCTCCTCGGGATTCCGCAGCATGAGCTCGCCGGGTGCAGAAGTCCAATCCGCCTTGGCGTTTAACTGTTTCGCGTACATAATATAGACCTGCGACCAGTCAGCCGGTGCCCGGTACAAGATTTCGATGTATTGGTCAGTAGCTTTGGTCTGTTGTCGGCGAATTTCATCCATATCCACGTCACCGCGCCGCTGTAGACCACGAATACTCACAACATAGCGACCCGGCTCCGTAATGACGTAGTTCTGCCCACCGTTATTGTCCCAGTATCGTTTCCCGTCCGTTATCGCAAACTCTAACCGTTTGCAGCCGGAAACTCGGAAAACTCGAAACCCCTCTCGAATGTGACTCGCATCTTCAAACCGGTAAGTTCTGTTCGGCGTCCACTTGCCACCGTCTTTTGAAAAGATGATGTAGACGTTCTCCAGCGACGGCATGGAGTGGAATATTTCAATCCACGAGTTAGGGTCGTTCACAGGACCGTTCATATTCGGACTGCTCCCAGCAGTTTCAATATTTCGCTGAGACATTCCAGCTATCACACCTAACCTTCTAGTGTTTCTCACGAACTCTGCCCGTCGGCAGCTCGCAGTCGTCGAAAGCACCAGGAGCGGAACGCCGTCCAGCACACACACTCGACTCCATACCAGCGCCGAAATCGCCGCCGCCGTCGTCGTTGCTGCAGCTGCCGCCTCCCATCGATTGATTTCTTTCTTTCATGGACAAAACTGGTACACTGGCCAGCGTTCTCTGATTGTACGCTTTGCTTTTTCATCGCACAGGGAAGCATCCGTCAAACCGCTTACGTCAGAGTTCCATGACCCATACTTCTTCTCGGATACACTGTTCATTTCATAGGTTCTATCGTGTGTCGAGAGCGTGCCCTGAGCGTCCGCGAGAGCGCCTATAGCGCCGATACGGATGCAGCAGGGGGCCCGAACGACTCTTCCATGTCACCGAGGGCGTCAGCTCGGGGTGTGTCTCAGTCGACGCTTACATGAATCGCATGGCTCGTTACTGCATCGACAGCCGGTGTATGCCGGCATGCCGTCACTACACGACGCACTTGAGAAGCTCGCCATTCAGCACGGAACCTGGGTGGTGCGTGACCCTTTGGCAATCAATCAATCATCTGTCTGTGTATCTGTGTGTCTGTGTATCTGTTTGTCTGTGAGCGTACGTGCGTGTCGAATCGGTCACCGCTTCGCAATGCCGGCTACCGCTCGACGCCGTCTTGTTCATTGCTGCGCCGATCGTTTAACATGCGTGCGCATCCAGTTGGACGAACTTTCCACCTTGAAGGTAGCCTGTGGGTTTTTTGGTCATCACCAAGCGTCGTGGGTCAAAAAGACGTCCGACAGGTACCAGGTTTGCGCTCTATGGGGGCGATCGCCCCGTGCAGCCCCGAATGAAAATCCAGCGCGATCGGCTCCTGGGCGCGGCGGCGCGGCGCGCAACGCTGCGCGATCGATCATTTTTGAATCCCGTGGCAGGTCCCGGAGTCCCGGATAGCGGTGTCTCCTCTACTGTTTGCTCAGCAGGGGCGTTCCTCGGGAACTCGCGTACAAACCAGTAGCGCTCGCTGAGCAGCAACTTTTGTGATTGTGCTGAATCACTAGTGGTTTGCTCCCTAACTCGCTATTGGCACCTGCTTTACAGCTTCGCGAAAGCTATGAACGCAGCGACACCACGCGGTGGAGGCGTTCGTTTCGAGCCCTTCGTGGCGGCGTACAACAACTCGACCCCCGAGGCAGTCTTGGCGTTGGCGCCTACGCCAGTACGAGCACAGCTCCAGAATCGTTCCGAGACGCCCAGTGGTGCTCGACTTCGAAGCAGCAGTGGCGGAGCAGGTGCAGACTCCGTACCTGATGCGCTGTCGAACGCAGTGGAAACCGTGGACCTGTTGCGTGACTTGGTGGCGGTTTTCCGCTCCGAGGAGGACGTTCAAATAATGGAGGCATTGGCCTCTCTCGAACAACAAATCGACGATACGGTATTGGAGCGGCAACAACGAGCCAAGGAGTCGCTGGTACAGCTTGCGAGACAGGTTGACGCCGCCAGACAACGCGCGACGCCGCCTGAGCCTGAACATCTGCATCAGCAGCGGGTCGAGGAACGCGAGCGGGTGAAACGCCTCATTATTGAGCGGATGCTAACTGCCGAAGAGCGCAGCAAAGCGCTGCAAGCGAACTTGCGCGAGCTGGATGCGGAGTCCTCGGAGGTGCAGCAGGCGCTGGACCGGTATCGGCAGCGCATTCAAACTGATATTCCGAGCCTCAAACATGCACTGAGTTTATATGTCACGATAAGTCGTATCCGTTGGAACTACCGATGCGATCAGACGTACATTGAGGGATACGTGGCCCAGGAGCGTGAGAACGACGTGCGTCCATTCCGATTCCAACACGGAGATGCGGTGGCCACTGCCGACCGTCTCTGGGCGCTTATCGAGCCGTGAAGAGCGCTCGGTGAACTGCCAAGGCGCAGCAACGAAAAGAGCGCACTTGTCTGGAAGCGCCTTTGAGCACTGCGCACATTTCGCCCGGCCTTGGGTGATCCTATTCACTTGTGTGTGTGTGTTTTCACTGTCTGTCTGCGGTATTGATTGATTCAAGTCGGCAGCTGCGCCCCATTCCTGCTTATGTACTGGATGCAGCAAGCACACATCTGAGCGAATCTTTTCGTCGTTCCCGAGGCTGTTTCCAGTGCTAACAGCCTCCAGGCAACCCCGATCCATACAAGGCTGCACAGATTCCGTTTTTCCGCCACGGTGCAGGATCCCAGGCATTCACCACCGTGGTCGCCGCATACGCCCCTGGTACCGCTGTCTTCTGCGCCCTGTTCACCACTCGTCTCGTACGCGCGTGACCTGTATTCCCTGCTCAAACGCCTAGGCGCCGGGCTTGAATATATCGTCAAAATGCGCCGGGTCGATCATCGGCAGACGCACGGACACCGACATACCTACAACAGGCGTCCGGCGCGAGCGATATAGCTCTCGCAAAAAATACATTGCCGCCCCATCGTACGCGTTCAGAATATCCGCGATAGCCTGCAAATGCTGCACATACTGCTCCTGGGTCAAACGGAACGAAGCCTGCAGCGTGTGCTCCCACATCACCTGCATGTACAAAGCATACTTGCCGATAACATTCCGTCGCACAGGCTGAATATCATACTCAAAACCATAAAGATCCCGCAAAAACTGCCGCAGCGAGGGTCCTGTTAACGGCAGGTACCGCTCACGCAGCAGCGCTTCGAGGTTCTGCTGCGACATGCCCCGCCGCAGCGTCCGCTCCGCGAACGGCGCCGGACGCACCGCTGAGCGGTCCCTCATATCCGGAAACGAGGCCGCAAAACGCGCTTCCAGCGCTGCAACTGCAGCTGCCAGCGGGTTCCCGCGCGGACGCCGAGCAGACCCGCGCCGTTTCTCGCCGCCCCCGGCGGACGCATGCCCGTCGCGCCTGCCGGGCTCGTCCGCGTCGTCCTTTGGTCTATCCGGAGTCGAGTCTGATGACGAAGAAGGAGGCGACCCCTGTGCCCGCAACGCAAGCACACCAAGCACAAACATGGGGAATACGCAGCACCACAGAAAAACCGGACTGTGCGCAGCAGCAGCAGCAGCAGCAGCAGCAGCAGCACCGAAAGCCAGCGTTACGAGACAACAAAGAAGCAGGCCTCAGACCTCTTTCTCGCGCTGCAGCAATCTGCACCTCGAATCGACGCCCTGCAGCTGCGATGGCGTCAGCGACGCACGCACCGCATGGCGCGGCTGCCGTTCACATGCGCCTGCACGCGCGCCGCCGTACGCATCGCTGCGTGGCGTCGATCACGCACAGGCTACCCGCCGGTGTGACGGTTTGCTTCACGCATGACAACGCTATATATATCAATTTAGGCGAACTTGGATTGATATCTGCGACGGTGGCTTTACGGCAAGCGACGTTCCAAGCGCCGATACCGCTGCCTCGAATGGATAACTGGCATGATGGCCCGCGATCGATCGATGGATCGATCAATTGGCTCCGCCGTCCATCGAAAGCGTTGGTCTCCGGCTGGGCAGCGCGTTACGCTCGCCCTGGAGTTTCAACCGAAGATTGAGGGTTCGAGTCCCTTCCGTCGCGTTGACTTTTGCCACCCACGCTCATGAGCCAAGTCAACCCTTTACACTACAACGGAGGTGCCGTATTCGCAGCAACCGGTAACCAGTGTGTTGCCATCGCTGCGGATCGGAGGTTTGGACAAGCGCAGCTCACGCTGGCATGCGACGCAAACCGTCTGTTCCGCGTCCACGATCGACTGGTGCTGGGACTCACTGGACTCGCGACCGATTGTCTAACACTAGCAGAACGCGTGCGGATGCGCACGAACCTATATCGTTTAGGAGAGAAACGCGAACCGAAACCTGCAACCATTTCAGCGCTGGTTTCCGCGCTTCTCTATGAGCGCCGCTTTGCACCGTACTTTGTCGAGCCGGTGATCGTCGGTTTGTCGGGCGATAACAAGCCGTATTGCTGCTCCATGGACCTGTTGGGCACGCCCATGGAAACCGATGAGTTCGTAGCTGCTGGTACCTGTGCCGAGTCGCTTTACGGGACGGGGGAAACCTTCTGGCGTCCGGGTCTGGATCCCGAGGACCTATTCGAAGTTACCGCCCAGTGTATGCTTGCCGCGCTCGACCGCGACTGTCTCAGCGGCTGGGGTGCGGTCGTGTACGTCTTGCACAGTGAAGGCGTCACCGTGCGCGAGCTTAAGGCACGCATGGACTAGGCAGAGGCGGTGGTGGTGGTGGTGGTCGCGGCTACGGCCTCGTCCATCGCCGCAGCTGCTGGACCCGCGTGCAACTCGGACTGTCCGGAAGACGATGATGATGACGTCGTCGTCGTCGTCGAAACGCGCGAGGCGCTGACGGTGCGCGTCACCGTCGACGAGCCTTGCACGAGCTTGGTTCGAAAGACGACGTTCGCGTGCTCGAAGAGCGCTGGTTTCAGGCTCACGATGATGAACTGGCTGTCGCGGAAGGATTGACGAATGACCTGGCCTACATTTTGCGTATGGCTGAGGTCGAGCGCCGCATCGATCTCATCGAGAATGTACATAGGCGCGGGCTTGAACTTGAGCATAGCCAACACGAGACTGAGAGCAACGAGGGAACGCTGGCCACCGCTCAGCTCTGTGAGGGAATCCTTCCAGGTATTGCCCATCGCGACCTTGAGCACGAGGCCATCGAGCATCGACTGGCTTTCCGGTACGCGATCTAGACGAGCATCGGCTCCGGGGAGCAAGGTAGAGAAGATTGCACTGAGATCGCGGTTCACTCGTTGCCAGGTGGCCTCGAGCGCCAGACGTTTCTTCTCATCGAGGCTGCGAATAGCCGCGTAGATTTTTTGCTTATCATTCTCGATGATGCGTTTCTTATTCATGAGGTCCTGATATTCTTGCTCAGACTTTTCAAAGAGACTCAGTGCTCGCCGGTTGATCCGTTTCCCGAGACTCTGATTCTCTGCAGTCAACCGGGCGAGTTGTTGACGGGCCCGCCGGATCTCCTCCGCGTCCACCACGGACACGTCACCCGCAGTGCACGACAGGTTTGGATGCTCGGCCTCGAGCGCGACGGCCTGTTGACGAGCATTCGCGAGCGTCTCGTCGAGATCAGCTAGCTGCAGCCGGAGACGTTTGATTTCCAGCGAAAGCGCCTCGTCCTGACTAGCTAGCGCACTTAGGCGCTCTTGCCGCACTGCATGCTCTTGTGCTTGCGCCGAGAGCGCCTCTCGGCGTTGCCGGAGCGCCTCCTGCTGTGAATAATAAGCAGGCTCGAGCTCCTTTTCCAGACGATTGCTTTGCTCGGTGAGGTCACGTTCCAGTTGAGCAATGGTTTCGTTGCACTGTGCTAGACGCTTCTGCACATCGTCAAGTTCTTCTCTGGAGGATTCGAGCTGCTGGTGGAGGCGCGCAAGCTGGGCCTGTTCGTCTTGCCAGAGACGCTGCAGTTGCTCGGCAGATGCCTTGGCCTCGGCGAGGTCCTGGGCGCCGACATCGGCACCGGAATCGAGTTCAGCGAGTCGTCGCTCAGCTGCAACTCTTCGCGCTCCCTGTTCTCGAAGCTGTGCCTCTAAACTCGCAACTTCATTCTTGTACCGGATCAAGGGCTCCGCAAGCATGCGCTCCCTAATGGCCTCCACCGCTTGCTGCTTCATGGCGAGCTCCGTGCTCAGACGTGCATGCTGATCCGCTTTTTGCTCCAGGTTTTGAAGATCCTCCTCGGTCCTCGCCAGTGCACGCTCTCGTATCTGCAGCTCTGCACGCAAACGCTCAAGCTCTGCGAGCTGGATCAGAAGCGAAGCGACTGCGCTCTGGGAGCCTCCGGTCATGGTACCCTGGGGGTCCACGAGGTCGCCGTCTTTCGTCACCGTCCGACACCGAATCTGCTCCGAGAACGCCATCTGTTTGGCCTGATCCAGCCGGTCGCAAACTAGCGTTCGTCCGAATACATAGCGCATGGCAGGCTCGAGTGCTTCATCAAAACGGACAAGCGACAGGGCCAGGTTGCCTCCGGCCTGACGAGCGGCTGCAACGCGTTCTGGCTCCAGCACCTTATCGTCGATCCGGTTCAAGGGAATCATGGTGACTCGACGAGTGAGCTGGCCGCGCTCAAGCAGAAGCTTGCCAGTCTGCTCGTTGTCCACAATGACGTAGAACAGCTTGGAACCTGCAGTTATTTCAATGGCTACCGCATATTCTGGATGCACCAGTTGCACTAGTCGGGCAACGACGCCTTTGACGCGGCTGCTTTCGAAGGCCGGCTCCGGGTTCTGGTAGGTAAAGTCAATAGCAGCCAACCGAGCGGAGAGACGATCCAGCTGATCGCGAAGGCTATGCACGGCTTGCTCCTCGCTCTGACGGAGTTTGCGGAGTTTCTCTGCGCCATGCTGGTCGTAGTCCAGCTCATGCAGCTGGAGCTTAACGGAAGAAACCGCCTTTTCCGCTTTGGCGAGTTCGGACTCGAGCGCTCGCACAGCAGTGGCTCGCTTTGCATGTTTCTCGAGTTCGCTCTTCGCTCCCGCAAGAGCAATTTTCGTAGTTTCCTCTTCTGTACGAGCGAGCGCCAACTGTTGCCGCGTCGAAGTGATGAGTTCGGTACGCGAACGAAATGCGGAGGCTTCAGAGAGCGTTTGCCACTTGTCGTTGGCTGCGCGGGCCTCAAGGCGGCGCTTTTCAACTTGCGGCTCAAATGTTTCGATACGAGCGGTGAGTTGCTCAAGCGTCTTGGTGAGATGCTCCTGAGCCTCGATCATCTCGGTTTGCTGCGCTTGTTCCCTAGTCAGTGACGCACGGAGGTGATCGCGACGAGCTCGCTCCTTCACCAGTTCCCGATCAAGAGCGGCGAGCTCCTTTTCTTGCTGCTGGAGCTGTCGGGCCTCTCGGTCGTGCTGACTACGTTTCGCTCCGTGGCTTTCCGCACGCAGCGCATTGATTGCCTCGTGGTTCTGCGCTTGTTCCGCTTCGTGCTTCTCAATCTGTGCGACCAGCTGGGCTCTGTCCTGCTCGAGTTGCTTGACATGCTCTCGCGCTTGAGCGTATGCTTGTAGGGCGACAATACGACGCAGACGCTCTATCTCTGCATTGTTCGCCGACCAGTGCAGAAAACGCTCTCGTTCATCCCGGAGCTTTACCAGAGACGGGGTTATCTCCTCAGCCAAAAGCGTATTAATTTCCTCGACCTTGCGCTGTTTTTTCTCGATAGTCCGAAGCGCAGCTGTCTTCTTGGCCTCGTACATACTGGTACCGGCAGCCTCTTCGAGCATACTCAACAGCTCGAGTGGCTTCATCTGAATGACTTTGGTGATGCGCCCCTGCATGATCAAAAAGTGCGGATTGTTCACATTCAATTGTACCGAGTGAAACAGGTTTTGAACCTTCGCAGGTTGCGCCACGTGCCCGTTGACGAGGTACTTGCTGCGTCCACCGAGCGCCACTTGACGGGTCACGGTTATCTCGGGAGAGTCCTCGTAGCCGACCGGGGACGACGACGCGTCGGTGTTGTCGAATACCAGCGTCACAGACGCACGCTGGACACCGGCCTGCCCGTTCTTATAGATAAGCTCGTGAAGCCCATTGACCCGCAGCGACTGCAGATGCGTCATGCCCAGCACGAAGCATATGGCGTCCAGTATGGCCGACTTGCCACTGCCGTTTGGTCCACTAATTGAGTTGAAGTGTGGATCTAATCCGGATAAAACCATCCTATGCGCATAGGATTTGAACCCATCCAAAATAATCTCTTTTAAATACATGGCTATAGCGGTTGTATGGCGTGACGGTCAAGCCGCACGCACGCGAACAGACAAGTACACGAACGTGCGTTACCGCAACGGTCACGAGGAATTTGAAACTGGTACCTGACGCGCGCGGCGATCGCAGGCGCCGCGTCCCTTTGCCTGGTGTCCATTTTGATCAAGAAGGTAAGAAGGTTTGAATATGGACATCATGGACTGTGCGCAGCACTCCAGCAGCCGTGTCGCTGCTGCTGTTGCTGCTGCTGCTGTTGGTGCTGCTGCTATAGACGTGCAGTTCGACACCTGGTACACCAACTCAGAAGACTTCGAAACGGGTCATTCAACGTCGGTGCACTCATATACGTTTGCACTAATGTCCTAGTGTCCACAAAAAGAGCATTTGCAGGCTTGTTCTTTGGCTGCTTTCTTTTTTCCCTCTAATAAATTCGACCTGACAAAGCACCCGTTCGTCGTGTAACTTCAGCCCCGTTCTTACCATTACATGGATGTTAATCGTAGCCTGCAAGTTCTGATTTTGCAGCTTCCTGCTGGTTACATGCATTTCGGGCACTGGTGGAAGTGGCGATCAACGATTCACTTGCCAGTTTCGTTCTCTTGATCCAGAGGCTGAGTACGGCATTCGCTGTGGTGACACGCGTATGTGATTAGGTATTCGCAAATGCCCGCCACGACGCCTCCTTCGAGCGCCGCCCTGTAGCACATGAATTCTTGCTGCCTGGTTCGGTACAAGAGCCCGACGAGTCCTGTGCACTCACCTGGATGCCGTCCTCTGGTTCCACGCGTGGAGCCGTGCCCCGCGATCAGGGGCATGTTCGGGGCGATCCCGTCAGCGAGGAATTTGTATGCTGCCTGTGCATATGCACGATGTACCATGCCACAGAGGATTGCGGAATATGATGTTCTCCATGATGGAGCGCGTACTGGATGGCAACATTCAGGCTGGAGAACAAGTCGATAAATGTCGGTCCGTGGACGAAGCTCCTTCGTCCACAGTGATAGTGCATCTGCCATTGCAAGCTATCGTTGTGATGCCAGAGACCCGAGTCCGACATCCCTTTCCGCGCAAACTTAACAGACGGGAGCGCGCCTCGGACCACATCCTGTGAAAGCATATCATGTCGCAGTCGAATCTGGTATCGTCGGTAGCCACATGAAAGAGGAGATTTTCCTCGGGAACGGAACCAATTATTTGCTTTGACAATGTCTTCGAAATTGCTGCATGATCTTGTGTACGAGTCGCCAGAACACGATGTCCAGCAACGTGCGTCGTCAATCCAGGGACGCGAACACCAGTGCCTACAAGCTGTGTTAAGTCGAAAAGCCGAATCCCCGAAGCATACCTCATTTGGGCATGCTGGACGCGGGGTACGGAGAATCATGGATGCCTGTACGATTAAAAAACTGAATCATGATATCGAATATGTGATGCAATCCTGTTTTTCACGGATATCGCGAATCAACTTGATGTATTGACTTTACGAACGCCCGCTGCGAAGAATGCAACAGACCAATTCGATAAGTCGACCACGCATCCTAGAATAACGTTTGGATCCGCAAGCCCTTTTCGTCGCATAGCATCAATGCAATGCCGTCCATCTCAGACAAAAGTTTAGAGAAAGCTCGATGACAGGAACGTTACAAGCATCTCAGTGTTCCATGGGAGTCTGACAACCGCAGAGAGCGCTTCAATGAATGGAGGCGATCGACGCTGACATGCGAATGCCGCCCGCAATCAAGCTATCAGCGACTTGTTTTCCGCAACCGCGTCCACAAGCCACAAGTTCGGGATCTCTGCCTCTCTGAAAAATACCAGTTCAGTTGATCTATGCATGTTGTGAGGTATCGAACCTGAAAACGCTTGCCACACGCGAAGAAACACACTGCAACACACTCCTTCGGGATGCTTCGGGTATTGAGCGGCGCGCCGGGATCGTTACGGCGCCAGCGCGGCGTCTTGTTCGACACGCCTCACAGCGTCTGAACGTTGTAACTTTTCGTGTCTTTTGACGAGGTCTGTGGGACTTTTGTGGGCTGCAGAACTCGGAGTGGTTTCTTCCGGGTGCCCTGAGGTCGACCGCAAGGTGTCTTTTTTCAGGACGACGGGACTCGAGCGCAGTCGTTGCTTCGGTTTTTTTTGTGGTGCACAGCAGCTGCTCGCTGTGAAGCTGCACCTCTGCTGCCGGTTACGATTCTCGTTAGTCGAAGCCTTGACTTGAGAGACGAAGAGCTTTCATTGTCTAAGGCTGCCGACAAGTTGATTTTAAGGCTACCAACATAGCTAACGTTCGCTGTAGAGACGAACCTGTGTTGCCGGTTGCGATTCTCGCTTGTCGAAGCGTCGACTCAAGGGAGAACCCTCACTATCCAAAGCTACCGACAGCTTTCATTGTCTAAGGCTCCCGTGTCAACGTTCGCTTTAGAGCTGCATCGCGGTGCGTACCTCGACGGACGATATGCGTAGCACCGCAAAGTACGCCGCTATCTCATACTGTGCGATAGGTTTGATTCTAGGTCATGCTTGGCTGACGCAACCGAACTTTTACCGCGCAACGGCCTACCTTTACAACTCAAAGACTGCCAGGTTTTCCGCGGTGAATGCTGGGCTCGTCTCGCTCTACCTTGTCGGCCAGCTTGTGCAGCGTCTTCTGCTCGGTGAACTGCGTCTGGTAGAAGCGGAGCGCCTGCACTTGCGAGCACGCGAATCATTGGTGGAAATGTTCCTTGCGATGACTGTCTTCTCCCGAACAGATTTCCATGCACGGTTTCTCTGCATGTTCGCATGGACCTTTTTTTTGAAGGTTTTCCATTGGCTCAGCCAGGAACGCCTGGGATACGTTGAGCAACAAGTTATCATGCTCAGCCGTCCGCGCCTGACGCACGCTCGCCTAGTCGTACTCTTTTGCTGGTTATTTGTTACCGACGCCTGCATGCTCTGGCACTGTTTACACTTCACGAGCACAAACGGCCCGTCGATCATGGCCATGTTCGCTTTCGAGTACGCGATTTTGCTAATTGGCCTCCTCAGTCAGATCGTTCGCTATGTTGTCTTCATAATAGACGTGTTTGTGTTAACGGAAGGCACCTGGGACGACAAAGGTCTCTGGCTTTTTTATAATGAGCTACTCTCCCTGTTTCTGCAGCTGGCTGCATACCTTGCGTTTTTCACCTATGTGCATTTATTCTACAGTCTTCCGCTGCACATTCTGCGAGACCTAGCAGTGACAGCCCGCACCTTCCGACAGAGGCTCATCGAGTTCATTCGCTATCGCCAAGTGGTGCGATCCATGCACACCCAGTTCCCGAACGCTACAGAGCAAGAGCTAGCCGCCGGCGACCGAACTTGCATCATCTGTCGCGAGGAGATGTTCGGTGGTGCTGGTGCTAAGAAACTCGTCTGCGGCCACATTTTCCATCTGCGATGCCTCCGCTCCTGGATGGAACGCAGCATGAGCTGCCCGACGTGCCGGCGAGATATACGTCCTCTGCGGGCGCCAACAACGAGTGCACGTCCCACTGCTTCATCTGGTGCCGCTACGCACCACGACGACGGAGCGCGGCGAAACGCTCCGGGTAGCCTCAGTACGCGGCCGCAACGAGGCGCGACTGCGCCCATCGAAGCGCCAGCGACGGCTGCACGACGGGTCGACACGTCAGCAGTGCCGGCGAGTACGCAGCAGCGAATGCGCCCTTCGACGGCATCTGCCGACAGGGAGGCTTCCGATCCGGAGCATCTCTCCAGAAACGAATGGAATGCACATTCTGGGCGTCCGCCGTGGACCACAGCACGCTTAACGGAGATGCCGCCACCGTCGTCGTCAACGTCAACGCCAGCACCACCACCACCGTCGTCGCCGCCACCACCACCACCACCTCCTCCTCAGTTGCTTGCGGTGCTCGAATATATCGCACAGACAGCACCGCATGCCGACGTGCAGTGTTCCCCGCTGCCACCGACGAGCACCCCAGCCCAACCGACTCGAACGCATACCACACCGGCATCGTACGCGCGCCCTCGAAGTGCAACTATCGAAGATGCCCGTCGACTACAACGGCAGTTGGATGATCTCTCTAGTGTGATGCGTAATCTCATTGAACGACTCGAGCACGAGCTTGAGGACAGGGACGCGGAGCAAATCGAGCGTCGTTGAAGCACGCTTTTCCCCAGGGCTTCTGGACATCTGCGCGCCCTCGCGAAGCGTCACTTTCATGCGCTCCGCTGCACTGTCCACTCGGGGTCCTTCTAGGTTTCAAGATGCTCGCTGTATGCCCTTGGGGAAGGGGTAGCGTCACGGTGCGGCCGTAGAGCGGCGGTCGCTGTGAGCGCCCGCTCGGGAAGTGACGGCCCCGCGTTGCTCCCTTTTTGTGCCTAAACCCGAACGTCGATGATATGCTTCCCGGATGAAGACCGAATGAGTACGCCTTTGCGGAATCGAGTGTCGCAGCCACGGCAGCCGTCCAGAGCCGTGCTGTGCTGCTGAACACTCAGCGATGCGCATGGCTTCAGGTTCTCGACCTCAGTTCGGTGCCGCTCACTCCACCACTTGTATTCCCTGTGCACTCTGCTCTGCCGTCTAACAGCAGAGCAGCCAGCCGCGTGTCGACCTGGGGTTCGCTTGACTCGACGCCAGTCGGTTCTAGGCGCTCAGACATCGGCGCTGCCTCCCGCGGTTCAGAGCGAGCTCTGTCTAGGTCTACGGGGTTTCTGAAACCGGCACTCTCCATCTTTCGGAAACACCAAAGTTGGAAGCTCTCGAATACGTGCGGTCTCGACCGCTGCGATCCGTCTGCGAGCACCTGCGGTGGTGGATGGATGAAGAGCACAGCAAACGCTGCGCTGCACACCGTAGCGAGCATGGTCACCGCCCGCAGCACCCGGTGTGTCCGCGGAAAGCCTGCTGGAGGGTCCACCAGTTCGCCCAACGGCTCTGAAGGCGTTTCTAAACGCTTCCAGCCCATGGAGCAGGCCACCACCTCAGACCAAACGTCTCCTGTCTCAAAGAAGGCGCTGCAAATGCTTGCGCTTCAGGTGGTGCAGCAGCGACGCGAGCCGGGATGCCCGTTCGTTTTTCAGCGTCTCGGGCCAGTGCGCCTGACCAGACGCTCATGCAACCAAGTCAGAGGATGATGAGACCGGTCTACCAGCTCCGACTTGCATACTAAAGTGCAGGTCTGCTTCTTATGTCATCAGTACCGTCCATTGGGGGCTATTTTTGTCGAACGCTCCATTTTTCGCCGCTCGTGCATCCGGTTCTTGAGGAGCCGGTCGCTGACGTCGCTCCAGCTCCGGTGTCAGCTGTCGAAAGCTGATCATCGGAGCGTCGAGGTCACGATTCTGTTGCGTTCGACTGTTGTCAAGGTGCTCTATGCACGGATGGTGTCTGCGATTCACGAGCACTCTGGTATGCACCCTCGATACCCGCTCCGCGGCTGCTATGCTTGGCTATGGCCAAGTCCTTCCATATGTCCACCATATCCGCTGGTCAGAGCGTCAGTCTGAGCTGAACGAACGCTTGCTTTTTCGCCCAGCATATATCCCTGAGGATTACAGAGAGAGCATGCATCACTCGATGCGCTTCTCTGTCAACGCACCCGGTGCCGTGCTCCGGGATCGCGGGCTTCTTCTGCGGACATCTCCTCGGCGAGGACATTGTCTTATGCACGCGCAAGCGCATGCTGTTCCATTCGATAGAGGATATGTGGAATCCGACGTCGTCCATGACGATACATGTACCGAGAGGAAAATCCAGGCTGGAGGCCAAACCCGTGAATTTGTATCCGTCTCCTGCTTTATACCTGGGAATCGATGTCGCACGCTCCACTAGCAGCGATCGCTGGAATGAAAAAAAAGCACGGCTCCAGGGCGCTCTTCACCGGAAATAGAAGAGAAGGAAGTCACAGGAAGCGTATCCCCTGAACGGCATCACATGGCTGTCGAATGCAGTTTCGTCGGTAGATAGAAACACGGGAGGATTTGTCTTTCGAACGGAATCGATTATCTGACGTTACACGATCAGTGAATTTTCCGGATGATCTTGTGATCAAGTCGTCAAGTGACCATGTGCAGTTTTTGTTCCTCGAAAATCGAGCAGCACAAGTCGCTGATCCCACGCGCTCCCCTGAAGCAGAAGAATCGACGAATAGAAAAATACCTGATTAGAGTATGGCATACGTAAGGAAAGCAGAAGCGTGGAGACACTTACCTCCTTGTCGAATCGTTATATGCCGGTTACATTTAGGAACTCTTGTTCGATAGCTTTGTGAATCATTCTGATTCCAGCGACGTAATGAATTCCAACGAAAAGGCATCGAAAGAGCCATTTTGAAAATACGACCGAGCATCCTAAAATAACGTATGAAGCCGTACGCCCCGATTGCTCCACTTGGACCATGGATGCTATGCATCTGACACTAGTTCCAGAAACAAGTCACAAGGTAGGAATAAAACACCCAGGTCAGTGTCCCATGGTTATCAAACACGGCTGTCGCTTGACCTCCTAGCGCTGAGCAGCGCAACCACACGACAAGGCCCCCAGACGTGTATCGCTAGACCGCTTTGAAGGCTACTGGTCTGTCTCCGCGGCATTCGAGCCCAGCCCTGCATACACGCCTGTGGCGCTCTCGCGGGCTAGGGTCTCAGGTCAATACCGAGCGGTATGCGTAGGAGCAATATCACGAACGATGCCCGGAACGCTACACTAGCAACGCCCTCTGAGATCCAGGGAAACTTGGTTTTTTTTCGAGTCCAAGACGTAGCATCTGTCACTGATGGATCTCCTGTTGCTCTGTGCGGTAAAACCTGGTGCGCTGTTGTGTCTGCCGTTTACGTAGGCATCTCTTCGTGATTAGGGAGTAGGAATGCTACGCAGAAAGCACCTTCCTGAAGCATGGCGTTCGCTGCACGACGAGTTTCTGAAGCGAAGCTACCGGCGCATAGGCGTACCAGGTATGCACCAAAAGACTCCAAAAACGCTCCATTAATTCTAGATTTTCTTCATCAAACGCTCATTCTGGGTTAGAGATCGTCTCTAGATCCGTGTCGACGGACACGGAACACTGCTGCAGACCCGCGTGTTCTTTCCGCAACACCTGTTGACGTGCTGGAAGGCCTCGCTGAGGCTGCGTAACTGGCGACACGCGTCGCCGCTTGAACAGCGTTCCTAGCAGTAAGCTCGTTTCCAATTGATCGGTTTCATGGAACTGCAATTCAGACCGAGTACCGTTGCCTAAAACGAGCACTCGTTTACCTGGCTCCGCCCTATGGATGTCTTTTCGTGAAAACGCGCGTCCACAAGCGCCCACTGCCTTGTTCGCGCGCTTTACGCTTGATGCCCAGCGAGGTGAACGAGCTCAGCACGTCCGCTCTGTAACCAGGTGACATAGACCCGGTGCTCAGCGTCCCGAACATGCAGCTCTTTCACATTGAGCGATACCAGGGGGCCGTGAAACACCTGTGCGGCCTGGTTGTCGGCCTGGGCCTCGGGGGAGCCGCTCGCGAGCCCCACGTAGACAGCCCCCGAGGTACTGCCCTTGGGTAGGACTCGAACCGCGACCTGGTCGCCTCTGTGCAACTGCATACCGCGATAGAAGAGCGTGCCCCGGGAGACAAACGCATCGGGGTCACCGCCGACGGGAAACTCAGGCATAGGGATCGGCTTTTCGTCAGCAGGTACCGCTGTTACCGCTGAAGGTTGCGCGGCAGCGATATCCGGTGTTCCAGGGCTCAGCGCTGTACCTGGGTGCCCAGCGTCACCGGTGTTCACACGAGGCTCAGAAACCTGCGGAGTACGTGGAGACGCTGAACGCTCCGGTGCATTATCCGGCACTGGAGCGGGAGCGACCGCCTCCACCGCAAACTGGTTCGCTTCGCGTGTCGAAGCATGCTGCGTCTGCAGCGGGGCAGCAGCACCTGCGACTCGTCCAGAGGAGGTATCGCTCTTCGCCACGGACGAGTCTGGCGCTTTGTCTGCCGCTGATTCGTTGGGTGCAGATTCCGATTTCAGCGGTCTCGTCATCGCAGGAGAGGACGCTAGAGAGCGCCCGGCTTGTTCAGCGTTGTGCTCGAAGCCTGGATGTACCGTACTGGAGACAGTTCCTACATTCGATCGCGGAGCAGCGGTAGAACTCGAAGACGACGATACGTCGTTTTCGGGCTCCGGTGGTGGGTGCACTGGCCTCTTGTCCCTGGCCGATGTTGGCGGTTTGCGTACCTTGTTCGTGCTGGGCCGCGGCGGCACCCCGGCGTTGGAGCCACGATCACCAGCACCAGTGGGTTCCAGCGGGGGCCGCTTCCGAGGTCGACCACGCTTCCCCGTTGAACGTGCATCCGATGAGGTACCAGCGTCGTGTGCGCCTGCCGAGCCTCGTGCTGCTTTCGGTGCAGCAACATGTCCGGACGTTGGCGTAGTAGAAGCAGCAGTAGCAACAGTAGTAGTAGCAGAGCGTCCGACGGCGCCAGTCCGCGGCTGCTCCGGCGGCAGTTCTCGAGTCGCATTCCCGGGCCGTGCTCCCAAGCGGTGTGCGGGTTGGTCGCGCTGTACCAGACCAACCGCTAGACGAGAGCGCTGTTTCTGGTCATTCCAGTCGATACCCAAGTCACCGGCAGCAGACAACGAACCGTTTCCGATGGCTGCCGTGCCAGCTGCTGGAGCTCGGTGCGCGCTCGACTGGGTCCCGGTCTCGGCGATGCTGCTGCGCTCGTGCGAATGTCGAGCTCCAGTGGACTGCCGGTTAGAGGCGCGAGCCCGAGCGCCCGTTTGGCGACCAGTTGGACCGCTCGGTGCTCGACCGGCGCTGGTCAGCAGCTGGCCGTCTGTAGCGGTTTCGTTTCCAGAGGCACCAGGGGCGCGCCCAGCATGCGCGTTGCCCGCCTTAGCTCTACGACGCAAGGCGGTGATCGCTCGCTGGACTTCACGGAGGTCGTCGGAAGCCTCGCCAGGCTCCAGACCCAGACTCACTGGACGACGTTCCAGCAGCAAGAGGCTCTCTTCTGGCGTCAGGTTCGCAGCCGTACCCATTGCAGCCGGGGAAGCGCCTCGTGGGCGTGCGGGTAACAGTTGATAGGGGACACCAGCAAAACCCGGTGGAATCATAACCGGCGGTTGGCCGAAAAGCACCATAGGATCCCGGTCCAGCTGACAAGCGATTCGATACCGTCGTTGTCGTTGAAACGCTGCTTCCAGCAGGCGCTCTCGAAGCGACTCCTCCGCCACCAGGTACTGGTGCTCGACTTCCCGGAAACGAGCTTGCGCGTACTTGTGCAAATACGCTTGCTGTAGTTCAAAGTTCCGTTGGATTCGATTTTCTAAAGCATATCGCCGTCGTTCCAAGTCCACCAGATCCGCAATGAACATATGAGCCAAAGCAAAAGAATCAGCGTATTCCTTGGGGGTTTCCGCTGCCAGTGCGCCAATGGTTTGTTTCACGAGCTCCATGACCTGTTGTTGAGCCATCTCGAGGCCATTTGTGCCATCACAACTGTTCGCTCGTACCATCTCATCAGTTGAAATGGATCCCTCATTTGACTGGGTCTTTGGAACGGTGGCAGTGTCGGCTGCTGCATCAGCCGCAGCGTCCTCATTGACAGCCACCGGTGCTGAGACAACAGGTTGCCCGCCCGTGTCCTCTACCGCGAAACTGGGCAGTGTTTGCGCTATGCGTACGAGAAGTTCAGCTTCTTCTCGAACGCGTGCTAATGCTCTCTCTAGCTCGAGCTGTTGCTTTGCACGTTCTTCTACGGATAGGGCTGCAATCGACGCAGCGTTCTCGTCCTCTGCAACTGAACCTTCGCAAGGACCAGAAGCAGGAGCAGTAGAGCGGGCAGCGCCTGGAGCATTGGCGGATGGTGCGGCACGGCTTGTGCGTCCCGTTGTTTCCGCTCGAGATGCATTCAGTGTCGATTCACTCGAGAATGCCTCATCATCATCATCATCATCATCATCACCATCGTCACCTGCATCATGATCTGTACCGATGCTGGTTTCCGATACCGAAGCAGATCCTGAGGCTGTCTGCTTCTCTGCGGTTCGTTCGGTCAACGCTCGTGTACTGGCACGAGCAGCTCGTTTCGCAGCGCTCTGCGAGGCTTGCCCGCTCCGACGCGAGCGCCGAAGACCCACCAGCACCGCCATGGCATCCTTGCCAGACCGCTGAGCAAGTTGCTCCGACGAACTAGAGTCCTCATCAGCGGACTGGTGCTGCTCCGCTGCGGGCATGTGGACTGACGCTGCCTTTCCCTGAGACGAGTGCCCTTTTGCTCGCTCTCTGGTGCTGGACGTCTGACGAAGGTTTCGTCGCAATCGGCTCTGAGCCTGCTCCTCTCCTGCCGCTGCCTCTGGTTGAGTTTGACCCTGACCGGGTGCCGAGCTTTCGACGAATCGCTCTTTGGAGCTGCTGCGGCTGCCGCGTCTGCTCGGCTGAAGTGCCCCGACTTTCGAACCGGTGCGAGCAAGCTTTGCAGACTTGGGCGCTGAGGCGGCCTTGGCACTCGCGTCCACTGAGCGACGCTTGCGACTGGTCATTGCTGCGGAATCGTTTCGTCGTTCGGTGCCTGCTCACGCCCGCAACGGTATGAAACTGAAGCGGTGTCTCGATGCGTAGCAAGCGCCTGGTCGCTTGCGTCTCAGAGGTCACGTTTCCGAGCCGCTGCTCGTGAACGCAACGCTGGACGCTTTTGAAAGCGCACCCACGAAAGTTTCCGACGAACACGAGTGCCTCAATGAAAGGTGACCGTGCAAGATACCAGGCGAATGTTCGACAGGAAGTAGCTAGGGATACGCCTGTAGCCACAGCAGCGGCAACAGCGGTAACAGCTTTTCGTAGCCGTGTGCCCCGTTCCCGAAGCGCAACACCCTGGACAGGTATTCGACTCGGAGTCGGGCGCTGCGCTCTATTCCACGCTATCAAGACGTCTCTTGGGTTAGAGTAGAGACGGTTCGGCAGACGTGTCGCTTAAGCGTGCTGATTTCCTTAGAATCCTAGCGTCTACGAAGGCGGCTCACAGCGCTATCGTTGAGGCTTTGGACGCGTTCTGGAGTAGCAGCAGCAGCAGCAGCAGCAGTTTGTTTCCCGGGCACTGCAAGTTCCGAGTCCAAGAGCTGAAATCGCAACGTAAAATCGCTAGAGCTTGCCCTTCGACTAGAGTATTTCGTTGATCGAGTTGGCTTCGGTCTTCACTAAGCGTACCCTGTGCTGCTGAACGAATCTGGCGTGGTGGCTGCTTCCAAGGCCACAAAGCTGGGCGGAGCGTCCTGAATACCCAACGAGCGCTGGTGCTCAGTCTTTGATTACCACAGCATCTCAACTCGACTGGTGACTCGAGCTACGAGCAGGAATGCTCGGACGCAACCAGCATCCACTGGCGTTCGCTGCCTCAGCTGTGGTGCCAGGCTCACGTGCTCAGGCGCTAAAGAGTTTGAAAGTTTGTGGGGTCACCAGCGCAGAGGATGCAACCTGGATTTTAGAGACCATTCAGCGACGACTTTCCGTTCAAGTCTGGATAGGTTGTGTGTTGTGGCCGCACTCGCGACGTTGCGTCTCGGTGAGGGAGGCTCGCGACATCGCTGCTGCTGTTCGCGAGACGGCAGCAAAGCTGGGAACGCCCGCTCGGACGGTGGCTGTGTTTGTTGATGAGGACTTGTCTCGAATACGACAGGTATGCACCGACGCGTCGATAAACGTTGCTCAGCTGCATGGGTCCCTGGACTGGCAGGAGCATGTGCTCCGAGCGGTGGACTCCTGGCCTTCCTGGTTGGACTACGCTCGTGTTCTGCGGCCCGATGAAGCAGCACAGGAGCCATCGAAGCGAGCGATAACAACCGCTGATGGACGTCCACCCTGCTATACGTTGATCGACCCAGGTCGTGGAGACGGGAAGCCCTTCGACTGGCGCAAGTTCTCGAACGAGCGCGTTTTGGGTCCCGATCCAGGTCTTTGGATGATTGCTGGCGGTTTGCATGCCGGAAATGTGGTTGAGGCCGTACGAGTCACCAATGCACCGGGTGTTGATGTTGCGAGCGGTGTCGAGGTCAGCACCGACGGTCGCAGGAAGCACGAATCAGGAGAAGGCTCTGCAGACGCGTATCCGCAGCACAGCGGTAGGGTGTATCGGCCGCGCAAGGACCCTGCTCGTCTTGAGGCCTTCTTGGATGCACTTTGCAGCGTCTACGGTGGTCGCATGATCTAAAGGCAAGCGTAGGCGATGACTCGGACTGCTTCTGATCGGTGTCTGGGGTATGCCGTTTATCAGAGCGTCTGTCGGAGGCGGAGGTGGTGAAAATGTTCATGCCAGGCTTGCCTGCATGCGTCTCTACAGAGCGGCTCAGGGCAGTTCGGTCTCGATGATCTGTTTGCAAGGTTTCTCACTTGCTTTTTATTTGCTTGGGTCTGCGGGAAACCGCCAAGTCAACTGAAGCACTCATGCTGTAATGCTCCCGCGAGACAGCGCGTTCCATGTCGCACGCAGAGAAACCGCGTAACACGCGCCTACATATGGCAGCGTTGACCTGTTGAGAATGCTGCAAGCAGATGAACGTTACGTTAATCGTCCATCAAAATGATAGACACCGCGTGTGTACGTTGCGTCGGTTGATTGCAGGCATTTGCACTGTTCGGATGGCGACGTTGTAACTTGGCGGACGGGGCATCCAGGCCCTGACATTCGACAGCCGCCAGGCGGCTCAGCGCTGCCTCGCAAGCTGGTTGCTCGTTACCTGCCCCTGTGACATCGAACCAGCAGTACTGCAGATTATGGTTGTGCTGGGATGCCGTCGCCCCTACGCATGGGTTACAATGATGATTTTAGAGCATCGCGGGCGCAAAAGAGAAAGCGAGAGAGCATATGTGATGCTGGAGGCAAAAACGACGCTCTACACGTCTGTTGCATCCTTTGGGGGTGGTGCTTTCTTCATCACACTTCCGGGATTCCACAGGCAAGATATCCATCCGACTGCAATGGTCATCAGGGGACGCTGTTGTTCCCGAGCCTGTCTCGTTGGCGTAGCAACCACACCTGCCTGCTGGGCACGCCTTGACCGTTTGCGCCGGAACTGCTGCTCTCCAGACGCGCAGCGCTCTCGTTTCTGTCCAGGACAGGTCACATCTGGTGCTGGTCAGCGCCCGCTGCACGTCGCTTTGCCGGTGCGTCCACAGGTTGACTTTTGATGCCGCAGGTATCCCTTTTTGCCATCGTACGCCGTGTTTCAATCATTTTGAAGTACACCGTCGCCAGTTACGCGGCCAGGGTGCAGTGTCCCTCGTCAGGCGTTTTGGCTCAAATGCAATCGCTTCGTGAACGCCCAAAACGCACACACATGTACCTCGAAAGCGTCTGGTGCATTCGGAAGCACACACGCGCGTCACTGAGAATGCATCATCTGCGCTGAAACGTACATCTCGTAAACATCTCGTGCTGTTGTATGCAAACTCGTGTACATGGCATCGCATGCTCTGTTCTCAAACATGTGACTCGAACATTTGTGCTTCTCCTCGATAGACTCACGTGCACCTGGATCCTTGCGCACTCCGAAATCGTTCATTCCCGAAAACTGCATCAGCGACGTGTATCCAACGCCTGATTCCACAGCGGGCGTTCATCCGTAACGATTAGCAATCCGCGTCAACCGGCATCAATCTCCTCCTTTCTAGAATTCAAATGCTATTGAAACCTTTCCCTGGCATCTCGTACCTGCAAATTTCAATGTCTACAATACGAAGCACAGGCACTGGTGACAACGCGCTCACCTTATCGGGTTCAGGATCGCAACTACAAGAATGATCGCAAACACGACGCCCAGTGCCAGAGCAAGCCGTTTCTGGCGACTGCGTGCCTTGAGACTCACCTGGAGACGAAGACGCTCCAAGGCACGTGCGACTTCCTCACGTAACTCTTCTGGAGTACCGCGGTTATCGATCCGCTCGTCAGCTCGTAGCATCTTCTGCTCGAGCGCCATCTGAGCTTGGATACGTTGCTGGATATCCGCGTCAGTCCAGTCCGGGTGTCGTCGGCGTAGACGCTCAAACTGCTGTGAACGCGATGCATAGACCACCATGGTCACGTTGCAGAGTCTCGAGAGACCACTCTCATAGAGGAGTGGCACGTCGAGAACGATTGGGGTGCGCACCCCAGCCACATACCGAAGCAGAAACACTCTCCACAATATTCGTGCACAAACTAGGGGATGCGTAATCCAGTTCAACAGGTTGAGCGCTCTTGGATTTCCGAAAGCAATCTCGCTGAGGCGTTTGCGATCGAGTTCGAGGTTGCCCTGCTCGTTGCGACGGTACAAGTTTCGGCCGAACACAAGGCGTAGCAAGAGGGACGCTACCGTCCCGGGGGCAACCACCTCCCGTGCTATGACGTCGGCGTCAAGAACGGGGTAACCCCAGTCTGCTCGGATGACTTTGACGACCTCCGATTTGCCGGTTCCGATGCAGCCGGTGAGGCCATAAACGGCGCCTGCGTTGTCGTACTCCTCCTGCGTTCTGAAACGCGGCATCACGAACGCTTGGTAAACAGAGAAAGCGTATGCAGCTACGGTGGCGATCGCTCCGACCTGAAGAAAGAAGCTGTCCTGACGTCGGTTTCCTGTGCCTCAGACGACACGGCTGCGTCAGCGCTACCGCCTCAAGGTATCGTTTGGTACACAACGGTTTCAAGTGGTGTTGCTGCAATGCTGCTGTCGTTGCTCGTGGCGTGCCACACGTCCGGTATCTAGACCTAGTCGCGCAACGGAACAAGTTCTCGACTTGTATCGAAATTGTCAGCTTTTGGGCAGTAAATTGCAAGCCAAAGCATACGTTTACGAAGTTGCGTTGCGGTTCTTTGCACGAAAGCGCTAAACGAAACTACCTAGTGACGCGAGAAACGCTCGGCAAGGCGGGTACGGCTGTCTGCCTGTAGTATTGGAGTCTAGCACCTGCAAACCAAGGCGGTTACGCTAACGCTACCACTGGGCAACGTTCTTCTAGAAGTTGCATAGCAATACCGCATCGGCGGTCAGATTTCTAGACAAGTTTGTTCTGTGCGGTAAAGCGTGCGTGCACTGGAGTACCCCTGGTGGCGTTTACAGGTGAACGACGCGCTGGCGTTCGCCTATAGCGAAAGTCTTCGAAGAGGCGTCATTCCCTGCCCCGACGAAAGCTACAGACGGTACGTGCTAAGGCTGAGCATCACTGGGCTCGGGCTGGACACCCACTGCGAACCAGTCGATCAACGGAACGCTAGGGACGAGCCTGGTGCGATCCACGCCGACGCTGCCGGCAAACGCGAGCTGGAGTCCCTCGCAACAGACAGCTGATGCGTACTTTTCGCGCGTTCACCTTGCAGAGCAGGCTCGCGAGTGCCGCTCACTGGCCACCGCGACCGGTGCCCGCACCAGCAGATGACCTGCTGCGACGCTGTGATGCCTCGCTTATGCAGCGTCTGCCGAGTGCTGCGAGCACTCGCCACTTGCTCCGTTTCCAACACAGCGAAGCTGTATCACCAGCGACGGATCCGGAGCAAAACGACCGTGCAGTCCAGGTTGCTCTCGAGGAGGCCCAAATAGCAGCCAGAGAACGCGGCTTGACAGGGGCTCCTGTTGGTCGACGTAATTTCGGCATCGCCGCCCATATCGATAGCGGAAAGACAACACTGAGTGAGCGCATCCTGTTCTACTCTGGGAGAATTCGAAGGATCCATGAAGTGCGGGGCAAGGACGGCGTCGGTGCCACCATGGACTCGATGGAACTCGAGCGCGAACGCGGTATTACGATTGCGTCCGCTGCAACCTACCTGAACTGGCAGCGCGGCTTTCACCTGAACCTCATCGATACACCGGGGCACGTCGACTTTACCATTGAAGTAGAGCGGGCGATGCGCGTACTCGACGGTGCGATCCTGGTGCTGTGTGGTGTCAGCGGTGTCCAGTCGCAGAGTCTCACCGTGGATCGCCAGATGAGGCGCTACCGCGTTCCTCGACTCGCGTTCGTGAATAAACTGGATCGACAGGGGGCGAATCCTGAACGGGTGCTTGAGCAGATTGTTAACAAACTGCACCAGCCGGCTGCCTTTCTGACGATTCCCATAGGCGTCGAGCGGGATCTTGTCGGGGTGGTTGATGTAATTCGCCAACAGGCCGTGTATTTCGAAGGCGAATACGGCGAGCAATTGCGTATCGAAGACACCATACCCAGTTCATTGAAGTCCAAGGCCGATCAAGCGCGTCGCCATCTTATTGAATGTCTCGCGAATGTAGATGAGCGTTTCGGGGACCTCTTCCTCGAGCATGATTACGGGGTCCCAGAGGACGCCATTCATCGAGCGATCCGTCGAGCGACCATCGCACGCTCCTTCACACCGGTGTACTGTGGCTCCGCGTTGCGCAACGTGGGTGTTCAGCCGCTCCTCGACGCAGTGGTCAACTACTTGCCCAGTCCGGTTGAGGTGCGCAGCTACGCCATGCAGGGCGATACCGAGCAGCGAATCCAGCTCGAGCCAGACGCCAATGCCTCGCTTGTATCGTTAGCTTTCAAACTCGAGGACGGGCGCTTTGGTCAACTCACGTACCTTCGGGTGTACCAGGGTACTCTTCGCCGCGGCGATCTCATCTATAATGCTCGAACGGGAAAGCGGTTGCGCGTTCCGCGTCTCGTTCGCCTGCACGCGGATCAAATGGAGGATATTCAGGAAGCGACAGCTGGTGACATATGTGCCATGTTTGGACTGGACTGTGCCTCTGGAGATACCTTCACAGATGAAGCTGGTCTCGGGAGACGTCTCTCGCTGGAGAGCATTCGCGTCCCTGAACCGGTGATCTCGTTAGCGATAACGCCACAGGGCAAGACGGATGCACAGGCCAACTTTTCGAAAGCATTGGCGCGATTTACCAAGGAGGATCCCACATTTCGCACGTATCTTGATCCGGAAAGCAAGCAGACGATTATTTGCGGCATGGGAGAGCTCCATCTTGAGATCTATATCGAGCGAATGCGTCGCGAATACGGTGTCGAGTGCCAAGTGGGGCAGCCCAAGGTGAACTATCGAGAGTCGGTTTCCCGACGAGCGCCTTTCCAGTACCTGCATCGGAAACAGAGCGGAGGTGCTGGTCAGTACGCTGGTGTCCAAGGCTACATTGAGCCAACGCTCGAAGCCGGCTACTGGACCGCACGACCCGAGGACTCTGAGACCGCCGAGAGCGACCGCCAGGCAATGAGCGCGGTGAACACGACCAGCGAGGAGGGTGGACAGGCGGTTGCTGCGCAGCGCGAAGCTACAAAACGCGCTGCCGAGAACGAGTTTGTGAACGCGCTGGTCGGCAACAACATACCGCCACAGTTTATTCCGGCCATTGAGCGAGGCTTTCAGGATGCCGTCCAGGAGGGCGCGCTCAGCGGTCACATTGTGCAAGGTGTGCGGATGGTGCTCCAAGACGGCAAGAGCCATCCGGTTGACAGCAACGAGATCGCTTTCCGGACCGCTGCACTGATGGCCTTCCGCAAGGCTTTCCCCCAGGCCGGCGGTGTCATTCTGGAGCCATGGATGCGCGTTGCGGTGCAAGTGCCGCAGGAGTACAGTGGTGACATTCTGGGTAGTCTCACGAAACGGCGAGGAACTGTCGTGAATTCCCAAACTGACGGCGAATATGCGCTGATTGAAGCGGACGTACCGTTAAGTCAAATGTTTGGCTACTCGACGGATCTGCGCAGCATGACGCAAGGAAAAGGTGAGTTTACCATGGAGTACCTCCGTCACGAGCCGTGCACCCGGGAGGATCAAGAGCGGCTCATTGCAGACTACGCTGCGCTACGGAAGACAAAAGCAAACGATTGAGCGCGGATATGGAGACGTGTATGCGTGGGTGCACTCTGGCCAACATATGTGATGTCAAGCAAGGCTTTGTTCGCCCTCAATATTTACGGTACATAAAGCGGAGTGGAAGTCAACGCGACGGTATCCTGGTACCCGATAGGTAAACAATGATGATGACAATGATAATGATGACGCTCGCTATTTCGCATGATCGACGAATACAGGGGTAGCGCTCGAACTGTGCCTTACAGATCAACAAACAATGTTGCGTTTCGCAGTTCAAATATGTAAACGATGCTTTTCGTTGCTAGCTCTCTGCGCCAGGTGCATTCCTTTCGGTACGATGATTTGAAAGTTGTCGATGCTTCTGAATACTTGAGAGAAGAAATCGGAAACAATGATACGGTTGCAAAAGTCACATGCATTCGCCTCCGTCCCCGTCAAGCGAGAACATGGTATCACTAGATTTTGTACCGCTGTTGGATGCCGTCGATTTCAACAGTTTTGGCGCACCAGATACCCATGCGCCTCTCGATCTGCTGCAGACGACTCGTCCAGGGTAGCCAGTACCCAGACCCCTACATGAACACACGAGCGAGCCAGCGGACGCAGTGCAGCGCACGTTACGCTCGGGCGTCTGCGTCAAACGTATCTGGAAAGCTGCAGGTCATCGAGACACTTCCGCGAATGTCCCTCATTCCATAGAAGCTCTCATACACGTTGCAACGACTCAATCGTTGGTTCGTGGTGCGAGCCGGTGTCGGACGATATGCGCGGAAACCTGTCCCGGATCACTCACATGGAGGCCCAGTACGGAATGGCATGGCTGCGCGTGCCGGCTGGCTGGACAACGCTCCAGCTCGTTATGCAGCGCCCACGGATATGGCGCATTTCATCCCGCCCGTTAGCGACCCTAGTCCAGCGCGTGCCTCAACTGGACTGGGCTTGGAGAGGGAACACGGACGATATTCGGCGACGCAGCACCCAAACATGCCATGCGTCAGCGTTGCTCATTGGGAAACAGCAGGACATTTTCCAGAGGCTGCGTCACCAGTGAGCGCATGCTTATCGTGGCCGCACTGCGCTTTGACTTGTGGAACGACTCTGGTCTGCCTTAGCGTTGCCGATCATAGCAAGCGTATTGCAGCACGAGTGAAGGCATCGTAAGCACGACTTGCGCCAACCGGACTAGATCTGGGAATTGCAACTGGCGTCGTGGTGAACTGAGCACATCCACAAGCTAGTCGCTCATTCGAAAGGACTCGCGTGTGCCTATATCCTGGTATGGAACGCGGGATTCCTAGAAACGCGTTGGTTTCGCATTGGACGCATGTTCGGAGGTCGGAAGTTCACGTCCGCTAGCGCTGCTTGCCAGCTTGCGGCGATAACGCCATCAACACCTTCGCTTTGCTGCAGTGTGTACAATGTTGCCCGGCAACGAGCGCTCTTCCATCGAACGCGAACAATCCGAATCAAGGGCGCTGCGGGAGGCGTCATCAGGACTCGATCGGGGCTGCAATATACGTCGTTCTCTCGAGCAGATCATCTGGTGAGCTGAGGGATAAAGTTCTTGTTCGATGCCGGGTGTGCCGGTGTCGCGGAGCCGCACCAACTGGGTTCCAGGCAACGCCCGTGGAAGCCCAGGGCTGCCACGGCACCGGTGGAGGTCTTGCCCAGGCACCGGGCTGGGATCGCTGCTCGGCGTGCGAGCGGACGTGATCTTCTGATAAAGCCTTGGGGAGAGGTACGAGCTCGGGAGCGCAGTTCCCCACAGACTGCGCTGGCGCGTGCTTCTGTGGCTGCGTGGTTCCGCGTTGGCGCTCCGAGGTCGTGCAGAGGCGCTCGGTATAGCGAGCGGACACACCTGTGCCACTGAACTGGGCCCTGTCCGCGCGGCGTGACTTGCTCCGCAGTTCTGCAGCACGAGCGCGTCTACGTCGGAGCCTCAGCCAATCGGAACGTGGTTGCAGGCGGCTCTCTCTACACGTCGTTGTCATGGACGAGCGACTGCGTCTTGGTCGCTTCCGCCACAGCTTCCGCAACCGGCACCGCCAGCCTCGTTTATGTTCCAGATGCCGAGCATCAAGCCTGCATCGATAACGACTTTGAGCGGAGCCCAGACAAGACATTTTTCCAGTCACGTCTTTTAATGCGGGAATTAAGCGTCATTCGTCGAGAGAAGCGTTGTCTGCGGATACAGGGAGCATCAGCGAATGGGACATATATGGAAATAAAGCGTCCTGGACGTCGCGCGTGCGCGTGCGTGTCCGCAAGGCGCGCTGCGTAAGATCGCCAACCGCCGCAGCCTTCTCCAGGGCCAGTCCCTGCCCACGCGATGCGGATACAGGGAGCATCAGCGAATGGGACATATATGGAAATAAAGCGTCCTGGACGTCGCGCGTGCGCGTGCGTGTCCGAAAGGCGCGCTGCGTAAGATCGCCAACCGCCGCAGCCTTCTCCAGGGCCAGTCCCTGCCCACGCGATGCGGATACAGGGGGTATCAGCGACCTGCCTGCCTGCCTGCCTTGGCACAGCATTGTTCAGTAGCGTGCAGCGTTCTCGGACGACCCTGAGGTGGCGCATGGTGCTTTCGAGGTCGCCCTGATGTGGGTATCATACGCACTGGTAAAGCGCTCCTGGTTTGCACCAAACAGACCGGCACGTTTTATAGAGACTGTGGCACGAAGTCGCTTGCATAAAGCGTCGTTCAAGTCGCGGGCTCGATGCCTGTGCAACGCTTCAAACGACGTACCGCCCCGACGGATCGTATTTCTGGGGACCCCTCCAGTGGCGGAGTTGGTGCTCGCTCGCATCGCCGAAGCTACTGGACAGGTTCCCAGAGCGACCGCGGAGCCGGTGAACTTGACCAGCGCAGCAAGTCCAGGAACGCAGCACGTTCCGTTCAGGGTTGTTGGCGTCGTGACACAGCCGCCAGCGCCCCAGCGTCGCTCGGGAGCACCGCAACCGAGTCCCACACACCGGTATGCGGTTGATGTGATGCAGGTCCCGGTATGGACGCCAACACGACTAGCACGTGACGAAAGCTTTCTTCGTCTCTGGGAAACGGAGCTGCGACCGGATCTTGCCATTACTGCTGCGTATGGACAACTGCTTCCGGAGCGCTTCCTTCGCGTTCCACCGCTCGGTGTGCTCAATATTCATCCGTCTCTCTTGCCGCTGTATCGTGGTGCAGCGCCAGTCCAGCGAACGCTTCTGGACGGCTTGGAGTATAGCGGTGTAAGCATTGTGCGCACGGTACTGGAGCTCGACGCCGGCCCTATTCTATGCCAGGAGCGAGTCCCGATCGACGAGAACATTCAGGGTCCAGATTTGCTAGAGCAACTGTTTGCACTGGGTGCAGAGCTTCTCATTCAGCGAATCCTATGTCGGCGGGATGTTGCCCGTGCATCGACCGCAGCCGAGATGGACGAGCTCCTGGGCGAGATCCGTATGCAAGACTCAAGCCAGGCCACATATGCGCCGAAACTCAGCAAATGTGAAGGTGAGCTGAGCTTCACCGAAACTGCGTATCGTGTCCACAATCGCGTACGAGCCGTCGTGGACTGGCCTGGTGCCTGGATGGAGCTGATCGTTCGGCCCGGTAGCGAGGAAGCGCCGCATGCGGGGCAACGCTTGCGTATCAAGGTGCTCCGCACGCGCATTGCTCGCCGTCAAGGCGGAGCAGCGCTCGGCATCCATCGCGTCTCTTTCGTAGAGGACGCACTTCGCGTGACTTGCGATGACGGCTCACAACTGGATATCCTTGAGGTGCAATTACCTGGAAAGCGGGTGCAGACGGCTCGGGCGTTCTGGAATGGCTTGCGCGGACGGTTCCTCGAACGGCCACGGGATCCCTATCCGCCATTATATGAGACTCCAGCCAGATGACGACGCACCAGTGGAACGGTATCAATGCTGGTGTCTAGTTCTGTCAGTTTCCGCCTGGTGCACCTGCCGACTCCAATATCGAAAGCTCCCGGTGGACGCGGAGCGCGTTTGGATTGCCCACCCTGTTCTCGATAACGCGGCATGTACGTGTCTACGGATTGCTTCTTCGTCTTTGCATCGTTTACGTGAATCACTGAATGCGCAAAGGCCGAACACTGCTAGCTGAAGGCGCGCATACAGGGCCCGCCCTATAGCGTCCGTGTATTGACAAGTTTCGCGATGATTCCTTATGCGCTTGGGAAGATGAACTGCCTGCCACTCGGGAGTGTATGCGCACCGTACGCGTCATCATGGACCATGCTAGGACTTGCATGTCTTCTATCTGCGACTTTGTTTATCGAGGTATCCGAGCAGAAAATCACCAATCGATTTTTCGTGGCGTCCGCGTCTTGTATGGAGGAACGCGATACCCCGATTCTGTCTAGGTTGTAGGAGGCGGTGCAAACCAGGATCACGGACAGTGCACCGCCAGAAATGCTGGTAACAACGCTTTTCGGCCTGGCATGGGGCTGCATCGCACGCACCATGTCGCAAGCGTTGTTGTCCGGATCACGGACGTCTTCATCAGTTCTGTTTGGAGCGCGCTTTGGGACGCTGGCGAGTGATGAAACTCATCGAGGAGGCTGCATGCCCACGAATCGTCCTTGGAGGTCATTGCCGACCCTGGGTGGAATATTCATGTCAGCAGTGACTGCCGTGGCGCTCGTTCGAAGCCACCTCGCCGAATTTTGCGTTCATGCTTGTTGTGTGAGCATGAACGAATTCTAGGCTCTTTCGAAGTTTGCGTCATAAAACGGGATACCCGCGGAAGCGCGCATAGGCACGGATACGTTGCCGGGCAGCTGCCGCTTCCGCTACACTCGTGTTAGATTCAAATAGAAACCCGAATAACTCGTTCCGTTGCTGTCGCTCGATATTTTTCTGAGTTTCTACAACACGTGTAGACTTGATATTCGACGTGCAGCGGTATAGGCGTACGGATTCGTACGTCATTCTAGGGGGCTCGGTCGTGTACTCGGTGAGGCTTCTTCTTCGATAATTTGCAGCTGGAATGCGTTCCGTCACTGGCATCAAGATCATTCGCAATGCCTTCGACGTCATGTACGTAAAATAACCGACATCATGATCCAAGGCTTCCATGCAAGCTTCCAATCTTCTCCTTTATTCATGTGTAACATGATCCGATCGCGCATGCTTCAAGTTATCGATCTTTCCGTTTCGTGACGAGTCGTGAGCACAGAAACCCGAGCTGCTGCATTGATGAGGAGAGGATTTTTCAAGAGATCGTTCTGTGGCGACTTGTCCGCGAGCGTATGCCTCAGCTTCAGTGAGCTTTTCATGACATATCCGGCTCCCACGGGATAGGCTCCCAGGGGCTCCCGTCTCGCTTTTTCCAACGGAATACCGTCTTGGACTCGGACTTGAGTCATCGCAGCGCTCGCGTAGGATGGAGCATGCGTGACCGCTTCATACCAAGGAAGCGTACACAGATCGAAATCGCTCGAGTTGTTCTCCATCCTGGATTCCCGTTCCGATACTTGTTCCATCATGGACAGCATCGCACTCCATAAATTATCTATGAATCGGAACGGCGTGCGCTGGCGTGTCACATAGAGAACGTTCTCGCCGGGGCGTTTGCCCAGAACAAACCCCTGCTCGCAATACCCATTTCCAGTCGCTGAAACCGAGGACTACATCGACGCACGCCTTCCGTACCCGTCAAGCGCATCTACCAAGCAATGAAGCAAGCGTTCACGCGCCATGAGGCAGGCCTCGGAAGCGTATTTGTGGCAAGCACTTGGAAGCACCAGCTCACAGCAACGTCTCATGGCTACAAAGATCGCATCGAGGCTGCTTCTAACGAAGTTTGCAAATCGGATGCAAGACGCAGATCCCAACTTGCTCCAACGCCATGTAACGCATCGACAACAGTCGGACGTAGCGGACTCGATTCATTACCCCTCCTAGCAATACCCGTCGACTGCTGATCATACAGTTGGTGTGATCGGAGAAAACGCCAAATCAGAAGCATCGTACACAAACGAGGTCGCAGAATCCGTAACGAAGAAAAAAGCCCAAGTACGCTGACCCTATTCGCACTAGAACTCGACCCGAACGATAAGAATACACGCCCAGTCCACAAGACCTTTCCCGTTATCTTCCGATGAGCGTATAACGCGCCGTCTTGTCTATGAACGCCCTCGAGTGGCGATCAAAACACGTTCCTGGGCTTCATGGAGCGCTCCCAACACCGAGGACTCGGCTCACATAGCGCTCGCCACAGCGCGCCTCACGTCCACTGAATCATGACAGCTCATGCCACGCACTCAGTACTCCATAGAACCTATGAAACGACCAGTATATCCGACAAGAAGTACAAGTCATGGAACTTGGAAGTAGGGCGTGAAACAACGAACGCTTTACCATGCACTGATATCCAGCGCCTAGTCGGGCAACGCTGACCTGTGTGTTCACATTTTGTCCACTGAAGAGAGAAACGTCGAATCACCATCTCGGCTGCAAAGCACGAGCGCCACCCCAGCAACCCCGCTAACGAGGACTCCTACCATCGCCTGTTCTCCTGGCTTTTGTGCAGCGCGGCTCGTACGCCTGAGTACAATTGGGCGTAAACTGGCGACGTTCTGGGACCGAGGTTACACCAGGGTGCTTGTGATGCGTACCGGCTTTCTGCCGACGGTGACGCTCGGTCGCTGGCAGCCGCTGCCTCCAAGCCGTGCCTTTGCCTGGCGACGGTGCGTGAATCACCGACTTGCCAAGTTTGCAAAACATTCGCTTCTTTTCGGCGGTGCAACTGCTGAGGCGTCATCGTCAATATCATCATCATGGACGCAACGTGCTGATACCTGGGCAATGAGCGACGTTTGGCGGCGGCAGTTTCCGAACGCGACCGCCAGCCAGTGGCACATGCGCTTCGGTGAAAGCGTGACAACGTCCTCCGTGGAGCAACTGCTCGATGAACTTGTACGCAAGTACGAAACGCAGGTCGAGGCTGCACCTGGCACCCCAGCGGATACCTCTCCGACACCAGCACAGCTGATTCAAAAAGTTATCGAGTTTTTGCGCGGGCTCGGATTATCTGTGGAGGACGCTGGACGCGTCATCCATAAACGACCGCAGATCTTGCGTCTTTCCCTCAAAAGCCAGGCAGCGCCTATCATCCATTTTCTGGTTCGCGACCTAGGTTTGACGGACGCGCAGGTTCGACGCGCTGTGCGACATGCGCCCCAGATATTTGAGCAACCGCTCGACCTGCTTCGAAGCAATGCTCGTTATCTTTCGAGACCTACGAGCCGGAGAGCCCTGGCACTGCGTATCGCAGATGACACCGTAGCCTCACATGCGACAAGTGACCCAGCGGACTCAGTGGAGCGCTCGGTAGCTAGTGCGGCGGTGTCGAGCGACCACGGGACGTTCACAACCAGCGCAAATGAGGATGATGAGGACGGGGATGCTCGCAAACCTCACCAGAACAATGACCTCGTCGCTGGTGAAAGCACTGCTTCGAACGACTCTTCGTCGTCTGCGATGGAAGCATTGAGCTTTGGTCGACGTCAGCTTGCGAGAGCGGTCGCCAAGTGCCCTGGTATTCTCTGGCGGTCGCCAGCGACGATGGCGCGTATGGTGTATTTCTTTCGATCAGAAATGGGTTGCAATGCACGCGAGACAGCGCACGTGCTTTCACTGGTACCGCAGCTGCTGCTTCGCTCTCCCGACGAGCTGTTACCGCAGGTGTCCTGGCTGCGTCGTCATCTCCGACGAAAAGCCGCAGATGGAAACGGCGCTATCGCGCCAAACCAGCGCGACTTGGCGCGGCTGGTGGTCCAGTATCCCACATCGTTACTACTGGACCCGATGGAGACCATGCAACCGCGTTTGGACTATTTAAGAGATCACTTTGGAGTGTCTGATTTCCGTCGCTGCCTCTTGAATTCGCCCACTGTGCTGGAAGCGAGCATCGAGCGGGACTTGGCGGGATTCAAACGGGTCTTGGTGGACTCCATCGGCTTTGCTAGCGATGATCCAGCGCTCGCTACGATTGCTACCAAGGTTCCGAAATTCTTCCACACCCGACCGCAACTGATATTCGAGTTTCTCACCAGGGAGGCCGGTTTGGACCCTGCGGAGGCACGCACGTGCTTGGCGCTTGCGCCTACCCTGGTCCTGTTATCGGGGCGGCGGGGCCAGTCGGTGCCCTCTTTCGGGACCCATCTGTTTCCGTATCTGCATTTTTGTACGCAAGTGCTGGGCCGTTCGCTCGTGGACGTGCTACGCATTGCACCTGATTTCCTTACCATGGACGTGGAGCGACGTCTGATTCCGCGGTACGCCTTTGCGAAAAGCCGGCTCACGAGTCACGAATGGCAAGCTTTGAAGCTCCACGACTTGCTCTGCTCATCTACGAGTCGCTTCTGTGAACACGTGATGCATGTGCCCGTTTCCGAGTATCAACGCTATGTGCAGAGTGGCAAATGGTTGTTGTTTTATTTGCAGATCTTGTGAGCGACCGCACTGCGACACCCGTGAGTTGTTCGATGCGACGGGCAGCGGGGCATCGCTTCCGCCGCACCTTGACCCATCAGGCGGGTGCTGCGGCTGGGCGTATCGTCGACGGCCGCACCGCAGACGCGAGCGTCTCGACGAGCTCACTAGCTGCTGCCTTCTGCATGATGATGTTGACGGTTCGCTGCTATGGACGGGAGGCGTGCTGTGCGGTTGGCAAACGCACGTCACTGGCGATCGCCAGACCCAAAAGGCGTAAGCAGAAGCGCGTTTTTGTCGCATTCATGCGGTGCGTCGACTCGCGTCCGCTGCTCCCTATCCCGGAGCAGTACATTTTGCATTGGAAGGTCCCCGAACGAGCCTATGTTGTGAGCATCGTAAACCAAACGGATCCTGGTAGCGCCGTATCCCGATTTGAGCGAATCCCGGGGCCGGAAAGCACCGTCACCGCTGTTGTATGCGAAAGTCGGTGATGTGTCGTGGATGGGCGCTAGACTGTGGGCCTGCGCAGGCGACCGGAAAAGCGATACGCTGCCGTCTAGATGACGGATATCGCGACTTGAGCGCACGTCCGTCACTGGGCTCCATTGGTGGAGTCGTGTCTGGGATGAACCGCCTGCGCCACTGATACCATCAAGGCGCTATCTCGGGCGGTTTTGTGCAGTCCTTCGCGTAAACTCTGGTTCACTCTCGCATGCACCGAGCTGGTGTCTTGGTGTAACCGAACTCGGCGAGCGACATGTCAACATGTGCTTTGGAGATCGCGTGTTGCGGGCGTGGCCTCGGTTATCCTCGATCGAATACGAAACCGCTTACACCGGCTACAAGCGGCGGTGATTCATACTCCTGGTGAGAAACGCCACGCGGGCACCGGTATCAGCAGCAGGAGGAGATGCAGACGAAACGTTTGCCGCCATGCCGTTCCCAAACCAGAAGCGACTTGCCTGGCATTTGTTGCGACCGCCCGAGGCAGCGACCTGGTCGAGAAATTGCAACAGGCGTGAAAAGGCAACCATCGTTCACGAGCAGTGAAGTCTGGAATACCAACGCAAGCACGTCCTTGTTGTTTTTCAGCTTGTTCTTGTCGTAGGTATTTCGTAAAGGGATTGGATTCCATGGATTTGGCAAATGTCGCGAAAACGAAACTTGATGCTGTTGTTCCTTGGTTGCGAAAACGGCTTTATTCTTCCGAGTCGATCATAGCATGATGAGCAGATGCACGAACTGGTGCTGTCGTGGACAGCATCGTTCACTCAAAACAGCACTTGTCAAATGCGATGGCCATAACCGTCTCCTCGTGAATTTATCCAGAGTCATACGTTCTCTCAGAATGACGATCGATCGACGAGAGCGTTGGATGAGAAGTACGCTGCGTCCAGTTGCAACGAACGGTGATAAAAAGACCCGGACGGATAACGAACAAGAAAGCATGGGTCTTTGAAAAACCGTTGCAGGTTGAAAAGACACCAACGTGGTCGTACGAAAACGCGGACGACTATTCCAGGGGAGACAGATGCTCGACGAACGCCCTGAGAGGTTCATCCGGAGGTACGGTGGATTCATGTCTATGGGAATTCAAGGAGGATCAAACCAGTGATTATAAAGAAGAGAAGCGCGAGCATTCCGACAACTTCAGCTCTAGCAGTGCTTGACAGGTGCAGTCGCCAACGAACTGCCAAACGCATAGGATCGTTCGACGACAAGTAGTTTTTCGAAGCAGCCTTCTTGGCTGCTTCATTCCATCTTATTCTGCCTTGCACATAGCAAAACGTCGCTTTCCATAAATCAAAAGCGTCAAATTCGTATGCAGTTCAAACTGGCAGTGCACCGAGCTTTGTACCAATTCATTGCCCTTGATTCAGTCCAATCGAAGACATTTTTACTCTTTTCAAACGACTTTTTGTACGCTCACGAATCCATAGACGAGTCGTTTGCATCCATGACGCCGTTCTTGGACAAGCCGTTCTCTTCCAGCGCCAGTGATCAAATGCCCTGTTACCGCTCTGCCCGTACACAGGAGCGGGGGTACGGAAAGGCGTGCTTCCGTCTGTGTGCAGATCGGCAATGGAGGACCTGACGAAAGGGTACTTGATGGATCTTGGAATCATCTATAGACAGAAAAGGTGAACGCCAGTTTCACTGTCCATCGGGCGGGTCTGAAACTAGAGGAATAGAAAACGGATAAATAGCAGGTTAACTAGATGGATATAGAATCGTCAAGTCAACGAAAAGGCGAGGGAACTCCCTCACGAAGAAGGGATACATCTTCGAGAAAAGACGACGAAGGTGACCAGGATCGACGAACTCTCGAAGCGCAAAGATGAGTCTGGAGTCATTGCGTTGGTCTCCCGAAGAATATACGTCAACGGGGAGAGACTTCGAAACAGCGATATGCAGGACGCCACCAGGAAACTTTCAGGATCTCACTCGAGATGTTTCGTCTCGAGTATCTCGAATTGAGGTACCTCGTTACGAAGACATTCGCAGGGTTTCCGCTCGTTTCGTTGCCAGCTGTTCACATGCTTCCGGAAGTTTTCGATCAAACCCTTTATGCGACATCACAACGGATGATCGTAGAATTAACAGTGCACACATGCGCTTCCCAGAATACCTTGACACGTTACCGCACCACATCGGCGTTTAGAACATCCACCGTGCAGGTTGTCACAGAGGATCCATTAGGGCTCGGCAACAAGATGCGGGTCCATACAGCGCACTTCATGCGGCAAACGATACGGGCATTATACCGTAACCTCGCTCGTCGATCATAGCAGGAAACGGCGGAAGGAATTCTCACTGTGTCGTTGGAGACAAATGACGAGCTGGTTATGGCGGAAGCGATATCGCAACGAAAGCGAGAATCGCTTCAGAGCGTCCAAACGCATCATGGCGCTTGGCATACGATCGTACGGATGAACATGGCACACAAAGGAAGGTCGCAACGGAATGACTTTCTTCGTTGTACCTTGCGCTTCCACGTCATCCAGAACAGAGCGTTTCCTGTCAAGCGTATGTGAGCGTCCACACACGGCTCCTGTGCCCGGTCTTTGGCAAGCGTCCATGAGATGACGCTAGTGCCGCCAGCAATATCGGTTGCACGCGGACAAGAAGCCGGCATCCGTTGTGTTCTTAGATGAGTTGAAACTGGCACTGACCCGAAAGCCGCGATTGTTTGCGCCCCAGCCTATGACACTGCACATGCGGCAGCGTATAAAGGCTGTACTGATGCCCCTTCGGCGGGCGCATAGCGCGCTCGTAAATGATCCGACTGCCTACAGTGCCTGTCGACGCCTTTAGGACGAAATATAGGCATCACGTGCTCAGATGCACGCTGAAATACCTAGACAGGCTGTGCCAGAAACAGCATTGTCCCCATGAAATGATGCCCCAGCAGTCGACTGAGCATCACACAGCACGCTATGCAGAGGCTGGCGGCCCGCTACAGTGTGACTCCATCTGCAACCTTGCGCGCAGGCATTACGCGTTTCGTCACAGACTTGAACGACTCGATCAGCATCCAGAACTTTCTCGTGCTTCCGCAGCGTCCAGCGCCTCTGTATCTAGCAAACATACGAGACTGCTGTATCGTACACCGTGTAGATATTGTGCTGAAACGCTGCGTACTTGCGATGAAAAGCAATCTCATCATCCAGTCTAGGTCCAATTCGATTCCCATCTGTGCAGCACAGCATGCTTCCGTTCAGTGCAAGCAATGCCAACAAGAGCCATGTACCGCCGAATATACAAATCGGTAACGATTTTCCCGGGCGACCCACGATGGAACAAATATGTTCCATGGCAAGATACCGCAGGGTACATACATGCAGCAATTGCACTGCACCGACCTACCTCGAGCGAGCAGTCGCGCTTCGACTCCGGCGACGACCAGGCACTCCATAGCAGAGCGTTAACACCAAACCCGCCGTCTCGATAAACATCGAAAGCGCGTACCGCACGTACCGTCACGCGGCTACTTCAGCTCGAACCATTGCGCCTGAGTCGAAACATTCACGCTGCCCTGCTCAGCATCCGTACAGATACCAGACATGACGTTGTGTTCGAACGTTACAGCAGCTACGACTACGACAACTACGGAATCTCCGCTATGTGCATGTCGATTCGAGATGCACCCATCCAATCCGTATGTTTGATCTTGCAGCGATTTACGGCTCCATCATGTGCGGGTAGCGCCAGTCGTCAGGCGGTAGAAAACTTTCCTTGATGGCTCGTGCACTCGTCCAACGCAGTAAATTCAGCACGCTGCCGCTTTTGTCATTGGTACCACTCTGACGCGCGCCTCCAAACGGCTGCTGACCCACAATCGATCCGGTGCACTTGTCGTTGATGTAGAAATTGCCTGCTGCATCGCGTAAGCGATCCGTCAGGGCCATCACCGCGCTGCGCTCTCGAGCAAATATTGCACCCGTCAACGCATAATCCGTCCCGTACAGGGCGTGATCCAACGCTGACTCCATTTCAGTGTCCCGATAGACATAGACGGTGAGCACTGGACCGAAGATCTCCTCTCGCATGGTGACAAAATCGGGATCTCGGGTCTCGATCAGTGTTGGCTGGATGAAATAGCCGACACGATCGTCGCATGAACCACCGTGGATAATCTTCGCGACGGGATTCATTTGCTGTGACGCAGTCCGAGCTTGTTCAATGTAGTTTCGGATTCGCTCGAAGGCCTGGCGATTGATGACTGCAGACATGAAAATCGAGAAATCCTCCACTGGGCCCTGTTTGATCTGCTGCATCTCGCGAACCAGGCGATCACGCAGTGTTGGCCAGAGCGACGACGGTACGTACAATCGAGAGGTGGCCGAGCACTTCTGGCCCTGGTACTCAAAGGCTCCGCGGATGGTATGTGGTACGACCCAGTCCAGATCTGCGCTGGGGTGCACAAAGTGAAAATTCTTACCGCCGGTTTCGCCCACAATGCGAGGGTAATTGCGATAATGCGGGAGGTTGCTCGCAACCTGTTGCCAAATCGTGCGGAATGTTCGCGTGCTCCCAGTGAAATGGACACCCGCCAGTGCTGGATGCTGGAGGCAGGCACGACTGAACGATGGTCCGTCTCCGGGAAGGAACTGGATCACACCCTCGGGGAGGCCCGCTTCCCGCAGAACCTGATACACAAACCACGAACTCAGTTCGGTGTTCGGTGACGGCTTCCAAAGTGCCACATTGCCCATGATCGCCGGGCTGCTCGGCAGGTTCGCCCCTATCGCAGTAAAATTGAAGGGGCTTATTGCCGCCACAAAACCCTCGAGCGGGCGCCATTCCAGCCGGTTCCAAACACCACGAGGAAAGTGCTCCGGCGGCTGCATATTGTAAATCTCGCGCATGTACTTGACCCCGAAACGCCAAAAGTCTATCGTTTCGACCGCGGCATCGATTTCAGCCTGCCATACGTTCTTTGATTGGCCAAACATCGTTGCGGCATTGAGTCGATATCGATATTTTTGAGAGGCAAGTTCAGCAGCTTTTAGAAAGATAGCTGCACGCTCGTCGGCAGGCGTTCGACTCCAGCGCTCGCGAGCCTCCAATGCGCCCTGAATCGCTTTCTGTACCAGTTGGCCGTCGAGCGGGCGGTACAACGCAATCACTCGCCGGTGATCGTGAGGCATGACCTGTTCTACGGGTTCAGCATCATCAAAGTATTCCTTACCGTTGACAACGCAAGGTACACGAACGGGAAACTGGCTTTTCAGAGCTTCCAGCTCTGCTTTGAGCGCTGCCCGCTCCCTCGATCCGGGCGCATAGTGTTTGTACGTTTCGTTTTCGATTGGCGGAAGCTGTGCGTTTCCCAAAATATGTCCGAACGCATTCAGCGCTCCCACACTACCGACAGCAGCAGCACTTGGCGTCGGTGCATCAGCAACAGAGGTGCGAACCGTGCGATGCTGGAGCGCGCGCTTCGAAAGCTGCTCGGGCGCTGCTCGTCGCTGTTTCCATGCTTTGCCTGAAGTTGCGCTCAGTAACGCTCCGGGTAGTTGTAAGCGTGCTCCTAGATTGCGCACTTGGTAAATAGCAGGCATAACCTTTCCAAACTCCATCGGTCCCCGTCTCTATACTTTGACTCGCCTTGCCTGAGAGCACTTTGGGCGGAATCGGAGGTGCAGCCTCTCCAAGCGATATGCGCCAGACATCGTACTCGAGGCCGTCGTTGCCGCCGCCAGCGCCACCGCCAGCGTCTTCATACACCGCTGATGTGTACCTCTGATGGGAAGCGTCGACAGTGGAACACGGAAGGAGGACGATGCATAATCGATGCTTCTGTATTCGCTGGTACGGTGCGTATAATCGGGGATCACTTACACCGCTGATGTGTACCTCTGATGGGAAGCGTCGACAGTGGAACACGGAAGGAGGACGATGGATAATCGATGCTTCTGTAATCGCTGGTACGGTGCGTATAACCGGGGATCACTTACACCGCTGATGTGTACCTCTGATGGGAAGCGTCGACAGTGGAACACGGAAGGAGGACAATGGATAATCGATGCTTCCGTATTCGTTGGTACGGAGCGTATAACCGGGGATCACTTACACCGCTGATGTGTACATCTGATGGGTAGCGTCGACAGTGGAACACGGAAGGAGGACGATGGATAATCGATGCTTCTGTATTCGCTGGTACGGTGCGTATAATCGGGGATCTCTGGTCTGTATGGAAACGTTCTGTCAAACAAATCGAAAAAATAGAACGCGGATCCGTTCGTCACTGCTCGTCGCGTTGTTCAGAATGCCGATGAGCAGGCGCAATGCGACACTACGGCATGCAGCGGGGATTCTGTTTTTCCAGCGGCATTCAGAGACACTCGCAACAACAATAGCGTATGCTGGTAGACAGACTAGAAAACACAGATGTCGTTGGATGCGCAATCAATGGATCTTTTCTTCAGACGCTCCTGCTGCGCGCTGCACAAAACAGAAATCTTGCGTTTGTCGATGCCTTCGAGAGACGGCACCTGGCATGCCAGCTGCATGCTTGGCGCTGTGCCAAGCGCGCAAAAAAACGGGACCTGCAGTCCATCAAGGTACAGAAGGGATCTTGTATTGTCAAGTGACAGGCATTTCTCGTGGAAAAACGCTCTTGCTCGAACACGTTCATCGAGACTCGTAACGATGGTGATCGATGTGTTCACACCAAGTTGGCGCTCGCGCTGGATTCCCTGTTATGGACAGAGCGCAGAACACGAGGAAAACTGCATATCGACAGATTTGGTCTGTATTTTACCACCGCTTGGCAACGATCCATCAACGCGATGGTATAGTCGCGCACAATACGAGGAAAACTGCATATCGACAGATTTGGTCTGTATTTTACCACCGCTTGGCAACGATCCATCAACGCAATCATAGAGTATGCAGCGTTCCTCATCTGGTTATCGGTGCTGCGTGCCGAGCTTCCGTATGACGGCGGCTGTAGCAACATTCCAAAACCGAAATCCTTCCGTGGTGCATCAGTTGCAGTGATCCCGCCCAGTGTCGAACGCGCGGATCTGATTGTCCACCAAATATCTCCAAGTACCATCCTCGCCGCCGTCATCCTCCTCGTCCACGTCCTTCTCGTCGTCGTCATCGAGAAACATTGTGGAGGTATCTACCAAACGACACAGCGGCAGAATCACTGTACACACCTCTGAGAATCCCTTCGAGCAGTCTCGCTGACAGGCAGCGTCAACGCACCTGTCACGCGAGCTATACGTTTATGCACGCCATTTCAGCTGCCTTCATCCTGCCTGGTATGCTTCTCCGCCGATGCGGTGGCATTAGAGTCGAAGCTTTCAATAAATATTTCGACTGTAGAGGTAATGACGCCACTCGCGACGATCCCACAGGTTTTCGATGTAATTAAGGATCGCTGCGTCCACATCGAACCCGACGAGATCCGTGGTGTTCACACACACGATCTTCGGCTCTGTGAGACGGGTGAGGCCCTCCTCCGGTGTCATGATGTAGCGGGGCGGCGTTTTAGCCTCTTCCCCTGTGGTGTTACTCCAGCATGACACCTTCAAGTTGAAGTGCTGCTTCATAAGAAGTCGAGTTCCTTCCTGCGGGATCTTCCGCTGATTGCGGTGCAAGAACATGACAGAACGTCCCATTTTCTCGAGCCGTGCAAGGACATGTTTCCGTGCCGATCCATTCGTGGCGAGCGCGGGTGTCCTGACCAGTTCCTCCGGAAACGGCCAGAATTGCAACATGCCATGACCCTGAAACAATCCGTGATCGTCGTAGAAGCCCACTGATCCCAGAGCTATCGGTGTAATTTCGGATGGCTCATGCAGCGCGAGCGCAGCTAGACGGTACGAGTCCTTGTCGCCGTACAAGTGCCGATAGAAAAAGTCTCGATGGTGGTACATGTACACGGCAAGCATCAAAGGGCGCCAAAAGCTTCGTTTGCGGTCGATATCACGCCGACGGAGCAGAATCTGACCCGATTCGGAACCGCGCCTGTCCTCTATACGGATGCCACAGGCCTGCTGCTCGCTTCCAGGCTCCGTGTACTCTACGGTGCCTTCGTACTGGGAGCATGGTGGCGGCCCCAGGGCTTTCAGCATCGTTCGGTACGGAACCAGACGGCGATAATCTGACGGTTCAAAGAGGCCAAAATAATCGGTCCAGAAAAATCCACCGATATCGCCAAGTCCAAATTTTCCAACGCCAAACAGACCGGTCGGGTCCAGCAATGGGATATTGTCACTGTCGAGAACAAGGATTTCATCGTACATGCTCAGCACCATCGCAAATACCTTGAGTCCGTATCCCTCAATGTGCAGCTGTTGCGGACATGACGCATACCAGTTTCGGGTCGTAGCGGAGCCGTTCGCGCGCAGCTCATAAGCCCGTTGGGCAACCTGCTGAATATTTCGGAAGACAACGGGCGCGAACGTCTTTCGGACCCATGCTTCCAGACCAGGTGTAGGCGCTTCGCCGGCATCCTGGTAGAAGATCTCAACCGGCAGCCGGCATCCAGCACGATCTCGCAGGGCCTGCAAAGCCACGAGTCCTAGTTGCATGAGTCCGGGCCCTCCAGCTGGTATCACCACGGCCCTTGTAGCAGTATCCTTGCCGAGTCCGCGGCGCTGTGCTCGTGCTGGCTGAGGCGGCGGTGACGGTATGGCGGCCATGAATGCCCTCCAGGCATGTGCATGCCCCCGTATGCGTTGCTCATCGTCGTCGCCCTGGCCTTCTGCGTGTTTCACGTAAACCTCGTGCGCGGAACAGAGCGCATTTTCAATACCGATCCAAACCTTGGCGAGCTCTGTCAACTCCTCAGTCGTCCAGGGCTCGGGCGCAAGCTCCCAGCCCGACAGGCCGCTGGGCACAACTTTCGACGCATCCTCCGAGTCGCCCTCGGGCTGGGCACCGTGCGGTTCCAGTGGCGCCGAGCCGACTCCCGTGGGATGCTCCGGCGAATTCGCGTAGCTTTTGAAACGCTGCTGCGACCGAGACAGGGTCAAGTGAAACAAGAGCCCAAACAGGAGCAGACCACATAGCACGCCAAGGATCCTCTTCGTGCCCGGCGCCGTGTCCTGCAACAGCGTACCCCACTTGTTCCGTATTCCACGGAACCTGGAGGCAAGTCTCGGTGCCATAGTCACCGGCAAACCGTCAAGCTCCAAGCGCTTGGAAGTGACTAGTCCATCCCCCGCCGATGACAAGCATCAGAGGCATGACGCTCGCGGGAAGGCGACCCCGCGGGACGTATCGACCTCTACGTCCCCGGTTTCCGACGCGGGTACGGATCGCGGCGGCAGCGGCGGCGGCAGCGGCATATCCGTTGCTGCACCGAATTCTGGCATCGATCCGTGGTCAATCTAGACGTTTTGTCATATGGAAAACGATCCGTTGCTGCGGCAGTAGCGTCGACGGCACGCGCTTGGCGTCATCAGACGAGGTGTTTAGCGGCGCTGGAGAGCGACGACGGCTGCGACCCTTGCTATCCCCTAGTGCTAGCAGCGCCAGCAGCAGCAGATCGACTCCTGCGGGCTGCGCCCTACGACGCTTCCCATCGACACACAAACACACAAACATACCCACACATTCACACAGATACCCAAATCCAGGTACAAAGCGAGAGTCTGAGATACAAGTCGTACGTTCCCTGTTGTCGTTGTGCGAGGCTCACCTGCGCGCACCAGGCCAGCAGGCCCGACCGCGCGCTCTACTACTATGGCGGGACATGCTGCATCATGAATGCTCGCTCCGATACCAGTGTCTGTCGCATCATCGCGTATCTGTACGCTGTGATGGAACCCCGTGCCCGCAACCCAGCGCAACTGCGAATGCGTACGGTCTACCCGGACACGCACCGTCAGGAACGCTTATGGATAATATGGAACCAAAACATACCATTTGATCCCATTTAATCCAGTCCATCGGTGCAGCGTCTCCCGATCCACCACATCGATGGCTGGTATCCAGGAGCCGGAGCTGGTGCGGCTTTTCTCGCAGAAGCACCACGACACTGGCAGCGCTTGTCCTGATCGAGTTCTGATCGGAAGCAGGCGTGTCAGCATGCGACGTAGTCGGGGAAAGTCCGCAAGGCGAAGCCGCAAGCTGGAGCCATGGGAGCTGTCCAGCGACGACGATGAAGACGGTGCGTTGGCGTCGGGTTCAGGCGACAGCGATGAGAGCTTTGCGAGTGTTTCGGACACAGAGCGTGCGCGTGCTGTGAACCAGGTATCGACAGAGACCTCTGGTCGTGCGATGCTACGGGGCAAACGAGTGTCTGGCGCAGCTGCCGCTGGATCCAGCACGGACGACGCTGGCACGCTCCAGGACCCTGAGAGCAGAGTGAAGCGGCAGCGCGCGGCGCGTCCCAAGGACGACCGACGGACCGGGAGCGACGCGGATACGGACAACCTGGTAAACGCTGACACCGCCGCTGAGAAGGCCAAGGAAGCGTCGACTCAGGACCTGAGCGAGCTGGAAGATATCGAAACGGAACCCGAATTCGACGACGGCTACGACGCCGAGGGTTACGGCGATGAACAGGATCGTGCGCACCTCCTCTCCCTGACGGCAGTCGAACGGGAAACCATTCTTGCAGAGCGCTTCGAGCGCCGACAGAGGGAGTACGAAGCATACTTGTTCCGAAAAGCGCTTCGTGAGCGCCGGCGTGCCGCCATCGACGCTCGAAAGCAGCAGCGGGATGCCTCCAGTGCTGACAAGGCAACGCTTGCCGAACGTGAAAGAGCGAAAAAGAGAACCCGCAAACAGGCTTTAGATGCCTTAGCACAAGCAAAGAGGCGAGATAAATCGTCTTCTCGGAGGCGTGCCAGCGATAGCGAGGCATTATCGCAGGCGTCGGATCTCGATGAAAGTGACTGGAGTGCAACACATCCGCCGGGGCTCTCGGAGACCGACTCGGTATCCGACATGCCCCACGGTACCGATGAAGAGGAGGATGGTGCTCAGCGCCGTCGCCGTGGCACCCTGCCCGTTTCGGCTAGCGCGAGCGTTCAACGAAGAACTCCCGTAGAGCGTTCCCACGGCCTGTTGTCGAAGACCATGACATTCGCGGACCTGGTAGATCCACAGACCGGAGCACCGTCACCGCTTGTGTTGACGCGCGGACTTGTGGAACGATTCCATCAGAAGCCATGGTTCACTCGGTTTGCTCTGGGTTCGTTCGTGCGAGTGCCGTTACCGCCCACAGCAAGCGCGAATGCCACGTCGTCGACACCACAGCAACTGCAACAGTACGTTTTGGCGCGTGTAAGTGCGATCCTGAAGGCACCGAGGCTGTACCCGGTACCGTCGACGCAGGTCGTCGAGGGCGGGCGCCCCGCACCGCCATTCAAAGTAGGGTTTCGGATTCAGGCAGAGCTCTGCGGTCGTCAAAGGCGCTTTTCGGTTGATCAGCTGTCACGGCACGCTCCATCAGAGCTCGAGTGGTTGCACTACGAGAAACGTCACCAGGAGCAACGCCTGCCGCTCCCGTCTCGAGATGAGGTCGAAGCGCTGCGAGCCGAGAAGCTCGCGTTCATGCGAGGCGAGATCCCTGCGACACCCGAGGAGATTGCCGATTTCCAAGCCGAGTTTGAACGTCTTCACCCCGAAGCCGTGAATTATGCTCGTCGTATCACACAGGTACGGGCGCAACTGGCGCACGCTCAGGAAGCAGGCGACATGGAGAAGCAAAACGCGTTGGCGGCAGAACTGGAGCGCTTGGCGGAACTCGAGACTCGTTATGGACAGCGCCCGCGTGAGGGCTCGTCCAACGAACAAGTACGTGATATGCTGCTATCGAGAAGGCATCATATGCCGTCGACAGAGTCCAAGTTCACACCACAGCGTCCAGCTCCGGAAGCGGAACTCCCGCTGGCAGCCTCGCTCATGCTGCTGAAACGCACTGTCGAGGAGCAGAACGCTGTGGAGCTGGATCCTTTCGCGCGTCGCGTCGCGCGGGGCACGAGTTACTTCTTCACACCCAGCAAAGCGACGTCCTCTGAGGCAGCCACCGACGCAAGTGCATCGCTCGAGTCGGAGACCAGGCGGAGCATCGGTGCTACCGGGCAACCGCCACCGCCTCCGCCTCCGCCTCGTGAAGCGAATATCCCAGCGAACGCACATCGCGCAGAGGCCTTGCGGGAACTCATCCCTCAAATAGAGCGTTGGCTATGGTATGGCCCGCTTTTGGAGCCTTTACGCAATGTCGAATTATCATCGGCTGATGAGGATGTGTTCCTTGCTTCTCGCGCGCGCTTTGAGCACCTTCGACGCGCCCAGGGCGATGCGTCTGTCGCGCTCTGACTCGGTCGGGTCCGCTGGCTGGGGGCAAATACCAGTGATGTGCCCGGGACGGTCTGCTGCAACTGGCGACTGTCGTGCTGCGGCTCGTGATCCAGGGTGTACGCTGGCAAGCGCGAGCGTGCGCTTGGAACACTAGAAAAAAGAGACAAGTTCGTGGTGTGCCCGTCGACGCCGTGCGTGAAACGTTGCGCGTCTCATGCGCTTGTCCGCCAACCACAGCGTTGCTGCTGCGTTTTCGAGCAGCATTGGCGACCTGGTGCACTCATGGTCACATGATTAGACGCGGTACCTGGTCGGTAGCGCAGGTCACTGGTTTGGGAATGCCGTCCGCGTTTCTTCTTGTCGCGATGGACGTCACCGCAGCACGGTAAAAGCACGAACCCTCGGATCTGGGCGCCCAAGGCCGATTCTATGAATCAGGGAAATCGACCTTTCGTGGCGTGTGTTGGCAGACACCCGGGTCGGTGAATGCATCGCCCACGGGCTCCAGATAGACCACAATACAGGTGGTGTCATCAATGACGGATTCCTCGGCCATCCACCGACGCACAGCTTCCTGCACGAGTTGTTCTGCAACAGCTTGCGGCGACTCGCCTTGATCCTTACGTCTGCCAACGAACTGCACTACATCATCACTGCTGAGGAATTCCCAGATACCGTCGCTACCGAGTACAATGAACGCATCAGCCGGGCATACCTCCAGGTGATAAATTTCCGGATCGGCGATCACACCGATGTTCTCCACGACCTGGTCACCGAAAGAACGGCTCATGGCGAGGCCAGGGACTCGAGTTGTCGGTAGCCACACTCGCGCCGGTCCTATATTGCCATGCCAGGACTCTACGTGGCCTCCCAGGTTCTGGATGCGTTTCCGCTCATCGGGACGGTCGGGCTTGTGGTCGACACTCAGGGCCACCGCGTAATATCGCGCCTGTTTGCTGCGCGTCGCTGCGGCATCGTCAGACGCCCCGCGTCCAGTCAGCCTTCGACCGAGGACCGCTCGAGAGTCACCGACGTTTGCGCAGAAGAGTTCGCGGCCGTGAAGCAGGACAATGATGCCCGTGGTGCCGCTAAATCGCGAGTCGATCCCGCCCAGCCCGTCATCCTCATCGTCCACGTCTGGAATAGATTCCATGCTGGTTGATGGTCGCGAATTTTCCCGAACTGTTGCCACCGCCTGATGCAGCATCGATTTCATGTTGTTCCAGAGGTAGGCAAATGCATCGGTTTCTGGCTCGAGTTCCAGAAGCTCACCGCGTGCAGTCAAGAGCTGCTCGGCATTCAAACATGTCCGCCGTAGTGCCTCGGCGGGCTTGTCATGGAGCGCGTGATCGTAGAGGAAGCGCGCAAGCAGTTTCGGAACAATGTTTCGAATGTAGTGCGAACAGAGACGTCCAGCGACACCATGTCCATCGAACACCGCCCACAGGGCATCGGACAAAACATGCGGTGGAATGTTGCTCCCTGTCGCACGCAGAATCATTTCGTGATACTGTACGGAGGCACCCTTCACGTTCGGGTTCTCTGGCAAATGCCGCAAACTCAGATGACGTGGAGTCATGACTGTCACAGTCGCAAGCGACGCCTCCGGATCATCGAAGGTGCGCGTTCCCGAACTATCCTCCATGAGATTGTCGAGGCCATCTCGGGTTGAGATGCGTCGCTCGAGCTTCGACGGCTGACGCGGAATGCACTGCATGTCGCAGGGTTTTGCAACCTCGTTTTCACCTCTTGGGGCCAAGGTCGAGCAAGTCCACGCTGGGACCAAAGGCATCAATACGCACGCGGAATCCTGGTTCTCCTTGCCTTTCCGCACGGGTTCCCAGCCGGTTCTGGAAACAACGCCCGCGGATAAACGCAGCGCAGGTCGGGCGGCAGGCGGCTCCAGCGGCAGTTCATAGGACAACTCCGAGTGCAGAACCTCTGCAGCACTATCCTGCTTGGTGATAGGCAGTGGTCGCACTACGGCTCCCTTATCGTCAAACTGAACCTTATACTCTTGAAAGTGGTGATGCGCACGGTTCCGGTTACTTTCTTCGTCTGCGGCGGCAGCCTCGCCGTCCAGGGGAAGCGTTCCCTCGTTCGCGACTGAGAGGCGCCTTCTGGCCCCCAAAAAGGAGAAAAAGAAACGGTCAGACCGGCGGTCAAGCGAAAGTCGGCCGCCGGAGCTCTCCGAGGCGGCGCCAACTGCCGCGCCCTCCTGCTCTCCAGCAGCGGCACTTGACTGCTGTTGCGACTTGTGCTCCGTGCGACCGCCACCAGCGTTAGGTTGCACCCCCGCTGCTGTGCTCCGTTCCCCGGGAACTGAAGAAGCGCCCCTGTTCTTCTTCTGCGCGGTCGTTGAACTGGTCGGTTGCTGGGAGCCTCCGTTGTGAACTGTGTCCACGCAGTCGTCGTCGAGTTTCGTGTCGAGGTCCAACTTGGACTTGCAGAGACCCATGACTCTTCGCCGCTACTTCGATTCCAAAGCGTTACGAAGTTCCGTCGCAAGTCGAGCGCCGATCTATAATCGTTACGGTGCCGTACTCCAGTGAGAGGCACACGCTGTACGCAGAGCAAGGTTCACCAACAAGGTAGCGCAGGGAGTCGTGTCCAGTGCGTTTCTCGCTCTGACTCTGTCTCTGACTTTGCCCGGCTGCTTATCCCGTGTGGACACGTCCGAACACGTGTACGTCATTTGCGCGTGGCGATGGCGGCGGTGATGGCGCGTCGTTGGCGGGCGCGTCATCCCCGCTGCTGCTCGAAGCGCTTGATGAGGCCTCTGCTCCGCTGGTACCAGGTACACGTCGTTGGTTGTATCGGGTACTGGAACACCAGTGCCTACAACGACTTGTGAAGAGAACTTGTTTCCTGTGTATATTCGGCGGTACATAACACCAGTACCTACAACGACTTGTCAAGAGAAGTTGTTTCCTGTGTATATTCGGCGGTACATAACACCAGTACCTACAACGACTTGTCAAGGGAACTTGTTTCCTGTGTATATTCGGCGGTACATACCACCAGTACCTACAACGACTTGTCAAGAGAACTTGTTTCCTGTGTATATTCGGCGGTACATACCACCAGTACCTACAACGACTTGTCAAGAGAACTTGTTTCCTGTGTATATTCGGCGGTACATAACACCAGTACCTACAACGACTTGTCAAGAGAACTTGTTTCCTGTGTATATTCGGCGGTACATAACACCAGTACCTACAACGACTTGTCAAGAGAACTTGTTTCCTGTGTATATTCGGCGGTACATAACACCAGTACCTACAACGACTTGTCAAGAGAACTTGTTTCCTGTGTATATTCGGCGGTACATAACACCAGTACCTACAACGACTTGTCAAGAGAACTTGTTTCCTGTGTATATTCGGCGGTACATGGCTCTTGTTGGCATTGCTTGCACTGAACGGAAGCATGCTGTGCTGCACAGATGGGAATCGAATTGGACCTAAACTGGATGATGAGGTTGCTTTTCATCGCAAGTACGCAGCGTTTCAGCACAATATCTACACGGTGTACGATACAGCAGTCTCGTATGTTTGCTAGATACAGAGGCGCTGGACGCTGCGGAAGCACGAGAAAGTTCTGGATGCTGATCGAGTCGTTCAAGTCTGTGACGAAACGCGTAATGCCTGCGCGCAAGGTTGCAGATGGAGTCACACTGTAGCGGGCCGCCAGCCTCTGCATAGCGTGCTGTGTGATGCTCAGTCGACTGCTGGGGCATCATTTCATGGGGACAATGCTGTTTCTGGCACAGCCTGTCTAGGTATTTCAGCGTGCATCTGAGCACGTGATGCCTATATTTCGTCCTAAAGGCGTCGACAGGCACTGTAGGCAGTCGGATCATTTACGAGCGCGCTATGCGCCCGCCGAAGGGGCATCAGTACAGCCTTTATACGCTGCCGCATGTGCAGTGTCATAGGCTGGGGCGCAAACAATCGCGGCTATCGGGTCAGTGCCAGTTTCAACTCATCTAAGAACACAACGGATGCCTGCTTCTTGTCCGCGTGCAACCGATATTGCTGGCGGCACTAGCGTCATCTCATGGACGCTTGCCAAAGACCGGGCACAGGAGCCGTGTGTGGACGCTCACATACGCTTGACAGGAAACGCTCTGTTCTGGATCAAGTGGAAGCGCAGGGTACAACGAAGAAAGTCATTCCGTTGCGACCTTCCTTTGTGTGCCATGTTCATCCGTACGATCGTATGCCAAGCGCCATGATGCGTTTGGACGCTCTGAAGCGATTCTCGCTTTCGTTGCGATATCGCTTCCGCCATAACCAGCTCGTCATTTGTCTCCAACGACACAGTGAGAATTCCTTCCGCCGTTTCCTGCTATGATCGACGAGCGAGGTTACGGTATAATGCCCGTATCGTTTGCCGCATGAAGCGCTCGGTATCGACCCGCATCTTGTTGCCGAGCCCTAATGGATCCTCTGTGACAACCTGCACGGTGGATGTTCTAAACGCCGATGTGGTGCGGTAACGTGTCAAGGTATTCTGGGAAGCGCATGTGTGCACTGTTAATTCTACGATCATCCGTTGTGATGTCGCATAAAGGGTTTGATCGAAAACTTCCGGAAGCATGTGAACAGCTGGCAACGAAACGAGCGGAAACCCTGCGAATGTCTTCGTAACGAGGTACGTCAAATCGAAATAAATTAGGTTAGCCTTGCTCATGCAAGATGCCTCAACATCGTCGATGGTATTCCGCAACTTTCGATGTCATCCATGCAAACGACTCGTATACTAGTCCGAATACATGAAATTGGCCTCTGATATCAGAGAAGACGCCTGGACTCTACATATCCGACGAGAAAAAGTCCGGCACGAAGAGCATCTCGAAGCATATCTATGCTGCGTACGCCTCCACAGCCACGGACGATGGAAAGCGACGCTATCAAAAAGCAGGGCAGGAGCATTTCGAATACGGAAGCTATGAGTTTCCGCGAATACGAAGGATGAGGCGCTGGTGGATTCTTCTCGTTGGGCGGTTCGTAGACGACCACAAGACGGCATCGCCGCTGGAGCTGATATTGTCATTAATCTCGCGAGTCTCTGCTTTACAGCCAATGGTTTTGCCCTCGTTGAATAACCATACGCAGATCCACCGTTTCAGCTGAAGAAACGCTCATCGACTGAAGAAAGAAACCGACGTTTCTTTGCTCCATACCGATCGCTGATTTCTAGGATCTCCCTGGGTGCTTGTTCGGTGGAAGGCTGTCGTGCATGAGCTAGGACTCATTTGTTGCGACTGTGTCCCAGTATTTTCAGGACCACGAATCCAAGCGGTTGAGAAACTGAGACGTCTGTGGCGGCTTCCATCGTTGCTTTCGCTTTCCGTAAGGTGATCAACAGGACTTTTTCTACCATGGACGGCAAGCACTGTTTTAGAGTATTGGTTTTCGGGTAGAGCGCATCTGGTTTCTTTCAGTGTTGTTCATTCATCTGCGTATTTTCGTATGACTAACTTCAAGGAGAAATACAGTCCTCCTTGCACTGTTCAGAAAAGAACCTATATCCCAAAACGCAACTTATCTCCGATCTATAGTATACATTACATCGTAATGTCGGTTTCTTGCTACACATCACATCAAGGATGAAACAAATAACAAAGTTGAGAGACTATAAAGAAGCCTGTGATTGTAGTATGCGGCACTGGACTCGGAAACGCGGGGCATTGAGGAAAGTCTTCTGTACCCGCCAAGGGCATAAGCCGAGCGGTGATGCACGCTTTCTCGCGCCAATGGGTGGCGCTCGAAGGGAGCGGTTCGGTTGACCTACGGGAACTCCTGATCACAGCCAGATGTCACAGCTGGGAGCGGCGCTCCGAGTCTCAATGTAAAGGAGTTGTGAAGGCCAAGCGAACCCAGATGACAACTTGTGCATGAAAAACCTCGAGAACAACCTGAAGCACCGTATTCGCAACCTGAATGCTGTCTTCGACATCCCTCCGCTGCTGAAAATACAGCTGGCGTCATTGCAGACACCGATGTAATTTAAAGTAGAAAATGAGATAGAGAAAAAAAGCAGACGCAGAAAAGACCCCTCAAACGCGTGTGTTGATGACTGCTGGAAGAGCATCAAACTCTGGTACCTGCCTACCTATCTACCTATATGTGTGTATGTGTGGTCTTGGACGTCTGTCCATTTTACGCTTCCAAGACTATCGAAGCACAGAGAGGAACGCGGCAGCTGGTGACTGACGATGGCCCTGACGCCCAGCGCGCCCGGTCGCCACACTGCCCGAGCTGAACGCTGCGTCTTTACCCAAGCGGAGCGTTCGAAGCGTTCATAGCAGCTGGCGTACTGCCGCTGCCATAGTTATGGAAAACTTGCTCTTCCAGGCAGAAGGAATCGGAACCGGGAACGACACCGATTCTGAACCCGGCGATGAGCGCAACTCAACAACCGAGCTCTGGGAGCACAGCGCTGCGGCACTGGCGCGCAACCCCTGCGGCTGTCCTGCAGAAGAAAGCCAAGCACGATGTTGCCGCGACCTAGACGCTAGGCAAAACTCCCATAGTCATCCGGAACAACGAGCGATCGTCTGTACGCACGAGGCGGTGTTCAGCCTCGACGAACGCGGCTCAGTAGCGGCTCCGTCGCTGGATACCCGACACTTACTTGCTGAGCCACCGGCACTCGCAACCTCGCTTGGCACCCATTATCGGCAAATTGGGCTTGCCGTTCCGCCAAATGGGGAACTGCAGTGCTTCACGCCTCGAGGAGAGGCGCTTTCAGCCTACTGGCGAACGAGTCAACTCGGGGGGCCTGTCACGAGTACCTGCGTCGGCGAACTGGATCCGCTCGAGCACGTCGCTAACCAGACCGTGCTGGACGCGACATCGAGCCGGGGGCTCACTACACCCGCAGAGCACCATGAAAAGGGCATTGCAGAGCCAGTGACGACGCAACCCGTTTTCCGAATCGTTCTCACAGGTGGTCCGTGCGCCGGCAAGACCACTGCAATGGCCCTGTTGGCTGAAAGGTTCCGTTCCCGCGGTTTCCGGGTATTCCTCGTACCAGAGGCTGCAACGCTGCTCTTTACGGGCGGTGCCGGCCAGGCGAATATCACTGGAGACTCAGAGTGTCGGATCCTGTTCCAGAGCATTCTAGCTCGCCTCCAGATCACACTGGAGGACGGTTTCTTCGCGCTGGCACAACAGTGTCGAGCGCCGTCTATCGTTCTCTGTGATCGCGGCTTCCTCGATGGTCGTGCCTACATGTCTGGAGACGAGTATACCGAAATGCTTGGTCAAAACGCATGGAATCTGATCGAGATGCGCGATCAGCGGTACGACGCTGTCTTGCACCTGGTGACTGCAGCGGATGGAGCGGAATCGTTTTACACCTGCGAGGGCCACGCTGCGCGTTCGGAAAGCCTCCGTGAAGCACGACAAGTGGACGCTCGAACCCGGGAAGCTTGGTCGGGTCATCCGCGCCTGTACGTTATCGAAAATCGCAATCGCTGGCTGGCAGAGCATTCATCGACGTGCTCTCTGGACGAGGCCCCAGCCGCTGCACCACCGAATGACCAAGAATTCCTACCGCTGGGGCACTGCACACCGTCTCCAGGTTTCGCGGAGAAAATGGAACGTCTCTTCTCCATCGTTTGCCGGCTTGTTGGCTTGCCAACTCCGGCCCATATGCTGGATCGCAAGTTCCTTCTCACGCCCGACGCGAACATGGTGAATCATTTGCGAGCAGATCCACATGTTCGTGGCCTGCAGACGTTTCGCGTTGAGCAGACATTCCTCATTCGCGCGCAGGCCTCTAGTAGCAATGACAAGTCGGATCCCAAGAACCAATCCCAGGCACCAGTGTTTTGGGCCAGTCAGCAAGAGCATGTGCGGCGGCGAGGTCGAGACGGTTTCCATAGCTACACGCACTGCATCCGCCGCCGCTATGCAGAATGGAGTCACCAGCAATCGAATCCAATCTCAGAGCGCAAAGCACAGCCGTGGGTTGAACTGCGCCGCAACATCAGCCTCCAAGAGTATCATTTGTTGCTGGGGTACGCAGACCCACGTCATCGGACGCTTTTAGTATGGCGTTCCTGTTTCTTCTATCACAATGCTTACTTTGTTCTAGACCAGATAGAGAACGCAAACGTTGGGCCGGTGGCGCTTCTTCGAACGAGCGCTTCGTCAACGTCGCGCTCGGGGTCGACGGACGCGCCGACGCCTGCGGGACTCCCGCTCAGCAACTGCGTTCGCTGTGAAGTGACCGCTGATGCGAGGTACGCATTCTACGCCCTGTCTCGACGCTGTCCATGTAGTTAGCGTCGGTAACCGTTGCGAGGAACGCACGAGGTCGCAACGCGAAGATGTGACGGGAGGCCAGCGAACGCGCTCGAGTCCGGGGCGCAGGTGGATGCGCACTGCCGGAAATAGATGGACATGATGGAACAAGACTGAATATTTGCGTACAGCGACAATACCGTGCATGCGTTCGTTTCCTTCAACGCCTTCGAAGAGAATACCTTCCTCCGGGGCACCTGTTTCGGTGTCGATGACACCATCGAGTCGTCGATTATCGTGGCTATAACATTGTGGCGATTCGTTTGCCTGGAGAGCGACGCCAGTGTGTCGTGTTCACCACGGCCGTCGCTGAGCTCGTGGTGGTGCGGACGCACGTGGATAACGCGCCACGGGCCACCACCTTCAACAGGCCGCTGCAGGCACGTCAATGCTCGCTGCACGACAACTTTTCATATGTCTCTGGATTCTCCCGACGCAAGCATTAACCGCATCGTAGTGGCTCAAGAGCCGGTCCGATGCAGGGGCGCAACAGGTTAGCGTCTGTGTCGAGGCTTTTCATTGAGGCGACGGAACGGATCAGGTAGCAAAACGGGAGCGCACTCCCCGGGCGCCTGACTTGCATAAGCACGATGGCGCGCGAGGATTGCAGAGTTACCGCAGGTCGATGATGGGCACGAGTGACGGCGCAAGAAGGCCGTTTCGTACACCTTTCTCTCGATTTCATTCGAAGAGGTATGTGTATGGTCATTAAAGAACATGCGAGGGATGAGCCAAATGCATTGGACAGCACGCTTGTTGTCTGGGAATGCGCAAATCGGTAGCAACAGAAGCAGCGGCAATTCGGTCGCCTCCTGGCCTTAGCTGCTGGCCCTGCACGGCTGCGGGTGCAGCGCCCCGGACGCTTCGGATGGTATGGACGGCCTCAAGCGTGAGGACCAGAGTTTGAACCTCGCAGATTCTCGAAACGCATCCCATGAGCGGGGCGATATGGTTCGCGTTCATCACTGGGCCATAGAATGCAGGAGGTGATCAACCAGCACGATCTCTTTATTGAGGAACGAATTGGCGCTCGGGTTACGATTGCCTACGCAAGAACGTTTCCTATAGGCACGTTCCAGGGAAGAACACGCACATGATGATTTCCGATGAATCCAGGGTTCACTTTTTGCCGCTGATATCGTTAACTTTTGTTTTCCCCGAGCTCGATCCGCTTTTGGATGGCCCGACTTGCACGGATGCCGGCCGACTCGTTGCGAGAATCGATAGGAACATGTTATAAGCAATTTGAATTGAGTTGATGTAAAGAAGGCGCTGACTCGGTGGAACGAAGCGAAAGTTAATGGCGTGCGCAACGGGCCAGACCGACCACGAGGCGCGAACTCCCGTGAACGTATCTGCCTTGATTTTCTTCACGGTTTCCTCAGTCGATGCACCGCTCAGCAAGCTTGTGTATCCCAGGAAAATTGCGGTGAATATGGGCGCCCACAGCAGCTGGTCAAGTGCAACTTTGGAGACCACTTCCCGCACGCCGGTTCCCTTGATCATCTGATCCAGAAATTGGTACCAATAATGGCCCGTTGATCCGTGAATGAGGAATCCAAACGACATCATGCGGAAAAGGCGCTTCTTATCCAGTTTCTGCTTATCTAAAAAGTGCTGCGCTAGCACGTCGCCTAACCCGAAACCAACTAGAGACGTGAACATCTTCGTCAAAAGCGGCCGCTTAGCCAGGTTTTGGAGGTAGAGCGCCCACAGGGCAGCGAGCGGGTTCGGTCGACCCGACGCGCCGCCACCACCTCCGCCACCACCACCACCACCTCCGCCACCACCACCGCTGCCGCTGCGACTACCACCGCTACCTCCCGTTCCTCCGTACGCAGGAGCCGCAGTACCCTCAGGCGGAACAGCGAAGCAGGCGCGCATCCGACGCTGCATCGGGGCGCCCTGCGCGCTCGCGCCGAGCGGTCGCCGGTGCCCCTGCGCCGGCACCCTGCGCCCCACAGAGCAACGAAGAGGTGTCGTGTGCACAACCCCGCACGTCCTCGCGGAACGCCCAGGTACCTGCAGCAAACCCGACACAAAACATACGTCAATCATTTAAAAGACTCGCTTCGGTTGTGGAAAGATGGATCCGCACACAAGTTCGCGCACGAAACCGCTGCCGCTCACTACCGTTACCGGCTGACTCAAGCGACACCACAGCGCGTACGCTCGTGCAAAGCGCGCCGGCGATTCGAGCGAGCGTTACGCGCAGTCATCGAAGCGCAGCTGGCGCTGCCGGTGTCTGTCGATGATGATCACGGAGGTGCGCGCGCACCAGCGAGATCGTCGAATGCACGCCACGTTGCATCGTGTGTGTGCGCGCGCGATCTGAAGCAGCAGGCGTGCAACAGTGCCTTGAGTGTGCGTGTACGTGTGCGTGTGCGCCTGCTGCTGGCACGGTATGCTGGAACGGATGCGTTGGCGAGCGTGCCTTTGTTGTGGTACGCGTTCGCTGGAGCGAGTGCCCGCTATTCGGGAAGCACTGTGATGCTCGTGGCGGTATTTCCATGAGGTAGGTGTCGGGAGCGGATACGAGTCTAGCCGTACGATCAACTTGCAGAGCGTTGGGTACTGTCCAGTGCATCCTGGGAGCGGTACTGGGTGATGCGGAATCGAGGCCACCACCGATACGCGAGCGCCAGTATCTCGTTGGGCGGCACGCGGGCGTTGGTCGGTGTCAGCGCGCGGTTCATAGGGTGCAACTGGGCAGACGGGCGGGTGCGGCGGCGGTCCCTATGCGTTCGTATGTAGGCTATCGTTTGACTCCAGGTGGCTCTGTTTCGGACGGCGTTTGTCGGGGACTTCAGCGCACCTGCTCGTAATTTTCGCTGAAGATCGTCATGGGAACGACTTCGAGTGGGTACGTTCCGCTCGCAGAGAATGGGGGTTTTCTGAAACCCGACTGAGCACCTCACACTGCAACTGCGATTCTTGAGTTCCTGTTGATCTGGATGGTTTCCAGTTGGAAATCAATACGGGGGACTCTTGTTGCCAAATTGACAGTGGCGGCTGATAGACAAGACCTGCAGAGTGGATTCTACCGGGCCTTCGATTCCCGTTCGGGATTCCGCGCTGCATGCGAATACCCGGAGGCGACGACGTGACCGCCGCCTGGTATGAGCCTGGTGTGACCCAGGCCATAAAGTCATCTGTTTGTGATGCCCATGCAGCATGCGATTCAAGGCGCTGTCATGGCGCCCGCTGCCTACTACCGTCCCGAGTCGGATACGCACCAATCTGAGATCACTGGAGTGCAGTGGCTGCCTCCGCGATATTCACGCGTGTGCTTTACGAACCATCCTTTTCGGATGTGCGAGCGCACGATCGGCTGCACTGGAAAGCGATATTGTGTAACCACCGCAAGGAAGCCGCCCTTGTTAAACGCAATGCGATGCTGAATACGACTGTCGATTTCGCGATCAAGCCAATATTGTGTAACCACCGCTAGGAAGCCGACCCTGTTAAAAGCGATACCACACAGAATATGACTGTCGATTTCGCGATCAGGCCAATATTGTGTAACCACCGCAAGGAAGCCGACCCTGTTAAAAGCGATACCACACAGAATACGACTGTCGATTTCGCGATCATGCCATTCGTAGTGCCATGCTCGGACTCTAGTGTGTAGCACTGTACTGCGCAAGGATCGGGGTGATCTCTTCCATATATCTACACATGACATCGTATGAAGCTGGTGCTTGTTCCGACGCACCACATCTACATGGATATATAAACAAGGACGGCGTCATGTTTTCCGAGGTCGAGTGCGCTCGGTGAAAGAGGAGAGCATGTTCCCTTCAGGTTCCACACTGATTGACATCTGTGTCTCCCACATGCATACGCCAGTATTTGAAAATCTAGAGAGCGCACCAGTATCGTGCCAGGATGGTGTGTGCCTCTGAAACGGCGAAAGCCGCGCAGTGCCATGCAGCTGGCAGTACCATCTGGACACTGCGGACACAGGTGGCCGCGCACCGTCTTTTCCCGAGAGCGCATCCCATGATGCGCCACGGACGCGGGAAATCGCAGGTCGTGTCACGGAAACAGCAGATTCCGTGACGCCGGCGATGAACAGCGCATGCGCGCATCACGTATCTAGGCCGCAGCGCGCGACGTGGTGCGCGGCAGATGTGTATGTATGTGTCATTATTTCCCTGAAGCAGGACGCTGCACCCGCGATGCGCTTCTAACGACGCATCTGATTTTATTGAGACGATGCGGTAAACACGATATCGGTTAGCACTCGTGTGCCTGCACCGGACCTCTTGGACGGTGAGAATCTCGGGAACTGGTTATCCCGAAGAAATCGAAGCCAGCCGCGTCGACGAAGCGTTGCCGGAGGAGCTCGGGCGACATAGTCGTATTCGTCCTGTCACCGAAAATCACACGTATAACAGCTTGATAATCTAGAGCACGACACTGATTGGGTGTGTCGATGTGGCGTAAACGGTTGCTCAGCTCAGGCACGTCGGGCCGATACTGCCGACCAAGACACCTGAGCGATCTGGTGTCCCGCGCAAGCTGGTGCCGGACGCACGCAACATTCGGAGAGAGTCGGCAGTTCCCTTTCGGTGCTGAGTTTGCGTCTGCGACCACTCGATTAGTATACGAAACGCACACCTGCCGTTTACAACCATTGTAGAGCTTGCCGTTCCGGACTTGTGCCCGAACCTTCATGTTTCCTGATGGCGCACTATCTATGCTGTAGTTCGCCTGCATTCAAAGAATTCAGCTTTCCATGGAGCCTCCTTTGCGTTTTCAGTATGCGCAAATGCTCCCTGTGTTCTGAATGTACACGATGATGCCAATCTCGTCCGTGCTCTCGCCGTTGATAGACCAGCGGTTGCCAACTATACGCCATGCAATAGTTCCCACGAAGCAGTCTGCATTTATCTCCGCCACTGCTGCATCATCGACTTGGTAGAGATATCCATCGGAGTTGGCCTGAAACGGTTCATCGGTAACAGTAACATCATTGATAATGCAGCATTCACCGAAGCATAACGTGTTTCCCTCGAAGTAATCACCGTTAACCATGCGAACCGTGATGTACGACGGGCAAGATTCGCTGTTGACACTGTAGTCATTTTCGAGGTCACTGGTGTACCACTGAGCTTCATAGAGACCGTCCTCGCAACTGGAATAGAAATACGAGCCACTATCGCACAGGTTACTTGGGCTGCAGGAGGAACAGTCCGTTTGAATACTGTTCTCTATCGTGCCGGTATCTGTATAGCACTCATAATAACAAGTCTGCCCCGAAACGGGTTCCTGCATAAAAGACAAGACAAACACGAGCGTCAAAAACACGAAAAGAGCACGCTTGCAAGACATAAGGTTGGCGCTTTCGAGCAGAGTCTATAGCTTTTACTTCAACAACAAGCGACGCAGTTACGTACTATGTGACTGTCACGCTGCGCGACACGCACACCGAGATGCAGCCGTGTCACGCTGCGCGACACGCACACCGAGATGCAGCCGCGTCACGCCACCTGTGCATGGTGCACACGGATGCGCTCACAACGCCCCCAACGGATAGGAGATCTCCCAACGACGTGCGTTGTATGAGAGCCGCCGCCGCCGCCGCCGAGCTTCACACGAGCGCATGACGTATCTGCGCGTCGTGTTCGCGCTTTGCGTATCTGGGCGCTGTCGTTGCGCTCGCGAGCGGCGGCGTCGTTTACTGGCGGGCAGCGCTGGTGTATTCGCGGTACGCGGTGCTGTATGTTGTACGCGAGCGCTGAGGAATCGGAAAGGTGGTATAAGTGTACCGAGTGGTCTGGGTGGCCATTGGGCACGCTCAGGGCGTCGTTGTTGACAGCAGGGATCCTGTTTCGCTGCTCGGTAGAGCTAAGAACGACTCAAACAGAAGGAGTTCGCATAGCGACCGAGGGCGGAAACGGCAAACTTTGAACCTATTCTAGCTGCTATCGATAGCAGGCTTTGCGGACTTTCTCGGAGACTGTTTCCTTTTCCGCTCTTTTTTTTCTGCAAGTTTGACTGGGCTTGTTTCTCGTGTCTATCTTGCACTGTTGCTGTGAGCTGTTGAAGGATGTACACAACAGCGGTATAGCTCCGACCTCGCTGCCTCTGGTTGCTTTTCACGCTTCTCATATGCAGTATTTCGTTGCAACCTACGCTCCTGTTGCCTTTTTCATGAACTTTGGTGGCAGGAACGATGCGCCTTTTGCAGCGGTGTCACCTGGCAATGCTCGGATGTTGCAGCAGGTCTGGTGCACCTGCTGCAGCGCGGGCTCGCCCTGCAGCCCACGAAGGCTTGTCGCACCGCTCGGTACATGCCCGTGCGGGCCAGGGAAGGGTCGCGCGATGGTCTCCCCAGTTTCCACACCGGGTGCCGTATCCTACGTTCACGGGCTACTGCATGGCGACTGTATTGGCAAGTAGGCCGTCGGCCGGAGAATCAAGCGGAGGCTGTTCCATTCTGTCGAAGATTTGCGGGACGAAACTTCGTCTATGGTGAAACCAGCACCGGGAAGGAACCCCAGGCTGAAGCACAAATCGAGATATTTCGATCCGTATGCGCTCGCCTGGGGCAGTTCGGTGGAGCGTTTCCACAGGGAGCTGTGGTAGCCACGAGACGAACTCGTATCCAAGATCTTTTTTTTACGCGCAAACAGAAGAGACCCGAGTCTCCGGGAGCATATCCGTGCGAAATATGATGATGCTACTGTTGCGTGCCGTTTTGCAAACCGCCACAGAGAGACGCACACCTTTCGAACAGATAGAATTACTAGCCGTGACAGGTTCAATGAACTTTTATGTTTGAGCTTGTGGAGAAATCGAGAAAGGACGGCGCCCAGTTTATCCATGGTCATTGCAACAGAAGGCATTGTTGCGCCTTCGCAATACCTTGGCCCAGGGAGTTTGGAAACATGAACCATGCGTGATATGCGCACGCTGCTTCGGAGGAAAGGAGACAAGCCGAGGCTCCTGCGTATCCACTGGACCATGAAATAGAGTCTTTTGAAAGGCCTCGTATAAGAGCATCCCGAATCATGAAGAATCCGATGGTGTACCAAATTCTAGCGGCAAGGCGTTGAATAAACCACTTCGAACATTCGACCCAGAATCCTAAAACTACGAATACGTCGGAACGTTCGTACTGGCGCACTTTGAGTCTCAAGTCTGCGGGTCAAAAAACAGTCCGAGAACCTCGAAGACCAGGAACAAAAGCGCGCAGTTATGTGGTTCTTTTCAGTCTGCCATGAGTCGAGGGCGAGCGACTGAGCGCGAACGCTCAAGGCAGTACCGCCCCAAAGTCGTATTCTTCCTCGCTATACGCGGAATCTCTGGGGCGTAGTGAGCCGAAAAAATACAGAAAAAACAAAACAAACTAGTTGCAAAATATTGATTAAAGAACACCTATCTTATGGACCTACACACCACGGCCGCCTAAGAGGTTCCAATTTTCCTGGAGAAGCTCTGAAAGTGGGTTAACACGGGGTGCTTGGACGACGGCGATAGAAGACCACGACAGGAACCTTGACCGCAACGAACGGAGAGGCGGAGGCAGTAGCATCACAAAGTATTGACGAAAATGCTGAGCAGACATTCGCACCTCCCGAAACAACGCTGCAGGTGCGGGCACATATTCTGGATCCATCCTCGAACTCGGACTCAGGATTACCTCCTACCATGGGTACCTACCTCGACTTTGGAAACAGTCTCGGCGGATACTTTGGAAGACGGCTGGCGGCATGTTCACGGTCGAAACTGGAGTAAGCGACTTGCCCGCGTATGTGTTTGGGGAGCGGATACGTAGCTGCTGAAAGGGTGTTTTGCAGACTGTTCCCAATGGTTGCGGGTAGCTTCACGCGTCCGGCAAGATAAAGTTTGCATTCGAATCGACCAAGACTAATGTACTTCTGTTGCTAACTTCGCGCTGTGCCAAGCACTCAATGGACGACTGGAATGCAGGAAGCGCTGGTGGCGTGTGCGTTCACACACCCCGTGGAGCGTGCGTCTAAATCGACGACGTATCTCTGGAGCACCGCAGCGCCATTCCTATTTCCTTATGCGCTATGACTCGATAGGTTTCGCATCATGGAATATTTGTGAGATAGCCCCGATACTAGACGACGAGAAGTCGAATTACCAGTACAGTAATGAGGAACTGATACAAATCGAGGACTCTACCTTAGCGATAGAGACCCAACGAGATACGGAGAAGGAGGTACAGAGCCATCATGATCCAACCAGAAGCAAAATAACCAGAGAAAGTAGCTCAGGACAGAGCCCGAAGAAGAAGACCAGCAAGAGAAAACAAGAGAATAGAAAGAAGAACTCCGAAACGAGCCCATCACAAGTCATCCCCGGAAAGAACACCCCAGCCGGAACTCAAGAAAGCTGTCAAAAAACTCAGTCACCTACTCACAACGCGGTAGATCCGAAAAGCCGTGCATGCAAATCATTAGACCAACCGGGACGGCTGGCACCAGAACGTAAAAGTTGCAATCCGCAGTACCTGAAACGACGTACCAATACCCAGATTGATGAATGCCACCGACTCTATCAGATCGTCAACCGCACCGCCTTACGCGCCAACGCCGGAGACAAGGAAGCGAAGGCAGTCCTAACGGCGCTACAGGCGCAACGTGAAGAAGCTATCAAAAGAAAGAAGAAACTTTCCAGAGAAGACAAACGAGAGGATCGAAGCCGCAAAATCGCCTCCCTGGCGAAATCTATGCTGGAGAGCACCACCGAAGATGAGACTTGGCGCTCCATTCGATCGAGACTGGAGCCACCAAAAAAGTGCTTGGGGCTCACACCAATCGTTGATAAGGAAGAGCTGAGGACGGAGGGTGCCTCAGTGAATGAGGCCTGGACAGACCACGGGACAGAGCTGCATGAAGACGCAACTGGGCACTGCCAAGACCCAATCTATCGGCACCAATATGCCGCAGAAGTACCGCGCATCGAACCGGTACTTGGAATGGAACGACCCAATCTTCTGGCCTGAAATCGCTGAGACACTCTTAAGCTCATGCAACCGCAAAACACCTGGCATCGACGGTATCGCTGCCGAGTGGGTGAAACTGGCGACACCAGAAGGCGAGACAACAGGGACACCATGGATACCAGATGAACCTGACACAAGCTTAGGCAAACGCTTTCTGGAGCTCATCCAACGCATGTTTGAAGAGGCATACATCCCTGATGTATGGGGGACTGCCGAGGTCGTACCGGTCCTCAAAAAAGACTCCCACACA